AAGTAGACAAGTAGACAAGTAGACAAGTAGACAAGTAGACAAGTAGACAAGTAGACAAGTAGACAAGTAGACAAGTAGACAAGTAGACAAGTAGATGGTAGACCAGCAGTAGTACCTAAGTAGGTAGTAGAGTACACAGTCTTACCTACCTACGAAATACATGTACTCCGTAGTACTACATGTACCAAGGTAGTAAGGATACTAATAGGTGTTTAGTACACGTAGTTTCCGTACTAGTACCACTTGTTTTGGTAGTCTTGGCACCGACTCCCGGGCTTTTAGTACCCAGGTACCCCAAGTCCTGGTACCGCAGTTCAAGTTTAGCAGTGGCTAAGGACCGGAATAGTAACTCAACTAGTATATTACGAGCTAGACCTCTCTGCATTAGTAGGCGCAGGCCAGCAGATTGCGGCACCAGGTCAAATCCCCCGCCCAAACAACCACTAGTCCTACTACCGGCCGGAGAACAAGCCACTGACTGGCAGCTGCAACACCACTCCTCAATCAACTCACTGCACTCATCCATCCACGAAGTCAATTACCTCTCGAGCAAATTGACCGACCATTGACTTGGCCACCGTCTGTTTTCACGCACTCCTTTTCAATGGACGCGCACCTCCCTGCATTACTGAGCCCTGAATCAACGAGTCGGACCCATTTCTAAATCCAAGGCTGCATTCGTCACTGTTCGGTGCACTCTAATTTGAGACCCCAAGTCGCAAGTCATCCTGAACAGTTGAGCTGTCTTCCTCGTTAGGACCTGGCTAACCATCACTCCACAGTCCCTGGTGCTGCCATTCCAATCGTATCTGTCTTACCACGATCTTGGACGATGAGGAATTGACGAAAATAAGCAGCGATTGCCCGTCCACCTTGCCAACCCCTTCGACCTCGGACCATCTCGTCCCTTTCTCTGGCCTTCGACGCTGTGATTCCGACTTGGATGAATAATTGAACACTCGTCTTCTACGAACACGGATAGTGGGCGCGTAGAACGTGACAAGCGTCCTCGTTCTTGAGTCATATACTTGAAGACCGACTCGACAAGATGAAAGGTTTCAGGCAAAGAGTGGTATGTTTTCCCGCCGTCGAGCGACCGATCTTGTCCCATCGCGTCATCCTGTTCCTCAAGTACGGCACACGACTCACTGGAATCTAGCACGAGCAGTTGTCTAGAGCAAAAGACTCAAACAAATCCTCCAAGAAAAAGGACTCTAGTTCTACTACCGCGTCTCCCCTCTCCGCCTCAGCTACCCTTGCAGGCGGTGAATCGAGGTCCCCAAACAGCTCCAATGCTGCCACACCGACCTCCTCAACAACGAATGTCAATGATGTACGGATCAAGAATAGCAACAACGATAGTGGCGCCGGCAGCCACGTCAATACTCTACTTCCTGGCGTGCATGGTTCAGGGTCGGGAGGTTCAGGTCAACACTACATACAGCAAAGCTCTGGGCTCGGACCTACTGGACCCGGTACACCCGGCAGGCAAGGCGGCCATCTTGCTCCTAGTGTTATCATAAGCCCAAGTGCTCCTCATGTTCCAGGACCAGGCGCGACTGAGACAATGCCTGGTGACCTCGCGCCCCCTAAGGCGGGCCAAAAATCCTTACTTTTCGATCGCCTCCAGTCAACTCCTAAAGATGTGGCCGAGGGCATCCGGACACCCAAAAGACAGCATTCATCTCGGTTCGATGTCTCCGATCAGAGATCTCGGGAGCTAGAGAAACTACCTGGCTTCCATGAGGTGCCTCCAAATCGAAGGCAGGAGCTGTTTATGCAGAAGATTGACCAGTGCAACATCATTTTCGACTTCAACGACCAGACCGCAGACATGAAGTCAAAAGAAATCAAGAGACTCGCTCTACATGAATTGCTGGACTATGTTGCGAACAACAGGTCGGTTATTACGGAACCAATGTATCCCAAAGTTGTCGAGATGTTCAGCAAGAACCTGTTCCGACCGGTGCCTCCTCCTGTCAATCCTCAAGGCGAAGCTTTTGACCCGGAAGAGGACGAGCCCGTGCTTGAAGTTGCCTGGCCTCACATACAAGTCGTCTACGAGTTCTTCCTGCGCTTCATTGAGAGCCAGGATTTCAACACCAACATTGCCAAGGCCTACATCGATCACCATTTTGTCCTTCAGTTGCTGGAACTCTTCGACTCGGAAGATCCTCGAGAGAGGGATTTCTTGAAAACTACACTCCACCGCATCTATGGCAAATTCTTGAATCTTCGCTCCTACATTCGGAGGTCCATTAACAATGTCTTCTTCCAATTTACCTACGAGACCGAGAGATTCAATGGAATCGCGGAGCTTCTAGAAATCCTGGGGTCCATTATTAATGGCTTTGCACTCCCACTAAAGGAGGAACATAAACTATTCTTGACCAGGGTTCTCCTTCCCCTCCACAAGGTCAAGAGCCTGAGCATGTACCACCCGCAGTTGGCTTATTGTATCGTTCAATTTTTGGAGAAGGACTCGGCACTGACAGAGGATGTATGATTCACGTTTGCCACCTACTGTGTGTGTTTACTGATCACTGCGCAGGTTGTTCTCGGTCTGCTCCGGTATTGGCCCAAAGTCAACAGCACCAAGGAGGTGATGTTCTTGAATGAAGTGGAGGACATCTTCGAAGTTATGGATCCTCAAGAGTTCGCCAAAGTCCAGGAACCACTCTTCAACCAACTGGCAAAGTCTGTCGCCAGCCCCCACTTCCAGGTGCGTCCGTGTCAACATTGCCCCAAGGATTTGACTGATGTATAGCAGGTGGCAGAACGTGCTCTGTATTTCTGGAACAACGAGTACTTCTGTAATCTCGTTAGCGACAATGTCGAAACAATCCTCCCCATCATGTTTGCTCCGTTGTACGAGAATTCCAAGGGTCACTGGAACCGGTATGTTGTCCCTCGGCAATGGCAGAGACAAGAACCTAATTGGGTCAGGACAATTCACGGCATGGTCTACAATGCGATGAAACTGTTTATGGAGATTAACCCTCAACTCTTTGACGAATGTTCCCATGATTACAATGAACTACAAAACAATGCGCCTCAACGGGAGAAAGAACGCGAAGCCAAGTGGGCGAAGCTCACAGAGCAAGCGAACAAAAACAGAGCTAAACTCTCGAAGCCACCGTCGAACCCAACCATCAAAGAAGAGCCCGAAATAGATGCTACGCAAGACAATCAAGAGCGACTTGATGCTCTGAAATTGCATGATGAGTCGACATCTTCGAGGCCAGCTTCGGTAAGTCTTCCACGTCCCGGACAGAAAGCATGAGAAATAAAAACTTTCCGGGAACACCTCTCAATCTTTTCACTCGCTAAGAAACTCTCGCATTCTTATAGTGACCTTGACTTCTCTTTCTGACATAGCTTTCGATACTCCAGAGGCGTCGAGCAGATTCACACGGCCACACCAGAGCTCGTAGGTCTAACAGCGGCTCCGACTCCAAGGCGAGAAGGCATCGCGCCCAGTCTAGTGGCTCGGCCGATTTACATCGAACGGTTCCACATGTGCAACGCCATAGCAGTGCAGCGTCACAGCATTGATCTCGACTAACCGGAGCTCTGCTATATGTTACGGCTAGGAAGGGGCTGCTCGGACTTCTTGCAACGCCGTTAGCAAACGTCGGCCTTGAGGATTTTGTGTATTTTGAGCCAACAGTTGCTGGCAAGGCTACGATCTGTGCCTTGATTCGGGGTGTGGGGGGCGGTCCTGTGTTGGCTTTGAAGTACATTGGTTTGAAACCTGAGTATGAGGCCTGTGACGTTGGCCTCTGGGATGAAGATACGTGCAACGCGGCCAAGCAGCCTTTTGACGGCATGAGCAGCACCATGCGGACCATGGTGCTGATGGAGTTTATTGCTGTGATGAGCATGGTGAATACATATTTCCGTTGCGCCTTGGTAAATGTCGTGACCGTAGACCGTAGCGTGCGGACTTGTTTCCAAGACACAACTCGGCAGGACCTTGCACTACTCGCCCAGTTCGACCCTACTCGCGTCGAATGCAGTGAATAGTCTATGGCATGGAGCTGAGTCTTTTGCGTGATCAAGGACTCGATGAAATATGTTTGGCCCTCTTCCAGCGAGACCTCTGGCCTCGTTCGAGTGGATCAGATATATGAGTAAGCAGACGCCACGTGACTGCTTTAGACCAAGATTGGTTAGACTGCCTCTGCTAGCGGGCTCGAAGTTGCGTCGCGACCGCCCGCGATCCTGGATGCGTTTCTCCCTCTTCTGTCTCCAACTGTGTTAAAAGTCCCCCATACTGCCTAGTCCTCGACTCTCAACGAGGCACCCTGAGGCCACGGGCACCTCACCACCTCTCGATCTTTTCCTGTCACTCTGCCATACCTTCTAAATTCCACAAGCGTCACTCTATTTTCACTGTGCCTTGAAGCGTCACATGGGGAAATCTTCATTTGTTCTGCGACTTAACTTTCCACCCATGAGGCTATATACCCTGGAGGCCTCATGAAGTCGCCTGAACCTCCTGCCGCATCACTCTCCTACTCGCGGTATAGGCCTTCTTTCTGTCTGGGGCGGTCTGGTGTTGACTGAGAATGTCATCAACCATGGACGCTTCTCAGAAGATCGACGTCTTTGCCGCACGGCTGACTGATGCCAAAATCGGTACAGGCCTCCCGGGCGCGAAGTTACAACCTCTTACTGACAGTTGTGGTACTGTAGATACACGGACAAAGTCCAACGTGGCCACAGAACTCCGCGACTCCATCGAAAATCTCTGCTCGCTTCCTGCGACTTACACCAAGTTTCTCACGAAATTATGGCCAGTTTTCAAGAAGATTCTGGAGGGGAAACCCGACTTCAGCCCTACCTCCTTCGAGCATATTCTTCGAAATCAAATACTGGAGATCCTTCACAGACTACAGCATGGGTCCGCCGAATTCGAGCCTTATGCGCTGGATGTGGTCGAAACGCTGATGGAGTTGGTGCGGGTTGAAAATGAGGACAATGCAGTACTCTGCCTGAAAACGATCATGGATATCGAGCGACACCAGCCAACTGCCACTGCCTCGAAAGTGCAGCCTTTTCTCGACCTAATCCAGGAGATGTTCCAGTTGATGGAACAGGTGGTCCGCGACACATTCGACTCGCCTACATCCCATCATCAGGTCGCATCATCAACACCCAACCCGCAAGCCCAGACTTTTCAGTCTCCTCGACCGGGCTCACCTGCGACGACTGTGTCAGATCCCGGAAATGAGAAGAAAGAGCACACCCCCTTGACAAAGGGCATGCAGTCGTTCAAGGTGTTGTCGGAATGCCCGATTATCGTGGTCTCCATCTTCCAAGCGCATCGCAACGCAGTTGCAGCCAATGTCAAGAAGTTTGTGCCATCGATTAAGGGGATACTCTTGCTACAGGCCAAAGCGCAGGAAAAGGCGCATGCCGAAGCCGCCGCCAACAAAACCGTGTTTACAGGAGTCAGCAAGGAAATCAAAAACCGAGCAGCATTTGGAGACTTCATCACTGCACAGGTCAAGACCATGAGCTTCCTGGCCTACCTTCTGAGAGTGTACGCCCACCAGTTGACGGATTTCCTGCCAACCCTACCGATTGTGGTCGTCCGACTCTTGAAAGATTGCCCACGGGAGAAATCAGGCGCTCGCAAGGAGTTGCTTGTTGCGATCCGTCACATCATCAACTTCAACTATCGCAAGATCTTCTTGAACAAAATTGATGAGTTACTGGATGAAAGGATTCTGATTGGAGATGGGTTGACAGTATATGAGACGATGCGGCCACTGGCTTACAGCATGCTGGCCGACTTGATCCATCATGTCCGAGATTCCTTGGATCGCAACCAGATCCGGCGCACGATTGAAGTCTATACGAAGAACCTTCACGACAACTTCCCAGGCACGAGCTTCCAAACCATGAGTGCCAAATTGCTCCTCAACATGGCGGAAAGCATCACCAAATTGGAGAACAAGGAAGATGCGCGGTATTTCCTGATCATGATCCTTGATGCAATCAGCGATAAGTTCGCGGCAATGAACTACCAGTACCATAATGCAGTCAAGCTGAGCAAGCAATATGCGGACAAGTTCAAGCAAAATCAGAGCGAGACCTTCATGGATGACAAAGAGCATATGCCGGACTGGGACTCGGTAGACATCTTCAACGCAACGCCGATCAAGACCTCCAATCCACGAGAACGAGGAGCCGACCCTGTCAGCGACAACAAGTTCTTGTTCAAAAATCTTGTCAACGGCCTCAAGAACATGTTTTACCAGCTCAAAACCTGCAACCCGCCAGGACTCAATCTTGATCAAACAAGCATTCCTATGAACTGGTCCGAAGTGTCGTTTGGGTACAATGCTGAAGAGACGCGCGTGATCACCAAGCTTTTCCACGAGGGTGCTCGGGTCTTTCGTTACTATGGTGCTGAGGCTCCTGTGCCCGATCTCCAGTATTCTTCTCCCGTGGATTTCATGGCGAGCCACTCAATGGCGCAGATGACCCGGGACGAGAAGGAGCTCCTGGAGAGTTTCGGCACTGTTTTCCACTGTATTGACCCTGCCGCTTTTCACGAAGTTTTTCAGGCCGAGATACCATATTTGCACGAACTTATGTTTGAGCACACGGCGCTCCTCCACCTTCCGCAGTTTTTCCTCGCCAGTGAAGCGACCTCGCCGGCGTTTGCAGGAATGGTTCTCCAATACCTCATGGATAAGCTGCCAGATGTTGGCTCCTCGGATATCGTCCGCTCGTCGATCCTTTTGAGAATGTTCAAGTTGTCCTTCATGGCCGTCACGCTCTTCTCGGCCCACAACGAACAAGTCTTACTCCCTCATATCACAAAGATCATCACGCAATGTGTGCAGCTATCTGTGACGGCGGAAAAGCCAATACACTACTTTATCCTGCTTCGCTCTCTGTTCAGAAGCATTGGCGGCGGACGCTTCGAGCTTCTCTACAAGGAGATCCTCCCCTTGCTCGAAATGCTCCTCGAGACTTTCAACCATCTACTCCAAGGCGCAAGAGATCCGCATGACCGGGATCTCTACGTCGAATTGACATTGACAGTCCCTGCAAGGTTAAGTCACCTGTTGCCGCATCTGAACCATCTTATGCGGCCGTTGGTGGTCGCTTTGCGGGCCGGGCCAGATCTTGTGGGCCAAGGGCTGAGGACCCTAGAACTATGCGTCGACAACCTAACGGCGGATTACCTCGACCCCATTATGGCTCCGATCATGGATGATCTGATGACTGCTCTATTTGAGCACCTCAAACCTCAGCCTTATCAGCATTTTCATTCGCATACCACGATGAGAATCCTGGGCAAGCTTGGTGGGCGAAATCGCAAGTTCTTGAACCATCCGCATCATTTGTCGTATCGTCGATATACGGACGACGAGCCTAGCTTCGATATCAGACTTCTCGAGACGAGTCGCGACCGAGCATTTCCTCTTGATACGGGTTCGGATCTCGCTATCCGCAGACTGAGCGATACGACGAAGAACCAAAATGCAAAGCCTCTGGACCTCTACTATAAGCAGCAGTCATTCAAACTCATAAGTAACCAAGTGAAGCTGCTCATTGGTTATGATCAAGTTCCAGACGATCTTGCGGCCCTTCTTCGACTCCAGGCGAATGACCTTCTAGCCCGCCGGTTTACTACGTATGCGGACGTGCTCGCTGACAATGAGCTGGGCAAGTCGGTACTGAAGCGCAGGGAACAGGAAGTGCACCTGAAGAAGCTATTAAAAGCTTGCTTCAACGCAACAACATTGCCGGATTTGAAGCCTCAAGCTGAAGCGTTCATGCAGAACATCGCACGCCATTTTACCATCGTTGAGCTCGGTCAGGCTCTATGCGACGCAGGTCGAAAAACAAAGGAGTTTGATGTCCACCTCGGTGAGGGTGCGGTCCATCTGAGCACCAGGGTTCTGGCTGATGTCATTTGCGATTGTTTGGCTTCAGATAATGTCATCGTTCGCGAAGCTGCGGAGGCCTCAATGGGTGAAGTGGTTGAGGCCGCCGGCACTATCTTCGGCACTGTCGAAAAGGCTGCCCGCCTTCCGTTCTTCTCACACCTCGTTCAGACATTCTGCCACAGATGTCGCGAAGTCGAGTGGTTCACCAAAGCTGGTGCAACGCTGGGACTGCAGATTGTGATCACCAAGCTTGGATTAGGAAATGCCTTTCTCAACAGCAAGCAGCTGGAAATCATCAAGGCGCTGCTGTTTGTTATCAAGGACACGCCGCAGAAGGTGCCAGCGAGTACACGGCTTACCGCGCAGGAGACACTAGAATTCATCCTTCGCAAGGTCTGCACCGGACAGACCCGGGATATGCTCACCAACGAAAAGAGCACTATCCATGCTCTTTCGGTTACATTCTGCGTCGAGCTTTCTCACATGAACAAACATACACGTGACACCGCGCAGCGCGCGTTCTCGGCCATGGCGGAGGTGGCGGGCGTCGAGGTGCACGAGTTGATCGCCCCGGTCAAGGAAAGACTTCTGCAGCCCATCTTCAACAAGCCCCTGAGAGCCCTGCCGTTTCTCTCACAAACCGGATTCATTGACGCGATTACATATTGCTTGAGTTTAGGCCACGAACTGGTGCCTTTGAACGATCAATTGAATCGCTTGATGATGGAATCACTTGCTCTGGCGGATGCAGATGCCGAGATTCTGCATCCAAAGCCAGATGAGTACAAAAATGCACAGCTAATCATCAATCTCCGTGTGTCTTGTCTGAGGCTCCTGTCGCTTGCAATGAGCCTGCCAGACTTCGCTACCGGGCCTCAAAATACAAGCCGCGCTCGCATCATTACCGTCTTTTTCAAGCTACTGTATTCAAAGTCGCCGGAGATCATTGAAGCTGCCAATGCAGGCTTGAAGGAGGTTTTGGTCCAGACGACAAAACTCCCCAAAGACTTGCTTCAAAATGGCCTGAGACCAATTTTGATGAATTTGCAGGACTCAAAGAGACTCACCGTCGCCGGACTCGAAGGATTGGCAAGACTGTTAGCACTGTTGACCAACTATTTCAAAGTGGAAATTGGCGCACGATTACTCGAGCACATGAGGGTGATAGCGGATGAGCAATTACTGCAGAGAGTGTCGTTCGGGCTCATTGAGCAAAATCAGCAGATGAAAATAGTCACGGCCATTTTCAACGTCTTCCACCTGCTGCCGCCTGCTGCCACCAGCTTCATGCCCGACCTCATCAATAGTGTCCTCGACCTGGAGGGCAAGCTGCGTCGTACTGTGGCGAGCCCTTTCCGCCAACCGCTGATTCTGTACCTCGACAAATACCCACAAGAGACCTGGTCATTTTTCGAATCCCGGCTGCAGGACGAGAAGTACGGCCGGTTCTTTGGCCAACTTTTGGCGTCCGAACTGAGTCCGGCCTTGCGTGATACGGTGATGAATAATACTGAAGCATTCATTAAGGCTACCTTTGAGGTTGAGGCTGTTCCTGACCGACACACCGCGGCAATCAACGGCATTTACATTGTACACTCGATGTCTATGTTCGAATCAACTAAAGCTTGGTTGCGTGAGCAGGAGCAACTCCGTCTCAAGGTTCTAGGAGCTGGTCAAGAGCTTGAGGGTCAGCTTCGGAAAGATCTGTTGCAACGTTCACAACGACTTCGGGCCGAGCAAGCGGGAGATCAACTGATGGATATTCTGACCCAGTATCTTGAGTCGGCACTCGAGGATCTCGATTTCATGATGGAAGTCTTTGCTTCGTCGGCCCAGGGGCGGATAAAGTCTCCACTGAAGCTGACGAAATTCTTGTTTGATTCCATCATCACGGACGAATCGATTAGTCGGCGATTCAACATCATTGACAAATGTCTCGAAATATACTCTCAAAAGACGGAGTCTCAAAAGGTGAAGACGTTTCTCTTGCACAGTGTTGTCAATCCAATAATGGCAAGGGATGTGCAGAATATGCGACGCGAGGATGGTACCGACAGGACTCCCTTGGCAGATCACAAGCTATTCAACCTCTTCCTAGAACGGCTCTGGAAGCCGCCAGCTCCTGATTCGAGCGAGGACTTGTCGCAGCCTGGGATTGACCAATCCCGTATGGAAGCGCTGCAGCTTTCTGCCTTTGTGCTGAAGTATCACAAAGATGCTGTGTCAGAGGATCGCAAGGACATCATCAAGTATTCCTGGGGCCATATCAAACTGGAAGACGTGATCACCAAGTACGGCGCCTACGTTCTTATCTGCTATTTCATCCGATCCTATGACACGCCACCGAAGATCGCGGTTCAAATCTACAATCAACTCCTGAAAGCCCACCAGAACGAAGGCAAGGCTTTGGTGACCCAGGCGTTGGAGGTTCTAGCTCCGGTTCTCCCAGCCCGGATGGGCGGTGCCACAAATACTCCAGGGGACAAGAGATCTCCGCATTGGGCGCGCCTGCCGAGGAAGATCCTAAATGAAGAGACGGGCAATCTCCAACAAGTCCAGAGCATCTTCAATTTCATCGTGCGCCAGCCAGACCTGTTCTACGATTCTCGGGAGTTTTTCATCCCCACAATTGTCCAGATGCTACACAAGATTGCTCCTCCGCCAAACCCTTCAAATGAGAACAAAAAGCTTGCACTGGCTTTGATCTCGCTGGTCTTGCAATGGGAAAGCCGTCGTGTATCTGCGGTGTCTCCGTCTCAGTACACGACAGAGCTGAGCCCTTCCCTCAAGCGGGACTCTGGGGGGACACAGATACTGCAACCACCGCCGACAAAGGAGAAGACCGAATATCAAATCCCCCTGGAACTTCGGACACTCGTGGTGAAATATATGATCACGTTTATCACCGCACTACCAGAGCGGTTCCCTGTTCCCGCCGCGGATTTGAAGTCCAAAACGATGCAGAAAGCTCAGCAACAAGCTCTGTCCAATGATCTCGTCAAGAAGGCCGTGCAACTTCTTCGCGATCTTTTAGCTCCCAACTTATGGGCCGATGTGGACGTAGGCCTTTATGAGAAGCTCCTAGATCCCATCCTAAGTGGCGACAAGGCCGACAAGGTTGACGATAAACAACTGACGTGCATGATCAATGCGTTACAGGTTATGCGCATCCTCTTGAGCACAAAGACTGACGAATGGATCTTGGGCCACATGGACAAGGTCCAGAAACTGTTGGAAAAGCCGCTCAAGATGGAAGAACCTGAAATCCAAGATTGTTTACACTTGGTGACTGATGACAGCAACTCTCTTCCTCTCATTCGCCGAGTCCTTGAAGCAGTCCCGAAACAGAGGACGGAAGACGAGGATGCCATGGAGATCGAGACGGCCCCTTCAGATTTTCCCACCAGATATTCGAAAATTCTGATTGGCGAAGCTCTCTCCTCCGGCAACTACATTTCTGGCATCAACAACCTTTGGACGTTATCGCTGGTACGACCCAGTGACGTTGATGACCATGTGAACGGTGCAATGAAAGCGTTGCAGCAGAAGTTGGCCAAGGAGCACATCAATGCGTATGTGATACCGCCGGGGCCACCTCCACAGGGCTGGCGACTAGGCGAACCCCTGATGGACCCCTACGAGTTTGCTCTCGGGGTAGACTTGATCAAGAAAAGCATCGATATCTTGTCTTCGCGTATGGCAGAACTCAATGACCAGCGCCGACCGTTCCTGAGTGTCCTTGCCTCGCTCGTGGAGAAGTCTTTCAATGTCGAGTTGTGCAGCAAGGTCCTGGACATGGTGGAAACATGGGTCTTCAATTCGAACGAGCCTTGGCCGACGCTCAAGGAGAAGACTGCTGTCTTGCACAAGATGCTTATCTTTGAAAAGTGGCCGACCCAAACCCTACTCGAGCGCTTTCTTGAACTGGTCATCAAGATCTACGAGGATCCGACCGTGACAAGGACTGAGTTGACTGTGCGTTTGGAGCACGCCTTCTTGATCGGCACTCGTGCCAAAGATGTTGAGATGCGGAACAGATTCATGAACATCTTCAATCGCGCCCTCTCCAAGACTGCTAGCTATCGGCTGAACTACGTCTTGACCCTCCAAAATTGGGACACTTTGGCGGACTCATTTTGGCTAAAGCAAGCGTCACACCTCATCATGGGCTCTGTGGAAATGTCCATGCCTGCGCGACTCCATGCCGAAGACGTCCGCGTCTGCCCCTTGTCCCAATTGTTCGGCGCCCGTTTTGTGAGCCCAGAGCAGCGAAAGGATGACCTGCTGATCGAGGACGGTTTGGAGGCTCTGGTTGTCGCTCAGCAACGTTTCAACCAAGAGATCCAGGAAGTCAAAGTTAAAGATCTCCTCGACCCTATCACACAATTACAGCACACGGACGACAGCCTGGCGTATGACGTTTGGGTGAAATTATTCCCACTGTGTTGGTCTGCATTGAACAGGGACGAACGACTTGATCTGGAAAAAGGAATGGTCACGCTTCTGACTCGAGAATATCACCAGCGGCAGCTGAACCTGCGGCCGAATGTCGTGCAAGCGTTGCTCGAGGGAGCCGTTCGTGCACGACCAAGATTCAAGGTACCACCACATGTCATGAAATTTCTCAGTCGGACCTACGACGCGTGGTACACTGCACTCGTCTATTTGGAGGAATCTGCGGTCGATCCCTTGATTGACACACCCCAGGTCCGCGAGAGCAATCTTGATGCTCTGGTGGAAGCATACGCAGGTCTTCAAGAGGACGACTTGTTCTACGGCACGTGGAGAAGACGGTGCAAGTTCATGGAGACCAACGCCGCTTTGTCATACGAACAGCATGGAATGTGGGACAAGGCACAACAGTTGTGGGAATCGGCACAAGTCAAAGCCAGAACCGGTGTCGTCCCCTTTTCCCAAGGCGAGTATTACTTGTGGGAAGACCACTGGATGATTTGCGCACAGAAGCTTCAGCAATGGGATATCCTTGGGGAGTTTGCGAAGCACGAGAACTTCAGCGACCTCCTCCTGGAATCGGCATGGCGAAACTACGAAGCTTGGTCCGGCGATGAGAACCGCAATCAGTTGGACTCGATGATCAAATCAGTTTCTGATGCGCCGACCCCTCGACGGACGTTCTTCCAGGCTTTCATGGCTCTCTTGCGATACAACTCCAAGCAGGTGTCGCGGGCTGAATTTCAACATGTTTGCGACGAAGCCATCCAGTTATCCATCCGGAAATGGCACCAGCTTCCCCGACGCATAACAAATGCCCACATCCCTATTCTGCAGAACTTCCAGCAGCTGGTCGAGCTTCACGACGCCAGTGTCATTTGTGACAGCCTCATGAGCACGAATGAGCGCAATCTAGACAGCAAGTCACAGGAGGTCAAGCTGTTGCTCCAAGCGTGGCGAGATCGGCTGCCCAATATCTGGGACGATATCAATGCATGGCAAGATCTAGTCACCTGGCGGCAACACGTCTTCCAACTTGTCAACTCGACGTATCTGCCGCTCATCCCGCAAGGGGGGAACAACGTTGGCAGCAATTCGTATGCGTTCCGGGGCTACCATGAGACTGCGTGGATCATCAACAAGTTTGCACACGTCGCCCGCAAGCATCAGATGCCTGAAGTCTGCATCAATCAACTCGGGAAAATTTATACATTGCCCAACATCGAGATTCAAGAAGCCTTCCTCAAGTTGAGAGAGCAAGCGAAATGTCACTATCAGAATAAGGCGGAGTTGAACAATGGCCTGGACGTTATCAACAACACGAATCTCAATTACTTTGGCGCCCAACAGAAGGCCGAGTTCTACACCCTCAAGGGCATGTTTTTGGCCAAACTCCAACATGCCGAAGAAGCCAACGAAGCCTTTGGTGTTGCTTTGTATTACGATCTTCGGTTGCCAAAGGCCTGGGCCGAGTGGGGTCAATATTCCGATCGCAAGTTCAAGGAGAATCCCAACAATATCGAAGCAGCAAGCAATGCCGTCAGTTGCTACCTGGAGGCGGCTGGGTTGTACAAGAGCGCGAAGTCGAGAAAAATGCTCAGTCGAGTCTTGTGGTTGCTCAGCCTGGACGACGAGGAAGGGCATATTGCAAAGGCATTTGAAGATTTCAAGGGCGAGACTCCGGTCTGGTATTGGACCACATTTGTGCCTCAACTCCTCGGGAGTCTGGAACACAAGGAAGCACGCTTGACCAAGACCGTCCTGGTCAAGATCGCAAAAGCCTTTCCCCAGGCACTGTTCTACCATCTGCGGGCGACGCGGGAGGAATTCCTGACCAAGAAGAAGCAGTTCGAGGCCCAGAAGCGCCAGTTGAAAGCCCAGCAAGAAAAGGCAGAGGCCGGTTCACGACCTGGGACGGCCAACGGTGAAGCCCCGGCCAATGCCTCATCGTCCCCCAAACCGAAACAAGAGCCCAACGGCGACAATCAGAGCAACGGGACCGAGGTGGCACAGAGAGAGGAGCCGAAAAGACCGTGGGACTACACCGACGAAATCATGGCTGGCCTCAAGACCGCATTCCCGTTGCTTGCCCTTTCCATGGAAACCATGACCGACCAGCTTTCCAAGCACTTCAAATGTCCCCCGGACGAAGATGCTCATCGCCTGATTGTGGCCTTGCTGAACGACGGCCTCGCATACATTAGCAGGGCTCCCTTGACCTACGCCGAAGGAGCCAAACTCCCTCAGTCCACCGAAGCCAACATTGCCCGATTCGTGACCTCGGTTCTCCCTGCACACATTCGCAAGTCTTTCGAGGCCGATTTCGTCCAGACCAGGCCGACCATGTACGAATACATCCACAAACTGAGACGTTGGCGGGACAAGTTTGAGCAGAAACTCGATTACCGCCAGCAATGGGCTCCTCTCGAGTCCTACAGCCACCACCTGAGCGAATTCAAGTTCCTCAAATTCGACGATTCGGTCGAGGTTCCTGGGCAATACCAGCAGCACAAGGACAAGAACACCGACTTTGTGCGCATCGAGCGCTTCATGCCGACGGTTGAACTGGTCCGAGGCAACAACATCTGCCATCGTCGACTCACCATCCGCGGCCACGACGGGTCCTTGCATCCATTCGCCATCCAGCACCCAACCGGCGGCAAGGTCCGACGGGAGGAGCGCATCGTTCAGCTCTTCCGCATCTTCAACCAAACCCTGGCCAAGCGGAAAGAGTCTCGGCGACGCAATCTGTATTTCCATCTCCCCATCTTTGTGCCGGTCGCCCCTTACATTCGCCTGGTGCAAGACGATTCGTCGTACGTGACTATGCAAAGCGTCTACGAGGACCACGTTCGGAACACACCCGGCATGTCACGCGACGACCCGATTCTCTTTGTGCTCGAAAAGTCGAGGACCGTGGCTGAACAGCAAAAGACGACGCCACGCACCGCCGACCAACTGGCGGTCATGAAGACGGAGATTTTCAACACGATCCAGGAACGATGGGTACCCACCACCATCGCGCTGCGCTATTTCCAGGCCACGTACCCGAGCTATGCAGACTTCTGGCTCTTCCGCCGCCAATTCGCTTACCAGTTCGCCGCCACGACGTTCATGACCTATATCATGCACATGTCCGCTCGCTATCCCATCAAAACCTTCATCTCTCGCACCACGGGCGACGTCTGGGCGAGTGATCTTCTCCCGAACCTCAACTCGGCTCGCGCATACTTCTTCAACCCAGAAGCCGTTCCTTTCCGTCTGAGCCCGAACATCCAAACCTTGATGGGACCGTTGGCGGTTGAGGGCATCTTCACCGCCTCCCTCATGGCCATCGCGAGGTGTCTAGCCGAACAAGATCAGGGATTCGAGATGGAGCAACAACTCAGCGTTTTCGTTCGAGACGAGATGTACAATTGGGCCGCCAGCCGGTCTCACTCCTCGAACCCGACCGAGCCGAAAATGGAAGGGCAGCATCTGCGGGAACTGGTGGCCCAGAATGTGGACTTTATTGTCCGGCGGGCCTTGACACTGGCCAAGACGCAGGGCAGTGTGGGCAGCAGTGCGGATGGTGGCGTTAACGGTGTGTTGCCCGCGTGTCAAAATGTCGTCGACCTCGTCAGCCGAGCCACAGATCCCATGAAGCTCAGTGGGATGGATGCGTTGTGGATGCCCTGGCTCTAGTCTGACGCGGTGTGTGGGATATGGATATGGACATGGATATGGAAATGGGATGGACCGGAGTCGAGGCGTTGACGATGATGCATGCTGGCCGATGAATGCGCAGATGTGATGTGACAGCTGGGCGGTTTTTTTGCAGCATCATGGGGGTCGGAACTGACGCTATCGTTGCTTCGTCTTGACTACGAGGCCAGCAGCAGTTGCACGACCAAGGGGCAGTGGTCGACAGCAAACAGGGCTCTTGCGACTCTACACAGGATGGCGTTAATACGGCGTTCACCTTGAGGTGAAGGATTTGGGCATGAGCAGAAACCGGGCAGGGGGAATGTTTGAGAGTTTCGGCAATTTCACGAATGGGCGATGCAGCGGCGTCGGACTTGTATTTCTTGTATTCTTTTCCTTTTCTTTTCTAATGAAAAGTCTTTCCTAGTCTTTTTCTGCTCTAGTGGCAGTTTCAGTTTGATGTATGTGTATATAACGAAGGAAAGGAATCTTTTTGATTGTTCTGATTGCGTCAAGTTTGGCGAGCCAGCAGCTCTACGGACCTATGGTTAGTTCCCTATAGGGGTGCAAATGTAGAAATAGTACGCACTGTATCCGTACATGTATATCCTGAAGAGCCTGAGAAGCAGAAGGCAAGGCAAGGGAAGGGAGGCTTAGGCTTAGGCCTAGGGTGAGCTCTGGGCAGTCTGGACTATGGTATGTTATGAGGACAGAGGACAGAGTACAGACACTTGAGGTAGTACTAATACTGTACATAATACCGTATACACTACTCCGTAGATATAGGTGCCATCGGGTGTTGCAACCCAAGTCACTTGTTTGTTTCGGTGGGTCATTATTTGCTTTAGGTATGCTAGCTATGCTGAGAAAGATATCGGGGGCCTAAGGCTTTCTTTTGGATGCTGCGAGTCTGTCTGTGACTCGGGCTGTGACTTGACCGTCAGTCGGGAACCCGCACCCGAAGAGTTGACCAGATCGCCAGGCGCTGATCATCTCGCTCTTCTCCCCTTTCTCTGTCCTCTCACCGGCATCGGGGATCGTGGGCGGTAACAGGAAGAGACGACTCTTTTGGCAAACATCGATATCCAAGGATCAAAGTCCGTCATCGTTGTCACAATATCCAATCGACGAACCCGTCCAGTGATAGCCGGCCTGCAACTGTGGGAGACGCCCCGATGGAATGATTCGGCGACACCGGAACTCTTCTAATCCACCCACGGTGTCATCTTGGGCCCTTGTTACCAACTCTCTTTGCGGTCGATACCCTGCCAGTTGCAAGCCTTCATTCGCATCTCATCCTGCCAGAGGTTGACCAGACTCGAGGCCAGTCCGACATCACCTTTATTGTCCGACAGCACGGAAAGCTGCATTCAGAATTTCGTCCGCGTCTCCATCCATACGTTGTTCGGCCTTGTGCCCACTGCTCAGGTGCTTTGTGGACTCTGCAGAGGTCTTGATGTCTTTCCCTCGGCGTCTAGACCGGATCCCCGATTTCCCGGCGGGCGGATCGTGTGAAACAGGATTTTCGTTTTCATCAGACTCCTGCTCTTCCTCCAGAGCCCAGAATTCCATTGCACGACTGAGCAGCGAGCCTGCGACACCTCCACCGCCCGCATCCCCGCCGAGAACGTGGACAGCTTCGTGAAGAGCCATGACAGCATCCCTTGTGCGTCCAACCATGCTGAGAAGGACCAATCCTCGACTGGTATGAATGCTTCCGAGGAGGTTGCGCTCTTCGTAGCCACTGGCTGCACCGCTAGGGGTGAGACCTGTACTTAAACCATTGATACTCAAATTTGCAAAGGCTGACGTTCCGTGGCCTGGCTCGAAAGCCGAGGCCGGAGCAGCACCTCCGGTGGCGGTGCGTAAACATTCGTCAAACTCGGCCAACGCTTCCTCAAATCTTCCCAGTCGACGCAGGGCGTGGGCCAAGTTCGCCCGTGTTGCCACCCAAGCAGTCATATTGAACCCCAACTCTGAAGCCAGTTCAAGCGAGCGGTGAAATAATTTTGCCGCGGCTGGTAGATTGGACTGGTGGTACAGAATGACGCCGATCTCGTTGAGCACCAGAGGGTCGCCACCAAGATCGCCACTGTTGTTGAATATCGTATCTCCCAGCTCTTTCTCGGTTCCGCCATTCAGTCCACCACTGCTTTTCTCAAACGCTGCGAGGGTGTACTCCCAAGCAAGCTGCATGTTGTTCAGGGCGAGATGTTGCATGCCCAGGAAAAGCTGAGGCAAATGACTGCCCTGAAACAACCTTGCAGCAGTAGAATACGCTGCGATTGCTTGATCGTGTTCCCCCTCGGCAGCGAAAGTGTGGGCAAATCCGATCCAAGCGGCGGCTGAATGAGAGTCCATCAATGACGCCTTGGAGAAGAACCGACGGGCTTCGGCGATTCGAAAGGTGGACAAGTAGTATGTACCTATCGCGAGATAAGTGTAGGCTTCATGGGGCGCGTGAGTGGACAAGGTATGCGAGAGATGAAATAGAGTGTTATGTGCGCCTGTCTCATAAAGGACGGCGAGATGGAGGGGATAGAGCCGCGGGGTGTGGCCAAGAGAGGCATTGGTGTTGCTGGAAGAGGCGTCTGTCGAGCCGTTGGAGTTGTCCTGGGAATTCAGGATGCTCGTGGTTATGGCAAGCGCTTCGTGAAAGCGACATTGGGTAAAGAGCGTCTCGGCTCTGGTCAGGAGCAAGTCGGCATTGGAGGCGAGGTTGTAGTGAGTGGACAGGGTTTCGGTGGCATTGGCCAGGGTTGCCGGTGAAGAGTATTTGGACAAGCGGGTGGTGTAGAGTAGCTTTGTGAAGTGCGCAGCCTCCTGTGCCAGGGACTGGTCTTCTACTCGAATCGAGTCAAAGTCTAGCTCGTCCAAGAAGGCCAACTCCTCGGCCGGAGACATCAGCGAATTCTTCATCAGTTGGTCGAAGGCTTCGAAACACTGCACATCGATCCGCACCGCATCTCGGTAACAGTCTCTTGCGCGATCAAAGGCGTTCCGTTTGGCAAAGCAGAGCCCTCGCAAATAGCACATGCCAGCCTGAAACTTGAGTTCTTTCTCCGATTCGCGATCCCGTTCACGCTCTTCACTCAGCTCAATCCGATCTCTTTGCGCCCTCCCGCCCCTCTGGGTGATGCTGCTCTTCTGGTAATGGCCATTGACGTGCGCCAACTTCCTCCGTGCGTTGTGGGAAGTCGTGATTAGATGGGTGGGGTTTTCCTCGCCGAGAATGACCAGGGCTTGCTCATATCTGCCCTGTTTGATGTAGCAATGAGCGGCGAGGTACCGACATGACAGACTTCGATGGATGAGGTCTTTTCGAGAAAGGAGAGCCAGCGCACGGGTAAAGTTGTTGTTTCCAAAATGCACCTGGGCCAGCCAAAATGCATCGGCATCACTGTCTGCCGGGGAGGTCAACGGGTGCACAAGGAATGAGGGAGATTACTCACATACTTGTCAAAGCGAGGACCTTGTCTCCAATATAGATGGCCGCGTCATGTTGGCCCTTGTTCAAGGCGTCTTGTCTCCAGGTCCGCAGATATTTGTCCATGGTTTCGAGGTCGCGCGGGCGGCTCAGAGGGGGAGTCGACGGGCAGGATGGGTAGAAGGAGGACGGGGAGAAGAAAGACGGCCGAGGGGGTGCGGGTGGCGACCGTGTAAATGTCTCGACGGCATTCCTTGTCTAGTCTACCTGGCCATCGTAGCCCTCGCCCTCGATTCAGTGCAGTCGCGGCCGTGTCGTGTTGTGCTGAGAGAGTGTTTGTGTTTTTGATTTTGGCTGTGCTGAGGGCGAGGGCGGCAAGTGACGCGCTGCGCAGCCTCTTCTCCGATTGGCTGCTCTCAAGAAAAAGGCCATGGCCACCTGTAGATGCCTGGGGCTTCAAGTTCTTAAGTCATTCTCGACCATTCTTGACTCCTGTTGATCCCGCCGTTCAGTCGACTGCTTGCATCGAGTTGTTGTACCCTTGACTTGACTAGAATCAGAGGATCAACCGCAGGATCAACCGCCTGCCAAACCCGTCAAGATGTCGGAACGAAAAGTCCTCACCAAGTACTACCCGCCCGAGTTCGACCCCTCCAAGATCGCGCGAACCCCCAAACACCTTCGACCGACAGGACCCAAGACCATCCCAGTCCGACTGATGGCGCCCTTCAGCATGAAATGCACATCTTGTGGAGAATACATCTACAAAGGTCGGAAATTCAACGCCAGAAAGGAAACGACCGACGAAAAATATCTCGCCATCACCATCTATCGCTTCTATATCCGGTGCACAAGATGCAGTTCGGAGATCACCTTCAAGACGGACCCGAAGAACATGGATTATACCTGTGAACGAGGAGCAAAACGCAACTTTGAGTCGTGGCGGAACCCTGAAAGCGAAGAGTTGAAGGAAACGGACGAACAGCGTCTGGACCGGCTCGAACGGGAGGAGATGGACGAGGCCGAGAATGCCGAAAGGAACGCGATGGAAGAACTCGAGGAAAAAATGGAAGAGAGCAAGCGAGAAATGCAGGTCGCAGACGCCTTGGACGAAATCATGCAGAGGAACGCACGCATAGAACGGGGCGAAAAGGGCGGCAAAGAAGACCAGGCCCTGGTCCAAGTTCGAGATCTCGCTAGGGAACAAAGAGAGGCGGAAGAACGCGCAGATGCCGAAGCTGCTCGAAGGGCTTTTGACGCCGCCAACGTCGAAAGAGCTCGGCTCGAAGAACAGGCAAAACTGCAAGCCCAGCCTGTAGAGTCGGCCAAAGAGTCACCGCCAGCACCGTCCTTCGAAAGGATGAGGAAGCCCAAGAAATCCCTTGTCCCGGGATTGGTGCGTAAGGTCGAACCCGCTCCGATATCACAGCCGGTAGTGCCGCCAAAACCTGCTGGTCTGGATCTCGGAGACTATGGCTCTGATGATGACTAGATGAGGTGCGCGCATGGCCCTGTTGGCACAGCGTTGGCACAGCGTCCACTCAGCTACAAGACGCCCTATCCCATTCGCCAGCTGCAGGCGCATGTCCAGGGCTCTTTAACAACTGCCACGTCGGCATCCTTTCTACACCTGCCCGTAGGCGGCTACCTCATGGCTTATCACCCGCAGGGTATCACTTCTTTGAGACTTCATTGGTGCTAAGTGCGGAAATCTCCTGCCAAGTCGACGTGGCATATTCCGGACAGAGTCGCTGCGCTGCGTTCCAAATACAGGCCTTCGCCTCGAGTCGGCTTCGAGATATGCGCCGTCTAATCTGCTGATCTTCCACCTGGAGTCAACACGCTGCGGTCTGTGCCAGCTCTGTATCAATGGCAGCGGCAGGAGAGAAGGACGTCTGGTTCAGTGAGCTCGGTGTCCGTTCCACATGATACCAGACTGAACATTCTAGTTACTGGATGCTCGTCCGGGATTGGCGCTGCTCTTGCCAAACATATTTACGACGCTGGATGCTCGATCATTGCTACCGCTCGCAAGCCTGACACGCTCGCATACTTACCCGATGAGCCGAACGTGCTGAAACTGGCACTGGACATCACCGATCCGGATCAAGTCGCTCACGTTGTAAAGGCAGGAGTGGAAAGGTTTGGGCGGCTGGATGTCGTGGTCAACAATGCTGGCTATGGCTTGACTGCGGATAGTGAGAATGTTCCCGATGCCGAAGCAAGAGCACAATTGGAGACGAACTTCTGGGGCGCCGTGAGTGTGACGAAGGCCGCCTTGCCCGTCCTCCGGGAAACCAACCCTGTGGGCAAGGGCGGGCTGATCATTCAAATCAGCTCCGTGGGCGGGAGGGTTTGTTTTCCCGGGTCAGCTCTATATTGTGCCAGGTAGAGAGGCTCCGTCCCAAGTCAAGCAATCATCAAGGCTGACCAAACGCTACCAGCAAATTTGCCCTGGAAGGCTATACCGAAGCGCTTGCTAAGGAGATGCACCCCGACTGGAACATCAAGTTTCTGATCATCCAACTGGGCAGCTTCAAGACCAAGTTCGCCGATAACATCCATCTAGTCGCGCGGCACCCTGCCTATCGCGATCCCAAATGCGGCTATAACCAGCTTGCCGCCTACTTTGAAAACCAAGCTGAATCGAGCAAGCATTGGACCGACCCAGCGGCCTGTGCCAAGGTCCTGTATGAAGTTGCCTCGACGCGAAACCAGTCCCCTCTGCCGGTGAGGCTCTCCCTCGGCGCCGATGCCCACAGCCTGATCCAACTCGAGCTGGAGAAAGCGCTCAGAGAGCATGAAGATTGGAAATCTGTCGCTCGCAGCACCACTTCTGGATCGGGCTTTGACGCCGTGGAGATTGTCTCGTCCATCTCCAAGGGGTCTGCCGCATCATAACAACAAGGTCGCGGCGGCATCCACATCCACATCCACTCCCTCCCCACCGCTTGATCTACTACGTCGACAACAGGTGTTCCTCTTCCTCTAAATGAGATAGAAATCAGAAATCAGAAATCAGAAAACAGAAACCAAAACCCAAAAACCACAAGGGATTATCCCGTCCCGCAGAAAACCGCGGTCCAAAGTCAAGCGTTGTAAATTGTATATGTCTGATATCATTTCCTGTCCTCGTTCGTAAAGGAAGTGAAGGTACGCCAGGACTGAGAAACTCAACTCAAGAAATCACATGCTACAAGAGGACGCCGGCCATTCCTTTCCTTTCATTTCCAGCCTCAACGTGTTTTGTCGCTCACAGCCAGCCCTCCGTACCAACAAAACACGAGCCCGTAGAAACACCAACACCATTTCTCCATATTGACCCGCCATTTTGTCTTCGTTCCGTCATGCTCCATAACAATTTGATCGTCTCATGATGCCGAACTGCCTTGGAATCTATACGTGCTCCGTTTTGCATGTCCCTCCGAATTTCTTTGCTATCAGTGTTGCATCTTGTCCTTCCACTATTCGGTTATTCCTTCATTCAGTCTTCCCTTCCCGATATTCGTCGATCCTCACCCGTTGTTCCGGTTCCAGACTGTCGTAATACCTCTGAGCGAGAGTGCCTTCATTCGCCCGTTGGGTCGTTGCTGCAAATGGTGACCTATACACCGTGGCCGCAGCCTGATGCTTCTGGATATAGTAGCCTGCAACACGACCCCAGAAACCTCCTTTCTCCTGCCAGTCGGTCAATTGCTTTGGGATCTGGTGGTTGTTGAACAATAACCCGTTGAGCCCGATTGGTCGCTTCTCCAAACTCTCGAGCAGTTGACGAGACGGCAGAGCCATTGGTGGATCCAGATTCTGGGGCTTTTGTTGCGTAAACGCACTGACATTGCTCAAAGGATCATACGACAAGCGTCTCGGTACATAATCGCTCAACTGCACGTAACTGGCAGGGAATGGGGCCAGGTCTATATCCATGTCGACCGATAAACTTTTCCTCGAGCCCGGTCGCACAGAAGGACCGATCGTCGACCGGATCCCAAGACCTGAGAAACTTCCGCTTGCGGATCTGTGACCCGCACTTGATCCAGGAGGACTGATCTGTGTGGCGTTGGGATTGATGAACTGAGGCGGATTTTGAGGGTCGATGGTCTGCACAGGGCTTGCCGATGTGCTCGAATGTAGGTAAGATTCATGCTGCATTCTTGGACTCGGTACCATGTATGAGCTGCTGGGCCTACTGCCAGATGGCGACTGCTTCTCCGCGTGCTTCCGAGCCTTGATTTGGTCTGGACTCTTGAACGGATAAGCAGGATTGGAAATTCGCCGCCGACGTTCGACTTCGGCAGAGGGTGGAGGTGGAGGTGGCTGATTTGCAGCAGCTCGAATGCTTTCCAGCGGCGACGGCTGATAATCAGGGGTTATACCAGAGCCTTGATTTGGGTCTCCCTGATAAGAGAATTGAAGGTGAGACTGCGGGACAAATGCTGGAAAGGGAGTAGTTGCAGTCGACTGAGACAGATCGAAGTGAGACGAGAGCGCCGAGTTCAGTACTGAACCCTGTGGTGTTCCAAAGCTTGACTTCCGATCGTCGTGGCCGGGGTTCATCCAGTTGTTAGTGTATTCGTATTGTTGTGGTCGGGGGTTCGAGTTCATCCCTGAGGCAGCACCGTATCCGCTGGACGGATCCTCAGGGTGATAATTCGGGAAATGGTCATGATATTGTTTAAGAGGAGGCAGAGAGGGATCGTTGGACCATTCCGTCATGTGCTTAGCATGCTGAGATGCTTGCCGTTGAAAGTGTCTCTGTCGTTGGACGGCGTCATGATCAATGCCAATTCCATTCCGCTCTGCAGCATCGAGTTGTTGAGCTTTGGCATGCTGTCGTTGTAGAATTCTTGCTTGCTCATTGAGCCGTGCTTCTTGTCCAGCGACGATGTCACGGTATTGTGAAGGTTTAATCTGGCTGGGTTTCAGATCTGCCTGTTTCTTTTGACTTTGGCTCATGGTAAGATCGCGTGTTGTTCCGCTGAACGTCCCCGGTACTCTAGGAGTCAGATTGTGTTGATCCAGGAGATTCTGACGTATATTCGCCATGGCGGCATTTTTTGCAGCCACATTGAGCATTGGGTATGAGGCAGCAAGAGACTGGCGCTTCGGTTGAGGCGGCGGTGCCATGACGGGCTTTGGAGGGGCAACCAGGTCCAGGAAGTTTGATGCTGGATCATGGACTTGTTTCTTAGGGTCAGACGTATAATGGGCCTTGGCCTCGGATGATGTTGCACCAAGGTAGATCCACAATTGTTTGTCCTTGGAAAGGTCGACAGGCTTCTGATCTTTGTTGAGAGGGGGCTCTGCGGACGCGAACTCGGCCCATTCGGTTCTGGGCTCCTCCGTGAATGGATCTCCTGCGCTAGGCTTCTTTTCAGAAGACTCGGAAAGTGAAGCAGCCTTTCCTTGTAAATCTTCCGGCAGTTCAAGAGCGCCGGCCGAGGGCTTCTGTAGGCATGAAGTTGCGCTGTCGACAAAGAGAATCGACGTAGGATCAACTTCTTTGATTGTTTTGAGATCTGGCACGATCTTAACAAGGACCGAGCCTTGTCCCTCATCGTATCCTGCCATGACCAGACCTGCCTCAATATCGTCGCTATTGGTTGCTTGAAATTGGATCACTTCTCCTTGTTTGAGATCATACAGGAAGCGTCGGAAGTCGGCATTCTGCCAACAACTGTTGGCATGGTTGCAAGCCGACAGCTCACTGGTGATTCTCGTCCGTTTGACCGTACGGTGAAGACGACATCGCCAGTCAAAACCGATATCGCGGTATTCGACACCGTCATGCCAGACAGCAATTTCTCCCTTGTCGACTTGAACACCTGCTTGCATAGCGCATGTCGCGTGGTATGACTTGGTGCATTTGGCCGAAGAACATTGGAAACACGAGCCTTTCTTCTGGCGACACTCATAGCATTTGAGTTCCAGACGTGCTTTGCTGATGTTCTCCACATTGTAAACCATTTCCTTGCCGTCTTTATTGGCAATGTAGGTCTCGGGTGTGTACATGGCACAAGTGCGATGTGCTCGCAGGCCACCTGTTGTGGGGAGAAGTTCCTCCCAAGCAAAGTCGTTGGGACACAGACAACACGGCTGGTTTTTGCTGACTTTGCGGATTTTGATGAGTTTCTTCGCCTTCTTGTTTGGCCCAAGGTCTTTGGGAGCACGTTTCCTCTTTTGAGCTGTTTTGACCTTGCCACGATCACTGCTTGGAGGTGTGGGTAGATCCATAGGTTCGTCCAGATCATCTTCATCGTCAGTCACCTCGATTTCCTCATACTCTGGAGTCGGTTCGCCATTCATCTTCCGGACGAACCAATCAACGTCGATGAAGACACTGTCGGCCTCACAACGGCATTTCCGCGCAGTCTTGCCATATTCTAGCCAGTTGTCGATGGCAAAGTTGACAGATTCGGCACAGTTGTAGCCCAGGTTATAGCCGGAATGATAGCCGATGGGAAAGGTGATGACGAATTGTCCTTCACGATGGACGACCTTGTTGACAGTGACTCCGAATTTTGACTTCAAGATCGAGGGTGAAACGAGGTACGTCTTGTGGCGCAAGAATTGGTCACAGCTCTTACCGTCCGACGGCCACAGTGACTTCATGGCAGCTTCGAACTTGGGCGCATCCTTTTGCGAGATACTGTACCACTGTTTCGGGGCACCAAAGTGGATGTAGTTGATGCTGTAGAGATCCACATCTTCCAGATGCCAGGCAAAGGTAGCCCGCCACATCCCGAGGTACAGATATGCAGTGTTGACACCGGGAATGGGTGCACCCAGGAGATCCAACAAGTTTGGTAACTTGGCGACATTCCATTCCTTTGTGTCATCGTCGAATAGAGATCCAGGCATGTCTGCACCGTACATAGGGTTGCTGAAGTTGAGACTCTTCCAGTATTTGTCCTCGAGTTCATCACAGCGTTCGGCCGTCCACTGGTCATTATCGTAAACTCGATAGTCAAAATCTCGGAATGCCTCCTCATCGATATCGTCGTTGGCTTCACGAGCGTTTCTCAATCGCCGGGCGGCGACGGTGGTCTCGGCGCCTTTGTTTCCAGCTTCTCTTTTGCCGGTAGACTTTGGAGGTCGTCCTCTCGGTCTGCCAGGTTTTCTGGCTCGCTTACCCTTTGTCGGTGTGGGATCTGTGTTCTCGGTAAATCCATCCTCCCCCTCATTGATGTCAGGGATGGCCGGCTTTACGTCGGGACTTGTAGGAGTAGGAGGAGCGAGAAGAGTTGAGTCGTGATCGCTGGGTTCCTGTTTAATCGTCCTAGACTTCGCGCGACTGGGATTACCCTTCAAAGGTTCGGGCGTGCTAGAGGCTTCAGGTTTGCGAGATTTGATGGAGCCTCGTCCGAGCAACTTGTCGGCGTTCAAACGTTTCTCCCCTCGTCTTGCTGGAGGTTGGTTCTCAGTCTGCTCACATAGGGCTTTCCACTGTGGAAGGTTGTAGGACCGCATCTTCTCCATGTTGCGCTGTGTGTATATGCCTTGAGCGCCATGAAACTCTTGGGTGATTGGGTTTTTGATCTTGATCGTCTTAATCAGGTCGTCCAAAGCTTTGCGGGCACGTTTCCTAGAACAACACACAATCAGTGTCTGCGTCTTTCTTTCTCCGGCACAAGATGACAATAACTGAAGTGACACTCGGGGGTACGCCACGTACCATTCTTCCGGAGGATCTATCAGCACGATACCTGACTGCATGCCGTAGGGATCCACGCCCTTCACGTATTTTTGAAAGTCTCTGAATTGCTCCATTGTCTGTCCACACGAGGATTAGCCGGTACTGTTCGTCTTATCGCTTAAGCACGACCGGGAGCGCCGGCCGGTCAACGGAGATATAGCCCATACCGGAGTGAAGATAGGGACGCCGTTTTCGTAGCGGTCTGGCTTGACCTCTGAGTACTGTTCGGCTTCTGCACCTGCGCGTGCCGCATCTTCAAATCTCATTCTATTCTCTTCATCTTCAAGATCGTCGCCGAGATCGGAGAGGGAGGAACTTGAGGCTGCGTCATCGTCCTTGTGGCTGGCCTCGTCGGTGGTGGGAGGAGTGTGAACTTGAGGCGGAGGGAGAGACGGGGACATGGCATCTTCTTTGCCTAGGGGAGCGACACCGCGCCCATCATGGACTGCGAGGCTGGGCATCGTAGCTGTTGCCATGGTCAAGGAGGAGTGGGGAGGGCGGTCGGGGAACAGGGAGGGTGGCGAGACGATGGGAGTCGGCGGAAGGTCGAGGTGTCGCAAGGCGCATGGAGCGAGCAGCAACGAGCACGTCGCAAACCCTGACCACGACCTTGGACAGCAGGAACAGTATCTCGGTCGGCGATGTACGGAGTATCGTTGGTTGTGTCGAGGGTCACAGCACTGCAGTTCAGTCGAGGCCGCTAGGACTGCGAGTGGTTGACTGTGTCTGATCGGCGCTAGTCCTATTTTGGCGCATGCTTCTTGGCCGACTTTGTAAGTTCCGGCATGTCAGTAGGACGGAACACTAAGACGGCACGTACAAGTTCGCATGTATATTACATCACGCCACAGGGTCCGTCTGGTGCTCGACGTCAGGCCATGCCATGGGGCGCTGACACTACTACGAGTACGGAGTACGGAGTACTATCCGCAGCCTGACGGTACTGGTACAGCTCTCCTCCTGCTTCTCCCGCCTGCGTTGTGGGTGTACCACTATACACACCAATGTCCATGTTCAGCTACAACCCTTTGGTATCAATATTGCACCCGCATAACCAACCCATCGGCCGTCGTTCGTGTGCCGGTGCCAAAGGTACGCCCGTACATTCCCGTCATTGGCTCGCTTACTGATCCAGGCACCAACTCCGCCCGGTTGGTCTAAAGACACACGAATCATCACATCACTCTGAACCTAACACGTCTGACAACTTGCATGTAACCTCTCCCTATGGCCCTATGCCAGATCTCATGCAGCCGGGAATGCCACCGTCGGGAACACAGACACTTCCTGCAACCGAACAAATCATCAATATTCTGTCAGTGCCAGCTTCTTGCCCACCGCCCGTTTCTTTTGTGCGATCTGTTCTGACGGTTTTGGTAGTTCCTTTTTGAGGGCTTGCAGCAGCATCCCGGCATCGAAGAACCCGTCTGTTATCAAGGTCAGTGGCGCTTCGCGGGGATCATGAAAGGAGAATAAGACTTACACCCGCCCAGACCATCATCCTCCACCTCGGCCGTTTCCATACTCGCAGGAGTCTGAGTTCCATCAACTCGGGAAGCCTCCGCCTTGATCAGCCGACCCCTGGACTTGAGCCTACCATCCTTGCTAGTCTTCTCCACCTCCCTAGCTCGAGTGGACTTGCCCGCAGGACCGTCCTTGGGTTTTGTAGCTTTGAGCAAGCGTCGGATTTCGTTCAAGTAAGACTCCAGGCTGTCCACGTAACGTCTGGTCTGGCGATGTTTACTGCTTGCGCAAACAGAGATCGAATCATCTTTGATAATGTATCCAATGCCAAAGCCATCCCCAGAGACAGGACCAAACCCGAAATGACGGAGAGAGGGATTTCCGCAGTTGGACGTGCTCAGAATGGTATTGTTGATCTTCTCCCAGCCGGAATCACTGAAAAGCGCCGGCATCTGCTGCATATGAGGCGCAGGCGAGCGACTTGCATCTGTGCCGGCACGAGAACGACGGGTGGGCGAGATCTCATCCAGTCTTTTCGGGCTGCCTGCATCACTAAAGTCTGTCGGACTCGAATACCCGTTGGAACTGAATCCGGTGGTGCTGGCTGCCTCTGCCCCTTCATCGTTGACTTTGCGCTGCCACACACAATAAAGCGCGTACAAATGACGGTCTTGACCCTGTCCTTTACTGCACTCTTTAGTCATATTCACATGCTTCTGCGTGGCAGCCTTCAACGCGTCAACCTTTTTTTGAGCGGTTGTGTCGGTCCAAAACGTCTTGACAAAGTCGACACATTCCTTGGTCACCGTTCGAATGGCCTCCGTCCTCCCATGTAGGAAAAATTTCGTCATGGCCGGCTCGTAAGTATTCTCGACACGACCATACAGTCCATAGTAAGCAGCCTGAAATGCCATTTGCACAAACGCATCAGGCGAGAAGCCCATCGAGGTAATGAAATTCTTGCCGTATCCCGCAAAATCCAATGTCTGGAACTCGTTCTGGTTGATCAGATCGGCCAGGCGCGTTTCGGCAAAACGCAGGGCAATCTGCAGTTCCGGGGTCATATCCCACTCGAGCTTGTGGGGAGTGATGCTGACATCACCGAAGCTTTCCGGGTCCCTTTTCGAAGGATCAGGGCTCTGGCTGGTCCACAGCGTCGGAGCCTGTCCGTTGATGGACTTTGCGAACCGGAGGATGGTGTCTGTGTAGAGATCGCTAGCGAATCGAAGGACCGTGTGACCATCTACGCCGGTATGTTCGAAATTGATCCCTGCACTGCCATTTTTGCAGACGATAATCTGCAATTTGTCGTACCATCTGTTAGTGCAGGTGCCGACTTGTACACCTCGCACGACCTCACTTGTGCCACATAGCATGTTGCCGCATAATTGGGACACATCTGCAGGCTCGGTGTAGTCTAGGCAAACAATAAACAGGGCCGAGTCGACCATGGAAAGACAATCGGCGTTATTGGAGCCTTCTTCTCTGGTCAGCAGATCTCTTAGGCCCGACCAAATCTTGCGGTTCTCGGTGGTGAGCACTCCAATGGCACCTTTGGCGCCTTCATGGATTGGAATTTGGTCGGCATCATCCACAATCACCTGGAAATTGATTGCGAGATCTTTCTCCGTCATGATAAGCTCATTGTTGTCGTCCAGTACATCGAACCAGTAGAACTGGCCGCGGCACAGAACCACGACATGCTTTGAATCTGAATCTTGGCCAATAACACACCCGTTGTCTGTTGGGACTCGCGCCGTCCCAAATAACCGCGAGTACTGGTACATGCATAGAGGAGTGCCTCTCACAGTGTCGGGTGGCAACTCTTCCTTTCGCACAGCTCTGACAAAGCACAGGGCCGAAATTACCAAGGAGGCGGCCCTTGTGACTTGGTTATTTCGTGCTGGAGTCGGATCATCCTCCAAGAGAAAGAAAGGATTGAGGTTCAAGACGACAGGGTTGTCGTAGTTGAGGTATGAATCGTACCAAAACTGCTCAATGTAGCTTGTCTTTCCTGTCGCGTACTTCTTCAAGCGTTCTTGCAACTCCGGGCCGTCATGCTCTAAGAAATCCTTGACTGCCGCTTTGGTTTCATTATGTTCAGTGGGAGACTCCAAAGGCACCAAAGACTCAAGGTATTTCTTCAGCGTCGACTCGAGCTCGGGAATGGGCAGCTTGGGTAGCTTGTCCTGCGCCGCAAATGTGATGCCTTGCCTGGTTTGTTCCTTTGGCAGAGACCAGGGCTCCTGCTCTTGCTTGGTATATGACTCCTTGACGTCTTTGGCAGCGCCCAGCGACCGTCCATCTTGAGCCGGGCTCATCTTGACCCCGTTCTGGTAGACCGGACTGTTCAAGGTCTCGTCGAGGGAGTTGGGGCGGTTGAAGAATCTGGTTCCTGTGACAGAGGAAGTCATGGTTAATATTTGAATCTTTGGATCATGCGTACAAAGCAGCCACCAAAGTAGCAACGCTCAGGAGGCGCAGAGCGGTGCGGTAGAAGTAATGGCAATCGTGCCAGCAATAAGACGGCATGGGGGGATCAGTCCCTTGTGCAGAAGAGGAACAAGTATAACGAGCTAGAGTGCCGGACAGGAGAGCAGGGCCAGAGAGCAACAGGACGAGAAAGGAGAGGAGAAAGGAATCCGCTAGAGGGGGGGCACAGTCTGGATAAATCGAAATGGAGGACACATCGAGGATCATTCCAGCAGGAGGGGTCTGATCCAATGCGCCATGTCACGACGATAAATTCTGACGGTCTGCCAGCCTGGACAAGGCATGAAAAGGAAGCGGGCAGACGAGATACGGCTTCTCCACGTTCCACCTTGTCGGAAGATTTGAGAAGCGCAATCGCAGGCCGAGGGGATCGCTGGCTGACGGAGCCAATGGGGGGCTTTGTGTGGCCGCTGCAGGAAACATGTGCGCAGGCATGGACATGATGAAGGCTCGTGGTTGTGGTTCTCGGAGGAAAGGAAACAAGTTGCACGTACAGAAGAGCGTAGAGCGCAGTTGGCGTTGTCACCCCAGGCTAAGGTGAGTCGGTTCGCCGAGGTCGAATCCCCCGACGGAGGTTGACCCTCTTTCGTTCGAGTCAATATGCTTTGTTTCGGCCCTGACAGCACAAGATAACCGCAGGCGCAATGTCGATCGAGGTCTGATAGATGGATTGAAGCTGGGTCTTGTGTCCCCCGCGATTGAGAAGAATCAACTCCGGCACTTCAGTGCTTAGACTCCTCCAAGCACCAGACCTGTTGGAGTGTGCGTGTGACGTATTAGCAAAACCAATACTAAGGAGGAGCCTATTCCAAACTTGAACCCATCCTATGACCCATGGGCTTGCCTTTTTATGTGCTCCGTCAGGCGGCGCACAGCATGTTTTCTGGCTTCTAGAACCATCACACACATCTCCTGATGAACCGGCGTTCTCTTTCAGCAGAGTGGGGTGGACAATATGGCGATGCAGACGCCCTTCTTGCCTTGCCGAGAAAGAAGCGACGGTTGATCGGAGCATGGAGCGCACAGACGGGGCTAAGGAGGCTGCGGACTTCCCGGGATTCTACTCGTAGCAACAGGCACTTCCATTTCTCCGCGAGTTATGAATCCCCCCGGGGAAAAGGCGCGGTGCTATGTAGCTAGGTACGTGACTGGGCGAGACGGGGTTCGCCTGCAATGGCATGGACGAGTGGATATCTGCCCATTGGCAGACGGAATGCAACGGGTATCGAATCGCCACTCGTACTCTTCCTAGTAGGACGGAGTACGGAGGAAGTTTCAACTTGTTTGGGACCATGCAATGCTGATGAATATTCGAAATTCTGTTGTACATGTAGGCTTCAAGTCTACTTTCCAGACTCGATCTCTCCCAGGCTGTCCTGTCCTTCTCTCCTCAAAGTCCTCCAAACAATGGCCCGGGTAATCCAAGAATAAAATGTCCGCAGCATTGGTGTCCAACATTCCTGAAAAAAGGGTCGCCCGACTTGGTCAGGACGTCGGAGCATCACGCTCGTGAGAAGAAAAGAAGCTCCAAAAAATGCCCTTTGTCTGCGACGCTGGTCGCCCCCAAGCATCAACCCCTTGCATGAAGAACAAAAAAAAAGAAAGTATCATAGCACCTCCCAGCCTTCTGAGACTGCAGATTCTCAAACGCTGATGCGGTGCTGACGCCTTGTGACACTAAAAAAAGCATTTCTTTCCAAACGCCCAAGTAATGTGATACCTTTTGAAGAGATATTTTGCAATCTCCAATGGATCATCCAAGGAGTCGTCAGGTCATCAAAGCGGATTTTGAATTTCACAGAGTCACGGTAGGAAGCCCGAGTGGTTGCAGGACGTTCGCAGCATATTGCCCTCCGAAGTTCCCTGTGAACAACTCTGTCAGCAAAGATCATAATTTCAACGTGAGGCGGGAAGCATACCAGGTGGGCTGTAGTTGCAGACAGTAAAGTACGGGCTGACGCCGCCTCCAGTGTTGGCCAACCCATTCGGGCAGTACTGAGTAGCGCACCCCACGGCGGTGGTGGACTTCCAGACAATCTGCGAGTAATGACCCCACTTCTCAAAGTTGCTCATGTCAGGCTCAACACCATATGCAGGGTAGTAATTGATTTCGCCATTGTACATCTCGTCGGTGATCATGGCGGGAATATCAGATGGAGGAGCACCGGCACCGATGTTCTGGCCATAGCCACCACCCCCAGCTGCGGTATTGTGGGCGTAGACGCAGCTAGCCGCGATCTGAGCAGCGATGGACGCCATGTCATCACTCCAGACCAGGTCCGAGACGGAGGCATTCTTGCGATGAATGTTGTGTGAATCGAGAATTCCTTGTTGGTAGTCGGAAGAAACTGAAGTCGCGACGGAAGTAGACACCGCAGAGGCGGGAGTGGAACTCTCAACAACTACCACAGAGGAAGGAGGAGAATAGGTCGAAATAGGCGCCGATGTCTCGATGGTGGTGGCGACCGCAGACTGACTCTGCCATGTTGCAACCGCAGACTGACTTGCCCATGCTGTGGCAGCCGCAGAATCGCTTCCCCAGCTACGCCATGCACCCCACCATCCGCCCGGGGTGTAGCCTGAAGAATCGGTGGCCCAGGAAGTGGCATCGGCAGTGGGAGCGGCTTCGACGGAAGGAGCGGCTTGGACGGATGAAGCAGGTGTCTGGGCGGGAGGAAATCCGGTGACGGTGACGGTGACGGTGACAAACTCATAGGCGGTGGCCCATGCACGTTTGTCAAGAGGAGTGGCAGCAGCAAGACCGGTGCAGAGCCCGGCAAGGGCAAGAACTGATGCTTTCATGGTGGTGGAAGAACTGAAGAACTATCGAATCAATGGTTCTCTGATCTATTGATTGGAATGCGATGGACTGGCCGATAGAGAGAACTGAACTCGAGAGGCTGTTCGAGGGCTATTTGATACCAGATTGTGGCAGGTATTGCAGTGCACCGGGCAGCAGGTTAGGTGGGTTTGTGGGAGTTGGCTGGGTGAAGCTGCGTCCTGTTGCTGACCCAAGTTTCTGATCTTCACACCAGGTGAGGCAGAATTCTAGAAGGCCGGCGCGGTGGGCTCTGGTCAAAGAGCTGGTCTGTTCTGTTTGCACCGAGGGCACGGACTGAAGTGGAACTGGCACGGTCACGGACCGTGCTTTTGGTGGTTGATGTGTGGAAAAGAGTGACTTGTCTCGTGCACGTCGAAGGAGTGAAGACTGCGCGAGAACTGGAAACGAAGGTAACTGAGAAGAGAGGGTCGACGACCAAAGGTGAAGAAAGGGAGAAAGAGATCGAGGGTGCAAGGAGTGAGATTGATATGGATGGACGACGTCTGGTATGGTGACTGAGGGTTCTTTGTCTAGGAGGCCGGGTTCAACAACGCAATCCAATCGTACCCTGGTCTGGCGCACCCGAGATGGCAGGGGCCGGGGCTTTCTGGCCTATGGCTAAGCACAAGGGCGCTGGTCCCCTACACAAGGTCAGTTCTCAACCATCTGGTACCTGGAGCTTAACTGGATGGAGAAATCCAAGGGGCAAGTTAAGGGCCGCCCTAAACCAAACACGGTTGGGATGCTAAGGGCTCCTAAAGACTGCGGGGGGCACTAACACGCTGCAGAAGATTTGTCTCCGATGGACGATCCGGCAGGCAATCTAGACTGAAACACCCAGCGAACTCGGGCTGCAAGGGCCAGCGAGCTGACGACGCAGCAGTCGACACGGACTTGAGAAAGAGAGAGGCTGGCCAACTGAGACTCTGTTCAGAACAAGGATGGAAGAGGCAATACGGTGCACACTGGCAAGCAGATCGAGTGAGTGAGTGAGCGGGAAAGACAGACAAAGACGGACAAAGAGAAGAGTCAGGACGAGTCGCCGAGGGCTGGAACTGCAATTTAACGGGCTCTACGAAGGTCTGTTGGTTTATGTTTGGACTGAATTCCTTCAGGGATAGGACGGAATTTCATCTCAATCTGGTCTGGTTGGGGGCGTGATTTGGGCCAGTCTCGCCTGCGTTGATATACCGTGAATGTGTTGACATGGCAGCTGAGAGACACGCAGGCCAGCTGCAGTTCGTCTTTTGCCTTTACGGGACGGTGTTGATGTTGGTGATGAACTGGTTCTGTTGCTGGTGCTCCCCTCTGTGACCACTAGCCATGGAATGCCGACCGGAGACTGGACGCCCAACGCCAGTGTGACGATACTAGTGGCAGGAGTAGTACGTATAGTAGTTTTCTCGCCTACGGAGTACACATGGGATGCTCGGGTCACGGCGAGGAGATGAGCAGCTAGAAGACGAGGCTGGTGAAACCAAACCAGCCGGGGCTCTCAGGCTCTAGCCCGGGCCTCCTAAGCCCTGGAGGGAGAAAATAAGATCAATGACGACGAGATTCTAGCGGCGGCGGTAGCGGCCGAGAAGGACAGTTAGCCACTAACCGAAACTAACATTAGCTGTCCACATCTCAGTCAATCGAGATTCGAGAGGCGCTCGGGGAATTACCGTGCTAACAGGGCCTGGGGCTTAGGGGGCCCTCTTTAGCCCTGGGGAGGAGGCCCTAGGGGAGGCCAGGGCCCTTGCTAGCATCGCCAGCCCCCCAGCAAGTCATCCGCCTGCGCCACCCAGCCATTGGCTCGTCTCTAGCAAAGGACCAAGGCCGACCACGGACTTGAGTTGTCGGAGTCCTGACTGCATCTTTTCTCTCATCCTGGTCCTCGCTGGCTTGTTTCATCTGTCATCACCCATCCAGCTGGGCCCAATTGACGAGTGGCATCTACCACCAACATCTGATGAGCCCTGACATCAACAGATTACCTAGTACTCCGTACACAGCGCACGAAATGAGCTCCTTCTCCCCACCGACCCTGAAACAGCCCTGCTTCCAATCTTCTGCAGAGGACCACTCGGTCCCTTTCCAAGATGCCACGAGGCTGGAAAGCGTCGCATCGATTGTTCATGAAGAGGGGCCACAGACATGCTAGATCGAACACAAGCTTCCGTCGCCTCTGGCGATCCACTAGCCGACCGACAAGGGCCCTCAGGCAGGAAAAACGTGTACAGAGTACGGTGTACGGGGAACACTGCCTCGTGTAGCGACTCGCTTGCTATCTCGCTTCCTGGACATGTCTTCTCAAAGTCGCTCCCTGTATTTCAACACCATGTATGACAAATCAAGTTGAGTCATCACCAGGAAGACCGGTATGGATGGACAAAGTTGTGGAGAAGAGAGGACGTGGCCGTTTACTCTACAAGGCGGTTTCTTATGGACATCTAAACCAAATTTCCCAAGGAGCTAGCCGGTCCTCCTCTGTTGCATCTGCCACCGATTGCAGTGCGACAACTGAACCCTGGAGACCCTGGAGAATAGAAGCGATATTCATTCACCATGATCACTGCCCGTGCGAGTCTCTGTATACGAGTATGGGAACTGGGCTCTGACCGTGCCTGGGGCCCTCGTAAGTACACTTGGAACTCGTTACTGGGGTATGCATTCACCACAATCTACAAAACCACTGAATCCTTCCTGCTGGCTGCCGTCTTCCACTTCCAGACAAGTCACAACGTCATGCCGCGGAACCAGAGACTTTTACTCAGCCAGTGTGAAGCAGCTTCATGCGAAGAGAGTGGACTACGGCCTTGAACGAAATTTTCCTGTATTCCTCCTCTATCCAGGGAGCGAGCCGGATCTTTCTGTCTATCCTTGCCTCGGAATCGATGACCAATATTGGACAGTCTGCCATTTACCTTTAGGACAGCTCGAGTCACTTTCGAATTGTAGTTTGGTTGAAAACTGCACCACATTCGCCCTCCCTGTCCAGGCCTTCAGGGCCGTCTCAGTCGCGATGACTGCAATTCGTGGCACCTCTGACGACTCAGGCCTGAGAAGGCGGACACGTCACCTACACTGGACATGTCCCTGGAGACGACGACGTTTGAGATGCGCATCCAGCCTCCAACAGGAGAGATGACCTGCGGCCAGCTCAAAAATCAGACCGCAGAGTCCAGACACGCAACCCCACCTGTTTCTGCGCCCGACGTGTGGCCGTGTCGTTTTGGTGTCTGTGCGTACTTCGGGAGAACAGACCAGGCCATGAACCACCAGCCCCCAACGACCAGCCACGGATCCGCCAGTCATCTGGGCGATGCGCCGATGCTAGCTTGTGTAACTGCCTAGGCCGCAACCTGACGTTGCAGGCAAAAATGGTCAGTCTCAAAACCTCTCAGGCTGGTGCACTGCTTATGATGTGTTCCCCGACATCTCCCGCTTTTCAACCACGTGGACTCAGTCTGCGACGCGTCCTGCATATCGGTTCAGTTCCACCAAAGCATGTTGACAGCTAGGCTTACTTGCCTGTGTTCCTCTGTCCGTCCCTGGATGGTGTAGAAGTGGTCGAAGATGGTCCCTTTACAGCCCACGTTTTGCCACTTCTGTGACTGGCCGCCACAACTTCACATTTTCAACCAGCACAGCAACATGACCTAATTGATTGCAACATCGGTGGGAGTCTAGACTGGCGAGGCGACTTCAGTAGCCGCATATTCAAGCATTCCTGGCGGCTTGAGTGATGCTGGCCATGCGTTTCTGTACTCTGCTCAAAAGTTCCTGATCGTTGTCCATCACGCTTTGTCCAGACTGTGACCAGCTGGACTTTTGAAGCAAGACTGGTCCCCCCGGTTCATAGGTCTGGAACTTGTCGAGCTGGAGATCACGATGGTTCGATTTAAGTAGTTTGCGTAGGGAGGATGCTCAGCGGCAGTTAAAACCTGCAGACAACAAGCAAAACGGCCACCTTTGGGGGAATCTTTCCAATCCCCCAATCTCGATGCGAATATCCAACTATGCTTAAGCCATTGACCAGGATTTGATGCCCAGATTCTTTCAATTCGTCTCTGGTCGTGGCGGCCGGCGACTGGATGCTAGAGTCATGTGACATCACCTGACCGGTAGATTTCTGTGCAGGGGATTTGGATTCGTAAATCGTAAACCTGCGCCTTCAAATTCTTTCTCCATTGTCTCTGGCACCAAAGAAGCGGTACAGCTGTCTTTCGCGCCATTGGATCTCATGCAAGACGTTGAGTACGGAAAACCTTGACGTTGCTGAGGAATCTTGTGGGAACATAACTATTTGACACCGTCAAATCATCTATCTACTCTGAGACGGGATGGCGCCTCAACCCGTCATTCGAGTGGTTGGCTCGCTGAACATCGACTTTGTTACCCGAACGCCTCGAGTGCCCGGGCCTGGAGAAACACTGCAAGCCACGTCCCTGACGGTGCATGCGGGAGGCAAAGGGGCCAACCAAGCAGTGGCCTGTGGCAAGGCTGCATTTATATCCCAAACTCAACAAGATGTCACGGTCGACATGATCGGTGCCGTGGGCAAGGGTGATCCATACTACGCGTCTCTGCTCAAGCCGACCCTGGAAAAGAGCGGCGTGAGCACGACAGGGGTGGAAGAGATTGAGGGGGTGCAAACAGGAACCGCGACCATCATCGTGGATGAGGGTTCCGGCGGGGAGAACAGGATCCTGGTGGTGCCCGGGGCCAACCACGAAGTCAAGGATTTGGAGCAACTTCTGTCCGTGGTCACTCGGAAGGGCGACCCGGATGTCATGGTCCTGCAGGGCGAGATTTGTCGACTTATGGTGCTGGCCTTGCTGAACCTGTTCAACGCTCCCGAGCGTCACACCTGCATCGTTTTCAATCCTGCCCCCGTGTTCAGCGAAGGCATCCCGATCGAAGCACTTCAGAGTCTCGGCGTGCTGGTGGTGAATGAGACGGAATGTCTGCTTCTTTTCAAAGTGGTGGAAGAACTAAATGGCGTCGAGGTGCCTCGCGAAGAAGACTTGGACAAGGCGCATCTTGACCGGCTCACGAAGCATCTCCACGACCTGGCACGCATCTCCATCATTGTGGTAACTCTGGGCTCTCGCGGCGTCTATTACTCCACGGACATCAGCGGACAAGACGGGTTTGTTCAGAACAGAGGACTAGTTCCTGCGGTCAAGGTCAAGCAAGTTGTCGACACCACGGCCGCGGGAGATACGTTTGTCGGGTACTTTGCAACGGCGCTCGCCCGGCACCTTGCCGCAACACACGAGCTCGCGGGGTTTGATGTCGCCGGTGCAGTGAGCAAGGCCAACAAAGCCGCTGCCAGATGTGTGCAGAGGAATGGGGCCATGGAGAGTATTCCGTTCGGATACGAATAGTCACCATCTTCAGATCAGATCATCTCAGGTGCTTTGCCAGAATGTCCTTGTCTAGGTCTAGGATCACCGCGATTTGCTAAGGCCTCCTATACCCTTCGACCCCATCGACGTGTCAAGCCGAGATCTAGCCACAGCAGTGTCTATGGAGGGCCAGAAGAGAGGGAGATATATAGTATGTATGGTATATGGGACGTATGAACCACCTTGTGTTATGTACACACGAGCAAGTCGGCATCCGCATCACCGGCCGTCAAGGGTACAGAGGATACCCGGGTAGTCTAAGGGTCTAAGGCTCGTCCTGATGGTGGGTTGGGAGATGGATTGTGAGGTGGAGAACTGCCCAACCGAGGTCCAAGTTGGATACGGGGAAATATATCCGTGTCTGTTCCAGAAATCACTATATATCATATCATCCGCTACTCCAGAGTATCTCTATCTGTATGTTTGGGTTGATACTACTACTGGATCGACATCTTACTTTTTGGGTCACTTGGGTCAGTTCTCCCTTCTCCACCTCAGCTCATCTGTCTGTGAAAGATCCCAGATCGCAGATTCCGGATTCCGGATTCCGGTAGATTGGTATAGCCGACTGAGGAAGAGTCAAGCTGCCACCGGTGCTAATACGATCACAACGTCTCCAGGAATTGAACGAAACGAGCAGAGCAACTTCTCAACCATGTCGTCGTCGTCCTACAAACCCGAAATCCCCCCACCGCCATCCGACCCGGCCGTTCTGCTCTCGTACCCGGCGCCGTTCGTTCTGCTCGTGACCATCAACCGGCCGCGGCAGATGAACAGCATCCCGTTCGCGGTGCATTGGCACCTGCACCGCGTGTTCGAGTGGTTCGACCAGGAACCCACGCTGCGTGTGGCGGTGCTCACGGGTGCCGGGCCCAAAGCCTTCTGCGCCGGCCAGGACCTGATCGAGCTGGGGAAACGCGACGTCAAGGCTCTGGAAGAGAAGCCGTATCTGGGCCATCACCCGCCCTCGGGCTTTGGCGGCATCAGTCGCCGCGTGGGCAAGAAGCCCGTCATTGCCGCGGTGAATGGATTCGCTTTGGGCGGTGGGTTTGAGATTGTTTTGAATTGGTGAGTGCGAGTGCGAGTGCGAGTCGAGTCGAGTCGAGTCAAGTCAGATCAAGTCAAGTCAAGTCAAGTCAAGTCAAGTCAAGTCAGGTCAGGCACATGGTGTGGTGTGGTGTGGTATGGTGTGTATTGGTATCCGGACATCCATCCGTACCTACACCACCATAACCAGGTCGCCGCCAGAGACACCAAACCACACTTGACCGACCAGACTGTCTACATCTACATCTGATCTACCATCTAATAAATACCAAGACTAAACCTCTGCCCATCATTCTGAAACCAACACTAACCTCTCCTCAACTGCAGTGACATGGTCGTCGCCTCTCCCACCGCGACATTCGGGCTCCCCGAAACACTACGCGGCATCTACGCCGGCGCGGGTGGGCTGCCGCGGCTGGTGCGCAACGTCGGGCTCCCGCTCGCGTCGGAAATCAGCATGTCCGGCCGCACGCTCTCGGCCGCCGAGGCGCTGCAGTTCCACCTGATCAACCGGGTGTCGAGCTCGAGCGCGCCCGACGCCTGTGTCGTCGACGCCGTCAACCTGGCCCGCAAGGTCGCCGACATCAGTCCCGACGCCATCATCGTCACCCGCGCCGCCCTCCGCGAGACCTGGGAGACCGCCAGTGTCGAGCGCGCCTATCAGTTGGTCGAAGACCGGTATAAGAAGCCGTTGATGGATGGCGAGAATTCCAGAGAGGGCCTGGCTGCTTTTGCGGAGAAGAGGAAACCCGTGTGGAAGCCTAGTAAATTGTAGATCTGGCCGGTCTAGCATTGCTCTTGATGTTTGGAGATTGGAGATTGGACATTGACCCCCTGAAACCTTGAGAGCTCGAGGCCGTGGACATTGAACATTGGACATTGACATTGACATTGACATTGGACCTCGCACATTGAGGTCAAATGATAAGAAATAAGACGGGAATGGAATCAACATGCAATTTGAACATATATCAACCTACCTACCCATTTCCACTTCCACATACTTCACATCGTGCCACCCCATCCCACCCCTGCAGCATAACTTATGGTCATGATCGGTGACCGGTGAGCCTCAGTGAGGTCTGGGCAGATCAAAGACTGGGATTCGCTCTAAGGTCAGGAAGGTAAAAAAGAAAATATCCGATTCTGACACCAGAGCTTCTATGCTTCTTACTCAGTAGTACTCCGTATAGTTCTCTGCGGCCAAGTATCGTCATGCAATGGATACCATATTGACCTCACCCCATCAGTGTCCGTTATTTTTTTCCAAAAAAAAAAAAAAAAACCCCTCCCTTGCCGAATGGGTCAGCCATCGCTTGGATTGTCGGCGCATCACTTGGATTGTCATTGAATTCTGAAAATCTCCTCGACCTCATAGGTCTAGCAAACTGACATAGATCCCCCATGCAAGACCGGCCAGACCTCCGACAAGCATGCGTTGTTCGACGGGGACGAGAACAAGGTTTCCCAACGTGACCAAAGGCCAGAACTTGTAGCCCGCAACAAGCATGGGCCAAAAATCCTGTCCACAATCCCAGTAAGCCAGTCGTGTCAACAGGTCAACAGTACATGCTTTGACGGTGTAGAGAGTCGACAACAGGTATAGGACTTACCCGCTGTAATGCAGTCAGAACTTGGCTCCATCCCGCGCCCTTCAACACGTTGATCATGGCGACGAAATACAACGTATTCAACGCGCTTCCCACCGTCTGGTCCAGTATGAACTTCGCAAGGGTGTTGGGAATGGACAATTGCTCTCTCGACTCATCCTGCACGGTTGTCCCATCCTCCTTTTTCTTCAGCGCGACCGTGTCTTTCTTAAAAGTACTTGGGAAGTGGTTTTCCAACGCAAGCTGCCATTGATAATTCAGCGGAGTGGATATGACGGCGAGGATGATGAAGTGGAGGAACGAGACAGGGTCGATGGAGGAAAGGCTTCGTTCGCGATAGACGGTAAAGCCCTGAGCGAGGGTGTTGGACAGTGCCGAAATGGCAGCTCCCTGCACCGTTACGGCGAGGAGACGAGAGGACATGTTCGAACCGTCTTCTGTTCTGCTTGCAGTAATGCTAAGTAGAGTTCTGGTCGGGCAGAGAGTCAGCCGGGTAGGATGAAAGAAAGATCAGTGCCGTGGTCTTTCTCTTGCAGAGGTCTTAGTAGAACCGCGCGTTTTGTTTGCTCGTGTAGCCCTGCAAAGTCAACCGGGGCCGAAGGACACACAGTAGCAGTGGGAGTGACGACGACGGCGATTCATGTAGAGGCCAGGAGGCAGATCAAGGGGTCGATGACAGACGCAAACGCCATGGTGGGAACTGCGAGCGAAGGAAGATGACAAGTTGGCAAGATTCCTAGACTGCAGGTGTTTGAGCAGCCGTGATACCGTATACGCCATACAAACTGACGCCATACAAACTGACGCCATACAAACTGACGCCATACAAACCGTCGTGTATGTAATTGCAATTGTGTGACAACTCTCCGTTGCCCGCCACGTGTCAAGGTGGTGCCGGCATATGTATGTACGGATACACATTCTGTGGTCTGAAAATGCTGTACCATCTCAGAACTGGTGGTTTATCGCCTCTTCGGAGACTCCCCTGCTGGACGCATCAATATTTCTCCGCAATGCCGACAACCAGCGAAGCTGCATCAGAGGCTGGGGGCTAGGGGCAGGTTGTCCCTTCACCACCATGTCTGTTCTCATGCTACTATTGGCTTTTAAGACCAGGTGCTCGCGACTCACCCTCTTCTCACTTTCTTCTCACCCTCCTACTCACGCTCTCACGCACCGTCGCGGCGCCGGTCTGATGTCTACTGCAGTCCCCCTGGCACTGTATTGTACGCCCCGTCCCAAGATGAGTTTCATAATTGGCGACAACCAGGGGGCGGTCCATTTTTGGATCCCTACGAAAGGGTCTTGACTTTCAGGCCTGAGGTCTGCTGCTTCCCTCCTCTCTAGGCGCCTCGCCGACCCTGGGTACAAAATGGCGTCCCTCTCGCCTCTGAGTGTCCAGGCTACAAATTTCTCTCTTCCAAATCCTGCAGCCTCCAGCGGCTGTCCCTCCCTCCCTCCGTCCACTGTTGCTTCACGACCGACGGCCGCTGAAGGCTTGACTTCTCGTGCTTTTACGCCGACCACCATTGGCAGGCAGAATGCCACGACAGACGAGCTATGGGCTCGAGCTGAAGCCAACGGCTACAAGATAGGAGCACACAACGAGACAGACAAGGTCCGTGATGCAGAGAAATACGTTTTTAAGATGCAGAGAAATACGTTTTTAAGACGAAGAAGGACCACGACCGAACATTACATCGGTATCTCCTGTAAGAAGCCCAGACCAGTCATGTCCTCTGTAATATCAGTCTGGATTCCCCCCTGGTCGCTTGTACGCTCTGAGTCTCAATCGGGTTGGCGACTTGAAACAGATAACGAATCCGCAATGGCCATCCAGACATGCTTCAGCTCTCTCTTGCCATTCCGAGGCGAGAGGATGACGAAGAACATAGTCAAGGACGCCCTGGCGCCCATTTCACTCAATGGACATATTGCCCTGTATTTTTAGTCGCATTGTCACGATTAAGTCAAGTTTCCAGCCAGGACCATCACCTCTAGTGTTTTCCCAGCTGCTCTTCTGTTGCGCTGCCACACTCTACAAAGGTAGGCTCGACTGTCTGAGAACGCTCCCTCACCGTCCTTCATCTCCTTCCCGTCTCAGTCTCGTGCGTCGGTGTCTACGGACAGGGCCGTGTCTGCACCCTATCTGGTGGTGGAAATGGCAGATCTAGGGTTGAAAATCCGACCCAAAAGTATGGCACGACGTTCGGGATTGCGAAATCGTGAACGTTCTGAAGGTCCGAAACAATGGAGATTCGGCCGATGTCGTCATTGGACTTGAACTCCGAAAGTACATCCCCCCGACGCAGAAGAGATAGGAATATGTTTCCGGCCCAGACCCATGTGGCTCCACCTAGAAATTCGGGTATCGATCAGGTCTGAGAAATATCGTGTCCCCCCTGTTAACCGCTGCATTTCGACGTGGCAGCATACGTCGGGTCCAGAAACTCCGATGTTTGCTAAGACCGCGCGTTCACGGTTCTTCTTGGGCCAATCTTCAATTTGTTTGTTAGAAATGACTGTCTGACGACCGTTCAGACTTAAACACGAGATCGTTGTGCAGTTCGTCCGTAACCATGTCCCTAAGAGTCGCGATTCTGGAATGCGGCGTCCCGTCGTCTGATATTTTGCGAAGTTGGTATCCAGGATATGGTGCTATGTTTGAAGAGCTGTTGTGCTCAGAGGAAAAGCCAGATCTCCAGCTTGTGGTCACGAAATGGCTGGTCGACCACGACGGAGCAACATACCCCGAACTCGACGATGTTGATGTTATCTTAATATCTGGATCTAGTGAGCACAGTCCCTTGGCCTCTTTTTCACTGCTCCTAGGCGTGGCAGCTTTTATGAGATGGACCAACTGATTAGAGAATCAAAGCGCTGACAAGTTTGTGAATAGAGCATTCGGCATATCTAGATGTTTCATGGATCAATCGCCTGGTGGAATTTACATCCCAGGCATTGCGCAGCCCAGCAGTCCGTGTCGTGGGTATCTGTTTTGGCCATCAGATCCTGGGTAGAGCGATGGGTGCTCCAGTTGAGAAAAACAAACTTGGCTGGGAAGTCTCTGTCTGTGAGATCGATTTAAACGCGACAGGGAAACTTCTTTTCAAGAGGGATAAGCTTGTAAGTAGATACTGACTGCGACTGACTGAGGTTTCAAGACGCTGAAATCAGCACAGTCTCTTCAATTCTCTCATCAAGATATTGTATTGTCATGCCCGGCTCACGTTCAGAACCTGGGATCCTCGCCGAAATGCGACATTCAAGGCTTCTTTTGGCCTGGGAGACTGCTGTCTCTCCAGGGCCATCCGGAATTCAATGAACGAATCATGCGGGAGACTCTCAAAATGAAACAACAAACGTCGTCTCTCACAGAAGACGAGTTTCAAGACGCCATGATTCGTGTGGCTCAAAAACATGACGGCCATCTTGTCGGTCAGGTGCTATTGAAGTTCATGTTGGGGCAGGAATAAGACCGATAGAATTCTAAACTTGTGCTTTCACTCGCAACTTGGTCAAAACCTCCTGCAGATGAATCCCCTGTATCTTTCCCAAGCAAGGCAAGGATGATCGCGGAGGATCTCAACTTCTTGCAGCCGTGTAGCCTATATATTTCGGGTTTGCACTCCTGACGTCGACGTTCCACGGTCTCGCCGCCTTCTCAAAGCACGTCGAACAAGTCGTAACCCCCAAGGTTTGATATTTCTCCCGGGAATTCCAACATTGCTGTATCATGACTGTTGTCCAGAAGAGAATACCTCCATGCAGCAGGGTCAGGGTAGTGAAGAGCTGCCACGGGCTCGGGTTGACTGAAGGCTAGCCGGTTGTGTTGGCTCATGTCGTCGCTTTCTCGCCCGGTAGATATCGTGTTGGTATCGAGTTCATCGTCTTCAGGCAGCGCATCATTGATCATCTCTTCGATCATGGACAGGATTTGTCGATTAATGACCATTGACTTGACCGACGGCATCTTGGATCGAATCTTACTTGCAGCTTCCGCACTGATCATTTTAATGGCCCGACCAGATATGACTTGCTGGTTCAGTGAAGCAGGTTCTACCAAAGGTGTTTCTCCCGCCAGAGCCTCGAACACGTCTCTTAGATCACGGGCACTTTCCCATCGATCAGCCATGACTGCAAGGATGTTCGAGCAAGCTTGAATACCCAGGATGGCTTTTTGGATGTTGTATGACTCGGTTCGGAATCGAGGTGGTGTCGCCCAAAAGCAATAAAGAATAGTTATCGCAATGGAGAATTGGCTAATGAGCTATTCACGCCTATTTAGTGTATACCTCGAATCTGAGATCTGAGAGCGGAAGAACTTACACCCATCCATCGGTGTGCCATTGTTTGATCAGCTTGAAACTTCCGAAAGATCAGGGCACTCTGGATGCCGATTCGCACGGACCACTCCCCATGAGGGCCTCTCACATTGTGCGTGTTTGGTCGATGGAGATACAGCAAGCAATGGTTGTAGACGATTGAAAGCCATCTCGACGGGACGTTTCCAGAACCCGGAGAATTGGGCTCACTGAGATGCTGCAATTGTGACTTCCATTGATCCAGCTTACCCATCATGGAAGATCTCCACTCGGACATTGATTCGGGGTTGCGTGCAGAGTCGGGTCCAGTAGTCATCGCAATGATTTCCGACTGGATCTGGAAGCAACGAAGACGATGTATTGCCAGTGATATAGAGGTGCGGTGGATGACGTTCTGTGACGGAGGTCGTTTTTCAGCTATAGAGCTGTCTTCTAGACCCTCAAACATCTGCGTTATGTGAATACTCCGGGCGCAACTGTAGGTAAATCAAGCACCACTCACTGGAACTGTAATGGCGTTGTCCGGCACGGACAATGGAAGCCCAAATAAGCCACAAACCAATCTATCAAGAGAGTATGAGACCCAGAACAGCCGTCTGCGCATCTGGATCTCCACTCGCGCATGAGAATCAACGGGCTGTGGTTCAGTCTCTGCCAGGTGGAACTTTGCGAAGACGCAGAAACGGAGGGCCGACGACACCTTCTGGAAGATCTGGTCGGAGGAAGGGCAAAAGAGGGCGTGTATGGCTAGCATAACGTGAGCCTGGACACTACGTACCAGACTACCCTGAGCCACCCCGAATGAGGTGAAATTGGCTAATGCTCGATCGTGAAAGAACTAGAAACCGCTTAGCATGGCATCAATTCGACGACCAACCAAGATTGACCTGAGATAGTTGCGTCGAGCCCAACGACAACTTGGGGTTCAGAAGGATACTGATGCTGAATATCTTGCAACCTCTTAGCAACCATCTGGCATTGTACGCGAGAGCACTTGCCATGTTCGAAAAGAATCGTTTGTAGTGTTCATCAGAATGACCATCTGACCCCGGAGTCCTCGTAGATCGAATCCACCCCTCAACTTCGCTGCGAAGGAGGAACGGCCACTTTGCATTGGCCGACTGAAAATAGAGGTTGGTTAGATGATCTTGAACTGCCACAGGAAGCATGTCCATTGATGCCACCAGATTGCTCAGATAGACTTCCAATACGCCTTCTCCTCCAGGGCTGGACCCGACTGTTCGCTTGTTGTAGGTCACCTCCGCCGCCTGCCCAGCCTGCCCAGTACCTGTAGCTTTGTGAATGCCAGTTAAGCCTGTTGTGCCAGATTCGGTGCTTGACTGTGCGTGGTTCCCTCGCTGCATCACCGTGGCTGATGAGGAGTAATGATCAGAGCTGACCACAGATATTGGAGATGAGGGAGTTGACGTACGTGTCACTCTGTGAAGGGATTGTCTTTGTAGAAGACGATGATTCGGAGGGTTGATGTTGGACGATGAAGTGGCATGAATACTTGAGGGCAGTTGTCTAGAAATGTTGGCCGCTTCATCATGATCATCATAGTCATCATCTTCAATGTCGTCGCCGTCTTCCTCCTCCTCACCCTCGGGTTCATCAGCGCCATCTTCGTTGTTCTGAACCGGTGTTCCCTTTGGAGACATCAAGTTCATTTCATGTCGGTGAGGGCTTCCAGAGGCTGTCCCATGCTCAAGTTGGGACAATCTTTTCTCCAGGCAAGCCACATATCTTTGAGTTAAACACATCAGCCTTTCATCATATGATCGTCGTTTCAAGTACTCACTCAGCCGAATACTGGGACCTGGCGGAGATAGGCTCGGTTGGTAAACATTCTGACCATGTGTTAGCATGTTCAAGCTGAACCAGAATCTATCCGGTCGCCATGCAATGGCCAAGGAAATCAACCTTTATTTGCTCTACGACAATTCGAGCAAGGGAAGACATCATTACTGTCGCACTACGAGTCGCCATTAGCTTGCTGCAAATGCATAACGAATAGAACCTCAAACCGACTTTCTGTTTCCGCCTTCGACATCTTCTGCAAGCTAGGATCTTCCGTCGTTTGAGGGGGCGAGTTGCTTGGCCACGATTCATGACGGCGCTGTATGTACCGAGGCAGTTATGCTCACAAAGTAAGTCAAAAGGTCCACTTTGATTTGGTGTTGATCATAATGCCACAGGCGAAGCTGTGTAGCAACTAACTGGGGGTATTTTTCTTTGCTAGGCAAACCACTACCTAGTACCTACCCTTGCGAATTGAAGAGCTACCATTTCTTGTTTGGCTGAGGGATGGGTTGTTGTCGGACCGTATTCCCGACGTCGGTCTCCTGGCATGTCAGAATTGGTTGAAATGTGGGTATTGCCTCAGCGATCACATCAACCGAATAGCTAGGTACCATCGGTATCCTTGTTGCTCGCCTCGTCGCATCAGACAGCAAGTCTCCTATCAGACTTCAATAATCCGACACACTAGAGCTTCGATGTATCACATGGACAATTGCAGCATACATCCCGAGAACATACCATGTTTCTAGAGCCTGCTTGGTCTTTAGACTTTGACACACTCTCTCCAAGCCAGCAGCATGGCTATCAGTCGGCCTTGAACTCCGCAATTGGAATTTTTTCCCTATCATCGGATCTCCTGACCGACGCCACAGCCATCTCTGGGCACATTAGATGAGCCAGGATAGCGTCTGCCGAGCTTGGATTTAAAAACACCATAAGAGCACGTCTGAATATACAGCTGAAGCGACGCAGAACTCGAGCACAAGCACCCTCCTCACTCTGGCCAGTTATTCGATCGTTGCACCATGTCTGAACATGTCACGATGAAGAAATCTACTGAAATGCCCATTCAACAAACGTTCAGCAACGAGGTGGGGGAGATCACGAAGGCCGATGCTGAGGATCTCTCTAGATATGACATCGCCACCAGCTATGCGGACAGATTCCAAGACGGCGAGGGCTACACCAAGCAGGAGGCTCGGCGCCTGCGCTGGAAACTCGACTATCGCTTGATTCCTATTCTCTTTATGAATGTGCTACTCCCGGCATATGACAAGAACTCCCATGCCTTGGCAGCCATTTATGGGATGAAGACCGATCTGAAGATGAAAGGCAGTATGTATTCATGGGTCAGCAGCATTTTCTACGTATGTTTGTCCTGGAATGGAAGTTCCCTCGTCGTTCTACCAGTCTACTGACCTTGCACCTACAGTTCGGCTATTTGCTCTGGTGTTTTCCCTCGAGTAGTATGCTCCAAAAGCTGCGCGTGGCAAAGACCATTGCGGTGGTCCAGTTCCTGTGGGGTATAGTCCTCATTGGGTCCGCATTTGTCAAGACCTGGGGTCAGTTGATGGCCTGTCGTTTCATTCTTGGTGCATTGGAGGCACCAGTGCTTCCGGGAAATATGCTCATTCTTTCAATGTGGTACACACGACCGTGCGTCTTTTCCCTTGCCGTATGCTAGGCCTCACGAGCGCTAAGAATATTACAGAGAACAAACACTTCGGTATGGGCTCATGTACACCGGGCTGTCGTCCATCCCAAAAGGTCTGATCGGATGGGGGTAAGTCAAGCATCAAATCTCACCATGTGAACAAGCATCTGACCCAAATACCCCCATAACAGTGTTGGAGGTAGCGGTTCGGGCACTCTCAAGATATGGCAGATCTTGTTCCTCATTGCAGGCGGCATAACCGTCGTTTGGTCGTTGGTCGTGGGAATATTCCTGCCAGACAATCAAGTAACTGCTAAATTTCTTGACGAAAAAGAAAAGGCGATTGCAGTTGATCGCGTCCGTGCCAACCAAACAGGTACGGAAGACATCCAGAGGTGCAATCCCCTCGCTACCAAGTGTTGCTGACGTTCGGTTCAAGGCGTTGAAAACAAGAAGTTCAAAAAAGAGCAAATGATCGAAGCCTTTCTGGACATACGGGTTTGGCTCATGTTCTGCTTCAACCTCTGCATCAGCATTCCCAACGGCGGCATGACCAACGTAAGTGAAAAGATTCATCACCGACGCATTTTGAGCTCTAACATGAAACCCAACAATAGTTCTCAACCCTGATTATCAAAGGCTTAGGCTGGAGTTCTCGCCAGTCATCGTTACTCCTGATGCCGGCTGGTGTCGTTCAGACAGCATCGAGCTATTTCTGCAACGGCGGTGTATTTCTCGCCATCAAATACTTCCCACAATATCAATTCCGCGGAATTTTCACCCTTATCGGCATCATCATCGGCCTGATCGCATCGGTCTTCCTATACACATTGCCACTTGATGCTCTGCACGGTCGTCTAGCAGCACTATTCATGTCCTACTTCTACCTGGGTCCGTATATTGTGGGTTTGAGTTTGGTCGGCGCCAATACTGCGGTAAGCTCGCCTTAGTTGCCAGCCATCCTTCTTTTCTCTAACCCTCGTTTGTTACAGGGGCATACGAAAAAGGTCACGGTCAACGCGCTCATGTTCATATCCTACTGTGTCTCCAACATTATTGGGCCTCAGTTTTTCCTGGATGATCAAGCACCCCTCTATCCTTTGGGAATGGGTGCTATCCTCGGCTCCTACGTGCTGTCCTTTTTCTTCATCATTTTTTATATGCTTGTGTGTTGGAGAGCAAACAAGAGTCGTGACGCGCGAGACGCGGCAGGTGGAGAGGTCAATCATCGTGATACTGATTTCAAGGATCTGACCGACAAGCAAAATATCGTGAGTGCTCCTTTGGACTCTCTATCTGACTTCTAGTAACTTTGTTTCAACAGCATTTCCGATATGTCTATTGAGTGGCACGCTTGTCAAGATTAGCCGTTTGTGGTGTGAGAAATGTGTTGGGGACGAGTTTTCGGGACGAGTAGTTTGGGAAGCCGGATGACGACCTGGAAACGTGGTGGCCTCTAGGTCTGGAGATAGTGGTGTTTCATTCGATCGCTGTTTGGGGGGATCCAATGTGGCTCAGACAATGTGAAATAGAACTTCGAGTCATAGTCAACAAGAAAACTCAAGGACTGCACGCTACAGTGTTCGCTAGCAAGTCACTGTTCTATGCCCAGCAATCATAAACGACTCCTGTGCTTCGTATCACACCTTGAATGGCCTGACACCTTCTCGCAACATCGGAATATTCAGCCGAAACCTATTTAGATGGTCGTACGTATGCAGCGTCAGACCCTCGCTACAGTGGACTGAGGGCTCACTTCTCAATCAATCGCTTGTACAGCCCTGAGGCAGAACTGTTCGATATCAAGCGACCATCAAAACCTTGGGTCTAGACTCGCGACTTTTGCCACGAATACCGGTCGCTGTCCGGGGAATCACGTCTCCAAAGTTTAAGATAGTATTTTGATGCATCAAGATCCTATCATGGCCAGTTTCGGACACCTGACTCCGACAAAATACCAAGTCCGACGATTTCTTCTGCCACTCCGGCAGGTTCATCGGTCCAAGGCTTGTACTGATCTCCACTTTCAACCTGAGACTACAATTTCGCCCATATTGGTAGAAATAAAATTCAAAGGTTTGCCAGAAAGATGTCTCTCGCTATTGCAAGGTGCAAGACAGCAGACATCGATCTGATTCTGAACCAAAGTCTCGTCGCACTTCTGATTTATTTTCCACTCCGAGAATGAGAGATATACCACTACCCCATATCAATCTTCAAAAAGGTTGGCCATCTCGTCGTCTGATACCGAGAGAACATGTCCAAGCCGCTGCTGAAGCAACATTGACGGACCCGGACCGAGGAATCGACGCCCTTCTCTACGGACCCAATAAAGGAGACCCTGCACTTCGGGAACGATGTGCTGAATGGCTGTCAGGCCTCTACGGTCTTTCGGTGGTGCCTGAGCGCATCTGCATTACAGCTGGGGCGTCTGCGAACCTGGCCAGCATCATGCAGGCCTTTTCCGACCCCGTGTACACGCGCCGAGTGTGGATGGCCGAGCCGACGTACTTTTTGGCATGCACCATCTTCGAAGACGCAGGGTTCCAAGGTCGAATGGAAGGAGTGCCAGAGGACGATGAAGGTCTCGATGTCGAATGGCTGCGCAGCCATATAGAATCAGTCGATGCTGAGACCAAGGCAAACACTGAAACGGAAGCTTCCCCACAAGCCTACAAGACAATTCCTACGTACCGCAAGCTATACCGCCATATCATTTACTGCGTTCCGACTTTCAGCAATCCGAGAGGCCGAAGCTACACGATCAAGAGGCGAGAGGAATTGGTTCGTCTGGCTCGCCAGGTAGATGCACTCCTCATCACTGATGACTGCTACGACTTCCTGCTATGGGATGTTCAAGACCCCGGCCCCTCCTCTGAGATCAGAGAGCCACAGTCACGGTCGATCAATGAGCAGCGCAAACTTCACCCTCCTCCCCGGTTGACCGACATTGACCGAATCTTACCAGGAGGGGATGAAGTCTGGGGCAATGCGGTCAGTAACGCGTCCTTCTCCAAAGTGATTGGGCCCGGAATGCGATGTGGATGGGCTGAGGCAACGCCGCAATTCATCATTCGATTGAATCAAACGTAAGTCTGAGGCAGGATCCGAAAAAGCCTCCAAGTTGACGCGTGGCTGATTCTGGATTTCCCACAGAGGAAGCATTCTTTCCGGAGGAGCTCCAGCACAATTCGCGTCCACAGTGATCGAGCACGTCTTAAGAACCGGCCGGCTTGAAGATCATCTCGTCAATACACTGATTCCAACCTACCGTACGAGGGCTGCCCGGTTACGTCGAGCTGTTCAGCAGACCCTTGGCCCGATGGGTGTGACGATTGACAGCGACAACGGCACCGACGGGATCATCGGTGGCTTCTTTCTGTATATTACATTACCTGTCGAGTTCAACGTGGACAACCTGGCCGAGCTCGCCTTGGACAAGTACAATTTGCGAGTATTGGCAGGAGCCCGGATGGCGGTGAAAGGCAGCAAGCATCTGTCATCCATAGTCAGCCAAGGGATCAGACTCAGTTGGTCCTGGGAAGAGGAGGAACAGATCGTCCAAGGCATCGCGAGGCTTGCAAAAGCCATGAATGATCCAGAGCTAGTGAAGAACTAGAGTGGCTGACGGCGCTGTATGTACCGAGGCAGTTATGCGACAGAAGATGCATTCGGAGGGCCTGAGCCTGTTCTGCCTGCAGAGTTACAAACCGAACAGTGGCCCAGTCAAGTATGGTCTGGAGCGACCAATATCATCATCGAACTTGATCACCAACACCATCATCGAACTTGATCCCGATCTTTATAGGGTAACGATGGGTCCAGCTTTTATGGAATGTTGGCTCTGAAAAATGTATTCCGTCGAAAAAAGCAGATATGTGTCGAAAAAGCAGACACGTTGAAACCATGGATTTCTAGTGAGCGCTCAGGTGCCTGACCACCAAGATGGTTAACATACATTCAACGATTGCCATGCCAATCTCTTTGTCGCCGAACCGAACAAAGTCTCGACTTTGGCACTGCACGCTCTAGATGACTGTCGACGCAGATGCAAAGCCGATGCTCACTCTCCGACCATTTATCTTCTCCACATCCGGGACCCTGGTAACGATGAATGTCCACGTCTCGGACCCTGGTAACAATGAATGGTTCAGCCAACGGGCTTGAAAGATAAGTTCCTGTCATAGGATTCGCACATACTCATAGCATAACGATAATGAGCAGTAGCCGACGGCCCTTGATCGAACATCGAACATTGGCATGCTGATACGTAGCCAACCCAGTGAGTGCTATCTTAACCGTCGGAATAAGGTATTGCTCAAGGACCCACGCGTCGGAGTTAACGTCCTAGCGTCGACCCACCAGCCCCGAAAGGTACGAGTGTGTGTGTCGAAGTGTGTGCCTGGAGAGGTTCCCCCCCCCCCCCCCCCCGCACCCGGGCCCCCATCGGACTAGCAACGGTTCCCGACAACGCGCCTATTGTCCATTGTGCTAACAAGAGGCAAATATTCGGACTGGCTGTTTGAGCCTTGCTGGATCAGATTGATAAGAGTTCGAATCAACGGCCTTCCGGGAATCCAATGACATTTAGAATTTCTAGGAGCAAGACATCCAGAAACGTCGTCGACAAGAATGGGAATGACTGATACGTCATACCACGACCTTGGTGTGGGGGACTAGCTGTACCTCGGGGGGCACTGGGACAGTGGAAGCGTACGATGACCACTGAATTTCCACATTGAATAAGAATCTAATCTATGGGATACTCATCTCTCCTGAGAATGCCTGTTCCGTTCTACCTTCTTATGGCAATGCAGTGCAGAGATTATTGTGTGCCGGTATTGTTATGGCCCAATCCAGCCACACTTGCCATGACAAGCGAGCGCCCCTGTCTTCACCTGTGCCGTGCATCTTGCTCTTCGGGAGTTGGGCTTTCCCCTACATTCGGTACTCTTTGTTGTCCAGAGGAACCTAACGAAGGCTCTTCCATCCAGGACCCTATATCGATCCAACCGCCCCGATAGCCAATGCCTCAGTTCTTCATCTTCTGGAGAAAGTCTTCCGAGTATGTGGTGATGGCATCGTTGTATTCCTCTCGGTGCTTGGCCAGATATCCCGGAACTTCCTTGACCCTGTTGTAAGCACTGGGCACAGGTTCACCAAGTGTTTCAGTCACTGGCACATAGCCGGTCCAGACTCTGTTAAGAAGATCTTCATTCTCCATATCTTCCTTGTCATCGCCGGGTACTTTGTTCCTGACTTTCCCACTCCCCGTTTTAATCGTGACCCGGAGAATCGCTGTGGACGAGATATCGGCCTTTGTGGGAGGTAGTCTGGTATTGTCCCACCGACCCTGGACGACCTTGTCGGTGATGATGGTCATGCCATACAAGACCTCTTGCGGGTCCGTCACGACATTCGCGTAGCCGAACAGGCAGGCAGAGCGGTAGTTCATAGAGTGGTGGAAACCTGAGAGCGCCAGGACCAGACCGTCGACGCGATTGGCCGCGATGCAGACTGGAAGGCCAGGCTTGCCTTCGCTCTGCGCTTTGCGCACAAGATTGTTCATCCGGTTCGACACGTAGCCGTGGAGGTAGCAATCAAGCGGCTCATCGAGGCCCGAGCTGGGGTTATCGAACGATCCCATGGCCCCGATCATGGGCAGAATCGCAGGAAACTCGTCCTCCGGACTAGGCGTAAATGACACATCCAGCACCAAACTGGTCTGAATGATGGAATGCACGAGCCCCAACTCATATTTCCCGCGTTCCAAGCCAGCACGCTTCACCGTGTTTAGCGGTCCTTTAGGGTATTCCAGAGTCCGGCCCATTTTTGGGGGAGGTTGTTGATGTTTTGGATTCGCCGCACGTTCTAAAAGAGGCCCGTAAAGAGACTGTGGCCGGTGGGGAGGAATTTCTTTCGATCAGAATGTATTTGGGTTAACTTCAACACAAAAGAGAAGATGGTATAACCGTGGGGGATCGATCCTATTTATTGCATAAGAGGCTGTTGCTGCTTTCCAAGTGTGGAGCGGTTTTCTGGAGCCAATGCGAGCTTCTGGAATGTCATCTCCTGGTAAAGGTAATGAGTCACTTGGGTAAAGAACGGCGTGGATGATCCGTCGAGGTGTCGGAGTTATTGTGCGCAAGGACGATCTCTCGGAAGACGACTGTTGTTTGACGTCGGCCGAATGCAGCTATCGGAGCCCATCCCATCGGAGATTGTCGCCGCTCATCTACAGCGAGGAAACTTTGCGCGGAGGAAGCCTCTTCAGATGGTCTGCTTCTCTATCGCCTCCATCGTCCGATACTGGTGAATCCCAAATGTGAAACTTTCTATTGGTGTACGCTGGACAAGTTGGATGGAATCCATGGACTTCCAGGACTCCGTGCTCGGTCGCGCTTGTTTGAGACGGTATTGAAATTCTGTCCTAGATGAATACTAAAACTTGCAGAAAGTCGGTCAATGTTCTTGCATATATATCTTTCTTCGCTTCAACTCCGGTTTCAGCCAGAAAGGCTACTTGTCTCGCCCCATACCCAGTTCAATGGCCGAACTGTACCACTTCTATCAAAGGAACCGCCCTCCTAAAACATCCTTGGAGCCGCAGCATCTCGTCTACGTCAGCTTGCACTCTTGATCCCCAGCATCGCTTGCCCATACGGTCTGCACCAGCTCCCAAAATCGGTGCTTTGCCACCCACTGGCATCCTCCCGGAGAGACGCACCCTTGTCGTCCAAGCTTCATCCAAAGTCACAAGATATACTTGAAATCTAGGGCTCTATCACCCTCCTTGCCATTATCGGTGACACCCTCATCCAGAAGCTGCTGTTTTTTCATGTCTCGAGAGCGCCACAACACGTACAGGGCAACAATACCTGCCATTGCCATGGCTTCCATTCCAAGACTTACGGCATTTCCCAAAACATATCTAGTCAACCCCCGTGTTAGCATTGTAGACTCGCAGCAATGGATCAATAGCAAGCTTGACTGACCTTGGAGCTGTATCTGCAACGTAGATCTGGCCTGCAATAGCACCAGAAATATTACCGAAGGACAGGTAGAACGCAAGTCCAACTGCTCGCTTGTAATCCGGCTTCAGGTTATTCGACAACCAGCTCATCAAGAGCGTGTTGTAAGCATACACTAAATGCACCGTGTGTTAGGGTATTTGACCGGCTTGGGGCCCGAGACCTACGTTTTCGAACGGGGGAGGGGGGAGGAACTTACGCGTGCCAACGAGGTACATGGCAAAGTACCCAGCCCCATGATTCGTTGTCCCAATTGCAATGGCATAACCACAGATGACCGGTAAGGGAACGAAGAATGCTACTATGGCACGCATTCCCAATCTATCGGACAGCCATGTGGCAAATGTGGTGGCGATCGTTGCCCAGATATAAACCGGAATGCTCAAGTAGTTGGCTTGCAATGAAGTATATCTGTAGAGCATAGGTCAGCAAGATTGCGTCTCGCAATCAGACTTGAGGAGGAGTCATACCCCTGGCCCTTGAGAATAGAAGGGAGAAATGTTCCGAAGCCGAAGAGGCAAACGCCAGCGCCGAATAAACTCACTGCCGCCAACCAGACCATAGGATCAACAGTTGCCATCCTGACATAGCGCCACTCGAATTTGTCATCGCCTTTATACACATGTTCGAGCTTCTTCCGCAGCTGCATCATGCTTTTCTCCTCTTCCGTAAGAAACCAGGCATCCTCCGCGGTGGTGGGAAGCGAAAACCAGCAGCAGCCGCAAACAACAATGGTGACGACCCCTTCAATAATGAAAAGCCATCGCCACGCTGCCAGACCTCGCTGCTCACCCATTTTCTGGATGCCATATGCAATTAGCCCACCGAAGGCTCCCGAAAGAGCGGCTGAGATATAGATCATTGCCATCCTCTTCGCCTGCTCTTTGCGGGGATACACCGTCGAAATGAAGAAGGCAATAGATGGTGAAATACCGGCCTCAAAGGCTCCGAGAAGGAGTCTACATGCCATGGCCTGGGAATAATTCTGAACGAAACCGTTGCCCAATGTGACGATGCCCCAGCATACAAATGCGACAGCAAGGACTTTGTTGACGCCAAACCTCTTTACACATGCTGCCCATGGTGTTTCGAAGACGACGTATGTGACATAGAAAAGGGTGACCAGGTTCGAGAATTCATTGCCTTTCAAGTGCAAGTCCTCCGCAAACCCAAAGACCTTGGCATTTCCTAAGAATCAAGGATCAGCTGGAGAACAAGACCCATGAGAGTGAGTGGGAATATGTTTGGCACCTACCAACGTTCGATCGATCAAGATAGGCGATGAGGTTCAGGATGAAAATCTGCGGTAGGAACCATCGGTCGAATTTGGCAATGACTCTTTTCTCCATGACTGGGTCGATGGAAGAGGCTACCGTCGCTTCATCGGGCGATGGATGACGCTCCAGTACCGGTTCTTCGATTTTCATCGTGTTGGTTGCTCTTTGGCTTCTTCTGTGTAGCAGTATTGGCACGATCAAGGCAAACAAAGAAAAGACTATATACCCTTGCTAATCACACTACGACTGAGAAAGACAGAGGTCCGTTGCATGGTGCGACCTCAGGACCCAACCTTATATTATATTGACCTGGAGTCTTATCAATAGCAACTATGCTTTCGGAGTAGGCATTGAGAGGTGTTGACAAGGCTTCAGGATAAGCAGGGGTTAGCAATCGTTCATTTGATTCCGAAGTCATATCATAGTTGCGTGTGCTGCCATCGGACCTTGACCAGCCATATTTCGTTCGCTCGATACTGTGCTGACCTCAGTCCGAGATAAGCCCTTAAGCCAACCGCCCAGGACAGCTGGAATCTAGATCACCTTGTCTGATAGCGTGGAAGGCAAGCTGGGCCAAGGCCGTTAAGGCCGATACTTGAATCAGCTCGTTGGCAGTATTCGGACTCCGCACTTCAATTCCAGACCCAGCTGGGAAGCACTCCACCTTGGTCAAGCGCTAGGGCGTAAGATCCGATGAGCCCCTAAGCCTCCTTGGTGCCTCTGTCAAAGCGACGCACCAATTTCTACGAGGCAGAGACCTTGATCCAGATCCAAATGCTATCAGCACACATGAAGCCGAAAACGTACAATGTATTCCCGAAGTGGACACCAAATTAGACCAGTCGCTCCAACTGTGTATCGCCTTTTCTGGCAATGCGAGTTGAATTCCGGCTGCTTTTGCAGAGTATATTTTTGGTGTCGGGTAGGATCCCAGTGCAAATCATGCACCCAGTCCTTCTCGCGCTATTGCCTGGCATGAGCCAGTCCGTTTGACTACTAGGAACACGCTTGAGCAGTCGGACAGAAAAAAACCCACCAGACCTGTCGGGCTTTGTCCTTCCCTTATTTCCAGAAGTGCATGTTAAAATAAACGAAAAGAAGGGATATATTCGCATCACCGCGGATGACACGTTGCACAGATCTTGCTCATCACGATGATTGAAAGAAATCCAATTTCCAAGGCAATTGCCATTCGAGACAAATCTCTCGCGGTGATAGAGCCGCCTCTGGACCTCGATCGACTGCCAGATCCACTGCCCCCGAACGTCACGCAGCTGCCCTACGACTTTCTCACTGATGAAGAGATCACGATTACATCTTTGGATGTGGATGAATTATTGGCAAGACTCCGAAATAAGCAGCTCTCTTGCGTCCAAGTTACCAAAGCATTTCTACGAAGGGCAGCACTAGCGCAGCAGCTGGTATTTCTAGCGACCTGGTTGACATGCCCAACCTTGCTAATCGAACGACCAGGTCAACTGTGTCACAGAGCTTCTTCCTGAAACTGCTCTGGAGCGAGCAAGATACCTTGACTCTCTCGACCAACCAATTGGCCCATTGCATGGGCTTCCGATTTCCCTCAAAGAGCATCATGGAATGCGCGGACGTTTGACAAACTGTGCCCTTGTTGCGTGTATTGACAACCAACCGGTACGTTTGCTCCTTCCACAAATGGTCGCGAACAAGAGAACTGAAGCCGATCAAGGACGAAGTAAGCGGGGTGAACGATGTTCTTTGGGAAGCAGGCGCGGTATTTCATGCGCGGACGACGCAACCTCAGTCTCTCATGCATCTTGAGACCTCCTCAAATATCTACGGCGTGACTCTTAACCCAAACAATCTGAAGCTCTCTCCGGGCGGTAGTTCTGGCGGGGAATCAGCGCTCATCAGGATGAGGGGCAGCATATTGGTAGAGCTCTTCTTCAGACTCCTCAAGCTCTCCAGAAGTCTAATTCCTTCCTAGGGTATCGGCGGAGACAGTGGGGGCTCGATCAGGGTACCAGCGGCAAACACGGGTATATATGGATTCAAACCAACCTCCGGACGCGTCACTCGACGAGGAACAGCAAGTGGCGTTCCTAGATCAAGCAGGTATGAAACGGGGTAGCCTGAAAGAGTCTTTGAACTGATGCATGGGTATAGTATAAATGGTTCACATGGACCTCTGTCTACCTCTCGATACGGATTAGAGCTGTTCATGTCGACTTACCTGAACTCACAACCTTGGTATAAAGATGTCACTTTGGTGCCACTGCCTTGGAGGGAAATAACGCTTCAAAAACACCTGAAAATTGCGATCATGTGGTCCGATGGAGTCGTGAACCCTCACCCACCCGTCCAACGGGCTTTACGCCAGGTTGCGACGATGCTCCAGAAGAACAAAGCTCAATTCACGGTGGTGGACTGGGAACCTCTGGAGCATGACCGGGGTTGGGAACTGACACAGTCCCTCTACTATGGCGACGGCGGTGCAGGATTGAAAAAGATACTGGCGGATGGAAATGAGGAGGCCCTTCCTCTGTCCAAGTGGATGCTGGAAAGCAAGAATGTACGAGCTCGCTCTCGTGAAGAGCTGAACCAGGTGAGCATCGAACTCTTCGCGCGTAGGCATGATGGCCACAAACTAATCACGGATTTTCTGTATAGCTTACGGCCGAAAGAGACAAGTACTGGCATACCTATAATGACCACTGGCAAGCCACCGGGGAGAAAGATGGGCATATTGTTGATGCTATCCTCTGCCCAGCAGGGCCTGGTGCTGCCCCGGCACATGGACATTCAAAGTATTGGAGCTACACGAGCCAGTGGAACCTACTTGACTACCCAGCTGCCGTTTTCCCGGTCACTGTGGTTGATCAGGCACTGGACCAGCCGGAGACGGACTACCAACCCATGAACTCAGAAGACAAGCGAAACCATGAGCTCTATGATCCGGGGACATACCGGGATGCTCCGGTAGGGCTTCAATTAGTCACTCGCCGATATGAGGATGAAAAATGTCTTGCAATTCTGGCAGCTATTGAACGAGTGATGGGACGCAAGTAAGGCTTTCGAAAGGTCCTTCATTTTGGTCTGATCAGCCGCGCCTCTTGTTAGAGAGAAGTGAGCAAAAGGATGGAGGATGGCATAGATAGTTCTTGTACGTATGAGTAAGCCTGGTTTCTCATCGTGATCGCGCTGGGAAGATGGGGAAGATGGCATCCCCCCCAAGATCGTCCATCTTATATGTTACTGCGCAGGTGTCGGTTCTCTATCCGCGCATAACTCCGGCCACCCTCTGCAGCCTTGCTTCTTATCTTTCACTTGTACAAATCAGGTCAATCTTTGACGGTCACGTGATCATGTCATTCCTATCAACATCATCATCGTGCTCCCAGCATGTCGTCCACGACAACTAGGCCTACTCAACATAAACAAGTCAGACAAGATGGCTTCTGCTGACTATGACAGACGGCCTGCCGATATTCGAGCCCGACAACGAAATCGAAAGAAAAAAGCCTGTCAAAGATGCAGGACGAGGAAGCAACGCTGTGATGGCAAGGAGCCGACTTGCCACAATTGTGCAACATCTGGCAGCGGTAAGTTATCACCGAGATCAACTTTCGAAACTCTATACGTGACACCGGCTTACTCTCACGCAGAATGTATCCCGGCGAAGAGGGATGAATTGGCGCTCTATCCCGTTGCCTACATCAACTCATTGTCGCAGCATGTCATGAACCTGGAATCCAGGCAAGGTCAGCAAAAGAGCCACAGAAACTTAGCTTCAAACACAGGCTTGACAAGTGGGCTGACATACGATGTGTACGTAGTACCCCAGGAGAATTTGGAGGCACCGGCCTCGCAGCCGTCGTTCAGCCCCCCTGCAGACAGGATCAACAACATTACGGCCTTTAACGACCCCAGTCTTATGGATATGAATTTCATGACTGCTTTCCCTTTCCAGAGTCCCCAGAATGACAACAATGACGTTCAAAATCCAACGTTCCCCGGTGGATTCGATCTCTCCCTCAATCTAACCCCTACCCGGACGTCCCCAGGACGGCGAACTACGTTGTCAATCCCATTGACGGAAGCGGCCAGTCACTTCCAGACCTACATTGACGTCATACATCCTCGCTATCCTGTTCTCACTGTTGAGGAATACGCTCAAGCTTACCTGGTCTGGAAGGAACGTGGACGTTCTGTCGATGACTTCCAGAAATCCTGGCATCTCTTCGTTGCAACCATGGTACGAGCAAGGCTGATGCCTCTGATTTTGGGTCAAGTTGTTGACATGATTTTACAGATCCTTGGTATCGGTTCACGCATTCACCAACCGTACAACAGCCGTGCCAGACGAGCCCAGCATGAAATGCTCATTTCACACATTGAATCCTCCGATGGCGAGATCTCCGACCCCGATATTTCGCCACTGTCTCGTCTACAAGCTAAGCTATTGAATTTGATATTTGTTCTCCTGGGTGATAGTACATCGCGACTCGTCCATGTCAGCGGGGTTGTCATGCGTTTCGCCACCCTACACCAGTTTCACCGACTCGAAGTTTCGGACCAGAAGGACGAGCTGGACGCAAAAGTTCGCGCTTGGTCGTGCATCTACACGTAAGTTCTTGAGCTAGCCCATCATCGCCCGCACAGAGCTAACATGGAGTGAACACTGAACAGTATCGATCGAATGATCAGTGCTACTCTTCGCATCCCTGTCTGCGTTTCAGAAGCCTTCATAAGCTCACCCTTGTATGATCATTGTTCTCCAACCTTGTTCACAATGCCTTGGCTGCCATGGCTCCAAGACTGCCCCGAATATGATCATGAAGTTGGGCTCGTCGACCTGAGCATGTTTATTCACATGTGCAAATTCCGTCACCTGCAGTCCAAGATAACGTGCGCTTCAGCACAGCTCAAACCCGAAGATTCCAAGCCATTCATCACATCCATGCTGGTTGAGATTAAGGATTGGGAAAGACAGTCGGAAGCTTTTGTCAGGGGGTAAGAAAGGCCAGATTGAGCGGTGCATGATGGAAGTTTGAAAGCCGGAGACTAATTCTTACTTGTGCTCTACAGAAAAGACGACGAAGAAGGGTATTTCAGCTCATTGTGGTTACGACGTGGCTGTGCTGTACTTGAAGTCCAACTGTATAGCATGTACGGCATCGTCACCGCCACCGCCACCGCCGCGGAAATGGTCGTAAGCCTCTTCAATGCCTGTTGTGCCACCTGCCATGCCTTTCGCAAGGTTCAGAAGAGTCATCAGCTGGCTCCGCAGTGGATTGATGTGAGTATACATCCGCCCCTTGGCTTTCTGGCGCCATCACGCCATTATGTTTATGTTATCAGGCTGACATGTCATCTCGGCCAGACCATTTTCGAGTTTCAAGCCGGTGTCACTCTCCTATATTTGATTTGGAGCAAGAATATTGCTAGTCAAGACTGGCAGGCTGCTGAGCGCGCAGTGCGCGATTGTCGGTCGACTCTCGTCATTCTGGCCACAGTGGCGCCCGTGGTCGAAAGCTTCATCAACTGTATCGATGCTTTGGTGACGATGGTTTTTAACGAGACTCAAAACGTGCCTGACACGGCCGAGAGGAAGGCAGGGTCGGAGCAGGAGTTACAAGAAGCCATGCAAAAGGCCATCGATGCCGGAGTCGCTCCTCACATTCGCGACATGCTACATGAAATGTCTAAGGGACGAGAGATTATATAAGTTGAATGTTGACGAGGCGAACGAGGACGAAAAACCCGCTAAGGTCGGACCCAAGGACCTGAAGAGCGAAACCGACGCACAGGGCGAAGCAGAAGGAGATCGTCACGGGCTTTGCATATTGGAGTCGTATCGCGCCCAGCTGGAGGATAAATTACCAGGCTGGTTGGGGCCTGGCGTGGTGCGATCCGAGTAAGCATATCGATGTAATCAAAAGAATCGAAACCTCCACCTCCGACGATATTACGAGCGAAAGAGAAACCTCAATTCGACGGTGTCAAACTTAGGCTTAGGGCACTAACTTAGGCATTACCAGCCTTGTGCTAAATTTAACCAGAAGGCGGGTTTAGACGTGTTATCTATACTATATAGTATACGTTCTCCCTGCGGCCCTTTGATAGAGGACATGGAACATTTCAACCTTCATTTGACAGACCGAGACTGCTAAGTTCATGCCGATTTTTATGAATAGCCACCTATACTGTGGAAGCCTGTTATAAGACGAGACATGGCTTTCCGGAGTAAGACCTGCACTTCTCTAGATGCCCACGACAACCGATCCTTTCAAATCGCCCTCAGGCATTTTCACTGCGGAGAGTATTACGCTATGTGGCATGCGATCGTTGGTCGGTTGTGAGAGTATTACGGTATATGGCATGCAATCGTTGGTCGGTTGTGATTTTGACCTTTATCTTGTCAAATGAGGGTTGAAATCTTCTATATTCTCTATCCAAGGGTCGTAGGGGGGAGCGCATACTATATAGTATAGTATAGATAGCACCTAAACCAGTCTTCTTGTCACGGTTGACCCGAATTGTTACACCACGACAGTCGCCAAGAAGGACAAAGTAACTAGTTCACTCGTGAACTAGCCACTTGGTGTATATAACCGTCACACTTCTGGTTAAAGAACAAGGCTGGGAATGCCTAAGTTTAGTGCCTAAGTTTGACATCTTTCGAGACTTGATGCATTAATTCCAATCTAGCCAAGGTATGCAAGACTTGATGCATCAATTCTAATCTATCTAGGGTATGCAACCCCCTCGGGCCAGGCTGTGTCTATGTCTATGTCTATGGTAGTTGACGCCTCGCTCAACTGTTACTTGTTCATGCATTCTTGTACGTTCTTGTAACAGATAGAACTGGCGCATCGCATATATACAGAATACAAAGCAAATAGCCATTTGTACGGAGTACTCCGTATCGTCGGCTCAGCTTATCTCTGTCTCCCTCGAGAGTGTGGGCGAGACGACACCGTCGTGGTCACGAACAGATCCAGCAGAAGCAGAGCCGCCCTCTTCTTCCTTGAGAATGTCGGGGGCTGTCCACCCGGTGCCGGCCTGGACCAGGAGGACGGCGACAGCCAGAAAGCCGCCGGCCAGGTACATTTTCTTGAAGGCGGTCTCATAACCGAGCATGGCGACCTCTCTATCCACGCCCTGGAGTCTCTGGACAAGGATGGGCGTGCCGAGCAGCTGCCGGATGAGCCGGGCTTTGCCGGTGATGCCACGGGCGTCGAATCCGTCTTGCAGCGATTGCTGCAGGGTACGGAGGAACAAGCCGCCCGAGATGGACGAGCCAAAGGATCCCGAGAGACTGCGGAACATGGCATTCAACGGGATGACGATGATGTGCGTGGCCGGATGGGTCAGATGTAGCACGTGCGCCAGGGAATAGTTCAGCAGCGCGCCGGCAATGAATCCGTTGAAAAACAAGACCACGAGGTCGACGTAGATGTTGGAGTCGGGCGTCGAGATCCACGAAACCGTAAACATGGACAGGCTGAACAGGCCGAACGCCACCAGACACGAAATGTAGAATGACATGGACCGCCGGATGTGTAGCCACCCGGCCAACAAGCCACCGATCCCAAACCCCAGGTTCGTGGGGATCAGTGTGAGTCCCGCGCTGGCTTGGGACCAGCCTCGCAGTGTGAGCACATAGGTCGGGGTGTAGAACAGCACGCCCCAGCGGGCCATCATGACCCCGACGGTGGCAATGCCGGAGAGGAGATTGCCTCGGGATCGCAGCACCGCGGTCGGCACAATGGGCTCCTGCGCCCACTTGGCTTCGACTAGGACGAACAAGATGAGAGACGTCACCGATAGGATGATGGGGGTGACCTTGATTTCCGGCGAGGATAAGCTGTAGAGCAGAAGAACCACGGCTGCAATCAGCGTGATGATCCCCAAGTAATCAATCTGTGACAGCTTCTGGGCAAGCGATGTCTGGTCAGCCGGGCCAGGAGACGTCTTGGTCCGATCCCGAGGCCGAGGGATGGCAAAGAAGGCCAGGGTTGCGACCGACAAGGAGAAGGGGATCTGGAGCCAGAAGACAGCTCGCCATCCGACCAGTGGTTCGAGAGCGCCGGCGACGATGGCACCACATGCCACGCCGACGGTATATCCCGTGTTGATACATCCAAAGAAAAGCCCTCTTCGTCGCACACTAGTCAGCTCCGTCACCAGGATGAAGGCCACCGGGGTGATAGAGGCACTTCCGACACCCGCCACGGCCCGACCGACCAGGAACACCGCGAGCGATCTGGCCTGAGACGTGATCAGCAGGCCACATGCCTGCACGACGATGGAGGCGAGGAGATAGACTCGCGGGGTGAAGATGGCCATGATCCGACCCGCGATCGGGGTGATGCTGGTGACGGCGATGAGATAGATCGAGGTAAACCAGGTCACCTCGGTCGACGCATCGAGATCGATCGCAATGGGCGACTGAATCGTGGTGATGAGGGACACATTGCTGGTCAGGATGAAGATCAAGACCCAGACTGAAATGCATACTAAGCTGCCCCGGACCGCTGAAAGCTTCTCGGCGACCCCCGGAGACGTCGACGTCGACGACCGACGCAGCAGTTCTCTCGCCTCCTCATCCGATGTTGCCGTGGCTGCGTCGGAAGAGGAGGGCGTCGATATCAGTGGCGTCCTCTCCGTAGTCCCTGTTTTCCCGGCCATGATGATCCCTGCTGCCCGATCCGAGATATTCGAAAGACTGACATGGATGCTGAAATTGTATACCAATGACAAATAGGTAGCTGGTTAGTTTGACGCAGGATGGATATATTAATTGCTAATACTGGGTCGCAATGATGCCTTCCCGAAACGGCAACTTACACGAGGCAAAGCCCAATGGAGGTTACAGCACGCAATACGGAGTACGAAGGTGATTCCAAAACACTGAAATATACGGTTATGTAGGGAAAATGTGAATCAAGCCTCGGGTTGTATGACTACGTAGTAGTTGCGACGACTTGTTAAAGGAATGGCAGCTGGGCAGTCCCAGTTCAGTACGACGATGCAGCAGGGCAACACTTCAACACCTCAGCATCTCAGCATCTCGACTACTCTGCGCATTCGGCCTTGCGGGTCTCGAACACCTTGAGCGCCTCCTCAGCAGCCTTGACACCGCTCAAGACCATGGCCCCAAAGGTAGGTCCCATGCGGTTGGCGCCGTCAAGCTCACTGAGTTCCATGCCTCCCATGATCAGACCGGGAGAGACCTCACGAGTGCCCTTGACAATGGCATCCTCTGCACGGTTCATGTCGAGCGCACGCATACCACCCAATTTCTCAATGGCGTTCATGCTGACCAGACGTTTGGCGCAGAAGGCTCCGAAGGGACCATCGTGGCCGGTGGTACTGATCACGAGCGGGGCGTTGATGGTGCTAGAGACAATGCGTCAGTGTTTGGTCTGCAGTCAAGGTCTGTCGACCAGGTCAGACTCACTTGGGATCCATGCAGCTGTGGTTGTCGTGGTGCAAGGTGACCAGAGTCCAGTTGGTCACCACACCCACCACTCTGACTCCTCCGTCCGCAGCCGGACGAGTCACCAAGTCTTCGACGCAGGTGGCGTTGAACAGCTTGACGTTGGGCATGGCCAGAACCTTGCTCATCAAGGTGCTCATGAACAATGCCGCGTGCTTGACCACAACATAGTTGCCCTCGTCTTCGTAGGGGACGCCAATGTCGTTCAAGAATTCCTCGGCCGGCTTGCGCAACACCATGGCGGAGAAGAGTTGCCCGCCGAGCCAGCAGCCGCCACCGGGCGACACGGAAGCCTCGATGATGGCGATCTTGAGGTCTGGACGGGCCTTTGCCAGAGTGTAGGCGGTGGAAAGCCCACAAGAGCCGGCACCGACAATGACCACGTCCGATTCGGCGTACCGGTCGAGGTCGGCAAAGTAGCGGCGAGTCATGGCTCGAGAGACCTGAGACTCGCGGATGGGAGCGAATTTGAAAGCATCCCATTTGCCGCCGAAGTCGTCCAAAAGCTTGGTGTGCGTGCCATTGTCGTTGGCATTGGCATTGCCGTTGAGAGTCAATTTCTTGATCTCGGGCACGCCCTTCAGTTCTTTGGTGGCAGCGAATCCGCCTTCAAAGTCATTGTAGGTGGCGATAGGTGGCGACATTGTGAGAGACCTGCATTGCGTTAGGAGAATGGTTCCATGGGCAACCTGGAAGAGGGAGAAGAGCATGATCCTTCCGCTGGTATTATCCAGAGTCAAGTTCAACCGTATAGTCTCAGAACGCACTTCCACAATCCAGGAGGGCCATCTCCCGTCCAGCGTCCAGCATCCAGCCATGGATATGGGGATACATCATGGACGGGTTGGATGGCAGACTCCTGGCAGGAAGCTGCGAACACCGGTTCATGCACAGACACTCCTAGTGTCAAAAGTACCTTGACCATGATAACTCTCAACCGAGCGATGGGATGACATGACGTCCTCCATCTTTTGGAGTGAGCTTTACTTGGTGCGGTTCCAACAGACCTGAACAAGTCAGCATGGTGGTATTTGAGAGGTCTGGAGAGGGAACTACGTGAAGAATTGTCGAAACAGAGATGTTGTCGAGGTGACTGGGTGAGATGCGAAGTCAGTAGGCGGCAGACGGCTATGTTTCTGAGAAAAAGGTCCAGAGAAACAGTAAAACAGAGAAACATAAGCAGAGCTGTCAGGGAGGGCCACGCCCTTTATATAGGTCTTTGATTGCACCATCCTCCGTGTTGAATAGTGGCACTGGCCGGAAAAGTGCGCGAGACAAAGAGGGGTGGAGGGGTGGAGGGGCCGAGGGGTTCCGTGGGCTGTGGGTTGTTGGTTCTTCGTCAGTTGATACTCGTACAGCCCACCTCTGAGCCCTGAAGCCTGAAGTCCTGTCATCATCGAAGATGCTCGAGCTCGAGGGCAATGGAAGGATGCGATAAACGCTGTTCCGCTCCAATGGCTCTCAGCCCTTGCCTGTACCTCTCCTCCAATGTGTGTGAAAGGATGAGGATGGGCTCAGGGTCGAGTTTGATAAGAGCTGCATCGCCCCAGTTTTCTCCTCCTGGCGTTGAAGAGAGAGAAAGATCTTTCCCCTTTCCAGTACCAGACGTCCCATGTCCTATCGGTGAGCAATAAGATATCAATATCCATATCAAGGCTGCCCTTGAGTGATTGAATCTCCTTGTACCAGATCTCCTGGGTCGACTCTGTCGTGGCCGTCTGGCTCAAATGAAGCGATGCTCCCAGATATTCCTAGGAGCTCAACAAGAAACACACACGTGCATCTATGTGCCTTTCACACCAGCCATGCTACCAACACATGGCACTGCACTGAAGCTCTGAACTGCCTCGTCGCCAAGGTCATTCATTCACAGCCTTGAGGGCACACAAACACAGTGTCACTTTGACACAAAAACAAAACTCTACCGTCCTCCCAATCATCAAAAACTCTTCCTTGAAGCCCAGACCAGATTAGATGATGAGTCCAATCGACCTGAGGTCCAAGGGAGCGAAACCCCAACCTGCACAGAGATGTTACCCTCCATGGTCTTTGGCTGAGGTTCTTCCGAACGCCCGTTTTCGAGTCCAACCGCTCTCTGATGAGGCATGGACACCAGTTGTTCAGGGCTTATACCACTGCCCCACCCCGGTGGTGGTTTGGTATGGCAGAAGGTCTAGAGGCCGAGGCTGGTCAACGTTGAAGACAAATTCCGGAACAATAATATATATCGTCCTATTTTTTCAACCAAGGAAGCGCTGGCTGACCTTGATCTCAGGTAATTCACCGCACGGTCGTCACATGATACGCTGTTGCTGCAAGCTGACCTGCATGATACTGATACTCGTGCCTTAGCGGTCTACACGGCAGTCCTGTGACTTGTGACTTGCTATAGGGGGTCATGGTCATGGTCATTCCTTTGCGCACTAACAACCACTCGAGCCTGAGTTGATACTCTTCTGCAGCGGTGAAGCAGATAGCGAGGAAGGAGGTGGTTCCGGGGCCTACTGTAGAAGATGGAAGGTACATGCATTAGTAGAGGTATATACTACGCCTTCCTTCATATAGTGGCTTTCGCCGGTTGGATACATACATACATCCACTTCCACACTTCCACCTATCTTCAAGCTTCTACGGAGTACACTGACCATGGCGGTTCCTGAATAGTGAGTAGTCCCGAACATGTGTCCTGACATTATCCTCCCTCCAGGGAGCATCATTGTGGTTCGGAGAGTGTGGTATATGGATTGGAGTGTCATTTGAGGACCAGTTCATGCGTTAAATTGACAAAGTCTTTTCAGCACCTCATATGCATCAACTGGTGAGGATACTAGCACATACTTGGTGCATAACACGTAATAAATAAGGGAGTACGGAGTACATCCGATGTACCCGACGAGTTGCATGCTAGTAGGTTAACTCGGGTGTGCACACCAGTCGACTCTACATGATATCGCCATCGGAAATATCCCTCGAAACTCTACGTATAATGCTGCAAAGTGGAACAATGGATTATTTTTGAATTCATTTCATTGAAAAGCTATTCTGAGGCCCATACATTCTCTGGCCTTCATCTGCAGAGAAGTCATGACCAAGCAATCGATATTCATGCCGAAGAATCTATGCCATGCAAGGAATCACCACCATCCATGTCCATGGGATAACGCCAACGCCGATTTGACTGACACAAGGAAACAATCGCTCAGTTGCTTTTGTTTAGTGTGCGGGAGGCATTTAGTCAACCTCCTCAACGGTTGGGCCATCATCACCACCTGGAGCAGGGCCAGCACCGGCGCCCGGGAATCCACCTGGAGCACCACCTGGCACGCCACCTGGAGCACCGCCGGCACCGTAGAACTTCATCATGATGGGGCTGGCAACACCCTCGAGTTCCTTCTGTTGAGATTCATACTCATCCTTGGTGGCGGTCTGGTTCTCGTCGAGCCAAGAGATGGTCTTGTCAATCTCGGCCTTGAGCTTCTCCTTGTCCGAAGCATCAAGCTTCTCGTCAACCTTGGAATCCGACAGGGTGTTCTTGAGGGAGTAGGCGTAGGATTCGAGACCGTTCTTGGCAGAGATACGAGCAGCCTCGGCCTCGTCTTCGGCCTTGTACTTCTCGGCATCCGACAACATGCGCTCGATATCTTCCTTGGAAAGACGGCCCTTGTCGTTGCTGATGACAATCTTGTTGGACTTGCCAGTACCCTTCTCGACAGCCGAGACGTTCATGATACCGTTGGCATCAAGATCGAAGGTGACCTCAATCTGGGGAACACCACGTGGCGCCGGGGGAATGCCAGAGAGTTCGAACTTGCCGAGCAGGTTGTTGTCCTTGGTACGGGCACGCTCACCCTCGTAGACTTGAATGAGCACGCCGGGCTGGTTGTCGGAGAAGGTGGAGAAGGTCTCGGACTTCTTCGTGGGAATGGTGGTGTTACGCTTGATGAGAGGAGTCATGACACCACCAGCAGTCTCAATACCAAGAGACAATGGCGCAACATCGAGAAGCAAGATGTCGTTGGTGGACTTGGATGAGGTGTCACCAGACAGAATGGCGGCTTGGACTGCGGCACCGTAGGCGACAGCCTCATCAGGGTTGATCGACTTGTTGGGCTCCTTGCCGTTGAAGAAGTCGGAAACCAGCTTCTGGATTCTGGGGATACGGGTGGAACCACCGACCAAGACGATCTCGTGGACGGAGGATTTGTCGATCTTGGAGTCGCGGAGGACACGCTCGACGGGCTCCATGGTGGAGCGGAAGAGGTCCTGGCAAAGCTCTTCGAATCGAGCACGGGTGATGGAGGTGTAGAAATCAATGCCCTCGTATAGAGAGTCGATTTCAATGGAGGTCTGAGCCGAAGAAGAGAGAGTGCGCTTGGCACGTTCGCATGCAGTCCGGAGACGACGCAAAGCCCGAGGGTTGGAGCTCAAGTCACGCTTGTGCTTTCGCTTGAATTCTTGGACGAAGTGGTTGACTAGACGGTTGTCGAAGTCCTCACCACCCAAGTGAGTGTCACCGGCGGTTGCCTTGACTTCAAAGATACCCTCTTCGATGGTCAAGAGGGAGACATCGAATGTGCCACCACCAAGATCGAAAATGAGGACGTTGCGCTCGCCCTCGGCCTTCTTGTCAAGACCGTAGGCAATGGCAGCGGCTGTGGGCTCGTTGATGATACGCAGGACATTGAGACCGGCAATCAGACCGGCATCCTTGGTGGCTTGACGTTGCGAGTCGTTGAAGTATGCAGGGACGGTGATGACAGCGCTGTTGACGGTGCCACCAAGGTATGACTCGGCAGTCTCTCTCATCTTGGTCAGGACCATGGAGGAGATCTCTTCAGGTGTGAATTGCTTGTTCTCGCCTTTGAACTCCACCTCAATGACAGGCTTGCCGCCTTTGTCAATGACTTTGAAGGGGAAGTGCTTGAGATCGGACTGAACCTCAGCATCAGTGAATTTCCGGCCGATCAGTCGCTTGGCGTCGAAGACTGTGTTGTGAGGGTTCATGGCGACTTGGTTCTTGGCTGCGTCACCGATGAGACGTTCAGTGTCTGTGAACGCGACAAAGGAAGGAGTTGTGCGGTTGCCCTGGTCATTGGCAATGATCTCAATGCGGTCATCTCTGTAGATGCCGACACATGAGTAGGTTGTACCTAGATCGATACCGATGGCTGGAGCCATGTTGACTGGAGGATATGAGGATATGTGGATGAAGTGTCGTGAGAGGGAAGGGATTAAAGTAAAGTCTTTTGAAGACTTTGTTCAAGAGTATGAGTGTGTATGATTTCTTTCTGTGTCTGGAGAGTGGAAAAGGTGTGAGAGTGCGTCAGGGCTTTATGAAGTCTCGCAGGTGAGAGAGTTTGTATGGGGCTTGGCGGTTGCGCGGTGATAGAGAAGGCTGCGGAAGGCGATGGAACATTCAGCGCACAGCCAGAAGAAACTCGATCTCCACACGCGGTGGTCCAGCAGTCACTGGCACCTTCACGTGCCTGCGCGTAGCCGGGAGATCTGGAGATGAAGCTGCACGAATTAACTCTCAGAATCTGCCTTTTTCTAGCCGCATCCGTGAATTGCGCCTGCGGTGAAGGCATTGCTGGACAATCGAGGTGGTGAGAGCTGCCGCTCGATGCCATACGTCATACCACTCTTCCATATTCGGTTGGATTCTGTCTGGCAAGGCTGAACTGCAAACTGCGCTGTGGGGCAGAAAATTATTGGGTGGAATATTGCCTGAACCCTGGCATTTGCAATTCCCACCTCCCACCTGCAGTTCTCCCGGCAACCACCTCATGCAGCCCAACCATCCAGCCATCTATGGATACTCTACTGCTCTAGAAATTTCAAGCGTCTGGATTCAACGTAACTGTCCGCATTCTCACTGACCCTTGCGAACTCCGCCCATCCCCTTCAAGCTCCCTGGCGGATGCAGTTCGGAACACTGTCGTACTCGAAGAGTGTGAAGACTGCGATGACTGCCGAGACGAAGTCCGCTGGAGATCATCCGGATCGTGACGGCTTCCTCTCATGTTTGTCTCATTTCGCGCATTCCCGCATCCGCGCTTTTCCATCTGCCGCTGCAGCCAAGGTCGAAAATTGACTAGAAAAGAAGGAGAAATCATCAGCAGCACATACCGATCAGGAGACTGGTGTGGTGTCTTACAGTATCCTCCACATGCAAAGACCCCGAGCCACAAGACAAGTTCAGATCCATAGATGACCAGTCCCAGTATATCCAGATGGGGTTGAAAGCAAACCGAAATCAACGAGGTTAAATCACCCATGGCATCGATTCCCACAAAAATAAATGAGATGCCTCTGACCGTCCTTTCTTTGTAAATGTCCCAGTAATGCCTCAAGACGCCGGCGCAAAGCAGACAGGCCGACAACACTGCCATGAAGGTGACGGGCCAGTCCACATGGTTATCTCTTCCTCTCCTCAATGCAAACACCAGTCCACATTCAATGCCGCCCATAACAGCGGCTACTGGAGTGACAATGGCGGCAGACTTGGTCCAGGGCCACTTATTCCCATAGTACTTGCATTGGATCCAGGTCACCAGGCTGAGGAACGTCAGAATCTGCGGCTGGATGCGCAACGCCACGTTGAAGTTTTCCACAATGTTGTACACTCCTAATGGAATACCTGCGCAAGCCCAGAGCAGCATCATGGTTGGTTGCAGGCCGGTCGTGTCATGCCGGCGATAATTGATGATGATTTGTGGAATGAGCTGGAGGGCAGATATGAGCTCCGGCTTTTTCCACAGGTAGGACAACATACCTGAACAGACCAGCATATTGCTCCTGTCACGCCGAGGACATTTGCTGCGACTGGCACATCCATCCCGCTCTCCCTGGCTCAACTCTAGATCTTCAAGGATGCGTCAATTGACAGTCCAAAACCAATCGTAGACTTGCATGCACGTGATCTAGACCCTTGTCCAACCCACGCTAGGGCAGCGGGAATCTGGGTCTTGGCGCGACTTGGAGGCGCGAGTTGCGCGAATCCGCGAATTCGGGCTTGTGGTTGAATTACTCGTATTTAACATTACCCTTCACCACTACTCCGTACTCTGTACAGCTTTCCCACCTCTGTTCTCCTGTCTAGACAAGTTTAATCACCACTTTTCCACGCTTTAACCATGTCGGCGAGCACGAACGGCGAGACTCTCCCCCAAAGTGGAAGTGAAGTGACCGACAAGGGTAAGGGTAAAGGCAAGGCTGTTGAGCAGCCGGACGTGGGGGAAGAAGAAGACGACTCTGAAGAGGAGAGCGCAGCTGAAGAGGTAAATCCCCAATACAACGGACGGCATTTGATCTGTGCTGATGTCTTGCTCGCGACAGCAACCCGAAGTTGAAGAAGAAGGTATATTCTGTCCGTCCTGGATCTACATTCCACAGCGTCGCGCCCTGTCTTTTCACCACGGTGTTCGCTCGAGCTTTGACAGACTGGTGTTCTAACGTAGAACAGAAGACGAAGACATGGAGGAGATCGACCTCAGCAACATCGTCCAGGGACGCACTCGCCGCAAGCAGATCGATTGGGCTGAAGCAGAGCAGAAATCCAAGGATGCCGGTGACCAATTTGACGACGACGATGAAGATGATGATGAGGACTTCGAGGCGGAAGACGATGACGAAGAGATGAAGGGTTAAGATGTTGGGTTGAAGAAAAGGGGTTCACAAAACACGGCGTTTGGAGGTGGGTGTCTTCGGTCTACCTTACTTTCTTGAGGGTTGAGACTGGATACATGGGTCGCGAAATGCCGACACATTGGAGGCGCCGCTCGCGTCTTCGTCACGACCACATTATTCTTCCCATACACCTGCCAAACCTAGACCAGAATATCACCTCAAGCATCTCGTACCGAGGAATCAAGACAGCACGTTCGGTATCAGGCCTAGCATTTCAGGAGAAATAAGATCGGATCATCACACAGCGCGTGGGGTCTTTGACATACTTGCATTGTCACACCGGTCAGTGCAGATCAGGCAGCTTTTCTAGTACATGGTCTACTGAAATGGGGGGGCTGAAGCAACTGCCAAAAGAATCAAAAGCGCAAGCTATCACGAGTTTACCAGCCTTGCTCGATCATGTTCTTCTGCTCCTCAGTCAATGCACGCCCATTTGTTCTGTTTCTATTCGCAGGCTCGCTGAACCACGCAGGCCCCATCACTTCCCCTCCTCGAAGTCCTGACACTCCAAGATTCTCGATAGGAAGAGAAGGGAGAAGGAACCGCACCTGCACCTCAAGCGAAACACGTACCGGGAATGTTGCGGCGAGGTCTTGCCTTGGTCCAACTTGTTCGCACCACCTCCGCCCACTCAGGCTGTTGCTCATTTCTGGAAGTCGCTTTGAGGCATACCATATATACACTTACGTCGGTTGTTGATCCAAACATTCCTGGGCGGAGGACTCATATACTGAGATTGTACAATGTCCACGAGCCGGTCTCCGTCATCGATGTCAACTCTACCTCCGATCTATCAAATGGACAATATGGCCGAATAGGCATGCAACCCAAGTTTACATCTTGACCGACTCTGTCCAACTCCTCCTTCTGGTCTATCAAGAAAAGAAGCAGCGGTAGCGGTAGCGGTCCGCTCTACTACTCTGGTCTGGCTCTGGTGCGGTCTGCTCCAAGTTCCCTCATATAGTCCTCCACACACTCGCCTTTAGACAAGAACTTCCCTGCGTTTAACCAGTGTCCGGACAAGAACTTCCCTGCGTTTTATCAGTGTCCGAATTGAAGATGTCCGAGTTCCCCAGGGCGGCTTATAGCAAGGCTGACTAGCTACGTTACGTTACGATACGTCTCGGAAGCCGAGCAACGAAGGCGAACACATATTCAATTAATACTAAGTATCTATTCCTCCCCCCTCCCCTTAGCTACATAGTGACAAGAGAGACAGAAGATCATAATACCTGTTTCCGTGGAGATGCTGTTCCTGTTCCGGTTCCTGTTCCTGTTCCTTTCGGTCCCTTTTTTCCTAACCTTCCTTCTCTTCCCCACCTGCCCGGTTACCTTAGTTACCGAGAGTCATCCGCGGCCTGGGAAGTAGGTGGTAGGTTTCATGTGAAATATATTTTACCAATAGATATACATATATAGACAGTATACTATTCCTATTACTATACTATTATTACTGCCATGCAGCGTGGAGCAATAAGAACAGACCCCGAGTGAGACTCCAAAATCGTGATTGTTTTCTACAATAGAGCAGAGCATATATCATCTAAACGGTTTCCTTTCGTCGTAGGAAATTCCCCTTCTTTTACTGTGTTAGTGGACTTACTTAATCTTCGACCTTCACCCAGTGATCGTCTTCCACAGTGTTAGAGAACTTACTTAACCTTCAACCTTCACCCAATGATTGGCTTGGAACGAAGGGAACGAAGGGAAATAAATACCAAGCTCCAGCTAGAACCGGGCGAGATTGAATATTCCGTATAGAACACAGATCAGATTATAATATACCTAGATATTGGAATATAGTTTGTCACGAATTTCTAAACCGCCATAAGCCATGACGGCGAAGAAACAGCTGAAGTGACTAATTCACACAGAATTAGGTCTTGGGTATTGGGTATTGGGTATAGAGATGTGATATGGATGGAAAACATCCTCAACGTTTAGAGTATTTTTACTGACCTACCTACCTTGTATACAGCCAAGTGCGGAACGAAGTTGTCATTCGACGGCTTACAGCTTACAGCAGAGCACGGGATGGCACAGTACGTGCATTGTATTGCATTGCATTCATGGTATACACACTCGTCAGTACATGTGAGCAAGATGCTTCCAATCTCGATTGCATCCCGTTCGAGCATTCGCAGAAAGAAGCTTGACTCTGGCCTTAGATCAAGCCCAAGCCCAAACCCAAGGACAGCCCTGGCAGTACCTACGTATAGCTTTCCTGCTGGAGCAGGCCGCAGTCGCTGGATAATGCAGCCGCTGGATAACATTGCGGAATGGCTGTACGAATTCCCTCCCCGCCATCCCTATCCTGATAGACATGGTAGTATCTTTCTGTCCTCCGGTCGTCGCTCGCCATGCAAAGCAGAATCTCCATCATTTCGCAGTCCCGCGGTCACGAGACCTCATCGCAGGGGAGACGACAAGATCCTCCCTCGCCACGGCCTTTTGTTTTTTGGCACAGTTCGGACAGCGCCAGGTATTGACAGGGAAATCAAGTTTTGGCTTCGACTTGCCGCTAGGTGTATTCGGACTAGCAGTTGGGCCCATGGCGACCATGGGCTTCTTGCCTTTGATCTGCTCCAGCGACTGTCCGCGGAAGACATCGAATCCAAGGTGCAGCCGGGCACATTTTCGATGAAACATCACAGTGGGTGTCTGACATTCCGGGTCTGCACACAAGACCGTATTCTGCATCGGCTTTATGATCAGCTTTGCGCAGTGCCCACAAATAAAGTCTCGATTCTTGATCGCTGCTGAGGACTGACCCGACCTAGGCGTGTGGTTTGAGGCGGGTTCACTTTGCGGTCTCGCATTCCTCGGCGCCTGGGATTCTACTTCACGTCGATGGCGGCCCCTGGTTGTCATAGTAAAAGATTCCATCGCCGAACTGGTCCTCGAAGGTGGATCCACAGCCGGACTGGCTCCCGGTGACTCTTGAAATTGAAAAACCAGCTCATTTACGTCCGAGACAACATCGTCGTCAATGACACCACTGTCCTTGAGGTCTTCCAGGAACTCGAAAAACACCACGAGCAATTCGTCATCCCCCTTTCTAATCCAGCTTCGATGTTTGCGTACGAACCGAATCAGACTGTTGGACAGATACCTGGAATGTTCCAGCTGTTCTTCCATTCGATGCTTGTCCCAACGTTTCCGAAGTTCGCGCTCGTAATCACTCCAGCCTTCACGTTTGGCCGCCAAGTCGAGTCGTTCCATGTGTAGATCAATCTGCCACACACTGTCGATTTCATCATCGGTTTCACTGCGAGGGTCCTCGCTTGGAGACACGGGTCGATGACTGACGGATGTGTACACCGGCACCGCCTCTTCATATTTGGACTCGAGTCGGATTGCTCGGTATCTGTTACGCTCTGGTTCGCGGAAATCGGGCACATCCTCGGCTGGGAGGAACCCCGAAGTAGATTTCTTGACACTCGCTAAAGGAGGCGCTGGAGGTTTCGCGACCGCACTTCTTGTGTCATTCTCCTCGCTCGCGCAGCTGTGATGGCCTTCGAGGCAATCCGTCCGGTCGCAGGGGTGGGCGGGCGCTTGCCATGCAATGGCTTTTGTGTCTCCTCCCTGCTTCTCGGGTGGAGTGGCCCAGTTCACATTGATCTGGATATGGCTCAATTCATTGCTCACATGGTCTCGTCGTGGCCTTTGCACAGTGAAACTGAGTTTGGAGTGCATTGTCGTCAGATGAAATTGCAGGTTTTGTAGCTTCGACGTCTTCCAGGTGCACATTGTACACTGATAGCCGCTGACAGTCATAATGCGGGGTTTGGGGGCGATTTGGGCCGCGAGTTCGATAGAAAAGTGATAACATATTTGCGGTTGGTGATGGGTTTGATTGACTATCGCAGCAGTTGAATCATTGTCTATTGCGGGCGTGGGCTCGACACCGTTCGGTGCACCGTTTGGTGTTGGAGACCGAAACGAGTCCGGATCGAAGCCATTGTTCCTAGGCTTCAGCGTTTTGTTGGGCTCGGTAGACCTCTGCCAGGCAGATAACACCTGAAGACCGTATTTCGTTCGGTATGTCCGTCCTTCATGCAGGAAAAAGACGCTCAATGGAACATCTGGGTCGGGAGCCTGTGGTAGGTGTGTATACCTTGCCACCACCGCGCCTTGCAAGTCTTCCGGCCCTGTCTTCCTGGCGTCGCGGGCAAAGTGGTCCCCGTCACTCTTGCCCAGCAGCGGGATGGGCGGCCATAAGCTTCCATTCCGACATGGGATGATCTTGATTTCGAGAAAATACTTGTCGGTGAAGCCCAAAATAGACCCGTCCTTGGTTGGGACTGAAACTTTCAGGTCGTCCGCCTGGATGACAAAGGACTTGTCCAGCTCTATGTCGACGAAGTATCCGTTCAACGCGGTTTCGGTCGTGGTTAACCGGCAGTAGGTCGACTTGGTAGTCAACACTACCTCATGGCCAGCACGGTTGTCCCAAATGGTGAGATGGCATTGACATTTGACGACATCCCGTTTTTGGCGCTTTGCCGGCCTCTCATTCTCATCCGGATGGTTGGTCTTGAAGTTGAGTTTTTTCCTGATACTGTCAAAGTCCAAGAGTAATTCGGCCTCGGGCCGTTCATAGACCCTCTCGAGAAGGCCTCGAATACTGCGGCGCGAACTCCTCTCAACCCCTTCTGGGTATAATGCCGGGGAGCGCGAGCTGGACGCCATTTCTGGTGGGTTTGAATGCGCTTCGCTCGAACGCGCGAGGGGCACTTGCAAAGTCGGCGAGCCTTCCACCAAATGTCCCGCCGCACCGGCCCCAGCCGCACTCGGGATCGTCTCTCCGACCAGCTCGTCAACAAAATTGCACAACTTGAATTTTGCCGCCGGGCTCGTTGACGCGTCCGTAGACGTCAATTTCGCCTCACAGACCCGTTGATGATGGGCCAAAACTCGCGCAAGGTTTCTCGGCAAGAACAGTTTGTGGCGAGTTCTAGCTATCTCACGGGCAAAAGTGACCTCTTCCACAAAATGCCTGCTAAAATTTCTCTCAGAATGCGAAGCGTTCACATCGGAGTCGATATTCAGCATATTGGGCAGGTGAACATGACGCGGTTCCTGTTCTGAGGTTCAAGACCCATCCTCGATGGCTAACTTAAGGCGTCAGGTGCGCACAGTGAGGTTGAAGATTTGCTCTCGGCGTATAACGACACAGCCGTATCGCGAATATCAATATCTGTTGCCCTGAAACTGACCACGGTGGCTGATGCAGTGTGCAATGTGCAGTGTGCAGTGCTGCCTTTACGCGTTCGATATCTGGCAAGCGTTGTTTGGAACCCAGCTTTGGGTTGTTAAGGCTGGACCCTGGACAAAAGACGGGATGGTGGATGAAGGCGATGCCCAAGCAAGGCCTGGAAAGGGAGGGCGAACTGAAATGAATTGCAACGGATTGGTGGGTTGGAGGGTGGAGGGTGGAAGGCGGAGGGACTGGACAAGTCGTGCAGCAGGTAGCGAGGTGTAGCAGGGGGGGATTGCTGTTACTAGTAGCTAGGAGTAGTGGTGGTAGGCGCCTGTTATCTCAGCAGGGAGTTGGTTTATGTCTGACCCAGAGATATCGGGCCGCCACTAGTAACTAGGGTACTATGTACCTACTAGGTGCCTACTAGGTAGTGACTACACGGGGTAGGCATAGCCTAGACAGGGTATGTATAGAGTAGAGAATAGGCTTAGGGGCACCTAGCAGGTAACATTAGGTGGCTCATAGCTGGGGACACCCGGCCAGGATCCAGCCAGCATGTCACCGCCGCTGACTCAGCCTGCTGTCTGACAGTTTCATGCTTGGACCAACCGGAAATCAGGCAGGCTCCGCCCGCGCGTGCATTAAACAACAATCCAAAAAGTTCTATGTGACTGGCTGCTCTTGATTTCCTGGTACCTTACTACCTGTTAGGTGCCTGTCAGCTGCCTGTTAGTCCTGGCTCCTTAGGCCGCTAATAGCAGATCGTCCGGCACATCATCCTTGGTGTTGCTTCATTCTTTCTTTTCCAGCAAAGAGTGTATTGGGTATTGTACCGCTACTGCTAAGGGCTGAGGCTGAGGTGGACCTGACAAGCAATCGCAGACGAGAGAGAGAGAGAGAGTCTTTGTCTGGCAAACAACCTATCCTCTGTAGCTGGTGCAGGAGGGGAGGTGTTCCTAGAAACAACCACCGAAGCAAACCTTGTATGAGTCCTCCACCGAGCAAACACACAGCCATGTTTTAGATAAGTGCCCTTCGTGGGCATACTGAAACGTAAGCTGCTCATATCTGGACCGCTACCCTTGACCCTGCCCGGAGTAGGAGTGGTTGAACAACTCTAACCTGACAGCTCAGAGGCCTTCGACCATCTCCATCAGAAAGTACCATGCTTCGATATAGATCTGTCCGGTTTAAGCTGCTTTCTCCTAGTATCCAATCCTAGCGCACAACAAATGAAATACCTGGACAGATCTGGGAGTCTCCAGTCTCGAGCTTAGGGAAACCTCCAAACTTCATTTCTCTAGAGAAGTTTGTTCGAAACCCGTCGTATCCAAAGGAAGAGCCTGTCCTGGGAGATCATATCTGTTGTAATCAGAGCGTTTGGGGCCAAATGTTGCTGGAATTCAATCTCAGGCTTAGGCCAATATCAATTCCACTATTAGTCTCGAGGAAGACTTCCCGCCTCCTTGGACGGGAAAGGAATCTCTCACCCACCTGACTAGCAACGACCCAGAGTGTTTCCCTCAATAGCCAAACAGCAGGTATCACCTCGACCACCAAAAACAAGGACATCTTGTAGACAACAGTCCCTCCAAACCCCCACTCTTTTGCCTGGCTCACCTCAGAAGTTGAAGACGGAGCTCGGTGGAAGAAGGGAAAGGATGGCGTGCTATTGCCTGGATGACTCAGTAATGACCATGGCCTCGGGGGACATAGAGGAGTGCACTTATTTCAGCAAGGGTGCAAAGCTGAAAAGGGAGAAAGTCTCCTCTCGAGCCTCTCGATTTGGTCTGTTTCTCCCTGCCTTTTCTTCCCCTCCTGAACGAACATGGAAGATTGTCTCATCCCGTTGCTCATTCAAGTGGTGACGAGACCAGAAGCGAAGCAACACCTCCAGAAGTTGAGAAAAAAGGCAGAAAACGGCTGCCCAGAGTAATTGACTGGCAATATCGTCCTCAGTGGACGGTTGTAAGCAGATGTCTGAGAGACCTAGCGTATCTTCGTGTGTATTATGCCATTTCATGTTAATCATCCCTCGTGGTACATATTTATCCAAGCCGTAGCCTGTGGCTTCAGCCATCGACATTCATCTCGTCTCCATTTTCAGCTAGTCTCCTATTTCCCGTCGCTTCAGCCTTGTCATCATGATCAATTTTGCCTTGCGTCTCAGTCTCGCCCATCAGGCTTGTTTCCATCCGCCCACTCTGGCAACCTGGACAATTGTGCACGACCTCATGTGCGAAAAGGTCGCAGTCAATGCAAAAATGATGGTGGCACACTGGACATTCGTACCTGCTGCTCGATGCTGATTTCAAAGTTTCCCACTGCTCCCGGGGAGGCGCTACGGGAAAGGGTTTGAGGCATGCGAAGCAAGCCTTGCTGCGATACGCTTGGGACCAGGGCACTTCAAGCCAGTTAACCAGAGGAAATAAGTGATGATAACTTCGGGCGAGATGGGTCGAGAGAATGAGCGTCAGCCCGCACACAGGGCATTCGCTCGGTAAGCTACACACTTTCGTACTGCATCGTGAACAAAGATACCCATCGCGAGAGGGTTTAGTATGACAGGCGCAGAGGGAAGGGTGGTCCTCCACCGTGCGTGATGGAAAGCCCATCATCAGCAAAGAACTGGCAGCTTTGGTCGACTCGTTCGTGACTGGAGGCGTAGTCACCGCCATGAGTAATTCGCGGAAGTGCTGCTCGTGAAGTACAACACCATAATTTGACAAGTCGCCGTCATTGGTTTTGGAGACCAACTCGGCGCACACGGCGACCTGCGCCGCCAGACCTATTACTGTAGCTCGAATTTTGTCGGCCACAAGAGTCTCAATTGTACGGTGGATATCGCCAGGATCCGACGTGTGTAGAGCACCAAAAACCAGCAGAACTTCTCGGGTGCCGTGACTGGGAGCGTGGAATAGGGCTGCCCGAGCCATTTCGAGGGCGTTCTCCAGAGATGGCTGTCCTTTCGGCTCCTCTTTGCGGATCTTCTGAATGGCAGCAATGTGGGCGTTTGGGTTGCCCGACATGTCGCTCACCCGGATGGCAATTCCATCGCGCATGCCCACAATGCCTAATTGTGAGATAGGGTTTTGTTCGAAGAATTCTCTGATGAAGGACTCGGTGTATAAGAGGGTTAGGAGGTAGCGGGTTGGACGTAAATCTTTCTCAGTCATGGACAGCGACATGTCAAGGATTAGAATAACATGGCGAATGATCCCACGCTGGAGCGGAGTTGTGTCTTTCAAGAGTCTGCACGGATGGCAAATGTTAGAGTGGTTCTTCGTGTCTTCACCCAAGAGCAGACGCAAGCAGATTGTCTACTCATCACATACCTCTTTCTCTTTCCGGCCTCTAGTAAGCCCTCCACGGCACCCGTGATGGTTCCATCGGCGCCCTCAGTCAACAAGTCCCATGTCCGGGTTACCTCGAAGTTTTGAGCAGAATCGCGAGTATTTGCTTTTCGAGCCTGCGAGCGGCCGGGCCGCCGTGGGAGATCATCGTCAGATCCGTCCGCGACATACTCATCCCCTGACGCCGGCATCACCTGGGCGAAAACCGTGCGGATAGGAAGAGAAGAAGTAAGGACGTGGATCGGGTCGCATGCAACAACAGGCGAGAATGCTAAGTTGGAGCGTACCGTACTCCGTACCTTGCTTCAAGTTGGAGAATGCGGTGGAGGTTACGGGCTAAGGAAGCCTGGCTCCCCAGACTCCGAGGTGTAGCCGTGAATGACTGCACATAGCCACATAGGTAACTATAGCGGTGCGGGGCATGGTGTTTGGCCTACAAGCTGGAGTTCAAACGCAGCTGTTGTCGTCCGCCGTTCTAGCTTGTCCGTCATCAAGCAGATTGTTGCGTGCTCCTGTTGTAGTATCCTCCTGATCGATTCCGGGCCGACACTTGGGCAGACAAGTTGAATGCTGGAGTTTAACTTCGCTGCTGCAGTCTTCGCTTTCTCTTCTGCTCTAAAGGCTGGTCCTGCTTCCTTCTGTTCGAGACGAACTCTCGGCACGGTCTCTTTGTCTGTCCGCACCACGAGATCGACACTTTCAAGGCGCCTCGCACCGCAACATTCACAAACACGATTCTGCTCTGCAGAGGCTCGCAGAACGATGGCATCTCCTACCGACAGAGAGATCCTACCAGATACTATCAAGCCTATAAACTATGACCTGTCGCTGTTCAATCTCGAGTACGGAGGGAAATGGTCCTACGATGGACTGGTGAAAATCGACTCCAAGGTCAAGGGGGACACGCAGGAACTGGTGATTAACTCTAAAGAGCTCGAGATCAGTGGTGCGGATGTTCTTAGTAAAGACGGTGGATGTATGTTGTTCCGAATGCCATACCTGCTGATTACCTGGTATTAAGATGAATACAGTGCCTATCACCTCGATGACCGATGTTTCCTACGATACGACTAAGGAGCGAGCCACGATCAAATTCTCGGCGAACATCCCTGCTGGTGATGCTGTGATTGCCATCAAATATAAGGGCACAATCAACAATGCTATGGCAGGGTTCTACCGTTCAAAGTACAAGCCAGTCGTAACTCCGGCTTCAGGTACGCCAACGGATGGCGAACATCATTACATGTTCAGCACCCAGTTCGAAGCTTGTGAGGCCCGGAGAGCATTCCCCTGCTTTGACGAGCCGAACTTGAAAGCATCATTTGAGTTCGAGGTCGAGATTCCAGATGACCTGGTGGCTCTGAGCAACATGCCTGAGAAACGCGTGACGAAAGGCAGTAAGGACGGGCTAAAGAAAGTTGCCTTTGAGAAAACGCCCGCTATGAGCACTTATCTGGCCGCTTGGGCCATTGGCGATTTCGAGCACGTCGAAGCATTTACCGAGCGCAAATACAACGGCAAAAACCTGCCCGTTCGAGTCTATACTACCCGTGGTCTCAAAGAACAGGGCCGCTTTGCTCTGGAACATGCCCACAAGACCATCGATTACTTCTCCGAAGTCTTTGGAATCGACTACCCCCTTCCGAAATCCGACCTGCTGGCGGTACATGAATTTGCTATGGGAGCCATGGAGAACTGGGGGCTGGTAACCTATCGAACAACAGCCGTTCTTTTCGACGAGGAGAAATCGGATGCTCGATTTCAAAATCGAGTCGCGTACGTGGTTGCCCACGAACTCGCTCATCAATGGTTCGGCAACCTGGTAACTATGGATTGGTGGAATGAGCTTTGGCTTAACGAAGGCTTTGCTACCTGGGTCGGTTGGCTTGCCGTCGACCATCTCCACCCGGAATGGAAGGTGTGGAGTCAGTTTGTGGTGCGTAGAATGTCAAAAGGTACTTTTGTTGCTATCGTTGTTGACATGAATACAGGCTGAAGCTGTACAAACAGCCCTCGAACTCGATTCTCTGCGCGCTTCGCATCCAATCGAAGTCCCTGTCCGAAATGCTTTGGAAGTCGATCAGATCTTTGATCATATCTCCTACCTGAAAGGAAGCTCCGTCATCCGCATGCTGAGCAATCACTTAGGGCAGGAGGTGTTTTTGAAGGGCGTTGGAGACTATCTCAAGATTCATGCTTATGGGAACGCACGAACAAATGATCTGTGGGCAGCCCTCAGCGCTGCTTCGGGCCAGGATGTTCAGGCCTTTATGGACCCTTGGATCCGCAAGATTGGATTCCCGGTCGTTACGGTTGCTGAGGAACCAGGGCAGATAACTCTTCGTCAGTCGAGGTACCTGACCACGGGGGACGTCAAACCGGAAGAGGATGAGACTACCTGGTGGATCCCCGTGGGTCTCAAGACAGGCACGCCTGCAAAAGTTGTCCACAGTGCATTGACGGTCAAGGAAGATACCGTGCGTGATGTGGACGAGAGTTTCTACAAGATCAATGCAGACCAGAGCGGTTTCTACCGAACAAACTATCCACCACAACGTTTGTTGAAGCTTGGAGAAAGTCAAGACCGTCTGTCGATAGAAGACAAGATCGGGTTGCTGGGAGACGCTACTTCCTTGGCTATTTCAGGCAGCGGAACTACTGCTGCTCTTCTGTCTTTATTGGAAGGCTTCCGGGAAGAGAAGGATTTCTTGGTCTGGTCACAAATTGCAACCTCATTGTCCAAGGTTCGGGCTGTCTTCGCCGAAAACAAAGAGATCTCCGAGGGGCTGAAGAAGTTCTCTCTCAAGCTGTTTTCCCCCGCAGCCGAAGCCACTGGCTGGGAGTTCCCGAAGGATGAAGAATGGTTGACGGGTCAATCACGTAAGCTTCTGCTTGCTTATGCAGCAGGAGCTGGACACCAAGGGATCATCGCAGAAGGCAAGAAGAAGTTTGCGGCTTGGAAGGGCGGTGACGAAAAGGCCATTCACCAAAATCTCCGGGGCGTCATCTTCAATCTGGCTGTTGCCAACGGCGGTCAGGAGGAATACGATACGATCAAAGCCGAATTCAAGAAAACCACGTCTGTGGATGGCAGAGAGATCAGCATCCAAGCGCTGGGTCGATCAAAAAACCCAGACCATGCCTGGGATTTGCTTGAGTTTGTGACTTCCGAAGAGGTACCTCCTCAGGACGCACATGGAGGTATCCTGGCCGTGGCAGCCAACAATGGCACTCGACGAGTGGCTTGGGAATTCACCAAGAAGAACTGGGAGAGGGTCGAAAAGAGACTTGGAGTGACGAATGTGGTGATTGACCGGTGGATCAAGACGGGATTGCCCAAATACTCGGATACGGCAATCAGAGATGATATCGCCGAGTTCTTCAAGGACAAAAACACGGCGGCATTCAACCGGAGCTTGGTGATAGTGTCTGACACCATCACCGGGAATGCTAGCTACAAGCAACGTGATGAAGCCCGGTTGTTGGAATGGTTGAAGAGCCATGGATATGCTTGAGGATGGGTCACTGCCATCGAAGTGCCGCTAGGCGGGTAGCACCTAGGGTAGACACTGCAATCAATTGCATAGACCGGATAGAGGTCGCCTGATTACCAGAATCCAAGCACGAGTCATTGAAGGTTCAGCCTGGCGTATGCTTGCTGGTGCTTGATAGAGGCAGGCTGACACAGTGATGTGCCAAACAGGTGAACCTATCACCGTCCCAGTCACGATCAAATGTCATGCGGTCGGTCAGTGCACGGGATGGCTGGCAGGTTTCACGTGACCGGTAGCCGCTCGGCGCAGCCTAAACGGGCGAATCCCCCAGGCGCCTGGGAGAGAGAGAGAGGAGAGAGACGGCGGCCCCCATCATCCCATCCTTGTCCGTTCCAACGTCCCAATTCCTAACGCATCCTGTAACTGTCCAACTTGGCCGCAAAACCAAAGCCTCCCTTCTTAATATTCATTTCTTCACTCGCACCTTGCTGCAACATCCGCCTTTGGACTCCTTCACAGCCTGAGTCTTTCAGTCCAGCGACCACTACCTCCACTTCTTTGTCTCCTGCTCCAGCTGCTCCTCTGACGTCTCATTCAACCATCCGCCACCATGAACCCCGAGTAGTAAGTCATCACGACAGCCAACCTTTGACAGACAGTCGTCTGTAGGCGTCGAATGGGACTTGCTGACTGAAAACAGAGTCCTCTTCTCTCAAACGCGCCCGCGATTTCGTTCCACTGCGCTCCTCCGCCGGTGCTCTGGCCTCGAAGACTGACACCGCCATCAGATACGATTACCTCTTCAAGCTGCTGCTTATCGGTGACTCCGGCGTTGGCAAATCTTGCCTTCTGTTGCGATTTGCCGATGACACATACACTGAGTCATACATCTCTACGATTGGCGTCGATTTCGTATGTTTGTCACCATCCCGGGCTGTTGCCTTGCGGGATCCGAGGTTCAGGAGTGGGCTAACACGGTCACAGAAAATCCGAACAATCGAACTCGACGGAAAGACCGTCAAACTCCAGATTGTACGTGTAGTCAATGGTTACTATCACGACATGTTACTAACAACCAGCTAGTGGGATACCGCCGGTCAAGAACGATTCCGAACCATTACATCCTCCTATTACCGCGGCGCACATGGCATTTGCGTGGTTTACGACGTAACGGACATGGATTCATTCAACAATGTCAAGCAATGGCTGCAGGAGATTGATCGCTACGCCACCGAGGGTGTCAACAAGCTGCTCGTCGGCAACAAGAGTGATATGTCAGACAAGAAAGTGGTCGAGTACACCGTGGCAAAGGTTGGTTTTTCTTTACGGCGCACCCCCTGTCGTGCAGTTTCTTACCAGGCAGTAGGAGTTCGCCGACAGCCTCGGAATTCCCTTCTTGGAGACTTCGGCCAAAAACGCGTCCAACGTCGAACAGGCGTTCTTGACCATGGCTCGACAAATCAAGGAGCGCATGGGAACAACCACAGTCAACAACAAGCCCACTGTTCAAGTCGGCCAAGGTCAGGGCGTTCAGTCAGGATCCGCTGGCGGTTGCTGTTAGACCAGTTACGACCAGCGTCCGGCACCGCATGTATACAGCAAGCATGATACAATCCCGTTCTGCAATCGGGCTGGGAAGTTTTGGCTGTCAATGACAAGGGCATAATGCGACAATGCCTCGTCGTTGCAAGCTGTGTTCCCCTCTGAGTTGGAAGGCGTTGGGGGCGCATGTGTGAAATTGAGACTTGTCTAGACTGCTGCTCCGATGGCCATCCACTTCCTAGGGTGAGAGTTTTATTTCCTGTTGGAATCTTGGGGTTGACTGCGTTTGCAGGGTAATGATGGAACGTTGCGATCTTCTTGTGGACAAAAGATGGAGTTCAACCCGGGGAACGATAGCCTCCATATCCATTGAGACCAAGTTCATATGGGAGGCTACCGTTAGTCTGTGCTACTTCGAATCTGAATCCCAACCCGGTTGAACTACATATTGCTTGTTGGTCCTCTTGTTCTCCATTTCCTAGATCTATGCTGTCATATCCTCCTGGCATCATCTTCCGCACACTGACTGTCTTTGAGTTTCATGCTTGAAACGAGGTTGATACACCAAATCAGTGATCAACCGTTGGGTTCCTGGATTGTCTCTTAACTTATCCTCTATGTTCCGGAGATAGCCACTGACACCAAGCAACCGTGGACAGGGGTTTCAGAGGAAGACCATCACGACTGATCACAACCCATCAAGGCTTCCTTCATGTCCCTCTTAGCCTCAGAAGACAGGGCCTACATTTGGTTACTGGAAGGGTATCACTCCCATGACTCATATCAGCAATGATGGTTTCAAGAAGTGATAGGTAAACGTTCTTCTGTTTCTCTATGTTTGTCCTGGAGCCCCTCCCCAGCAACAACAAGCACTCTATATGAGTTGTGGTATTGGCTCCCGCTGTGGGATTGAATTAGCTACGCAGAGACCGTCATATACAAACAGAGGTTGTCGTCCTAGTCAACGAGGTGAAGTATACGACCAGACTCATGGAGGCCTTCTGACACTGACGGTGACAACAAACAATGACTCCTACAGTGATAAGCATCACGTTACCTCCCTTGTCAAGAGAGGCAGAAGACACTACCTAGGTTACTAACCTCTATGCTCGTGTTGTATAACAAGGCCTAGATCACGGGACTTGTGAATCTATACTGACGCGTTAGAGACTGTCGTTGTAGCCTCTGCCACCTCCTCTTCGCCACCACCACCACTACGATCTCCTCCTCCCGTCCTCCTCCTCCTCTCTCTACCACAAGCCGGCGCTCTCCTAGAGCACAATGGCCGTGTCGTCGTCAGACCCTTTGGGGACGGCGCTGCCACCAATCTCGATCACCGCAACGGTGACGATGGGCCAGCCCGGGCTCAGCGAAAGTTTCACCTTTCAAGGTGACCCCTCATGGACGGCTACTACTGAGACGAGTAGTTCTGTCGCGCCTGCGACCTTGTCGCGAACGCCGTCTACATCTGTGGCGCCCTTCCCGACGACGTTGTTGTTGTCGTCGACCTCCTCCTCGTCCTCGCTGTCGGCCTCCTCCCCCACCACCTCATCTCTTCCTCTCCCTGGCCCTTCTCAACGACCAGGACACTCGGCCCTGGTGATCGCTGTGCCGACAGTGATCGGGACAGCCATACTCCTGGCGTGCATTGTCTTGCTCTGGCGGCGGTATCACCCGTCAACATTTTACAGATTCCTCGATCCCTTTTTCTACTGTTTCTCGACGCCGCCTCTGGGTCTACGTTGGCCAGCGCCCGGTATGAAGCGCAAGAGCAAGACCAACACTAGCGACGACGACCTTGTGGCGCTCCGCACAGTCCGCAGCTTTCGAAGCGACAAAAGGAAGAAGCAGTTCGCAGATCCATTCCTCGACACGTATACAGAAGCAGGGGAGTTGGACACGTTCACCCGTCACCTACGCCAATACGAAGAGGAGGCGGCTCGGGCTCACAAGAAGTTCAGTTTCGAGGCGGCGCCATCGACTCCGTTGTCTGGAAGGCGAAACACGTCGACAAGTGCAGACAAGGGCAATGGAAGTGGCAGTCCGCGACCATGGTACAAACCGAAAGCCTCCACTGCCGGCCTAGGTAGCCCCATGTCCAAAATGCGTGGGCAATCATCGAGCAACCGCAGCGCCAGCACCAATAACGCCAAAAGCAGCAGCGAAAATGATGCCGAGCGTCGTAGCAAGTACGGGAAATACAGCACACGGTTCAACGATGACACAGCTAGTTTGGAGAGCTGGGAAGAGGCGTGGTTCGCTCTGGGCAGAGACACAGAAGTGAACAAAGACAAAGACGCAGATACGAATCCAGCGCCATCAGCATCCACGGCAGTCATTAACCAACCTCCACCTGCATTTATTCTTGGATCTGCAGCTGAACATGGGCGTGAACGTGCACGAGAACACGGACGAGAAGGATCTGAAAGGAATACTGGAACTAGGAACGACAATGCCGCCCGTGCTGATCCAACCACCGGGCCAGGCCAGTCGTGGCGCAAACTAGTCTGATCATCTCTATTTACTGGTACTGGTACTGGTACTGGTACTGGTCATTGCAAATCAAAGACCTACCTTAGGTATAGACGCAGGGAGGGTGAGAACAGACAACAGAGAAGTGAGAAGCAGGTGAGATCAAACACAGGAATGGAATGGAATGGAATTGGAATCGAATCGAATCGGGATTTGGAAGGCCATGACAACCTGACAGGTCACAGTCACAATCATGGTCAAGCCACAAGTCATGAGAAGACCATGACAACACCAAAAGTACTAGCTGAAATGAAATGAAACGAAATAAGATGAAATAAGTAAGTTCCTACGGACCCATCGTGAAACTTGTTCTTGGGTCCCGATACTATCTGTATTTTATCACTAAAGTAGCACTACATGTCTTCCGTCTTTTATCACTACAGTAGCACTACATGTGTTCTGAAATTTGTCTGTATTTCTAATTAGTCCAGCTTGGATAGCTGTGTGACCTCGAGGCTGGCAACGCAAGGCCCTATAGGCCAGGGAAGGAGAGAAAGAGACCGAGAATGAGAATGAGAATGTCATCAGGTCGTGGTAATATACACTGAGCTCACCAGCCAGATTGCGCCCACCCATGGCGAAAGTATTTCTGATAAGAAGGACCCTGGCGAAAGTATGTCTGACAAGAAGGAGTCCACAGTGCTAGACACGGGTGACCTGGTGTTTGATGTTTGGTGTTTCAGCAAGCGGAGGACGAGGACGACGAGGACAAAGTCGACGAATCTCGGCAGTAAGGGACCGGGACCGGGAGGGAAGTCAACCAGACAGGTGAGAGGGAGGACAGACGAGAGTCAGAACCCGCCCGCCTTCGGCTGTAAGGTGGGAAGTACAGAGTAAGCCTTTTGGTTCAGATACCAGGCAGGACCAGGACCAGGACCAGGACCAGGACAGAGGATCAGATCCTGGGATTGAGATGGATCAGGTAGCTACATGGCTACGAGTATGCCTCCTCATCGACATGTACATCCAATGAGCAGACTCGAGTACACAGTGTACCGGTGAGAATGCTCGAAACGGTGTTTGCCGGTAGAAGGTCGTCAGGGGATGGTGATATAGTAGCAGTGCGACGGGGACTCTAGGGAGTAGGCTAATCGCCAGGAAGAACACGCAAGCAGAGATAAGTTGCTCTTGTCATGGGATGACTTTTGTGCAGATCAGGTCCAGCCGAACCAACTATGTACGCTGAGAGTCTATACACGAACCTCGCAAATGAATGCTCCACAAACACCACGCTCAGTTCTCCTCAGCCAGTGCCAACGTATTTGAACCACAGAGGTCGACAATCTTCTCGTTGCAGCCATGATTCACCCCCGTAGAACTGTCCCGGTGTACATCCGCGACACTTGGGCGAGTTCGGACAATTGTAAAATGGAATATGGTTGTACCCGATATCTTTGAACCTGTCTCGAATCAATATGGTGCACTCACTCAAGATGAAAAGAAAGGCCTACCAGTGAATCTTGCTGGCGTCTTCAAACAGCCCTAAAGCGATGCTGTGGACCGGAGCGTCACCCCATCGCTCATAGAAAAATCCACCTGTCCGGTCCAGATGGGTGAAATAATCTTCATACACCTTACTCCGCCAGAAGGAGAGATCGGCAATTTCGAAGTTGGACCAGAAGTGACAGGTGCTGTACCCATGGGCCTTGATATTGTTGTCTGGTCGTCGTTGGCTGTCGGTCAACCATGCCATTGCGTTATTCTTGTTCAGATACTCGGGATGGGCGGCGAGGAACTTGATTGTCTCCGGCCACAGCGACGGGATCGATTCGGGTGAATCGAACAAATTGATGTTAAACCCGTAGGTCTTGTTGTGATCTTGCATGTATCGGAAGACATCATAATCCACGTCGCAGAAGAACTTGACTTTGGGTTCCACCCGCCAGTAATATTGCATGTCTTTCAGTGCCTCATGGCGATAGAACATGCCGCTGTTCCATCTGCACATTTGGTGGTAGGATATCTTCCCGGCATACTGAACATCATTCTCCTTCAGGATCTTGGCGGACTCGTCGTACAGCTCCTGGTTGACCCACGAGGGCATCTCCCATTGTTCCGTGGGGATCAAATTGTATGAACATTTGGCCTTGGTGACTTCCTGCGTGGCCTTTTTGAATTCCTCGGTGAAAGGAACATCGTTGAAAAACGTCCAGGGATAGTTGTACTTGTGATTCCATGTTTCTTCGAGTTGTTTCATGGTCGGGAGAAGTTCATGAAGTTCTTCATTTCGGACCAGGGAGAGAAGGGTGGCATTGATTCGTGCTGAGTTCAGACTGTCTGGGGAATAGTCGTGGTCGCCATGTCGCCAGAGCGGTTCGGGAGGTTCGCCAACGGCTACGGCATGCTCATGTTAGCTGGGCCACTCTTTCTCAGGTGTACTATACATGTGGAACACTCATACGGTCCAAGAGCGGATCACGCTCCATGTTATCAATCTTTTCGCCATTTCCGACCACGGCGCCGGGTAGCGATATGGATGGAACGGGGCGCAAGTACTGATAGATCAGGAAGAAGACCAGGATGACGGACAGCGCCCCCAAGAATCTCACGGGTCGAGCGACAGCCATGTTGACGGAGGGGACTCAGCCATCCGTCGAGCAGCGTATCATGGCTCAGCCCAGAATGAGACAGGTAGAAGAGTGGTAAGAGAAAGACAAACGGTTGCTCAGCGGTCGAAGTTTGGTTGTAGTGCTACTACGTACTACTCTGTGGCTAATTTAGCAGTACGTACTCCGTACTCCGGATAATACGTCGTAGCCAGGTTGCGGCGAAAAAAGCACAAATTCAACGAAATCACGGACGATGATTGGCCAATCCGGCATCGACGTCAATAATTTGACGTAGACACCATACAGACTCTTTTTGATCTTTCGTCGTTCCTGCGCTCGAGATTTTGCGGCCGCTAGAATCTCTCAATCAACTTGTTAGTCTTGTCGACGCGGACTGAAGATCTTCTCGAGTTTTATATCGCATTGGGCAAACGTAATTTGCAGAGTAGAACACCTCGTCATGGAAATCCTACGAGAACCTCCAAAAGCCTCGACATTCATCCCTCTTGTCGAGCACCAATCCGCCACCCCGGCCTCTTTCTACTCCGGTCCCCCAGTCCTCCACTACTATAGTGACCGAAGCAAACTGATCATCCTGGAATCCGAAATCAGCGCTGTCGCTGCATTCGCTCCTCTCCTCCAACAGTCTGGCCCTCAACCCCATGCCAACGGCACCGAGACCAATGGAGACGCCTCGGAACGAGACCAACAAAGAGTGGTCGAGGATCTGGACCTCTGGGTAACATCAGAGTAAGACCATTCACGCGTTCTTCGCGACCACCCCAAAGAGGTTCAACTACTAACACCGTCAGCAAATTGTTTCTGTATTCAAACTCCGCCTCCGCTGGTGTCTCGATACCCTACCCATCCATATCCCTTCACGCCATCCAGTCACTCCCACAGCCTTCACCAGGCGAGCAGCAGGGTCTGTACATGCAACTGGTGTCATCGACCGAAACCGCCGGTGGCGGCGAAGACACGGAGCCAGAGTCGGTCTCTGTCACAATCATTCCCACTGCATCTGCACCTCCTACCACCGCAACGGAGGATGATCCTGCAGAGGACAAGCCAGAACAAACCCCTGTCACGGCCTTGTTTACGGCATTGTCGAATTGCTCGAACCTGCATCCAGACCCGGTAGAACCTGGAGATGAAGATGATGATGGTGGTGCGAGTCGGCTATTCCAAGCCGGTCTGGCATTTCCGGGCGCGACAGACGGAGGCCTGCCGCCTGCAGTACCCGGGAGCGGCGGTTGGATTACGGCAGAGAATATGCATGAATTTATCGATGAGAATGGAAATTGGATAGACGGTGAGGACGGGGAAGAAGAGGGAGAGGCTGAGAATGAGGGCGAAGCTCTTGGTCCGGGAGCTGGTACTGTTCGGGCCAGGGAACAGGAGGAACAAGGCAATGATGGGCCGGTCGATGGAGGAGACGAGACGAAATGGAGAAGGACATCTTGAAAACAGCATTCTTTGTAAAAACGGACTAAAGTGTTTCCCGAGTCGTGGAGGGGGGAAAGTCCCTCTTCGGCTGCTACAAATCGCTTTGCCTATGTCTTTTCCCAGTGCCTATGACTGTCCCTTCCAGTGAATCCGCGAGCAGTTCAAACCCGTCGCCCAAAGCACCCGAACTTCTCGCCACGCCCCTCAGCCCGGCTATCAGAAAATATGCGTGTTTCAGAAAGGCTTCGCGCACTTTCACAACCTCCTTCATCACGGAGCTGTCTTCGTCCAACATGAACGTCGAGTAACCTTCCCCCTCCCCTGCACCACTAGGGTAATCCTCATCCTCATCCTCGCTGTCAGATGACAAAGACTCCATATCATGCTGAGCATTGCCATATCTTCGCCGACGTCCTCGGCGGCTGCTCCGTACCGAGATGTACGAACCTGCCTCAAAGTCCATGTCGCCGTAGCCGCGGTGCCCAGTTGAAGCTGTGCCCGGCGACGTCACCAGGTCAGCGAAGCGGATGCACAGATCCAAGATGGCCAGGACGCTCTCTCGGAGCGGCGTGATGCGGTCGCTCGAGAGGCACGCGTGCTCGAGCGTACGGATGTAGCCCGTGTGCAGAGCGATCATGTCATCGACACTTACCGTCGCAGTCGCAGTGGAAGTGAGATTGGCACGCATGGCGGAGGTTAAGGGTTTGATGGTGCATGTGGTGAGATGGGCGTAGAGAAGATTGACAAAGTGCAGCAACATTGAATAGACGGATTGTGCGTTCTTTTGGGTATTCATGTCCATGCCGAGAGGAGTATGCTGGACGCGGAAATACGCGCGGCGTTCGAGAACAAATTTGGCCCGCCGGATCTGGACCAGGATCAGACCGATCCGTTGATACGACGCCATCGAAGCTGGCAGGACGATATTGGCGAGAGGCCAGTTAACGTGGTATGAGACCGTCACGGCGCCGAGGATCTTGACCGAGCGGCGGCGGTTCGCAATGCTTCGAGATGATGTGTACGCCGAGTGGACAGTTATTGAGTCTGCATCGATGCATTCGATGCCTTGGTACGCTTCGGCTAATGAGCTCGCAACAAGGAAGCGGTCGTTCCACATCTCCAGGCAGCTGTCTATTCGATTGAACAATCGACATTCAATGTGGCTCAAAATCGCCCCGTCGATACCGAGGTAAAGGTAGTCGAACGCATCAAGGAGTCGTGTGAGACCACAGTGGCCCTCTAAAAGCTCTTTGAGAGCTGCTGTAGAGCTGACCAGGAGAGAATTCAAGTGGCGTTCTAGGACCGTCTCGAAAGTTGCTGAAAACGGAATCGGTGACCCGCCAATCATCTGGAGAGTCTCTGTCATGGCGCAGTCGAGTCCAAGCAGTTGTTCCTCACGGTCGACATCTGCTCGTCCTAGACGCTGCAAAAAGGCAGCTGTTTTGCCAGCTGTAAAAATCTTTTCAGCAACGGGTTGAAGGACAAGAGGAACGTGTCTCTTATCGTCAGAAATCTGAAACCAGTCATGCCATAGTGTGGCACCGTTTCTCACGCCTTCGCTCTCATGTATGAAGAAGGGTGCGGAAGAATCCAATCTCCCCGTATGCAACCAGAGGTCGAGCGGTTTGGCATATAGCTGGAAAGCAGATATGAAAATCGGAAGCAGTGTCTCAGAGGCTGCCAAATCACACGCGGAATATGCTTGATCTAGCTGGCTGTAAAGCGTATCCAAGGATCCGATGGTGTCATTCTGGGCAAGATGCGGCGTAACAGCATCAATGGCCCTCAAGCGACTGCTTTCCTTTCTCACAGTTTGCAAAATTTGAAGGAGGCTGATGGTTCCTGTGGATGAGATGTCATGCAAAATATCGTTTTGCATCTCAGACACCCCTTGCTCAAAGTCGACTAGGATATCTCTGATACCATCTTGGACGAGCTGCATAACGCTCACATCTTGCGGAATATCCAGCCATTTGCGGACACGATCAATTTGTGAACCCAAAGAAGCTGCTGCAATCAAAAGCACCTGTGAAGCACTGTTTTCAAGGTGACGAATTCGATATTGTGGATTGGGTCGTATTGCACGATTAGAGGAGACAAAGAGGGACGTGGGGAGCCCACCCAGCATAAACAGGACCTCTCTGGCCGCTTGCTTCTCGGGTACACTCCGCTCCGAGCTATGCCAGAACTGTGAAGCTTGGAGGTCGAAAGGGGAGATGAGATCGCCATCACCATCCTGTTCGTCGAGAATCCTGTCCAGTCCAACAGTGTTTTCTTGTTTCTGTTGATCACTGACAGGAGACGTTTTCGTGCTCGAAAGGATTATTTCGTCGTCATCTGAGCTAAAGTCACTGTACTCTGGAATCTGCCAGATCCCGTCACGGTGCTTGTCAGGAGCGTCCGCCTCAACATCAGCCCATTTCAATGGCTCGGTGGTCTGGGGTCGAGGGCGGAGATTTTCGAGGATTTCGATCTGGTTGTGCTTCACCAGATCATGCGATAGATGGAGCAAAAGATCAAGGACGTCTGGAATCCACCGCTCATTGTGTCTGCTCAGCTCCCTCCGGCGAGAGTATAGTTCTTCGGCCACATCGTCGAGGTTAAGCACTAGTAGTTTCTCCTCAAGGCCGGCAAGCTTTTCCGCAACCGCAAATTGATCTGTTCGTCCATAGGGGTGGTTCCTAATCTTGCGAATAAAAACTTCTTTATGCTTGCGTGCATCTTTAGACTTGTTGTTCGATGGAAGGAACGTGAGGGCCAGCTCTTCCATCCAGCTGTTCATGGTGGTCGTAGAAGCCATGGCTCCTTTCCTGGACCAGAGTCCTTCCGCGTCATACGTTCGACGATCGAGCGACGCGAGGCTTGCCGCCGAGTCGACTGTAATATGTTAATATGACTTTCGAGATGATCGGGTTGAAGAGGAAGACCAGGGATTGGCGTTTGAAAGCGCGTCGCGTGAAAAAGTCCCCCGCACTTCCTGGATAATCGAATAGTGTCCGTAGTCACTTCCTGTTGGCCCTTGGGACGTCGGCAGGATTTGGGGGAGCTTCCCGACAAACAACTACAGCAATAATACTACCATAAGTACGCCGTACTTTGCGACTTCGCCAACGAGGGAACAGCCACTGAACCATGAAGAGAGCTCAAATAGCTCACTCCGGTCGTCAGCTTGATACGTTTCTCGACAACTTGTTCTATTGTCCTGCATGTACGACATGGCGAACGAAAAAAGCCCTCTTGTTCTCCGTCCGTCAAACCATACCGTCGATCCGTCGAAATGCCTCTACTCTTAGCTCCAGCACCGCCGTGAACGCTACTAAAACCATCCCCCGGCGGTACCAAGAACTATACAAGGCTCTCGGTGATGTACGAAAGAAGGCGTCTGCACAAGTCAATCTCAGTCGGCTACAGCTTGCGCTGCAAGGCCTAGAGTCCGAGACACCCACAACGAGGGTGGCAGTCGTGGGATTGAATGTGCAGGATACAGCACGACGGCTGGTGCGCCTCCTTCTCGCGGATGCATTGGCAGATGAGGATCGGTGGGAGAAAGAATTGCTTCACGGGGACGAGGACTTCAGTCAAGGCGTGGTCATTCGATTCGGGACCTCGTCAAATCCCAATCTACAACGGCCCAGGACGTCGATTCCGGTGCTCTACATACCCTCGAACTCTTTGGAAAGAAACAATATGGAGATCTTGGTGTCGGCCATCAGTGACCTAAGAACAGGAGATCTCTTGCAGGGTACCCAGACTGTCACTGCGGATGCATTCCTATCACCCTCGATCGGAACCCCCACCGCCGCCAATGGCAGGCAGACAACCATCAGTCAGCCTGTGCATAGCACTGTACTAGTGACCAAGGGTTTGGACGAACTTTTATCAGCGGCTAAGCTGTTGGCCTCAACAAATTTCACGGCGATAGAGGATCGAGAATGCATCAAACTGGTGGTCAATCTAGAGGTTACAAAGGCGGACAACCTAGGTCAGGTATTGATCGTGGATATCCCAAAGGCTGAAGAAGGCCTTGCAGCAATCCGCAGATCCGTGACCGAGGCAACAACCTACGAGCACAAATGGGTCGACTCCGGCATGCCATCGCTAACGACATGGTTTGCTCTAGCATCAGCAGCGAAGTCTGAGGGCGGGATCCCCAAACCCGTCAAAGATCTCATCTCTGCATTGCTGACTAACGCAATGAGAAATATTCAAATGCAAGCTTCTCTTGAAGCCCAGTCAAACGCTGCCAGCCGCCTGAGCATCGCTGCACGAACGAACCTGGAGGCAGCGATCGAGGAGTTCTCGCGTAACGCACATCAGGAACTGCAGAGCGGTCTGGCATCGGCTTGGACTTCGCGTAACTGGCGGAAGCTGGCGTGGTACAAGCTCTTCTGGCGGGTGGATGATGTGGGCTTGATCATCACGGATCTCGTGACTAATGCCTGGCTTCCTCAGACCGAGAGAGCAGTATACGAGCTGTCCGGTCGGCTGTCACAGGCAGGCATCTCTCCCGTGGAACTCCCCTCTCCACAATCACAGGCGGAGACATTTGCGACGGCAGAAGTCAGAACACACGATGTGGCACAATCTACCACCGTGCTGCACGCTCATGCCAATATTGCAACAGAAGTCCCCATACGACCGGTCATAGCCAACGAGTTCGGTGTCACTGAGGTCAAGATGGCCCCCGCTCTTCGCCCAGCACCTCTTGCTGTTTCTATTTCCAACACTCGGTCCAAGCAGCTTGAACGTGCAATCGCCGGCCTCACCTCCACGGCGCAGCAGATTGTGCTCAAAACACTGTCTCTTACAGGTCTTACCGCTGGCCTCTCTGTCTTGACCTATCTTTCGCTCACCCCAGGAAGCTTGTACGAGGCGGGCACAATCGTGGCTCTAGGCACAGCATATGCACTGCGGCGGATGCAGAGTGACTGGCTGAAGGCAACCAAGGCTCTAGAAGGCAGTCTCTACGATGAAGGTAGAGCTGAGATCCGGAAGATTGTTGGGGTAATGACCGAGCTTGTGGGAAATGCCAGTAAGGTTGTTGAGGACGAAGTTGAGATTCAAAGTCGAAGAGAAGCCGAGGAGGCTGTGTTGAAGGCGAGGGAGGAACTGGACAGACTTGAAAAGTAAAAGCATCCTTTGGTGGTCCGAAGTTCCATAAGCGCCCACATCAATATACATCTCCCCAGTAGGTGCCCAGTATTAACTAATTTCGACCGCATCGTCTGGCACCCCACGCCTGCTCTTCAACCTGCGGGCCCAGAACTGCATCATAGGCAGTACTTCGTCCCTGTTCTTGGGCATGGAATCATCCGTCTTCTTCCATTGGTGGTATGTAACAAAGTTGTACGCTAACTTGACACGTTTCAATGGGCTTGAGTCGGCCGATGCTAGCGGCGATTTCGACCCCGAAAGTAGTAGAACAGGCGTTCTGTTCCTTGAAGTGCTGGAAGCAAGAGATGTCGTTATGGGTGGAACCCCACCGATGGAGATGACACTCCCCAGCGGTGGTAGAGATGCAAGGGAAGAGTGCAAGGGCACTGAAACCGCGACTGAGCCACCTTGGCCGAAGCCGATGAGATGAACATGATCGGGTCGATATTTTAATTTGCCAACCAAGACATTGGCGATGACGTCTTTGGCAACGAGTCCTATTGCCCGCGTCAAGGGTGAGTCAGGGTCCAAGGCTCCTGTCGATGCGTCGACTTGAAGGTCCTCAGACCACTGATCTCCAGGTCCAAGTGGGAACGGCAAGGGGAAGGGCGGTTTGAGGGTGATGGTCAAAACATCAGGCAGGTTCAAAGCGCGGGCGAACGATGAAAAGTTGGCGACTGTGTCTCCCAGACCTGGCAGGAAGAGGACCACATTGGTCGATCTGTTGTTTGCTGGCAGGTGGATGATTGGTTCGAGACTCGCTGGGAAATCGCTCGCTAAGGGGATCGAAGGATTGGAAGACATGATTAGGTATGTTGTGGCGCAGGAGGGTGATTGGAGATGGGGCAAACGTAAGCCTTCGAGTAAGATAGCTGTGTCAGGCCCTGCCAGGGACCTAACCAGGAGATCTGAATCCTGGATCCGCAGGAGTGATGTCGACAGGTATGTGTCTCTGAGATATCTGTCAGCTTCTGACGAATTGTATGAATTTGACCCGGCGATCCAGGGACACGAGGTACAAGGAGATGCACATGGAAATGTCGGGGCTGTGGCACGGTATCAAGGATGACGTCCTGGCGAGGTGGAGAACCAAGCTTTGGACCTTCAACTTGGCTTCAGAAACAAGCATCTTCCCCTGGGTCCACAGCCAATAGCAGGCTTGGCATCATCAACTTGCACCATGGCACTGCACCTCAGCTTGGTGGGAGCCACCAGTGTCAACCTCAGCACGGGGAAGAGAGATCATCAGAGTTCGATCAGTCGTCGTAAGCTGTTGCAGGATCGTACTCCTGGCAGACCGCTAGCCTGTCAACTGCCAGAGAGTTTTACGAGCTCGTTTGTCGTGGCCAGTGCTAGTGCTAGAGCTGGTCCTCTCTATGGAGTATGCAGGACGATGACCAGACCAGCTGAACTGGATGCACTAGAGGGGAGCCCTGCATGGAGCTGGGAATGTGAAACTGTGTGCTGGCTCCCAAAGTGCTGGAAAGTCACGGCCACTGCACTATTTGCAAGCTGCTTGACGCGCCATCAAGCCCGAGCGTTTGAGACAATGTTTGTAGGCTGTGCCTGACAAGCAGTTTTGGATTTCTTACGCACCTGTTGACGCAATGCCTGTAGCTGACTGGTTATGCTGAGACAGAAGCAAGCCTGGCTGACTGGCCAGCGTCAACTGTGACATGACGGAGCTCATCCGCTTGTCCAATAAGGCAAGATGGAGGGGCAAGCAATTCACCAGATATGCAGGCTGGTGACTGGCACTGGGCATTACTTGAAGCCTATATATTCTCCCTTCTTCCTCTATCTGCATCCTGAATCTTCCTTCTATCTCCTCACTCGAATCCAATATAATCTCTTGACTCTAACACTACGGAAGCCACTGCTCCTCTACTATCCACTCAGAACAACACCAACCCAATTACAACTCTTTCACAATGTTTGGTTTCGGTGAGTCCTTGCCAGCTTGTTCTCATTATCGCCTCTGCTAACGCCAAATTAGACGAAAGCCGCGATGCTCATGAGCAAGTCTACGGGAGTGGAGGTTACGACAACCAAGCCAAATTCTCCCACGAACTCATTGGTGGCGGTGCTGCCTTTGAGGGCATGAAGCTCTTTGAAGACCACCAACGCAAGGAGGGTCAGTGATCCTTCTCTTGGACTGTATTTGCAGAAAGCTGACCTCGCACTAGGCAAGACTGTTTCCCACGGTTTCGCCAAAGAGCTACTTGCTGGCTTCGTCGGAGGCGAAGTTGACAAACTGGCTGAGACCAAAGGAATGAACGAATACGATTCCTACGAAGCGAAGAAACATGCGCAAGCGAGTGCTGAAAGAATGTATGACGACCATTATCAAGGCACAGATCAATACAACCCTGATCAGACAGACTCACCAAACTTCAACTATTGAAGATATCATGCTGTACGGGCACTTGGTGATTAGTATGAACAGTCTCGGTCGAATGGTGCTGAAAGGAATATGCACGGTCGTTATCCGGGTCAATTGAAATGTTTAGGGGATGCAGGAGCATAGGAGAAATAAACCTGCAACCCTGCAGCTACAAACTGGTGGAAATCAATACCCAAAACCGTTGCAGAGTGTATGATCAATACAACACATTGTAACCGATTCACAATTCGTCATCTTCGCTTGCGGTCTCCTCATCATCTTCTGCAGTTAGGGTAACAGATTGTACATTCTTTCCCGTCTGCGTTTGAGCTGCGTCATTCTGTAAGCGATTTGTTTTCTTCTGGAATGGCAGCTCTCGACGAGGGGGGAGTGGACTTGGTGACTTGTGATTTGAACCTTGCTTCGGGTTTGGAGCTATTTTCCTGGGTCTTGAAGCCGAGTCCGGGGCTGTGAGTTCATTATCTTCGTCCTCATCGGTTTCTGAGGGAGATGGTGTTGTGTCTCGCGAAGTAGGCGAATCGAGCTCACGAGGTATACGTCGCTGGACATTGCTATCGGTGTCAACTTCCATAGTCTCGAACGCTTCGCTTTCCTCCGTCTCATCGTCTTTGGGGGCCTCTTCAGCATGCCTCTTGTTTTGCCGGCCAATATTTATTGGCTCATCGTCTTTGGCCACGGAACGAAGTTCTCCTAGCTTTTTCGCGTCGGTTTTTGCAGTCGACATAACGCGCTGCATATTCCTTATCTTAAGTTTCTTCTCATTCAGAAGTACTGTGAACTTCGATAACAGTTGTGCTTCGTGTTCGGTCTTGGCCTCGACGAGATCGTCTATTTGCTTCTGGAGGGCTTGAAGTGTTTTGTCCCTTGATCCGAGTTCCCCAGTCAAACTCTGAACGGCCTCATCCAGCTCACCTCTCTTTTCGATAGCCTGCAGGGCCCATCCAAAGAGGTCAATGTCATCGGTGTCCAGTTTTTGAGGTAATTCAAGAGTCCCTAATTTCTGGGTAATGTCTTCGACCTTGTGGAGGAAGGCTATGGACAGGATGGCGGTAGGAATTTTGCCAGAGACTGAACAGGTGACGTCGATATTCCGTGCCTGCGTAGGATTGATCGGGTGTCCTGCTTTGGAGCGCAGGATATAGGAGATAGCAGCAGGCCAGTCATCATCAGATCCATCGTAGTTCTTCGCGCGCAGTCTCTTGAGATATCGCTGTCTAACTGCAATACGTTTAGCCAGCTCCCCATAACGCGATCGCGCACTAACACACCTTTGCCAGCGTAAGCCGCATCTCCATCGGTGGCCAAAAGATCGAGATCAAGGTCATGCCCTCCTTCTTTGCGAGATACCTTGACTAGGATCGGGGTCGTGCCTTTACCTTCATTGGCTTCGAGCCGGATCACCCAGCTTGAGGCGGCCATGTTTGACGCAGAATCAAGTGCGACATGCTTTGGCTTTTTGCACACGCCATGCAAGGCTGCAGAAACGCATGGACTGGCCGGGGGAGACTTCGCTGTACTGCAAAGACCACATGGCGCACCGGCTGACGCCGCGAAGCTCAGATCCGCGCTGCCAAACCTTGCGTCACGTCCCCGAGTCTCGGCAGGCTAACCGAGTTTGGGGCGCGTGTCTGCCCAGCCTTCTCTTTCCCTGCGCGACCTGTGTCCGTGTTGAGCTCCACCTTGAAACCAGAATCATCCAGCAGCCCAACCTCTTAGGCTGTAGGAGACCGCGTGCCGACCTCAAGAACAAAGCTGAGTTCGCATCCCTCGCTTCTCGAACACTACGATACCACACGGCCATCTCACGGTCGCTCGACGGCCCCCTACCGTTGGTAATCCCCTCAACGGGGTCCCTCGACAACGACGAAGGTTGAACTCTCAGCGCAGTGATTACCTTTCTTTACGACTTTACGAACCGTAACGATTCGACGACCTTACTGTTATCCTAGCTTTGTTTCGGAAATGCATCATCGGAACACCTTGGCGATTTGTCGACTGAACTGAAAACATCGATCGAAATTACGACGCAAACCTTCCAGAATCATGGAACAACTCACCTTGAGACCGCGCACTCCCGTGGAGGGCGCCGAAGTCGAGAACTGGGAAGACGACTTTGACAACTTGGAAGAAGTACATTTTCGCACTGCTTCGACCGCAACTTCAATCGTCTCACTGCCTCAGAATAACCACCGCGATTCTGCATCCTCTCGTCTGTCGATGCGATCAGAATCTAATCAGGGAGATGAGAATTGGGACGTCTTGGTCGATGAACAAGCTTCGATAAAAGACGCAATAGCGATTGCAAAAAGCAAAGGAATACCACTGCCAACGAATGTGCCTCGTTCTGCCCTGGAAGGTGGCACCATAAGAAGATTGAAGGGCAAAGAGATCAAGAAGGCGATTGCGGATGACTGGTCAGAAGATTTAGATTTGCCAGGAGCTGAAATCCCTCTCAAGCTTGCAAAGCACGACGACCGTGATTTGTCGGATAGTTTGCGCCAGATCAGTGCAGCTTTCAGAACCTCTCCAAAAACTCCCGAGACGAAGGATTCGCTCGATAAGACGATCCGATCACCGAAGTCTCGGACAGCACCGACGCCCATCACTCTTGATGCCTTTCGTGACACCGAAGACGATGCAGATTTTGCTGATGTTGGTACGATAAAGGTTGCGAAGCAAAGGTCGCCAGAGAAGCCTCTTTTATTTCAGCAGCCTCCGACGCCAGTAAAGCTAGAAATGGAAAACGCCGAGGATGACCTCGAAATACCCGCCGACGGACAACTCAAACTTTCGACCAGGAAACCAGCACCTCAAACACCGCAGCAGGTCGAAGACTTCGATCTCGAATGGGCTGAAGGGAGCTTAGGTACAAGACATGCTGGGACCAAGAGGGGAGGGCGATCTGCTCGCAGCTCATCCGCCTCAGCCTTCAGTCCCAGTGTGTCAAGTGCTTTCACTGCAGAGAGTGAAGATGAAGGTCTTGATGGTCTCATTCTTCCAGATGGGCCGATCAAATTCGACGACAAGCTCAAACAGAGACAGCAAGAGCAGCCGTCAGAGCCAGCACCCAGAAGCGTCCCAGAAGGAAAGCTATCTCTAAAGAGCGCATTTGGCCAGGAAGACTTCTTCTCTGGTCTTGAAATTGGCGACGGAGAAGTATTCGACGCTGCCAAATTGACGTTGAATCGTAACGTCAAGCACAAGAGTACACGGCCCGCTAGTCCGACCAAAAGGACTGCTACGACACTCAACTTCACGAGTAGCAAAACTCAAGGGACAATTTCAAGGTTGCCTAGATTTCAACCCACCCATGACCGACATGACCGTGCCCGATCAAACCTGGAACCTGTCTCGGAGACTGGAGCAGCTATTTCGACTTATCAGCGACCAAACTCACGGCTTGGAAACCACTCCACCCACTCGTCTGTTTCGGCCATCCCCACACATTCAACTCCGTCCACGCCATCAACGCCCAGCAGACGACTTCTCCGTGGTGCTGAGTCCCGGCCAGACTTACGGCATGAACAACCAACTACGACGAACGCACTACTTCTGCGCGCAAAGAGATCGATGCCAGTCCTGCGCAATCTGAATTCCCCGACTAAAGCAACGCCATATGTCAGACCTCCATCAAGACAGGAGACGGGAAGCCGTCTAAATATACCGTCACGTCCAAAAACGCCCACTGACCGTGCCGACTCTCGATTCGGGGAAGCTAGAAAGAGTGCCATACCCTTCCTCCCTGCCGGAGCTTCAGCTGGACAGTCCCAGCATATTAGCATCAAGTCAACAACGACTCGCCATTACCGGGGACAAGGATCTGATGGCTCAGGGGACAGCATGTCTGCAGCCCAGCGGTCTTTGTCTCGGCTTGCAGGCTTAGGCAGGCCAGAAACTCCTGGTCGTGGTCGGAGCAATCTGACTCCCGCCGAGCTTGCTGCCCAAGCCAAGAAGACAATTACCAAACCAACAAGACGTCGTAATTATGGCGATGGGTCCGAACTGGAGGTCTTCGATGATCTGCCGACATCTGCAACCATTGAATCGAAGTTCACCAAAACTCCCATCGGTCGCGGTGCGCCGCGAAGTCTGAGGAGTAAGCTCGGTCTCTCCCATCTGAATCCTTCCACATCTTCACTTGCCAGCACACGACGTGGTAGTGATACCCCTGTGCCCGCCACGCCCCTTTCGCCTCTTAAGGGTGATTTCCCCACCACAGCTGTGAACACGACAAATGTGCCTCGGTTTGCACGCGACACTGCTGCCTCTCGCATTGCTCGTGAACAGCGCCAGATCTCCACGACCTTCCAGAACATGCGGGGCGAACCACTGCAGCCGATCTCGACCAACTGGAAATCAACGGCGTCAACACGCAACAATCAAGGAAGTCTGAGGAAGAAGAAGAGCGACAAAGTTCAACAAAAGCCACACCTTATTAAGCCAATGGGTGGTGATATGAACAGACCAAAGACAGAAAAAGGAATGCAATACAATCCTCTGCTCTATACATGGGAAGGAAATGAGAACGCTCTGGCGCCATTTGATGTTCCAGATTTCCATCCCAGAGTTGGCAGCCCCATTGGCCAAGGTCATGCGAGTCCTGGAACCAAAGCAAACCTGGCATTGATCTCTAATGTTGGCTCCAGCGTTACTGGAGTACAGGTTGTGGGGGGAATGGTTTTCGACCCATCTCAGATGCGATGGCTCAAGATTGCCGAAAATGCGGATGGCACCGCGCCGAGTCTTCGGTCTGGAAGCGTACAAGTTGAAGAGGAGGAGGATGTCTTTGCCGGTCTCGAAGATCTTAAAGAGGAAGATGAAACCAGAAGTCGAAGCGGCACTCTGCAGAATGCTTCTGGCTTTGGACACTCCAGAGATTCGTTTGGGGACGGTGAGGCGGGTCACAGTAGTGGCGACGAATGGGGAGTCAGCGAGGAATTCGACGTCGGCCCCGAATTCATCAGAAGACAGAGGAACGAAGAAGACAGATGGCGCAGGAAGGTGGAGAAATGGCTAAGAAGAGGAAGAGAGGCGGAACAGGAAGAAGGTCGAGACGGGCGAGGTGGCTGGAGATGGGCGATTCGAGATCTTGTCATGGCCCAAGGCGAGGCTCAGGAAGAGTTTTAGACCTGAAGGTACATTTAGGTCTTGTAATCTCTCGACTGATATAGCTCCTGATGTCTTCTCTGAAGCCAGACTGAGCATGGTGACCACACAGAAGTTGGAAGAGCTGGTGATGGTACTGGGGCTTTTCTTCTATTATCCATGATTTTTCTCTCTCTCTTCCCCTCTGGGGTTTCTCTTTTCTTGTCCCTTTTGGCTCTTGATGGGCTGTACTAGTAAGTATTGTTTATCTAATAACCACCATATGGGAGATGTTGTACAGGCAGGCATGTCGCTAATCACCTTGTACTCCCAGAGAGATGGCACGCTGAACAGGTAAGCAAGCAACTTCCCTTACGAGTGCAATCAAGATGTAAGATCCTAAGGTCGTAAAGTAGGCACAGTACAGCAATGCTATTGGGTAGGTACAGGTAGTTATGGTCTTGATGACTGTACAATTTGACTACAGCGTAGGTAGTAGTTGGGACCTCCGGACCGGCCAAGGGCGTTGATCCGTGGGCTACACATGCAGTGCCGGTGCATGTCGACGGCTGGTTTCGTACGCCTTGTTCGTCTGCCTCTGCCTCTGCTCCGTTGAGGAAACCCCGTGCACTTCCCTTTTCTCTGCTGCGAACCTGTGCTGCTTCGATTGGTGTAGTTTCCCGCACCCTTTTTCCAGAAAGAACAAATACAGCTTTCTTTCTATTGCTAGAAGATTTACGAGCTGTGATAAGGGCTGTCGCTGTTGCCGGGGTAAAGCTCCTCTTTCAAAAGAACGCCGAGCTCCTCGCGCAGGGGCTTCAACTCTTCGAGGTACTCTTCGTATTGTTGCGTATTTTCGACCTTGGCTTTGATGCCTGCATTCGATATGTTAGACACCGACAACCCTTCAGAGGATAACATAGGACAGACCTTCGAATATTCTCACGGCAGTGGGGTAGTCATTGACCCGCCTTGCAGCTTTCAAGGCTGCTGTGACGACACCGGGCGAAGGGACAAGATCATAAGCGAACGCGTTGTTCAAGTTTCGCTGTGAAGGGCGTTAGACCGGTCTGACTGGCTTCCCATCTTTCACGCGTCTCATACCTGCAGCTCGAAAACATCGTTCACAGAATCAAACTCCTTCTCATATCTGTTGTATTTCCGCGTCAGCCGAGCTTGCTCTTAATCCTCTCTGTTTTGGGACTGCGCTCAAGGCCATGTCCAGAACAAATTGCCAATTTCCAAACTCGCGAGAGGGCCGTACCTAGCAGAGAACTCCTCGAAGGTTTCCTCTTCGTGACCGCTGCTTCGTTGGATGGAGGTGGAGCTGAAGGGAGATCTGGCAGAGACAGACTGAGCTACCGCAGGAGCTCTCCTCAACGAGTGTGCGCAAGGTCTGAACAAGGTCGAGGTGGCGGGACGAGCAGTGAGACGGAGGATCGCGAGGGAAGCCATTGTGCAGCTCTTGGATGTCGAGAAGATGGAGCTAAATTGGATGGCGAGTGAGGTTGTAGGAGGTCGACGAAGTTATTGATGTGCCAGTTCAAAGTCAGTCAGTCCACCTCGAATGAGATTCGTGGAGCTAAAGCAAATCCAGGAGCTTCTGACTGGCTGGAACACCCGCGTCAGCCAAGACTTTTGGTCGCCTAGGGCGTGTATTGGCAGTTCATTATTGGTGCGGTGCCTGGGGATGCCGGCTGCCATTCTGGCGCCCGATCCAGCTGATACCAGAGAGTGTTCGTAAAATCGACGTGGGTTTGGTCATTGAGTGGTTGCTCATAGGCAGGGTCTCTTGGAGATGCAAGGCAGGCCGTTAGAGCCGGTTACTGTTGCTCGGAAGAGAATCCCAGACGCGCTTATCGCCTTCCAAAGCGAAACACGCGCGGCTGTCGCTCTTTTGGGTCAAGCGGAAATTGAAAGAGTTGCTTGGACCAATGGGAAGAGCCGGCCTCGGTGGGCCTTGGCATTGTTCTCGTATTTGCTCGTTTTTGTTGAATTGGTTTGCATTGTGCAGGCTGGTCAGGGGAAAGTTGGGCACAATTTCATTTCATCTCCTGGCCTTCTATAATCGACGCATCCCCATCCCACTTCAGACTCTTGTCTTGACACTTCACCCGGCGTCCCGCTGATACTTCTTCACCTTTCTTGTTCTTTATTCTCATATTCTCTCTCCCCTTCTTCTGCTTCCTTCTGTGTTCTGTTTCACTGTTACAGTCACTCCTTTCGACCTCGCTTCGGCGCCTCCATTGACTGAGACTCGCCTTACAATCGCGTGCGATCGCGTTTACCGCCGACATGGCCCTCGACATCCTCAAGTCCGTTCCTGTGCCTACACTCGACCGCCCATTCGGCATTGAACTATGGCCTCTTTTTGACAAGGCTTACTCGTCCATCTTCGGCTACCATGCCATCGATTTCGAGTTTGTGGACGGGACGACCGCTATGTCGACCTTGAAAGAGACTGCGATTTCCTTGATTGGATATTATGTGATAATCTTTGGCGGACGAGAAGTGATGAAACACCGCAGCCCATTTGTCCTCAAGGGTCCTTTCATCGTCCACAATTTCATCTTGACCGTCATCAGCGGCGTTCTGCTTGCGCTGTATATTGAACAACTTCTGCCCACCATCGTTCGAAATGGCGTCTTCTATGCCATCTGCGATATCAACGGAGGTTGGACTAGACAATTGGTCTTGCTGTACTATGTGAGTCCAGGCCACCCCGTGCATGGATTACGCCTTTCTGACGTGCTTAGATGACCTATCTCACCAAGTATCTCGAACTAGTCGACACCTTATTCTTGGTTCTGAAGAAGAAGCCACTGACCTTTCTTCACACCTACCACCATGGTGCGACCGCTCTGCTTTGCTATACGCAATTGGTCGGTCACACAGCAGTTTCTTGGGTTCCGATTACGCTGAACTTGCTTGTGCACGTGGTCATGTACTGGTATGTCGAAACCCCTGGAATCAGGGCAAAACATTTGGATTGACGTGGAATACAGGTACTACTTCCAAGCCGCTCGGGGTATTCGGATTTGGTGGAAAAAGTACATCACTATTCTCCAGATCGTTCAATTCGTCATCGACATCGGCTTCGTTTACTTTGCCTCTTACACCTACTTCGCCAACAAATATTTCCCTTGGGCGCCGAATGCTGGCACTTGCGCCGGAGAAGAGTTCGCTGCCTTTGCCGGTATCGGCATTATCAGCTCCTACCTTCTCCTCTTCATCTCCTTCTATTTCGCAACATACAGGAAACAAGCCGTTTCTGGACGGCCTAGGAGGAACACCGGAAAGGAGGCTCTGATTGCAATGAAAGATGCTCCCCTTCCCGACCCACACAAGCTCCCCCAGGGATCCAAGGACGAGGAAAGTGTCGCCTTTGCTACCGGGCGGGCAAACGGACCAGTCACACGGTCACGAAAGGCTTAGATAGCCAATGTGGACGATCATTTCAGTGACGAAATGTTTCCTTCTTCACACCGTGCCGTCCATCCGGGAGCAACGAAGCCGGAGAGCGAAACTTGCCAAGATGACTTCTGTCTATCGCGAGAGTACGGTCTACCAAAGACTTGAAAGAAAGGATGGAAATGCCTTGCTGTACATCTGGTGGTATCATGGAGTGATAATTCGACAGAATTAAATCGGTGATCAGAACAGGCCGAGCAGGACTGGCAACATTGGAGCAGAACAAATGATGTTTGTACTACTATGGGGCGCCGGCGTGGTGGTCTGCCGGTGGGACTTCAGGTCAAAGTTCCACAAGCAGATTCACCCTTCTATGTTTCTTTGCGCTGTGTAATTAGATGCATACTTTTGTATTAATGCACGAGTTCCATAGATAGGCGACTCTGCTATAGCTCTAAAGGGCCCAGATATTAAGATAATCAAAAGTCAATGTCTTAGTTTTCTGTCTGTTCTATTCAAACGGAGGCTGCGTCTCTACTGGAATATTCTCAGACCACGGGATGCAAGTCCAGCCATTCCACCCAGTCTCGTAAGAACCCTTGCTCAGCCTTAGATGGACGCCTTTTTCGCCGTTATGCCCTTAGCGCCCTGGATCTATCCCACCCACCGTCTGGCGCTCTGGAACAATCGCACCCAAGGCCCGTACTCGCCCCATTCCGCGCTCATCCCGGCCGGGATATAACTACCAACGCCTTGGAGAATGGTGCGCTCTGGGTGCGGCATCAGCGCCAGCACGCGGCCGTCCTGGCTCCGGACTCCAGCAATTCCGGCAGGACTTCCATTGGGATTGGCGGGGTACGTTGTTGTCGGGGACAGGGATTTGTTGTCAACAAAGCGAATGGGGGCAAGATGAGCACCGGCAAAATCCGCAGCCAGTGAGCCCTCCAAGGCTTTGTTCCCCGTGGTGGTGAAGGAAGCTCGGCCCTCACCATGGGCCACGGCAATGGGCAGACTCGACCCGCTCATGCCGTGGAAGAATACGCTGGGCGGCAGTCCAGACTCGGGAGGTGGGTCGGAGATGCGGACCATGGACACGCGCGCCTCGTACTGCTCGGACTCGTTGCGCTCGAAGCTGGGCCACGACTCGGCGCCCGGGATCAGCTCTTTGAGTTTGCTTAGCACCTGGCATCCGTTGCAGACACCCAGGGTGAATGTGTCCTTGCGCGCAAAGAAGTCGGCGAACTTGCGCCGCGTGGCTGGGTGGAACAGAATCGACTTTGCCCAGCCTTGACCCGCGCCCAGACAGTCGCCGAAACTGAAGCCGCCGGCTAGTGCGAGGCCTGTGAAGGAAGACAGGTCGTGATCGACGCCGAGATGCGTTTGGTGTGGTTTCGGGTCCAAGATGTCCGACATGTGCACGTCGACAACCGTGAAGCCGGCGGCCTCGAATGCGAATGCCATCTCTGCTTGTCCGTTGGTTCCTTGGTCGCGGAGCACGGCTACGCGCGGTCGCGTCGTCGGCCGCACATAAGATAGCAGGCTCGTCTTGTACGTGTTGATGTTCTCCTTGGGGTTGAAGGTGAGGTTGTATGTGATGCCTGGATCAGCATCGTTGCCGATACCGGCGTATTCGGCGTCCGCGCAGGCCGGGTTGTCGCGCAGCCGCTGCAGCCAGTACGACGTGTTGGACCATTTCTTCTGCAGTTCGCCGCGGCTCGCGCGGTATATGAGCTTCGCGCCGTAGTATATCGCCATGTTCTGGGTATTGGACTTAGAAGACACTCGACCGATCTTGTGGATCAACCCCGGCGGTGGCCCACAGGTCGCGAAGCACGCCTTGAATCGGTTCTCGTCTTCCTTGCGCACCTGGAACACGGCGCCCAGCTCTTCATTGAACAGGGCCGCAATCACGTCCGGCGTGTGTGGCGATGAGCAGATATCGTTGATCATGATCTCAATCCCACAGCGCCCCGCAAACGCCATTTCCGCCAGCGTCGTGAACAAGCCACCGTCCGATCGGTCATGGTATGCAAGCACGAGGCCTTGCTCGTGCAGTTGCTGTGTGGCATCAAAGAAGTCCTTGAACAGTTCTACAGAGCGGATGTCGGGTGCTTCGTCGCCGATTTGCTTGAATGACTGGGCGAGAATAGATCCGCCAAGAGAGCGATGGGCCAGACCTAGGTCGACAAAGAACAATGTCGACTCACCGACCTCGTGGTACCGGCGCAGTTGGGGGGTCCATGTCTTTTTGATGTCAAGTACAGGCGCAAACGAGGAGATCACCAGCGACAGAGGTGCCGTGACTTCTTTTGCCGCTTTGGACTGAGGGTCCTGCCATTTCATTTTCATGGACATCGAGTCTTTGCCGACAGGGATGGCAATGCCAAGTTTGGGGCAAAGATCCATGCCGAGCGCTTCGACTGCTTCGTAGATCCCGGCGCCTTCACCTGGGTGACTTGATGCAGACATCCAATTCGCAGAGAGCTTGACTTGATGCAGACGGTCAGGCAGGTCAGCAGCGGTCAAATTCATGAGAGACTCGGCCACGGCCATGCGAGCAGATGCAGCAGAAGAGATCAAGGCAACGGTTGGTCTCTCGCCCATGGCCATCGCTTCGCCACTCGTGATCCCGGTCGTGAGAGACGTGGCCGTGACGGAGACGTCTGCAACTGGAACTTGCCATGGACCAACCATTTGGTCTCTGGCTGTCAGACCGCCCACGGTGCGGTCTCCGATCGTGATCAAAAATGATTTTGATCCAACAGCTGGCATTTGCAGAACTCGGCTAATGGCTTCTTCGAGGAGCCCATCGGTAGAGGCTTGCGGGACGTACATGCTCAAGCTTGTGTCGAAAACTGGCAAGTCGACCTTTCTGGATGTCACGTCTCGGGTCAATTTAGGGGGCTTGCCGAAGAGCACCTCCATTGGCAGATCAATCGGATCTTGGTGGTCATACACATTGGCAGGGTTGTCGCGGTCTGTAAGTTTGAGCTGTTGTCTCCTGGTGGCTCTTCCAACCACGGATATCTTGCAACGCTCACGCTTCGCAATGGACCTGAACTTGTTCATGCCTTCTTGTGCAACTGCCAAGACATATCTCTCTTGAGCCTCGCAGCACCATATCTGCAGCGGGCTCATGCTTTTATCCGCACAGTCGACATCACGGAGTTCAAATTCTGCCCCCAGACCAACGTCTTTAACGAGTTCTGGCAGTGCATTTGAAAGCCCGCCAGCTCCCACATCGTGGATGAAGAGGATAGGACTGTGTGGGCCAAGCGCCGCGCAGGCGTTGATGACTTCTTGCGCTCGTCGCTGCATCTCCGGGTTGCCTCTCTGAACGCTGGCAAAGTCCAGCTCAGCAGATCCTTCTCCTGAACTGACACTCGAGGCGGCACCGCCGCCTAGCCCAATAAGCATAGCTGGCCCACCCATGACAATCAAGAATGCACCATCCCTGACAATGCTAGGGTCTTTTAAGGCATGCTGTGGGCGCACCGTACCAACACCACCGGCAATCATGATGGGCTTGTGATAACCCCTGACTTCTGTAGACTCCTTACCAGTTTTCATTTCCACCAGAAGAGTTCTGAAGTACCCGACCGTGCAAGGACGACCGAATTCGTTGTTGAATGCTGCACTTCCAATAGGGGCTTCAAGCATGATATCGAGACTGCTTGCGATGTGGTGAGGCTTACCATAGTCGAGTTCCCATGGTTGACGGTGCCCAGGAATGAGCAGATCAGAGACGCAAAACCCTGCCAGACCGGCCTTTGGCTTGGATCCCCGTCCCGTGGCTCCTTCATCTCTGATCTCGCCCCCAGAGCCAGTCGCGGCCCCTGGGAACGGGGAGACAGCAGTGGGATGATTGTGGGTTTCGACCTTGACAAGGATATCCACCGCTTCTTTCGTTGATTTCCATTGTCCAGTGAAGTCATCAGGCGCCCAATGGCTCCCATCACTTCCCTTTAGCACGGCTGCATTGTCGCTGTAGGCGCTGATCGTGCCCTCTGGAGTATGCTTGTGGGTATTACGGATCATTCCGAATAGCGTGTTAGTTTTGTGCTGGCCATCAATAGTCCAACTTGCGTTGAATATCTTGTGTCGGCAATGCTCCGAGTTGACTTGGGCGAACATGAACAGCTCGACGTCGGTTGGATTCCTCGGGACAGGTCCATCTCGAGAATATGCTTCGGCGAGATATTGGATCTCGGAAGGGTCGAGAGCGAGACCTAGCCGGGTGTTGAGGTCTGAGAGTATTTTGACGGGAGACTGTCCGTCGCCGTAGAGATCATATGTGACCAACGAGCCAGGCTCATGGTGTTGGAACAGTAGACCAAGGTCAGGTTCCTTCTCCGAGATGGTCTCGGTCATTCGATCATGCAGGAAATCCAGAGCACGCGCATCGTCCAATGACTTCCCAGCGTCTAGAGACACGGTGATTTTGAGGCCGCGTTCAATCCTCCCGACAACCTTCTGAAGACCGCAGACATGGGCAATGCTGGTTGCTTTGGAACTCCAAGGTGAAATCGTCCCGGGTCTGGGGACAACATAGAGAACTGTGGATGAGCTAGTTTCCTTTTCCTGCGCCTGCACATGCTGGCCGTTGGTCAACAGCTTCTCCAAAAATGCGTGACTCTCAGCATCTAGGGGTGCTTCGAGTTCGACATAGTGAATATATTGTCCCTGGACCTCATTTGCGCCGATGAGAGAGGCCAGAGCCTGGCGACGAAACTCGGAATAGGCCGAGCCGCCAGGAATGGTACAGGCCTGGGAGGACGCCATTGTGAACGGATTTGCTTCAGGTTTGGGGCGACGCTTGCAGTCTTTGGCTTACTGCTCCGATCTTCTCAAGCTCATGACCAGAATGAAAAAGAACCTGACCTTCCACCACACTATTCAGTCATAAGCCCAGTCACAATGATGCCTGGCTGGTTGTAAATCGACTTGGCCTGTCAGCTGTTCATACTATGACGACGCAACAGGTGGTCACATAGACAACTTGCACCGTTGCCAAAAGTCTGGCTGAGTTGTCCCTTGCTGGCTAAAGGGCTGCCGGTCTGTGCCAGTCACATATCTATGTCCATGATCCCCTCGATGGCGTCGAAAAAGTTGCAGATAAAAAACGCGTTGACCCGCCGGCAGCTTGGCATTGGGTCGAGCGGGTTGAATTGGGGGTCAGAACTCGCCGTTTTAATAATAGGCGGCACCTAGGCGGAGCATATGGACCATGGGCCAACTCGACGGAGTAGATAGTACTAGGTGCAGTCGATCATCACGTGCACAGGTCACATGCTCCTACGTCACATGAGCAGGTTGCCTTATTACAGATTCCGAGGTCTTTGGGTGTCATACAGTATCATGGCTAAAAGGATTCCGTTGTTGGTGAACTACCTAGGTAGGTAGAAAGGGTAGGTGAAGAGAGCAGGCACTTTAGATTGGCCAAAGACCACTCTTTCAGGCTCCAACTGGGGGCTTTCTCGGGGGCTTACATGGGCTGTGGAGACCCCTGGGTAATATCATTTCAGGCCTATAAGACCCTTACGACCCCGAAGGCTAGGGGCTCCCGGCTGGATGTTCGGGCGTCCCAGGTAGGCACGTATTATGGGGAAGCCCGAAAGTGCTCAGATCTTCGCTTGACTGGATATCCTTGCGTCCTCTAATCTGTGTTGGCATCCATCAAGTCATATCTCATGTGTCCACCTATTCCCTTTGTTCTCACAGCTTGCATCTTCTCCAATCTGCAGCTGATAGTTGTCTGCTGTCCTTTCAGAAGGCTGCTCTATCATTCGGCACTGTGGTGGCTTTATTGCTTCTGATCTTCTCATGCTCCGCTTTTCTCGGCATCAACGACCTCATGCCCTCGCCATTGACCGCGCCAGTCGTGTCCCTCTCTTCCTGTGATCCTTAACCCGATTCACACCCTCTGCCACCGCTCTACCTGACCCACATCCCAACCGAGCACCACGAGACTTCACCTGTTGGACACGCGGTCACGGAAAAATCTGAACATCACCTTGGACTTGCAAGGAAGGGCCAGTCGCAGGACGGCCCTCTGGACACCGGCACCATTCCATCTCCTCAAGAATACCCCGAATCCCTCCTCCACCACCGCTCGCACTCCTCCCGTTTGCGGTCTGAGGTCCAGAGTCATACTTCGACCGTGCCGCTGACAATAGAAAACGAGAAGGGGGAAGGCTACCGGCGAGCATCGTACTCCTCCGGCACCGAGTCCGACGACTTTTCCTTGTGGAGCGACACCGGAGACCTCGCAGAGCAGCTTGCCAACGACGAAGATCCGTATCGGATTGAGCTCCATTCTCTGACACGGGAAGGTCAAAGTCTTAAACACCCAGGTCACGGTGGAGGACGGAAGAAGAGAGTCAATTTTCGTGCACAAGACCACCACGAGAGAACCGAGGCTCCGTTTGATATAACGAAAGAGGCCATCTTCATTCCGGACCCTCCACCGAGGCTTATCCCCAAATCAGAAAGACTGTTAGCCCTCATAATGTCTCCTGGTGACCCCCAAGCTGCCAGGACCAAGGGCCTGGTCGGGAAGCCTTTATTGTAAGATTGAGCGGCGTATGAGTACGCCATGTCAACGGACCGCTGACCAGAATGATATAGGTACTTTACCAGTGTTTTTGTGTCTCTGGGCGTATTTCTTTTTGGTTACGATCAGGGCGTTATGTCGGGCATTATTACGTATGTGCAGTTCTTCCTAGTGTACAGTACCCGTCACTGACCATTGGAAAAAGCGGTCCTTTCTTCAGAGACTACTTCAACCAACCTGGCCCTGCAGAGGTCGGAACTATGGTTGCCATTCTTGAAATTGGTGCACTCGTCTCATCACTGGGTGTCGGACGCATAGGCGACATTATCGGCCGTCGGCGGACCATTCTTTATGGCTCCATGATCTTCTTTGTTGGCGGCATGTGCCAGACCTTTGCCAACGGAATGCCAATGATGATGGTAGGAAGATTGATTGCTGGGCTTGGGGTCGGTGCCCTTTCAACCATCGTTCCCGTCTACCAATCCGAAATCAGCCCTCCGCATAATAGAGGCAAGTTGGCGTGTATAGAGTTCACGGGCAACATTACTGGCTACGCTGCAAGTGTTTGGGTCGACTACTTTTGCAGTTACATCGAAAGCGATTATTCTTGGAGGATCCCCTTGTTGATGCAATGTGCGATGGGGGCGCTTCTTGGATTTGGCAGCTTAATCATTTGTGAATCCCCGAGGTGAGATGCATTGCTGGGCAAGAAGCATTATTTCAGACTGACCTTTATGATCCAGATGGCTCCTAGATAATGACCACGACGAAGAGGGCATCATTGTCATCGCCAACCTTTACGGCAAAGGGGACATCCATAATGCCAAAGCTCGCCAAGAATTCCGGGAAATCAAGATGAATGTCCTTCTACAACGTCAGGAAGGAGAACGGTCGTACAGTGATATGTTCAGGCGTTACTACAAACGCGTCTTCATTGCCATGTCCGCCCAGGCATTTGCCCAACTAAACGGGATCAATGTCATCTCTTACTACGCGCCTCTCGTCTTTGAATCAGCTGGATGGATGGGACGAGATGCTATCCTGATGACTGGTATCAACGCGATTTCATATCTGGCATCTACCATACCGCCATGGTATTTGGTTGATAGATGGGGACGACGACCGATTCTGCTGTCCGGAGCGGTCGCCATGATCATTTCTTTGTCGCTCATATCTTACTTCATCTTCATCGACATCAGGTGGACCCCTGCATTGGTCGTCGTCTTTGTCATGATCTATAACGCTTCCTTTGGTGCAAGTTGGGGACCGATTCCATGGTTGTATCCTCCGGAAATCCTGCCTCTCAGCATTCGGGCTAAAGGAGCGAGTTTGAGCACTGCCAGCAACTGGGCATTCAACTTTCTGGTGGGCGAGCTCACGCCAGTCCTCCAAGGCGCCATCAAGTGGAGATTGTATCTCCTTCACGCTTTCTTTTGCGCTGTCAGCTTCGTTCTTGGTGAGATCGATCCATCATGGTCAAGGTACTCAGGTAGCTAACCCTGTCTAGTATATTTTATCTACCCAGAGACTGCCAATGTTCGACTCGAAGATATGAATGCGCTCTTTGGAGACGCTACGACGGCCATGCCCACGCCATCGACTCAGGCCGAGCGAGGATCTCTCGCAGGAATTGGATCACCCTCTTCCATTGATATCAGAGGCGGTGCCCCAAATCAACCAGGCATCTTCTCGGCCAATGATGCAATTCCTGGCCTGGATATTGACCCCCCTGACGTCCGACTCGGTGCTGACGGCAGACCCCAGATAAGAGGGCAAAACGGCGAAGGAATTGGAGGATGGATCGGGCGGATGGTCTCAAGATCACAACAAGAAGGCAGTGCTAGAGGGCAGTACGGGAAGGTTGGACAGGACGAGGACTAGGACAAGGTCGCAGACCCGTCATATAGATATAGAGGCATCGAGCCTGCACATCTCCGGTGTTTCAGGGGGCACGGCGGCCAGACCATAAAGCCGACGACGATTGCGCCAGCTGGCTTTGGCCACTGCACATATATATACTTGTGCCTTGAACGAGGTGCACTACGGCTTGGGGGATGCAATACTCTTCGGCATCTACTTCAGCAAGTAGGAGATTGACGTGAGAGGATACGGTTGAGAGGCTGAACTGAATTGGACCCACGACTGAGACTGCGTGGATAGAATGTCAGTGTGTATAATGATGAATAAAGATGAATGGGAGACTCGAGAAGTATTTGCTTAGTATCAAATTTAGTAGAGCGTGGAGCAGACAAAGAGCCGGGTCCCATTCCTCATTGAATCCTCCCGCAATCAACTTACGCCCGCACTCTTTGGAACTCGCTCGTTCATGGTCGGGTTCAAGCAGCTCCCCAAAGCCACTTGATGCTAGACCATTAAGCAGTTGGGACTGAGCGCGGAGTTCTCTTCTCATCCAAACTGCCTCTCTCTCCTCGTCAGACTCGGCGCCGCTCATCCACCATTCCAATTCTCATTCATCAGGGCCCGCGCAATTGGCAGCAAGCGTGTAACTCTCTATCCCTTTCTTCAGTCTTCTCAATCGTCTCCCGTGCCAGCACCGTCCGCCGCTGCCTTCCGTTGACGAATTGCTCCAAACACTGGGTGCTGTTACCTTGTCAGTCGCCCTACCTAAGACCTCAACTCTGCGCGACAAATACCAGATCTATCACCCGTTCCCGACGGCCGCCTTCTAGTGTCATCACATCGCCCCAGCCGGGCTGCACGCGACACACATTACACATTACAACGCAAGAATAGCACTTGACCATAAGATTATACAAAGGACAGTGTCTGTCGGAAGATGTGATGGGTTAATTACTAGAGCATCCATGTCCACAGCTTTTGCTTCCCAGCTGGTCGCCTCGAAGGAGCCGCCAGGTCCAGTGATGGAAACATAGGACCGCCTTTGCGACAACATGTCCCACGGCACTACTGAAAGAGTTCCAGACACAAAGCAAAGCCCAGAAACACATCCATACATTGTCGACCTCACGCCGCACTTGGATCAACGCTTGTACCGTTTGCGCGAGGACATCCTTCCAAGACAGCCTTATCTTCTCTCCGTCCCGTCCGACGTACCCTACCGACATAGCTCGCGGTTCGTCAATACTTGGTATGAAGGTACCCCGTTTAATGCCCAAGAGGAGCAGATACAATACGTGAGCTTTCTTCCCCATCAGGGTGAGCACGAGGCCCTTTTGAAAGTAGAGGGTGGGTGGGCGGACGACCAAGGAAACCCTATTCAAGAAGACCTCTCTCCAAAGACTGTCCCTGCCAGTGGTCGTGACACTCCTGCGGACATTGGACATCGGAAAAAAATTAGTTTGAAAGATTACAAGACCAAGGGCAGAGGTTCGCCGGACTCAACTTCGCAATCACAACCTTCACAGGAAAGGAAGACGGGAGTGAGGGAAGGCTCCAAGCTCGAGGAGGCCGAAGCTCCGTCCGAGAACAAGGAGAGGCAAGATAGACTTGTTTCCCCGGGACACCCCGTCCATTCGCACAATTCCGGCTCCGACCAAACAATACCTTGTCTGGACGGCCCGAGTTCTCCTTCGAGTCGTCCGCAAATCCGACAGGCAAGCCCTCAGCACGCTGCGAAAAGAAGGAAATTGTCACCGCTGCCCGAAAATTCCAAAGTCGAGATGGGAGCGTCAAATCTTGAGTCGCAACCTCCAGTCATGAAGTTGCCCAGGCTGTTGTCACCGACACTCCCGTCCCCAGAAAGGGATACGGGTCTGCCGCAATTACTGTCCCCGCTCTTGCCTCCTTCCCTTGCGTCGGTCATCGCGAGCTCCCCCGGTTCTGTCTCAATCGGTAGTCCTGCCATTGCACCACACCACCGCACTGAGCCAGTCCGCTCCATCCTCGCCCGAGCGGATCTCGATTCTGATTTGCTTGGTGAGAAGAATGGATTGTTTGCAGGTGGGAGTCGAGTTCGTTCAAGCAGTCAGCACTCGGCCCGCAGTTCTGCACCGGGTACTCCTAATGCTGCCAAAGTAGCGTTGGGTGCAAAAGTTCTTTCCAAGACTGGCGTTAAGACCGGTACACCGTTGCATAACGGGGCTCGAGCCAGTCCCGGCCCCAGACAAAGACACACCATAATTCTCAAGTATGGCAAAAAGAACCGAAAGCGAGTCGAGGCGCTACTGAAGCTTGCACCGCGCTCAAAGAAGGAAGTGCCCAAACGAGACGCAGTCGACAGCCGGAATCCCCCGGAGATTCAGTCAAGGAAAGAAACGGCACCACTATCAGCTCCCAAGGTCAGATCTCAAACGGATGCAATCGATATTACCAAGGTCGAGAAGAAACGCAAAGCAGAAGACAGTCCAGGGTCCTCACTGAAAAAGGCCAAGACCTCGAACTTGAATGTTGACGAAGACAAACGGCCGACCACCCCCATTCCGCCAGCAGGCAGGACACCTTTCGTAACCCAGCCGAGATCAGCCTTCTCGACCCCCAAAAGAGATTTGAAGTCTACAGCAATGCGACGAGTCGAGTCGTCCGATGGCTTAGATGTACCAACCCCTTCAGGAGAGAAGGCTCGGGTACCTACACCATTGCCAGGCCCCAAGCCTTCTTCTCAGCCTCCGGCGTCTTCGCTCAGTCGAGATGAAGAACGCCAACAATGGACCAACCTCAACCAGAGGTTCTTCACTCTGGGCAGAACCCTCAAGCACGAAGGATCATCAATGCTTCCAAGCTCAGACAGCGATTCACCCCCCGGTCAGTCTGCCAAAGCGGTTCTAATATTAATAGAAGCGCTACTCTGTTTCATGATAAACATTGCTGCACAATCTCATACCCGTCCAGGTGTTGATCCTGGATGGAGGTCGATCATCCTCTACCACATCTTCGTTTTCCGCGCGTCGAGAAAGTTCCCACATCTACATGGTCTGGTGGTTCAGCTTGGAGCAGTCTGCCGGCAACACATCCAAAAGTATGACATGGATCGGCTCGCACGCGATCCCTTACCCGGGGACTATTGCAACTCAGCACCAACCCCTGGCAGTGATGGCAATACGAAGACGAATGAAGACAGCGAGAAGTACAAGAAGCGTTATGTGGAATTCAGAGACGACCTCGTTCATAATGTGCGCGAATTGCAGACTGCTTGGCTTGATGGCTCGCGGTATCTCTCTCTCGATCTGTTGAAGCGCGAGTATCCCAACACCTGGTCTAAGCGAACAGAAGACACCAGCGTTAGATTCCAGGAGAAACTTTCGCCTTCGAAAATCTCCAAAGATTTCTCTCTGCCGATGGACACCAATACCACCGCTTTTGAAGCTGCAAGGTTCAGCGTTTCATTCCTTGAAGAGTGGGCGGAGAAGGAGAAGATTGACTGGAAGACCAGGATTGATCTATGACCACAGTGGCCAGAGTCCGCTTGAATTGAAGCGTGTTAAGATCTCTCTAACGGCGACGCAACTGGAGCGACGGAGAGCTTGTAAGACCCCGCGGACGACAATAGACAAATTGCCGTTCATGATTGTATGATAATTCGTCGTTAATGAATACAAGATACCCATTTGTTCGACGTTGGTTTCATTGAGATTCAATCATGTATATGAAGTAAATCAAGCACATGCGACGTCGGCCTCGCGGGGATTCCCGTCAGGACATGAGTGCGTGTGGAATATAATATTAATTTTACTCCGTACTTGGATATCCTCCTAGCACCAGCAACGTCCTTTCTTAACAGCCAGACGCAAATCTGGAATTCCCACGACTTGCTTTTCCGTGCAGCGTTCGCCTGCAGAGAGGGCGATGACGGCTTGAATGATGGATGCGATACAAAAAGCATGTCCCTCGATGACGATCTCTCCGACTTCGAGGGCATCCTTCCTGTGATCCCCGACAGCTCGCCGCCCGTCTTCAAAGATTCCAAGAGCAATGCGACCACGGGAGCGTCTGCGGCCGGCGTGCGTGCCGTTACCGCGCAGGTTGTAGCCTTCTACTTTCGCGCGCCTGTCAAGGCGTTCTTCAGGACAAGAGTTGACTATCTCGTGCGTTGTGACTGTCCCACAGCTTTCGTGGCCTGTCGCGGCTAAGCTAACATATTTCTTTCTACTAGGCGTATGCGAGATCCATCAACCCAGATGTCCAGGACGGGCGCTTCTCCTGGAGAAGCACGACGCCGGGGATCCTTGCCCATGCCATCAAACACTACGGATGGAGGTTTATTCCCGAGCAGCTCCTCCTGCCCTTGACCGCCAATGTCGCAGTCGGAGCAGCCTTGTATACATCATATCTCCATATCCTGGGCCGGCTTCACGAACCCTCGGCTCATGCCACGAAGACCGTCTTTCCTCCTCCCCCACCGACCGCGACCTTCGCTGCCGGATTTGCCGCAGGGACGCTCCAAAGCGTGCTCGCAGCGCCATGGGATGCACTCCAGGTGAGGTTTGAGCAGAGAGGGGAGAAGTACCAGAACAAGACCATGTGGCAGTACTGCCGGGGCAAATTGCACGAGATTGGTCTTCGTGGCATTTTTGCCGGTTGGGGCATCTCATTCCTGAAGGACAGCTTTGGTTCAGGCATCTTTTTCTCGACCTTCGAATATGTCAAGGCTCAGGGTTACTACTCGTTCGTGCGATGGTATTATGGAGCCCTCGGGGGAGCCGACGTGGACATGCTTGCTCACAAAAGAGGCACGGCCGCGACGGAAAGCCAGCCGACGGCGGTCATCAGGCCCCATTATGCGCTCGAACCGGCTTTTCTCATGCTGGCTGGCATGACGGCCTCCGTGACCCAACAGGTGGTGTTGTATCCGTTATCAACATTTCAGACGCTGCATTACGAACGGCTTGAAGATCTAGACAAGCACGCCACCCAGCTCCAACGTTCCCCCTCGGCCAGTAGGGGACGCATGCTTCGCGCCTACTACCACGCATATCAAGAAACACGGAGGCAAGCTCAACAACAAGCCGGCCAAATCGGTGGGATGAGGAGATGGCTTTTTAGAGGATTCTGGTGGTTCACGATCCGCCAGGTTCCCAGCACCAGCACCGGGTTGATCATTTTCGAATTGGTGCGCAGGAAATACGGCCTGAGTGGGGATGAGATCAGGATCACAAAGGAAGGGTATGACATTCTGTTGACTTAGATTTGCGGTTGTTGGCGGTTTTGCAGACGTATACCTGGAGGGCAATTCCTTCTGACAAGAGTCTTAACGAGGGCAATTCGGCCCAGGATGAAGGCCATCCGCTTTCCGAGATTCAGACTTGGAGATGATCAGCAGGGTACAAATCGAAGGGCGTGATAACAGACTTAAACCCAACCAGCCAGCTTAGGACTGATAGACAACATGCGGAGAAATCCGATACTATCTTCTGAGGCACATTTAGATTGTAACGATTGACCACCTGGCAGGGCAAGAGACCTGTCATATCTTCATTCCCAACATGAGGTCCCTTCGCACGGTATCAGTCGTGGGATGTCACGCCGAAGGAGAGGTGGGCGATGTCATCGTGGGAGGCGTCCTAGATGCCCCTGGATGTAGTTCCATGTACGAGAAGATGCAGTACTTCTGGACCAAGAAGGACAGTCTTCGCAAACTGCTTCTCAACGAGCCTCGCGGTCGGTCGTCGATGAATACGAACCTTGTGTTACCGCCCTGCGACCCTCGTGCAGACGCGGGCTTCTTGATCATGGAGAGCGACGAATATGCACCTATGTCCGGATCTAACACGATCTGTACCGCGACCGTCTTGTTAGAGACCGGCATGATACCGATGCAAGAGCCAGTGACGCAGTTCAATCTCGACACGGCGGCCGGCTTGGTCGGCATAACAGCCGAGTGCGAGGCTGGGAAATGCAAATCCGTCGCTTTCGACAATGTTCCGTCCTTCGTTTTCGCCCTGGACAAGCAAATACATGTGCCTGGGCTGGGAGTGGTTTCGGTCGATATTGCCTGGGGCGGGATGATGTTCGCTCTTGTCGACGCGGGTGCATGCAACCTCACGATTGAGAACAGTCAGGGGCCTCAGTTGATTGAGCTTGGGGAACGGATTAAACGAGCAGTTCAAGCCCAATATACCCCGGTGCATCCGGAAAACCCAGCAATTCGCGGTGTGTCAAACTTCGGATGGACCCATCCGCTCCAAGACAACGGGGCGGACGGTAAGGCCGCCGTCAACACGGTCGTGGTATCTCCTGGAAGATTTGACCGCAGCCCTTGCGGGACAGGGACATGTGCTCGAATGGCAGTGCTACACGCGAGAGGACAACTCCAAGTAGGCGAGACGTTCCGCCACAAGAGCATCATCGGAACCGAGTTCGTCAACCACATTCGAGGCACGACCAAGGTGGGTGAGTACGACGCCATTCTACCCACTGTGAAGGGGAGAGGCTGGATCACCGGGTTCAAGGAAATCGTGCTCGATCCCACAGATCCGTTCCCAGAAGGATTCAGAGTCGGTGATCAATGGCATGTTTAGGCACCTTGAACTGCAAGCCCGGGTCAGACAGCGGGGAGAACAAACCTGGACGGTGACCGGTGACCGAATAGACCCAAGAGAGGTGGGTGAGATATGTAGACTCTAGAGGTATTTGGGACGGTTTGCCAGGCTCACGGTGGCATGCAGCTGTGTTGTTCAGTGTAGGTAGAAATCAGCCACACATCGGCTGTCAACTTGAAGCTGAAGCTCATCAGTTGGACGCGCCAGGCAGAAGAGCGCGTCGCGCCAAGACCGTGACTGGTTCGCGTTAATCGGCCTTTCACTCCAGTCTGTAATCGGCACTGTAGGCCGTAAGTCCTGCCTGGTTGAGAGGCGCATCGCAGCAACCAAAAAGATTCCGACCACGACTGAAAGTGACTTGATCTTCACGCTTCCTACGACCCTAGTTAGGCCACATCGCACTCCCATTCTTCTCACATTCACGTCTTGTTCGCCTTGTCTCTGACTAGACATCTCTCGTCATCGTCACCCTCACTGTCTGTTCTCAGCCATCGCAGCTGCGCGAGCAGCACCTTCAGACGTCAGCATCCTCCTTCATCTCTAGCTAGCCTGGGTCGAGGCAGGTAGCAAACATGAGCGACATTGTCATCAATGCCGACACCTTCTTCGACCGCCTCTCCACTCTATACAATGCCTGGAAGTCCGACAAAAGATCGGGAGATGGGTCCTTTGGTGGCGCAGACTCGATCGTCGTCTTGACTGGTAAAGCCGATCAAGACACCCAATATGTCAAGAACAATGCTGTCCATGTAAGCGCACCATCTAGACCCTGTCTGCGGAAACTGCGGCTGACTGACTGACCACGTCTTACAGTTCTGGTTGCTAGGTTATGAATTCCCCGCTACCCTGCTGGTCTTCACGCCTGCTACCTTATATGTGGTTACCACTGAGAAAAAGGGTTAGTTACGCGCATCCGTTGGCACCTTTGGCTGTTTACTGACGTTCGCTCAGCTAAGCACCTGCAAAACCTCAAAAACGGCAAAATCCCCATCGAAATCCTCACTGTCCATATGAAGCAGCCTGAGACGCGGACGCAGGCGTTCGAAAAGTGTATCGATATCATCAAGGGCGCCGGTAAGAAAGTGGGCATCATTCCAAAGGCCGAAGCTCATGGACCATTCGTCGACGAGTGGCTCAAGATGTACGGCGATATCTCGAAAGAGGTCGAAGAGGTCGACGTATCCAGTGCTCTTTCCACCGCTTTCGCCGTCAAGGACGAGAACGAGCTGAGAGCAATGCGCACCGCCGCACGAGCGGCAAGCGCTGTGATCACGGATTATTGGGTCGACGAGATGTCAGAGGTGCTCGATCAAGAAAAGAGAGTCAGCCATCGGACTCTCTCCGATCGGCTGACAAAGAAGATCGATGATACCAAATTCTTCAAGGGTGTTTCCAAACTCCCGTCGGATTTCGACACTCAGCAATTAGACTGGGCCTATGGCCCTGTTGTGCAGAGTGGCGGCCAATACGACCTGAGAGTAAATGCCCAGCCGAATGACGAAAACCTTCACTCGGGATGCATCGTTGCCGGACTGGGCTTCAGATACAAGACTTACTGCTCGATCCTGGCAAGAACATATCTGATTGATCCCAGTAAATCCCAGACGGCGAATTACAAGATCCTTCTCGCTGCTCACGAGGCAGCGATGAAGGAAATCAAGGATGGCGCCGTGATCAAAGACGTCTACAATAAGGCCTTGGGCGTTGTGAAGTCCAAGAGGCCTGAGCTGGAGAAACATTTCGCCAAAGACGTCGGAACCGCCATCGGGATCGAGGTTCGAGATTCCAAGTTCGTCTTAAATGGCAAGAATACGAAAACCCTCAAGGACGGCATGACAGTCAGTGTCACTACGAGTCTCTCCGACCTGACCAACGACAAGCCCCAAGACAAGAAGGGTGCCAACTATACCCTGGTCTTGATGGATACTGTGAGAGTTACCCGGGGCGAGCCAGTGGTCTTCACCAAAGAGGCGCTTACAGACCTCGATTCCATCGAATTCTATTTCAAGGATGACGAGGAAGAGACAAAGCCCAAACAGGAAAAGACTAAGAAGCCTGGTACTAGTGCTATCGTGACCTCAAACATCAAATCGACCCGACTTCGCGGCGCAAATAGGCAAGACAATGCCAAGGAGGAAGAAGAAGCCCGCCGACGAGAGCACCAGAAGGAGCTCGCAGCCAGGAAGCAACGCGAAGGTCTCGATAAGTATGCGGAAGCTACAGGCGATATGAACGGCGAGAACGAGAAGAAGTTCAAAAAGTTTGAATCCTATAAACGTGAGGGCCAGCTTCCCTCACGCACCAAGGATTTGATCGTCTGGGTCGACACCAAAGCTTCGACTGTCATCCTCCCGATCATGGGTCGACCTGTGCCATTCCATATCAACACGATCAAGAATGTTAGCAAGTCAGATGAAGGCGAGTATACACACTTGCGATTCAATTTTCTGTCGCCTGGTCAAGGGGTCGGGCGCAAGGATGATCAGCCCTTTGAAGATCCCCAAGCGCATTTCATCCGATCGCTCACCGTTCGGTCCAAGGATCAAGATCGTCTCTCTGAAGTGTCGGCACAAATCACCGAACTACGAAAGTCGGCTGTTCGCCGTGAGCAGGAGAAGAAGGAAATGGAAGATGTGGTCGAGCAAGACAAGTTAATTGAGATCCGCAATCGTCGACCAATCCGACTGAGCGATGTCTACCTCCGACCTGCCCAAGACGGCAAGCGCGTTCCCGGTGAAGTTGAGATACATCAGAACGGTCTTCGATATATCTCGCCGTTGCGCAATGACCATGTCGACGTCGTCTTTTCGAACGTCAAGCACCTCTTTTTCCAACCTTGCGTTGGTGAATTGATTGTGCTCATCCATGTCCATCTCAAAAACCCCATCATCATCGGGAAACGCAAGACCAGAGATGTTCAGTTCTATCGAGAAGCCACGGACATGGCCTTCGATGAGACAGGAAACCGGAAGCGAAAGCATCGCTATGGTGATGAGGAGGAGTTTGAGCAAGAACAGGAAGAGCGAAGACGGAGAGCAGAACTTGATCGACTCTTCAAGGGATTTGCCGAGAAAATATCGGATGCTGCTCGTGACTACAACATTGCGGTCGATATCCCCTTCAGAGAACTCAGTTTCAACGGTGTCCCCAACCGCAGCAATGTGCTTATGGCGCCAACTACAGACGCCTTGGTTCAATTGACCGAACCACCCTTCACCGTCATCACGCTTGATGAAATCGAGGTTGCCCATCTCGAAAGAATACAGGTAAGTGATACTCTTTCCGCCGTAGACCCGGCACTGACTTCTCTTGCAGTTTGGTCTCAAGAATTTCGATCTCGTCTTTGTCTACAAGGACTTCCATCGGCCGCCGACTCACATCAATACCATTCCGGTCGAATTCCTCGATCGCATCAAGGAGTGGCTTGACAGTGTCGACATCGCCTACACTGAAGGTCCACTCAATCTCAACTGGAGCACTATCATGAAGACTGTTACCATGGACCCGCATCAGTTCTTTAAGGATGGCGGTTGGAACTTCCTCGCCACCGATACTGATTCAGAACAAGAGGAAGAATCCGAAGAGGAAAGTGCGTTCGAGATGAGCGACTCAGATCTGGCTGCTGCCAGTGAATCGGATAGCGATGAAGACAGCGAATTTGACGATGATGCCAGCGCCAGTGATGATGAAGGAGAGGCGGACAGCGGGCTGAGTGACGAGGGAGAAGACTGGGACGAGATGGAAAAAAAGGCCAAGAAAGAAGACCGTGGGGGTTTGATGGATGACGAAGACAAAAGTGGCAGAAAGCGGAAGAGATGAGCGACTTTGCCGCACACCGCGGGCAATACTGGTAATGCCGTTCCTGGGTGAGGGAGGCCCGGTGCGAGGTCAGGTCTGCGCCACCGAGATTTTGGTGCCTTGGGATCTGGACCGCTGCAAAGCCTGGGAATGCTGCTGCTCTGTACTAGTATTGATAGCTGCATTGAATCTGAGATACCTTCGTTGCACTAGACTGTATCAGGCCTCCCGAACAGTACCTAGGTATATTCTGGAGATGCAGCCTGGTGCGGACAAGGCTGCGGGAACTTTCGGGCACGTGAGGAGACCAGTTGATTACCCATATTTTGGATTATTAAGTCTCCGTTGCGCGCATTGCGTAGTTCTCCAACTCCAATTCCTCATCTGGATATATTTCTCATCCCATCCCATCCATTCCGTACTCATCAAGCTTCACACTTTCGAGGGTACTTTCTGCTCTCTCGCTCTTAGTCGCTACTTAGTCGACCAACCAATCAAGTCAGCGAAGCGACAATGGGCTGGTTCAGCTCCTCGCCCACTCCTGCGCAGCCTGCGGCCGGTACGTACCGGTCTGTCCGTCCTTTTCCCCCGTGGTCTCGTGCAGCAGCAACAGAAGAGGCGGATGCTCGGAACCTCTAGAAGCGGATGGAGCTGTACATGGTCGATACCGTGGCCCTTGGAGTAGACCAGGACCGTTGCTGATCACTGGACACCATCTGCTCTCTACCGTCGACGCAGCACCATGACCGTCTGAGCGGCGACTGTTGATTCTATGTCTCCAAGTTCAAACTCACATTGAAGACATTGAGCTAACGTAAGCCATTGCACTCATAGTCACGCAGCCATCGAGCCCGAAGAATCTTGCCGCAGACCTCAAGCCGGCGGGCGAGGTGGAGAAAGTCAAGGTCTGTTGTTTCTGCCTCCCTCTTCCTGCGATCTTGATTGTGTCCTGTCCCCCTGGCTGACATTCTCCTTCTCCAGCCCTGCTGCGTATGCAAAGACGAAAAGGCCCAGCGTGACGAGTGCATGCTGTTCTCGCGGGCCGACGACCCCCAGGAAGACTGCAAGGGCATGGTCGCGCGGTACAAAGACTGCATGGCGGGCTATGGGTTCAAAATCTAAGAGAGATAGAATGAAAAAGAGACAAAGGAAGAAGGGAGGGAACATGCAATCAGCTACCCAGGCCCCGTTGAGACACCCTCTCTCAGATCCATCGAGTGTATTGGCAATCGGCGACCGGCTCAATCAGGTCTCCTAGTGATCAATGAGGTTCGGTTTCAAAGATCGCTTGCATGTGGGCGATGCAATGATGGAGTTATCTGCCTCGAGCATTTACAAAGCATTCTGTGGCATGGGATGGCGCAGTGCGGACTAGCGTACCTATACTTGGCATGAATTGGATGGCGTTGGGCGATTTGATTTTACCCTTTCATTTTCGGGGAGTCCAGTGGACAAATGCATGGGTTGGTCTGAATTGTGTTGTGTTGTGCTGTGCAGAAAAGAGTGGAAGAAGAGGAAAGAAGGGAGAGAAGGAGAGGAGACTGTGTGTGCGCTTGACATGTACAGAAGCACAACCCAAGATTGGGATGTACAAAGAAAGAACAAAACGGGCTGATCACACGGTGTACAACAGTTCTATAGATAGAGTCTATTTGTATCGTGGGTATCGTTGTCCCGAGACGATGCTTGTATTGCAGTATATACTAGTACGCCACTCAAACCAGCACCAAGATCCAGGCATGGTAACTCCGTGCATAGGTACCTTATTACTGTAGGTACACTGGATACAGGCACGTACAGTGTGGTATGTGGTACTACGCTGGCTGAAACACAAAGAAAATGTCCTGGACAGCCTGCGTGCATTGTACCAGTGTGCCACTGCAGCCAACACGTCTCCCTCTCCCTCTCCCGGGCGGTTAGTTGTAGTTGCAATTGCAGTCGAGATATCCGTACATTGCATGGTTCCAACTGGCATGACAAGATCAATGTCCAATGTCCACTGTCCAATGTCCAATATCATGTACGCATGATGTGGTCGTTAATCACCATTCAACATTCAACATTCACAGTGAATGAAGCAGACTCTGCATGCCTACTTCCATATAGTCGTCCCGTTTCAGCAGATAGGGCCGCAGATTCTCCTTGCCGAGATTGGCCAGGACCTGGGCTCGCAGGCGGTCCTTGAGGGCGTCGGGCAGCAGGACGAAAATGCTCGCAATCTCGGTCAGCACCTCGAGGCTTGCGTGGAAGGGGTCGTCGAGATCCCAGGAGCGCAGCAGCTGCACGTAGCGGCTCATGTCGCGGGCCAGCATGACGCCGCCGATGCGGTTGACCTGGAACTTGGTGAAGTGCTGCAGGAGCTGGGCGCGGAAGCCGACGGCCACCTCGGTCAGCAGGGCGTGCAGGTTGGCGCCGTCAAAGGCCTCGGCTGCTGTGTCGTGGAAGAGAGCTAGGAAGCGGCACACGCTGTCGCACGTCGCCGTCTGCGCCTGCTCGAGCGCCGCCGCTTCGGCTTCCGTCTCCGCCCGTGGGCGGAAGTCGTTTCGGTTCTGGTTCGACAGGAGCCGCGTGGTCCAGTTGAGCACGGCGTCGATGCTCTGTTGCTCGATCGTGTTGATTTGGTCTTCGATCCGCGCCACCGCCGCCCGCGTGCTCTTCTCCATTTCCCGCCGCGTCGTCAGACTCGACCCGGCTAGAGGGATGAGCAGCGTGTTGACGCAGCTTTGCACAAGGTGCGTGATGTGTACTGCCGTCCGTAAAATGCTCAGGTACGACAGGTCGGGTTGCTCTCGCTTGGACGTCTCGGCCGTTGACGCACTGTCCGCCGCCGCCTCCAGAGCCACTTCGACATACAGCTCCAGCAGGTTCTTGAGGATCAGGTTCAACAGGGCCGCCACGTCTTTGGGCGTCTCGGAACCGCCCCCAAGCTCAAGGCCTCTTCGCACTCCCTCGGCTAGCCACTTCAGCATTCTTTTCGCAAACGCCACGTGCAACCTGCCATCCTCTTCGGACAGCTCGACGTCCGGCTGGGCCTTGTCTGTGTTCTTGAGGCCCGCAACAGACAGGAGGATTCTTTTTTGTGTCGAAGACATTTTCTCCAAGTCTAGGCTCTTCACGTACGCGTCCGTGGCCTCTCGCGCCGAGGCGAGCAGTTCTTGACCACGATTCCTCAGCGACGCCAGATATGTCTTGGGCTCTTTCTGCCGGCGAGAATGGAACAGCTCGAATTTGAACAAAAGTGATTTGTACAGTTCTTGTAGGTTGTGCTTTTCTTTATCAATGTAAGCCGATCCTCCGAAGTAGGGTGTGAAGAGCTCGTCGAGCTGCTGATCTAGCAGTTGACTGGTTTGAGAGGTGACGGATTCCGGGTGCTCGGTCAAGCCATGTGCTTTCAGGTCGTCCACTAGAATGCTGATGTAGCTTCTCGCCGCCTGCAGCGATCTTAGATATGCGAGAGTGGATTCCGACTCAGCTTTCTCCAGCACCAGTTCGAGTCTTTGCTGGATCGACTGCTGAAACACTCTCTGCACGAATTTCCCCAGTACTTGTTCCGGGTATGGGAAGGCTCTCTTGATGATTGCCGACTCTTCTTGGACCACAACCTTGACTTCATCGATCAGCGACTGAAGGCCAGGTTCAACCCCAGGAAGGTCGGCGTCGGGGTCGGACAGTCGCATCCAAGTTTCTTGATCGCCGCCGATCTCGTCTGTCACAAGATTGCTCCTGTCGATGAAGAACTGGTGCTGATTCACGAAAGCCGCCTGCACAGATGCGCCTCCGTTAAAGTCTTGCAACACGATCGCGCAGTTCTTCATCTCTTCGAAATTCTGGCGTCTGTAGAAATCATCAAATAGCTTGAGCATGTCATTCTCCAGTGTTTCAATGAATCTTTCAATGACTTCTCGCGTGTTGAAGTTCCTGCTCCCGCTCCCGCTCCCGGTCACCCCGTTTGTGATTCCGCCCGATTGCGGCGACACGCCGTTGGACTGCCCGTGGCTTTTCGGATCGAGCCTCTGGCTGATTCGAAGCAGCTGCCGGGCTATATTGGCGGATCTGATCTTTCCCTCGCCAGTGCCAGAGCGCCTCAAATTCTCCAGTAGCGTAAGCTCGCCTCGGTTGCTGACCTCATCCCAGCACTCGATCAAGAAGTGTGCATCCAAGGCTTTTGTTCTCTGCCGATCGAGCTCTTCGATCCGACGACCGGTCTCCACGGCGACGTTGCCACCCCATTTCTCACCACGGTCCGAATTCAACGAGGTGTCGAGTTTTCGAAAACTCTCAATGGTCTGGTTGAGCTTCCGCCCCAGTGTTTCGGTGTTGCCGGCATGTTGCGCTTCCGCTCTCCTAACTGCAGCGGAGAGTTCGTTTTCTCGCTGCTCCAGTTCTCCCGAGAGTTCATCAAGCCGTCGCGCGGCTTGTTCAAAGGTTCGAATTAGAGGTTTGGGGTCGAAAGGGGCGTCGATCCCGTGTGATCGGCGATTAGATGGTTGTGCACTCTCGGTCAGGGACTCGATGAAGTCTTTGGCTATGAAGTCTCGGCTGGAGAAATCATCCAGGCTGAAGACGGGGCCCTTGGGGAATATCGACCGCCCGGCCTGGTCTGATGGATGGGATGCCGCAGAGTATTGCTGAGAGTCCATGGCGGCATTGACTTTACGTGCTCAGTGTTCAGTGGCCATGGCTGGCTTCTAGAGAGGCACGCGCAGTTGGATGAGCCCAGTTTAACACAAATAATCGAGCCCAGATCAGATGAGACGACTCCCCTGGCACGTCCGAGGCTTTGTCGGTGTCGGTGTCGGTGTTGGTGTTTGTTCGTGTCCGTGTCGTGGTGGACGCAGGCTCAAGTCCGCCAGTTGATGCCTCCGCGTTGTCCCTCCGCACCCGCAAAAATGTTTCTCCGCACCCGAGCCCCTGAGTGTTGAACAGGTCTCTTGTAGGTGAGAGCCAACACTAGATACACAGGCAAGACAAGGCCAGGGATGCTCATATCATTCAGCATTCGCGTCCAATGTTAGCAGTTACCAACCAGAATGATCTGCTGTTAGCAAATCAACATGCTCTACGTGGATGGTATCTGACCCTGATGGCCTGCCTGATATCCTGGACCCTGCATAGGCGCCAGCGGACCACGGATAGCATCAATGCCGACTTGATCACTGGCCTTACATTGCCTATCGTCGCAGTGGTCCATCTCATTCTACAGATACGCGAATCTTCTCGGGGTCGGCGCTGGATCTATCGCAGACTTCGTACGCCATCGAAGCACCTCTTGTCACCACCGAGGTGTTCATGAGCCTGAGTGTGCTCATCTTTGGTGTGGCCGTTTGGAACATCACCCTCCGACGAGCCTTGGTGGGTGTAACAGTGGACCTTTTGTGTTATGGGACCGAATGCTTTGTCCAGCTATACAAATGGAGACATCAGTCAGGTATTCACTAGATCATTTCTCGCGAACTCGCATGACCTGATCCTATTCATTACTGTGAGGCTGTATGTGCTGATTTGTGTGAATGCTCTGCTGTTCTGGTCCTTCTTTAACTACAAACGAACAGCCAAGAAGAGGAGAGGTGATGTTGCGGAGGCAGAACCCAACGGTACAGACCGTGACCCAAACCCTGACGCAAACGCGGAAATGGACGTAGGCGAACTCCAAGACCTGACAGAACGTGAGAGACACCTTGAGTGATACCTAGGACAAGAACAGCTTCGGTCGCGTCAACAATGAGAGGAGCCACTGAATCGTGACCAGACTCTTTTGTTTCCACCTTGATGTCGACCGCCATGGCGACAGAGCTCCGGCTCAGTGTTGCAGGCCAGGCGATCAAGCCACGTTCGCTGGGTGCATCGGCGGCGGACGCTGTTATTTTGTTTTCCTTCCCCAAGACGCCATCCTCGTGGGGAGATTTAGATCAGATAGTGGGCGTGCTGGCGGGCAGCACAGGAGGAAAGACTGCGGGGGAGGAGCAGTAGCATCGCTGGAACAACGTCCGACTGAGACGGATTCTGGTGCAATAGAGTCCAGAGGCAGCCAGGCCATGGTAGTGTAACGGTTCACCGACGACGGTGTGTAGAGCGTATTCCGTACGTCTACATACTCTTGTAAGAAGGTGTGCCGATTGCCGGCCGCCAGTGGGAAACGCAAACGCACATGCCGGCATACATGCTCTGTTCTATTAGTGCCAACAGCGCTAGTGAAGCTAGCAATGCTAATGGTGTTAGTCGGCCAGTAGCAGGCTAGGATTGTCTTCTCCAGGCATGTTAGTGGCTCCAAGGCACCTGCGTTTGCTCCAATCGTGGAGCTGGACGTGTCGCTCTGACTGCGGCATGTGATCACTGCCATTTTCCCTCTTTTCACCCCCGTCGGCCCTTTCCCTTCATGTTCCATATTCATTATTCTTCATCATCGTCGCTGTCACCGTCTGCATCGTGTCTCCAGACCATTCAGCCTCCTACGGCCCGATGTCTACACCGTCTCCTGCAACACTGACTTAGTATCTCGGTCCAACTCTCTATTCACATCCTCCCACACTCCTTCACACCCGTACCATGCGCGCGCGCCAGAATATAGAGGAGGCTTAGGCCTCGGCCCGTTTCCAATCCCCCCTGCCCGTCACGGCCACATCAGCATTCACACCCTGACCGATTCGGACTCTTCCCCAAGCGGGCGTGCAAGTCGCCTCGCCTCATTTCCCTTTTTCAATGGACTCACAGTCGCCCAACCCTCTTTATGCGGTCCCGCCTCCGTTCTCTCCTCCTCTTTCCGCCCACCGCTCCTCTACCGACACCCACAAACCCTCCTTAGACATCGACATGAGGCGCTCCGATGATCGCTCGACCAGAGCCGCCAGCGTCCTGTCTGGTATGTCGGCCGAAGACATGGAGGCGGCCGAGACCCTCAATAGTCTGCAACAAAGTACGCTATGCACTGCCACTGCCACTCGCTCCACGGTGCTCTCAATGCTGACATGTGACGTTACAGAATACCACTCTCCCAGGCAATCTCAACCTCCACCCACCCTCGTCCAGACTCAGACCAGTTACGACTCCGACCAGCCCGAACCTCTCATAAGACTGTTTACCAGTCAATATCCTTTGGCAGCGAGTCTGATCAATGGTTCGCTGTCCGCGTACAAGACCACCCAGTCATACATTCCCGGCGCTGAATGGACCGAAAAAAATGTCGGTCTTCCCATCGCTGGCACCGTTGCCCGGATCTCGGGGGTCGAAGGCGGTCTACGCTGGGCGCTGCAGCCAAAGCGCGAAGAGAGGTCGACTCCCGGTTCGACACGGTCCTCGGATGTCGAGAAAGGCTACCCAGATATTGCTCCTGATGGGACTCGTCGTTTGAGCTCCGAACTAATGTATACCGAAACCCCACCAGCCTACAGTGCAGGCGACCGTTCTCCGCCATACGCTGAGCAAGAAGTCCTACTGAAGTCTCGTGACAGTCAGCCTCCTGCTGGCTGGCGTCAACAACTCGTCATTTCCACCAGTGGGCTTGGAATTGCCATGAGGGAAGATTCCATTCGAAGTCTGCGGTATTGTTTGAGCTGGCTGCGGTGGGCTAATGGCCGCCTCGGTGAAGCGATCCAAAATCTAAAGACCCTCCTCGAGCGCTGGGATGAAGGTATCACTCCAGGCGAGCAACCATCTCCCATGTCTGTGGCCAGTATTACTCAGACTCAGCAAGAAAGGAGACAAGCTGCGCTCTCCGCGCGTATCAACGCTCTCAAGAGCGACGTACTCCAAACTCTCAAACACGTTGTCGGCATTGTCTCCAACTATGCTGGTGGCGCATTGCCTCAAAATGCCCGTGATCTGGTCCACCGCCATCTGATCAGCCTCCCGCAACGATTCAACATGGCCAGCATGGCAGGAAGTGACGCATCAGATTCCAGCTCTGCGGGAAGCTCCGAGGCAGTCAAGAGTGGAAGACGAGTCATGGTGCTTGCGGAGGAAGGCCTTGACATGATGACTCAGGTCAGTCGGGTGGTGAATGATACCCTGGTAAGCGCCGAGGGATGGTGCGAGAAGTTAGGACGGAGCCCGCCGCAACAGCAATCGCAGCAAGGAGGTCAGGGTATGTTACTGGACCAGAAGATGGATGTGGACCGAGAACGAATGAGAAGTGAGACACTTGCTCCGAGCGAGGGTGAGAGGGAGAAGCAAGATGTGCAGATGCAAATGTAACAACAGAAGAAGGGAGCGGATTTATCATCATTTATTTGACCCCGGGAACATTTTGCAGGGCTTGTGTCAGAGTCTAGCGTGACCGAGGGAGGACTGAGGACTGAGGTCTGAGGTCTGAGGTCTGAGGTCTGAGGTCTGAGGTCTGAGGTCCGATGGTGAGGGCGGTCATGAAAAGAATTATGTTAAGATGATGAATAGCTTGAATGATTGACTGTTTGATACTAGTACCGACCGAATGTGGGCTAAGGCTTACCATGTAGGGAGACGTCGTAGCAACCACACCAACACCAACAATGTACAGATGGATATACATGTAATGTAGCACTGTGGGCTTACTACGCAGGTAGACGTCGTAGCAATCACACCAACACCAACAATGTACGGATGGATATGCATGTAATGTAGCACTGTGGGCTTACTACGCAGGTAGACGTCGTAGCAATCACACCAACACCAACAATGTACGGATGGATAGATATCCATGTAATGTAGCAGTGTCATCGTCAGTGTCTTGGACATGAGAGCCTCTGCCTCTTGAGGATGCCTCCTGAGCTCGACCAGACGGACGGAGTACTCCATATTCCGTACTCTGTAAGATTATGAACAGAGACAAGGAGCACGGAATGCACATGATGACAACGTGGGAGGAAATCTGGAGGTGGTTGGTGGTTGGTGGTTGTTGTCCTGACTATGGCGTGGGCGTGAGTGTGAGCGTGAGTGTGAGTGTGAGCGTGAGTGTGAGTGTGAGCGGGAGTGTGCGCCTGAGCGTGAGCGTGAGCCTGGCTGCCTTTTGAAGAAAGGAATGGGATTGTAAATGCAAATGTAAGCGTGAGTTTAACTTAGTGTAACTAAGTGCAAGGGGCGGACAGATCAGACACAGAATCAGACACAGAATCAGACACAGAATCAGACACGGAATCAGACATAGAATCAGACACGGAATCAGACACGGAATCAAACATAGAATCAGACAGAATCAAACATGGAAGTAGACACAGAGGATAAGGGACGAGCACGAGCACGACCGCGACCACGAGGACTATAAGAGGTTGGAAGTGGAAGTGGAAGTGGAGGGAATGAGGGAATGGAAGTGAGAGTGCAGAGGAAGGGGAGTGAAGTGAAAAAGGACGGGATGAAAGAGGAACAGAACATCTCGGTATACGATACATACAAGGTAATCAAGCTATCATGAGTCAAGGCCATCCTAGTACACATCTGGTCATCACATCAAGCAGTGCTACTGTACAGAGTACTATCCGATATCCTCTGCTCTAATCACCTCCTATCCTGATGTCCCTCCTAAAAATACATGCGGCCCTGCTTCCCCCGAATGCCTAGTGATGGCGATGGTGCGTGCCTGGATCTCATGGATCATGGCTGGCGTTGGCTCAGCATTGGATGGCGGCCCGTCGTTTCATCTGATTCAAGATGGCCACGTTGATGAACCAAAATTGGCCATGTGGAGATTGAGCCTGGCCGTCGCCGTCGCCAACGACAACACCGACACCGACACTGTCGCCGTCATTGTCATTGTCCTCCTCGTCGTCATTGTTGTAGCCGTAGTCGTTGTAGCCGTAGTCATTGTCATCCTCGTCATCGCCATCGGCAACGACCGGGATGTTGGCAGTCAGGGCAGGACGCCGGGTTGGCAGTGCCGGTGCCCGCGGCGACGGTTCAGCCCAGCTCGGGTACCTGACGAGGTTCTCGATACGGCCGATGAGCGGGACGAGAGGCACTTCGATCCCGTCGTCGGTCTCCATCAGCGGGATGCGCTGGAAGCGGCGTCTCCCTTCGGTGGTAGGCTCGGGGGGCGGCGGGGTGGACGTCGAACGGGTAGGTGTGGGCGGGGAACGCCTTGCGGCTTCTCTGACCAGGGCGCGGCGCCGCATTTCTCGCAGCATGGACTCGCCGATTTCCTCTCTGGTGTTCCGGGCGATCGTGTCGTCGACGTGGAAGTCGGTGACTTCGTTGTTCCCTGGCCGGTCCCAGGAGAAGGCCACCGGGCTGGCAGGCTCGGTCGCTGGGGACGATGTGCGTGATGACAGTTTGATGTCGATCGGCAACGCCGGAGCATTTTCGACTTCGGGGAAGGCAAATTCCACGTGTTCGAGGTGTTCGAACGACCATGCTTGCGCTCCACCCAGCAGCACACTGCGGCTGTGATGGGTGGACGTGTCGGAGTTGGTGGAGCCGGTTCTGGAGTTGGAGCTGTAGCTATCGCTGCTGGAGGACGACATGGTGATAATGGCGCGTGTGGTCGGAAAAGAAGTGTGTGTTTAAGTAGTGTCGATGGTTCGACAGCGAGCGTGTTGAGATTGATGGAGAGGAGGGCGCTGAGTGTAGTTGAGTAGGTGTCGAGGCGATGTGATGATGGTCAGGTGTTGGGAAAGCTGAAGTGCAGGAGGAATATGACTTGTCTGTGTCTGTGTCTGACTGTCTCGCTGTCTCTCTCTGTATTCAGTGCCAGAGATGTCTGGAGAAGTCGCCATACATATACCTTTTCGCAAGAACTGTCGGTCCTCGCCACGACGCCCAGCCCAAACTGTTGTGAGGACCTCTGTGCCGCTTCATCAGAGAATATGTGGTACGTACCTTACAGGGATACAGCAATAACCTCTCTGTACCGCTGGAAACGCTCACAAGTCGCCGTTTTATTGTGGGGATGCAGTGAGGACCCAACAGCCGCTCGGGATCCGGGGGATTTCAGTTCCTGCATGTCAGGTTTTGCCTGGGAAGTCTCGCCGAGGCGAGCGCGCACAGGAACAGTGCCTCGCATCGACAGGATATGCTCCGTACTGTAGCCGGACAAGCTTGGCTGGCCTGCAACACGCAGTGCAACTGGGCGACTGGAGACCGAGCTGCTAGCCAAGACACCCCTCCTACCGTTGGTTCAAGTTGTCTCCTTCATCTCCTCGTTCTTTGCCCGAAACTGCGCCCGAGGCCCAGCGTGCGTGAACATGTTGCCCAACCATGGTGCGTGTTCAGGAGACAGGCTGATCGAGTGTGGCTTGAAGGGGACTTCGACCCAAGTCCCAGTGGCAGACTGACGCCTGGTCGGACCTATGGAAGACTCTGTCGCCCCGCCCTAGATCCCACCTGGTCTGTAGTACTTCATATAGAAGGTTGAGCCGCGACACCCAGACTGAGACGCACTTAGCGCCTCAGGTGTGGAGGTCTACTTGTAGTACGCCTTCAGTAAGCTTTACGCCTGCACCGAGTCCGGGCGGCCTGGAGACCAGATACTGAAGAGACTCGCAGCAGGGGTAGGACGGCGCCAGTGTTGTGATGGGAAATCCGAGGAACTTCAGAGTACGAGGACGAGATACGGATGAGAGGGAGAGAATTATTAGTTACAAGCAACAGACTGCCCGTTAGAGCCGCCCTCCAGGTGGTGGATGCGCGGTGATACAGATGAGAGTGGAAAGGAGGGAAATAGGAAGCACGAAGGAAGCACGAAGGAAATACTCTGGACAGGCAGTGCGCTCCATGAAGATCACGTCCGCCGTATTTGTGTATATACGGAGTACGGGCGAGTACTCCGCGCTACCTGGGCAGGGGGCTGCTATGTATCAAATCTCAATTATCAATTAACCATCAACCACTACAGAGGCACTTTCCAAGCCTGGCCATCGTAGGACTTGGGCCATATGCCATTCTTACCCGGAGCCAAGATGCCCTTGGGGTCCAGGGCGTTCTTGATCGTTTCATTCAACTTCATCTGTGCGTTGTTGTTGAAGTTGTACGTGCCGGCGATCTGGTCCATCAGCGCCAGATGTGTGCGGTACTCACCCCAACCATGCTTCGCAGCGTCGTCGATGAGGGTGCGGATTAGTTGGTGGGCATTGCGGCGCTGCTTGGGGTCCTTGCGGTCGAAGACAATGCAGACGATATGATGGATCTCACGCATCCCCACCACAAAGTCGCCAATGAAGTCAAACCCAAACTCCTCGCATCGCTGACGGCTGACCTTGTACTGCGCCATGGCGTCGTCCCCGGTGACTTTGGCGATCGGGCTGAAAAACAGGTGTGCCCCGTTCGGCAGCCAGTCCACCCACTTGAGCTCGTCCATGCTCGGGATGCCCTGCATTGTGTCGTGCCGGATCTGCAGCACCTTGTTTTCCGGAATCTCTTCGGGGAAGTAGAATTTGGCTCCTGGAATGGCGGAAAACGAGGCCTTGACCACCTGCCACAGCGCATCCCGGATCGGAGGCGGTCCGTACAGAGCGCCGTAGAAGTTCCATCGGCCTAGGTTGAGCTTCTTCGCGATGACGTCCATTTCGGTATCGGTCAGTGGCTTGTCGGAATTGCTGTACGCTTTTCGATCTCCCTGAACAACAGACCAAAATGTTTACTTAGCTCATCTCAAATCAAAACAAGACAGTAAGAGGGGCATCAACAGCCCGCATGGACGTACCAGCACGGCCGCGTCAAGAAGGAGATGGCGAATAGTAGGCACATTTTGCAACACCATGGCCGTCCGGAGTGGTCGAATGATTTCGACCGCTTGATGGAGGTCCTCATCGCGTGGGATGGTGATCAGGTACGATTGATACCCACCCGGGTTGGGCATCAACCAGATGCCCATCTTAACCACGATCCCTACGTTAACAAGCTCTTAGTATCATGGTGGACGTTCTCGATGGGGATGAAACCGCAGGACCAATCTCAATCACTTACCCAGCGACGACTGCGTAAAGATGCCGTCATTGTACGGGCCAAACCCATAGTTGAAATGCTGCCAGCACTTGTTAGCCGGCTGTTGGTCAGCTGGTAGGCTAGAGTCCGCTTCAGGATTGGGTAGAGCGCCCATGCCGGTACGAAGCAGACTGCCATCCGGGAGGACGACTTCAAGACCACAATGCATCATCCAGTGATCACCGTAGGGCTAGATCCCAAATCGAGACACGTCAGACTATGCACCATCTAGACGATTCGGGAAAGGAGAATCAGTCATACCGTATATCCAACGCCCCTTTCAATTGTGTTCCCTAGAACTGATCCCCCTCCGAGGTCAGGCACGTCGATCCAGAGTTTGTCTCGGAGATTGTTCTGGACCAAATAGTCGTGCAAGTCGGAGAAGGTGACGCCCGGCTCGACTAGAGCGTAGGCACCGTCCACATCGACCTCGAGAACTTGGTTCATGTTCTTGCCCATGTCCAGCCCGACGCTGCCAGGCACTCGAGGCGCGGCACCACCATAGCCAACATTCCTTCCCACCGAGAAGGGCCACAAGGGGACGACCAACTCGTTGGAAAGCCGTATGATGGCCTGGACGTCCTGGACGTTTCGCGGCGCCACAACCGCCGAGCTGACAAAGTAGTCCTCGTCGGAGATATAGAACATGTCGTGCACCTTGCTCGGGTCGAGATAGCTGTCCTTGCCGAGTTGTTGGGCGTCCTTGATCACGTCCACGTTGGATTCGCCGACAATATTGATGACCCTCACAATGAACACCTTGAAGGTCTGTGAACTGATGCCCGGCGGCAAGACTAGAGGGTCACCATGATTCTTTGGAGCCTGTGCATTTGGCCTTCGACGTGTGTCCGGCGTGGCCTCGCCGTTGATGTGGTGTTCCATTATTGACAGATGTAACAGTCTGGTGAAGGTCTTGACTGCCTGGCGTGTCAACCTGATGAGGATGAACCAATACCGGCAGGAATATGGGAGAACACCTCCTTTTAAGTGAAAATAAGACCACACACCGCCTCTTTGGAGCTGGACTTGTTTACCCCCTTGGTTTTCTCACTCATTACCTGATGCCAGCAAAGCAGGGCCTGATCTACGGCCCCTCCCCCCACCCCGCCCCCTCCGATATCACCGTAGCGGAGTTTTATGTATGATGGCGGGAGTTAGTTGTGGGGGGAATAGACTTGCCTTGGATATTCGAGCCCGCTCCGCAACCGAGGGGGAAGTCATTGGCTTTGCCAACCGAACCCCTGTCAAACCCTGGAATTTCTCTCTCACCCTCGCGTGGCTGGATATGGTGATGCAGAAAGGTGTAGGTATTTGTAGTATTCCGTATACATTATTCATTCATGCTTAGCGGCTGAAAGCTGGTAATCAAGTCATTCACCTGGTCCATGCTGGTCTCGTCAAACCTGGAGAGGATTGGAGAGACTCCGGTCCTACGCCAGTCTTCACGTCCCAACAGGCTTTCCCCAGCGTTGGCAGTTTGTCGAGACGATTCTACTTTTTCCAGCATGATGCGGGCCAACAACCAATATTCTGGAGCATTCCTGTAAAACCCGATCCGCTTCCACGGCTTGTCAGGTTCTGTCATACATTGAGGGCCCAAGGGGTCGTGGGTGCCATAGCAGTCCGAGAAGCCAGGTTCGAAGCGTAGATCCCACACGACCATCCAGTTCGTTATGGCATTCCTCAGCGTCTCAAACTGTGCGTCGGAGCCAAAGACTGGGTCGATGTTGAAAAGGAAACTGTGGAAGGACGACACAATCGTCCAAAGATTGAGGACACCGCATTGGGATAGGTACGCTCTGGTCTCTATGTCCAGTGTCTTTTGTCGCAAACTTCGGACGGCAGCGTAGAAAGGAACACCCTTTTTATATTGCGGATGGGAAATCCAGTTCTGGATTTTATTGAAGCAGTCGACCGCGGTAGGCGCTTGGAAGCAAGGTTCGGGACAGGCCAGGTCATTCGTTGTTTCTCGGAGGACCATCCGGGGGGGAAGGTTGTTGAAGATGGTAAAAGCCGTGTCGAGCAGGAAGACATACATGATGGACCGAATCAGCTCCTCTCTCACCACAAACTGCTTCCAGGAGAGGCTGTGCAGATCTAAGTGGTCCAGTCCAGTATGGTTGGCATAACACATCAAATCACGCGCAAGCGAGATTACCATGCTATATCTCTGCCTTCGAATCCTCCCTTTGGCGGCATCCCGACCCTCCCAGTTCTGATAGAGGCACACTGCGTAAGAGGCCTGAAGGGCACGAAGTCTCGCTTCTAGCCGGTCCGGAGGGCAGGGAACGCAACTCCCTTCCTCGACATTGTAGGTTGTCTCATCGTAGAAGACCATTTTTTCCACAGCATCGAACCACAGCTTAGCCCGTGAGTTGTCGTTCTTGTGTGGAGATAGGGATGCGCCAATCAAGGCCATTGCAGCCAGTAGTTGATGAGGTGCAGTTGTAGCGTCAAAAGTGGGCTTATGGATAGTTGGACAGTTGGGATACCAGAGAGCCCAGAAATACTCCTGGAAGCGATGTAGATTAGCTGGACAGAAAAAGTCGACGCATTCCCGCTCTAAAAACGGTGACCAATCGTCCGCGTTCGTCCTATTGATGGACTCCACGCCCTGACCGCCCAGCGACATTGCTTTGATCGCTACGAAGATCTGGTGTGACTTAATCGCCAAGTGGCGGTATTTGGACTCGTAGTCTGTGTGGGATCGCATCAGGGAATGAGAACCTCTGGTGGAATTGGATCTCAATACTTGCAAGGAGACATTCTGAGCCGCGGAAGGATCCATCCACTGAGAAACGGGGAGCGACTGGAGAGGAAGTTGGACCGACCAGTCAGGGCTGAAAGCGGAGGCAGCATCTGCTGCTTGATCCCAACCAGTGGGAGAAGAGGGTTGCCTTCTCTGCAGCACATGTCGGTTGTCGTATGGCGGAGGACCACCATTATCAGCCCCTTCGTTCCAGCCATCCGATTCTTTCTCCGACAACCAAGGCTCTGGTAGAATCCCTCTCAATGCTTCGGTGTCAATTGCAAATGCCCCGCCCATGCCTTTGTCATTACTCGTAAACCGTGACAGGAAGCTGAAGGACTCCAGAGGGTCGTGCTCTAATTCAGAGGAGTCGGTCCCCAGAGCAAACGTTGTGAAGTCATTATCTTGGGATAGTTCCTCCCTGACCGCCCACCAGGGGTCCAGTCCATTGGGCGTAAGATCGAGCGAGCCCGGAGGTAAGTCGATTTGCTCCCTGCAGTCGTGTACAAGAGACTGTGGTTCTGTCTGACCCTCAGACCAGGTGGTATGGAGTGTCGGCATATGGGGGAAAGGAAGCGAAGTCGATATTGTGCTACATCCACTTTCATTTCCTATGTCCAGCGTATGCTCAAGGTCATTTCGGGGCACGTCGTCCCAAAGCCAGGCATAGGAGCAGGTTTCTTTTTTTGCGGCGCAATTGCTGCAGGGCTGCAATGAATCACACGCGCGCTTCAACCTGGCACACCGGTCACAGGCAGTCCGATTACTCCTCACCTTTGCAGGAGCACTTCTCTGATTGTTGTCGTTCTCGCCCCCAGGGTGCGCATGACAGCTGATCGAATGTCGCCGCAGGACATCTTTGCGCTTAAATGCTTTACTGCAGGTTCCACAAACGAATGTACGCCAGGGAGCATGGTTTGCGAGGTGTCGTTGCAAATGATCCAGGCGACTGTACGTCTTTTGACAGATCGGACAGTAAGCTCGGGCACCGGGCGACATCTTGTATGGCGACGTTGCTGTACAGAGGAGAAAGAGGAGAAAGAGGAGAAGGAGGAGGAGGAGGAACAGGGAGAGGAGGCCATGTTTGCCACTGCGAGTGGCAGAGGCGCAGTCTGAGGGTGAGCAGAAAAACCATGAGCATGAGGACTCCTCCTTCCTATGCCCCGAAGGAAGAACGGCTGGGTTCGCCTGCGACAGTATGCAATTATCCCCGCAAGGAGGCACCTTAGGCACCTTAGCACCCACCCACCTCTCTATTACCCCCGCGTCTACCCCAGTCTTGGTTCTTGTGGGGGACTTCCACCGCCTAAGGCTAGATGAATGGGGGAGGGCGAGGAGGTCTTGAGGTCTCAGGGCGCCCAGCCGTTTTCTATGTGGGAAATTTCCGAGTGCCATTGTAGCAGCGCTTGACACCATCAAGAAGGTTATGGAACAAATCAATCCATGGTTTGATTTGATTCGATTACACTTCTGTGGAGGGCCCGCAGCCCAGATCAATACCTGGCACCTAGCCTGGTGTACATTTGAAGCCCGAGTTCAGCGGATCCGTGGTGGGATCGATAACCTCCAAAGTCCTTCGCTATTCCTTGGTGGCCCCAACTTATGTCGCGGAAACCATTTCAGGCTCGTGTGTTATCGCCCCTCCATCTGACCAGTACAGCTTGTTGCCCCAGCACTTTAATCCTGGACGCAAAGCATGTGTATAGCGCATCTGGGAGAACCAAGACTCAGTTAGGAACGGGAGGAGGAGGTGGTGGTCGAGGTCGTGGGATCGGCTCCTTCGCCATAACACCACAGTCGCTAATCGATAGACACATTTCGGCCTTCCGCAGTTAGTGGTAAGCTCTCAAACGGAGAAGCTGGATAAATCACAGAGCTTGGGATGGTAAGATGGGAGGCGTCGGTTTCCTTCAGACGTGTTGTTTCTTTTGAGCTGCAAGTTCTTCAGGGCTGGTAAGAATATGAGAAATGGATGGGAGGGTCAATTACAATGGGCGACCAGCAGCTCTTTATAACCCGGCCCAAAGGGTGACGCGAACGTGAATGGTCAGCGGACTGTATGACCTGTGCATCCTTCCTTCACTGCTGGCCATAGGTAGGACCCTCTGACTCCTCCCCCAGCCTGCTGATGCTGATGGACAGTCTGCGGTTTCCTTCAAAGTTGTTTGGTCGTCTGCTCAGATGTGGCCGTGATTGGGAAGGAGCGCTGCACTCTTGAACAGTCGTTCAACGCCTCTCCGTCACAATGAGTCTTTTTGGCTTTGTGATGATCAACTTGGTGGATTGCCGTCACTCCTTACGCCACGCTTTTGGACTGTTGGTTAACCTGTGTTCTTGTCAGACCCGGATTACTTCTCTATCCTATACTATTGCCGTCTCTCACGAGGCACGAGTCTATCAACTGAGTCAACCGCCTTGTTCACGTGAGATGCTTGGATGTCATTCATTGAACCTTTAAGGAAGTTGGCTGGACCCACGGCTTTGCGCAAAATGGCATTTCAATTTGACCCTCGAAGAGATCTGCCCCCTCCAGATATCCAGCCGAGCTCCTACTACGCATCCCGGCGAACCATCTCCTACGGAATTCCAGCCAAAAAGCCCAAGGTGAAACAATGCTACGATTGGATCTTCTCAAGCGCCTCGAACATCCATGTTGCTCTCGATCGAGCTGCTTTCAAGACATATAGCTCCTTCAAGTCCTATGTTGTCACGGTGGCGGATCAACGTCAGGTAACTGTCCGTGGCATTGGCACGGTCGAGATCAAGATACGGCGTGCACCTGGGGCTAAAGACAGTCACACAGTCTGCTTGGAGAACGTGCTGCATGTGCCGGATTGGATATGCAACATTGTATCGGACGTATGTTTCATCCCTGCCAACTACGAGCACAGCTGGACAGAGTTCGGCGTCAACTTCTTTGTGCGAGAGAAGGCCGGAATGAGACCGTGGGGCTACACGGAGAATTTCTGTGGCTTGGACCGACTGGTCTTGTCCCGAAATGTGCAAGGTCGAAGCCCAATGTTGGAAGATGCAGACCGCGAAGTGTTCTCTGTGAGCTTGACCTGGCCTCCAAGTCAGCGGGACAAATGGAACGACTACATGGCCGAAGAAGCGGCACAAGATGCCAAACGAGGTGGAATGGGATCGAAAAAGAAAAAGGCTGAGGATGACACAAGGGAAAGACGTCTAAAAAGAGAAGTCAAGAGTGACCTCGTTGAGTCAAGCCAGTGGAAGCTCGTGCCGGATGTGACGGCCACGATGAAGAAGCAATGGAAAAGTGGACTGGCTGAGATTGATGGCGGCCTTGACCTTGTGGCGAGAGGACAAAGACGGATGGCCGAGAGCGGTAAGATCTGAAGGGTTGGGTGGGTGCATAAGATGAGAAAAGTATCGACATACTGCTCAACAGGGACTTATCAGGGAAGCAGTTGAATGTGGTCAAAGATGGGCGAAGCATGACCAGGCCCAATTCATTTTATCGCTGTCTTGTATGTAATAGTGGGTATCACAGGAAGAATAGAGAGTCTTATACCACCGTTTCGTGCGAGTGTTCCTGACCAACAACTCAATGTATCAACCTGACTTCTTTTCCGGGCTCCCAATCGTGTAAGCCCTGCTGCAGACTGCGCCAATAGTTGAGACGGATACACTCCCTCTTCGCAAGCTCAATGTCCTCCTTTTCAAAGGCCTCGGCCAGCAGCTTCTCCGTGTCCCTGATGCGGGCATCATTCTCTTCCTTCAGGGAGTCGATCTGGGCCTGGGTGGTGGCTTCCTCGATGGCCTCCTGGGCCTCCAAGACCTCCAACAAGGTGTGCTGGTCGGACAAGCCGCGGTGGGTGTTGTTGTCCTCGGCGGTGATGTCGACGCCGTAGCTGTGGTGCAGCAGGTAGCGGGCGCGCAGCAGCGGATCGGCCAGGGTCTTGTAGGCGGTGTTGAGCAGCGACGACATGGCGCGGGCGTGGCGGTGGGCCGCCGGCGAGTGGTGGTACTTGTCCGGGTGGTGCAGCGCTTGCAGCTGTAGAAACTCGCGCTTCAGCTGCGCCGCGGGGATGTCGAATGGGCCATGGGGCGGAGGGCCGGCCGCCAGAGTCGTCGGGAACAGAGTGTAGTGGTTCGTTATGTCTGGAGTGGCGGTAGTGGTAGAAGCATCCTCTTTAGTGGTGGGTTCGGGTTTGTCATGCTGATGGTGACGGTTCGGGTGATGGCTGTGGGCATGACCATGGGTATGGGTGTGTTTGAGGCCATCGGTGCTGGAAGCTGATGGCGAGGCCGCGCTTGATGATCGTGCTTCTTGACTCAGGCCTCGCCTTGTGCTGAATGACCGCCGCGACGGCAACAGACAAGATGTCCTCGTCGCTGCAGGTGTTGCCGAAGCTTCTCTTCTTGGTCCAGCCGGTTGACACGCCGGGGCCCTGGTCGAGGTAAAGGGTTCGGCGGTGCACAGGTGGCGAAGGTGGCGGAGGGCCTGTCGCGTGGGCGCAGCCGAAGACATTACTTCGAGGGCGCCCGTCACCAAGGTAAAGAAAGATGGTGGTTGGAATCTGTGCCCCTCAATCGGTATGTGGAGGGTTTATTGCGGCTTCAACTTATGCGTGGCAAGGTCGGAGCGAGGGATCAGTACGAGTACGGGATACGGAGTACATAGGTAGATGGTCGATGGTTTGTTGAAAACTTATAATAAAAGATACGATAAGTACGAGTACTAGCTGTAGCCACCCAAACGTCATGCGCGGCCCCCGGCACCGGAGCCGGTGCCTGGTCCGCCTCGGTCGAAACCCGAGCAGCGACGAAGTATCCGGACTCTGTAGCAGCTCTGTATGTACTGATATACACACTCTCCATCCATACACGTACCGTACCACAGCATGAACCAAGCTAGCAATCCCCAACGCCCTGGAATAAGAGTGCCTGACCAGAGTCCTCGCCCTCAACCTCCTGCCTCGCATTGTCCTGTCTTTTATACCCGCTCCTAAGCATGCATATGGACGTCGACCGCTCCACTCTTATGCCAGGTTGCCAGCAAGACTCCACAGTTTCCACATCGGTGTTGGACGTCCTTGAGTGAGTTCATCAGGTAAGGGACGAAACAGAAGAGGCCGGTCAAGCAGCAGGTCATTACGGCCCAGACACTGTAAGGGAGACGGTCAGCTTCAACATGCCTCAAGCTCTAGCTGTACTGTGCCGACTTACTGCGTGGTGTTGCCAGAATGGTAGCTGACATTGGTCATGCACCGCTGCCCGCAGCACGGACAATCGACCGGGGCGGGCGACATGCCCAGGTTCGGGATTGCCACAGCCTGGCGGTACTGAGAAGACGCTTGACGTTGAGGCTGTGCTGGCAGCCCCGAGTGGTTGGCATACGGCTTGTCTGAGTATTCTGGTGCTGTCGGGGCATAGTTGCCGTTCGAGGGGGGAGCTACCGACTGTTGGTAGCCCGCGCCATTCTGAGGTGTATGGGAACAAAGATCCCTTGCATCCCATCAGCAGAAGAATCTCGACATGTCGCGTTGATACAATAATGAAGGTCACTCACCCAGGCATCAGCACTTCGTTGACACGAGGTTCACCTCCTGTTCACATTCACGTTAGTCACAATCTGAAACTGAATCCCGGGGATGCCTATTACCTGGCGATTTCTCGTACATGGGATTCATTCTTGACGTTGATGAGCGAAAGGAAGAGATGTACGATATAGTTCAGCGAGTGACTGTGGTTGAAGAAGTGTGAGAGAGGTGAGAAAGAGGTGGGAGAAACTCTGAAGTTGGCTCGAGGCGGTATAAGACTATTTCGGAAGGCACCATCAGGCTGGTCTGGGTTGTTCCTTCCGGCGAGACTCTCTGTCCAGTGTCAAGCATCCAGACTCTCCTCACTGGCCGATGCGGACAGGGACATGAAAGTCTCTTAGCGACCCTGCCTCTCACTTTTACACTTGAGCGGCCTGTGTCGATGTGATGGCGCCCTGAGTTTGGTGCGGCTGAAACATTGCCATCCCTGTTGAAGTATGGAGTCAGGGGTATGGGTACAGAATGTCGGGGCCAGATGGCCAGCTTCCTGCGCAACTGTCTCATCTGGGGGCTTCCATGCTGGCAATAGAATGACCCCGGCTGCTCTGTTCTGGTCTGGCCTTCTGTCCAGGCCTGACATGATTGACACTTCCAGCTGCAAATCAAACAGCCACCGTGACTAGGTGGTCGATTGCATGTGCGAGCAGAGGTTCTAGAACATCCATTTGATCGAGCGCACCTTCCTGCTGCGAGACTGATGCGAGATGCATCAATCCAAGACCGTGATGGACCCTCGAGCTACAGTATTCGTACTCTGTGCACATAGCTTGTTCGGGACCACGACTGCAAGGGGCGTAGAGAGCCCCCGAAGTGTCCAGATCTTCGCATGCCGTGGCACATGGCGAGAGCCTCTGCCGTGAAGCTACGCTGTGTGGAGTACTGCATGTACAGGGTAATGCATGAGATGTGGGAAGTTTTTCGTGATGGATGTACGCGTCGGGACGAACTATTCGACTCTGGCCCATGAGCCCTGTTTGGGGCGATCTAGAGTTCAGCCGCAAGACCTCCAGGCCTCATGTGAATGGCTAACATTTGCGACGGAAATAGGGTGAAACGATGATTGTGATCAGTGATCTCAGGGGTACATATTGCATATGTACGGATACAGGAAAAGCAAAAGGCCTCACCCCCGGCCTATTATTGGTGTGGTTCGCCAGGCTCACAGTCCCCAAACCAGCCCAGTTGTGGAACTATTGAACTGTCTCTATCCTCGTTGGTCGGCTGGCTGCCAGAAAGGCTGTTTTCTGGCCAGGGGTTGCATGAGGCTTGAGACATTCAAGTTCAGCTGAGAATCTGGGCTGCATTCGCCACTCAGCCTGATCCCCCTTTTCCCTCGACCCTTTGAGAACGGTTGTGCCTCGATGGAAATGTTGGTGCGGTTGGTGCGTGTGTCCTTTCAGTCGCAAAAGTTGAGCGTATACGGGATGAGCGACATGCCAGCCTCCAGGAAAGGATGATTATAGCATGTCAACCAGCCCGGGCGAATGCATGGGTCATTTCGAGGCACGCACCAGGCAGCTCTAGCGACAACCTAGCGGCTGTCTTCGTCGAACGGGGGATATCAGTTGTCAGGGGTCCACGAATGACCACAAGGTGGCCTACGATCTGGGGATACTAGCGTCCGCCCTGTGAGTTTCCCTTCCACCCTCCCCGCCAGCGTCGACTAACGCAGTCAGCAGACGATGAAAAGCACAAGGTTTCGGATGATTGGAGAGTCTCCGGTGGTTGATGCCATCCGCGTTTACCCCTGCCGTCAACCTGGACGCTGTCATAACACTTGAAGTGGCCTGACTATGAGTCAAACAGACTGAATTGACAAGTCTCTGCTTTGTGAAGTCGAGGGAATCGCGACATTTCAGTCAACTGCTTTTTGCATTACACAATGGCTGCCAAGGTCGGCCAATGTAGCTGCCTGTAGCCAGACCTGCGCCCTTTGCAAAATCGGTACCCATCTTACGAGCATAAGATGAATATGGACTTATGTGTTGGGCCTGCTGGCTCTCCAGGGGGTTCAACATGCACAGACACCAATAGTTCAAGTTGGTCGAAGCCAAACGCTGGATCAAAGGGACCCCAACCCCAAATGATCCATGTTGTGAAGCTGCCGCCCTGAACCACTGCAGCTCTTACTCTTGTGAGAAGAGGCGTCGCATAGATTGGAGCAACAATATAGCGAGCGCTAATCCTAGGGACGGTAGCGTTGTCGCTTGGACAGTCATTTATCTTCTCCAAGACCTGCTTCATCGACACCAACGAGCCCGTGTACCGATAGTTGAGGTGATATTCAGTCGACGGGACCACCCTTAGGTGACCCTAGTGACTATGTGTCATGCCAGTGGATCTTCCAGGTCACCAAGTCTGGACGCTTGGCCAGCAGCATATATTGTCAGGTGCGTGCTGAACCGACCTAGGTAAGTTGGTCTGGATGGGCGTTGGCAACAGCTTGAACTTGTACCCGACGGATGAATTGATGCAAGCGAAGCCGCGCTGTTTCAGAAAACCTTGTTCCGAGGAAATCTCACCTCGTCTCGGACATGGAAGTGGAATTGATATTCGTTAGGGACCAATCGTCACGTTCATTCTGGTAGGAAACATATAGATAGAAAGACAGTCAGTCAATTAATCAAGATCATTTCCTTCCTTAAATCACATCCTCAAGTATGATACTCGTACAATCCTCGCCGTGTCTAGAAAAGAGAGCTGATCGTCACAATGCAATTTTCCAATTTGGCCGGTGCCCTTTGTTGAATGACCGTAGAAGAGTAGTCGGCATTCAGAAGCCAATTCAAGAATCATGCGCCATCAAACATTGGTGAAGATTGGCATTGCCTTTCGATAACAAGACCCCTTCAAAAGCAACTGCTCATGTCAAGGGTAAGTGCATATCCCGCACCCTCTTCCGCCATCATCTGCAGCTGCATCATGGCGTCGCCGTTCTGCCCTCAGGGTACTGTACCGTAAACCTGTCCCCGAACATCCTTAGTTGCATTGGCATGGTGGGATTCCCGTAATGCTCAAGGATATCGCTCTTCTCCACTGCACAGTTCAAGTCGCTCCAGCCACCGCTTTGCCGTGGCGTACACACACGGCTGCTTTCTCCTTCGACCACCAGTCCGGCAATAGGCCAGGCTTCCGCTCGACTTGTCGAAGGAAACGTCGGAATCCTGCGAACCCGTTTGGAGCGCCTCCGTAGATGCTGTCCATGTCGACGTCGCCGGAGAACTTGTAGTCATCTTCAACCCGCATGCGATATATGTCAATGAGCAAAGCGTACACTTCCGCCTCGGGCCGGTTGTGGAGCCATTTCTTCTTGCTGAGGGCCGTGAACGGTTTGTCGATGGCTGCGATACCTGCCGATGCTCTGCCGCTGCCGCCGGTGCTGAAGCTGGGGTTGCTTCTATCCGGGGCGTTCTTGCTGCATGACTTCTTGTGTTCCTTCCAGTCGGTCTTTTGGCATTCTTGAGAGCAGTATTGGGTGGTCTTGCATTTGGCACAGCGTTTCAGGTTGGTGGTCTTGCGGCAAGCGGCACATTGGCCAGAAGGGGTGCTGCTTGTGTCTACCATTTTGACTAGCGTACTCCGTACTCTGCAGTGATTTGACAGCCTTTTTAACTTTGATGGCAATAGCGTCTGTGGGCCGATGTCAGATTCAAATCACTACGGGACTGAGGACAGTGGTAGCGGGGTCAAGATGTACGACGTACTCTGTAGTCCAGAAGCAAACTTGTCCCCTGCACTGCACTGCGCTGCGGCTTGTTGACCGAAGCCCAGGTTGGGACTAGTGGCCTGCCAAGCCTTAGGATTAGTACTACTAAGGTACTCGTAGGCACCAATAGGTACCTAGGTAGTAGAGGATACGCGCCACGCGGTGGCGGCCTGGAACTAAAGCTTGTCACTGTGGTTTCACCTCAGCTCGGGTACTACGTACTACGTACCTACGTACTCCGTACTCCTGGCACCACTGGCGCTCCTAGTACTCGTAATGGCCGGCGATGACGTCGGGTTCAGCTTGCACCCTTCGTCTTCACCCGCAGTGCTAATTAGTCGGTGACAACTTAAACACCACCCACTGCTAGTCAGTTATTACTGGCACTCAAACCAAAAGGCCACTTCACACAACCTCAAATTCTTGCTTCGTCCCACGTCCAACTGCTTCTCTACGCATACTCTCACAAGCCCTTCTCTCTCTCTCAACTTCCAGCTCCCGGTCTGTTCTGCAGCCTCTCTTCTCGACAGGAACGCCCATCTTCCCTTGCACCCGAGCCAGCATGTCTTACAACGACCAGCGTGGGGGCGATTCCCGCGAATACGGCGGCGGTGGCCGAGGTGGCGACAATTACTATGACCAGAACCAAAGCTTCGACAACAATCAACAGGGCGGTGGCTACGGTAGCCAGAGCTCCGGTCGTGGCAATGAATATGGTGATCAGAGACAAGAAGGTGGCTACGGAGGCAGACAAGACTACAGCGGAGGGCGAGGGGAATACGGTGATAGCCAGGGTGGTGGGTATGGCAACGAACAATCACGTCAGCATGGTCGACGTAACAATGAAGGCGAGTACGGAGGCCAGGAAGGATATGGCGGCAACAGCCGCCCTGAAGGCCGCTATGAAGGAAGATCTGGTGACAGCTCTGGCGGTGGTTACGGAGGTGGTGACTATGGCAGAGGCTCTGGTGGTGGTGGCTATGGAGCTGGATCAGGCGGTGGCCATGCAGGTGGATCCGCCGATTTTGATCAAGATGAAGTGTTGCGGCATAGCCAACAGCAGGGTCATTCAGGAGACTCTGGCCTCTTCTCGCAAGCCTTGTCTTTCCTCAACGACAACAAGCAGAGTGCGCAGTCGGAGGACATTGACGAAGGCCGCGCTCAGCAAAGCCATCAACAACTCTATCAGCAGGGTGGTGGTGGACAACAGCACGATGCCTCGAGTCTCGGCGCAGGGGCAGCAATGCAGGCGCTGAAGATGTTCACGGGCTCCGGAGGCTCCGGAGGCGGATCAGGATCGCAGTCTCAAATGATCGCGACGGCCATGCAGGAAGCGTCGAAGTTGTTCGAGAACCAGAGCAGCCAAGGCAACGTGCAGAGTGGCACGACGAAGCAGTCGGTGGTCAACCAGGCTGCGAAGATGGCTCTGCAGATGTATATGAAGAGTCAGGGCGGTGGCAGCGGCGGGGCCTCTGGGCTGATGAGCCTGGCCAGCAAGTTCTTCTGACCGGACAGGCACGACACGCATCCATACCTAGGTAGCTGATTGTGGCACAGCATGTTGTAGCTGTGTTCCTCCTGCGTGAGGCACCGTTTGTGGAGAAGCCCAACACGGCAGCTGTACCGAGGCAAACTAGCTCTAGATAGGCATGGTGCAGCTCTGCCAGGTCATCGTCATCTGCAAAGAATGGCAAATACTGCCAGTGCCTCCCGCAAACCGCAGGCCCAGCCGCAAGATGGGCTCCATCACCCACCTAACCCTTCACCCTAGTCGCCCTTTAGCCTCAGCTTTCTCCAAGTCCCCTGATTGCCTTTTTCCTCATCTCGCCCATCTACCTAATCACGTCCAACTTGTTTACTTGGTGCATCGCTCCTGGCCCTCTGTCGGCGTTGTTCGTTCGTTCTAGGAACAATTTTCATCTCTCGGCGGCTTCTTGCCAGACCCTCGTCCTTGTCCACTTGTGTTGTGTGTCAGGAGCCCGCCCACTTTGTTACTAGTATGCGATGCGCAGAAGCAGAATCTTGGTAGCAGCAGCAACGACATCAACCTCTTCTATTTCTTAATCCTACTTTCACGGCCATGAACCCGAATCCAGGCGACCACTGGCGGGGTCCTGGAGGTCCTCAAGGCGACCCCCAGGCTCAAGCTAGACCCTACGGTAGCTTCAAGTATGTGACCCTCTTTGCTTCATCCCACATTCTGCCTCATGATTGAGACATCATTCTCCTGCGTCAGTTTTCCACCGCGATAACACTGCGGCCGCTGATATCTGCCACGTCTTCCAGTCCGAATGGTCCTGCGCAACCACCGCCGCACGTCTTACCTCCACCCGCGTCATATCACCAACATCATGCTCAGCCTTCTGCAAACCATAGCCTCTCTATCGCAGACCTGACCCAAGGACCACCGAATCACCAACAACAGCATCAGTACAACACTCAGCCTCCTCCGCCCCAAGCTCAAAGTCACCCTATGGGTTCTTTGGGACATCCACTCCCCCAACATTCTCCTCCGTACCTTGGCCGTGAAAGAGAATTGAGAGAGTTGCGTGAGCGAGAGATGAGGGAGCACGAGCTGAGAGAAAGAGAAATGAGAGAACGGGGCAACATTGAGCTTCAGCGACAGCGAGATGAGATGATCATGAGGGAGCGCGAGCGTGAAGCCCGCGAGCGAGACCAGCTGGAACGTATGCATCAAGAACAACATCAGCAACAACGTCCCGTACAGAGCCATGCTGGCTCGATTCCGATCCATCAGCCCGTTGCTTCCAAAGTGCAGAATTCCATCCATGGCCCCAACGGTCTATTGGCGAATGGAGGTGCCGGGGCTCTGCCACACAATGGCGCAGCTCCATCCACCGCCGGCGGCCTCTTTGGAGGGCCTGCACAGCACGAAACACAACGGCCGTCGCAATACATGCATCAACAAGTGGCAGCTCCACCTTCGCAGCAGCAAGGCCAGGCTTTCATGCCTGGACCTTCACCCATGCCTGCACCCGCACAACTGGCGCACGGCCAGCAACCCATCCTTAATGATGCACTCAGCTACCTTGATCAAGTCAAAGTTCGCTTCAGTGACCAACCAGACGTATATAATCGCTTCTTGGATATCATGAAAGACTTCAAAAGCCAGGCTATCGACACACCGGGCGTTATCGAGCGAGTGTCCAACTTGTTCAACGGACATCCAGCTCTCATCCAAGGGTTCAACACTTTTCTCCCACCTGGCTATCGCATTGAATGCGGGACCGATGACAATCCCGATGCCATTCGGGTGACCACTCCAAGTGGAACAATGACTCAATCTCTTCACAACAGAGGTCGGACGCACTTTGAGCCTGCGCCAATGAACCAGCAGCCGGCAAGTCGTCAAGATCCGTTTGAAAGCCGACATGGCTGGGGCCAGGCCCTCGGAGCATCGCCAGGTCCACGACCAGCAGAATTGCCTGGCTACAAACCCGCATCGGGAGAAAGGCCGATGGATGAAGGCCCAGGTTCCATGACTCAGCAGGAACAGCGTAACGTGTCAACCCTGCAGAGCGCTGTCACTGCTGTGACGAACGGGATCGCAAGGCCGGCTTTGGCTGTCTCTCCTGGACCAGGCCAGCAAGGCCAGTATCCTCAACAGGGGGGTACTTTCGGCGGTAACACGGCGCTCGGTGAATTGAAACGCGGCGGGCCTGTCGAATTCAATCATGCCATCAGTTATGTGAATAAAATAAAGGTATTGTGTTTCCTGCATTTTCTGCCGCACCCCCGGTATTGACTTTTGGCAGAATCGGTTTGCACAGCAACCTGAAATTTACAAGCAGTTCCTCGAGATTCTGCAGACCTACCAACGTGAATCGAAGCCGATTCAAGACGTCTACGCCCAGGTCACTCAACTCTTCGTGTCTGCACCTGACTTACTGGAAGATTTCAAACAATTCCTGCCCGAGTCGGCCGCTCACGGCAAGGCACAAGCCTCACGTGCAATGGCACAGGAGGAACAGACCAACAACGTTCGCGGTGATACGGGCTACGCCGCTGGAGCAATCCCTCAGGCGCAAACCCCTCGGCCTACTTCGAAAATGCCTCCTATGGGCCAGTTTGATCCACCCAGCACCAGTAAAGACAATAAGAAGCGCCGTGGAGGACCCGGCGGGTCTATTGCCAGCCAGCCTGCTGCGCAGTCATCCTCTGACGCGAATGTTCCCCAGAGTAATCGAGCTGGACCGGTCCAGGTAGGGAATGCAAACAAGGTATGTGGATGTCTATCTTCACATCTTTCACTTACTCCGTCAAGTCACGTTGTGCTCATCCGTGACAATATCTTCACTCTTATTTGATGCACTGACTTTGATTTCACAGCGCCCCAAGCTGGCAACTCAGCGCCAGCCTCCTGCCGAGACTGTTGTGACTTCGCCAACACTTGTTCCTGCGCCACCAGAACCCCTCCCGCCTTTCCCAAATTTATCCACCACCCAGGAAGAGCTTGGATTCTTTGATCGCGCAAAGAAGCAGATAGGCAATCGCGCCAGCTACGCCGAATTCCTCAAACTGATCAACCTTTACACGCAAGACCTCATTGACAAGTACACCTTAGCTGACCGAGTTGGGTCATTCATCGGGGGCAGTCCTGACTTGATGAATTGGTTCAAGAACTTTCTCGGTATCGAGGAGCAAGATGAGGTGATCGAGGCGCGTACTCGACCCGATCCGGGACGGGTGAATTTGTCGCATTGCCGTGCTCTTGGTCCCAGCTACCGCCATCTTCCAAAGCGAGAGCAAAATAAACCTTGCAAAGGCCGAGACGGAATGTGCTTTGAAGTTTTGAACGATGTGTGGGCGTCTCATCCAACATGGGCTTCGGAAGACTCTGGCTTTGTTGCACATCGCAAGAACCAATACGAAGAAGCCCTGCATCGAATTGAGGAAGAGCGTCACGATTATGACTTCCACATTGAGTCTTGCCAGCGCACCATCCAATTGATGGAGCCTATTGTCCAGCAAATTGGTGTCATGAGCGAAGCAGACCGAGCTGCTTTCATCTTAGCACCTAGCCTAGGTGGATCCAGTGAAGCGATTCCGAAACGTATCATCATGAAAGTGTATGGCCGCGAAGTCGGCGGTAGGGTCATGCAGGAGATGTTCGCGCGTCCTACCGCGGTTCTTCCCATCGTCCTAGCGAGACTCAAGCAGAAACTTGAAGAGTGGAAACAGGTCCAACGTGAATGGGAAAAGGTGTGGCGTGACCAGATTAACAAGCACTTCTGGAAGAGTCTTGACCATCAGGGAATCAACGCCAAAAACCTTGACAAGAAGAATTTTCAGCAAAAGACGTTAACCAGCGAAATCCAGGCCAAGTACGAAGAAGCGAAAAAGAATCGCGAAAATGGAATCCCCGCGAAGAAACATCAACTTCAGTACAAGTTTGATGACCCGGACGTCATCGCCGATGCGGCGCGCTTGATTCTGGTGTCACTTGAGTCAGACCGGGTCCAGTACAACAGCATTGAGCAGGATAAGATCCGCAGTTGGCTTACGGATTTCGTGATTCGTTTCTTCGGTCTCGACCTTGAGAAGTTCCAGGAGCACATCGACACTGAAGGTCTCAGAAATCGGGAGCCCGACGAAGGTGCAGACCTTCACGAAAGTGATGCCCATGCTCCTACCAAGGGAAAGTCACAACGCAAGTCAGATTGGCTTAGGAGGCAAGCACTTGAACGAAGACATGGCAAAGAAGACAGCGTGGCATCCGCAAGCAAAGAATCAAGTCCTATGCCTGGCGCTATCAGTGAGATGGAGTTGGATGAAGACGCGGCATCAGAGGTGCCTGACGCGCCCCAGCGTCCATGGATCAACATCGCCAACAACGACACATCGGCACGCCACCTCGCCATGGATGAACCATACCCGCATAGCACCTACAATCTCTATGCAAATGCGAACATCTACTGCTTCTTCCGACTTTTTGAGGCCATGTACAGCCGACTACTCGCGATCAAGTTGAACGAGAGCAACGTCCAAGAAGCTGTCGCAAGGTACAAAGGTGCAAGCCGGGGGGTCAAGCCTGCCATTGAACTTCGCATGATCGACAAAGGCCCGGAGCAGTTCTTCTCCAGCCTCGACGGGAAGCAAAGTTATTACAGCCAAATCCTACAAATGTGCGAGGACGTCCTGATAGGCACAGGCGAGATGAACCAACTCGAAGAGACCTTACGCCGCTACTACAACAAGAGTGGCTGGCAGCTTTACACTATCGAGAGACTGGTCGGAGCCATTCTACGATTCATCATGAACATTCTCAGTGGGGACTCGAAAGATAAGAGCGTCGAGATCACCAATTTGTTCATGAGGGACCGCGAACGTCCAGACACGACCAGAAAGCAGGAGATACAGTACCGCAAGCAAGTCGAGCGACTGTCCAAGGACGGCGAGGTGTACCGTATTAGCTATGTATGTGGAAGCAGTCACCCCAATTTTGATGGATCGCAAGAGGAGATTACTAATCTGCCACAGATGCCCGAGGATCGAATTTGCACGGTTCGGTTGTTCCCCCCCGAAGAAGCGACTTTCGACAGCGATACGCTCTCAGATGAGGCTCGATGGCAGTACTATGTAGCGTCGTACACCATGACGGACGCTACCGAAGGGATTGACCAGTCGCGCATGCACAGTCCCTTCTTGCGACGAAACATTGCTCCGCAGAATGCACATGTCGAGATGGCATATCAAGAGGTTTACGGTGATCTTAACCACTATGATGAGCAGACTGCATTCATCAGTCCTGAGTCGTACAAGCTGTTTCTCCAGAAGGGCTTCTCCTTTGTCCGAGGCGAGGCAGTCGAGAAGCCAAGCGCCAAGAGGTACGAAGTCGGCCATATCGAAGAAAGTGAAAGGTTCCGGGAGAAGTTCGTGCGCAACACTGCATGGATGAAAGACCAGAGAGCAGAAGATGTGGAGCGCAAGAAGGCCGCATGGGAAAGAGGCGTCAAGGAAGGATTTCTGGGACTGGAGGAATGACTGAAGGTCGCAAGGTGCGTTGCGGAGGTAGTGCCTGACGGACATGTCGATTGAGTCATCCAGGTCTAGACTTCAGCACGGTGCCAAGTATGTACACCGCTACACCCAACTGCTGACTTGGGTTTGGTCTTCAGAGACGAACGGAGCATGCTCGGAAGGCTGTGTGCGCTGCGCATGGACATCCGATTTAAGAGATCCAAGATCTAGACTTTCATACCTTGCGCACTGATCTAGCGCTAGGTTGTCCACCGAGGGCATCAGGCTCGAATCTAGACACGATATGTTGTGTTGCCTATCGGGGAGGTAACGGCGTGGCGGGTGTCACCGATTGGTACCCAAAGGCGGCGAAGCTTGTTGAAAACATACATCGAGCCGGACTGAACGCACGGGCATTGTACGTCCAAGCAATACAGAGCATCGCCCAGGAACAAGACATCGTCGGATATGCCCATAGAAAATCTTATTTCCACACTGCGAATGGATTATAATGACTGCCTGTGACAGTTGAGGGACGTGAATGCTTTGTACACAAACACCGCGGACTCGGAGCACCCGGAGCGCCTCCCATCCATCGCGTAGCAATGTTATACCAATAGTAATGTGATCCTAATGCTCATCATTCTACCTACCGTCATTGGGATGATGGACCTGAGTTGATGCCAGCGCCGATCACCTTGAGTCAAGACTGGGTGGCCAAGGCACACAACAATAAACAACAACAATATTATTATTCAATGAGGATGAAGATTCGAAGTTCCAGAGAAGCTGCCGAGCTGGGAAATTGCGAGCCTGACAGCAGTCAAAAAGGCAGACCCACAACCCTCAGTGGTGGATCGGCGGGCTGACAGGAGTTGACCAGCGTCAATCTCGAATGTCCGGGAAATGATAATAGCCCCCAAATCGCAAAGACTGGCGGGAGAACGGTGGCGGCTTGTAGGTCGTCGGCGACGTTGCCCGGGAGCAGGGCAGAATGTGTAAGACGCGGGCAGCGGCAAGTGGTGGAGGGGTCGGGGTCCCCCTGAATCGAAAGAACAGCAGGGCTCCTAAGCCTTGGAGAGGAACTGCAATCTGCCCCTCAAGGAGGAGAGACGATGGTGGTACTGGATAAGTAGCATCCTCTGTATAAGTGCAGCCGCGGGAGCAAGAGATGAGGATAGCGCGCATGGGCAATCTTAATGGCGTCAAACTAAGCTTTCCGCTAGTCCTGAAGGGGCTTGGAGGTGGCACGTGAAATCTCCGGGCAGCTCCCTTTCAGTACTGCTCCGTGAGTCTGTATGCCAGTATGGAGTACGGAGTACGTACTACGCGTAGCCTTGACTCTTTACCCCTGGACCACAACTCACACTTTCGGACGGCGCAGCCACTTGCGTCTTCTCTTCCATCCCTCCGCCTGCCATTACGCGCATGTCTCCTCTCCACTCTCTCAGGTCTCGGTTGACAGCTGGGCCTCCCTCTCCCATAGGCCGCTCTGCCCCGCCACCTCATCTTGCATGCCTCCGAGATGTTCTCCAGGCTCCCTGTGGCTGTTTCAGAACCCTAATCTCTCCTCCGACACCCCTCGCGACCTCACCGCGCCATGCCGGATGGGATGGTCCCTCTTCCAGATCCTACCGCTCGAGTCTGAAGAGTGTGAGGTCTGTGTGCATGGCCTCGACCATGACCTGCGTTTCCGCTGGTGCTGGCCTGGAATCATACCTGAAGAAAATATCCAATACCTGCTCCAAGCAGCCTCCAAGTCATCATAGCCATTTTCGCTTGCTTGATCCAACTAACTCCTTTGCATCATTTCGCAACCCCCAGCCAAGGCTGGTAACCACGGTCGGTAGGACACCCTGGAGGGCCAACCATGCCGTTTCAAGCCGTACTTGGGATTCAACACCAGACCTAAGTTCGCTAAGGCAGCGTAACAGTGTGCGGTAAGTCGAGGTGCCTTCTTGGTCCAATTCTGCCCATTTCCCTTAGCGCCCTGGGTGGGAACATGGGTAGAGCCCCATAGTCCGCCTCAAAATGCAAGTCCCCGCTCTTGCTGCACCGTGCTGGCAGCTATATGCAGCTTGTCAGGTCGTTCGTAAACCTCCTCTTCCTCCTCCGCAAGGCTCTACGCATGGTCAATTGAGTTCTTCGTGGGCTTCGCCGTCCGACCTTCGATTCACACACTCCCACTACCGCGCCACTCTTTTCGCGGGCATTCGTTTTCCAACCCGACGACGTACATACCTCAAACACGAGCAAGGAATTGATTGCTATTAATATACTGGAAATACTGGGATTCTCGGACTCTTCGACATGAGAGCTGTTACAGTTGCCGCTGCTGGTGCAGCCATTATCGGATCGGTTTCCGCCGCGAGCCATGTCAAGCACATGCATGCGAAACTTCACGCGAATCTCGCCCGCGACACCTGGCTTGACTGGAATGCGACCTCTACCACGACCTCGGCACCGGTAAGCCCCGAGACCACGACGACTACGGCCTCAAGCTCCAGCAGCACAACTTCGGTTGAGATCTGGGGAGACTGGACGACGACCTCGTCCGCCATCGCGGATCCTACCACTACCGACAGCGCCGAGATCTGGGGTGACTGGTCCAGCGCGTCTTCAGCGACCGAAGATCCCGCTGCAGCCGTTACTGAGACCGTGACTTGGGGTGACTGGACCAGCACTGAAGCTGATCCCACCAGCACCGTCACCGAAACTTGGGGTGACTGGTCGACTTCGGTTGACCCTGTGCCCACCTCGACCATCACCGAGACTTGGGCCGACTGGACCACTGCTTCTGACCCAGCAGCCACGACCACTGAAACCTGGGGCGATTGGGAGTCGGAGGACACCACCACCGTTACCCTGGAGTCCACTGTGACCACGACCAAATACATCCAGCCGATCACGACTACCTCAAGTGACTGGGCTGACTGGACGTCTACTGGTCCTGTCACCAGCGTGATCACGTCGACCGTTCTGCCTGTTGCGGCGTTGACTGCCGACTCTGGTAGCTGTGCAATCACCATCATTACCTCTTATGGCCTGCCAACTTGTAAGTCTACTTTAGTCAGACAATAGGAATGTCTAGCTGACACGCGAGCCTTCAGGGTACCCGACTCCGATTGATCCAGCATCAACCACCACCACATCCTCTTCTGAGACTTGGGGTGACTGGACTACTACGACGACGAGCACGACTCCCGTTGCGGTGATCAGCACGACCTCCACGACCTCCACGACCGCCGTGACATGGGCTGACTGGACCTCAGCCTCAACCACTCCTGATGCAGCTGCGGTGACTACCTCAGCCGAGACATGGGGTGATTGGACCTCAGCCTCAACCACTCCTGATGCAGCTACGGTGACTACCTCAACCGAGACATGGGGCGATTGGGCCTCTGCCTCGACCGAGTCGGCTGTCGCTACTGGCAGCGTTGAAGGAGGCTCGTGGGGCTGGACTGCACCTAGTGGTTCGGCCTCTGCCTCTGCTTCTTTCCCAAAAACAAGCAGCAGCAGCCACGGTGGCAGTCCCGGCATTACTACGAACGGTGACTCTTGGGGTCTGACTTACTCTCCGTATACCGCTCAGGGTGGCTGCAAGGACGCCGGCACTGTTAGCGTCGACCTTGCCATCATTGCAAAGAAGGGATTCACTTCGGTTCGTGTGTACAGCACTGACTGCAGCACTCTCGAAAACATTGGCACCGCCGCCCGCAACAATGGCTTGAAGCTCATCTTGGGTGTGTGGATCTCATCGTCTGGAATTGGCGGCGCCAAGGGCCAGGTCGACGACATTGTTGCGTGGGCCCAATGGGATCTTGTTGAGTTGATCGTCGTCGGTAATGAGGCCGTCTTCAATGGCTACGCCTCTGCCTCGGAACTTGCCGGGTTTGTCGCGAGCAGCGCCGCTGCCTTCAAAGGTGCGGGTTACACTGGCTTGATCACGTTGACCGAACCTCTGTCTATGTGGGAAGATACCAGCAGCGCTTCTGCGTTCTGCAGTGTTGTCGATGTTGTCAGTGCCAACCTCTACGCCTTCTTCAACGCCGACGTCTCTGCCGATAAGGCTGGAGCGTTCATCCAATCCGAGATCGACATCCTCAACAACGTCTGCTCGGGCAAGGCCGTCTATGTTCTGGAGTCGGGCTGGCCTAGCGCTGGCAACTGCAACGGCGCTGCATGCCCCAGCCCTCAAAACCAAGCCATTGCGCTGAAGGGCATCCAAGCCACTGTGGGTGCTCAGGTTATATTCTTGAGCTACGAGGATGAGCCATGGAAGGAGCCAGGCGAGTTCGGTGTGGAGCAACATTGGGGTTGCGCAAGTGTCTTTTAAGGGGCATACTGACCGCGGCAGATCTGCTCTGCTTCGAGCCACCAGCCCTGGTGTGTTGAAGGGGTAGATCACCGTTGATGAGAAATCATGGCAGGGGACAGCAAGCGAGCAAGCACCATGTACTGCACTGCACGACACAGCATTGAGAAGGCCATGGACCAGATTTTGGCACTGGGCATCGATGATGTTGTTGATTGGCATCTTTTTCGAGTTTCTTATTTTCATGTACTATGTTCAACCCATTCGCCAGCCAGCCACAAATGCGGCCTGGCACAACCAAGCCCTTTCCCGTCAAGAGTCCAGGCCCGGCTTGGAGGGTGTGGAGCTGTATAAACAATGGAGTTGCACAGAAGAAAGTCCGCATTGCCTCCCCTGGTTTTGACAATCGCATAGCGGTGTAGTGTTTAGTGGAGGAGAGCAAGCCTGTCTGTATATCACGATTAGCATTGGAACAATTCATCGAACAAGGCTGAACTCGGGCGACACCAGCCCCGACACGGACATGGACACGTTGCTCGACCGGTGTATGGCATGCCCTTCCAGGCCGTGTGGTATTTGGTGGTCTGGTGGTGATGAAGATAGTCAGACTGTCCGGGTAGCCGCAGGCAGCGGGACGCTTTAATTTAGTTCTTATTTCTATCTTGACTTCTTTTCTCCCGCTGCCAGTCTTCGCCCGCCCGTCACCGTGTATGGGACAGCTCGCTTGTTTCGATGCTGCCATGCCGTGGAGCGTGTTGCCCTCCATCTTGCCCTCCATCTTGCCCTCCATCTTGCCATCACACCCTTCCCGTGCTAGGAAGGACCTTTCACCCTGTCACTGCCGGATCACTGGTCGAGAGGGCCCTCTGGCGGCAAAGCTCCCCGGCTGAGTATGGTGAGGCTAAAATAGGCAGGCCGCACATGCTTCTGTGGTCATTTGCAGCCTGTCCTGACGCCTCTCTTGTCGGGCTTGGGCAAAACGAGTGGGAAAGGCAACAAGGCAACCACTACAACCACTAATGCTGCGCCAACGCACCGAGATGGGAAGTGATAGGTGACTTCGTGCATTGATCCTGATCAAGAACACGCCGTCTTCCTGGGAGCGGGTTTATATAAACCTCGCGCGTTCGCCCACAAGAAACAGTCCTCTTTGGGTTTCTCGATCTGTGCTGATGGGGTCACAAGCACGCGTGGAAGCATCGCCGTACCACTCTTGCGACGTGCCTCTTTTCCACTCCTGATTGGTTCGTCTGGGAGCTCTGCATTAGCCGGCACAAGAAGACAATATGGTCACTACCGTGGGCACCGGATGGGCGGCCAACCGAGAACAACCGCGAACTTATACATGATGTGTACGCCGCCCGAACTGCTGCCGCAGAGCCGCATGCCCCGGCAAATCGTCCCCCAGTGGGATTATGTGAGAGAGGAGGGACTTGAGTGTGGGTGGGCCATCGCTTCCGCCATCCCTGCTTCAGCGCTCTCGCCCGGGGGAGAAGCCACTGAGTTGCGCCACCTCACCTCCCTGTCTCCAGCCCACGCCCACCCCAAGAGGGTTATTTCGACCCTCCGTCATGTCTTCGAGAGAGGTCGTCGCTGGTGTCAAGCGCTCACGTGCGGGAACGGGGACGTACCAGCTGTCAGAGCCCGGTTTTGTTCTCTGCCAGAAGATGCTCCAGCTCGACTGGATCTTGTCTGTGCAGTCCGGATGGATGACTGCAATTGACGGCGCACACAGGTCATTCATTGACTGAAGGCTAGCGACAACGCTTCCCGCAGAACAGCTTTGATGCAAGCTGAGACGCTAAGAGATGCCGTGTGGCCGCAACGTGCTGTTGTTCGGCATGACTTGCTTGGATGGTGCGACTCTGCATATGCCACCGGCGGTGCGCGTGCTTCATTCGACCAAACCTACCTATGATCGCTGCCTCGGACGGAGCATGGTTCGGCGCTTCCCTGCGTGGCTTGCTTGTCTTCGGCTCTGGTACTCTGCACGAACCGTGGCGTGAAAGCACGCATCTCCTCGCACCCTTCTTCCCTCCTTTTCTTCTGCCCCCATTATCGTCCTCCCGGGCTTCGCAGGCAGTCATGATGGATTTCCATCAAGAACAGTCGTATCCTCCACGCCAGGGCCAGCCGTTTTGCAGGCCATTCTTCCTCCGTATCCGGAACATTGAACACACCCAAGACCCACAAATCCCGCCTCCTGAAAGGGGCCCCGACTTCTACTGGGCGCCACCCGAGTCGAGAAATCAGTTCAGGCTGAAGGATACGACTTCTTGGTGGATCTGGGACCCGGAAGAATATCCACGCGCCTACAACTTGCAGCGCCTGCGCCCTGCAACGCCAGAGGAGAATGAGCGTCGCGTCACGCTCAGGAGCTGCACCATGTTCTGGGGCCCGGACCGCCATGGCTATCTGATTGTGCCGGTTGATTGCCTGAAGATCGAATTATCCTCTACCACCTTACCCTGGCGACGACTTTCCTTCGGACGCACCCGCAAGCCAGAGACGGCCCAGGTTGCGCTGGCCGGCTACCATATGGAGCGATACCATCTTCATATCCCAGGGCCCGAACATTGGTTTGAACAACTACTGCCCGTCGTATGTGAGCCACCGTCGCTGGCACCTAGAACATGCACGCTTGCCGGTGACCTGAGTGTGCTGGTTGGCTTGATCGCTTTTTCGGCCGATCCATCAACTGCCATCCGGGCGGTGGATCAGTCTTTCCGACCGAATCCTGCGTCGACTAGATTCCACCCCAATCAATTGCCCAAATATCCACGTAAGTCCTCTCTGAACCCGTCACCTCCCCGCCGCGGAACCTGTGTCACCAAGGGCTAATCCACTCTTCTACGCCATGCAGAAAACCTATTCCGCGGGATGATCATTGAAATCGGATACGATCCCTTCGTGGTGACCGAAGCAGAGCTGCGCCAATGGGAGGACGGTCGTTGGGGAGAGATCTTCAGCTGAATAGCATCCGTGGCGTCTGGCCGTCGGCATCTTCTCGAGGCCAGCAGAAAGGGGGAATACTGGCATTGGACAGTTGAGCAAGGCGTGATACCGTGAACACAACATGTGCAACGCCCTGGGATGACGAGGCGGGAATTGATGCAATGAGGTGGACTGTGGGATGGCAGATCGAGTCGTCATACGCTTTCAGTTCTACTTGGTTCTTTTGTTTTCTGCTATCAGGTTCATTTGTTCAAGATGTCTTATTTATGTTGGGTTGATCTGACGGGTGTCTTGCCATTATTACGAGTCATGATGAATGATGTCTACCTACATACACGCGATCTTTCATATTTCTGTTGGACTTGAGCCTGCATTCTGTACCTGATGATACCGATACTGAGAGCTTCAGTGTATGAGGAGTGGTTGATCTGTCTCTATCTCTGGGTGATGGATCGTGGTTAGTCTTTACCCTATATTTGCAGAATACGCCCATTCTCTTCAATTCCAGCGAGGCGATGCAACTGTGATCAAAGTGAGTGCCTGAGGAGAGTACTGTAGGCTAGATGCCACTGAGTGCACGACTAGGGGCATTCGCATTCTGCGGCAGGGTCGGGTCCGTCATCGCGTCGGTCATGCCGTTTGGAGACAGATGGGATTCGGTTGAGCCTTGGTGTTTTGGACTGGAGGCCAACATATTTGCCTGCTAGTCTGACTGCATCTTCTGATCAACAACCATCTCCGATGCAGTGCGCTGTCTGTCGCATCGGTGCGAAGGTCGAGTTCGAGTTGATGACTCATCCGCGCCAAGCCGCATGCAAGTGCGCTTAACCAGACGTACATTAGCAGGAGAGCCGGCTTGAGGTGCAGTGGCAGGCTGTGCCGCAGGCTGTCACTACTCAACCAACTTCAGGTAGGCAACCACCAACCAGCCCAGCTGCGCCTACAGCGTCCCTCCTCGACTCTCTCCCTGTACGGAGGACAGTGTATGGACCAATTCCTCGAATCCCTGCGCACTGCCTTCCACACTTGAATCGGCAAGCTATCAGTGCTTTTACAGCACCAACAGGGTCCTAATCCGAGCCCGTACACCCCTGGCCTCCTAAGCCCTGGATTGCCGCTGCCACCTATCGCATCCTGCATCCTGCATCCTGCTGTCTGCCCTTCTTATCAGGCAGCCAGAGGGACCGGCTGCGATGTCGTCGGGCTCCCAGCCACCTGCTTGGTGCTGCCCCAGCTGGGGCTCTGCTTCCTCTTGTCTTCCGTCTTCCGCCTTCGGCCTTCCGCCTGACCATGCCGCCGAGTACTTGCAGTCCTCGTATTCCAGCATCACTGAGCGGATGCTGCATAGGCCAAGTCCAGTCTGGTAAAGAAGAGGACTTTCTGGCATGGTCGCCGTCGTGTACTAAGTACTGGACACTGTTCGCCCTATATGCGGGGAATTGTGTCCAGTCCAAAATCGTCGACCTGCATCTCTCTGATCGCGTGGCGAACGGCACGTGCTTGTCGAATATTGAGGGGCTTAGGGGCTTAGCTGGATCAGCTGGATCAGCCTGATCGCCGAGTTCTGATCACAGCCACTGTATCTTCACAACACCACCCGTTGTCCTTCCTCCTTCGCGTTCCCACCTTTACTTCCTGCCCAAAGTTACCTCAAGCTGTTTTCAGAAGTTCGCTCTCAACACATATCTACTCAGATGTCCTGAACCCATGGCTGTCGCTTTGCGCACTGCTGCCCCGCTGAAACCGGAGATCAGGCTGGCTCAAACGCTCTCTGAGTTTGAGTCAATCCTCTCCGATAGCCAAAAGCTCGGCCTTCGGGCATACAAAAACCAGACCGCGCCAGAAACTACGGATGTGATGCGACTTACAGCGGAGATTGACAGGAACAATGGTCGACGGAGGTCTCGACGATGTGTGGGTCCGCGATTTTCCAGTATCTTGCAAGCTGTCCAGCAATTTTCCACCATTGTCGACACCATCGTTGGTGGCTCTCAGTCTCTGCTTGCAAGCGCCATATGGGGTGTGTTAAAGATGACCCTCCAAATCACTTCTAGCTTCACATCCTATTTCGAGAATCTATCGGTTCTCTTTATGAACATCGGACGGACTTGCCCACGGTTCCAGGAGTTCGGTTCCTTATACCCTAGGTCGCAAAGTCTTCAGAGAGCGCTCTGTGAATACTTCATTGTCGTTGTCGAATTGTGCATGCGTGCGGTGCTCTTTATCAAGAAGCCCTTCTTGTCTCAGATCTCATCCGCCATCCTCGCGCCTTTTCATTCGGAATTTGGCAGCTTTGAGGTCGACCTTGCGCGATTGGCGAATGTGATTAGGGACGAGGTATCACTGGCAGCAAAACAAGAACAAAGTCTCGAAGTGAAGGAGAACTTGTCATTTCGCACCCTTTCAGCAAAGCTCTCAGAAGGAGTGGCCCTTGAACTGGAGAAACTTAGGAGACTGAGATATCAACAGAGGAAATCGGAGCTACTCAATGCTTGTTCAGTCTACAACCACGAGACCGCTTGGAGACAAGCCCGGAAGTCGGGTACAAGCACCTGGATCTTTCAACAAGACCTGTACAAGCAGTGTATCCAAAGCTCAGAGTCCAGTGTCTTATGGTGCACAGGAATTGTGGGGTCTGGAAAGACTGTCCTGTCCGCCAATGTGGTTGAGAACACTGTCATGGTGGCGCCCGCCGCTGTCGTCAGTTATTTTCTCTGTCGGTACGACGAAACAGAGTCCTTGAAAGCAAAAACAGTGGTTGGCAGCCTGGTGCGGCAACTTTTAAGTTCGTTGAAACCGGAAACATTCGATACTGTTGACTCGATTCATACGAACATGCTAGACACTGAGCAAGTTATGGACCTTCTCGAAAAGTTACTTCCTGTGGGTCCACAATTCTACTTCATTATCATCGACGGGCTAGACGAGTGTCCGGAGGATGAATCGGAAACAATTTTCAAGTTCATACGCACCTCGCTCACCTGGAAACACGTCTTCCATGTCTTCTTCACGAGTCGGCCAGATCTCTACCACAAAGCTTTCTCAGTACTTCCGCAGTGTCACCATATACCACTACCGGATTCAAACCCTGAGATTGAAATGTATATTGAGAGCGCTTTAGAGGAACGACTCGAGTCCGGCATGCTCCGCATTGGAGATCCCACAATTATTTTGTCCATTCAAGATGCCCTATTGAAAGGGAGCCAAGGAATGTGAGTATCTGGCGATTGAAGGCCAACCAGCACATTCTACCTTCAGTGATGCTGACATTGTGTAGGTTTCTCTGGGTTGTCTTTCAGCTCGATTCCATCTGCTCCCAAGCTACCGACGAAGACATACTTGCCGCACTGAAGTCTCTCCCCAAGGACTTGCCAGAAACCTTCAGTCGTATCATCAGAAAGCTAGACCAGAGCAATGCTGCCAGTACGGAACTTTACAAGAAGATGTTCGAGGTCGTCGCCGCCGCCCAACGTCCTCTCACGGTCGAGGAGCTTCGCGAGGCTGTGAGTGTCGTGCCTGGAGTAAGGTCTTGGCAACCCCAAAAGCTGGTCAATGATATGCTCAAAGTACTCTACAGCTGTGGTAGCTTACTCGTCGTTGACGAAGAATGTTCGACCGTGCATTTCGCTCACCACAGTGTCAAGCAATTCTTTCTGTCCGACTCTGCAGATGAGGTGGTCAGACGATACCACGTGGACGCATCAAACGCGGATCTGAGCTTAGGAGAGGTCTGTGTGACGTACCTGAATTTTGAGGTGTTTGGAATGCAACTCGAGAAGATCAACAACTCCGCATTCCCGGAACTGATTCACTTGCCATCGGTGGTATTAACCTCGGCCCTACCTCAATCAATAGTGACCAAATTGGCGATAAAGCTCCTCAGAGGACGAGAGAGACGACGGTACGATTGGAAGTCGCAGCTGGACCTGGTGGGCCGGTCCACGGAGGAACAACTCAAACCGCACCCGCGTGAACATGCCTTTCTACCCTATGCACAAAAGTACTAGCTTCAACACTCTAAATCGTTTGAAGCTGGGCTGGTAACTTGTTATGAGTTATGGTGCGATCTGGTCGACGACAAGCTCTCCTACGTGGATCTTCCATGGAGTCCCGTGGATCTTCCATGGAGTCCTTACCTCAACCTCGACATCCTAGGATGGGTTGCGGAAAATGAACATGGAGCCCTTCTTCACCACTTACTCCAGAGAACGCTAGAAATCCCTACAAACTCGCACCTTTGGGATCTGTTTCGGACGGGTTCCCAATCCGTCCTATTGAACACACTCTTCGGGCTGTTGACAGTACGTGCTCTGAGCTTCAACGCCGACGCAAAATCCTACGGGCTAGCAGTGATACTCGCAGCACAGACGCATAAGACAGAATACATTCCATCTCTGCTCGAGAAGGGTTCTGATGCCCAACGCAACGTGGTCAAGCCCCCACGACTGCCATTTGCGGTGTCCGGTTCTTTGGGAGCCCGGAAGCCGCTTCTGTCACCCGACAATCCTCTTGTGAATTCGACAGATTCGAAGAGCTGGACAGCCCTTATGTGGGTGGCAGCCGAGGGGGATCTTGAACTCGTCCGGCTGTTGCTCTCGCAAGATGGCATAGACGTGAGACATCATACAACTGACGGCACCAATGCACTGTCCTTGGCGATTGATGGTGGCCATTTGGACATAGCCAGACTGTTGTTGGAGCAGGTCGACTATGCCTGGGACGATGTTATGATATCTAAAATTCTACTCTCCGCGGCGGAGAGAGGAACAAAGGATATAGTGACCGAGATGCTAACCCGGACGAGAGTCGATATCAACTCAAGAGATCCCGATGGCTCCACACCATTGAGTCGAGCAGTTATATCCCAGAACGAAGGAGTAGTTAACGCACTATTGGAATATCCTGGTATCGACGTCAACGCGAGAGACAGTGAACGCAGGACACCCTTGATGAGCACAATCCAGGACCACCCTTTCGAGTATTCAATAGTTGACGCACTATTGTCACATCCTAATATCGACGTCAATGCGAAGAACAATGAAATGGAGACACCCTTGATGGTCGCAATCCAGTCCGGCCGTTTCAAGCATCTAATAGTTGACGCAATATTGTCGCATCCTAATATCGACGTCAACGCGAAGGACAATGCAGGGGAGACACCATTGATGGTCGCAATCCGGTACGAGTCTTACAAGCAGTTAAATGCAATTGACACACTATTGTCACGTCCCGATATTGATGTCAATGCGAAGAACAAAGAAGGAATGACAGCACTCCTGGTGGCCGTTTCTCGAGATAGACGGGGTGTCCTTAAGCAGCGTGTTGAGCAGTTAGTTGAGAAGCTGGTTGAGCGGCCCGATGTGGACCTGCTGTGGCGAGACAACTCTGGAAGGTCAGCAAAAGCGATCGCTGAAAGTATGCGTCACAAGAAACTCATCCAGTTGATTGAGTCTGCTATCGAGGCGCGCTATCGAGCGGTGCCAATTCACACAGACGCTCCCGGTGACTCTACCGAGCTGGGCCGATCATGACCATGCTCATGGCCATCACTATCAGAGGGTGGTTGTGGTGAGTTTGGATTTTGGAGTGAAGGATGTTGTAGATCTACGAACATCTGAGCCGGCGGTTTGCAGACATATTGCCAAGGATTCTCAGAGAGAGGGACAAAGCGAAGCACTGAATTGTTGGCGCAATGGAGAAATGGAAACATTTATCTGGATCTGGATCTGGGAGTCAAGCGAGACCGAGACTTGTGAATTCATGCCATGCCATGCCATGTTGTTTATGTGTGTCCAGAGCCCCTATCCGGATATCAGCGCTATGGCCATGCGAGTTTGATGTCGATGTCGATGTCGACGAGATCCCCACGCTAATATCCAAGGAAATAATGAAGCACGCCGAAACAAGAGAGAAAGAGAGGGAATGAGAGACAAACCCCCCTTGGACATGCCATGCCCTGTCTCCCCGCAATGTCCAAAATGCCAGGTCGAAGTCGATGGAAGTTGTATCAAACAAGTTAACCAATGCGGGTGGTCAGATACCACAACTTTCTTTCTCGCTCCCTCTGTCTCTCTGTCTTCCTCTGTCTCTCTGTCTTCCTCTGTCTCTCGCTCTCTCTCTTTCTGTCTTCCTCTCCCCCTCGGGAGCTGGAAACACCCCTCGGGAGCTGGAAACACCAACCATCCAGATGTTGAGAGTGCAAATCTGAATAGAAACTTGAGTGTCGCGCCGATACTCCGAACCCTATGCGGAGTTCCAGCAAGAACAGCCCCGGTTGTGTCACATGCCTCCTACGCCCTGCCAGGAGGTGGGAAGACTTTCTTCAGCAGACTCTCCTTCTTGCCACCGCGGGCTTTGATCCGCGCGGGGCCGGCACCGCCCTTGCCTGGCGGAGGGTCGAATTCGGTCTGCAGGTTCAGGCCGAGGACCATGCGGCGGGCCGACTCTTGACTCTTCCGCCGCGGAGGGAAGCCAGCTCCCATGTCGGGCTGCAGGTGCTGCGACGTCTGGGTCGGAGTCTGCGAGCGCGAGCCTGGACCCGGGGAACTACGGCTGGGGCCGAAAAATGTCCGCGTCTCCGACTGTCCGGGTCCCTGCTGCGAGCTGAGCAGAGGCACGCCCGTTGCAGGCGTCAGAGGACCGGCATTCGTGTATGCGTCATCCCGTAAGCGAAGGTATTCTTGTGCCCGATCCTGCGGGTTGTAATCTGTGTCATCTGAGGAATATTGTTGCGTTTGTGGCTGTGGCTGTGGCTCTGGCTGCACCTGCGCCTGCTGCTGTGTTTGTGGTTGTGTTTGCTGGTTCTGATTCTGGTGCTGGTTCTGGCCTCGATTTTGACTCTGAGTTTGGGCTTTACCCTGGCTCTGGCTTTGCAGGTAGTTCTGATACTGCTGGTGTGCGTGCGAGTTGAAGTCGAAGCCGAAGGTGGCCATTTCGCTGCTCTCGCTATCTCGGTCCGACAAGGACTTAGCTTTAGCTTTGGTGTTGGTGTTGGTACTGAACCCTTTGATTTCCATTGCGGCACGCCTCTGTTTCCGCCTCAACCGGCTCTGCATCCATTTGCGGAACAGCCAGTAACACGCGAAGCTGAAGCCAATGCCGCCCACCACGCCGGCTACAATGGCGCCAGTCATGCCGGCCTTACTGAAAGATGAGATCTTGGTCGATTTGGCGGCCACGGGAACAGTGTCGGCGCACAGGGTCTGTGTCAACACGTATGGGCCTTGTGGACGGGCCGCTGCGAGGTGGAACGTCGGTGGCTGCGCGTCGTAGTTTGCAATGAAGTAGATGGACGAGAGAAATGCGGATCCAAATAGACCGACTTCAGTGTTTGTGTTCGTGCTGGCCGTCGTATTCTTGCTCGAAGAAGCGATAGACCCCGCGGAGATGGGGGACTTATTGGACACGTTGCGCAGCCATTGTGCGTCATAAGTGATATTGAGCCCGCCGGCGAGTGAGATGGTTAGCGTCGCGTCGAAGTTGTTGGGCAGCCGCAGAACGGGGTTGCCACCGGCTTCGTCGTCGTCGTCGGCGGCGGCGGAGGTCGTGGCACCAGTCTCGTCTGCGAATTTCTGAGTTACGGCTGCTGGCAGATCAAGTTGGTACTGGGACGTGGTGATATAGGCATCGAGGCTTGCGTTGAGTAAATCTGTCCCCTTCCCGTCTGCAGTGGACAGTGTCATTTGTGTGACCGAGACCTTGAACGGACTGTTCATGGCTGCTGGACCGACAGGGTTGACGATGGAGAAGTTGTAGACATCTCCTTGCAAGCGGCCCGAGTCGTAGCCGCCCAGGGTCAGAGAGCCATTGATGGCGCCGTTGGCCGGCTCGTACGCCGTGCCCAGGTACAGACCGAAAGAGCGGGTGGCGATCAGGCGCTGGTCGGACAGGTGGCGGAGCAATGTGCTGGCCGGACCGAGCCCCACTAGCCCAGCAGGGCCGAACCACGTCGTCGAGCTCGACGACGCGTTCGACAGCACGGTCATCGGAAAGGCGGCCAGGCGAGTCACGTTCGGTGGCGATGGGTCAAAGTAGTGCGTGAACAGGTTAAATGTGTCCAAGGCCGTCTCCACGATGGTGGCGGGGATGGAACCTAGATTGTCGAGTGACTTGTAGGATGAGCTAGATGAGGATCTTGTCGTTGTACTATCAGTCAGCATCTTTTCTTCTACTCTTTCGCCGGAGTAGCAAGACACAAGAGGGGGAGGTGAGAAACGGGGCAAGGTGACTCACGTCTCGGACAGTTCTGGAGAGTAGAATCCATGGCTCTGGGTGATGCAGTCCTTGAAAGGACTGGAGCTGCAATAGTCGAGGTTTCCGACCGTCGTCTCATTGTTGGAGAAGGATGGCCACTGCGACAGATTCTGGGACGTGGGACTGCCGATGCCGGTGAAAAGACCGTACTGGAAGGTAATGCCGCCGTCGACCGCTCGGTTGTGGATGTCCACGAAGATGGGCGGAATGGAACAGTTGCTCGCGTCGACCACAGTTGAGAGGATAAGAACTGCCCCCAGAAAGGCCGCCATCCTGATGTGCAACCAACGTGATGGGTATAGATCACCGAACGGGGTATCGGTCAGTGCAGGCTGAGGCTCAGGCACGATTCGAGCAAGGAAAGGGAAGCAAAAGCAAAAGAAACAGCAGCAGAATCAACACAACGTAAAAGAGTCAAAGGGTTGATGGGGGCGGTAGGCATGCAACGAATATTATGGGACAGACTTCAAGGACATCTTCAAGGTTTGTCGGTGGTCAGCCTGGCCGGCATATCATATGCACCAGCTGGCGATGGCGAAAAGATGAAACAGCAGAGTTACGACTGACGCCGTGCGGGGATCCGTGAGGCATGGAGCCAAAATTGTCATACCGCCTGTTGCCTGCATCTTCGCAGAGGTCGATTCTTGTGAGGCCAGAAGCCAGAGTCCAACTGAAGCCGAGAAGTAGTCCAAATATAGCAATGGCAATGTCCATTGCCGCCGAGCGACAACCCGGAACCCAGCAAGCGGTGCCCTTGGCGCCGACCTACTGTACAGGCGCGAGGACGTGGGCCAATTGGAGGCCGGCGACAGGGGGGCTGTATAGCCACATTCCGGCTTCTGACTGGCCTGTCAGAACGCAACCGCTGGCCAGTCAGGTCGTGGGGTCGGCGTCTTGGTCGCTGCCTCTGCCGCTCGTCTATCCTTCCAAAATAATCCAAGATTCATATGTGTATTCAACCAAAAGCCTGTCGTGTAACCAATAACAACTCCCCACGATAAGGCCGGGTTGCCGTGGGATGCTAGATGACTTTCAGCATATGCGCGTTGCTGCACCTAAGAATTTTCAACCCTTGGCTTTCTTCCTGACGAGGCTGGTAGGTAGTGTGTTCACCGATGCCTGGCGAGATGTTGGCCCACCCTCGGAGAATGCTGGCCTTGCCTCCATCATGCTGTCTGCTTTCCTCTTCTTGCGCACTCCGGTCAGGACGTTGACGTGCTGCGCGGCAGCCGGCTCATGCGCTTTGGGCAGGGTCAAAGGCCGCTCGCCATTTATGGGCTGTCCAAATACTGCGCCGCCTGACAACTCCAAGGCTTTCTGGACCCATCCTTTGGTACTTTCCGCAGCGAGCTCCTCTCCTGCAAAGTCGCTTTGCAACAGCCAGTCTAATAAAGACTGGTACTGATCAGCGTCAAGCACTATCTGGCCCTGCGTGCCCTTGGTAGATTCAATGCTTATTGTAGGCATCGGTTGTTCTGCCGATGCTACAGCGGTGGTCAGCGAACCCTTGCCGGCTTCGTTCCCCAACCGAGCAACTGTGGTAGGATCTGTTTGAGACCCGCTACGGGGCGAAGACGCCCGCGGTGGCTTGGGCGCCTCGATTGACCGGGAACCCCCGTCAGGCTGCACCCCAGAGTTCAAGCTATCGTATTCAAGCACCTGAACACTCCTAGGCGTAGATTGATTCGTCTGAGTAGACAATTTGACCGAATCACGCATCTTTCCGGTCTCTTCCAGCAGGTTCAGAGGTGCGTGAGCAGATTGACTGGATGGGAAAACCAGCCACAGAAAACCAACCAATCTTCCAGCGGAGCATTCTTGTCTATACGACATCATTTCCCAAAACTGATCCAGAGTTTTCACACTCCGCCATTGTCCACGCTCGTCGACAAATTCCCCATCCAAGTCGTCAAGGAATCTTGATTTGGGGTCGTCGGGCAAACGAGGAATCAGGTGCCTTGGAGGCTTTGAGGTGTCTGCAACCAAGAGTTCGGCTGGGTAAGAATTGATCCAGTTTGGGGCGGACGGCGAGTCCAGGTGGCTGGATGGTGGAAATAACGCTTTCGTCTCTGCTCTGTCACAGCCCGGGACTAAGAGATGAGCGGTAGCGCGGCAGGGTAGTGACAGGCCATCGTTACGTCGTCGTAGGACATTGTCCATCACCCGGCACCACCATTTGATGAGCTGCCGATCGTCAAGGACGTGCTTGCCCACATTCTCAATGCTCCCGGGGAAGAGGTATTGGTTCTGTGACCGGGCAAAAAGGGACAAGACCACCCTCGACTGGTTTAGCCTAGGCTCAAGTAGGAACTCTACGAAGGTCGCGATGACAGAACCGACGATAGAAGGGGACCCTTTTGGCGCGTTGAGGCGGGAGGAGAAGCCGGAGGAATCGGCTTTGGACACGAACAGAGTGGTCAAGCTCGGGCTTGTAAAGATCAAAATTTCCACGGCGTAGACCAGAACTTCCCTGCTGTCATCATGTTGAGGCGAAGCTACCGCAAGGAAATGTGATTCGCACAAGGTTGCCTCTTCCAGCTCGCCAGGCAATGAAGCAAAGAGCGTGGTTGTTGAGCTAGGGGTTGACGAAGCATGATATGACCTTAGACTTATGCCAACTGGGAGAGAGGCAGCAAGCCGGGACTGCAGAGGCGGTCTTGCCGGCATTTCTGCATACTGATCCAAGGCGGCGATCGGCTGGTGGATAGATCAGGAGGATTAATGATAACGTTAGCCGGTGCGAAACAAAGACACCAATAGGTACGAGTACGGATATTCAATCAACATACGAGGCAGACCAGGGGGCTGCAGGAGGAAAAAGCGCGTGTTCAGGACCATGTCAGTTGTAGGTTAAGCTTATCGCGTGTCCGCCAACCAAAAACGATGACGCTAGGCCTGTTCTGAAATGCGAACCAGGGAGGGCAACTCTGCCACCCACCTCACAGTGCAGTGTGACCATCAACAGAACCGTTTCCCCTCCGTTGGGCATTCCCCGCCCAGAGGCACCAAACATTCCCCGCCAGATCACGGCAGGCCACAGAAGCATTTAAACAGCCTGACCGCCCCTGCAGGACCAACCTCTTCTTGAACCGTATTCATCCCGATTGTAACATACCAGCCCTGATCAAACCAGTTTGGCGCTAGCAGTGTCCAACAGTCATATAATGGAGAATGATCAGTCGGATCTCTGTGACAATGACATTGACCTCACACCAAGGTCGACGGTACATATGAAACTATGCTTCAGATCCCCTCCCACCAATTCCAGTGCCAACGGCAACGGCAATGGCAACGGCACCTCGCCAGCCCCCGGCCGAACGCCTTCCGTCTCGAAGACCTTCTCCCGGCTCCAAGGAGATTCAATGAGTGCTCTTCATGCTCATACAGGCCAGGATCACCGCCCCCAGCCGACGATGCCGGCTAGCCCTGCTCACCGGAAGGATGATCATAACGCGAAGTTACGCTTGGCCCAGTATCCGAACTGCGACGCACAGGTCAAAAAGGATCGTCATTCCCAGCTGATGACCATAAAGGGGCCTCCACTAGATCCTCTAGATGATTATCACACACAGTTGGCCCTGTTGGAAGATCAAAATAAACTCCGCTTAACAAGGGCGAGGGAGTGGCAAGAACGATATCCGAAAGAGCACGTGGGATCTGACACCTGAGCACCTACTGCTGGAGTACAGACTGTGAGAGGCTGAGCGGGCGTCTGAGAGTAAAGTGGGTAGGTAGGAAGGATGCATTCTGCCATTGAGGCTGGAGAATCCCAGGGATATCAAAGCTACAGTCCGGGTGATATACCTCGGGCGGGAGCAAACGATGCCACGCGATCTTCAACCTGATGTCCTGGCAGACTGTCGCGATGCTAAAAGTAGCTATGCTTGAATATTCATGATTGAGAGATGGTGGGCGGCAAATGGTGTTGACGGTCGGAAGTCTTGTTCAAACGTGTCGGCAAACTTGCCTATTTTGGCTTCACGCTCGGTGAAGCGACTCGAGGTTCGAGGATCGAAACTCGAGACTGGAACTTTCTGACAGGCAAAAAGTCATCCCATCAATCCATCGTCTTCTCGCTCGCACGCCACTGCGCTCACATCCTCGCTCTGAAAAGACTATTCTACTGATCGTGGGAGATCGTAGCATCCATAAGCTAAGCTATCGTCTGGCGCGACTCCCGTTACACTCGCCACCTGTATTGTGTAACACAAATCATGCTGTAGCTGACCTCCAGGCCATTTTGCACTCCTACTTCGTTGCTAATCTGTCATGTCTACCTCCAGTTCCGAGACAGAAGCACCAGCAGATTCGCCTCGACAAGACAGCGGGGACCTGCATCTTGCAGAGGACGGTGAAATCAGCGATCATGACACCGCGTCCCCCAGGTCCACACGTCAAGACCCCAAGGAGACAGATGTAGTCAATCCTCCCCTCCCTACCGAGGAACCTCCACCATTGCCCAATGAGGCGCCTCCAGCAGAGCCAGTTGATGACGGATGGGATCCAATATGGGACGACCGAGCTCAGGCATTCTATTTCTTCAACCGGTTTACGAACATTTCACAGTGGGAAAACCCAAGAATACCCGATACACCGCAGGCAGGACCACCAGGAGTAGGAAACCACGACAGATTAGCAAGCCCGCGCGAGGCCGTTGCTGCTAGGCGAGTTGGTGGCTACGATCCCGCCATCCATGGCGACTATGATCCCAATGCCGATTACGCCAAAACATACGAAACGCAAGACGACCTTGGCGCAGGCAGCGCCGTACCTGGAGCAGATCCCACCGATGTCTACGCTGCCACCGGGACCTTCAACCGGTTCACAGGTAAATGGCAAAGTGCCGACCTCAACCCAGAGAAATTCAGCGACGAGCAGAAGAGCCGACGGCAGATGAACGCGTTCTTTGATGTGGATGCGGCTGCGAACTGCCATAATGGACGAAGTCTCCGGGCAGAACGCGCCAGCAAGAAGCTCAGCAAAGCAGAGTTAAAAGCATTCAAGGAGAAGCGAAGGGAGAAGAAGGAAGAAAAACGCCGCGCGTGGTTGCGGGATTGAGCAACTTAGAGACGGGTTTCGAGGCACGAGCGGTTATGATTCTGGATATATATGAATGTCATCAAATGCAGCATGTTGTGCACGGCGTACTTGCTTATGCCTTCCCGTTGACGGAGTAGGGACGTACCGGATTCGGGAGCTCTGGCTCTGCGGATCGGGCGGGAGTTGCACGTCAAATTCGATGTTTTGCCATTTTGTAGATATTCACCGATCCACTTAAACCCTCCGTTTTCCTTTTCTTTTTTTGCTTTCTTACATGCTTTTTTCTGTCTGCTATGATGCACCCATGTTGATAGATGGCGTGGCGGTTGTCTGCGTCGCTTGGTACATTTTCATAGCCTGCGTCTGCACAATTGGTGAGATCTGTCTGTATGAACTTCCCCCACCGCACAGGCGCAAAACAGCCGAAGTTGACCTCCTCGATAGATTCCTCTACTACCGCCGTGCCCCCCCACGAGCAGCCGTCCTCTCCAGAGAAAGGGACCAAATTCCCCATGTTACCGTCATACGCCCTTGCAAAGGCAGAGAGCCGTACCTCTATGAATGTCTACGCTCCACCCTCTTCCAGGACTACCCAGCCGACAAGTTGACGGTTCACTTCTGTGTCTCGTCCCGTTCCGACGGCGCCTACGAAACCATTGAGAAGGTCGTCAGAGACCATCCGGGCCACGATGCACAGATCTTCATTGAAGCAGAGGACGATGAGGCTGCAGAAGCAACGGCTCATAGGGACCTGCTGGGCCCAAATCCCAAGATTAGGAACATGAGCAGAGCGTATCGCAAGGCCAAAGGGGATTTGATCTGGATCATCGACTGCAACGTCTGGGTGGGCAGAGGTGCCTGCGGGCGCATGGTAGACAAACTCTGCGGGTTCTCCCACCACGGAGCAACTTCTCAACCGTACAAACTGGTCCATCACCTCCCGATTTCGGTGGATGTGGATGAGTATTCGAACAAGCAGAAGACCAATACCTCGTCCTACGACGACGCCTCAACAACTACAATTTCCCCATCGGAGACAGGTCGATCAACAAGGCCGGGCAACATCAGCCAGTACGGTGGGCGACTCGAAGAGCTCTTTCTCTCCTCGTCACACGCGAAGATGTACGTGGCCATTAATATGGTGGCGGTTGCGCCATGCATCGTCGGGAAGTCCAACATGTTTCGCCGCTCACACCTCGACCATCTGACTGCCGAACGTGCAAAGCGTGAAGATCCCACCGCTCCTACCCTTGCCAGAACAGGCATAGACTACTTCTCCCACAACATCTGCGAAGATCATCTCATTGGGGACTTGCTGTGGAAGTCGACCGTCCCCGATCTGCCCGAGTTCCCTCCGAGGATGCGTAACCACGGCCTCGTCCTGGGTGATCTCGCCATCCAACCCGTAGCCGGCATGACGGTGGTCAACTACGTCGCGAGACGCGTCCGCTGGTTGAGGGTGAGGAAGTTCACTGTGCCTGCAGCCACAATCGTGGAGCCTGGCACCGAGAGCTTTCTGTGCTCTGCCTGCGGAGCTTTTGGTGTCACGACCTGCCAGTCTACACAGGCCTGGTTCGGAAATACCTGGGGCAGCTTCTTCTTCTGGTGGACCCTGAGTATCATTCTGTGGGCCAGTGTTGACTGGCAGCTGTATCAACTCCTCCACTCGGGCCGCACACTTGAGACAAACGAGGCTGGTGCAGATGATCTGCCCGCGTTCGCCAGGCCGCTCACCCGAGACCGTAGTAAGCGACCTTTCAAGGCGTGGCTTCTCGCCTGGCTGGGCCGCGAAGCTCTCGCTCTTCCAATCTGGACATGGGCGATTTGGGGTGGCGTGACTGTAACATGGCGCGACCATCGGTTCTGGGTGGGTATAGATATGAAAGTTCACGAGATATGCGAAGATGCGCGCCGGATCAGACTCGATGGTACCACCGGCGAAAAGGGTTTCACCAATGGACATTTAAACGGCACTGCACACGGCAAGAGAAGGACTGACTGAGTGATCCAGCCTTTCTCCTTCTTTTGCGTGACCGACGATGTAGCAGAATGCACGACATGATGAACAAAGCGTGTAAAATAGACCATTAAGCTTCTTGACACCTGATCTTCCAAAGCTCTTGTGTAGCAGCAAAACGCCAGGAGACTGTCTTCTGAAATAGGGCTCTGGACTAGAGAGCTTCGTGTGTGTCGCAAGCTCTGTCAGTCTATACCGACCACCATAGCCACAATAATCCTTTGAGATACTCGACAATCTCTTCCCCTCCTAGTTTGCTCTCGCCGTATAGTCGGTCCACAAAGGTGATCGGGCACTCCTCAACCTTGAGTCCCATGGCTTTCGCCCGGACCATCATTTCCATCTGGAAGGTGTAGCCTTTTGACTCGGTTCTCTCGATGACCGTAACCAACGCCTCTTTTTTGTACAGCCTGAAAGACCCAGTCAAGTCACTCACGCCAGGATTCAAGAGAAAGTCGGCCAGGATGTTTGCACCACAGCTTGTCAGCTTCCTCTTTGCATCCCAGCCGTAGACTCCCCCGATTAGGCCTGGCCTTGATCTATACCTCGTCCCCGTGACGATGTCACAGCCGGTCTGTTTCTGGATCTTGATGAACTCGGGGATAAATTTCGGGTGATGCGAGAAATCTGCATCCATGATGATGACGAAGTTGCCCGTCACAAACTGCAGGCCGTGGACATAGGCGGTGCCCAAACCTAGTTTGCCTGCTCGGGGCTTCAACACGATGTGATCGGACCCGAAGGATTTCTGGAGTTCTTTCGCGCGCTCGAGGGTGCCGTCGGGGGAGGCGTCGTCTACGACGATGATCTCCCACTTTAGTTTTCTGCACAATGCAACAAGATCCATCAGCCATTTGATTTTCTCCCCAGACAATTGTTGGAGTGGGAGACTCACTCTTTGGTGAAGACATCGGAGAGCATCTGCACCAGAACGGGCAGATTCTGTCGCTCATTGTAAGTTGGTAGGATAACCGAGTACTTGTCTTTGGATGCCATGATATTCGCTGCTCAGTATCTCGCGGATCGTGTACCAAAGAAATGAATTTGGTGGTTGGTTGTGGCCTCTCTGACCAGCTTCGAAATCTGTCCTGATTGTGACGGCGCGCTTGGACGAAGTTGTATAATGCGCGTATCATCCAAGGCAGGGCGCGTCCCGCATACTTATCCCCATTTTTAAGTCCGCATGGCCCCAGCACCATTAATGCGAATGTGAGAACTCGATAACACTTCACTCCATCATCAATGTACGCACCCCATGAAAGAAGCTGGGGACAAGTCTGCGTTGTGTGAAGTCTACTGACCGAGTCTGAGGAAATCAGCTTCATGGCCTCACAACATCACAGCCGCAATCCGTCGAGTAGAGCAGGCCTTCCCCGAAGGCCTACAAAAGGACCACTTGATGCTATCGACGATCCGCTTGATACCTCTGAGACAACAGCTCCATCACATTCTTCGCTGCAGAGCTCTCTGCTCCCTCAATCACCGACGAATCAAGTGGTGAAACCTAGACAGCAAGCAGCTCTGCAGATAGAGCGGTTGCCTCTGGAGCAAGCGCAGCCTGGCGAAGAGCCGGTGGGAGCGGAAAGGGATCTCTCCTTTCTGCTCGATGCGTCCATATATCATTCTCTCTCCCAACTCGAGGTCCCGGGCCCGTTCAGAAAGCCCTTTCTCCCACCTCCAACCCGCGAGGCCCAACTTACCGGGTCTCTCGAACAGCTTGACGTGTTACTCTCGCAGTGTGACTTTTTGAGAGGCGCACAGCTTGCCGGTTCCATCTTAACGTCGGGAACTGTTCAACCAACCGATGCTAAGACGATATTCCGGCTTCTTGCTGTCCGCTATTCCTGCCTGGAGTTGTCCGGTAACCTCTTGCTCGCCGCACAAGAAGCGAAGGCTCTCGAAGACTTGAGCTCGACCTTTTACTACGATGATTCGAATCCAGAGCAAGGAGAGGGGGAAGATGTCGAAAAGCCGCGCAAGATTCCTCATCATGTTATGCCCTTCGCCCTTCGGCTGCAAGCTCTACGCCTTCAGAGCATTGGCTTTTCAGATCCGCGCCGAGGCGTGACTACTCTTTACGATACAGCCTCGGAATGTCGCGAGCACTTGTCTGCGTCGGCGACCTCCTCGAGAGAACGACTACTATGGACAGAGCGACTGCAAGAGGTATCCATCCGAGTGGTCAACGCTCTGATCGAAATGGGTGATCTTGAATGTGCTATTCGGACACTAGCAACCGTCAAACCAAGAGATGCGGAGCATATGGCTGTTTGGACGGCGCGAATGGTCCTCCTCCGGATCAAAGCCGGTGATGTCGGTAATGCCCATGAGTTGATCAAGTCCGCGACGCTCAACTCGCCGGAGAGGCTAGCATTGGAATCACTTCTTGCTGTTGCCGAAGGCCGATATGACGTTGCATCCCAGAAACTGTCCGAGTGTGAATCAGAAGCCGATCTGGCCCTCACAGCCCTAGTGAAACAGAACCTGGCGGTAGCTTATCTCTACAAAGGGGAGGTTCGAAAGGCCAGGCAGATGCTTGAAGAGTTGGTCGACGATGGACACTCATTCCAGACTTTGACCATCAATCTTGCTACTGTCTATGACTTGAGCTCAGACAGAGCTCGCGATCTGAAAATGGCGATGATTTCGAAGATTGCCGGTCAGCGAAAAGATTCGGGCTACTTGCGCTCGTTTGTGAATGCCGACTTCAAGCTATGATCGTAGCCGTGCCGGGTCATAGGCACACCGACCCCATGATGCCGTGCCGATAATCAAAGGCTTTGAGAAGCCCTCTGAGATGCGACCCCGCCGCCAGGACTATGAGAACGTGGAATATCTGATGCGAGCTTCCCAGGGTGTCAAACTTGCCCGGATACCAGACCTCCGGAATTCGAGCCTATCGGGTCAGTGTCGGTCCAGCACAAATTTCATTCGACTTACAGCATAAAAGCCAGCACCCACAATATACAGGATACCTTGCAGCACCACCCACGACAGGCCCATCTGGTTCTCCATTGCATCCAACCCCATTGTCTTCAAACCGTCCAAGACTGGAAATACGGCGGAGATTCCCATGCCGACAAACATCAATGCCCTGTATGGTCTCCAAGCGGAGCTCCTGAAGCGAGGCAGCACGGAGGCTGCGGTGCAGGCAATGCCCAATGTGCTGATCTGGTCACCCGATGAGCGGAACTCTTCGTGGCGGGACTGAACAAACTCACCATGAGCCAATACGTCCATTGCTTTCCCGGATGACACCAGAAACCGTAATAGACGCTTGGGATGAAGGAGCCCGTGATAAGCAAAGAGATGCCAGCATAATCCAACTGGTTCCAGAACTTGGCGACTTGCGGGGAGTGATTGGACAGTGCATGAAAGGCGGCGCTCAGACTCAAACAGGAGGTGGCGCCGAGGAAGAAGCAACTCATTGCGATCACATCGGCCGCCGAGGCTCTTTCATATCGCGGTTTCAGAATTTTGTACAGGAAAGCGGCCAGTGGCAGACTCAGCGTAGCCGGGACCAAGTGAGTCCAAATGTTGATGCTCTGATTGTGCCAGTGGAATATGCTCTGAAGGGACCTCGCGTAACTGTAGGATGCTTGTCGATAGCTGCCGTGGATGTGATGATTGTCTTGCAGCCAATGAGGAAGGTCATTCCATTGAAGCAGTGTGTACCACGGAGCAACCGGTTTATCAGAGTTGGCGGCTGGGGTGGATGGTCTGATGGATGTGGATGTATTAACCGGTGCGGATTTCGGGGACATTTTGATTGAGCGGTTCTTTGATCTGTCTCGGGGTCAGGAGCGAGCAAGCGAGCGAGGGCGAGGGCGAGGGCGAGGGCGAGGGCGAGGGCGAGGGCGAGGGCGAGGGCGAGGGCGAGAACGAGGGCGAGGAACGTTGGTTCTATGCCGAGATGTGGACATATCTATATACTCTTGGGTGACTCTGCATGTGCCCAGGCCACAAGCTTGGAAGCGTTGGGGAGAAAATGGGTTCCTTGGAAATGAAGCCCCTTCGCAACTGCCAGTCGCAGTCATAGTAAACCATCAGGCCCGGCCCGGCCCGGTTCACCTTTATCGATAAACTCGAACTTTGAACTTGACTTCAGGTGCCCCTCTGCCTCTCTGCACAGATACCTATGGGAGTCGCAACACAGCACAGCCTCCAACCACCTTCCTGTCCTTCCTGCCATCGCTGCCCTCCCGAGCACGACCTTTTCACTCAACGTTGTTTCTACCAACTTCCATACCTGACAACGACATTACATGACCGTCTTTGCATCCGGATATGAGGACTCAAGGTACTCATTAGACCGAGACTGTGGGTTCGGGCGAGATCTGATACACCAGCAAGAATGGCTCAGGGCCCGCCTTCTTTCAGCCGGAAGTCCTCCACACCATGGGACAGGCTGCGACCTGTAAAGCAGGATCCTCTGGAAAGCATGGGGTTCATCTCCAAAGGCGACAATAGGTCAGCGGGTGCAGCAGGATTCCCTCAATCCGTCTAACCATTGCTACAGGCTTCTGGACCCCAAAGCACAGGAGAACTTTTACAACAAGATTGTCGCTCGATACATGCAGTTTTGCACACGGCATTCCAAAGACCTCGATAATGCTTTCGCTTCACTCTCACTGGACGAGGGCCGATTGGCCTCGCCGGATCCGGGCAGAGCCTCCCCAGCGATTGCAACCGGGCAGAACCGTCCTCCTCCTTCACAGGGACCGTCGCCGACAGGTGTGACTGCCTCTCAAACTGGTCAACCAGTTAGCATGCCAACCTCATCTCCATCAGCCGAGCTGTCTACAATTCTCCTGGCTCTGCGAAAGCTGCGAGAAGGGTTACTTGCCAGCTCAGCGACAGCACCCTCGCCAGTCTTTTCTCAGCGCGTCCATGTGTTCAACATCAGAGCAGCAATCCTTGCCCTGCATCCACCGGGATATCATGCTTCGCTTTCGCATCTGCTGTTTGTTCTGCACACTCCCGCAGGTCCCCTTCCACGATCCGAACTGGTCGAGATGACAACTTATCTCATCCTCGACACCGCTCTTCGGCAGAATGACTTGTCGAAGGCCTACGCTCTCCGGTACCACAGCCGGGTGAAATTTGGATACAAGAGCAGGGCTGTTGATAGTATCTTAAGATCTGTTGTCATGGGCGACTGGGTCACATTTTGGCACGTGCGGCAGAAAGTCGACGGCTACATTCGAGCGCTGCTTCACTGGTACATCGAGACCCAGCGCAAACTGGCCCTCAAAGCCATCAGCCGCGCGTACTACACCTGCGACATCAACTGGATCATCCAGAGCGCCACAGGAGGGGACCTTAGCTGGGAAGAACTGGTCCAAGCAGAAGACGTTGGCTGGGTGCGTGAGGGTGACAAGGCCATCATCCGAAAGCCGAAGTCCAAGCCCGCCAATTGATGGCGATGACGAAACTCGATCAGGGCGAGATGCCCGTGCTCCGGATCCTGGGATCTCGGGAGGCGCAGAACAGAGCGCAGAGCACAGAGCTAGAAGGAACAGGATCCCGGTCTGGAACGCCGGGAGGACGTTGGAGGGTTCCGTGCTGGTGCAGTTTCAAACCTTGGGCATGTTGTGTTGTGCATGTGCGGAGCCCAGCCACTCGTGTGGCGCCTCCAGCCACGCCGGTGCAGCCAATCGCATGCGGGAATTCCTGGTGGCGGCCGTGTCTTGGCGCCGGGCGTAGTCCAGTGAGTCCACTGCGCTGCACCTGCGCTCCCCAACCTCGCTGCTTTCACTTCTACACCTTGCAGCCGGCGTGCAAACAGCGCCGCACATGCCCTGCAAGCCTCATGTCCAGATGGCCAGCCTTTGTATTTCTACTCGGACATGGATAGGTACATGTTCGAGCCCTTTCTCTTGTTCTTCCTGTTTCTCCGTCTTGCTACCTGATCTCAGATAACACAAAACATTGAATAGCTGAATTAAACAAGAGTCATTATCATTGTTCGAATCCTACGCTTCTGAATTGAGGCGGCCAGACATCCACATCCTTGCATCTTCCCTTCACAATGAAAACGAGTCCTGTCTCCAGCGCACTCTCGCTCTCCTCTCTCCTGCTCCTCGCCAACGCTTGGCCTCTGATCCCTAACATACTTGAGCGAAGGTCGCCTGCCTCCTACTCGGTTGTTGCGGTGGATGGTGGAAATACAGGAGGATATCTCACGCCGGCAACCACTGTTACCGATGCTATCACACACACAGAGACCATTTTGGCAACGCAGTTGTCCACGCTTGTGGTGACCGAATCGGAAACGCCCACCACGATTGTGCTCACTGTCACATCTTCATCGCCCACCACCATCACCGACTATTTGCCGGGCCCGGTCACCACAGAAGTTGTGACGGCGACACCTGCGTCGTCTCCGCAACCAAGTCTGCCGACCCTGCCCAGCAGTAGCTCTGATGTACCTTCATCTCCTGCGTGGAGCAGTCCAATCATCCCGACACTGGCCCCGGCACCGGCCTCAGCAACGGAGCAGCCAGTGACGCCGGTGACGGAAACCACGACACCGATACCATCGTCAACGACCGAAACAACAACGATGACGACGACGACGGCTGAAACGAGTTCCACGACCACGACCACGACCAGCACCACCACCACCACGACGACTACAACATCATCAAGCACCGACACCACTACGACAGCACCGGCGACAGAGACTATCGCAGAAGCGACTGTCACAATCACACAGCCACTTCCCTCGACACGGCCGTACGATGATGGCATGTGGCATACATACTACTATTACACCGTCGAGTCGTCGAGCCCGTCCACCTTGAGCCCCACCAGTAGTGCGAGTCTCAGCTCTAGCACCAGCACCAGCACCAGCTCCAGCACAAGCACAACTACCACCACCTCGAGTCTATATACGTCATCTACGACTCTAGAGGTGAGTCCCATTCCCGCTAGCACGACGACGAGCCAGGTAGCATGGGACACTGCCAGCGTGGACAGCTGGACTACTTCAACATCAGAAGTGAGTACAACCACTTCTCCTGGAACACTGGAGACCGGGGCCAGTACTACCGGAACGCAAAGCTCTTGATGGTGGAATGAATGCCTTATGAGCCAATGATTTGCTGAGGTCTTCGCAACCTCTTTTACCTTCAATCCACGATTCTGGATTTGTATTATTTTCCGTCTGGATTTAGCAGCGTCGGGGTTAAAAACGGACTCGGTCTATCGATGGGAAAACAAAAATGGGATTGGAATCTTGGCTTTGAGCAAGGAGCTGGTGGTGGGAAATATCCCGAATTACTTGTCGGTTATTAGATAGGTACATACATAATAGGAACTGGCGCAGAGTGGCCGGTTCCTGGTCACGAATCAATGTTACGATACGAGTTAAACACTGCACAGCTCAGCTTATTTTCTTTGTACTTCGTAAGGAGAGAGAAATTCGATGCACTACCGCTCCCACCTGAGGTTGGCCTCGGTGACAAGTACTATCCGTACGAGTACATGTATCTGTCCTCCGTATGTACTCGGTGTACGGAGTATCCGTGGCAATCAATACCTGGTCTGCCGTTGGCCACGACCAAGGACGTCGTCGCCGTTGCCATCGCTGCCGCCGCCTCCATGACCGATAAGGAGGTCGGCCAATGGCTCAATCGTGCGTCGAGGGCCAAGACTAGAGTCGGCCTCCATCACCATGACGTTGGAGGTCATCATGTTGGGGGTGGCACCGTTGAAGCTAAAGCTGCATCTGACCAGCAGCAGAACCAGATGTGTGTGGGTGTGGGTGTGGGTGTGGGTGTGGGTGGATTTGCATTGGCTCAGCCTCAGCCTGGAATTGTTGAGTGGGTTCAAGTGAGCATGAGCACCGAGAATCAGAATCAGAATCAGAATCAGAGTCAGAGTCAGAGCCAGAACTAGTACCATCCGCACGAAAAGACTCGCTTCTTGGCCGGCCAGCAACTCCTGAAATGAATGAACAGACGTTTCTCGACGAATAGTCGAAAGCTTGCACACATAAATACTAAGCACTCTTGGGATCCTGGAGAGGAGAAGTCGACCGCTACGGCCTAGATAGATAGATAGAGCTGGAGGCTCAAACTGAAGGCAATGACGGCTGGCACCTATCTACAGTCTACAGTCTAGTCTGATGAATTATAGAGATGAAATGAATTGTATGATGAGAGATGAGATCGAGGCTAACTCTGACATTGACCAATACCAACATTGACTGACCTACCAGTAACACTAACACTACCACTACTACTTACACCAGCCTAACATAACAGTAATATTAGGTGACTCGGTTCGTCAGCAGTTCCTTATGTGTAGTGGGACTTCAGTGGGCTGGGTCTCATGCATGGTCTTGTGCATTCTCACTCCCACTCCCTCGCTCTCTTCTATTCCACGCCAGGAGACAATTCAACACGTCGCCAGCCTCGGGGCCGACATGACGCCGAGAACGGGCCGTGTCCAAAACACCGACGCCGGCGTCGTCGGCGACATGTAGGCTGGCGCCGGCCTCGAGCAGCGCGCGGACGTTGTCGACGCAGCCCAGCTCGACGGCGAGGTGGAGGGCCGTCTTGCCGCCCAGGTCCGGGCCGGTGCGGCGGTCTAGCTGGTCGCGGCGGCGATAGCGCCTCAGCAGCTTGCGCATCATGTACGCGTTGGTGTCGAAGTCGTAGTCGGCCCGCTGCAGCGGCTCGCCGGCCACGGTGGACAGATGCCGGAAGCCAAGTGCCGCGCGATGCAGGGCCGTCATGCAGCAGCGGGCCGTGGGCGCGACCACGAAGCTCGGCTCGACAAAGCCGGCTCGGCCCACGCCCTCGAGAAGATAGTCCAGCTTCTGCGATGATGACCGCGCGTTCAGCGCTATCAGGTGGCCCAGCGGTGTCAGCGCCTGTGCGCTCACCAGGAACGAGGCCGAATGGCTGACGGCGTCTATGTCGGCGCCGAGGAGGAGCAATGTGTTTGCGAGTCGGAACGCGTTTTGCCGGATCGCCACGAGGAACGGCGTCTCGTGACGTCGCACCGCTGCCGGCCTGGTGCCTTCCCTTTGCTGGCCAGTGTCTGATTGCTCTTTGGGCGGATCTTCAACCATCACTAGACCTGGATACTCTCCCTTCTCCTCTCCGTCCACAGGGACTCCCAGATCGACAAGTTTGATGGCCAGCGAAACATCGTCGTCGTGTCCTTCGTCGGCAAAGACGTGCAGGGCCGTGAAAGACTGATCCGATTCGTTGAGAGGGCTCCGTGCCAGGTCGCGCGGGTTGGCGCCGTGGCGAAGAAGCCGGTAGAACATCTCGCGCCGGTTCCAGCGCACGGCTGCGTGGATCGGCGTGTGTGAGAGCGTGCCACAGGGCGTGTTGACCTCGGCGGAGCACCAGCCCGTCTCAAGCATGTATTCGACCACGTCGTCGTGCGCGCCATCGACGGCGTGATACAGCCGCGTCCGGTTGGCACCACCGAAGTTGGGCGCGCAGGATATCAGGTCCGTCTTCTCCCGGAGCAAGTCTAAAGTGCGATGCAACCGCTGCTGCCACTGCGAGCCGTGGCGCATCATCATCGAGAAGCGGTCGGCGGACCCGATGGCTTTGCCGATCAAGGGGCCATAGAAGAGCGCTTGCCGGGGGTCGTCTTTGTGGTCACTGCTGGACGCGGCGTGTCGTCGCTCCAGTTCGCAAATCATCGCCTCCAAGCAGGTGTCGTGGTGGAAATACGCCGCCCACATGATCGGAGACTGCCGACTGGCGCTCAGATGGTGATGAGGGTCCGCCCCGTGATCCAGCAGCCACTGCACAATCACCGGCCGGTCGTGATGCACGGCCCAGCTCAGGGGCGTGCCGGGGAGCAGGACGTCGACATCGATGGAGGCAGGGAACAGCGAGTGTGCCACATTCTCAGTCGTCTCGGCGGCAATGCGGCCTCCGCATGACAGGAGATCCTTCCCCAGGGGCGCGATGATTTCATCCCCGAATGACACGAGCCAGTGCAGAGGAGACTCTCCATTCTTTGCTGCGATGGAGGCGTCGGCATGGTATGTTTGCAACAGCATCGCCGTCATGGGGCCCTGTGCCGATCGACAGGAGCACAGCAGAGCGGTCTCGCCCTGCGCGTTGACCGTGTTGGGGTCCATCTTGTACGTGTCGATCAAGAGCCTGACCGTGGCGACCCCCCCGCAGCTTGCGGCTATGTGCAAGAGTTTGTCTCCGCGCTTGTTTGCAACCAATGTCTCCGGATGCGGATGGTCCTGCTGGCCCAGAAACTCGGACATGAACTTGGCGTCCATGATCTTGGGCTGCGTGAGGCCATATAACAGGTTCTCGGGCCAGAACCACGGGGCGCCGACGCCGCCAAACCCCAAGCTGAGGCGGGTGTGGATGGTCTGGGCTCTCGAGGCATCCACCGTCCGCAAGTCCTCGAGCGCCTTTCGAGAGCCGTTGTGTGCCATGGCCGTGAGATGCTGCGTGACCAGGGACAGGTCCATCTCGACGCCGCATGCCTGGCAGATTCGGTAGAGATAGGCTCGACTGACCTGGTGTCCTTGGGCCGCGGCAGCCCTCAGTTTGCTGCATGCTTCTTCCACGTCTTTCCCACACCCGTATCCGTTGATCAAGCACGCGGTGGAGCCGAAAAGCATCACTACATCGTCGGATGCCATATTTCGGAACAAGAGGTTTTGGATCGCCGGCCGACTGATGCGCACAGCTTGCCACGACACCATTCGCGTCTAGACACATGGTTAGCACGAATCGATAGCGGATGGTCTAGGTCTTGAATTTCAGGCTGCCCTATTCACCTTGAATCCCTTTGCCGACCACATCTGACGGAGCTTCGGAATCTCGGACGACGACTCGACCGGTCTATATTGTCTTAGAAGCAGCCACCGAAGGGAGCGGTCTCACACGGGGCTTACCGGGGACGAGGCGGTAACGGGGACTCGCTCAGAGTTAATGTAATTGTTCGGTCGGAAGTATTGGTCACCTGGTATATAGTTCCACCTTGGGGCTTTCCCGCCACAATCGGGCCTGGTGTATGTTCGTCCTGTGGCATCACGTACAGAGAGTCCTGGGGAGAAGTAGGACCAGGATCAGGACCAGGAGCTGAAGGACCATCGGATCTGGGCCCCTCTTCGAGTGGTCTGTCCAATATGCTCCGGAGAAGCTCTGTGATGGCATCGAGATCTCGACTAAGCGGGCTTTTGGTCAGTGATTTGTCGAAAATCGAGTTCAAGACCGAAAAGAAGGAGCCGGTCCGGACCTTGGGAGACTCAGCGGGGCCAAGTTGAGGGAAGTCCATGTCTCCTGCGACCTCCCCGTCATCAAGATCACGGGAAACCGGTTCAACCTCAACCAGCGAGGTCGCCAAAGCCCGCAACTCTGCTGTACAATCTCGCAGTCTGATTTGATGGATCCATTCCCGCAACCACGAGTGAACTCGACTCCGGACAATCAGTTCGTCGTTCTGCTTCCATTCTTCCACGGCAGCCAAGTAATCTCTCCGTCCTCCTCCCGGCCAGAGGGTATGTCTGAAGTGGTCTTCACCATTCATGGCCACAACCCAGGCCAAGAGCCCCAGGCTGTAGATGTCAGACTTGGGCGCATCTTGCACAGGAACAGGATGTTTGGTTTCGGGGGCTTTCCAGGGGTCGGTCCCGGAAATCCAGAGGGATCCCGTCTCGGCAGGGCCCACGAATGAATAACCGAAATCCGCCAGTTTGGCCACGTAGCGACAACGACCACGCTCATGGGGCTGGGGCTCCGGATTGGTAAACACCAGCACATTGTCGGCCTTGAGGTCGCCGTGGACCAGATAACAGTGGTGCAGTGCCTGCAGGCCGAGAGTGATGTCCAGGCAGAGACGCGCTTTGACGTCGTCTTCCAGGATCGCGTGTTCCAACACATCGGCGAGAGACCCGTGCTCGGCATATTCAAGCACGAGAACTGGCAGTCTCAGCTCAGGGGTCAGTGGATTGGATCCCCATGCCAATCCCAGAATCTCGACGATATTTGCATGCTCCAACAACGGCGGGTGGAGCAGGCTGTGCAGCTCAGTGAGGAAGTTGATGGCCGCCCGTCGATGTGTGGGACTGGGCTCTCCGTTGCTCTCGAAGCGGATGTTGGCCACCTTGTACACCACGTATCGGGGTCGAGGAGGCCTGTGGGCCAGCGTTTGGACGGTAAAGGTGGTCGTTTTGGTCACTTGCTGCACCGGTTTGGTGGCCTGCGACACCGCCTGCCGGCTCACGGCGAAGGTTGCGCCCGCTCCCAGCGGCTTGGACGAGTCCACCGCATCGGGACTTAGGTATGTAAGAGGCAGGTCGGACTGGATCAAGTAGTGGATGTCCCTTGCGGCGAACAAAAAATCAAACAGGTGAGGAACGTAGAGATCCTTCTTGGGCAGATCTGATTCGCCGTCGCCTAAACCTAAGCCTGCGCTCAGGCTTGATTCTGACCAGCGTGAGAAGGCTCGGTCCGAGGCGTCAGAGCGTGGGGAGCTTTCAGACATCTTAGGTTGAGGTTGTGAGGTGTGCAAGAGTTTGGTGTTCTAGGAACAGTGCCGTGTCCATGTATGTCCATTCCATTCCAATTTCCTGTCGCGTGTGACGACGTGTCGTTTCTTTGTGTAGTGTAGTGCGACTTCTTCAAGCCACCTTCATGCAGGTCTCAGCCGCAAAGTGGTGGGTGGGAAAAGGGAAAAGGAGGGGCAAAATATCGCTGCCCCGCCCGGGCACCTGAGGCGTGTGAGATACAAAACGTCTCACCTGGCAGCCAGCTGTTGTCGAGGTGGATGAGGCAAGACACCCCCCTCCCCCCTGAGGCACAGTGCTGGTCCATCGGAGTGCTGAGCTCCTCTGCAGATGGCTGAGCTGGGCACCGCCATGGGGGCAGCGTCTTTCGCCTTCGACCTCCTCGGCAAATGTGTCCAAGGCTTCATCCTCGTCCGGACCGCGCAGAAGATCGGCAAGGACGGGCTGTCTCTCCTTCGCATGCTGGATATTGAGGAGATTCGGCTCACCACATGGGCTCGCCGAGCACGTCTCCTGGACTCTGGATATTTGGATGAGAGGCTCAATGCGGTGCTGGTCGAAAAGGCCCTCACCCAGCTCTTCTTTTGCCTGTCAGATACCAACAAGTTGAAAGAGAGATATGGTCTTCAGCTGGTCCAGACTCCGCCGGACTTGTCCTCTCCTGACCCATCCTCCCTCGCGCAAGCCATGTCCCTCTCCGCCCTCGCCGTCGCAGATTCGCGGGAGCCTCCCAGTTTGCCCATTTCGGACGAGCTACGGGCGGAGATCTTGCTGAAGGCGGGAATCATCAAGGACAAGAACGCGTTTCCAAAGCGGCTCTTTTGGGCTGCCTGGGACAAAACAAAGTTCCGCGAGTTCATTGGCCAGGTCCATCATCTTATCCAAACACTCTGGCGTACGCTGGACGACGCTAGACTGGAGGCCCTGTCGAGGGATGTCAATCAATCTGTTTCTCACCTCGTACGACTCGAAGAAAAGGTCGATCAGCTTTTCGCCATCGCTTCCGCCGTCGGCTTCCTCTCAGGCGACGGCCGGCTAAGTCCCAATCAAGGCAGCGAAGACTCCGCCGAATCTGCCCTGGGGGCTGCAGCTCATCTCAAAGCCGACAGAAACAGAATCCGGCATGATCAAGCTGATGCAGATGCAACCGACAGTGTTGCCTTCCATCTATCTTCCCAGTCCGGTCCACCGGTCGAGACCTTTTCCAGGACAGAGCTGCTCGCGGAACAAAAGATCGCGGGCAACCCAAGACTTGTCACAGCCAAGTTTCGACACTCTGACGTGGTGGTGGAGTGGAAGGTCCTGTACAAGGAGTCCAAAGGGAAAATCCTGCCACGAGTCCGGAGCCTGGCGTACCTTCTCAGCACCACGCAACATCCGGCCTTCCGCATTCCTAAATGCATTGGGTTGGTCGAAGAGGAGGCTCAGATCGGGTTGATCTTTGAGAGGCCAGCCGGGTCGAAGGATTCCATTTACAGTCCAAAGCCCCTGCTGGAATGCTTCAACAAGCGATATCCCTTACCGAGCGCATCGGTCCGCCTCCAGCTGGCCCTGAAAGTAATCCAGGTCTTCCAACTGCTCCACGTGGCGGGATGGTGGCACAAGGATCTGCGGTCGGAGAACATTGCATTTTTTCCACGCTGTGATGATACGGCTTTGATATCAGATCCGTCCGCATTCGAAGCTCTACTATTGCATCCCATGCTGATGGGCTTCTCGTTTGCCAGAGAGGCAAGCCCTTCGGCAATCTCTGAGCAGCCCTCAGATGAAGTCAGTCATGACATATATCGTCATCCAGAAGCGCTCGGACAACCATCTAAAAGCTTTGATGAGGATAAGGACAATTACGCGCTTGGGATGGTCCTGGTCGAGATTGCCGAATGGCGTTCGCTCCGCTCCATCCTCAGAGCTGACAAGGTAATTAACTTTGACCGGGACGTGTCGTTCGACCAACTGTCAACGATACAATCCTTCATGTTGCAGGAGGGAAAGGATTCGATCGCGCAGCGCGTGGCATTCAGACTGGGTCGTTCGTATCTCAAACTGGTCATGCTATGTCTGAGAGCTCCCTCAGCATTCGCGCCAGGCCACCTTGAACAGCAAAGCAGCGCGTCCAGACAAAAAATGTTTGAGGAGGCGGTGAGGGAACTCGAGGAGTGCAGATTGTGAGACAGCTCTCAGGTGTCGACCATCTGCCAAGTCGTACGAAGCAGTGACATGGCAGAGAAGAGGCTTGGACACTAAACAAACATCGTCTCTGATTGAGCACCGTGTCGAAACATTGTATCTTGGCATCCCATCAGTGGTACAAACTGTTGGTCTGATATCCGAACGTCTGTCTTAGCCTTGACGCGACGGATAGATGGATGATGAAAAAGATGTGGACGAGAGTGCATCACTTGGTCACCCAGGAACCATATAAACTAGTATTGTTTCTCGAGCCAGTGCTTTCTGAGCCAGTAGAGGGAGTCGGGTCGCTGTTCCATTGTTGGTTGCCTTGGGGTCATCGAAATGCATGCTGGAGGCATCGACCACTCTGAAGTCTTGTTGAGTCATTTTCTATCTGCTGGAGTTCGCTCGAGTTCATACCAGAGACAGACACGCCGTCATCAAGCGCACGTTGAGGGTAGAGACACCGTTTCTGGGGTCTGTGGGGACTCGGAGGGAGTTGTAGCCGTAGACGCTTGAGCTGCTGGTAGACAAGCGCAATCGGCTATATTGCAGTGGAAGCGGCTGACAAGTGCTCACAACTCATAGTCGACCCGCCTAGGCAATGAAGCTGGCACATAAGCGTGATCGGCATTCATGCAGAAAGTCCCAAGCCGAAATCGCCTATATCATTCAGTCATAACCAGCTTAGCCGCTGGTGTTTCTCAGCAAGGAATGGATGAATGACCCACAGGAGAAGTTTCTCGGCTGCTTACCGGTCCAAAGACAATTCCACGATCGAAATCAGTTCGAAATGCCTTCGCCCACGAAAGATGAGCTCCGCATATACACCCCTACCGGGATGCTTGGTTATGGGTATAGCCATCAACTGTTCTATTCTGCATTAGAAGACGGCATTGATGCGATCATCTGCGACTCTGGGTCAACGGACAGCGGACCTTCCAAGCTTGCCCTCGGCTCCATGTCCTGCCCCAGAGACGCCTACATCCACGACTTGGAACCGATCATCGATGCAGCCAACTCGCACCGGACGCCGGTGTTGATTGGAAGTGCCGGTGGTGACGGATCGAACGCGCACGTCGATGTCTTTGTCGACATTATTGAGAATATCATCCAAAGGCACGGATACCGGTCGATGAAGATCATCAAGATATATTCCGAGATCGACAAGGACCTGGTGAAGAGTCAACTCGGGGCAGGAACAATAACTCCGTGTGGCACTGCAGTGCCGGCCCTTCAAACCAAGGATATAGAGGATGCATCACTGATCGTTGCCCAAATGGGGTTGGAGCCATATCTGAAGGCAATGGAGGAGCACCCCGACTTCGACATCATCATCGGAGGGCGCACCTATGATCCCTCTCCGTATGCCGCCTTCTGTTTGTATCACGGTTTCAACGACCTAGGGCTGGCCTATCACATGGGGAAAATCCTTGAGTGCGGTGCGATTTGTGCAGTGCCCAAGAGTCGAGAAGCGCTGGCGGTCGTTCGTCGAGATCATTTCGATGTTGTGCCCTCGAATCCAAACGCTCGGTGCACTCCTGTCTCAGTCGCTGCTCATACGCTCTATGAAAAGACCCGACCCGATATCCTGGTTGGCCCCGGCGGGACTTTGAGCCTTCAAGACACGACATATGAAGGGCTCCAAGATAACAGAACCGTCCGCGTGCGTGGGGCCAAGTTCATTCCGGTACCAGACGGCCAGTATACCGTCAAACTTGAGGCGGCACGTACGGCGGGCTACCACAGCACCTTCTTTGGTGGTTTCGCCGACCCGATCCTCATTTCGCAGATTGACGACGTTGTTGCAAGGATTCGAAGTCATGTTGCATCGGTATGCAAGTTTGATTATGATCTCAAGCTGATCACATACGGCAGTGGTGACAACATCAGCATGTTTGCAGAAGCTCGTCGGGCCGATGGCTCTCCACAATCTGTGGCCATCACAGGGGAAGCACGAGCTGACACCCAAGACAAGGCAACACATGTCATCAACGCCGCCCGTATTGCCTGTATGCACATCCCATACCAGGGCCAAGTGGCAACTTCTGGAAACTTTGCTATGTCGTGTGCCCCTTTCGACATTCCCATGGGCAAAGTATGCGAGTTTTGCATCTACCATTTGATGCCGGTGGCGGATCCGGTAGAGCTGTTTCCCCGCCAGCTTGTCAAGGTACAGGGATCCACGCAGACTGGTATCCGGCCGAGGGCGCCGCTGGCAGTGTCCACCGACAAGGACCATTCAAAGGCGAATAGCACTTCAACCAGCACACCAGCCAAGGTTGTTCTGACCCCACGACCTCCTCCGGGATATCATTATTTAGGAGAATTGGCATCTGTAATCCGCTCAAAGAATGCTGGTCCGTATGAGCTGACCTTCGATGTGATGTTTGGGTCTCCTGAAAACTACTCAAAGGTAAAGTCGTCTAATGTCCTCACCAAGTCAACCATTGCAGATCTCTATCGAATCGACGAGGCCGAGGTAGTCGCTGCTCTGTGGTGGGATCCTGCAATGGCATTTAAGGCGACAGTCAAGAGGCCAATAATTTCCGGTGGATTTGGCGAAACTGATACTCATGGAAGCTGCCAACATACCAGACTTATGTATTTGCAGATTCAGGTGTCGGCTAAATAGCAAAATCTCTGAAAGGTGAAGGGTTGGTGTATATTGCGACCACCCCGGAATGTTGCTTGTGAGAAATCAAAGACCAAGAGAAGGTTCTTGTGGTGTGTATTAAAATTTCCCTATTCTTTTTCATCCACGCAATCTCGTTTCGTTTCCATCTGGGGACATACAGCAAAAAGATGATCATAAATCATGTCGAATTACCGAGTAGATCTTGCCAATCTGCGAATATGTCAAAACCCTGAGGGTCTGCAAACTCGTTCATCAGGCCAAAATCATCAAATGTCGGTGTGCGCATCTGCATGAAGTCATGGTCTCGAAGTTCGGTTGAGGGCTCAGCGGGGGATGCTGCGACACCATGCCTTTGTTCTCTCAGTGCAGATACCATACTTCGGGAGCCCGAATAGAGACGTTTGGCGCGCCAGATAGTATTGTATAGCATATTGAGGGACATCCGAGATTCGATTGGTGGCCTGAGAAAGGACGTATTGGCATGCTTATGCTGTAGCTCGGGCCACAGGATGCCGGTGGAGGACCCAATTTCGACATAATCAAGGAGATTGGAGACATGGGTTGACATGCGCGAGTAGTGGTCTTTGTTGAATAACGACCAAGATTGAATAAGACTGTTACCTGCTCGGCATGCCTCCACCAGTGAAGTCCGCTGGCCACTCTCTGAGTGCTCAGACATGCCTATGGCTGCGACCCCAAGACTAGCTGCATAAATGATGCATTGTTTGATGAAAGCAGGCCACACCTTGCTCTGACCTTGGTCATCATGCTGGGCAAGGAGTAATAAATCGACGATCACCTGCATGGCTTTGGCCACGAATTCCTCTTTCTCGATGTCCGGGGCGGTGGCCTCGTGCGAAGGAGTGCTGGCACTGTAACTGTTCAATGCGAAGGAATAAAGATGCAGTTGTGACGACAAGAAGAAGATCCTGTCTTGCTTTGACATTGTGTTTTCCAGCACTTTTCGGATGGATTGAAAGTCGCGGTCGAAGAGTTGCAACAGTCTCAAAGGCTGAGGCAAGAGTCCAGAAGGGATCGATACGTCGTCACCAAGGACCGAATTCGTCTTTTCGCTGAGGAAGGCAATGTGCAATAAGTTATGCAAAATCGGCGGCAGGTGTGATGACGATCCTTGTGCGATTTCTGACACAATAGAATGGTTCAACCTAACTATCGAAGGCACCCCTAATCTCATTGTAACTCTGGAATTTGGTTAGAACGCACAAAAGAGACTCAAAACTATGTACATACGTGTGGTTGATAATAAAGCAGCCATACCAAGCTTTTTGCCGGGCTTGTTCCAAAGTCTCGTCCAGGGTTGAAACATTGTATTCGAAGTCGGAGCGAAACGACGGTCGGTGCAGACCAATCTGATATGCTATGTTCGTTGCTAATGATGCATACATCGGAGAGGGATCGTTGACTGTCTGTGCATACGGGAAGGGCCATGCGCAGAGAAGCAGCAAAGCCTGCACGGCTTCTAAACCACGGCTCTGGTGGCTGTATAGATCACCGGCCAAGCGGCGGACCGGGTCAACCAGAGAATTAAACAGTGGCGACATCTGAGCCGAGCTCCCTGAAGCAATGGCAAGCATTGTCCAGAGTAACAATGTATTTGCGTTGTAATGAGCAAGAAAAGTTTCCTTCTTTGGGAGAATGGGGAATTGCGGGTCATAGATGGTGTAGTATCTGGTGGTCGGTCAATGAGATATCTTGTCGAGGGGGTGCCGAACGTTACTGATTGATCAAGGTAAGGATTTCACTGGGACCGACTTTGACCGTCTCCAGGATCTGCTCTGTGATGTAGGGATGTTCATGGGCCAGGCCGTTTGACAGGGTTCTCGGACTCAGCTCTTCAGATGGACCCAGGGCTGCTTCCTTGTACCGTTCCAACTCATCCCGCGTGCTTTGGAGCTGTCGTTCTAGGGCAAGAAGATGGCTATGTGGTACGAAGAGCTTGTTAGTAGACTGTAATCTCGATCGGCCTTTGTGTAAGACCTGGTTACCTCTTTTGAGAGATCCGGCGAAAGGCAGGGTCGATCGAGCAGTTCCGACCGGTCCTTGCACAACGTGTACAGGGCGAGGGAGACTGAGCGGCGGCATCACATTTGAGCTGGGAGACATGACTGTGTATTAGTGTTTCAGAGAGGTTCATTGGGAACGAGAGACCTTTCTCTTACCTTGAGCTGTCGGCAGGAGATACAAACAGTCCCCTTCCTCGTTCGTGAGCTGGGTTTCTGGATCGATGAGCGTAGAGCAGGAGCCATGGGTCACGGTGGACTTGTGAAATCAATGCACAGTGTGGAATTAGGATGTAATCGGGAGATAAAAACTGGGGGCTATTGTCATGTAACATGTACATCCAGTTCGAGTGCCTTGGCGCAATAGGGACATAATGTTACACGCTAAGAATGACTATACCCTATACGGTTCACTAAAGTCTGGTTCCGTACCCCCATCAAGTGACTTGATCAACCCTCATGGTCCATAGCCCATAGCCCCCGCTGCATAGGAACAGGGTTTTGGACTGTTCAGATCTAAACATGCTAGCATAAGTATTACTCATGTGGTCTTCGCTTGGGCCAGGCTGATTGTCGAGGCGTCGAAATCGTAGTAGACATAGGCGCTCCGCAAGAACGAGTCGCCGAAGAAGATGAGGCTATCTGCCTGCGGCTGGAACCCAAAAAGACAGGTGCCGGACCCACCAATATCCGGCACCGCGATCTGGGAAAAGGGAACCTGGATCGTAATGGCGGGGCCGGCGCCGAAGCCAAATGTGAAATAGCCCTCTGGCACTTGGCACGGGACAGTGTAGACTCCATTGTCAGCTTGGTGGACGCCAAAGAAGGACGCCAGTTCGTTGAAGATGTCAACCGGCAGAATCGCGGTGGTGGACCCGGTGTCCAAGATGACAGGAGATGATAGATCTGATTGTGTCAAGGCCGTCGTGGTGTCAGAGGCATCGGTTAGAGACAGAGACGTCCATGTGACCTGCAGGCGAGGTACGCTGTCGGAGTAGGGGACAATGGGCAAGGAGACGAGCTCGCCCGAGTATCTGGTTGAGTCGACGCCGCCGAAGATGATGGTGCCACTGGCAGCATCTTGGTCATCGAGATGAATGCTGTACGAGTGCGACGTTATCACGCCTTGCTTGTAGAGGTCATCCAGAAAACCGTTGTGCTTGACCTGGCTGGCTTCGGCTCCATCGAAACCAATGCCCAGGATGGACCAGTAGAGAGAATTCGTCTTGGTAGCCACGCCCAGGGTGACTCCAGTGACGGTCGCAGCGGCCACTGTGACCGTAACTGTGATGTAGTAACCCGTAACGGTGGTGTTGTCATAGTAAGATGTCGAAAAGTCTCCAAGATCATTCTCGTAGAAGCCGGTGCTTGATTGGGTTGGATCAACTGAGAATGAGAATCGAATTCAGTCACGGAAACGGAAACATTTCCCAACCCGAGGGCTGACGCCGGTCAACTTACACACTCCGCCCGAGCAAGCGGTGCAAGAGCTAGGGCCAAAGACCCAGACATCACTGCTGCCTGTGTCCACGGCAAGGCTGATACTCTGCGCGGGTGTTCCGATGTCGAGATCGATGAGATATTGGTAATCAGCGTTGGGCAGAGTCACCGGTAAGTCGCGGCGATGCACATCTCTTTGGGAGACGCTTTGCCTCATGGTTAAATGGAGGAGTCCATCTTCACGTGCCGCCAAAGATGAGGCCAATGGTGCTGAAAGAACAGGCCAGATGATGGACATCAAGGTCCACAGCAATAGCGTGCCTGCCATCATTCACCAAGGGTGTCGTGAATGGTGTCGAGAGAGGGCAGGATAGACAAGATGGCGAAAAGAAACATCTCATGGTGGCTCAAGTCAAGGACACTGCCGGTCCAAATACTCGAGCCCAATAGTACGAGCGGCCTGAAGCGAGGAATGTCCTCGACTCAACCTCAGCCACGGCATGATGTCTCACGCACTGACAGGGCTGTACCCAATATGGGCATCACCGACGGCGCCATCGACGGTCATTTTGACTGTCTCGATGGGCATATATCAGCCACCGGGGACGGGTTTGGTCAAGCATGGAAGCCATTGGGCTGGACACTTCACTTCCCGTAGTAGGCGAGTCTAGCGTATGCAGGTTATCATGTGGTGTGGTGTTGAGTTTTCAGCCCGATGGCAGTGCAGAGCGTGGTCAAGCTAAAGCTGTCCAGGGTCTGCAGGGTGCCCCATGTCTTCATGAAGCTTTGCCCGATGCTTGATCGTACTGTTAATGTTATGATGAGAAAGATGATGCTAATGACGATGACCAACCGTCGTAACCAGCATGAGGCTCAGGTTGATGCCATTCAAGCCGAGAGAGCCCCAGACATTCTCTCCAGGCAGACACAGGTCAGCGCCAGGGTTGGACATTGCGCATTCCTGGGGAGGCATCAATGAATCATGGTTAGACGCTGAAAGAGACTGACGTTCGCCAGGGACCGCGGCAGGAAGCGGTCCAACCATCGCTTAGAGAGCCAACCAAGACCAGCTGACAGAGGGAGGCATATTTGATGGCCTGGTCTGGCCTGCGCGGTACACATAATAGGTGCTGGCCAAAAGTGGAAAAAGGAAAGATGTGGGAGCTATATCTACTCGAGAACGGCTGAACGTCACCTTAGCCCTCCCTAGGCACTCCCTAGACACACCAGGGCCCAATCTAGGCCTAAGTCTCCTAAGCCTTTAAGCCTCTTAGCAATCGGCTACACCTGCCTCTCGACTGGGCATCTATCTCAGCCGGGCGTCAGGGCATCTGGCAGTTCACCGAAAAGAGTCGAGTCCGAGTACGGAGCACCTCGAGCTTGACGCTTTACGAACAGACAGGGTTCCAGTAGATACCAGGTAGTCCCCACATCCACAGGGGCTCCCTAGGCTGCGGTTTAGCGCCGTGGCGCCTGGCGCTGTCATTTCCCGGGGGTTCCCGAGGCTCCTTAGGCTTGCCGCCGCGGCAGACCTGCTTGTGCGGCTCAAGCCAAGACCCCCGGCACCTGCCCGGAACACCCGTTCGTCATTTGCCTTTCGAGACCACAGACAACACACGTACTGTCCTTCTGTCCACCACTTTGATCCATCTCTGCGATGCTTTCCCGAGTAAATCTACAGTGCATCCTCTGTACGGAGACTCTGTCGACGATTCATCCGGCCGTTCATTCGGCTATGAAATCCGCCTTCCTCCTGGTCCGATACTCTTGTCGGCGCTTACATTCGGACTAGTCGTCTCAAGATATGCAGTCTCACCTCCTAGCCGCCTATCCCCACATCTTTGGGGGCCAGAGGGCCATCGCACGGCGAGGCCTGGCTGGCATGCTCACATGGACGAATCTCGAAGGCAGCACTCTTATCTTTGTCCGTGACTCAAGCTCAGCGAGCAACGAGCAACGAGTCTGCTCAAGATTTGGGTGTCCACCACACCTACACCTCACATGCGCTATCTGAAACCAGGAGCCTGCGCCCGACCAGCTGCTAGTACTTGTCCTTGCGGCCTGGTAGAAGGAGACCAGAGACCAAGATGTACATAATACCCCACCAGACAATCTTGCCTTGACAATTCTCTTTCCCGTTCGCCTCGTCGCCTAAAGTGCAGGCCCTGAGCAGCTCTCACCGTGCAATCATGCCCACCCGCGCAGAAGCAAAAGAACATATCGATTCATTCTGGACGAGACGTCACATCGCCAGAGATGTCAGTGCCGTCGGTATCGAGAATGACATCAATCTTCGTGACCTTTCCAATGGACTGAAAATGTGGTCGCACATACCCTAACCCCAGAGACTCCTGCTAACCAAATTGCAGCCTTTCTGATGGCCTCTACGGTGATCTCACTCACTTTTTCTGGGAATTGCTCCAGAACGCGGATGACAGCAAATATCTTGCCACGCCTCGTGTCGACTTCGTCCTGACCAGCCATTCTCTGACTTACCAGACCAACGAAATCGGCTTCACCAGGGCTGATGTCGAGTCGCTGTGTGCGGTGGGCTACAGCTCAAAGGCTGGTCAGAATGACACGATTGGGGAAAAGGGCATTGGATTCAAGTCGATTTTCAAAATTGCAGATGTCGTCACAATTCACTCAGGTGTCTACTCTTTCCAACTAGATACACGACCTCCTCTTGGCAACGTCGGCATGGTTCTGCCCATTTGGCTTGACAAAACACCACAAGACTCCTCAAACACATCAATCGAGCTGCGTTTCAAGCCCGAAGTTGACGTGTTCAGGTTGCGCCAACATCTGGCCTCATTTGATTTCACCTTCCTACTGTTTACCCGAAATATCAAAGTGATCAATTTGAAGGTCTCAGTTGGACAGCCGTTTGAGAAGCTTGGACGGCTCCAAGACTTGGGACGTAATGGTAAAAGAATGGAGACAAGGATCGACGGCCGCCCTGATACGACGATGGACTATATCATATTTCAATACAGGTTCAAGGACATGCCTCCACGTCAACCTGGCGCCCAGGTTCAATCCGACAGCGATAGAACGACGATTGTGCTTGCTTTTCCACACCGCCATCACACACCGCTTGCCGAAGGCCAAAAGACCTATGCATACCTACCGGTGAATTCCTTTGGATTTAAGGTATGACCATTGCTGCTCTTGCGAAACGCTTTGATCCTAAGAGTGGCACAGTTTCTTATTCATGCTGATTTTGTCTTGACTGCCAATCGAAAAGGTATTGATAGCGACCGAGAATGGAATAAATCTCTCCAGAGCGGAATTGCCACGGCGCTCGGCCTTGCCTTTGAACAGTTGGCAACATCGGCACAATCTCAAATGAGGTTTGGTTGGCCCGAATATTTGGGCTCTCTGTGGTCTATTCACGACCCGTACATGAGAAAAATTGCTGATTCCACCATCCAACAACTGCGATCAAAGCTACTCGTTCGATCAGAGTTGCAAGACGGGGTTTTCCTGGTGCCTCAGGATTGTCTGACTGCATCAGATGAGTTTCGTGACGCCACTGGCGGACTTCTTATCACCGAGGGCACATACGCACAGCGGGTAAGATCGAATGCCTACTCTGACAACTCGGCAATGATCCTCCGTAAGCTAGGTGTCACTCCCTTCGACATCTCGCACTTCGTGGAGTTGCTGGATCAATACATATCAGCGCATATGGCAAGTTTCTCATCAAAGACAACGGAATGGCACTCCCGCGTCGCGAGACTGCTCTGCAATCATTTCTCGGTCAGACCATATCAGTCCTATTCACCCGTATTCGAGGCCTTCAAAGCTCTGCGGATCATCCCGCTGGATGACGGCTCATGGGCCTCTGGTGCTACTTGCGCAAATAAAAAGGTCCTTTTGGATCAAGGCCGCCGCATCGCCCTCCCCACTGGCCTCCAATTTTGCTTCGTCCAGGCGTCAGCTGCCGATGATCGCGACCGCAGACAGCTCTACCGACTGCTAGGCGTCAAACCATGTGATGAGACAGAGATATGCAAGATGATACTCGACTGCCATACAACAATGGTAGTTTGGCCATCTTTGAAAACCCTCATCTCGCATGCAGTGTACATCTTTCGCGCTCGCTATCAACCTCAATATGGCCAACCACTCCGCTTACGCCTCGTTGACTCCAATCTTACTTGTCGATACCGGGAAAGAGTCCATCTTCCTTTTGGGACACCAGGAAAATCTCTCAGACGGCTTTTTGCAGACGACTTTTCCGGTATCATTTGGCTACATCCAGACTACGAAGGGGGAGTAAAGGAAGGCGAGAGACAAAACTGGTCCCAATTCTTGTGCTCCGTAGAAGAAGTGTACCAGTTGCCTCCTCTTAATTCAGGTGGACGACTCTCTGGTGCAATGTGGCATATCCTGACGAGAAATGGATCCAAGGAATTTCTCTGGCTCCTGAAGTCGCAATATCGTTGGGGCTATGGTGATACGTTTGGAGGCCAAACACTTACAATGGATATCAGCAACATCGAGGTAAGCACCGATCAAGGCGTGCAGAAACTGTGCGAGACAACCTTGCCGTCGTTGTCGTCTGTCAGCCTGGGTCTTCTCCCTGTTCTACAGCTGGTTGATCCACAAGACACGGACTGGAGCTTTCTCCGCAAATTTGGAGTACAGACTGAGCTCTCGCCGGAATTTTTTGTGAAACAGCTCCGGGCTTTGAAAGCAAGCAATGACCAGGGACGAGTGATGGCGACGGCTAAAACTGTTTACAAAGCCATGGCAGCATATCCGGCCTTGGACAGCTCAAAATTGTGAGTTCAACGCTCCTATGGATGCAGTAGCTTCTGACAGCGATGAACCAGGGCGAGTTTCCGGACTGAAAATCTGATATGCGTGGCCCCCGGAGGGTGGTTTCGGCCAGAGGAGTGTGTCTGGAGGGCCTCATTTCCTTGCACGAAGGCGCCTGTTCTCTCCAAACTCTATCGCGGGTGCGAAACTCTTTTTCAGACCCTATTGAAGGTAAGGGACGCAGGGCTTGACGATTTAATCTCGGAGCTTGAAGACATGGAGTCAACACGACAGCTTGACCAAACCGGCCTTTTACGCCAGAATATGTTGCCTGCTCTGGACTCCTTCCTCGGCAAGGCCTCCATATCAACAAGTCAAAGACAACGATTGCTTCCGCTTCACATTTTCCCAGTTACTCAAGGTGAATGTAATGATGCTACCCAAGCGGCACGGTTGCTCCGAGCCGGAGATACGTTCTGGATTGCGGACTTGAACTTTCTACGATTAAAGTTTGAGGGATTCTTGCCATTACTTGATGTCACTGGAAACCTCTTCAAATCATCAATGCAGAATGTTTTTAGCAAGTTGTCGATTGACTCCAAGCGTTTGTCTCAGAGCGTCCGGAAAGAAGAGAGTCAGCCCAACCAAGGTGAGATATCCGAAGTGGCAGATGCTGCGCTTAGCAATAGGCTCCGAAGGCAGAGTCGATACATCATTGGGTAAGTTATTTGTCCTCTCCACGTCACAGATTCATGTCTGACAGAAGCAAGCATTGTGTGTCATGAAAACAAACCGAATCAGCGAGCCGACCAGGTGACAGCAATGCTTAGCAACATAAGGGCTTTTCGAGTTCCAGACATAACTATCAGGCGATACGTTCTTGATGCCAGCACGAAGAGGTATGGCCGCGACGAGAAGGGAGAGGTTCTGTTGCTGGACGCAGATGCAGAGCTCCATGTTAAAATCCGGCGAGACTCAGAGCTCATGGACATCATCGTCCCATTATCAGAACGCTTCGCAGAACGCTTTGATTTGGGAAACGCCAGTCGCGAACTTCTTGTGAAAGTCCTCACAACGGAGAAAGTGGAGCAATTCATTGAAGGACTCGAAAGAGCAGGTATCAAGACCGATCCGACCGCCGTCGTCGAAGTCGTGGCTGAAGACGACCCGGCCGAAGATTCCGATGACGTTACCCTTGCTGAAGATCCCAACGACAGCCTCGGATTGGCCTTCCAACAATTGCAGATCGGCAATGAGAGGAGTGGTAGTGGTGCGGACGAAGAATCCTGGGGATCACAACCCCGCGGGCCATCACAAAGGCCCAGCTCACAGAGACGACAATTACGAAATGAGGCAGCAGTCTCCTCCCCGTTCTCATTGAAAAGACGGTTGAACCAGGCTGCCTCCAGTGAGGCAAGATCCGATGGGATTGCCACAGACGGGGAGACTGCTCCAGACGAGTATATTGCGCGCTTGACCGCAAGCCTGAGTAAGGCAAAGCTGTCTGACACGACTCATGATGTCTTCCGCGACCGGCTTGCACCTCCCCATGCTCCTTCGGGAGCAGAGCCCAGCCAATCTTCAGTGCCCGTCTTCGGCATGGCTACCGGCTTCGAATTCACTTTCAACTCACCTTCTCCCCAGCCTCGGGTGACCAAGCCAGATGCCGACATGAGCAGTTCATTGGGGGCAAATACGTCGGCAACGTCGCGCGTCATTGTCGACAACTCGTCAGAGGCCCAGGCAGACTTGGACGCGCCACAATCCTCTCCGAACCATGTACACGGGGCATTGGAAACCCCAACCAAGGCGTTTCGACAGTCGAATCATCCCTGGTCGTCTGGACGGCGTCACAGGAGCAGCTATGGTGGAAGCAGCTTTGTCGCTCAGCAATCGCCTGAAGACATGCCACATGAGATTGGATTTGCGGGAGAACACCTGGTGAGTATTTCTGACTACCTATGGCACCAAACCAGCTTTCTAACCGACGTGAAAATCAGGTTTACAAGTTTCTGGAAGACAAGCTGTCACCACTTTTCACGCCCGAGAACTGGACCAGTCGAGCTCGAACTAAAGCCTTTCCAAATCCATTCAGCGATGACTTTCGCGAGAAGGACTTTGCCGATTTCACCTACGTCGACACCGACGGACGCATGCGCATGTATCTGAGCGAACACGTCCCGAACTTTGAGAGTCCCACTGGTCAGGGGAACATCACCTACCACTTGGAAGTCAAATCTAGCCTGGGCGGCCTGCACACGCCGGCCCTCTTGAGTAATAACCAGATCTCCATGGCGAAGAAATGGTCTGGGAGATTCTCCACCCCGGCCACCCAAACCGACGTGTACATCCTGGTGAGAGTCTACGGGCTCGGGTCGGATCCTCCTCAACCGCAGTTGTGTCTTTTCCCTGATCCTTGGAATCTTATCTGCCAGGATTCTCTGCTTATCGAAGGCGAAGCGGGGATTTATGTACGACCGAAAGTCGGGAATTAGATTGGGCAGAAGTAGCGGACGGCGCATTTATTTCTGGGAGAGTTAACATAAAGCCGACCTTCTACACTGTCTTGGAACGAAGCGGCCAGACAAGAGAGCATCCAATGTATCCATCGAAGCCTCCCGATGAAGAGTTCGAGCACATCAAACGGAGCATCCGTAGATACGTCAAATACGAGGCTGAGAATCCCTGGACGCGCATCGGCGGAGTCTGGACCCAGCCAGCCAAAGCACTTGCACATGGCAGAACTACTCAACATCGGGAGCCGGGCCGCTATTGCCACCCACGATTGAAGGACCGGTCAAAGCAAGGAGTCTGGAGTGCATAAGGTGTAAGACTGTCCGCTAACTACAAACCGCAACAGCCCCGAGGAGTAGCTTTAGCCACCCTGGCCAGCTTTGCTCTCTTTGACAGTGTACGGATACGGATACGGATACGGATGGCCTGGTTTGGTGCCAATCCTTCCTAATCGGCCTTCAGCCAGGCCCAGACTCAGCGCCACTCACTGGCTTTGACGACTCGAAGCACCATCCAGAATCCACACCGAACCGAACCGAACCGTCGTCCGTGGAGAGGAAGATGTGCGGGGCGCTCAGCTCTAGTGCTTGGGCTGACCAGGGTCGACGACTCAGCTCTCGCTAATATACATCGATACCGCGTCAAGCACTAGGTTAGGGTGTGGCATGCATCGCCACTGTTTGGGCAGCCCATTCGACCACCTCACCACCTCACCAGCTGGACTGTCGTGATTGATGAATGCACGGTTGGGAAGTCCTGGTCACTAGCACTGGAACAGCCCATCTTCGCTCGACTTCTTGCTCGACTTCTGCCTCTCCTAATTCCTGGCTGGACATCCCTCCACCACGACCTCGAGGGCTCCCTTGCGCTCTTTGTCGCTTAGAGCTGGTGTGGTGTGGTGTCTCTCTTGTGTATCCGTACTCCGTATTTGGCTTTGGTGGCGCTTTGCAAGGGCTGTGGTTCGAGCATATGAGAATATGGGCACTTGAAGTGGCTGGCTGGCGACGCGATTCCGATTCATGGCAGCACCCCCTGGTTCTGGTTCTGGTTCTCAGCCGCACTCTACGCCCGAAAAGGCCATGGGTTCGCAAAGTCGATCTGTCGAAGCAGGAAGAGAGAGGCATCGCCACTCATGCAATGAATGGTCGGTCCTGCTCTCCCGTCTCTTGTCGTCCCAGGCGGGGCTTAGGGGCTGCCAGCGTGTTCTTCGCATGCCGTGGTCTGGCCCGACTTAGTCTGCATGATTGGCTCCCAGAGGTACAGAGTAAGTCTGCATGACTCCCAGAGGTACTAATACTTGAGGCTCTGTGCAGAGCTGAAGCCACGATTCTAGAGGCGGCCTTCTTCTCTGCGCCGAGGTTCAAGACACCATTGGAAATACATACATTGAGGCTCTGTTCAAGATACCATTGGAAGGACACCCAGGTCAATCTCCTCTTCTAATTTTCCATGACTTTCACTTTCGAGGCTGGTTACAGCACATCGACTCGGATCTGTGCTTTCTAGGCTGGTTACAGTACATCGACTGACATCTGAGCATTCTGCCAGGGTCTTGAGGCTGAACGTACAAATTCATGGCGGCGTCGACACCAGAACCTCATCAAGCGGAAGGGAGAGCGGATCCTGACGCCCCTCTCGAAGGAAAGCATGAGATTGCGCAACCTGTGTCTTCGGTGCCTCCTGTGCCTCCTGTGCCGACCGTGATGAACGACCACGACCACGACCACGACCACGACCACGACCACGGCGACAACCACAACCACAACCACGACCAGGATGGCCAGGATAACCAGGAATCCTCTCCAGGCTACACCTCGCCGTCTCATAACCAGCGACTTAGCCGTAAGCCTGTCCCCCTGGCTCCCAAGTCGACTCACAAATATGCCTGTACCACGACATCACAACCTCTTTCCGATCGAGATCGAACAGCACCGTCGCCATCGGGAGACCATTCAGCCTCGTCGTCCCGAAATATCTATTGGGTCCTCCCTACAACTGCGGCTGCATTTTTCCTGCTCGGACTGGGCGTGGCAATAGGCCATCACTTCTTCCTCCAGTCGCTGAACGACCAACCCGTGTCCAACCAGGTCTGGAACAATCGATACTCACTGGCCATGGCATTCGTGGTCAAGTTCTCGCTGGGCGCTGCCATCTCGCTGGCGTATGCGCAGCGACTGTGGTTCACGCTGCAGCAGACCAAGCCTGGTGTCACGGTCAGGGCGATCGACGCCTTGTTCGCCGTGCAGGAGTCACTGATCAAGTTACTCACCTGGGACCTATGGCGATCGGCCTTCCTGGCCACGCTGATGGCGATTGTGGTCTGGCTGTTGCCCTTGGTCGCGGTGGTGTCCCCCACGGCACTGTCTGTGGGCTCACTGGCCCGCTCGACCAGGAACGTGGACTGCATCGTGCCGACGCTCAACATGGCGGACCAAAGCTGGCAAGATTTCGGCACCGCGCTGTCGCTGTCGACGGTCTCCTACACGGGGGTCAGCTACACGCCTTCCATGACAGCTCGACGAATCGTCGGAGCCACCAGCCAAAGTGGCCAGCAGCTAGGATGGGCGTCTCCATGCGGGCCCAACTGCACATACACGGTCGGCTTCGTCGCTCCGTCCATCCGATGCACGCGGGCGCAGAACATCGACGATCCCGAAGCGCCTTGGACGTTGTCGAGGCCGTCGTATGCCACAGGCTCTTACTGGTTTGCCGGGTATGGCAGTGGCTCGAATTACAGTTTCGCAGATGAACAGACCTTCTATGACCCAGTCTACTCTGCCGGACTGAACCAAAACACCAGCCAATTCTGGGCCGGGGTGAGCAACGTCTTCGCGGCCGTGGCGTCGCCGACCGAGTCGGTCGAGCAGGGGCTCGATGTACACGCCTACTTCTGCGACTTCATGAACACCTCGTACCGTGTGCAGGTGAAGTACGCCAGTGGCCAACAGACGAACCAAGTGCTACATCAGCCACGTCAATCGGCTGGACATATCCTCTCAGGCGTGGAACAACCAAGGACCCAGCCATGCCGGCCAGCCGGACGCCGAGGGGATCAGGGCGGACCTCAGTCCCGCCGAGCTGGATGTTGCGTCGCTGTACCAGCTCCTGATCACCATGATCAACGGCACCATCTATCGCGATCCAAGACAGACGCTGACCGACCAGACCACCCTGTCGCTGGTCCCGACCCTGGTCACCCACTACAACGGCAGCACGGCCTACGGCCAGGCCGAACTGGCCATCCCGCACCTCGAGATCGGCCCTCTCATCGAGGCTCTGTCGCACAACATCTCCATCTCGCTGCTCTCCGAGCCGCGGCTGCAGGTCACCAACACCACCACCACGGCCTGCGACGTCAGCCGAACGCTCACGGTGTGGAAGTATGAGCCCTGGCCGTTGGTCGCGGCCTATGCTTCCGCGGTAGGACTGACGCTGCTGTGTCTGGCGGTCGGCGCTCATGCATTGCTCGCCACGGGCTTTGCGAGAGACAAGGCCTTCTCGTCGGTCGTGCGCACTACTAGGACGCCTGAGCTGGATATCATGGCTTCTCCGGCCGACTCGGGTGCTTTGCCACTTGCCAAAGAGGTCGAAAGGCTGAGTTTGAAACTGGTGACTGGGGAGGCGGGTGGTGTGGTGTTTCATTTGGAGGAGAGGATGAGTTCGATGTAAAGTAGTAAGGAGGGATAAGTTCGGCGTGAAGTGGTGAAGAGGATGAGTTCGATTTGAGGTGTGTCACGGTTGACCCAAACTGTTACACCACGACAGTCACCAAAAAGGACGAAGTACCTAATTCGCTCGTCAATTAGCCACTTGGCGTATATAACTGTCACAAGGTGGTGAGCTGGATGAGTTCGACGTGAGGTTGGTGAGGAGGGGATTGTCAAAGGTTGAAATATTCTCGGTCCCAATATATAGTCTGGGCTCCCCCCCATACCCCTTTGATAGCGAACATGGAACATTTCAACCTTTGACAAAGCGAAGGGTAAAATAAAGGCCAAAGTAGACCGTCTGGCTAGATGGACGGATTTGCAGAGATGGGAGATGGGAAGAATACCGCAGCTTGAATCCTCGAACATGTATTGTATAACTAACCAAGAAAAAGAAAGGAGTTGGGATCCCCAGCATACGTTTTGAGACCAACTTGAAAGGAATTCATCCATTCAGCCATTGTTTCTTCAAGCCGTATCGTTATCGTGGCAAGGTAAGGTGGACGACCGCACTGGCTTTTAGGTGGCTACCTAATCTGATGATCGAACTTTATTCAGCTACCATAACACTGATCGTTCAACTGCCAGATCACCAAAACACCCGAGGAAGGCACCGCCCAAATGCCAAGAATACAAGACCATTGACCCGAAACACGACCTGGACCAGAACATCAACATCAACAGGAGGCCGTAGAAGCATGATCATACCTAAGGTATCCACCAACACAAACATAAACACAAACAACATCGCAAACCCGCCCAGCCCCTGAGAGAAGAAGCTCAACCAACAAACATCACCGCAAACCCACCGGCCCCACGAGAGCAGAATCTCAACCAACACAAACCCACCGACCCACGAGAGCAGAAGCTCAACCGAAGAAAACGTAACGGATCAGGGGCATCTCGCATGGATTGCGCCGTAGAGCTAGCTGGTCGACCAGATTCGCCAGGCACCAATCGATGACCTCTGCACCACTACCTAAATCGAGTAGCACGAACCCCGATATTGTGACAGAACCAGGACTTGCACGAACCCTGATACCGTGACAGAATCAGAACTAGCACAACCCCAATACCGGACAGAACCAGAACTTGAGCATACCCCAATACCGGACAGAACCAGATACATCCTGTAGGACAGACGACCACATGCAGACCCCGGTGACCTACAGCAACCAGTCGCGGAGGCCGAGCCGAGACGGGACCGGTGTTCTGGGAAAGTGCGAGGCCAAAAAAGAGAGAGACCCAGACCCAAATTGTGTGTCTGGTGCGAGGCGAGAGACCTAGAATCAAACTGCGTCTTGCCGCTCACAGTTCCTGCAACCCAAAGACATTGTTGTCGCCGACAGAAGACGGGCTTGCCGCGTCAAGTTCGGCCCTCTCGTTCTCATCTTTGGCACTTTGGCTCTCCCAGATCTCAATCTCGATCTCGCCATCGGCCTCCTTATTGGCGGCAGCTTCAGTGGCGACAGAAACATCCTCATATTGTCTGCCGGAGCCAAAGGGTGATGCCGAGCTGAGGATCGCGCCTATGGATGGGACGTCGAGAGCTTCGATGGCCTTGGCTGTCAGAGACAGCGATGCAGAGGTTGAGGCAGGGGCTGGGACCGAGAAGGCAAAGTCCTGACCAGCCTCTAGTTCGGGTTCGGGTTCGGGGACGAGTTCCTGCTCCTGCTCCTGTACTTGGTCGAGTTCTTTCTCCTGCTCCTGTACTTGCTCGGCATCGTCATGAACAAGCACCACACTTGTTGCGTCAAGGCCTTCGGCGTAGAATTTCGCCGGGTTCAGGTCTGCCAATGGTTGTCGCTCGTCATCGATCATGGCATCAACATCTTTCGATTTGCCTGAAGCAGCCTTTGCCACAGCAGCGGCCGCCATCGATCTTGTCACGGGTGCCGACGGCTCATTTGGATCAACGTTTTCTTTGCCCCTGTCGAGCAGCTCGCCGGGGGATTTCGTGGCCTTGCCCTCGTCGTCACTGATGTCCAGCCCCGTGGCACTCTGTGTCATGGTCCATTCGTTCATGCGGTACTCCTGCACCTCTTGGGTCTCTTCAAAAATGTCGAAGAACCATGACTTCGGCTTCAGGTCTTCCAGTGTCCGTGCGTGGGTCTGGGTCTGTGTCGGGTTCTGGGCCTGGGCTTTGCGGGCTTGTGACTGGAGTCGGGATTTCTTGGTCCCGTTCAATGCTGCAGATATCGACAAGGCGGGAGACTGGTTGCTCAGAGGGAAGGCAGGTGGGTTGAAGCGTTTTCGGGTCTGCAAAAGGCCTGATCGTTTCCGCGTTGGGGACCGTCCTGCGGCTGCCACTGGGGCTGACGCCGGTGCGCTTGGAGAAGGCTTGATGCACGTGTCGAGACGCGGTGTGGGAGTGTCGAGACGGCGTGGGGTCGAAGAGATAGTGGTCACGTTCAAGCCAAACTGACAAGCCTTGGAAGCAGAGACATCGTCATCAAAGCCCGATCGCTTGCGTTTGTTCAGAGAATTCAGCATGTTGGGGTCGATGTTCTCGCTGTCGGATCCTGCCTCCGGGGAGACAGCGCGTCGTTTGAGGCATGGAGCGGAATTGGGTGTGATTGCTACACCAAGAGCCATGTCAGGGGTGAACTGAAGAAGAGGATGGCTCCAACGCAAAGGGGTCCCTACCATTTTGCCGGTTCTTCAAGCTTTGCATGCTTCGGATCTTGGACTCATTGAGAAGGCCGAACGGATGGCGAGTGGGCGTGCTGACTGGAGCTAGAGCTGCCATTGTGATTGTCTATTGATTCGAACCGGGGAGTTGGTTGTGAGTAGTTTACAAACCGTGGAGTTGGCTTGAGTTGTTTACGGTCTTATGGAACAGTGTGGTCTGTGGGAATAAGCCTCCAAGCTATGCAACTCGATTGAAGGTTATTGTTCAAGTGAAGGCTGTTTGGCCAGGCAACAGATGTTGTTTTCGTGACGTTCACGAAGCAGTTGAGTGAATGAGGGCGGAGGAACTCTACCAGGAGACTCTGAGGGGAGAAAACCAGAAAACCTGCCAACGAGGTAGGCAGAGGCAGGATGTATATGGTAGGGGCGGACTTGTGGGCGCTATGACCAAGCGGGCGCAGCGATGGCACGATGGGACGTCGTTCTGGACGCGGAGTCTGTGCTGGACGCGAGATCCCTGGCTGAAGGATGACAGCTCCAATGGATTGACGTGAAGAGAAGGAGGGATGCAGGGTAGACACCGCGCTCGGGCAGGCTACTGCAGGTGATGAGTAGGTGTGAAGCAGAGTAACGGTGGTTGAGGCGGCGATTGGGTCGTGAAGATGGTGTGGTGTGGTTGTGGGCTGTGGGCAGTGAAGCGCAGATTGTCGAGGGAAACGGAAACATTCAGGGTGCGAGGGAAGAGAAGAGACCGACGTTCGACGTTGAATCAAGACGCGGGACCCGACGCGTCAATCTCCACCTGACGCGTCGGGAAATGAACTGGCACGTCGACGCGTAAAGTGCGGAATAGCAGTGACAGGGACAGGACCATCACCATCTGGACTATCACTCTGGTTCTGGTGCGTAGAACCGAATGCTCGATTGCATTTACTGTCTGCATATGTAATATGTCGAGTTGAGATGCACACACTTCTTTCTACTCTACTCTACACATGCACTCCGAGTAGGAAAGGTCAGCCTCGCCTGCCCGGGACGCGCCTTAGCCCTCCCCTCCCCACCTGCTGACCGACTTGGCGACCGGTCTTGTCTCACCGTGTCTACCGAAGAGTCCGTTGTCTCCAATCAACGCGGTATTCGCCGATCATGATGATGTCGTAGCAGGTCACTTTGCAGGTCACGACCATCCTCGGCCATTGTGCCGACCCTCTGACAATCGTAGCGGCAATGATGGCGATGCTATGAGACTGTACCGACCCCCTGACAATCATGGCGGCAATGATGGCGATGCAACGAGACTTGACTGTACGGAGTACAAATCTCTGACTCGATCTATGTCTGGGTGACGGTCGAGGCTAGCCGCCACGATCCCCATGGCATGGGTCAAGAAGCAGGCGCAGGCTTCAAACAGTAACGGACTCCGAGTAAGTTCAAGTGTTTGAGTACATGGCGTAGAGGGGACGTCGAAGCCGCGGGTTGGTTTGCAACATATCGAAGCCCGCAAGTTGGTTTGCAACAAGTCGAAGCCGCAACTTGGTTTGCAATACGTCAAAGCCCCAAGTTGGTTTGCAATACGTCTTCCACCACGGCGTCACTGGCCCCAGCCACGCTCGACATCTTACTTCATGCACGCCAGAAACTGCAGCCTCAAGTGACCGAGACAATTGGCCTCCGGATCCAGAGACAGAAGCGTTGAACACGCAATCAAGCTCTTCTCTACACTGGGCGTCGCCTGGGGGCCTGAGGGCCTGTTGCGCTGGCAAGTTCTATCTCTATCTCAGCCGTGGCTATGTCCATGTCTATCTCGTTTCCTTTTCCAGACTGGCTGGCCTGCTCATAGACTATAGTTTCGCCTTCAGATCGCCCACGTCAATCAGATTCTCATCCTTTGCAAACCGATAATAATAGTCCAGACTCTGCGGGTTCAACAGCGTCCCAGATGGCTTGATGACTTTCCCCGACACAATTTGTTTCACCGGTAGTTCGACCTTCTTAAGGTTGACCGTGGTCTGGAGGTCACTTCAATTAGCATACACGTCTCTATATCTGCGTCTCTGCAACGGTGGCGGCAGCTCGAACTTACCGGGATCTCTTTCGTCTCAAACACAAACTTTGGCACATGTCGGGGACTCGTCGCTTTCCGGATCGCCTCCTTGACTTCTCTCACTAGCTGTGGCGTGAACTGATGGCCGGGTTGCATCAGCAAGAAGAGCATCACTCGCTCGTCCGGATCCTGTGGCCGCCTTTGCCCGACACAGATACTGTCGCTGATGCGATCGGCAAACTTGGCCTCGATGATGCTGTAGATCTCGGCGGAACCAAATCGGACGCCACTTGGATTGAGCACGCCGTCCGCACGGCCCAGGAAGAAGACCTGTTTCGTGACAGGATGGATCAGAATGAAATCCCCGTGCGTCCAGACATTGTCGAAACGCGCGAAATAGCTGTCAAAGTATTTTTGCGGCCCATTGTCTCCGTAGAATTTGATGGGCATGGTCGGGAACGCTTTGTCGGCAACCAACTCACCCGGCACACCGTCCGGGACCTCGACGCCTTTGATGCCTACGCCGCCCTCGATTGTCTGGTCGTATACCTTGACCGAGACGCCGAGATTACGAGACTGACATCCGCCGACATAGACCGGGACAATGGGGTTGCCGCACCCGAAGCAGCCAGCCAGATCCGTACCGCCCGAGATGTTGTCCAAGTGCACGGAAGGCGGGAACCCCTCGTCGTAGAACCATTCGAACAATTGGTCGGACAGTACCATACCGGTGCTCGTCACCACTTTGAGATGGCTAAGGTCTGTCACGTTCTTTGGCACGACGCTGTTCGACTGCAGCGTTTGCAAATACCGCGGACTGATGCCGAGATGCGTCACCTTCTCTTGACCCAGCAGTTTGATGAAGTTGGTGATATTGGGCGTGAACGGACTGCCGTCGTAGATGAGCATCCGGCATCCTACCAGTAGCGCCTGCACGCTGCTCATGTACATGATCCAGCCCGTCGTCGTGTACTGGAGCTGGGTCGATTCTGGGCCCATGGATCGATGGAGGGCGGCTTCCTTGTGAGCGTTGAGGACCACGCCGCCGATGGCGTGGACGATACATTTCGGTTGGCCCGTGGTGCCGGATGAATATACGACGAGGAATGGGTCAGAGAAGCTCGTCGGCTCGAATTCAAGGTCAGAAGATCGGGCTGCACTGATGAAGTCGGACCAGGTCTGCGCGCGAGGCACCGACGAGATATCGGCCGGAGAGTGGGCGAAGCGGACCTGTGAAACGATGCCCTCGAACTCGTCCACTCCGCCCATGCCGGCAATCACGTCCTTCATCTTGGGTCGTAGGTCGATCTTCTTTCCGTTGTACACGGCCCAGTCGTCCATGAAGAGATACTTCGGTCTGATCTGGGTCAGTCGGTCCAAGATGCCTTTGACGCCCATGTCGGTCGAACTGGAACTGAAGAGAGCGCCCAGAGTGGCAGTGGCCAAGAACACGACCAAGGTGTCGACGCTGGTGCTGGCGACCACGGCGATGCGGTCTCCCTTCTGAACGCCCCGGGCTCTCATCGCCTGCGACAGCTGGCCCACCCTCTGGCGAAGCTCCTTCCAGGAGACGTGGTGGATCGGTTCCAGGAAGCTCCCCTCTCGCACTTCGGTGCAGGCGATCTTGCCGTCTGCCTTGGCGGCGTCGATGACGGCGTGGCCGTTCTTGTCTCCAGAAAAGAGGATGTTCTGGGCAAAGTTCAACTTGACGCCGGGAAACCAGGCCGGCACCGAATCCATGCGGGCAGATTCGTCCACTACCACGTCCGGGATCGTCCCACTGTACACAACGGGAAAGTATTGTATCACATGGCGCCAGAAGTCGGAGCGGTGGTTGCAGGAATAGTCATACAGCGCGTCGTAGTTCTGCATTGAGGACGTCAGCTGGCTGTTTACAGATCCGCTCGCCTTGCTATTTTCGAGATACAGCAGAGCAGACGTCCCTGAGATTGTTGCCTTTCCTTTGGTTCATGGAAAGCTTGGAGGCTGCTGCCCGGCTGTACATGTACTGTACAATGATCAATCTCGCAAGTGGCACATACCTCGAACCTCTGTCCGGTGGCATGCTCCAAACTCGTCTTGAACTTCCACATCTCAGTGCTCTTTGGGTCGGGATGCTCCCATAGCTTTCGTGGTATGGGGTGTTCCTCAGCCATAGTGTCGCCCCTGGTTGCTGGCCCGGTGCTTGGTTTTATGTCTTGTTGTTGAAGTTATTTATGGTCGCGCAGAAAGCAAAGACTGTAGCAATCCCAATTCCGTGGAGATCGTGGTCGAAAGAAAAGCCGAGGATCTGTGGAATACGAACAGGCCCTCTTAGGAAACCCTGATATAAAATACTGCTATAGATATGACAAGAAGGACAAGTCTAAGGTTGACTGTTGCATTAACAATGGAACTGGGATTGTCGTGATAGTGATGACTGTCAAAGCCTCGTAGTAGTAGTGCCTTCGGTCATATCCGTATATAGTCGGTAATATACGTTCGAGACTGCGGATCAAGGGTGCCTCGGTATCTCGTTGCTCGTCAATGGTCATTGCTGTCCCGCACTTCCGTCCGAAACCTCGCAACGGGGTGGGGGGAGTTTGGAACCAACCAAACGATAACATATCCGTACGTCTCTCGTCAAACCAAACATGAGTGTTCCCTGCTCGTCGCCGACCGGTCAAGTGTTCCATCTTAAGTGCTTCCAGGCTTTCCTCAGTGGTATACTCCGTAGTGCGATTTTGAATCTTTCCAGCAAGAATAAGCTGAGACAGAATATCTGAAGCGAACTGAGGAGATTCTTTCGGCAAGAATACTGGAAGCATAGAACTTTTCCGACCCTCTTTCCTTGTCGCTGGCTGATCTTGTTCGGAGATTCTTCTTTAATATACGACGGAAGCATTGTTCGCCATCAGGACTGCCATCCTCCTTCTTCTCAGAGTAGGGTTGACAAGGGGGGTACCTGACTACTGTATACAGAAAAATAGTGGAGACTTGTAGATGAAGCTGGGGAATGCTTTCCAAAATTTTGACACTTCTGAGTTCATCACCCTGGACCTGCGTCTCATCCCCAATCAATGTGGGGACCGACAACGTGCGTGTGGTAGATGGAGTCTAGGTCATATAGGGTGTGTTGTCGTTATAAAAGTCGCCCAGGGCCATTTCCTTGTCCACTTGCCTCCATCGCCAATGCTAGCAGCAACTGGCTATGCAACAACTAATATAAGCGGCAATAAAACCAACGGCAATCACACCGCTAAGAATGATGAGGAGGTCAAAGACGATTCCCGCATAGTCGTATGTGGCCGGTATAAGAATCCTGATTCTGCGTATGAATATTGCACTCTTGCGGCCGAGGGGCACGTCTGGCAAGACCACACAATGGAGAGGTGAAAGCTCAAGCGAATCCCGAGAAGCTGGCCAGTTACGAAAAGGGTCCTCTTGTAAGATACCAAGCAGCTTTTGAAACGCAAGCGATAGAGGAATCGGTCTGAAGAGAATGATGCGTGAACAGACCCTCCAAATGCCGCTAAAATAAAAGGTCACCACAAGAGAGGCGATTTGAAAGACTTATAACTCCCAGAGGATCCTGTAACCCGACACGATAATCTGTGGATACCAAGGGTCGTAAGATGCAATGGGACAAGCTGAACGTTGGTTTCCACACGTAAGACGTACAGCAGGTTGGTGGTGGAGCGTTCCGCAGTTGTAACTCTTCATCGTTCTTGACCACCTTAAGTAGCACATCCAAGATTTGAAAGCAAGGTCCCTCTTGTTCGTAAAAGGTTATGTACATTGCCGCTAGAGTCCAGACGACAAGTTCAGGTTTGTAAAGTTTCTGTTCGGAGAAAGTTTCTTGTCTTCGAATCGCAATCTTTATAGCACCGTGGTTGGAAGCGCTTTTGCTTTATTCCAGCGAAGCCGCAGCGATCACCTCTGGATCGACTGATGCATCTTTTCTCCTGCGTTCGACCGGGGTATCTCGCACCTCCACACCTGGTCCCATTGAATGAGAGCTTCGATGACGAGGCCACACCTGCAATGCGAGACATTAGTGCCAGATACACAGGAATCAAAAATCATCAAATGAACAAATGTGTTGGGGGTTGTTCGCTCTCACATTGGTTCCACTCCATCCAAGCCGGAAAGCGAACTCATGAGCCAGGAGCTCACCGAAGCCTAACATCATGCCGTTCACAAAAGGCAAAAGGAGATTAATGGCAGCTCCTCTTAAAATACCCCAGATTGTGGGAGGCTGGTATATTATGACAGGGTGAGTGCCATTGTTATCGGAAGATTGAGGCGGCGAAGAAGAAGGCGGAGATAACGAGGAGTATGGTTCAGAATCGGAAGGAATGGTCAACTGAGACCCAGAGAGATCGTGAGGTGATGAGGGAGATTGATCGGATCGTGAAGCCATGGCCGAGGTAGAGGACTATGTTGAACTGAATCTCCAGCTTCGGAAAGGTGTTGGGGGGCGGTCAGGGAAATGGCACAAGCCCATGCATTTTAGGGAAATACAATACCACTAAAGAAAGTGTCAAGAAAAGGTAGAAATCCCTGAAGTGAGCAGCGTGAAGTTCTAGGATGTGAGAGACTTCAATCGACGGTCTTGTTGTAGCAGTGATGAGCGAGCGGGACAATTCACCATGTTTAGCCTGCAACTGGCAATTGTGATTTCTTTGGGCTCCAGGCACAATTCCGGCCCGCCACCAATCACAGAAAGATTACATAAGAATAACAGGCTCCTCAGGCCTCTCTGGAGTGACGTACCGCGACTAGTAACACATCCCTAGAACCTAGAAGCAGCCAGACCTTCAGCTCAGCCGCCAAATCACTACTGGACACTCTCTTCGTTGTTCACGACATTTCGCCCTGTTGATCTCGGTGCTGTCGCATCTCTTATGAACTCGGTCCCGTTGGAAGATTTACTGAGACGAGTCTCACTGATTTATACCTTCCCTGAACGTTGAAGATTTCTTCCTCCCTCCAATCCCTTTCTCCGCCCCATCACCAACACCTTTCATCATGGCCGATGCTCCAGACCAGGATACGCTAATTGCACAATTTTCCACGATTGTTGGAACATCTCCTGGACAGGTCTGGATGCCGCCATCACCCTCGTCCTGTCGGAGCTAACCATTTCAGTAGGCTCGCCAATTCCTCGCTGCAAACGACTGGAATCTCGAAACTGCCCTCGCAACCTATTATGCCGCCCAAGATGACCATGTCGAAGATCCAGATGATGACTCGGACTATATCGACGACGATGAACCAGCCACATCCAACCAGTCTCACCCACAGTACGGTAGTGGTCGAAGATTAGGGGAAGGCCCATCAGATCCCCAACCAATCCCTGTTGCTCCTATTTCAGCGTCCTCGTCCTCACAGCCGAAAAAAGAATCATCTGCACAGAAGAAGAAGTTTGCTACATTGGGTGACTTTGGGTCAAGCGGTGCAAATGGGGGTGACTCTGATGACGATGAAAAGCACGACCTTTTCGCCGGAGGGGAAAAGTCTGGTCTTGCGGTGCAGAATCCGGATGATTTGAAGAAGAGGATTTTAGAAAAGGCTCAAAAAACTGGCCCGCCGCCGAAAGACACGCCAGCCAAGAAGTCTTACTTCACTGGCTCTGCGCGCACATTGGGGGGTGATGACGCGCCCTCGCGAGAGATTCCTGCACCCCCTCAGCCTAGAGGCAGAGCGGAGCGTGTCGAGCGTACTTTGCACTTCTGGCAAGATGGGTTCAGCGTTGATGACGGAGATCTGTATAGGATTGATGATCCCCGAAACGCCGAGATTCTCAATCTGATCCGACAGGGACGGGCGCCATTGAACATTATGAATGTCCAGCCGGGACAAGAAGTGGACGTCGAAATCAAACAACATGACGAGAAGTATGTCAAGCCGAAGAGGAAGTCCCGACCGTTTGATGGATCAGGCCATCGGTTGGGCAGTCCGACTCCTGGAGTGCAATCCATGCCTGGCACCTTCGCCAAAGAACCCGCCACACCAGCTGCGCCGGCCTCTCCTACAGTTGACATCGACGAAACGAAGCCCACAGTGACGTTAAGAATCAGCTTAGGATCAGGCACGCGACTAACGTCTCGATTCAACACGACTCAGACCATTGGGGACGTTTACGACTTTGTGCGACGGGCCGAGCCAACTGGCAGGGACTTTGTGCTGCAGACTACATTCCCCAGCACTGAGCTGACAGACAAGACAAAGATTCTTGGGGACATGGCAGAGTTCAAGAGAGGAGGTTCTGTGGTTCAAAAATACATCTGAAGCCCGGTGAAAGGCATTGATTGCACTCGATGGCGTACCCACATGGCGGAGGGTTCTGTGGTGTCGAGTTACATTTCTCTTGGGGCAGAGATCAAAGTCTATTGATACAGCAGCAGGACTTGATTAGACTTGAACTAAAAAGTACTCCGGAATCAGAAGAGTAGAACTAGATTCTGTACGATTGCTTGAATTCCTCAGCGCAACATTGCTGGTGATCGGCGTGTTGCTCGTGCCAGCGAGAGAGACACTCGGCGCACCTTCCCCATCAGAACGCGGCGATATATTTTCCTACCCGGATTCAAGCTTCACCTTCAACGCTCGCAGGGCACTCCGGAATACCGCGCTCTGTGTCGTGCCCCAAATGTCGTTATCCCAAGGACTGAGGTGGTCCGGTCGAGGCATAGGCAATGGTGGCCAGAAATTGGGTTTGGCTGCGCGAGATGTGCGACACGTAGGTTGTTTCAATTGTGCTCAATGAGCCCGACACTAATCGATCAGTTCACTTTCCAAGCTTCCCGAGTCGCACGTCCTACTGCCAGACAGACGCAAAGGCCGGCCGTCACAGGTCTAAGGACCTTGCAGCAGTCCCGCTCACTATCATTATTCGGTTGGGGAGGCAAGGGCAATACTGAAGGTTCCACGGCGACACCCCCGTCTACGACCGAGGCTACGAGTTCGTCGCAGACTGTCGTCGAGTCTGCCCGGAGTGTGAAAGCGTCCCATGCGACTTCAGATGCACCCGATCTCACCTTTTCTCATCCTCATCCAGTCAGCGACGCCGAGCCAGAAGCTCTGAGAAACTTGGAAAATTCAATCCTCAAGCCCCATGGCACTGCACCACCTACAAGCGAGATATCTGAGACTCCTGATCTGGCTTCGATTCCGGAAGGGCTTGGATACCTGAAAGATGCGTGTGGTTTGGACTTCGGATGGGGCCCCACGGCCATGATGGAGGTCTTACTGGAGCACCTTCACATCACCGCTGGGTTATCTTGGTCCGCATCAATTATAGGGCTTGCTCTCCTGGTCCGTCTGGTCTGCGTTCCAACCATAATTTCTGGGAGTGATCAGTCTGCGAAGTTGAGAGAAGTGCAAGGGGTGGTCGCGCCACTGCGTGCCGAACTCCAAGAGGCTCTCCGGTCAAACAATCGGCAGGTGGCGATGGAGAAACAAGTCGCCTTGAGGGCCATCAACCAGGACTACGGTATCTCCCTCCCTAAAGCATTTGCTGGAGTCCTTTTACAGATCCCCTTGGGATTTGGAGCCTTCCGTCTTCTGCGCAATGCTGGAACCCTCCCTGTCCCCGGGCTCGAAGCTGAGCAGTTTCTCTGGCTGACGAGCCTCTCAATGGGTGATCCAACCTACTTATTGCCTGGTATGATCGGAGTCATGACCTACTTCAACTTCAAAGTCAGTATGAGGGCATCTACCGCGGGGAATGTGGCACGGATCGCTCTGCCAGTGGTACCGGTTGTCTCATTTGTTTGTCTTGCGTTTCAGCCGGCTGCGGTGCAGATCTACTTCCTGGTCAATGGCATTTTTACTCAGATCCAGTCGTTGTTGTTGTTCAACCCGAGGGTCAGACAATGGATGAATCTGACCGCGCTCCCGGAGCCGGGCAACCCTGCCTCGCCCACGAGCTTTTCTAAGATGAATGTTGTGAATGTTGAAGATAGACCTTTGACAGTTGCAACGCCTCCTCCGGCGAGGCCAACGACGGACCGCAGTATCATCGACAAGGGTGTTGATCTTGTCAAAGAAAGGGGACAAGAGGCATGGAAGAGCACGGTTGGCAACATGTCTGAGGCATGGCAGAAGGAAAGGTTGAAGAAGATTGAACAGGAAAAACGGGCGAAACGCGCGGCCACGGTGGCCAAGTACGAGGCTCAACGAAGACAAGACCTGGAAGAGCAGAGATTCCATCGGAATGCCGGGGCCGTTGGACCCATGCGCATTAACAGAAAGTCGGAGGCGCCATTGGCTTCCAGACGACAAGAGGAGAATTGAACTTTAGTCTGATCGGATTTGACCACCATACACATCCCTCTCCGGCGATGCCATGTCAACTGAAGGACACGATACAGTTTGATGGCTGTATTGAAGCAGTTGCAGCCAATGCAACGTATCCGAGCCGGGTTGCGGCAGCACCATCAATGAGAAGTTGGAGAGACTTTGAGCTTCTGGGCCTGTCAGCCACCAAGCGCGAACTGCATGCCACAACATCTGAAGTCACCTAACCGAGAGGCTGGTTTGAAACTCGAAACATGATGGAGAAATATTGCCGTCTGTATCATGCTGTGATGGGTGACTGCTGCGGTCTTGTATGGGCGGGAACGTGGACGTGGACGTGGACGTGGACGTGGACGTGGATGTGGATGTGGATGCGGTCGTGGTCGTGGATGGTGCTGACTGGCCATCGACAGATGACAGATGACAGTAGATGGCCCTGGCCTAGACGATCTCGTGCGAGAAGATTCTTTCTTCTTTTGCAGACTCTTCAAGAGCCAAGGGTAGTGGACTGGAGGTGGAATCCCCGCTCCTCCTGTCTGAGCCATGTATTATATGCTACACTATTCTAGGATTCAAGATCCAGATTGAATGTACAAGGTCATATCGAGTTTCTTGACGGTTAGGGTGACTAGTGATTGAGCTCTATTATGTATCATGTAGGGCCAGCCAACCTCAAACTACCTAAAGCTTACGAGTATACTGTACTGTAAGTTAGCTTCGGCTTGTAAACAGTTCTATAAGTAACGCTTTCTCAGCATGCCATCACCTTCGCACTACGTTAATTATATAAGTGAGTATATAGGTGTGAGTATATATATATGTATATATATATGTGTGTGTGTATGTGTGTGTGTGTGTGTATATATGTGTGTGTATATATGTGTGTGTGTGTGTGTGTGTGTATAGCTATGTCTCTATCTCTATCTTTTTCTAAGTCTATATCTATGTATATACAATGTGCTGACAGCCAGAGCAGAGGACCAGAGTAGAGGACTAGAGGGAACTCGATTCCTTTAATTTTCATCTATTTCTTCCTCCTTCGCTGGCCGTTTGCTTCGTCCACATAAATCTAATAGTTGTAATTAGGTACAGGTACAGGTACAGTGATAGAACGCTGCATATCATTCCCTCCCTCCCTCCTCCGTCCGTCACTCCCTCGCTCGCCTGAAAGCAGCGTCTCCTTCGCCAATCTATGCTATGTATAGTATAGTCTTATGACAACCCAGTGACTCGACCGAACGGAACGCCTGTCGCTTGACAATGCTATCTGCTGCCTGCAGAAGGAAGGAACAAAACCTCAGTCTCGGTCTCATCCTCGTTCTCGTCCTCGGTCTCATCCTCATCCTCAACCTCAGTCTCAGTCGCAGTCTCGTCTCGTGCTCGTTCTCGTCTCGCGGAAACTATAGGATACAGTGGTGCCGACGTCAAATCCGATCGGTCGAATCGGTCGAATCAGGTTAGATTGGGTTGTTTCGTCCGGTTCAGAGTGTAGCTTTCGCCCACTTCTTTCCTAGGTGTGGGTTGAATGTTGCATGTTTGCGTATCGTATCCAGAGACCTCGTGCGGATCGATGGTACGCCTGACCCGGTTCGGCTGGGGATAGTTCAAGTTCAATCGAGAGGACGGACCGCGGTCGCTCTCCGACATTTACCATGCGGTGTAACCGCCATCGATGACGAGCTGGGGCCAATGGGTGAGAATGTCTTCAGACAGTACGGGACAGTAGGCTGTAAAGCAGCAAGTAGGAAGCCACAAAAAGCGAGCAGCAAGAAGCAAGAAGCGAGCTTACCTGTGACCCAGTCATGAAAGAGCTCGCGTCACTCAGAGCAAATAGAGCGGCTCCTCGATATTCGTGCGGGTGGGATAGACGGCCGAGCTGGAAATGGAAATGTTCGTCAGTCATCTCTCGCAGATTCAGATTGCCTATGAATGACATTGATGATAGATGTAGAATGCTAAAGTAAAGGAAACAGGGAAAACGGAAATGGAAAAGGAAAGAAAGAGGCAGAACCAGAGCAGAGCCAGAGCCAGAGCCAGAGCCAGAGCCAGAATCGGACTTACCATATTCCCCTGCTCCCATGCTGCTTTCAGTTTCGGGTCGTCTTCGAAATTCTTCAACACCATAGGCGTGATGATGTTGCCTGGAGGGAAAGCGAGAGAGAGTTAGCGACTAGAACAAGGACTAGGATAAGGACCAAACCCAAGCCCAAACCCAGTCAAGGTCGACGACGCCAGATCATTAATGCCGTAGTCATCGTGGCAGTGGTAGCAGGACCGGGAGCATCGTGGCAGTGGAAGCAGGACCGAACATGACATACCAGGACACAATGCATTAACTCGAATGGGTTTACCATTGACGATCTTCGCCCATTCCATGGCCAGGCTTCGGGACAACTGACACACAGCGGCCTTTGACGAATTGTACACGGACGAAGTCAGGCGGCGATTGGCGACCAGGCCGCTCATGCTGGCGACCAGCAAGATGGAGCCGGCGCAGTCGTACTTGATCATCTGGCGGGCGCAACTGACGGCGGTGCAGTAGACGCCCTTGTAGTTGATGTCCAGCATCTCCATGATCTTGTCGGCCGGATAGTCGAGCGCGGGCGTGACGTTCTGCACCGCGGCGGCGGTGACGCAGCCGTCCATGCGGCCATGTCGTTGGGCAATGCGGGCCACCACGCGGTCCACGTCGTCGGCCTGCCGCACGTCGATTCGGTCGTAGAGCAGTTCGCCGCCGTATTTGGGTCCCAGCCGGGTTTGAACGTCACGGAACTCGTCGTCAGGCTCCGGGAGCCGGTCCAGACAGTACACTAGACTCACGGGTGTTAATGCTAATTAGATCACGTCACGGGTGGTTTAGATGAGACTGTGTTACGGCAGGTGGCAGGTGGGAGGTATCAGGTATCATGTGAAAGATATCAGGTCTCAGGTGAAAGGTGTGTGGGACAAGTACTATAAGCCGCCACAGACGACAAGTGATAGGGGTCCAAGTAACAATCCAACATACCTTTGGCGCCAGCCTCGACCAGTGCCTCGGCCAAAGTCAAGCCAAGTCCACGGCCGCCACCGGTGACGACAAAGACCTTGTCTTGCAGGTCGAACTCGCTGAGCCGCAGCGGCGCCCGTTGAGGATCAGGCAGCTTTTCTTGGATGGTCGGCGCGTCCGCCGTGCCGTCCCGATCTCTGGACATGTGTCGGGTCTGGTGGTGGACGGCCGGCGGCACTGGCGAGAACGGAGAAGATGGTCGGGATATCGAGCGAAGCGCCGGAAGACATCTCCATCCCCGGAACACGGTCCCCTGTAGGGAAGTCCGGACAAGGTTCAACGGCATGGTTGATTCGGGAAGTGAGATGCCTCGGGACTGCTGCGATTCGACGGCACCACGACAAGGCAGATGCAGACGCGGGAAGTCAACAGGGCCAGATGCTGCTAGCGGCGTATTACCAATCAACGTGAGACCAGGGTTGCGAGGTTGGTGTATGTGTATGTGTCTGTGTCTGCGTATCTGTATCCGTATCCTGTGCCGCGTGTAGGGATCTGTCTAGGTGTATAAGGGTTAGGGCTATGCAGCTCGAAGATGACTTGGTTCTGTACAGTATGTGGCCAACGATCGTCAGGAGGAGAATGCCAGGTTGGTACGAGTAGAGAACAGATTGCAGCGGTTGAGGCTGGATGTTGGGATTGGGATCAGTTTCCTTTTCCTTGTTGCAACGATTGAATATAGTCAGTATACTTTAGCTCAGGTGCTGTAGAGGGCAGAGAGTAGGTATGATGTAGTAGGCCATGATACTCGTACTGTATGATGCTATAGCCGTAGCTGTTGGATATTAAGTGGCTACCACTCGCCTGCCATGGCCATGTCGTGTCTCGCCTGTCGGCCTTGCCTGCCTTGGCCTGCGACACTGCACGACCAGGATGACGTGGTGGTCGACGCCAGCATCAGATCAGGGCGGATCTACGGTGTTGATCATTCAACAGTCAATCAGCCTGTTGCAAGTTAATGCCGGAGATGGCAGGAATTAATATTAGTACGGATGTGATGAGGGTCGGATCTGGCTGGGTGGATGGATGGAGGGGCAGCAGGTAGCGAAGGGGGGCTCCTAAGGCCTAGGGGTGGCACGGAGGCATCTCGACCACGCCACAGATCGGCCCTGAAGATGTCACTGTGGCTGAGGCTTGTTATAGGTTATAGGCACTCTGGATGTCCGACTGTACTTCCGTAGGTGCCTGGCAGCCTGCAGGTCATAGGCGTGGTACCTAAGAGGAGGTGGTACGTGGGCAGTGGGCAGGGGGACTGGGCTCCCAAGGCTCCTAAGGCTTAGGCTCAGTACTAAGTGGCCCCCCGACGTCACAGTCCAGCTCCGGCTCCATCCCGATTTGTTTGCATTTGCCGTCGCTCCGTCGCGCCTATCGGAGGATTTGTGGCTGCCACGCTCCTCCTCTCTCCTCACTGGCACTGCACTGCACACTGCGCACTGCAGCATTGATTGCCTGCAGTGGCACAACCCCTGGAATCCCCCATCCCCCATCTGAGGGACGCCGACTGCCACTCAAGCCGACCCGGATCCGCGGGTCAACTGCTTGGTGACACGGATACAATACCCGGCTCCCAACGCGGTCAGAATGTGCCACCAGCCGTGCAGCTCCAGGGCAAACGCCCAAGGCAGGCCAATACTGTTCCTGGCATCTCGCAGCCAGCCACAGGCAGCTCCGTCGATCAGCCAGACCACGAAGCCGGCCAGGAAACATAGGCCGCCCACGCGAAACCGCCCGAGCCAGTACTGCTTCTCCGGGCCTTGGAAGCGACGGTGGATGAGAAAGAGCACGCGCGGCCAGATGGCCGTCACCAGCAGAATGAAGGTCGTGTTGTGAAGCCACAGCTGGTACATCTTGTAGTGCGCCGCGCTGATGACGCTCAGTACCACGGTCAAGGTCGATCCAAACAGCAGCCGGGCCGTGGGCGACTGGTCGATCGTGTACAGTTCATAGATGATGGCCGCGCACACCCAGAACATCGAGAGGTCGTCACAGATCTGCGTGCTATATTTCAGCGTCAAGTGGTACGCGAACGAGGTCACGCCCACGAAGAAGAGCGCGACGTTGGGAAACGCCGTGCTCGACCACAGCCGTTCCCCTGGCGAAAGCGTCTTGAATGCCCAGTACACTGTAGGGAGTTGCGATATTGCTCGTCAGCTTACATGTCTTGAAGGAGGGAAACAAGTTTGCGAGTCTCCATGGCTGGAAGCCGGGAGCGAATGGCGAATGGCGAATGACAAGGAAGGGTCTTTACCGTATGCTAGGTTGGTGAAGCTGTTGACCACCTCGGCGACCCAGTAGGTGACGCCGTAGTCTTCTTCACAGAAACTAAGGAGAAAAATCGCCCCCACGGTTAGCACATTTGGACTTGCAGCCTTGGGCTTCATGGAAGGGAGGAATTCTTGATCATCATCATAGACGATGAACGAGTTGAGTGTGTTACTGACTTGGCCACCGACGTCGGCGGTCCCCAGTAGCCGTGAGATGCATGAGGATCGCCCGCGAAATTACGCTCTATGTGAACCATGGTGGGCCTCTATCGCAGAAGATGTCAATGTCAATGTCGTCGTAGAGGTAGAGAATCGTTGTGTCCTCCAAAAAGAAGCCCTGCGTATTCGGTAGTTGCACGTGAATGAATGGAATGGATGTGAATGGACGTTGCGATGTGTTCTTGGTGCCTCGAAAGAGAAGATCTTGAAGATCCGGTAAAACCCGACGACAGCTCGAAAGGGTCGGCCGGGGAGAGAGAGCTAGACAGATGTTTAGGGTCAGGGTTGGCAGGTCGTTGTCGGTATGCTATAATTAGTACTAGCAACGAGGAAAGGAATGTCCGCAGCCCGATAGAGAGGAGAGCGAGAGAGGGAGCGAGGGAGGTAGGTAGGTGGTACCCGGCACTTGAGGTTCAATGGTTGTTACTGGACTGTAAATAATGCTGCCTGCCTGCGGTGTCTGCGGAGTACTGTATGCACTGTATGCAATACTAATGCAGACGCGTACTCCATAATGACACGTAAGTGACACGTATCTCGTATCAATGCCAGCATGGGTAATCCCTCACTACAACCCTCACTGCAACCCTTACCTTTCCATTGTCCGTGCCATCAGGTCATTCCAGCATCAGCATAACCCTCAACCCACATACCTTGGACTCGGCGGGCGGAAACGGCGACAGGAAATCATGCAGTGAGCACCATCCGGGCGGTCGGTCTGGAACAACTCGACGTCGTGCTGAAGACAAGGGCTTAGGCTTGTCTTTGGTCCCAGTGGTGGTGTCGCTGCTGCTGACCGATCTCTATGTGTAGGACTTGATGTGCCTTGATATCCAGCCCACCACCTTTTGATCCGTTTTCCTCCGCACTTCAGGGTCTAAGAAGGACGAGCCGAGGGCATAAACATGTAGTTGGCCCCATTCGACGACGAGTTCATGCTCGACGCCTGCCTTCAGACACAGGGCGGCCCAGTCCTTGGATTCTTGAAGAGTGAATTCAGCGGCGCCGACTAGAACCAGTTGCGGATTGAGATAGCGCAGACTCTCTGGTGTGCGATACAGAGGATTGACGTCTGGTGAGTCGCCTTTGTGTTGGGACTGGCCTTGGCCCAGAAACATTCGAACAAACATGGGAACCGAAGTGTTGGCGGTGGCGACGTAGTCGGTCTCGACGAGCGCGTTTCCCCCTTGAAATGACCTCAATGACATATCCATCCATGGGGAGATCAGAATGCTCGCAGCAGGTTGTGGCAGTCCTTGTTTCTCGGCTTCCAGTGCCGACAGGATGCAGAGTCCGCCTAGGTTCAAAATCAGATGAGTGAGCATATTCATATTCGACATAGGCAACCAGAAGAAACCTATAGCACATACCTCCCGCGGAGTCGCCCATGAAGACGATGCTTTCTGGGGACACTCCGACCTCGAGAAGATGACGGTAAGCTTTGATGAAGCTATCTCGCTGAGCAGGATGCGGTGCTTCGGACGTCAACGCTGGAGGGGTTGGATGGTTAGCGAAAAGAGACCGTCTCTTCGAATGGTACCAGTCACTTGAGGGACATTCAAAAGCTTACGGTATTCCACACTGAGGAAGAGCAGGAGAATTCCTTGTTCCGCGGCACATGCAACCCAGCGTTCCATGTAGGGAATATACATTCTGGCCTCTCCTCGAGCATATCCACCGCCATGGGCGTAGAGCACTACACATCTGCTGCCATCTGGCGGGGTCTGGGTGAATGGGCGGAGATCCTGATCGTGGTGTCCGGGGATCAAGTAGCCCGTCCACCCGTTGCCGTTGCCGTTGCCGTTGCCCACCCTTTGGGCCCTCTGCTCGGACGTGGTGACCGGGAGTCGGTGAACAAGCTCGGGATAGGTGAGGCTGGCAGAAGACAAGTACGCTCGCTGGACCTGGAGACGCAGACTCTGGTAGATGGGAAAGTGAGGCAGAAGAAGACGCTTCAGAAGAACCAGCACCACTTGAGCAATGAAGACGTACAGGAAGGCACAGGTTTGGAATGGAGCACGAAGCAACACGACCAGAAGGTGTGCCATTCTTGGGCCACGGCACTGTACACTGTCCGGAGACGCCGCGAGTGCGATGAGTTGTCAACCAGAAAGGAAGCTAGGAGAATATAGGAATATGGAATATGGAACATGGGCCATAGAAACATCCGAGTAGGAATATCCGAGAACAAGTATGATTTGCCATACATACACCGAATGTACTGGACTACAATCACACCCGCCGTCCTACGTCTTTTGACCATTGGCATTGGCGACTTACATATCCGGTATGCTCGATGTATTGCTACATACTACCTACTACCTAGGTAGTAGGTACATACTTCGGCGAACATACAGTACGGATTCAATTCTCGGCGCCACGCCCGAACAGCCCTCGGTCTTCATGGAGGAGGGTTTAATCTGCTTCGGCGGCCCTCAGGGAGGTCAAGGCCGAGATTCCAACCTCGCACCAACTTTTCGCTCGGTCGGTCATGGTCATGCTGCACAATACGCAGCAAGTGCCCCCCGCAATTCGAGTGTGTATCCCCCGTCTCTACCCCAGAAACTGCAACCGTTCCCCGGACTTTGCATATGATATCTACGCCGGCGCTCGGTGCCAGGCACCAGGGGCCAGAATACATAAAAGCCGGTCCGCTGCATGGCCGTGAGAGTGAGATATGCTTGCAACGGCCCCCTTTCTTCTTCCGTACGTGCTGTGAATACACCACTGGTCCTACAGTATACTTGTCTGTGCAAACAAGAACAAGAACCAAAATTTTGTCAGACAGATAACCCTCCCCCACTGGTGCCACCGGAATGGCAATCCTAGAGTCGGATGCCAACAACTTCGAGCAGCGTCGCCATTTCAAGCTCTACAATGTCTTCATCTGCATGTTCATGGGCCTCGCCGGCACTGCGTATGGAACGACGGCCTCGGTGATCGGGACGACGCTCGGGCAGCCGTCTTTTTTCAAGGCCATGGGTCTCAATGCCTCCAACGAAGCCAGCTTGACCGGCGCCATGAACAGCCTCTACTATGCTGGAGGCGTGTTCGGAGCAGTTTGTCACGGCTGGATGGCCGACCGGTTCGGGCGCAAGATTGACATCTTCGCCGGGGCCACTATGATTGTGGTTTCCCAAGCTCTTATTGCTGGATCGGTCAATCCGGCCATGTTCATCGTCTTTCGCTTCTTCTGTGGTTGGGGGTATGTCTAATGTCTGATGTCTCCCAAAGCCCCAGTCCCAGCCCAAGCCCAAGCCCCAGCCCATGTCGCTGCTGACAACTGACAATTGGACCAGCGGCTTCCAGTGCGCGGCAGGCGTTCCTCTCTGGATGGCAGAGGTCGTTCCTCCAGGCCATCGTGGCATGCTCAGCGATCTATGTTCGATCATGATTACGCTCGGGTAAGAACTCCCAGGTTTCTTCATTCCCAGGTTTCTTCATTCCCAGGGTTCTTCATTCCCAGGGTTCTTCATTCCCAGGGTTCTTCATTCCCAGGGTTCTTCATTCCCAGGGTTCTTCATTCCCAGGGTTCTTCATTCCCAGGGTTCTTCATTCCCAGGTTTCTTCCATTCGCCAGCGTGACGGCTGAAGGCAACCCAAGTCCTGCCGCTGCCGCATACCAACACCAACACCACTCCCACCCACTCTACAGGACATGTTTCTGATCCATGTGATGTGACAGTTACGCTCTGACCGGATATGTCGGCCTCGGCTTTTACTTTCTAGACACGCCCAACACATGGAGGGGGCCTCTTGCCTTGGCCATGATCCCGGGAGTCATCCTGATCTGTGGCATCTACTGGCTACCAGAGTCTCCCAGATACCTCCTGACCAAAGAGCGATACGAGGAAGCATGGGATGTGGTCTCCCGACTGCACTCGGACCCGAAAGACCCTCACAACGAATTTGCCCAACGCGAGTACTACCAAATGTACAAGCAGATCCAATTCGATGCTTCTTTGAACGAGGGATACCGCAATATCTTGTCAAGACCGTCCTACCGCAAACGGGCGTTTATCTCCATCACCCTCATGATCTGTACCATGAGCTCGGGGCTCCTCACCATCATTAGTAAGTGATAGGCTGAACCGTCTCTATTTATATTCTGCCATGCCATGCCCATGCCCATCTCTATCTATATTCTCCCATTCCCATTCCCATGCCCATGCCCATGCCCATCCATCATTCCTTTCTATGGCTTCTCAGCCCATTCATCTTTCCTTTCTACAATTCTCAGCCCATCCATCTTTCTTTCTATGAATTCTCAGCCCATCCATCTTTCCTTTCCAATTCTCAACTGACACGCACACCCCGCCCCAGATTACGGTGTGCAACTATACGCCAAGCTAGGCTACAACGCGGTTCAAACACTATTGTTCCAAACCGGTTACCTAGCATTTGCCTTCCTCTGGGCGACAGTAGCCATGTCATTCGTCGACAAGGTGCCACGGAACCGATTGATGGGCACAGGGTTCGCCGGGGCCTGCGTCGCCGTCGCGTTAGAGATGATCCTGACGGCCAAGTTCCTGCATACTGACAACAAAGCCGGTCTGGCCACGGCAGTCTTCGCCTTCTTCCTCTACATCTTCTGCTACAACATGACGCTGGACGGGCCCATGTTCTTCTACCACGCCGAGATCTGGCCCACCCACATGCGCGCGCGCGGCTTGACGCTCGCCATGGCCGCATACAGCGGCATCAACATCGTCTGGCTGCAGGCTGCTCCCACGGCGTTCAAGAACATCGGCTGGAAATATTATATCTTCTTCGTCGTCTTCTCGGCCATTGGATCGGTCTTGTGCTTCTTTGTTTTTCCCGACACTCTGCACAAGCCTCTGGAGGAGATTGCGGCAATCTTTGGCGATGAGGACCTCGTCCAAGTCTATCAGAAGGAGCTGGACTCGGCCAAGATCGAGCTCGAGGTCATCCAAGAAGTTATTCCAGTCAAGGGGCGGGCTGTTATTGATAGGAAGGAGGGGAAGGAGGGGATGGGTGAGACACGAACACAAGAGTTAGAGGATATAGGTAGTCATGTTTGACTGGAAGACGTATCTTTGGGAGTCATGTTTGGAGTGGAAGACGTACCTTGGGGTGTCATGTTTGGAGTGGAAGACATATCTTTGGAAGTCATGTTTGAAGTGGTGTTTGAAGTGGAAGATATACCTTTGGGAGTCACTTGAACTGGAAGAAGTACCTTTGAGAGTCACGTTTGAACTTGAATATTGCAGATTGCAGGCTCTGCTTATGAACAATCGTCTCGTGGACAAATATCTGACTGAGCAGAGCAGAGCAGAGGATATGAGATGAGGGAGTAGTCTTGGTGCTTGAACCTGTGCTTGATTACGTGTTCGTGCAGTGTCAGGAAACCGAAAGGTGATGTGATGTGATGTGGTGGAATTCGAGTCGGCGGCCAGCTCAATAACAGTATCATTATCTACAGTAAAGGACCGTCTTCGTGTTGGTTATCCACAGTACAGTACCATCTTCGTGTTAGTTATCTACAATACAGGATCATCTTCGTGTTGGTTCTCTATAGTACAGAGTACTATCCTCGACGGTCGTGTTGGGCTGAAAGAGCAAGGGCCAGCGTAAGCGCAACCTAGCAATAAGCTCTACTCTGTAAATATATATATATATATGCAAGAACCAATCTACTCTATATGACGTGCAGGTAGGGTGTTTGCAATTTGTAATAGGTACATGGATATATTCTGCCATACAGTAGAGTAACCTGCCAGTGCTTGCACCATGACAAGGAGGGATATATTCTGTCATACAGTAACCTGCCATACAGCACCATGACAAGGAGCTAGAGCTGACTTGCTCATCGTTAAAGACTGGTGCTCAAGATACTGCACTGTACTGTATCTTTGTCGATACTGAGACTGAGACTATCGCCTCTCGCCAGGCGATACGTATCGGCTTTGGTACCTGAAAAGTTCGAACTCTACTGCTCTGGGAGACTTGCCTTTCCTTTGAATTCGTGGTCATGGAACGTGATGGTCACCATCAGCATCAGCATCAGCAGACTAGTATAATCGACGTGGTATGCATGAGTTTGAGCTTTTCTCGACAAGAGCTGTTGACCGTCTTCTAGTTATGTGTGGTAGGGGGCCCTATGAAGGACTTGCGACTCCTACATGTACTCCCCGGAGCCGGAGCCAGGGCCAGAGCCGGAGCCAGTCTTCAAATTCCACTCTGACAATCTATCATCTGGACAAGACCTAATGAGTAGTACTGTGAATACACTCATAACACCCCCAGCCCGTCCTGGAAATCCGTCGAACAACTAACCTCCCTCCATTGCTCGGCGACTTTGATTTCCTGTTCCAAAATCGTCTTGGTGGCCTCGTACGCATCAGTACCTAACAAGAGCTCGGGCGGGATCTCGCCCTTTGCCTGTGCCATTCCCGACAAGGTCAGGACTTCGTAGATCCGCTGGGCGCCTAGGGCCGGATCACCGAGTTGACGACCATGGACGGCCTTGGAGCTCTCGATGGAGGCGGAGCGCAATTTGTCGTAGGCGGAGATCAGGGCTGCGTCGCTGTCGGCGTGGCGGACATTGGTTGTGTCGCCGTCGGATGAGAGCAGCGGTGTCCTGAAGCGACCGGGTTGGATCAGACAGGTTTGGATCCCGAGTGGACGGACTTCGAGATCGAGGGCGAGATGCATACCTGGTAGGAGGTAGGGTTAGGGTCAATGCCAGGGTCAGGGTCAGGGTAAGTCAAGGTAGATAGAGTCCAGAGAAGTCGAGAGGGATTTGTGGGATAAGGGACGTGAAATGACCCTCCAAACGAGTCAAGCCGCTATTCAAAGCGTGGATTTCAAGGGCAGGTGGGTAGGCGTCGGTGTCGGTGTCGGTGTCGGTGTACGGTCTTTGGGTTAGGGTCAGGGAAGGGTTAGGTTCATGGTCAGGATCAGGGTCAGGGTCAGGGTTAGGGTTAGGTTAGAGCACTTACTTCGCAACGCTGCTTTGGTTCCTAGGTAAAGACCCATGTTTGGTGATTTAAGTCGAGACCCAATACTGCCGAGACTGGCGATGACACCGGTTCCCCGGGAGCGGAAGTGTGGAAGGAAGGCGCGGCTCATGTTCAGAACCGAGAAGACGTTGGTTTGATACTGCTGCAGAGTATATTCGGGCCTATCACGAGGTAAGGAGATATGTTTAGGGAGTAGAATAGAACAGGGCAGAACAGGACAAGGCAGAACAGGACATGACAGGATAGGATAGGACAGGACAGGACATCAGTCAACTTACGAGGTCTCCTCTATCGTTCCATAGGCGACATATGCAGCATTGTTGACCAAGACATCCACCTTGCCGTACACGTTGATGGCCTCGTCGGCGAATTGCCGAAGCAGTGCAAGGTCCGTATTGGGATCCAGTTGAAGCGTGGCCGCGCCTGCTTTGCGCAGCTCTTCGAGTCGGCCGATGTTCCGGCTGGTTGCGATGACTCTGTCGTTGTGCTTGAGCACAGCAAGCGCCAGTTCCTTGCCCAGCCCGCTGGAACATCCGGTGATGACCCAAACTCGACCGGGTGTGGCTGTAGCAGTAGCAGCACCCATGTTGGTAACTCAAGTCAACTCAAGTCAACGCAACTCAATTTAACGTAACTCAACTCAACTCAACTCAAGTTGGAAGATGAGACACGAGACGCGGTCGGACTGGACTCGACTGGGGAGAGGGCCGAGGGAGGAGGGAGGTCTGATATTTGGTATTTGATACTTTGTTATAGCGAGTATCTTGTGAGTATGTGTGAGATGATTTGAAATATTCAATCGCCTCCAGCTGAATCGAATCGGATTGAAACTACCACACTGGCATCACGGATACATAAATATGGTACATAATTCTTGGAGGATTGTGGGTGTAAGTACATACGTACAGTATAACCGAACAATCCTTCCTCGGCCCCCGCCTCGTCCCCGCCCTTTTGGGGAAATCCAGTACGGAGTATGTACTCCGTACGTACATAGCCATTGGCCTACGGTGTTTCGAAGCCTGAAAATCCTTCGGCGCCGACAGGGACGGAGCACTGTTTTCTCGGCTCTGCGGGGATTTGGCGACTTAAGGGACCTTTCAATCGGCAATCGGTCTCCGCCATCGGTAGCCTTAGGACTGAGAGTAGCCGTGGGGAATCCTGAGAAGACCGTTTCGCCCAAGTCAAGTCTTACAGTAGACTTCGGGCCGTACTGTATATACAGTACATGTCTATACGGAGTACTTTACTTTTGTCATCACACGTACCTAGGTAACCAGGGAACATCTTTGAAAGACACCGCACACAGTATGTATGTCCACATCTCTTCGCCCATTTCTCAAGTTGCATATCATACATATATCACGCGGTGACAATCCGGACTCGGCTTCGAAGCATGCGTACTGTACAACTTTGTCCACTAATCAACTGATCGACAGATAAACAACCAGTCGGAACAGGTGTTTCGATGATTTACTGTACATACACTGGCATCTTGCTGTAAATGATACGATATTTTGATCTACCCGTGTGTACAGACACTGCATGACCCATCTCACGGTTCTAGGCTCACAGCTGCTGGTGTTGCAGCAACTCAGAAACCCTCTTTACTTCTTTACTGTGAACTGTGCACTGTGTATAATGGTCTCAGTCTCAGTCTCAGTCTCAGTCTCAGTCTCAGTGGTGGTAGAGAGTCCAACCCCGATCGACCGGTAACGACACGCCATTAATGGCCGAAGCATCTGGACTCAGCAAGAAAACAATGGCATTGGCCACCTCGCTCGGCTGATTGACACCTCCCGCCGGAAGACAGTCCTTGGAGGCTTCTTGGAATGTCGGAGACTTCAGAAAGGCCGATTCGGTGGCCGCCGGACAGACGCAGTTGAACCGGATGCCAGAATCAATGTAGTCCAACGCGGTGGACCTGGTTAACCCCACGATTCCATGGCTTGCTGCGGCAAACGCCACCATGCCGGGTTGGGTTGCTAAGCCTTGCACCGAAGAAACATTGACGATACTTCCTCGAGAGGAGCCGGCCCCAAATGGTTCTCGCTCTTGTTTGAGTAGTTGGCGCACTTCGGCACGTACCGACAGCCATGTCTGATAGATGTAGTGTCAGTCAGCGTCAGCGTCAATACCACGACACGCCTCCATACACACGCTTGGATAACGTACGACTGACTGGGGTTCAACGGAGTAGAGTGAGGAGAGGGGAGGAGAGGGGAGGAGAGGAAGGAGACAGGATGGAGGGACGGGACGGGACTTACGCCTCGTTGATTGACAGTACTGAGGGTCAAGAAGTCCTGGGGTTGAGTGTCCAATGTCGCAGCAGGTTCAATCATGATGCCGGCACAGTTCGCAAAGTAGTGGATGGCGCCGAATCGGTCGACGGCCGTCTTCAGCAATGCGTCGACGCTTTCTTCGAGGCGGATGTCGGTCTTGACCAGGAGAAGTTGCAATGGCCGCGAGCCCGAGTCATATCCGGCCAGGAGGTGTTTCTGCGTCGCTTCTAGAGCAGTGGTGGAGATGTCGGCCAGCACCAGCTTGGAGCATCCACGCTGAACGAGAGCAGCGGCTACGGCTGAACCAATGCCTTTGGGTAGGACATGTTGTGGTTAGCAATAGCAAACGCCCATTCGCCCAGATACAGAGATTAGACAGGGTAAGAAGGAAGAATGTAAGAATGTAAGAATGTAAGAATGTAAGAAAGAGTGAGCAGGGCATTCGAAACGCGACTTGACTTACTCCCTCCAGCACCAGTCACCAGGGCCGCTCCGGCTCCATCAAACTTGGACATGCTGCACTCGAAATCCCAAATCTGGAACCAGTCAAACGGCCGGCCGTTAGAAGAACAGTACAGTACAGTGCTTTGAGGAAGAAAACCCTTGTGCACTCTCCGCCATGCCTGTGTGCTGTAGAATGGTTTTAAGCCCCAACATTGGCCTGACTTTAGACGACTACAAGTGCAAGTGCCGGCACCGGGAACTCCTGCTCTGATGGGTTCGGCACCGTACGCCGACTCGACTCGGATCACCCACAAGTTCTACCCATAACCTCATCTCGGTCGACGGTCAAGTTTGCCGCTCTCCGCATGTCCGTAAGAACAAGGCCCTGAGCCTGAGGGAGAAAGAGACAACTGCTTCAGTTCCATTCCGTTAAGTATAATTCAATTCACTTCAATTACATTACCCGCGCTCTCGCTACCATCTTGGATCTGGTCCCTCCATCTCCACGTTTACGGCGTGGACATTATTGGACATTCGCATCTTCAACGTCTCAAGGACGTCCAGTCAAGAGTCAAAACATGATATCCAGTCAAGAGGGTCTGTCGGGGGTGGCCTTGATCACAGGGGCTGGCTCAGGTAAGATCAAACCCGGTTCCCTTTCTACTTCCCTCTTTTTTTTTCCTTTTCCACTCCTGCCAAACTGACAACCGACAACCAACAACCTACTCACCCACTTCTCAGGGATCGGCAAAGGAACTGCTTTCTCCTTTGCGTCTGCCGGCTGCCAGCGATTGTTTCTCGGGGATGTCAATCTCCCTGGACTGGAGAAAACCGAAGCAGAGCTCAAGGCCGAGTTTCCGGCGGTTGATGTGCGCATTCACAAAGTTGACATTTCCTACGAGCACTCGGTCGACGCATTTGTCGATGCTGCCGTGGCCGCCTTTGGTCGGGTCGACTACGCCTGCAACATTGCCGGCTGGGCGCCACAGCGCGAGCCCATTGCGGAGGTGCCTGTTGCAACGTATGATCGGGTAGTCAACATTGACGAATATGGAGTAAGTGACGCCCAGTGTGTTTATGAGTGTTGAAGCGAGATCTCGAGAGCAGAGACCCGAAGAAAGAGAGCAGAAGCAGAAGCAGAAGCAGAAGCAGAAGCAGAAGCAGAAGCAGAAGCAGAAGCAGAACTATCACTCTCACTATCACCAACACTAACATCTTTCTTCCCCCAGACATGGCTTTGCCACCGGGCCGAAATCCGTCAGATGGTGAAGCAGACCCCCCTTCCCGGTGCCGGCTCCGTGCGCGGAAGTATTGTGTCGGTGGCCTCCCTGTCCGGCATCAACGCTTCTCCGGGCATGAGCACCTACTGCGCCGCCAAGTTCGGCACCGTCGCCATCTGCAAGTCGGATGCCCTGGACTATGGGCCCCAAGGCATCAGGGTCAACGTGGTATGCCCTGGTTTGACCGACACGCCACTCTACTGGTGGAATACTCCTGACACCTTTACCGAGATGATGATCGGACGAACGCCCCTGCGCCGCCTGGGCACGGTGGATGATCTGGGGAAGGCGATTCTGTGGCTGTCAAGCCCGAATGCCGCCTTTGTGACGGGAGTGGTGGTTCCGGTTGATGGGGGGCTCGTCCTTCAGCGAAGGGGGATGTGAATACACACACACACACACACACACACACATACACACGTATATAGATATAAGTATATACACGAGTATATATATTCTCCAAACTAAATAACTTTAAAGTATTTCATTTAAAAGGAAGAGAACATAAGAGTAAGAGTTCAGCTATCGTACACGTACAGAATAGTATATAAAACCTGGGCAGAACTGTTTCTATACCTAGGTAGTCCAGTATATATATTATACTATATCTCGATTGTATGTTCCTGCTCCTCTGCTCTCCTCTGCTCTCCTCTACTCCTATTCCATGGTTACGTTATTCTTCCTACTTCTTCAGGATATACTCTTTGTAGTTTCCATCCTTGGTGAGAACTTCTTGGGCCCTGGCCCACTCGTCCCTCAAGATCTGTGCCCGCTTCTCGTCGCGTGGGGTGATTTTACATCTATGATATATACGCGTCAGTATCAGCTGTCTTGCTGATTGGAATTGGAATCTCAACTCAACTCACCTGAAAGGCAACGGACAACATCCAATCGACTGGGTGACGGCATCGGGATCGATCTCGAGGGCGACTCCGTCAGCGTCCCTTTCCGGCGTGATGTCGAAAGCCCACAGGATGCGCGCAATCGACAGGAAAAGCGTGCGCTCCGCCACCTGCAGACCGGGGCAAATGCGACGCCCGGCGCCAAACGTCCACATATCTCGGTCTTTGACGTCCGGCGCGACGGCGGCCTGGCCGATCGAGAGACTGACGTTGTGTCGGGCCGGGTTGAACACGCGCGGATCATGGAACAGCTTGGGGTCGTTGTTGCATGACCATACGGCCAGTGAAATCGTCGCCCCGGCCGGAATGCGATATCCATTCACATGGTCTTCGGTTCGGGCTGCGTGCGGGACGGCACCGGTGATGGCTGTTGGCATCCCTGGGTTACAGAAATAAGGTCAGCCAGTGTATGGAAGGTCAGCCAGTGTAAGGAGCGAGGGATGTGATGTCAAGGCCAATGTCAATGCCAATGTCAATGTCAATGCCAATACCATCACCATCACCATCCCAATACACGCCAGTTCTAATCCAACAGTGCTACTACTCATACCAAATACCAATACTATCAACCTTGACTCTGGCTGTAGGAGTGTAGGGAATGGAAAGGTGAGAAGGTAGGGGATAGAAAGGGGAGAATTCTTTGTGACGGAAAAGGGGTTAGGATTAGGGTTAGGGTGAGGAAAAAAGGAAAAAAGAATGACAAACATCTCAGCGATTCCTTCACCGTGCCTCTGATGTACGGCAGTTGATCGGAATGCTCGATCCCAGGCATCGTGTCGCTGCCCACCACGTCGTCGATTTCCTTCTGCGCCAGCTTCTGTGCTTCCGGGAACAGAACCATGGCCTTGATGAAGCCGACCAAGGTATTTTTCGAAGTGTCGGCGCCTGCTTCAAATGAGATGCCAGCAATGTAAGATGCTGCATGGTCGGTGAGAAGATCGACATCCTTCCAAGTCTCCTGAGCTTGGGCGATATCGAGGGCGAAACCTGGAGTAGAGGGGTTTATTAGTTATGTTTATGGGGATGAAGGGATGGGTTAGTCATTTTTATAGGGATATAGGAATGGGTGAGTCATGTTAAAATAGATATAGGGATGGGCTAGTTATGTTGTTTAGGGATATCGACGAGTTAGTTAGGGATGTGGGGATCTAGGGATGGGAAGCAATGCAATCAATGCAGTCAAGTCCTTACAAGGTAAAGCGGTGCCGGACTTCCCCCTCGCTTTGGCGTCCAAAAACAGCTGGCGGAAGTGCGCGCGTTCCTTGTGATAGATTCGAGTTCCTTTGGCGGCCAAAGGATTCAACCATTTCGGCAGGATCTTGGCCACGATTCGCAGTCGCGGATACCAATCGAAGAGCTGGCTGTTGACCACCAAGGCGAAGAAGCCGTGGGCCGTCTCAAACATGGTTTCGGCAATGGGATTCCCCAGCGTGGGGATGCGGAAGCCGTAGGTCATGCTCGTCGAGAGACTGCTGGTGGCGCGACCGATATGGTCGACAAAGGCCTCGGGGTGGTCGAGGAGATCCAGGCACATCTTCTTCGTCTCGAGCGATTGGTATGGTACGTATTTGGCCGCGACGTTTTGGTTCAGAAAGATGTGGTAGAGTCTTCGTTCAATCTTCCAGAGATCGTCATAGCTTCAGGTAGGTATCAGTCAGCGCGGTACGTGCAGCAAGAGGAGAGGAGACCGGGTACAGTGCCTTGTCCTTGCAGCAAGAGAAGAGGAGAGCCCAGTGTTTGGGTCGAGGTAAAGGTCAAACTTACCCTCTCATGATGATTCGTGAGCCTTCCCATATATCTTGCATGTACAACTTGGGGCGGTCGGAGGTGTTGCCACTCCGCTTATCCATGACCGCTTTGACAGCATACCCGTCGGCGAGGACAATGACTGTCTCTTGACCGAGTTGGAGAGAGAAGATTGGGCCATCTATGCATTCGTGAAGAGTTAGTCTTCGGCGTCAGTTGTCGTGGTCATCTTCACCTCCACCTTCACCTTAAGCCTTCAGGTCTCGTCTGGTTTGCCCTGGACTGCGCAGAGGAGACGAGACAAGACAAGACGGCACTTGGAGGGGAATCTGAATATGAGTCTGATCTGAGTATCCGGAACATACATTTCTCGCCCCATTGCTGATATGCTTTGTGGAGATCCTTCTTTGGTAGCTGGTGTATGTTGCCAATTATCGGCAGTGTAGGCGGGCCTTTCAATCCAACAAGCACTGTCAGTGTCTTGAATCCAATTCCAATTCCAACCTCCATCTTCATCCCCGATCAGATCTGATCTGACCAGCCAGACCGGGACCGGGACCGTACATACCTGGCGGGCAACCTTTCGGTCTCCTCCCCACAAAGGCCAACAGGTACAGGATTGAGAGGGTAAAGGTAAAGATCAGACCCAAGGTGAGTGGTGAATAGTCACGCAATAGAGTGAACAGGGCCATGATGGGTGCTGGCTGCTCCTTCGTATTCGCACTGTACTGTCAAGTAGATGGATGGGACGTCGATTAGTTAGGGTTCTCACTTCACTGCATCTAGTGAATATGAATAGTAAATATTAGGTACATATGATATATCTTCTCAACTCGCCGGGGGAGCCTGGAAGAGAAGCGGAGGCGGGGGGGATGCCGTTGCGGAGAAGAGAAGCAAATCCAATCCAATCCTCGGCTCGCACAATGCTCCGTAACTACAGTACGAGGGGTCGGCGTTGCGCTCTGAGGTCTTCGAACATACGATGCTCGGCACCGAGACACGTAGCCTTAGTCCTGACTCCAGTAAGGACGACTTAGGGCTTCGGGCCCCTAGCCACCACCGTACAGTAAGTACAGTAATATGGGTATGGGTAGTAGCACTGTTGGATTTGAACTGGCGTGTATTGGTATTGCTGTGGGCTGCCCGAACCGAAAAAGAAAAAGAACAGGAACAGTCCTCTATCCCGCCTAACGAGAGACATGTCTCTGTCTCAATAGGGTAGGGTTCTGTATGTCATTCCGGGGTCTGGATCTGTAAAAGGATACAAGAGAGTACTCCGTACAACAGGGCCATGTTGTGTGTTGTAATTATATGGCTTAATGGTCCGTACTGTATACAGTACGCTATAGCTATATCTAAATCTAGATGTAGCGGCCGCCCGTCACCTCAATGGTCTGGCCATTGACATAGCTAAACAACGGACTCACGACGGCCAGAATACTGCTCGCCGCCTCGGTTGCGGTGCCGGGCCTGCCCAGGGGAATGTCCTTGTACGCCGGCCCCGGACCCTGAGCCTGGTCTCCTCCGCCCTTCCGATCTGCAATCTGTTTGGCTGGGATGCCCAAGGCCACCCTCTCACCGTCGGGGGTGGTGACGAAGGCGCCGGCCTCCTTGGGGCGCGTCAGCCTCGTTTCGATCAGGCCAAACGCCACGGTATTGGCGCGCACGCCGAATTGAGGCCCCCACTCCTTCGCAATCGTCTTGGTCAGGCCCGTCACGCCGGCCTTGGCCAGCGCGTAGTTGCTCTGGCCGGCATTGCCATGGGTGCCGGACGTGCTGCTGATGTTGACGATGCATCTCTTCTCGCCGTCCTTGACCCGGAAGTACGGCGCGGCCGCCCGCACCAGCCGAAACGGCGCCGTGGCGTGCAGCTCCAGCATCGTGTTCCACTGCTTGTCGGTCATCTTGTGGATCACCCCGTCCCACGTGTAGCCGGCGTTGTTGACGATGATGTGGATCTTGCCGTGGCCGAACTCGGCCGCTTTGCGCACCACCTCGTCAATGTAGTTGGGGTCGAGCACGTCGCCGTGCACGCTGATGGCCCGGCCGGGCGCCATCTGGTTGATGCTTTGGGCCGTCGCGCTGGCCTTTTCACTGTCGACGTCGCAGATCACCACGCGTGCCCCTTCGTTGGCGAACAGTCGAGCACATTCCGCCCCGATGCCTTGCCCGCTGCCCGTGATGATGGCAACCTGTCCGGCGAGCAGGCCAGCGGGAAAGTTCAGCTGCGACGACAGTTGGGAAAGACGGTCTTGAGGAGCCATGTTGGGTGATGGTTCTGGTTTGTCCAAGAGCCTCCTTAGCTCTAGCCCACAAATGAGATACTGTAAGAGACAGTGGACCTTCTGTTCTTGAAGAACCCGGTATATATGCCCCCGGTGATGATTTGTCTTCTGTAGTTACTCGCGACCCTCGGGGAATCCCTATCCCTCCTCGGTGTGAAGATCGTGGGTGTGAGTGTGAGAATCTGTCTCTGACGGTTCTCGATTGAGGATTCTACCAATGCCACATCGAAAGACGAAACAAAACAAATCAAGACAAGCAAAAGACGATGCACAGCTCCGTCGATGGACGGGACTAATATCACTGACTTTGATCCTGACCCGGCCAGCTCACACCTAGCGCCTCATCTGGTATTTCTATTCCAAAATAGACTAGTAGCACGAGCTTTTCGGGACCCAGATGCTCATGCGATGCGGCACCACAGGGCTCACCGTCACCAATGCTGGTCTAGAATCAGCACTTGAGATGTTTCGGTGCCGGTTCTCGTTCTCGTGCTCGTGCTCGTTTCGGCGCCGGTCCGGTCTCTGGCCCCGCGAAAAGCGCCTCTAGAGGGATTGAGAGGAAGCCACAGGGTACTCCAAGTAGGCATTTACAGTAAAGGATATAACGGTGAAGCGGATCGTGCTGTCTTCCGAGCGATGATGGAAATCTGTCGAGGCCTCGCTTCGAAGGAGAAGTAGGGAGACCAAGGGACTTTAGATTGTGAATCCTGCACTACACGCCTTGTCGGACATATCTATGCTCTTCTTGATACAGTATCACAGACACATATGTGACAAACTTTGTATTGCTCCATGTATGGCCTAGCATTTCCAGTCATCTCAAAACATATTTTAACCATGCATTGTATGGTGTACTCGTCCCAGTCATCTCAAAACACATGTATGTATGTAGAACCGGGTTCCTAATTGCGCCCAGTAGCTGAGGGTGAATCTTACAGTTTGGGATTGGCGACCGGCACCTTGGTCAAAACCAAGCCTCCTTGATCTACATCAAAATCATGTCCCCTCCTCCATCCCAGCCAGCTTTGCAACACTTCCTCGCCCCCTTTGCTCGGGGAAAGTCCATTGCTGATCCAGCCTTCTCCTTCCACCCCCTGGCCCTGGCCTTGACGGGCCTCAACTGCTTGAGATGCGCCAGGGTCAGCGTCACCGTCACCGTCTTTTTTGGTAGCTATGGCCAGGCCTGGGGTGCGTCGGAGGGTAACGATAGGCTTCTGAATATAAGCAGACAGCTCCAACTCCTGCTGGGTCAGCATCGGAGTGACACAGGCGTCGGTGCCGTCGAAGATGTGCTCCCATGCCTCCCGGGTCTTGGATTTGAAGGTTTTGGTAAAAAGGTCGAACAGGTCTGGCCAGATGGCCCTGTCGTCTCTCGCACCTGGCAAGTCTGTGGCCTTCAATGAAAGTCCCTTTAGCAGGGCGGCGAAAAACTGTGGCTCCAGCGCCCCCCTACTTGCCATCAGCACATTCAATTCCCATCAGCCGTTATGATAACCATAACCATAACGCGGGCTCCGAGTTTGGTTTGGTTTGGGGTTGTCCTACACTGCCATGTACCTGCCATCGGCCGTCTCGTATGTTTGATAGTACGGACATCCGCCGTCCAGCACATTCGTTCCTCGTTCTCGCGACCAAAGGGGAGTTTTCAGCGCGAGTCGAGGCATGGTGGCGAGAAAGGCGCTCCCGTCGACCATATTTGCCTCGACCACCTGTCCCTTTCCCGACGTGGCCCGGCTGAGCAGAGCCAAGACGATTCCCAGAAAACAGACAGCACCGCCACCGGCGAAATCCCCGAGGAGGTTCAGTGCCGGTTGAGGCCGCTCGCCCTTTCTCCCCAACATGGAAAGGACGCCGGACACGGCAATGTAATTGATGTCGTGGCCGGCCATTGCAGAGTACTTGCCATCACGACGAAACCCAGTCATCCGCGCAATGATCAGCCTGGGATTCCGGGACAGGAGCTCCTGCGGCGCGAGACCCAGTTTCTCCAGAACGCCCGGACGAAAAGGGTCAATCACCACATCGACGTGGGCGGCCAGGTCCTTGATGAAGGCGAGTCCACGCCCATCAGGCCGTTTGAGGTCGACACAGATCGAACTTTTCCTCCTGGTCAGTCGGTCAGAGGTTGCTGGCGGGGGAGAGGCAAGAGCGGCATGTGAGTGAGCTCCTGGCACTGCACGGTCAACTCGGAGCACAGAAGCGCCCCAATCTGCACAGAGCAGCCCGGCGAATGGTCCTGTGGCTTCTGTCAGTCATTTCCATCTTCTCTATGCGTCGCACATGGACATGGGGTGATTGGTAGAATCTAGGGTGATATGTACCAGGTGCAAGACCGGCGAATTCGAGGACTTTAATGCCGGAAAGGGGAGGTGGCTCCATAGTACAGTAGCAGTACAAAGAGTCATGGAATATGGACGTGGTTTCGAAGCTCAGCCGTATAGATGTAGAATAGGTACAGTAACAGGACAGTAAGCAGGAAAATCGGGGTCAGGAGCTTGGAAGTGTATGTACGCCGTCCTATGGGGATGTTCCTACACCCTCACGGTCTTCTCGAGATGGCCGCAACGAGGGTACTGCATGCAGTACTAGTACTCCATACTGTGTCTAATTAGCGAATAATAATGACTGACGGTCATCAGCCTCGGCACTCACTGGGACATCAAACCACCAGAGGCTCAGAGGCTCCTCTTCCTCTTCCTCTTAGACGGTCCCTAGGTAGACTACCCCATGTACCCCTGAATAACATGCCCCGGATGGCCAGACCTCAGACCTCGGCCCCCGCGCCGAACTCGAACTGTGGCACCGATGTGTCGCGCCGACTTCTCTCGGTGCTCGGTGAGGGCATTGTTAATCTCCGGCAGGAAGTCCTATGCAAGTCTGCCGAAGTGGTGGCGGTCGTGACAGGGGCCCCTCAGGATACGTAAAGATTGGAGGTTTTACTGTACATTTGTATTTGCGATGAAGACTGTTTCAAGAAATGCTCACTCCAGATTGCTAGGGCTTCCTCACATCTGAAAGCATACTCTGCAAGCGTCTTAGAGGTTGGTTCTTGCAGGACTCTCCATCAGAGTTCCAATTCCTAATCCCTAACAACCAAGTTCCTACTCAATTTCGCCATGGCAATTCCGCTCTCCGAAAAGCCTGATGAACAGGACATTGGCCATCGCCATGGCCATCAGGTGAACGGTCACGCTGACGAGAGCGTCAACGGTCACGGTCAGGTCAATGGAATAAGCAATGGAACGACGTCTTTGATCAATGGCAACGGGCTTACTGGCCATCTTGACGATGGACCAGCAATTGAAATCCCCATCAGAGAGACGCCCATGGGCACGACGCGACCATTCAAGGTCATCTTTATGGGCATGGGCGCGAGCGGAATCAACTTTGCCTACAAGCTGTCTCGGGAACTGGAGAATGTGGAGCTGACCATCTACGAGAAGAATGTAAGTGACACATCATGATAACACCGGGACTAGGGGTTTGACTTGTCTTGAACTCTAACCATATCTGTCTGTCTGGTCGGGCAGGACGAAATCGGCGGAACGTGGTTCGAGAACAAATACCCAGGATGCGCGTGCGACATCCCCAGCGTCTGCTATCAATATAGCTGGCAACGGAAGCCCGACTGGACGCACTACTATTCGGGATCCAAGGAGATCTGGGAATACTTCAAACAAGTCAGCGACAGCAATCAACTGGGCAAGTACGTCAAGCTCAAGCACCGGATCGTGCGGGCCGAATGGCTGGACGACGAGGGCAAGTGGAAGGTGACGGTGGTGCGCAACAACGGCCGGGACCCAGACGACACGTTTGACGACTATGCCGACCTGTTCATCCACGGTGGCGGCGTGCTGAACAATTGGAAGTGGCCGGAAATCAAGGGCCTGAGCAGCTTCGAGGGCCCCCGGCTCCACACGGCCAACTGGGACGAGAAGGTCGATCTCCACGGCAAGAAGGTCCTGGTCATCGGGGCCGGCAGCTCCGGCGTGCAGGTGGTGCCGGCGATCATCGACCAGGTCGACCGGTTGTTCGTGGTGGCGCGGTCACCGACCTGGATCACGGCGGGCTTTGCCCCAGCCTACGCAGGGCCGAATGGAGCCAACTTTGCGTATTCCGAGGCGACCAAGCAGCGGTTCCGCGACGACCCGACCTTCTACCTGTGGTACTGCAAGGCCATCGAGTCCGAGCTGAGTGTGCGGTTCAAGATGATCGTGCTCGACACGCCGGAGAACAAGGAGGCGCGCGCCTTCTCCCTGCAAGAAATGAGGCGCAAGCTGGCCCGCAAGCCCGAGTTGATGGACAAGCTGATTCCCACCGATTTCGGCGTGGGCTGCCGCCGACCCACGCCGGGCAATGGGTTCCTGGAGGCCTTGACGCACGACAAGACCACCGTGCTCACGGAGAACCTGCAGGAGATCACGCCCAATGGCTTTATCGGCCCCGACGGCCAGCACCACGAGGTCGACGTGGTCATCTGTGCCACGGGGTTCGACACCTCGTTCCGCCCGCAGTTCCCCATCATCTCCAACGGCCGCAACCTGCAGGATGAGTATGCCTCCGACCTGGTCGGCTATCTGGGCCTGTCGGTGCCCGAAGTGCCCAACTACTTCATCTTCGTCGGCCCCTATGGCCCGCTCGGCCATGGCTCGCTCGTGCCCATGGTCGAGGCCTATACCAACTACGTCGTGCAGGTGATCAAGAAGATGCAGGTCGAAGACATCAAGAAGATCCAAGTCAAGCGCTCCGTCGCTCAGGATTTCACCCGCCACGCCGACCGATATCTGAAGCGCACCGTGTGGTCCGGCCCCTGTAGCTCCTGGTTCAAGGCCGGCTCCGTGAGCCGAAAACCCGTGTGCTGGCCTGGCTCGCGCATCCATTATCTCTCCATGCTGCAGACCCCGCGCTACGAGGACTTTGACCTCGAGTACCTGTCGGGGTCGAGGTTCAATTTCTTGGGAAATGGCTTCCATGCCCGAGAGTACGACGGTCGCGACTTGACCTGGTATTATTCCCTGCTGGACGGTCAAGACAAGCAGCCCGAGTCGTTTCCGCCGCCGCTATATTGACTGATTTTGATATTGAAATAACTTGGGTATATATATATTCATATATATAAATATGTATATATTGAGCACTGGCTGTTGTGGCCCAATGAAATCCTACTATACCAATAAATATGAGTAGTACGTTCACTACTTGTCTGTGTCACGTTTTTCAATGCCCCCTTAAGTTTTCTTTTGTGCATCACGGATACATCCTAATACTCTGCTTGTTGTGGACGTAAGATATGCATACTCTGTCTGCTGTAGACATAACGTATGGTACGGTTCATATCTGCAGGGTACATACAGTATATGGCAATGGGATATTCTACTTGCTGGGTCGGGTTCTAAGACGTACATAGATGTGTAGAGATAGTATGTGTATTAGGACTAGTCTTACTCCCAAATTCTAACCGACTATACAGGTATCCCAAGACAGTCCAGCAGTCCAGCAGTCCAAGCTCAAGTATCAGTCTGGGCTCCAGACCAGCAAGAACAAAGGCACCCTGGGTCTTCAGCCGTCTAAGACAGTATACGGTGTACAGGCTACGGTGTATGGGCTACGGTGTATGGTGTACGGTGTATGGTGTGTAGTGTGGAGAAACTGCTTTCCTAATTCGGCGCCGAAAGATTCAGTCGGTGCTTGGTACAGTATAAATACAGTATCGGTACATGTACTGTCACTGTCACTGTCCGCACCGTTATCGACATCCCTGCCGTGCACTCAGACCGAGCTGCAGCGGCCTTAGCCCTCTCATCGGATGCCTGGCCTAGGGTGGTGTTGTGCCAGTAGAGGTGGGAAGTCGGATACTACTACTAGTACTAGTATCCTACCCCGCAGGGTACTCGGCCTCGGTAGGGTGCCATGTTCTGCAGGACAAGGTGGTACGGTAGTACTAGTAGCTTGACCTCCGAAAGTGTTCTTTCGTCTATGGATATCACGAACTTCTATTGCCAGGTCCTACTGTCTCGGGAATATTTGAGTGTCAAGACCTGTTGAATCGAAGGTTCCAGCAAGTTATCACACCTGTTGCAACATCCGAAGCCTTAACAAGTTATATGACCTCAACATCCAGACGCCTTGACTTGTGCCTGTGGACTTGACAATCAGCTGCTCTGAGCTACACTACACTATACATACATATAGGCGACAGACAGTCGTTGGCTCGGCTCAGCCAAGATACTACACAGACAGTCGCTGTCTCAGCTCAGTTCAGCCAAAATGACTCCCTCGACGTCGATAGATACCACCAATTCCACGGTAGTCGAGTCCCCCTATTCCCTTGACATCGAGCCCACCGACGTCGTCTCGTTTGTCTTTTCGTCCGGCACCGCCTCGTCGCGACAGAAGCCGCAATACTTCGACACCGGCAGACCGTCGGAATGTTTCAGCCTCGGCCAGGCCGAGACCTACGTCAAGCAGATCGGTCAGGGCCTCCAGTCGCTGGGCCTGCAGCCCGATGACAAGGTGCTCGTGTTCTCGCGGAATCGACTCTTCTTTCCCGTCGTCTTGTGGGGGATTCTGGCTGCCGGCTGTGTCTTTACGGCGGCATCTCCGTCAGCATCGGTTTCAGGTATTCTATCCTTATTCATTTATGACCCTAGCCCCAGGTTCGGAAGCCCTGCTCACCTGGTCACCCTGCTCTCGCTTTTCTCCTGCTCACCTTGCTTATCCTTTTCTACTGCTCACCCTACTCCCCCTTTCCTCATTTGCCTTCTCACTGTCAAAGGTTGATGTTCCATGTTCGTTATCAAAGGGGTATGACCAGCCTTATGGTTAGAACGAGGCTGGGACTGCCTAAGTTGGTGCCTAAGTTTGACACTCACTGACTTTGTTTCCCTTCCCTACTCACTCTGACTTTGTTCCCTATTCAGAACTAGAATATCAATTACGCGACTCACAAGCCAAAATGCTCCTCACCAGTCCCGACAGCGCCTCTGTGGCCCTAGACGCCGCCGCGAGACTCGGCCTGTCCCGCGACAAGATATATCTGTTCTGTGATGTGGACGAGGACCTGTCCAAATACCCGCCTGCCGTGCTTCAGCTGCGGCCTTGGACTGATTTCTGGCACCGGAAAGAAGAGACCTCCTCCTGGTCGTGGAAACGAATCACGACCTTGGAAGAGGCGACGTCGACCACGGCGATTTTGAATTATTCTAGTGGGTGTGTACATGGAGTCTGACAAGGGTGTTCTGCCTTGTTCTGCCTTGTTCTGCCTTGGGTTCTGTCGATACAGCTCCCCATCGACACGAATACTGTCGTGTGTCCTGTCCTACCCTATCTTATCCTGTCCTACACTATACCATCTTGTGTCCTATCATATCCTGTCCACTCTGTATCGTCTTGTGTTGTCCTACACTGTACTATACCTCTAACCTGTCTCATCAACAGCACGACCGGTTTCCCCAAAGGTGTCGAGATCTCCCACTACAATGTCATATCCAACTCGGCGCAATTGCTCCACAAGCGCAACCTGGACCCTACCACGACACAAGGCCGGGCCCGGGTGGCACGCCTGCAGACGTCAGGCGAGAGATGGCTGGCACCGCTTCCGATGTACCATGCATTTGTGAGTGATATGCATACCATATCCTTCCATCTCTATCCATCTCTACCCATCTCAGCGCAATCCCTATCCAATTCTATACTATATTTTTCTGCTATGATTATTCCTACAAGTGACCTCTTTTCTTCTACCATCCCATCCCTATTCCATCCTCTACCAATCCCAACCTCACCTATCCTATCCCATCCTATCCCTATCCTATCTATATGCCGTCCCTATACTATGTCATATCCCATCCCTATCCAATTCTATACTGTATTTTTCTGCTATAATTATTCCTACAATGATCTCTTCTCTTCTACCATCACTATCAATGTACTCTACGTCCTTATCCAATCTCTATCCAATCCATTTCCCACCCTATCTAATCCTAAACTATAATGACCTCCTCGTCTACCACTAATCAATATCCTCATCCTTCCAGGGCCAAATGTACTATTGCATCAACGCAGCCCGCCAACAAGCCAAAGTCTTCATCATGGCTCGCTTCGACCTGAGTCAATACCTCCTGTATCTGGACATCTATCGCATCACCTTCATGACCAGCGTGCCCACCATCATGACCATGCTCACCAAACACGCCCGACCAGACACATACAATCTCCACGCCGTCGAGATGGTCACCAGCGGCTCCGCGCCCCTGAGCCCCGAGCTGGCCAGGAAGTTCGAGCAAATGTACCTGAGGCGCGGCGTCCAAGTCAAGCAGGGCTGGGGGTTGACCGAGACAACGTGTTCGATCACGGGGTTTGCGCCGGATGATGTCGATGATGGGAGGTCCATCGGCTGGTTGAATCCCAATTGTCGCGCTAAGATCGTGCCCTTGCCCGACCAGGACCGCGATCGCGACTTTGCTGCTTCGACCCCGTCGGGCCTGACGGCCACGCCCAACACCGGCGAGATCTGGGTCTCCGGGCCTAATGTCATGAAAGGCTATTACAGAAAACCGCGGGAGACGGCCGAAGTCATTGTGGTGGAAGACGGGATTCGTTGGCTTCGCACGGGCGATGTGGGCTATATCGACAAGCGGGGGTGTCTTTATATCGTGGATAGGTTGAAGGTAAGGTCGGGTTTGTTTTTGGTTTGTTTCTTTTCTTGCCTCAATCCCCCGCCCTCTTACTGTTCCCTCCCTTTGCCTCTCCTATTATTGTTCCCTCCATTTGCCTCTCCCTCTTACTGTCCCCTCCGTTCTGCCTCACCTCTGCTTCTGCTTTTGTGTCTGTTTCTGCCTCGCTATACTAGCCCTCCCTAAATCGGTCTCCCGCCTCGGACTGCGAACCAAGCCAGGCTAGACTTTTGGCCTCGCTCTGACCTCGCCTTCGCTTTCACTTCCGCTTCGCTTCCGCTCTCGCTCTCGCTAACATACAAAACCAGGAACTGATCAAAGTCAAGGGCCTGCAAGTCGCCCCCGCAGAGCTCGAACTCGCCCTCGTTTCTCACCCGGACGTCGCAGAAGCCGCGGTGGTCGGGGCCAAAATGTACGTTGTAGTTCTGTTGTGTTGCATTGTCTTGTTACCACACCATCGTACACGACCCTGCCCAACACTACCCGACCCTTACCTACCCTACCCTACCCTACCGCTCCCTCTAGGGCTAGGGCTAGGGCTAGGGTTAGGGTTAACCCTTAATGCTATTGTGATGTTGATGTGATGTTGACTTTAACTACCAACAGAAACGGCGCCGAGTATCCACGAGCCTTCGTCGTACGCAGAGCCGGCTCGGTCACAGTCACGGAACAAGAACTCATCGACCTGATCAAGCAACGATTCGCACCGCACAAATGGCTGACTGGAGGCGTTTTCTTCATCGACGCCATCCCGCGAACTGGGAGCGGGAAAGTCATGCGACGTCATTTGCAGCCCGGCACCGGTGCTGGGTCCCAGGCCTCCCTGGCATCTGTATCTCAATCTCCATCTCGGCAAAGTAAACTATGACCAGGTAGTGTCAGGGCTGTCAGGACAGGGTCAGCGTCATCGTCATCGTCATCGTCAAAGTCAGCGTCATCGTCAAAGTCAGGGCCAGGCCAGGGTCAGGGTCACCGTCAGCCAGTACCGCGATTGATTGCACTGAGAACAGAAAAGACCAAGACTGCTGGAAACACCACCTGTCATGCTTAGAAATCTCTTGAAAAGTAGGAAAGGGAATGGGAAAGTAGACCAAATCGGCGGGAGGATAGGATAGGGATAGGACGGCTAGCTGGTTAAAGACGGTCGTGGATACGTCAAAGTCCTCATCCTCATGGCTGACGCTGACGGGCTCAACCAGGGCTAAGGCCCCAGATCGTTCGACAAGTGCGCCTTGTAATGCACTATGCCTTGTCATATACATATACAACGATCGAAGATTGATTGATTCTTCTGAATCCTGTTGCATTGCATTTCTGCGCTGCGGAACAGGACTAGACCAGCCTAGATGAGCGGTCTCAAGTCAAAAAACCCGTCGTTCAGACCTTCGACATAGCTCGAATTCAGTAACTCCGAGTCCAATAAATCCTGTAACCAGTCGTTCGCCTGGCCCGGGCCCTCCATCCTCTGTTGAAGCCGGCCAGGACCAGTGGTGGTTTGGGACAGCTGCGGAAGTCCATGAACGAAATCCTCGTCATTTTGAGACCGAGTGTGATCCGGCCCGGGTGTGCTCGCCGTCGTGGCCGTATTTGAATCGTCGGCCGGTCTCGGGCGATGTGTAGTTGTAGTTGTGGTTGTAGTTGTATTGGTATTTGTCAGTGACAAGTCTGGGCGCGACGCCACAGCCTCGAACACTCGTAAAGCCCAGATGGCGCTTGGCCAGTGTTCCCCGATGCTGCCGAGGTAAGAGAGACCGGCGTGGATGTGTGCCTTCGCCACCAGTCTGCGGGGCTCGGTGGCCGTGGGATCCAACGCCACTTCAACTTGGAGAGCAAGGAGGGTCGAGGTGCAAATCACACTAGAAGTCATCGTCAGAACCGTTTCACACTCACACGAGATCTTGCGGTAAGAGCCTAGTGAGTAAAACAAGAATAAGATCCGCGGTCGGGCGAAGGCACGGTGAACTCACATGGATGCCGGGCAGAATTGACCCAAATTGTGTGTCAGTACCCTTCCAATCACGGTATCCAACTCAAACACCGAGCTGTAGAGACGTTGAGAGGCCCAATCCAAGTTCGCGTTCGTATCCGCATCTGTGTCGGCGTTCACTCCGTCCATGGTCACTGTGCGTAACTGCTTTTTCACCTCTCTGTAGAAGACGCATTCGAGTCGGTAGCTCATGGCTGCCAAGACAAGAATCCAGACGTTTTCCTTGGACCATCGTACCACCATGTCGACCGAGAGCTCTGCAGGGAGCGAGCTTCGCCAGTGGGAGATGGCTTCTGCCAGTTCATATGCCGCTGCGGCGGTGACCGGGGTGCTCGAGAATCTAAACAAGCTCAAGAATTGTGCTCCTGATCGGATGAACTAGCGTGTTAGACCTTATACGGAGTACTGTCATGAGACTTCCTTCTTGGGCAGCAAATCTCATACCTATCACTGCTAGCTTACAATTCTCGATGAAGTAGATCTTGTGCAGGCGAGTCGCTGGAGGCAGGACTTTTTCCGAGCCTGGTGGAAGGTGCTCATGGTCCCAGTCGTCTTCTCTTAGCGTTGTCGTGTCCATTTCGTCGTCGTGAATCCCACGGACGTTTTCGAGTCCTGATATTGAGAGTAAGACGTCTCGTTGCTGTGTTCCCACCAAGCCATCAGTATTAACCCCGCGGTAGCAGTACCTGAAGATACCCACGTAAAGAACCCACCAAATTCGCCGACATAGCTTGTAAGTGGCGGGGTCGAGATCTCCGCCAATGTTTCTGTTGCAGTTCAGGTGATATCAGCTCAGAGGACATTGTCCCAGCCTCTCAGATGCAAGCATTCAGATTTGTAGGGATGGTGAGGATATGAAATCAACTTACTCTCGATGGAGTCCCATCTGGGTTGCTATTCGAATTGCGTTGTGCAGCCAGAATCTGTAGTCTTTGTCGGGGGCAATGGAGAACTGAAGGGAACTTAGTAGTAAGGAACCCTGCAGTAGACGTAATTGTCCTTTTTCACAGCCAAGGTCAAATAGCAGCTTTGCCTTCTGAGAGAATGACTTCTGTGCAGCGGACCGATCTGGAAATCCCGCCTCGTGCAGCAGCTGAGCAGACGCATACGGGGCTGCATTGGCAAAAATAGATTGCAGCAGGAAGGTGGAGCAGTTTTCGCGCTTGTAGTCTTCCAGGAAGCCCACCCTGTCTAAGATGGGCACATAAGGATATATGCATTCAAAGAACAGATGTAACAGGTCATCACTGAGGCCTGGTCAGCACTTGGCGCGACGCCAGTCAATTCCGAGCCTCTCGACGAGCAAGTGGAAGGAAAGCGTACCAAACTTTTCTGGACGGAAGGTCATGGGCGCCCTTCTCAGTCAGATAACGAATATCAGCGGGCTCCAATCCGGTCAACTCTCGTTGCTTGGCACTGAGCGTTTCAGGGCCAGAAACGACAATGCGAATCAACCTTTTCCGCTCCCGCGACCCTAGCACGTCTCCAAGAATAGTGATGGAATTCAGTGGGCCGTAGTATTCTATTATCTGGCGGCCTTGACCGGAGGACAACAGTGTTGTAGGAGAAAGATGGGCGCCATGTCCGCTGGTGATCTGGTGGAGGGTGTGTAACTGGGCGTCTTCCTCGGCCACGGTGTGATCTTCGCTTTGGGAGTGGGACGGCTGTCTTTCCATTTCAGGCAACGGTGGAATGGTTGAGACCGCCTCGCCTTCAGGGCAAATCTGACTGAATATGGTGGCTCTTTCATCCTGGATGGCGGTTTGGTCCATACGATTGAGCAAGGAGTCGAGTTCAAATGTATGTGTTGAGTCTGATAAGGGTGGCGGAGTGGTTGGACCCGTCTTTTCGACGTACATGAGGCTGTCAGCGAAGGATGCTCTGATTGCCTCCTGCGGCGGAAATGTGTATGTGCATGTGCTTAAATGGCTTACCCTGAAGGTGTCAAGGTTGTTATGAAGAGAGTCTGCTGTCCTGTGCTCTCTGCTGTCGCCATCTGGCACTTGGTTGTCAAGTCGTTGTCGTTGCAATGGGCGGTCGGACTCTTTTGCGCTGCAACGTCTCTTATCGGCCCTGTGGGTGGTGAGATGTAAGCTGGGCCATCTGAATATAGATTTCTAGTGCTCACTTCTTGTACTTGTCATTGAGTAAGGCACAGCAGCCGGTCCTGCTTTTAGATACGCAGCGTGAACATGGGATGCCGACGGCGGAGGAATCGCAACGCACTTTGCGCTCGTGGCAAGGAATGCAGGCTCGGGATTTTTTGATGACCTGGTAAGGGCCTTGGACAGTGACCATCATGGCTTTCCAGCCGGTGGCAAGGTGGATAGGTTGTGGCTTGTTGGGGAATGATGGTGGTGGTGGTGGTGGTGGCGGTGGTGTTGAAGTTGGAAATTTACAGTCTTGCTGAGCTGCGCTGCGGGGGAACATGAGTGTTGGGCGCGGGGGAGCTCCATTCTCCACACCACTTAGGTGCTACTGGACACGGGGGTGAGTGCGAGTGAACCTCGGGGAACAGACCTGCGGGGAGCTTAGGGATGCGTAGTCTAGGGGAACTTAGGGGCAGCCTTAGTGGCAGGCTCAAGGGCGTGGGCCCAGAAGGGGCCAAAATTAGGTAGGCTAGACACCTACTAGGTTCGGCTATAGGTTTATTGGGGGGCTGGCGAGCTCTAAGGTAATTAGAGTCGAGGTACGGTGTACGGTGTACAGTACAGTACATACCTTGGGGGTTAGGGTTAGGGTTAGGGTTAGGGTTACAGATCCTCAGACATGTAGGTACCTGGTACTCTGCACTCAGCAGCGAGGGCAATGGACGGTGGACACCACTACATTGGAGGGTGGTACTTCATGTGCTCACCAATATAGTCACAGTACTACTCCATACCTAAAGGCACCTCTCTGTATACGGATGCCTCGGCTGGCAGAGCGACTACATATCTTATGCACTGCAACGGGCTGCACATATTTATGAAGGTAGTACAGTGACGGCGCATAGTAGTAGTTCAGCCAAGTCCAGCTGTGGTGTTATCTGCAGACTGCCAGTGATCAGTAACCGTAACGGACTTACCTCATACTAGCTGCCAGGAATCGGCGACATGAGACTGTATTCTATTGCCAGAGTTCGGCGCCGACGCAGCCTCAGGAGCCTTCCTGGTTCGCCGAGTTGACAGTGTGTGTTGTACGCGTACTGTACGCCGAATACGACCACATACATGTATCCGTACCCCATACGGAGTGCCATAGGTATCCTGTATCCTGTACCCTCGGCTCTCAGCATCTACCCTCTCCTCTGGAGCATTCTGCCGAGCGCTCTTCGGAGTCTTGTCATCTGGATTCTGAATTCTGAATGCCTCGGCTTGACCTTTTCGCAAGTCGTACGCTGACTTCGGCCCCGGCTGGGGGGAGGGAAGCCTTAGGATCAGACTCAGAATCTGGGAGCCACCGTGGTGGACCTTAATACGCGGTCGACCTGCTACAACTTGTAGTGAAGCACCACTGAGTCCCAGCCTTGCGTACCTTACCTTAGCCATATACAGAGCTGAACTGATTTTTCCATTCGCACTCGGTGCACATTGTCCCGACAGGCCCTTTCCCATCATCAACCACCTGTTGAACAGCTGGACAGGAAGAAGTAGTGCAACAGTCGACAATACTCTGAATTCCACTGGCAACCTGCCCATACCAGCAAGATGGCAAACATCCCAACCTACGTGTTGGGCGTAGGTTTGACCAAGTTCATCAAGCCCAGGGGCCAGGTCGAATACCCCGAACTAGGCTACGAGGCAGGCGTGAAGGCCTTGTTGGACGCCCAAATCACCTACGACGATGTGGAAACGGGCATCGCATGCTATTGCTACGGGGATTCGACCTCCGGACAGCGCGTCTTCTATCAGTTCGGAATGACGGAGATTCCCATCTACAATGTCAACAACAACTGCTCCACCGGTTCGACAGGGCTCCAGCTGGCGAGGACTCTCATCAAGAACGGTGCCGCAGATTGTATCCTGGTGATTGGGTTCGAGAAGATGAAGCCGGGAATGCTCCGGAGTAATTGGCCAGACAGACCAAGTCCTGTAGGATTGGTGAAGAAGATGACGGAGGTTACGGCAGGACTGGTGGACGCGCCGCCAAACGCTCAGTACTTTGGAAATGCAGGAAGAGAGTACATGGCCAAGTGAGTATCCCTGATGTCAACAGCACCTACCTACACCTACATCTAGACCTACGTTGGCACCTACACCGGAACCTCCATCTTCCATCTATTTGCATCTGCATCCACATCCATACTAAACAAGACGGTTTATTTGTTCACAGGTACGGCGCCCAAGCCTCGGATTTCGCCGAGATTGCTCGAGTGAATCACGAGCATTCTCAGCGCAACCCGTACTCCCAGTTCCGAGAGGTGTACAGCGTGCAAGAAGTGCTGGATTCACCGATGATCTATGCGCCCCTGACGAAGCTCCAATGCTGCCCGACCAGTGACGGAGGAGGGGCCGCAGTCGTCGTTTCGCAGAGATTTCTAGACTCGCGACCCCATCTGAAAGACCAGGCCATCCTGATTGCCGGGCAACAGCTCACGACGGATTCCCCACAGTTGTATTCCCGCAGTGCCATGGACCTGGTCGGGTTCGACATGACGAAGCGGGCGGCGCAGGCGGCGCTCGCCGAAGCCGGCGTCCAAGCGAACCAGGTCAAGGTGTGCGAGCTGCACGATTGCTTCTCGGCGAACGAACTCATCACGCTGGACGCCCTGGGCCTCTCGGAGCCAGGGAAGGCTCACGAACTGGTCCGCAGTGGTGGCATCACCTACGGCGGCCAGGTCGTGGTCAATCCGTCCGGTGGGTTGATCTCCAAGGGTCATCCGCTTGGAGCCACCGGTCTCGCCCAGTGCGCCGAGCTGGTGTGGCAGTTGCGCGGCTGGGCTAACAATCGTCTGGTCCAAGGCACATCTGTTGCCCTGCAGCACAATCTGGGCCTGGGAGGCGCCGCCGTCGTCACTGTGTACAAGCGGGCTGATGGCAAGACTAATTCCCCGGTGAGCAGCACCGACGTGGCTCGCATTTCCGCCGCGGGCTACAATCCGGCCGTCGAGGCAAGGGGTGTTACGGAAGCCGACGCCGCCAAAGTCCGAAGTAAGACCAAGAGAAGTGCCTGGGCCTTGGATGATGTGCAGGAGAGAATAAATGCGAGGCTGTAGTATGGCTTTGTCGGCAATCCCGCTCCAGACCTATATATCCATTATTAAGTTGATACCTATTCATTCCATTATCAAGGATGCCTATATATCCATTATCAAGTTGATGACTATATACTGTATGTAGCTGGACGAATAGATATCGAGGACTCTGTACTGCCCTCGCCTTCTGGACTTTTTTCCTTTTTTCCTCCTGGCGGGATATGTTAAATATAGTCATAGTCTACCGCCATACCTCAGAGAGACGTTGGAAATGCAGACAGTGACCTCTCGCAGTTCCGAAACTGGCCTACTAGTATTCTAAAAGTTGGCTATACTTGCACAGCGGCTATATGCGTACGGTTTTTTTTTTGGGTCAGGAAACTAGAAGTCTCTTCATACTGCCTTTTACTGCCGAGTTAAGATATGGCTATCTACTGCCTGTTACTGACGAGTTAAGGTATAGCTATATACTGCCTTTCACCGACGGAAGTCGTGCTAAACCTACTATGCATTGCCCACATGTCTCAACAGTATACTCGTACCACTCAAGTCACCGTACACTACAAGACTGCAATTGCATTGGGGGGACTCGCGAAGCCTCCTGGGACATTCAACGGGGCGCTGGTGAAGAAGAATTCCCACCGCTTTTCGGCCTTGCACACTTCAGACAGTTGCTCCAGATTGAACATCTCGCCAATCGGCATGCCAAATCTCGGAAGCAGGTATTCATGAAGCACAATTCCGGTGGAATCGAATGGGTATGCTTTGGCGCCGGCCAGGTCATTGATTAGCCTATATCCATATACAGTGCAGTGGGCATAGGAGTGGGCATGCGTGTGTAGTGTGCGGTGTGTAGTGTGCGGTGTGTAGTGTGCGGTGTGTAGTGTGCGGTGTGTAGTGTGTAGTGTGTAGTGCGTAGTGCGTAGTGTGTGGCGCCGTGTAGTGTAGATTCACTCACCTTCAAAGGTCAGCGTGTCGCCAGCCACGGCACTGAAATGATGGTTCCAAAGCCAGTCCCTCGACTGCTCGTTGGCCTGGATGCCGATGGCGGCGCAGGGCTTTCGGTCCATTGCTTCTTGCCGCTCCTTCGGGGACGCCTGCTCGTAGCGACGCACGAATCCCAGTCGTACCAAGAGAATATCTCCCGGCTTGAAGGTCACGTTTTGGAAGGCGGCCACTTGATCGAGTTCCGCAATGGGCACTTCATGTCGGGTCCAAGGGTCGGGCAGTTCAAGTCCACGTGCCTCTCGATAATGCACGTAGTCCAGAAGTACCCCTCTGCCTACAATACCACCGCTGTTGCACCAGTCTTGACAAGGTCAGTCAGTCAGAACAAATAAGTATCTAAGACGACACAGACGACACAACACAGACGACACAAGACTCACTATGGATTCCCAGAAACTCATTCTTTGACGGCGCAATCTCCGCATACTTGACGTTGTTGTAGAAGGTCCCCGTGCTCTGTTCGGCGTAATGGCCAAAGCCATCCTTTGCATCCGCCACTCAGAGGTCAGTTTCAGTTTCAGTTGGATACAATCACATCTCGTCGACCTCGACCTCGATCTCGACCACCCAAAGAACAAGGAATAGAGAGCCGACTTCGGTCATGTAGAAATAGTGAGCTGACTTCAGCAATCGACTCTAATTATGCCCTCGTGGATCGGTACATACATACCCATTGGCTACCTATCTGAGTATTGAAGGTGAGAACATCATCGTGGACGTATTTTCCGTTTACTTGGTAGTAGTCGATGACCTTCTGGACCAGTTTCTGTCGGTTGGCAAGTGCAACATCAAGATTCTCCAGAGACCAATCGAGCTGGACCCGGATGCCCTTCTGGATTTCATCTCTGGCCTGTAAGATGGTGGCAGGGGTGAGGAGATTAAGTGCTACGGACGGTCCGGTCAGATCAGACGGTTCGGTCGGTCTCAGTCTCGGTGCAGGATCAGGAGTCAACCCTACCTCCTAAACGGTCCTTCGCTTGACCAGCACCAGCCTTGTTCCACACTTGCCAGGCGTTTCCTTCCAGGGTTCCTGCTTCTGCTGGCCCTAAGAGTTCGGCATAATCGGTCAATGTAGCAGCAGACGACATCGACATGGTTGAGATTGAGATTGAGATCAGGGTAGGGTACGATGCCACTAGGGAAGGAAGCTGGGTACGATGCCACGAGGAAAGGAAGCCGGGTGCTATGTATTATGTATTTTTTTCCCGTCCGCACTGGATCTTGGGTCTGTGGCAGTCTCCCGACCCCGGAATCACTGACCAATGCAAACTCCTTGTCAGGCTGAACCGTTAGAGGATACAAATCCGGTGGCATTCATGTCAATTGTCAATGAATCGATGTGCAGTCGGACTACCCACCCACCACCCATCCGAGTCCGGCCCAAGCGAACCAGTATACGGATACTTCGTACCATGCTACGCAAGTCTTAGCCCACCGGGCAGGGATTCGCAGGTTCGGGAGACGGAGGACAGAGGACGGAGTACTGCAGTGTGAGATGCGTATCGGCGCCGAGCCGTGTCAGTGTGCGGATACAGTACATGGACCGAGCATACATCCCCACAAGAGTCTGTTAGGAAGGACACAACACATCTAAAGAGAAGATACTGCACACAAGGGTTCTGTAGTATATTGACAAGTAGACCTTCTATCTGAGATCGAGATTGCCGTGATTGTGATATTCGTATCTATTGGGTATCCTCGCACATGGCACTGTTGCAAGGAAAAGTCATCGCCATCACCGGCGCCGCCTCCGGCATTGGGCGCGCATTGTCCAGAGTATGCGCATCTCGTGGCGCCAAACTGTCCCTTTCGGACATACAACAGGGGCCGCTCGAAGACGTTGTATCGGAGCTCCAAGCGCAACATGTCGAGGTCATTGGGACCAAAGTCGATGTCGCATCCAACAAGTCCGTTGACGACTGGATCCAGGCCACGGTGGACCATTTCGGCCAGCTCGACGGCGCCGCCAACGTGGCCGCCGTGGATGCGGCAGTGCACAAGACGGGGGTGCCAGACGATTTTGCCCAGATCAAGAACGAGGACTGGGACTTCATCATGTCGGTCAACCTGACGGGGCTGATGTACTGCCTTCGCGCCGAGCTGCGCGTCATGGTTCGCGGCGCAGCCATCGTCAACGTCTCCAGCATTGCCGGGTTGAGTGGGCGACAGGGCCTGGGTTCTTATTCTACGAGCAAGCATGGAGTGGTCGGCGTCACCAGGACAGCGGCTAAGGATGTGGGAGCGAAGGGGATCCGAGTCAACGCGGTCGCACCGTAAGTCAATCCAGTCCAGTCCAGTCTAGCCTTGTCCAAAAACACCCCACCCTACACCGCACCCGGTATTTGAGATTGGTATTTGAGATTGTGTCGGAACGAACGGCTGAATCAAGCATCCTCAGCGGTCCTATTGAAACACCTATGTTGCGAAGAGTGCTCAATGACACTGGAGTCGCGAGCGGAACCGGAAACGAGGTTGATCCCTTGGCGGACATCTACGCCAATGTGCCCTTGAAGCGCCTGGGTCAGCCTGAGGAAGTGGCCAAGGTTATCGCCTTCCTGCTCAGCGATGATGCGAGCTATATCACAGGACAGGTGTACCCTGTGGATGGAGGTGCGACTTGTTGAGGGAGTTTCCCGTACACTTGAAGTACAAACAGAGTATTAACTCTACGAGTTGAGAGTGGGAGTTACTGTATGGGCAAACTATGGTATACTGTATATATACTGTAGCTGGCCAACTCCCGTAGATGTTCGGCTTGCGATTTGGGTAATCGAATTCAATCAATCTCTCACCGTGCCCATGCTGTTACTGTTGATAGGACTGATCTGAAGAAATGATGAGGCTGATTCATCCATCATCCATGGGTACCATTCTGATTCTGCAATTCTCTTTACTCTTGAATCGTCTACGGAGTACGATCCTGCCAGCCACTTCCCAGGTCACCACGTCGTCCTTGCCGCCCTTGCCCCTTACTGGCACTCAGCCCAGTCCAGCCCAGCCTTTCACCGAGGCTGTCAGTGGGCAGATCAATATGTCAAGTTCACCATGATGGTCTTCGTCTCAGTAAATGCCCGGAGCGCATGGATGCCGCATTCACGGCCGATGCCGCTCTCCTTGGTTCCGCCAAACGGCGAGTTCAGCATCATCAGACTGACGCAGTTGACACCCACCATGCCGGTTTCAAAGTCGGACGCAATGCGGAGTGCTCTGTTGATGTCCTGGGTGAAGACGCCGGCCATCAAACCGAAGTTGGTGTCGTTCGACAAGGCCATGACTTCCTCTTCCGTCTTGAACGACTTGACCACCGAAACAGGGCCGAAGATCTCCTGGCAATGGATTTCCGAGGCGGTGTCGACGTCGGTGAAGACGGTAGGTTCGATGAAGAAGCCCTAGCAAGAAGTTCCCTGTCAGCGAGGATTTCTTGTATGTCTTAGACATCAAATCCAAGACCCGCAAGGCATGGGAGCACATCTTTCAAAGCCAGTCGAGTCGAGTCGGGACCTTCATAGTCCAAGTTGAAGGCAGCCCACTACCTGGACCTGAGCGAAAAGAAAAAGAGAAAAAAAAAATGAAAACATACCTTATTGCCCACCCGCCGGCCACCGACCAGGAGCTTGCCCTGGCCATGCTGTCCGCGCTCAATAAAGCCGTTGACACGGTTGAACTGTGCCTCGTCCACTACCGGTCCGATGGCGGTGCTCTCCTGCTCCGGGTCACCGATTGACCCTGTGAGTGCCTGTAACCTCTGCTTGTACTGCTGGATGAACTTGTCATAGATCCCTTCCTGCACATAAACCCGAGTGGCAGCGTAACAGATCTGGCCTGTATTGGCCGTGAGGGCTCGCACCGTCCAGGTCACTGCGTTCTCCAAATCGCAGTCATCGAACACCACCGCGGGCGACTTACCGCCCAGCTCAAGGGTGACTCGCTTCAGGTTGGACCGTGCGGCCAACTCCTGGACTTTCTTGCCCGTGGCGACGCTGCCGGTGAAGCTGACCTTGCGGATTCGCATGTGCGCGGAGATCAGGGCGCCCGTGCTGCCGTCGCCACTCAGGACCTGGAAAACGCCCGGTGGAAAGCCGGCCTCTTGGATGAGGGCCCCGATGGCGAGCGAGGCAAACGGCGTCTTTTCCGACGGCTTGAGGATGAAGCAGTTCCCCGTGGCGAGCGCCGGGGCTGCTTTGAACCCCATGGTTGCTATCGGCCCGTTCCACGGCGTGATGCCTGCCGTCACTCCGAGAGGCTCATTGCGGATGATCTTGAGAAATCCATCCTCCTGAGGCAAGGACTCGCCTGTAAATTTGTCGGTCCAGCCAGCATTATACCTAAATGACTGGATACCCATGCCACCTTCAGCGTCAGCACACTGACCCTGGGACTTCCCCTCGAGGGAAAGAACATCTTGGACGCACCTCAGAGCCCAGTTTCAACTCGCCTTTACCCATATCCTTGGGGGATCCCAGCGTGATTCTTGTCAGCTCTGTCAGAGCTGCTGCATGGTGCTCTAGAAGGTCGGCGAACTTGAGCATTATGTCCCTTTTCTGTGTCGCTGGAGTATTCTTCCAGCGAGGCAGAGCCTTGACGGCAGCGAGGACTGCAGCATCGACATCCCCCTCGCCAGCTAGAGGAACGTCGTCGGCAACCAATGAGCCATCCTTGGGGTCGTAGACGGCGAGTTTGTTCGGATTCTTCGAGTCGACATATTCATTGTTGATAAAGAGCTTCTTAGGAAGGTTATCCTTGGAGAAGTTGAACGCCATGGTTGATGAACTACTGTAATTTGGAATTGGGCGCCACGAGAGAAATCTAGTGACTACGGTGTGAGAATGGTCGGACGTTATGATAACAGTCTGCCCCTACAAGACTGTGCAGTAAAATAGGAGAGCGGTTGGGGCCATGTGTGCGCACTACATACATACTACTGGGAATAATTACTGTATACTAGTCAACGGCTCTACCAGAAGCTGGGATTCAGTGACCGTCCCGGCCCGGGAGCCGCGTTGGACGAGGCCGAGCTGGTCTGGTCGGTCGGCGAACTGCTCGGTGTTTTGGACTTGTGCTTCTCTGCTGGCCTTACGACTGCCTTGCCCCAACCCCGGAACAAGAATTGTGGGGTAAACTATGTACACTACAGTACTGTACTCTATATATCCCCAGACCTCGGTTGGTGATGTTGTGATACCGATACATGCTCCGCCATCCCCTCGTTGTTCAATTGTTGTTGTCGCTGTCGTTGTCGACGGTTACAGTACCCTATACATACTACAGTACTACAGTACAACCTCCCCGTTGCCCTCGTTGCACTCTATTTGCGCCCATTAGGGTTAGGGTTAGGGTTTCGACCGCCAATATGAAGGCCGCCCAGTTTGACATGGTAAGTAACAAAGTGGACTTGACCTGCATGACCACTATTACTACGCTGGATGTTCCATGATTTTACGTTGACGGGAGACATGACATTGTACAGACGAGCCAGAAGGTGGTGATAAATGACGTGCCGATCCCTGAACCCAACCACGACCAATTCCTCGTCAAGATCAGAGCGGCATCCCTGTGCCACTCGGATTTGATGGTGGACACCCGGCCGGCATCGGGTGGGCCGTTCACCATGGGCCACGAAGGGGTCGGTTACATCGAGCGGATGGGGCCTGGAGCCGAGAACAGAGGGTTCCAGGTGGGAGATGCGGTCGGCTTTCTCTATGTCATTGGATGCTGCTATGAGTGTGAAGGCTGCTCGATCCAAAATGTATTCTGCACCACCGGCAAGCCACTCTTCCAAGGCTTCATGGCCGACGGCTTCTTCGCCGAGTATGCCGTGGTGAACTGGCAAAACGCGGCCAAACTGCCCAGTAGTATGGACATCAGACGATCTTCTCCGTTGTTTTGTGCTGGAATCACAGGTAAGGGCATCCCATCCACAGCAATCTTTTACCCCTTTCATTGGTATCAGTATCAGTTCGCCTACAGCCACTTTGTAGCATTGCTAACTTGGAAACTTTTGAAAATAGCCTTCAATACCATCGACAGCTGCGAGCTGCAGCCCGGCCAGTGGCTCGCCGTCGTCGGCTGCGGTGGCCTCGGCCAGTTTGCCACTCAATACGCCAAAGCCATGGGATATAAAGTGGTGGGGATCGACATCAACGACAGTGTGCTGCAGGTCTGCAAGCGACTCGGGGCTGATGCCGTCTTCAACTCGCGCACCGACGAGAACTATGTCGAAGAACTGAAAGCGCTCACCAACGGCGGTGTGCATACTGCCGCAGTCTTCAGTGGTTCCAATGTTGCCTATGCAGGCGCCCCGGCCATCCTCCGAACCGGCGGTCTTCTGATGCTGGTCGGTCTTCCACCGAAGCCGGTCGAGATCTCGGCCCTGCCTTTCTGTTTGGGCGCATATAGGATCAAGGGCGAGAGCATCGGCACTCCGCGACGGATGCAAAAGGCCATCGATTTCACCGCCAAGCACAACATTGTTCCCGACGTCGATTTCCGGGATTTGGATGATCTCGAGTCGATCGTTGAAGATTTGAAACAGGGCAAAGTCACCACGCGGATAGCCTTTCTCTTCTGAATGTGCTGCTGAATACTTCCCGGTCTCTTGCCATTGAAGCAGCTCTGCCAGAACTCCTCGTTTGCTGTAACTGCCATTCCATCCATCCCAGTCAAGTGGTTCCTGAATCTGAACCTGAGCCTGGCCCCAGACAACTCGATTGCTGAGCTAGCAAATACTGTAAACTGGTACTGGCTGGTCATCGGGCCGGTCATGGTCATGTCATGGAGTGTCTCAGGCTTGAGTCGGCACCGGCACCGACTCCCTTGGTAGGAGAGGAGGTGACATGGATGCTTTGGTATAGTATCCGTATATCACTCGGTCTTGATGACTTGGCTTGAACTTTGACCGAAACTCTATCATATACAGATACACATACACATGCACACGTTCCGTCTCGTATCTACAACAAGGAATAAACTGTACCCTATTACCCCACAACTCTCCCCCGCGATCTCTTTTTTCTCCGCAATTTCTATCATGCCCTGGCTCAATCTAGCCCTGGAGAACCGACCGACCGAGCTTTCCCCCTGTTTGTATTCGGCGCCGAGATGTGAGTTCCAACGGGAAGGGGCCAAACTTTCTACGGACTCACTGTCATGGACTGCGGGCGAACATGTTCAAAAGGCGTCGACCCTGCCCTCCTGATCAGAGGGCTGGGCACCGGCATCAGCATCAGCAAAGAATAACAGTGGAAAGTCACCATGACGACTAATACTGATACTGCTACTGATATTCCAGTCTCGGCGCCCCATGCGGCCGACGCGCCCGAGCGTCGACGACACTACACAACCTACAACGTGGCAGTGATTCTGTTCATGTCGATTGGGTCCCTCTCGTACGGCTACAGCGCATCGATCATCTCGACCACGCTGGGCCAGCCGTCCTTCATCACATACATGAAGCTCGACACAGCTTCGAACGCCTCGGCCTTGGAGGGAGCCATCACTTCGCTCTACTTTGTCGGAGGAGTATTTGGCACCTTCCTGGGCAGCTACGTGGCCGATCGATGGGGGCGAGTGCGCGCCATCGGGCTCGGAGCGGTCCTGATGGTCATCAGTGGTGGTTTACTGGCCGGCAGTACGGCTGTTGCCATGTTCATCACTTTTCGGTTTTTCAGTGGAATGGCGTACGTCCACATCCCAGTTCACATGCACTATAGTCACGGCAACGTTGTGACTTCTGGAGATTTCGATTTCGCTGACCCATCAAATTGAATCTAGAGGATATATTCTTATTGCCGGCGTGCCGTTGTGGATCATCGAAATCGTCCCTCCTGGATCCCGAGGCATGTTGGTCGACATCCATCCGGCCATGTTTGTCTTTGGATACCTCGTCGCTTGCTGGACCGGAGTGGGATTCTACTACGCCCATGGCAGTGGTGGCATCCAGTGGCGAATCCCTATAGGTGAAGCTGACCCCAAACGTTGGAAAAACGTCTGAGGTGTAATGTCTAATGTTGATGGCCCGACAGCTGTCCAATGCGCCTTTCCTCTGATCCTCCTGTGTGGTCTGAAGTGGATGCCGGAATCGCCGCGGTTTCTCATCTCCAAAGATCGCACCGACGAAGCCTGGCCCGTCCTCAAGCGACTACATAATCGACCCGACGACCCAGACGACCATTACGCCAAAGCCGAGTTCTATCAGATCAAGAAGCAGCTGGAGCTGGACAGACAACTCGAGTCGTCGTATCTCTCCCTCATCACCAACAAGTCGTATCGGAAACGTCTCGTTTACGGGTCTCTTTGGATCTTCTTCATTGAAAGCTCTGGAGTGCTCGTCATCGTCAGTAAGTGCGGTCATGAACAATGATGTCTCTCTGTCTCTCTGTGTCTATTTTACTAATCAGTCAAAAGCATATGCATCGACCTTCTATGGCCTTCTCGGCTACGGGCCAGCCAAACAGTTATCTTTCACCGCGGGATGGATGACCATCTCCTGGGCATCGTGCGTCGGTGCCTGTTTCACCGTCGATCTGTTCCCACGCCAAATCACCGCCGGGTTCGGCTTGCTGGGCTGCCTGGTCTGCTTGGTGGTTGAGAGTGTCCTGATCGCCCTATTCGTTGACCAGGCAGTGCCGAACGAGGGTGCGCTCGCAGCCGCGGTGGCCATGATGTTCCTTTTCCCCGTGTTTTTCTCCTTCGGCCTGGACGGACCAACCTTTATCTTTCTGGGAGAGATCTATCCGAACCATCTTCGATCTATGGGGCTCAACATAGGCCTGGCGGTTCATGCTCTGACCAATGTGATTTGGCTGGCGCCTTGTGCGGCTGGTTTGAAGTGAGTAGTCTGCATATTGCCCTACACTTACCTAACTCTTACTCTTACACCTAACCTACTCTTATTCTTACACTACACTTGCCCTACTCTGACTCTTGCCATACACTTACCCTACACTAACAATGCACTTCCAATTGCTGATCGAGGAGTAGAGCCATTGGCTGGAAGTATTTCCTTCCTCTGATCTGCGTCTCGTTCGTGGGAGTCGTCTCCATCTTCTGGTTCTACCCAGACACCCGGAGGCTTCCTTTGGAAGAAGTGGCCAAGATCTTCGGGGTAAGTCGCCAATTCCCATCCCCATCTCATCCCGGACAAATCTCAAGATGCTGGACCTGAACCCGAAACTAGACATGATGTTAATGAACCTTTTTGTGCTCTAGGACGATGAGTTGGTTGCCGTCTATCAAAGGGATCTAGAAAGCGTCGAGATGACCGACCCCAAGGCCTTTGAGACTGAACACGTTGAGATTGTGGCAAAGCGTACAGAGGGTGAGGGTGTTGCCTGAGATTAAGAAAAGTTTGGAGGAGAGGTTGAGTACAGAGGGCGGGGTGTAGGAATGGTTGCGAGATTGAGTACAAGTGCAAAGGACGACGCCTATTCTAGGAAACGAAATCTTTCCGGGTTGAGTAATAGGTATCAGTGCCCTGATGTAGAGTACATCACATTCACTTCCGTACCTTGAGGTCCCTTAGGGTAAAGGAAAGGGTAAAGCTGTCAAAGGTTGAAATGTGCCATATTCTTTCTCAAGGTATGGGGGGGAGCCCAGACTATATAGTGTATTATAGTATACCTAGACCAGCCTTCTGGTTAAAGAGCAAGGCTGGGAATGCCTAAGTTTGACACTTTCACCTCAAGTGAAAATAAACACAATGGTCATAGAAGTGTGTCGTGGATAGTGCGTACCCTTCTCCTAGGAGGTCTTGTGTTCGCAGACTAGAATCTGTGCCCAGGCTGGGTTTCTGAAGGATCTTGGTAGGCAGGCAGATACTGGGCTATCAATATAAACACACCATCCTGGATGATCTATATGTTCTTGTGGATCAGAGTTGCAGACCCCTTTGATGGAAAAGTCTTGGTCAGCTACTGTCGACGGTAAATCCCATTCCATCTTTGATCTTTGGTGCAAGGAATGAAAGTGACACTGCAGTATCAAGGGGATTGGATTGGGTTGCTTAGTATCAAGGGGATTGAATTGGGTTGTGTTTAGAATGGCCTAAACGCGACAAACTGGGTCGGAATGTACGGATACAGTAAAGTATAACCGTGACTGACTCACTCACCTGATGATTTGGCAAGATCAGAGTATCGGCCACAACCACATTTTCTCTCCTCCCCGCCGCAAAGACGATGAGTTCGGCGACATCTTCGGCGGTTAGAGGCTCACAATCTCTGGACAGGGTGTCAGCGTCAATAGATAGACGCATGCTTGAGCTCCAGTGTCTGTGTAAGGAAAGAACGACGAGGGATAAGATATGGATGGTGGATGGGTCTTTGTCTTGCACTCACGCATAACCTGCTTCCGCCTTGCTCTTGTCACCGTAGTAACGATGCTCAGAGAACTCCTGCCGCGGTTGTCAGCGGGTAAACCGTGTTCCAGATCTGGCCTCGTCTCCACGTACCGTCTTGACTTGGCCTGGATCAATCTCAATGATGCGAATCCTCGAGGCAACCAGCTCTTGTCTGAGAGCCTGGGTGAAACTCTTGGTCGCGGCCTTCGTTGCACAGTAGACGCTGGCGCCGGCGTAGGGCTCCCGCCCAGCAATGCTTCCGACATTGATGATGTCGCCGGCGCCGTGGGTAGATCTTGCCAGCATGACGGGGAGGACTGCTTGGGTCATGCCAATGAGGCCGTGGACATTGGTGTCGAGCATGAGTCGCACGTCGTCCATGGCGATATCTGGGGCTCTCGCAACCCCTCGACCCAAGCCTCTAGAGCGGTGGGATTCCTGATTAGCAGATAGACCTAGACGCAGGAAAGGGAAAGGGAAAGGAACAGGAACAGGAGGACGACACCGACACAGCAATAAGATGCTGGATTCGAGTCGATTCGACTCGCCGCCCTCCCATGCATGTCAGGAAAAGGGGAAGACCAACGCATTGTTTACAAGAATGTCAATGTCCCTGAACTCTGCCGGCAACCCATCCAAAAACCCCGCCACGTCGGCTGGGTTGCTGACATCCAGCTTCACGGGGAGAACCTGGACCCCGTCGCCGACCAGGTTCTTGATGTCCTCAGCCAGCTGCTTCAACCGGTCCACTCGTCGTGCGGTGATGACCAACTTGAGATCCCTGGGCGACGTGCGCGCGAACTCGATCGCGGTGCTACGCCCAATCCCAGAAGACGCACCTGTGACGACGATGGTCTTGCCCGCGAGCCATTCTGCCATGGCGCTTGACATCGTGCTTCGTGCCTCCGTCTCGTTGGTGTTTGACGGTGCAAGTGCAAGCAGTACCGGTGATCCAGAGACAAGCCTACGACAGAGGCCGTGACTTACAGTAATGTTCTCTTTACTGATCTTGATAAAGAAAGGGCCCGCCCAAGCTGGCATCAGGATGCACCGAGTACGAGTACTTGTACTTCTGTACCGAGGTCAAGGTTAGGATATATCATCAACCCCGAATTCTACTTCTAGTTCGGCGCCGACAGCGGGAAGCCGAACCCGCATGCAGGAAGCTCGGAGCTGTAGACCATGCCCAGGCCCATAGTGTTAGCACAGCCTTGTGGCTATGTATTTGCCCCAGTTCTTGTTAGGTGGCCATGGAGTGACAGTAACAGCCTTGTGGCTATATGTTTGCCACGGAGTGACAGTATATACAGTAGGTACTGTATGTACAGTATGTTGCCCAATGAACCTTACCAGGCGGGACCCGGGCTTAAGCCAGCGTTTTGTCCGACCCGCGAGGCTGTGGGTTTTGGCTTTTCCCTTTACATTAGTAATGATGTATCTATATCCACAATATCCTGGTCAATGCAGAGAGAGAGAGAGAGATTGCCACTATTGAACCTTGGAGACAAGGGATAGCTACCGTACCGTATATCCGTAAATCCACCTAGGTATCCATATACTACGTATACTATTCACTATATAGTATTTAACGCGCGCGCACACCCACACTCATATACACTTACACACTGTCACACACACAGTACAACCACTACTACAATCATATCGACCATGTCGGAACTAGAGCATGAGAATGAGAACCCTATCCCCATACCCATTCCTCATCGCGCAACCTCCATCCTCGTCATCGGCGCCGGCGAACTCGGCACGGCGATCCTAGCCGCGCTGACCTCGCACCCACAGTACGACCCATCGAGGACCAAAGTTGCACTGGCCCTGCGCCCAACCACCCTCGGCAACCCGACGCCCGAGAAGCGCGCACAGCAAGACCGGTTTCGCAGCCAGGCCATCGACCTCGTGGCGGCGGATCTGGAAGCCTGGTCCGAAGATGAACTGGTCACCATGCTCCGCGCCGGTGGGTACACGACGGTTCTGCATGCGGGTGGCTTTGGCGCCGCGTCGGGCACAATGACCAAGTTGACCCGGGCGGTGTTAAGGGCTGCAGCATCCGCATCCGCCCACAACTCAGAAACGGAGATGGCAAGCGCGAAGGGGAACGAGCATAGGAACGAGGGTGAGAATGGCAATGGTAACGTCGAGTTCTACGTGCCCTGGCAGTTCGGGGCGGATTATGATACCATCACCCGCGCCGGCGGCCAAGGCATGTTCAGCGAGCAGCTGGACGTGCGGGATTTGCTACGGTCCCAAGGGAAGGTCGACTGGGTCATTGTCAGTTGTGGCATCTTTATGAGTTTCTTGTTTGAGGAGTTTTGGGGCGTTGTGCAGCGACGTAGGGAGGGGGTGTCACACCGAAAGGCTGATGTAGCAGTTGAGCCACAACAGGGAGATCAGCCAGCCAAAGAACAAGTCCTGATTCTGAGTCCAGGCGAGACGGCACAAACGGCACAGACAGATACAGAGGGAGGTGGTGCTGGTGCCGGTGCTGGTGCTGGTGCTCGCAAAAACAGCGACAGCACCCAACCCAGCATCCAAATCACAGCCCTCAACTCCTGGGACGACTGGATCACCACCACCACAGCGACCGACATCGCAAAATGCACCGCCTCCATCCTCTACAGCCCCGATCCTCATCCTCATACGCCCATCAACCAACCCGTCTACATCGCCGGCGACACGCTGACGTACGGCGAATTCGCGGACACGATTGCCCGGGCTACAGGCCGATCGGTGACCCGCAGAGTATGGCCACTCGAGTACCTGCGCGAAGAGAGCCGAGAGGACCCCGAAGATCAGCTGAAGCGGTATCGAGTCGTCTTCGCTGAGGGCAGAGGTGTGAGTTGGCCCAAGGAAGAGACGTGGAGCGCGGAAGCTGGGATCGAGATGGAAACGGTGGAGGAGTGGGCAAGGAAGAATCTCACGTGAAAAGAAATAAAACAGAAAACAACACAAAAACCCACAAGAAGCATAAGCATAAGAAGCACAAAAGAGAAGCACGCACCCTAAGTGTCTAACATTAGGAGGATCATCTCAATCTTTGTCGGGAGGGTCACTGTCACGGTTGACTTAGACTATTACACCACGACAGTCGCCAAAAAGGACGAAGTAACTAATTCACTCGCGAATTAGCCACTTGGTGTATATAACTGTCACAGTCACAACACCAAATCGCTTGTCTCGCTTTATCGTATCCCGTGCCTGCCCTGTTCCTACCGTGTAGGGCTTAGGTCTAGTACATATCTCGTGTCTATCTTCATCCTCTGAAATATATCTAATATACGCTTTATGCCTATATCTAACACGAGCGTACGCCTGGTCTATTGTTCTAGAGTAGAAAGAAGGGCGACTAAAACATAGTAGCCTATAGATGTATGACTCTGTCCTTGTCCTATTGATAGATACACACCTTAAGATCTTGAAAGGGCGACTAATAATGGAAAACTAGTTACTATAGACACAGCACCGAATTACCTAATTTCTGCTCTAATATAAGAGGGTGGACGACTTATATATATCATGAATATATATAATGCTGTCGATAAGGCGGACGGCCGCTTATAGTGGTAAGATGTCTAATCTATCAGTCACGAACACGCGACCGAGTCACTGAATTCTATATATTATATAGCGCGGCGGACGACCACGTCTTATCGTAACTAGACAGCTTGTGATTCTATTGTTAGAATGGACGGACGCTTTATAGATATAGAATACTAAGAACACGTGATAGAGTTATTAGATTCTTTATATTATATAGCACGGCGGACGACCACGTACTTATCGTAACTAGACAACTTGTGATGCTGTCGTCAGAGCAGATGGACGCTCCGTGGCTATAGAATACTAAGGATACGTGATAGAGTCATCGGACTCTTTATAATATATAGCACGGCGACGACCGCGTCCTGATTATAATAAGACAGGTGATGTTATCGTTAGAATGGACGGCCGCTCTATAGCCTTGTCATGCTGAAACACCTCTATCGCTGGATTCTATATTATCTAGCACGGTGGCGACCAGATACTCATCGTAACGAGATAGGTGATATTACCGTCAGAACGGACGGCCGCTTTATAGCTATAGAATACTAAGAATACGTGATAGAATTACTAGACTCTATATCTTATATAGCACGATGGCGACCATTTACTCATTGTAATGAGATAGGTGATACTGTCGTTATAACGAACGGACGCTCTATAGCCATGTCATGCTGAAACACTTATATCGCTGGATTCTTTTTATTATCTGGCACGACGGCGACCAGATACTCATCGTAACGAGACACGTGACGTTATCGTCAGAACGGACGGCCGCTCCATGGCCATAGAATGCCGATGAACACGACGGTCAAGGAATACGACAGGATTAGGGAGGGCGAATTGGCCATCGTCTTGATTGTCTAGCTCGCATTGCTATTTGATACAACAAACACGGCCCAGCGGGCTCTCTCGTTGGCCTCAGCCTTGCCTCGGCCTCGTCACTCCCCGTCTTGAAACTCGGGGTCGCTCTCCTTTGCGCGAGAGACGACCACGGTGCCGGTGGTGCCGGTGGAAGAACGACTGCTGAGAGAAGAGAGCTCAAAGTCGGACGAGTTCAGATCAGTGGCGCTGGGCCCGATCGAATGCATGCCAAGAGGGTTGAGCCACACTCCATGTCGCTTGCTCGCCTGTGAAGGTGTCTGGTTATCGTTTCCTCGGTCAGGTGCCCGAACCTTTCTCACAACAACCTCCTCTCCGTCAACGGCGTTGCTGGGACTGCTTCTATCAAGCACACCGACCTTGTCCTGATCCAAGCATCCGAACTGTTTTTTGATGTTGTCGATGTACTCTTGATCGAACCAGTTGGCTTTCCTCGCCAGACTGTCAACCCGCTTTCGTTCCCGACGGCGACTCATCAACCAGTAGCCAAGCGCACCGAGGATGAGAAGGAGAACCACCACAGTGGGAACCACGATGGCAACGATTTTGATGACTCGAGATTTGACCTGGTGCTCAGGGGTCTGTGGTCTGGTTGCGCTTGGAGCAGGGGACATGGTAGATGAAGGAACGGCCGGTGTAGTCATGCTGCTCGCTGGGGAGATCGTGGGAGAGGAAACCGTAGTGAAGTTCGTGGTCAGTTCACTCGTTGCAGCTGCTCCTGGGGACCAGGCAGACGACGAAGACACCATGAGTGAGGTAGAGGTTGGTATGACCGAGGTGACAGGCTCTGAAGTACTAACAGTCGGATATGAGGTCAAGCTAGATGAATCTGAAGTCATCGGCCCGATAGTAGACAGGATGCTCCATGGCGGTGGAGGAGGGGTGGTAATGCCAGTCACCGACATCGTTGGCAGGACTGACGGTAAACCCATGTTGTTGAGGGTAATGCCAGCGACGATGGGCGGAAGAGCAACGGTAGGAACAAAGGACGTGGCCAGGACCAGGGCGACTACTGTCATCAATGCTGTGAGCAACATGGTGTCTGTCAAGAGTTAGAAGATCTGAGCTAGTCAGCAGTGAGGAGAAGAACTCTTACCAGGCACGATGTCTCGATCTGTATCTACTTGGCAGAACGTTGTCTTCTTGAGATCGATACAGTTATCGAAGTGTGGAGTATTGCAAGGATGACAGGATGAAGTGATCGCAGGGAGGGATTCGCGAGTATCTGGAGTTGGATGAAGTGGTGATGAAGTGAAAATTGGGCGAGCGTAGTTGACGGAGGTCCCGCCGCCGAGTTATCAGTGTAGAGTCGGGAGTTGAGGACACAAGGCTTGGGAGTGCACAGTAGATCTCTGCTCTGAAGGTGACGGTCTCTGACGGACTTCGTTGCCCCCTTTTATCGGTCGACTTCGCAGTAGTTTGGCAACTAATCGTGGTGGGAGAGTGAGGAAACTGCGTTGCTGTCAAACTCGTCAATATAATGGACGGAAAGAGAAGCGAGTTGATGTTGAGGGCGCAGCCTGAAGGGAAAGATCGAGTGCTCGTCGATCTCTCTTATGACGGGAAAGTAAGTAGTACGTACCTAGAATACCCGAATTGGTCTCGGGAAGGCCCTCGAATGCTCTCTCAACAAAGACTGTGATACTCCTCGTGTGGAAGAGAAAGAAGAGTGGCGGTGAAAGTTTGGAAAAGTTTTGACACAGGAGAGTATTATAATAGATAGACGGCAGAAAGCGCGACTTCACTTAACACATGCCAGTGATCCTCGACTAGTTAGGTCGACATTAGAGCACATGCCGGTCTGGTCTTCAGTTATGTAACGGGTGTTGTGTCCTGTGGGCGGTCCTTTGTGGCAAAAGAATATCAAGCGCAGAGATCACGTCGTCTAGCAAACCAAACAACGAGCACATCTTTCAGGGATCATCCCTATTGCTAGCTGCCGTAAATTGCCGACAGGTGACCATGGCCGGACTGCCGAAGGGAGGATCAAAACACATACTGGTAAATTGTTAGTGCGCTGCTCAATGTAAGGATGACGGAGACCAACAGGAATAAACAGGTAAGGCACCCGCTTTTCATACTCTTCCCATGCCTTCCCATACTTTTTGCGGCAACGCTCAATGTCCCGAAGCGCTCGATGTACAATCATCCCACTGAAGAAGACCGGGTAGAACCACGGGAAAGGAGACCGGAAGCCGGTCACTGCCCCCCAGGACAACGCGAAGAACAGATCGCAGGTATAGTGGATTTTGCGGGCATAGCCATCTAGTCACAAGTCAGCCGCAGAATAACAACAAACAGATAACGACCAAGTAACTTACACCATCCATCTACCAGGATCGTGCCGCCGCCTTCCGCTTTGATGACCTTGGGATTTTCGACCGTTTGCCAGGGTAGCTGGGGGAATGTCTTGCGAAGAACGAGACCGCCATTTTCTTTGGCCCGGAACCGATTTTTCTGGCTGTTTGTAGTGTCCCATACCCAATAGACGAACAAATATACCACGAACAGAGCGGCAAGAGCGTATTTGTTCCAGGTGTAGGTACTTGGGTCATGGTTTGCGAGATAGACGGTGCAATGACAGTAGGTGAGAGGCACGCCGGCCAAGTTCCAGAAGATGAGCATGAACCCCCATTTTTCGTAGTACATATCCCAGGTAGGGACAATCAACTCTTCGGCCTTGCTGCATGCGTTGGTGTACAGGAAATGGGCCATGAGAAGGAACCCCACCTCCCCAGAGACGTAGCCGTATCGTTCATATTGTCGGGCGGCTGTTCCCAATGTTGTGAGAAAGAGGATGAACCAGGGCATGCGGACTTCGAAGAACATCTTGAAATCGAGGATCCCGAACATGCGTGGATTGAGTTCGGCACCCATGAAAAAGTCGTACGGAAAGCTCCCGGTCATACGATGCTGCTTGCCACGATAGATGGCCGAAAAGTAGGCAACAATAGACACGAGGAAGCCCGAAAGAATGGCCACGGACATGAGCGGTCCAAACTCATCAATGATCTGGTACAGTTTGAAGACACCAGAAAAGTGTAGGCCGAGAGCCACGATGATGGTCGTCCACCACGACCACATTCCGGAGCAGTAGTAATCCAGTCGGCGGCCATTCTCGTGGGGTAGCGGCTTGCCTTTGGTCCAGATACCAGGCATCAAGCAATAACAAGCTCCTTCGAAGATGAGAAAGGTCCAGTACATTGCCCAGGCCTTCGCAGATGGCCAAGCACCAGAGTAGGCCATCCGAACGAGCCCACGGATGAACTCTCCCAGACTCTCACCTTCTTTCGGCATCGGTAGCTGACCATCGTAGTATGTTGCCCCAATCCACATATAATACATGAGGAGTGGGAAACCGATCATCATGGCTGTTACTCCCCATGGCCCGCCAAATTCGAAGTGACCAGATGTGTCGATCTTGGGGTCCATGCCGGGTTGCCAGCCGTCCACCAACTGCGCAGGCGGGACAGCCTGTTCATGAGCTGGCTTGCCGATAGTTCCATCTCCATTTGGCTGTGTCTTGAAATGGCCGTTAGCATGGCCGTTGGCATGGCCATTAGCATAACCATTCACAAGTTCCTGAGCTTTATTGTTGACGGCGGCAGTAGATTTCCGCTTGCGTTTACTTGTGCCGTTGCCCCCGGCGATGATGTCTTCTGAGCCCGTGGATATGTCTTGTAGATCGGGGTCCTCTGTAGCAACGACCGCCTTTCGTGTGCGTGGCTTCCGATAGGTGCCCGGGGTCTCGACATAGTCAGGGTAGACCGTTTTTCTGTCACCTCTGTTAGTGAGAAGTGAGGGAGCAGGTGAGGCGACGACATACCTAGGCGTCTTTCCTGCTTGGGTGCGTGTGACCGTCATGATGAAAGGAGCGTGTTGATAACAATATGAAAAAAAGGAAACGACCGACTTAGCACGGCACAGCCATGAACAACGATAAAAGGGAAGAAGGAAGTGATCGCGCGACTCGGAAGAAGTGCGAATTTCACCGCGCGGACGCGAGATTGTGTTTACCAAATTATCCAGTGGAGTCTTGGAGTCACCATCCTCCGCACAACCGAACCGCCAAACCACGTGCTTAGGTACGTACTGACCGCCCCCTTTCACGTCCAAGCGCATCTGGGGATCGGGATCCTAGGCACTTACGCCCTTACGCAAGGGACAAAGCAACGGCTTAGGGGCTTAGGGGCTTAGGGGCAGGTCCTTTGTAATAATGGGGCAGACAAATCTGCCTCTGTCTCATCGATATATTCATTCCAGCCATCTAGATGCGCTGTGCTGTGGACTCGATCAAGCGCTCAACTTGGGCAACCGTGACCCTACTATATACACATTTCGTCGAATCGTCAGGCTCAAATGCCATGCCGGTCATCAAGCACCCCGTCTATTATTCGTCGACATCAATGTAATCTTCTTCTTCTTGCCCTTCTTCGCTTGCCCGCCGAAGGGTCGAGGCTGCGAGCTGGAGCTGGCTCCACCAGCGAGACTGGCTTCGACCATGGCGACTGCCTCGCCATCGTCCAGCAAGTCCATTTCCCAGCCCTGAAGCCAGCCGTCATCGCGCGAAACAGACTCGGACTCAGGCGCAGCAACCAGGACTGGCGACGTGGCCGGAACAGCTGCTGTGCCCCAGACGGTTCTTGGTGCGTCGGGGCTTGTCCCAGGACTGGCCAACGGGGCAAACGAGGAATGTTTTCTTGTATTGCCCCACGGAGGAGTGGCGGCAAGAGCTGACTCTCCAGGAGAAGAACTCGGTTGAGCGTTGGTGTTAACTAGTGGCCGAAAATCTGCCTCGCTGAAGGTTTTGGAGACAGAGCTCGGCCTCCGCCTTCTTGCGGAAGCCCATCGTTTATCGTCTTCCTCCTTCTCTGCACGGATCCTATCTCTCTCTTCACGCGCCTCTTTTTCGGAATTCCGCTTCCGTCTCCTTGCGATATCATCACGGAATTGTTCCAGCACTGTTGGGCTGATGATATCGGTCCAATCACATTCCAGAAAGCTGACTTCGTAGCCATACGGCAAATGCGCCATGTACTTGGCCCGTTTGCGTAGGTCATCGTCTATGATGTGCCCAGTAGAGATATGCTCGACTCGCGGAAGGATTGTTGACGGAAAAGAGGAAAAGTCCCCAAAAGCAGTTTTGAGGATCCGTATGTCTAGCGGCGAAAGGAAAAAGTTAGGCAACGCGTGATAGAAATAGAAGGGATGTGACGGCGGACGAGCGCTTCCAGTCTCGGATGTCGTGATGGTGTTTGTAGATTTGGTGGGATTGGTTCCTTGTTCGAGCGACAGAGTCTTCATTGCAGCGGTCAAAGTTGACGGTCGTCCGTGGGCAGCTGTCTCACCGGACTCGGAAGTCCAAGCGGTCTCTGTGGTTGTCGCGGCCGATACCGTAGACGGTGGATTGCCGAGCCCGGCCAATTTCTGTTTGGCATCTCCAATCGACAGAACCGCTTTTTGAGTCCAGGTAATATCATCGCCGAACATCAATTCGTCCTCCCTTTCCTGGGCTTCAATATCAATAATCTCCTGATCATACTGGGCTGCCATGTAGTCTTCGCCACCTTTCATGAACCGAGCGTACTCCATCATCTCGGCGACGTGGAACCAGGGGATATCACCTGAGCGGCCATATCCATCAGCCGTATCGCGAGGTAATGCCAGTGTTGTACCTGGCTCACGCATCAACAGCTTGAGGAGGACATCCCCTCCTTCTCTTAACATGCTAGCATCATGGCCAGAAACCCACTTCACCGGTCTAACCTCGGAGGTGTATATGCTATCTTCACAGATGGGACATTTCTTCCACCGAGCTCGTTTCTCTGGAACCGTGTTTGTCTCGTCGCTGGAATGCATATAGCGTATCAAGCAGGGCAAACAGAAGATATGACCACATCTAGCCATGCGCGGAGCAACGGGTGTTGAGAGGCAGATCGGACAGCTGGCTGACTGGGTTTCGGCGGATGCGAGCACCTGTAGAACTGCGTCCCAACTTACATACACATCCGCATCGGTTGTCTGAGCGTGATATTCCCGGTCCGGGCGGACAATAAACCGGTAATTGGCGTGGACATAGCGAGCCTTGTCCACAGCATGATAGCCGGAGCCGAGACCGAATGTAGCATTGCGTCTGGGCTGTCGGTTATTGAAGTGATGCTGATAGTGTTGCTGAGGGCGGGGAGGTAGACTGAAGTTCATAAGATGAGTGATCGAGGTCTGACCCTTGCGGCTATTGATTGACCTCATGGCGGGAGAATCACCAAGAACATCCTCCACTAACAGACGTGGCTTTCTCTGTGTTTTATGCTGTTTCCGGAGGGGTTGATTTCCACGCGCTTGGGTGGTATGACGCGTTGAAGCACCAGAACCAAAACCCCCGGAGCTGTTGCTTCGTTTGGAAGAGGACTCGAGACCGGAAGAAGAGGGAGTCTGCGTATAATTGGCCGAATTCGAGGCAGGAGGTAATTTAGTTGAAGCAGGAGTCGAGGTGGCGCTGGATGACATCGCTGCAGGAATTGGGGGGTGGCCTCAGACTGTGTTTCCTCGGGTCGGCAATGAAGCAGACGAGAGTCCTCGACAAGGGCAGGGGAGGACGAAATGGGACAGAGCGGCGGATCGATAGCGAGGTAGGTCAGAGGTACCACAATCGCCGCAGCGAAGGGCCATAGGAGGAGGTTTGGAGGGAAGATGGATGGAGGGGGAACTCATGAACCTGCGTTCGGATAGTACTAGTAGCCACAGGCCCGAGCAGAGTCACGACCACCCACCGTGCTTAGGTAAGGTGGCTCTCGTCTTGAACACCAGTGAATTATCACAATGGCCACTGCTATTAAGACCTCGCACTTCTATTAGCCGGAACTAGCAGCGCCCTGCCACCATCGGCCATCGGCCATCCACTCTCACTGGCACCGCACTGACTAACTGACACACTGCGCAACGTGCGAGCTCAACTTCCAGATTCACGATTGTCTGAATCGTCCTGTCCTGCGTTGCTCGTCTTCGCCCTTCCCCTCTCCCTCTCCGCTCTTGTCGCATCTACCAACTTACCACTCTACGTTGGTAGACAGGCCGACGAGCATACCGCAGGTCTTGACCATCTGCTTCCTTCCAAGAGCTTCGAAGGCGACGGAACTGCCACTCCCTACCTGGGCACAGCCGTCTCCAAATTCACATCACCTCGCCGTCAACCTACATTGCCCCTTTGTCCTGGAATATGGCTTGGACCAGAGTGTCGGCGTAGGGATTAGCGACGGAAAGATAATATCACACTGGTCACGACGCGCAGCTCTGACACAATGTCCTGGCGGAGAAAATCATAACGCGATTATACCAACATGCAGCAGAATCATCACCCATATGGGCAACACCACCCTTTGCCTAGTATGCAGCCTCCCCAGAGGCGGCACGATGGCTCCTATGCCCCTATTCCACCTCCGATGAGGCCTCATCCTGGGTATCAACAGTTCTACCCGCAGCCAATGGGGCCTATGATACCCCAGTATCCTCAACAATACGCGCCAAACTGGTATGGATATCCGCAACACCATGTGCATCCTCTTCATGCAAACCGGCCACCATATTATCCTCAGCATCAAATGCCTCCACCTCAATATGGCCCTCACCATGCGCCTTTGGTTGTTTCCCCGTCGCCGCATGCGCAAGCTTCTCCACATCCTGTACACGTGCCAGGCTCAATTCCTCCACAACCGCCGTTGAGTTCAGCATCAACAGCGTCCACCACGATGGTGCAGACACCGCCGTCTCCACCGCTTAGCACTTCGAGCACAGTGAATACAAGAAAGACTCCCGTCTCACCTTCGATATCACCGGCGCCACAAAAAGCCCAAAGCCCTGCAGTCGAGACACCCAGGGAGCCATTCTATCCGCCTGTAAGACTTCATGGGGAGCGAGCCGTAGAGAGCGAGATACTGACTGGTGAGCAGGTTCCATGGTTGTCATTCGAAGATGGCGCTTTCCCACCGCGAGCACCTCATCAGAAACGACGCATCCTTCGTTCCCTACTTGCCACCGAACCTGTTGTCTATCCTGCCATAGAGCCGCCGGACGAAGAAACCACTGAAAGGGAAAAACCACAAGAAGAGCGTGTCCTTGATGAGAAGCCTGCAGAAACAGCAGAACAGACCAACACACAGTCGTCGACACCCCTCCCATCAGATGTGCCCTCGGAGGCTCCGTCCACACAGCCGACCACCCCTTCCTCCGCCGTTCCCGCCCCGTCAAGCAATTCTCAGCAGACGCCTACACAACCTAAAGTACGACCTGTGGGCCCTGTTCTGCCAGCAGTGCCGATTCTACCACCGAGTCCTTCCGCGGCGCGCAAGGCACACCGTGACTCAACCGTCTCGACTCAATCGCAGACAACACAGCCGGCGCCAGCTTCCGCAGAGGAACATCAACCCGAAACCACCACTGGGGACGCGTCCGAACTGGGAGATCCAGTTATCTCGCCAGCCCCAGCACCGAAGTCTTGGGCGAACCTCTTCCGATCCGAGGAGTTGCAGACTTTGTCCGCAACGACGGCCGTTTCCAACCATGCATCCACCGTCTCTGGGCCAGGAAAGACGGAGACTCTTGCCGATGTCCTCAATGATATAAACTCGGTCGTTGACGCACCGAGTAAAATCTCGTTCTTGAAACCCCGGGGTCTTGTGAACACCGGGAATATGTGTTACATGAATTCTGTAAGCCTAGTCCAGCTCGTTTGGTTTGCGGCTCCCACTGACGTTGAATGATTCAGGTGTTGCAAGTTCTTGTCTTTTGCATGCCTTTCTATGACTTGCTGGCGAAAGTGGCTCAGAGAGCTCCTCATGCCTTCAAAAGTGATACGCCTTTGATTGATGCCGTGATCTTGTTTATTCAAGAATATCCAGTAATTTGCTCGGCCAAATCTGTGGAACAACTTCGACTGCGGTTGAAGGCCGAAGACTACGAAAAATATGGGGAGTCTTTCATCCCCGAATATGTCTACGCCGCAATCAAGGATTTGCCTCGATTTCGGGAGATGCGAAGAGGCCATCAGCAGGATGCCCAAGAATTCCTTGGTTTCTTATTGGAAGAATTGCACGAGGAATGTGCCCGTGCCATGAGGTCCACCACCTCGTCAAGCTCAGGCCGAACCACTCCGGCGAACAGTGTCTCGAATACCTCTGACCATGTCGAAGTCGACGTCGGTTGGATGGAAGTGGGACACAAACAGAAGCCTGCCATCACTCGGTCATCTGGAAGCATCTCGGGCGAATCGCCCGTGACCAATATTTTCGGAGGCAAGCTTCGGTCCGAGCTCAAAGTTTCGGGCAATAAGTTGTCGGTCACTCTGGAGCCGTACTCGCCTCTGCAGCTGGACATTGGCTCTCCTCAAGTGCACAACATCATTGACGCTTTGAAAGGACTGACTCGTCCGGAGAGCATGCAAGGGGATTTCTACACGCCGAGAGGCCAGAAAGCCACTGCGACCAAACAAATCTTTATTGAGAGTCTTCCTCCCGTGTTGATCTTACATTTGAAGCGCTTCCACTATGACAACACGACCAAACGCGTGGAGAAGATCTGGAAGAAGGTCGGCTATCCCCTCGAACTGGAAATCCCCAAGGAAGTGTTTCCCCTGCAAGCTCGAAACAAATTCATCGCTCACGGTGGACTACCGAAATACAAACTGACCGGAGTCATCTATCATCATGGCAAGAACGCCAACGGCGGGCATTACACCGTCGACATCCGTCGTCAGGACGGCCGCGAGTGGATTCGAATGGATGATACGCTGCTACGACGCATACGCCCCGAAGATGTCGCCGAGGGCGGTAGTGAAGAAGACCCGAAAGTCCTTGCCGCGGCTCTGGAACGTCACAAAGCCGGCGGTAGTCGATTCGAGCAAATCGAAGGGGACGAAGATGATGAGGACACTTCGGAGAAGGTCTGGAGTCAGGTCAATGGTCACTCGAGATCCAAATCGACCATAAGTGCAGTGGTCAATGGTGCTGCCACGCCCGCCAAAGACTCGTCTGGGAAGCAAAGCCCCAACCCGAGGTTTACCGTCAAGGATGACAAGGTTGCTTATCTGTTGTTCTATCAACGGATCTCGTACTAAGGGCAAGGGCCGCCATGCGCAGTCTTTGTCAGCGACCACAGCAGCCATTCTTCCTTTCTAGACTCGACGAGGTTTAGCAGGATTCGCGCGCTCCGTTCTTTTGAGCGCCATGTGTTTTACAGCAAACTGCAGCTCTCGTGTAAATAATATCCCATCATGGCCGAGAAGATGAGAAAAGTCCAAGCCGAAAAAGTCTTGATCTTGACATGACTGTTTAATGGAAAAGCGATGCATAGCGTTGGGCTGAGATGAGGTGCCATCGCCAGCGTGGATTGAGAAGGGAAAATGAGAGTTCGAGGTCACTGTTGTTTCGCCTATCCGACTTCACTGTCCAGTTCGTCTCGACGACCAGCGGACCCAACCAGCTTGACGATGGCCCGAACCCCTTGGGAGCACGACCGACGACATTCTTGTGTAATCTTGGGAGGCAGAGAGGATGTAGTGGGGGGGGGACGGGCAGATCGAGGAACAGCCCTTTGGTTCTGGGGAGGGGAGGGGAGAGGGAGATGAGTTCATTTAGTCTAGGTACCAATCCCGATCCTGAATACTTAGAGTCGAAGTGCGCTGCCAGTGTATCCGCCATTTTGATCAGTCAAGTTGGGAAGACTGCAAGTGGATGGACTTGGTCTGGATCAGTGACTGTATCCGTGCTTGTTAATTAGAGACAGCCTACTCGATTTGTTTATGACTTTTCATTTCCACACGGCATACAGCCTGAGCCTTGGACTCTGGAGGGAAAATAGCATCTTTGAACGCTGTGTGTGCCACTGAGTTAGGCAACTATCTCCTCTATATCCGTACAGGTATCCATCCATCTAGTCAACTACAGGTAGGTAGGTGTCAGTATCGAGGCTGAGGCTCAGGCTCCTTATATTCAGTACTTCGTACATACCTAGCCAAGGCTGGCTGCTACCAGATCACGATCACGATCACCCATGAGTTGAGTTGCCGAGGTCCAAGCCGGACCGCGACCGTGATCTCACGCCCTGTCACCCGCACCCGGATGTGATCCGTGTTTGTGGGGGTAGGTAGATGGGTGGGAGATATTTTTATTACTACTGACTCAAGTCCAGTGAGTAATATATATAGTATGACTATGCAGTCTAAACCGGCCCGTGGAGGAGGTGGAGTGGCTTCATCTTCATTCTCGGACTGATGATTGTCCCCTCTCGAAGTGGGTTCATTCTCGATCCTCACCTCTCCTGATTTGAACCGAGCACCGTCAGTTTGCCGTGCAACCTACCTTTATGCCTTGGGCGATCCTTGTACGGCGATCGAGGACCTTGACCTTGACCTTGGGACGAAGACATCCACCTTGCCTAGAACGAAGGCATCCCATCCCACTACAAATAAGCAGAGTGACACCCACAGCCACAACAAGACGAGCGATTGGATCGAGCGAGCCTAAAGAGAAATCTACGATCTACCACCCACCACCACCACCTGCCATGTCTCCATCGGACCATGTCGATGACCATGTCCATGTCGGCGCCCGGGAACAGGCAAAGGCAAGGACAAAGGCCAGAGCGGCGGTGGAAGAAACCCTCGATTGGTACGTACAGTACAATCAATCAAGTCATGTCAATCAAGTCATGTCAATGTTTCCGTGTCCTTTGCCATGAAGGCTGAAGACCCTTGGTACGCGACCAGCAGAACTGCGGCCATCTGTGATATTCGATGGACCATGGGCCATTCGTTCATGGCTGGTCGCATCTTATACCCATCCATACCCATGACCCATGGACCAGACCGGCGTTTAAGTCTTTGGTCTTTAGTCTTTGGCATTTTTGGCGGGACCATCATCTACCTACCTGTCGAGTTCGAAGCCGAGTACGGGCGCTGATATTGACTGATTGTATACGGGTGCTGATACCGACTGACTATACGGGTGCTGATATTGACTGACTATACGGGTGTGATACTGACTGACTATATGCATTACATGTGCTAGGTTCAAATATATCATGCTCAAGACCGGATATGAGGTACGTACATACATACGAGGCGACATGGATGCAAAGCATGGCTCCAAACTACATATCACACGATAGTTTGGTCATTCTGCTCCACCCCGACTCAACCAGACACATATGACCGAGGATTCCTTGTTTCTTGTGGAAGGGGAGGGGGTGTGTGCATACATGGACCTTTTCTTCTCTTCTCTACTTCCGTCTCCCTATCTCCTCTCCATCGTCGTCGTTGATACGCCAGCTGGTGATGGTGACTAGACTGGTGGCTGGTGGCTGATCTGGGGAGCAGGGCTACGACGTCGACCTCATGACGAGCCTGGTCTTACTGGACGCAGGGCCCGAGGGTTCGGTACATTGGGAACTGACCGTCACGGATTCCCATGCCAATATAAACGGTATGTATGGCCAGTCATCGGGATCTATCCGATGGACGGTGTCTTGTCTCTGTCGCCTTTCAAGTTTGGCACCCACCCCCTGAACTGATAAAATTTTTGGTCATCTGTTCCTGCTCACTATTTAGTATGTCAACCTCAACCTCAACCTCAACCTCCCTTCTCGCTAATATCTATGCGTGTTGTATCTTGCTGCTTTCCCTTTCCCCCCTATATTCTAACCTTAACCCTAATCCTAACACTATATCCACCTACCAAGACCTTTCTCTCTCAATTTGGTGGACTCACGCGGTGATGGATCTCCACATGGCATGTTCTGCTCCCTTTTGTCCGGCGTCCTCCTCACTCGGCTTTGTAAATGTATCACTCTCCTTCTCTTTGACTGTTTGAGCTGGTCAGAGGTCAGAGGTCAATGGTCAATGGTCAGAGGTGATGCGGATCCCTTACCTCTACGTCCAACGCATTCAGCTTCGTCTTTCTTTTTCGTCTTCCATCTCCGTCTTTGCCATATTGGTACTCTGTTCTTGTCGCACGCGTACACATAACTAATGCAAGTCCCTCCCTGGGAGTATGTCATAGGAGTCATGCACGGCGGCGCTGCCGGGGTAATCTTTGGTGAGTCTTGAAGAGGGCCTTTTTTTGATTTCTTGATTTCTTGCCATATGTCTTACCTCTCTACTCTGTTCTCTCGCTCTTACTGCCTCTTCCCCATCCACTCCTCAGATATCGTGTCTGTCCTTCTCAGATATCATGTCTGTCTGTCCTTAGTCGTGATCCTCAGCGTGATCCTCAGCGTGATCCTCAGCGTGATCCTCAGCGTGATCCTCAGCGTGATCCTCAGCGTGATCCTCAGCGTGATCCTCAGCTTGATCCTCAGCGTGAGCGACACCCAGGTTGGGGATGAAATCGACATGGACAAACATGACATGATCCCTCATCGATCAGATCATCAACTTCAAGACAAACCAAAAACCAAGAAAACCCCCTGATTCTGAGCCACCTCCCTAAGATTCACCTTCACTTCATCCTTGTCTTTTTATTCGGAAGCACCGCCACGAAATCAAACCCTACTTGGTGAATGGTCAAGCCACTACTTGGTGAATGGTCCGGATATAGAGTCAAGCTGACCTCTCCTCCATGATAGACATGTGTACGACCATCGCGCTCTGTCCTGTCGCAAAGCCGGCGTATTGGGAGTAAGTAGCTTGGCCTCTCTTCTCTCTTTCTCTTTTTCTTTTTCTCTCTGTCTCCCCACCTCTCTCTCCCTTTCTCTCCCTCTCTTCAGGGTTCAAGGGGCTTCTTAGGTCTGAGGCCCCCAAGTCCACGGGATAAGGATTTCTAAGATAGGCCTTTCTTGCCATCTGCAACCACAAGTCTAAGTCCAGTTCTGGACGAGTCTCTGTCTGACTGAAGTCTAACCGACCTGATTTACCCTGAGGCCGTTCTTGGATGGGCTAATTGAACGAACTCGCCTTGACCTATCGATACATTTACCCTCTCTTCGTCAGCCTCTCTCCGTCAGCCTCTCTCCCTCTCGTCTCTCTGTCACCCTCTCTCCCTCACCCTCTCTCCCTCACCCTCTCTTACTGTCGTCCCACCGAATCGTTAAGCACAGTATACCCACGAAAAAATAGCTGACCATAGACTCCGCACCATCCAGTTTCCTCGGCGGGGTCACGCGAACCCTGAACATCTCCTACCTGCGTGCCATCCCGATCAGTAAGTACATATATATTCGCTACTCTTGCTCCTTTTCACTACATATACTCGCTGCTCTTGTCCATTTTTCACTCTTGACTACATATACTCGCTACTCTTGCTCCTTGTTCACTACTTGTACTTGCATAATCTGTCTAGACACTGCCAAAACAGACTCCCTTCGCCCCCCTCCCTATGTTTATGTCTATGCCCAATTTCTCTCCCCTATGTCTATTGCCCAACGCACAGAGAGTGCTCACTTCCACTTACCACTACAAGACTGGCAACTGGCAGTGGTAGTGGTAGAGTGCAGACAGACCTGGGCAATTTGGATTTACCATCTGAGTCTCTGTGCACACACTATCCAATCCTATCCTATCCTATCCTATCCTGTCCAATCCAATCGCATCACATCACATCATACCCTACCTAGCCTACAGCGACAGCGACAGCGACCCCTAATCCACCTACTCCCTTATTATAATATATTTCCCCGAGTCCTACTGTTTTATGAATCCGTGCAGGATCGAGTCGAGCTCTCTTGATCAATGCATATCATATCTATACACACCATACACTCACACTCACTCACTCACTTACTCACTTATATACACGCACACACCTACACTCACTTACATACACACACACCTACACACTCACTCACTCACTCTCTCTCTTACATATACACATACCTATACACATACCCATACTATTACCATTGCCAATAGTATTCATTCGATCCCCCCTCCTAACCTACCACATGTCCTGTTCCTCTTCCACTATATTCTATATACCTCATATTCGCCATCACCATCACCATCACCATCACCATCACCATCACCTACAGTATTTATTCAACTCTAACCCCAACTCCAGTTCTAATTCCAGTTCCCTTTACTGTCCCATCCCATCCCATCCCGCCCAGTTCAGGTCCAGGTCTAGTTCCAAGTCTAGTTCTAATTCCAGTTCCCTGTATTGTCCCATCACATCCCGTCCTTTTCCAGTTCCCTATACTGCCCCATCCCATCCCATCCCGTCCCCTTCCAGCTCTCTATACTGTCCCATCCCATCCCATCTAATCTCATTTCATCCCATCCCGACCTGTCCCGTCTTGATCCCGTTCTCAATCTTGTTCTTAGCTCACAATCCCAGGCTCCACAGGCACAACCATCCACATCACCAGCCACGTCCTCCAGCACGGCCGCACTATGGCCATGATCCGCGGCACCATGACCTCGCCCGACGGCAACACCGTCTACGCCACCTGCGACCATCATAAAGTCAACGTGCCGGTGCGCCAGGAACATTTGGCTTGGAGGGAGGAGATGAGGCGCGAGTTTCGGGCGAGGGGTGGGAGGGGATGGTTGGATGAGGAGGTTATGGGGGTACGGAAACAAACACAAACACGAACACAAGGATCTACAACGCCAACGTTGACGCCGACCCTACGTTCAGAGACAGGGATAGGTGAGAGCAGGAGCGGGAAGCCTATAGAACCGGAAATGGAACAGGGCAACGGGAATGAGAATGAGAACGAGAACGGGAGGAAAGCAAAGCTGTGAAGTGTGGTGCTATATTCAGGAATACGTGAGAGTAGCAAGAGCGGGAAGACTACAGAAACGGAACTAGGTAACGGGAATGAGAATCGGAATAGGAATAGGAATAGGAATGAGATTGAGAACAGGAGTGAGGATGAAAGGAAAGCAACGCTGTAAAGTTTAGTGTGAAGGTCAAAGCAAAAGCGAAATCGAAAACCCACGCCCTGCTCGGTACTTCTAACTCAAGACATTATACCTATACCTATCTAATTGGGTGGGAGGGTACTTCTAGCTCAAGACGTTATACCTATACCTACCTAATTCGGTGGGAGGATCGAGTGAAGACTTAAGACTTGGGCGGGAATTAGATACCGAAGCAGAAGCAGAGAAAGAACCAGAATCAGACTCAGAACCAGACCAACGCAGACGAGTCATCTCACAAGTCGAGTGGCGAAGGACATGATGGATATTGGATATCGTTATGGTGTACCTATGTATGGAATGTCCGAGTCGAGTGCAGTATCCGTACAGTATCCGTACAGTACTTGATACAAGGAGTTGAACAAGGAGTAGTTGAACAAACATGAGTTCCTCGTCTTCTCTTTCTTCCCTCCCTTCCTACCGCTCTGTTCTCTTGTCCTAGGCATACGCAGCCTCGGGCTCCATCCATGAGCAAGCCGTTATCTGTCACTGTGATCGAACCGAAAAGAATCGAAATTGTGAGTAAAATCATCAGCTCAGCTCCATGACCCAGACACAGACCCAGACCCAAACCCAAACCCAAACCCAAACCCAGACCCAAACCCGACATTATACATCAAATACACCAGCCAGGCCGAGATCAAAAACACACTTTCAACCCTGCTGGCTTCATGCAGCGGCTTGACCCAATCGAACCTGGACAACGCCGACCGCGCCAAATCACTTTTCGATTTCGTCGTGGCCACCTTTTCTCCGCCCTCTCCCTCCTTTCCGTCGTCCTTCCTCCCCTCTCCCTCCCCGGTCTGTGTCGTCCCAGCCCCAAGAAAAGTAACTCCACCAAGCCTTTTGTCGGGCGGATCGATTCGCGCGATGGGTGGTCGAGGGGCCGAAATGACCTGGAACAAGTTTCTTCAACTCGACGCATCGCACTCAGCTTCAAGTTTCTCAATGGAATAACGTTCATTATCAATATCAATATCAATCTTATTCGATAGACGACAAGGAAGAAGGAAAATGCCAGGCAGGTCTGTGACTTTGCTGGGGTATCCTGCTCTGGCTCGGCTCTGGCGACGGACGTTTGGTACTAACTTTGCACCACGAGTCTTGTCGGATCACGCGGCCATCACTCAACACAACTTACTCTTCAGCGTCGCTCTTGGCGTCGGACGCATCGCTGTTGCTATCCTCCTCGCTCGCACTCACTCCATTGACGCCGTTACCATTGACGCTGGTACCATTCACACCTCCGATGCCCGAGTCAGGCGTTTCTTTTGGTGCCTTTTCTGGCGCCTTTTCTGGCGCCTCTTCTGGCGCCTCTTCTGTCGCCTCTTCTGTCTGTTCCACTCCGCTGAAGCCAACGCCGCCGGTGTTGCCATTCACCTGTCTCCCGCGACTGACGCTGAGGTCTCGTGCATCAGGTATGCTGCGCTCTTCAATATGCCATTGTTGAATGGCGCGGATAATGTCCACAGCCAATTGGCCGTTGCGCTGTAACGCGCCCACCCAGTGAGATGGGATCTTCTCGCTCGTGGTCAACAGACGAGCAACCGAAGACACCATCATTTCGCGCATTTCGTTGTCTTCATCGGTCTCGGCGTAGACATATTGAACCCGACGGAGCCCAGGATAGGTGGAGGTCTTGTGGTACCACTCCCTAACAAGATCGACAATGTTGAGGCCGAGTTCTTGGATTTGTAGCCTCTGTGACAAGATATAGAGTTCGAGAAGAGGACCGACGTCTTTTTCCGACTTTGGTTCCCGAATGGATTGTGAGTAGAGCCATCCCACGAGGAGTTCAAAAGGTTGGTCGTCTTCGTCGGGGAGATTATAGGATTTGTTCCCACGAGATTTTTTGTCATCGGGTTTGTCGTCCTTGTTGAAAACTGATGCGAAGAAGGGCGAATGGGATGAGAGGAGTTCTTCGTGCAGCGTCCAACGAGTAGAGTCAGAGCCGACGTAGATGTCTACGAGAGACGAGGTAAGGAGTCTGCAAGCGTCAGTCAGATTCTAGGCAGTTGAGGTGGTCAGGCAGTTGGGTCAGTCAGCAGCTTCAGGATCAGCATGCTGCGTTCGACCTCCTGCTAGAACCGGCCTGCGTATTTAGAGGTTTTGGATTGACGTACTGGTGAAGCTTCTTCTCCTTCCTTTGACCCTTCTGAGGAGTTTCGGTAGTCATTTTGTGAGGAGTTCGGTAGTGAGTTTGCTCGGGGGTTGAGGGCTTTCCGTGTAGGACGTAGTCGAGTGGCCAATGACTTCTTTCCGAATCGGTGTAATCGAGCAGTTGAAAGTGGACAAGAGTTCTCTTTCTCCTTTCTCCGGTTCAGCGCAACTCGAGACGACCAATGCCTTGTGTTTTGTGTTCGTTTTGCAGTTCGGCACAATCGAGACTCGTACTCGTACAAGGCCAACGGAGGACAGTAGACGCAGACACAGGACAGACACAGGACAGAGACTGCAACAGTAAGGTGCTAGGGCGACAGTAACACAGGACACAGACAGCAACGGTAAGGTGCTAGCTAGCGCGACAGCAACAGGGACAGCGAGACTGCGAAATCCAACCGGGGGACCTTCTTCTTAGGTAGGTACTTAAAAGTGAAAAGAAAGGAGAGACAAGGAATCATAAAAGGCAAAGGTAGGTAGAGGTAAAGAAGGAAACGTCAACGTCAAGGAAGACGACGGGACAGCTCACCACACGGGAAGCGGAAGCGAGGCGGACTGGGGAGGGGAGAGGCTGGTTTGGTCGGGTTGAGTTCAAGTCTCATCATTCATGACAACTTGAACCTTGTCATGTCACCTTCACCTTGTCACATAGGGTAGGCCCTGGTCCCTTGTCCCTTGTCACATAGATCCTGGTCTCTTTGGAGTATCCGTACTAGCATACTACCTACGTATGTACGGATACGTATGTGAGAGTGGCACAAGAAGTGTACCAACTAGAGAGTGGTGACGACGTCAGAGGGTCAAGCCACAGCACCACTTCCCGATCCAAGGAACAAGTCGAACCCCGCGCTGGGCGATGGGACGAACACCAAGACCAAGGGGCACTAATTGGCAACACTACTCGTGGAGACGAAGGGCACTAATTACCCTTCCGCACATATCACTCGTGGGAATGATGATGGATGCCAATACCGATGATGCTGGTTCAAGTCGTGCAAGGATGCATGGATAGATGCAGGGATGCAGGGATGCGACTAGGGTGGATGTGAATTGGTATGTGTAATGACAATACTAATTGATATTTAATGCTGGTGCAGTCAGTGGGGAGGCCAAAAACCGGTTTGTGGCTGATGGCTGGAAAAACACCCGGCCGTCCCTTCGGGTCACGTGGCAGAGTCGCTCACGTAAGAGGCATCTCGGAGGCATCTCGGAAGCATCTAGGAGGCCCTAAGGCATCTAGGGGAGCTTCACCAGAACTGGAGCCAGGTAGGTTCCAGGGACGGACACCGTCATCGACGTGACAAGATCAATAATAGATAGATCATAGACCTCGTCGAAATTCCCACTATACATGTAACCAAGTACGGAGTATCTTTTCCAATTCAAGCATGTAACCAAGTATCTGTCCAATTCAAGCATGTAACCAAATATCTGTCCAATTCACAGCTGGCTGCTAACTTGTTGCAACTCACTTCTTACCTTTCCCCTTACCCTTGGCCTTCTTACCCTCCTCCTTAACAAACCCTCCCTTAACCAATGCCTCCCGGGCCACCGAGCTGATGGCGTGAAACCTGTCCGGACCCAACTTGACTCCTCCATACCATCTCGTCACCACCACCAGGACATTCCACACATCCATCAACTGCATCAAATGCAACACCCTCCCTCCTGCCGCGGTCTCGCCGTCGTCATCGCAGTCTTGGATTGTAGTCGCTGCATTTACTTTCTGTGAGTTGGGAGTGGCGTTGTTCACTTTCTGTGAGTTGGGATTGGCGTTGACGGTCGCGTTGGCGGCACCACCCTGAATCCTCCACGCAGTTATATTATGTGTAGCCGTCGCCACCTTTTTATTTGTAGCCAGGAGGTGAGAGATCGAGTCCATCACCTCAGGCAGCGACGAGACAGGACAGGCGCGCGCGATGAACGTCGACTTGTTGACCGTCAAAGGCTCGGAGAGTGTCCACGCCGGTGGAGGCACGTTTGAGGATGCTGCATCAGGAATCAGGGTCAGGCCGGAATCATGGGATTTATGCTGACTAGGCGAGGACGCGGACCTGCTCGGAGCATCTTGGCTGTGATTTTGAGCCGCGCCATGATTGAAGTCAGGATCGGGATGCTGACGCTCGCTGTGGTGCTGTTCGTGCTGCTGCTGGAGTATCGGCCCGGCCTCTTCCACCAGATCGAACAGACAAACCTGACCGAGCGTCCAGACTTGGGCGAGCACGTCTCGCAGAACCGTCACCGCCGCTTCTCCCTCGCCGCGTCCACTTCCACCGGTCGACTGGGTACCAATGATCGCTGGAGGGACATCGGGATAGTCGGAGGGAAACGTGACCAGGAAAGAGAATGGGAGGTCGGGCAGTCGCAGGACCGCGGTGGCCTCGCTGGAGCTGTCGTGTTGGAGGACAAGCGTTTCCGCTTCGTAGATGGAGTTCAGGGCTTCGAGCTCATCAGCAAGAGCCGCGTTGGAACTTACAGCGCCATCGTCCGAAGGCATGTGGGTGGCGGGGCGTAAATGTAAGAGTGATGGAAATATCAATCGGGTGGTTCGGCTGACCTGCCTGTTTATTAGTCGTAGGTGTGCCCTGGCCCGAGGGCACGACCGCTCTTAATCGATTATCTTCTCTTTAGGGATATACTCCTTGATGGTCGCTGAGAGGATCTCGCTTCGCTGTCTACCAGATGAACACTGTCCGTTGCGCCCAAGGGAAGCGCTGAACGCGCTCACGGAGATCTGGGATTTCCGATCGTACCGCCCGAAGCCGCACGACGAGTTTCTGGCCTGCGTGCTGAGCAAGAGCGCCGAGGTGGGCGTGCAGGCATACTGCCTTTCCGTGCGAGTTGGAATGATTTCGCGATGCGCCTTCATTCGTCGAATCTGCGCTGGTCCTCAAAGAGCCGTGGCTATACCACCAGGAGAGCGAGACCGTGATCGAGAAGTTCAGTGCCGGTTCCCCTTTCTCCCCAACATGGAAAGGACGCCGGAGACGGCAATGTAATTGATGTTGTGGCCGGACAAGCTTGTACCGAGTATATACTTCCTACAGTATTATATTATGGTCTTCATCCTTGCAAAGTTCATTTTGTTACGTGGTCCTGGTCTAAACCATGTGTGCTTCGATCATGTTTATGCACGTCCGCTGACCACTTCTTATACTTCAATCCCCAGAGCTCTCGCGGCGGCGGCTCGTCTTTTCGCGCTCACCATGGCTCTTTTCATCCTCAGATTCCCCTGGAACGCAGGCTTAGTGGCGCGGAGGCTGAGGTCTCTCTTGGTGATGAAGTCGGCCGGCTGGCCATAGTCCGGCTCGCCGCCCAGGGTGGCAAAGATATCTCCGACGTAGTTGGGGGCCTTGATGCCCTTCTCAAACGTGCTTTCCCACCCCTCCAGGATGCCCGTCACCACCTTGACACCGGCGAGGTAGATATTCCGAATGGCCGGGGGGAACCCTCCCTGGTGGGCATAGAGCAGATTCTGGATCTCGCTGATCCCCGGTGGTGGTCGGTCAAAGTCGCTGGCCGTCCTCATCACAATGGCGCGGGAATAGTCGGTCAGGTTCATTTTGGCGGCGCGCAAGATGGCCTCGAGCGTCGCGTTGTCCTCCTCGGCAGTGGCGCAGTAGACGCCCGACCCGTTGGTCCAGATCCGCGTGGTGTTCTCAAAGGCCTCGGAAAGGTGCGTGCCCGAATAGTAAACGTCCGAGGTTGCAACATCACACCCCAGTACACTTGGTGGCTGCGCCGCCACCGCGTAGGCGGCTTCCTGCGCGTACAGGGCGCGGTAGGCTTGCGACGTGGTGCTGTCGTTGAGCGTCGCCGTCGACGCGAAGCTGATGGCGATGTCTCGTAGGGCTTCGTTGAGTTCGAACACTTCGGTGCCGTAGATGCTAGACAGAAATCAATATCAATACCAGCCCTCACTCTCACTCACTGTCGGGCCATATATGGCTAAACAGAGTGTTCACGTACTTTTGAGGGTATAGGTCCGGCGAATCCACTCCGAATGGGATATAACCCGTGGTGAAGTTGGAGGGGATGTCTCTCATGTCGAATTCGTACTGCAGCGCCACCTGAACCGCGTATTTCGCAAAGGTGACGGAAGCCAGCGTGCCCACCTTGGGGTTCACCCCGGCGATCCCGGCCACGAAGAAATACGTCTTGGTGAGGTCGAACTCGGGACTGAGCACGAGCGCGCTGACGGTCGTGGCGGCATTGATTTCCGATTCGCCGGTGATGATTTGGCACACTTCGCCGCTCGCCGTACAGTGCACCTCGGGGAAGAGAGGGGAGAGGCCTGGGATGGTGATGTTCTGGCCTAGCAGGTCGAACTCGTCGATCCCCCACCACACGGCGGCTTCGGGTTCGAACATGGAGATGATGACGACCTTGGGAGCGATCGGGCTGCTGCGCTTGGAGACATTGTTCCGTGTCACCAACGGTGTGGCCGCTGAAAAGGGCAGGAGATTGGTTGCTGCCGCTGCCGTAAAGGCCAAGTTCACAAGGCTGAAGCCACGCATCGTGGATGGGAGCAAGACAAACACCACTGACACAGACGAAAGTCGACAATTCCCCCAGCAGACTCCTCAAGCTGCTTGAGCACGCACGCACGAGAGAAAGCGAAGAGGATGATGGCCGAAGGGTGGGTTACACTGCTTTTTGAGGGGGCACCGGAGTTCCTGGCTCTGGCTCTGGCCCTGTTCGCTATCTATCCGCATTCGCTTGTCCAAGCTCTTGGGCGAAGTTGCCATGCTTGCGAGCTTGCCGCACAGCTCCCAAAGCATCGATTGACCCCACAGACACAGACCATTGAACCCCGGCGGGAGCGGCCGATGCAACCATATTATGGCAGCACTGACCAATACCACGACCATTTCCGGCTGGGTACCTGGCTTGAGAGACCTTGGGTGCGTGAGCAAGCAATGAGAAGCAATCCGTCATTGGAGCTTCCGAGCTTCGCAGCTTCTTATCTTCGCACCAGTGGCCAAAAAAAAGGCGGATGGAAGCATGTCGATGATGCGGACCTGCAGTAGTATAGCCTTGGTAGCGATCGATCATGCAATATCGAAGTCTGTTATCTTCGACGAGGCTAACTAAAGACGGGGTTAGAACTGTTCATCCAAGGCAACCTGCCGCTATCGCAAGATAAGGACAAGGCGGGGTCAGGCGAGCAGTGTCTTCCGTGTCTTCCTGCTTGACCACCACGGTGAGGTAGCTGGCTGGTGTCATCTATTGCGGTGGACAGGCTGATAGACAAGGCCGATGAGCTCCTGTGAAGACGGTATACCTCTGCTGTTGTGGCTGACTGTTCAGTCTCTCATCTTAACGCAAGCAAATCAATCGACTGTTGTCGCTTATCAAGGCTGGGTAGCCAATACTCCGTACTTCCGTTCTGCGTTACATCACTGTCTTACCAGGTATCCAGATCGCCTTGGCAGACGTAAATAGAGGCAGCAAGCTGCCGAGGTTGAGGCTATACTAGTACGTACCAGTAGTACTAGGCAGGATGTGGCATGGGGTTCCTGGGCAGAGCCATGCTTCAGACGGTAGACTCCGATGTTTTCGAGATCCTTGGGAAAGTCCCTATCAAGCTTTCGTCTTATCGCCCGGCTCGAGTCATACTTCCAGTTCCAGCGAGAGGTTGATGGTACAGTAGTTGTTCCTGGGCCCTTACGGTCGACTGTAATCGAGCAGAACCTGGATTGTCCCAGGGAGCCCTTAAGCTTCGGCTGAAACTCTGCCATCTAACAAGCACGTTCAAAGGCTCATCCCAACGAGCACTGCTCGCTGGTCGATATTGCTATGAGCGTAACTCAGGCCGCAGACACCTCCCGGCTCGAGCATCATCTCCAGCTTCGAGTCTAGACCGAAGCTGAGCCAGCGCTTGACAAAGGCTCGCAAAATATGACCATGCGCTACAACCAGAACGTCGCATGGCTGCTGCTTGCCCATCCCTTCCTCCTGGAGGGAGGTGATTTGCGAAATAAGACGGTCCAGTCGCTCCGTGACTTGAGCTGGGGAATGGCTTCCTGGTCCTTCACACCCATCTCTCCAGATGTCCCATGGTCGTTCGGTGTCCAGGCCTCTCTGTTTGCGTAGCTGTCGAATCTGCTCAGTCAGGAGGCCCTCGTAGTCGCCATATCCCCACTCCCCAATCTCCTCGGTGGTCTCGGTCTTGTTTTCGATCACTCGTTTGGTTTCGGCATCGTCTCCCACCTGTTCGAGGAGCAGTTCAAGGGTGCGTTGGGCGCGCCTTCGCGGGCTGCAAATGACTTTGGCGATTTTGCTGGGGTCGATCAACCGTCCCTGCCCGAAAACAATTGATGCTGTGCGTCGGACTTTCTCTTCTCCTTGTGGCAGTAAAGGGATGTCTGAGATGCCAGTGTATCGCCCGTTTTGCGACCATTCAGTCTGCCCTGTGTTCGCGACATGAGCTGCCTATACTTCCAATACTGTGGTACCCGGTAGATCATGTCTTCTCCGATCGAGGATTTTCGTTGTTGTTGAGGTTTCACTTACCGTGGCGTATCAGAAATACTCGAGGGGTGGTTGCATCCTTTTCCGCCATTTTATAGGCCGGAATATGACTTGTAGTAAAGTTTAGCAACGGCTCTATAGGTCGGACTGTGACTCAGGAGCGGTCTTGCGGTGTGAAGGTAGGGGCTGTCTTTAGTCTCATTCACCTCGCACAGAGGACCGAAAATGAAATCTCAAGAGATGGCCACGTCTTGCCAGAAAAGGATTGCAGGTGGACTGAAGCAGAAATGGCCCAACTGTGCAAGTCAACAAACGCCTCTATTATCGTCTAACGGACTCCTGGAACGCTGTGCCAGTCTCTTCAGAACTTGAATGGCGTCAACTTTGAAGGCGGACGGAACTTGAGCTCGACCCAACAAAATGGAGCACAACTAGTGTACTGTCGTGTACATAGTGCAGTGCTCCGACGATGACTTGAGCCTTGGCAACGTCTCTGCAGGATTTGAACTTGAAGCAGTAAGCGGCCTTGTCCACCTGGCATACATTATGACGGTAGTCCACTTCTGCTGATACCTAGGTATGAGGCAGTCAATCTCAATGTCAATCAATATTCGCGACAATACTGAGTGAGCAGCCAGCGGCCAGTAGCCAGCGCAGACCGGAGCGACTCGACCAGTGACGATCCGGGCCAAGATTTGTCCTGCGCAGCTTCAATGCAGCGCGGCAAATGTTCTCACGTATTGGAGTTGTTTGTGTTCCGCCTCGAAATACTGTAGCACCTCCTCAGACCTCTACTCACACCGAGCCTCTCCATTCCCTGCTGGCAGACGGAGCCCAGAGAAGCATCAGACCACCCTACCACTAGATGGCTGTTTCGAAGTGGCCCTGGTCGTGGACGCAAATTTGCCGCGGAGATCGCCTGTTTCCATCTTTGGATCGTCTTTACGGCGAGATCCTTATCTTACCTCGGCGAAGCCCACTGCACGTCTCGCCTCCCCCAGACGCCCCCCAGGGTCTAATTAGGTCTTGGACTTGGACTTGGACTTGATTCGGCACGAGCAACCACAAGAAGAATAGCGGTGGTTGTTCTGCGGGGAACCAGCCGGGGGAAGAACCGGGGGAGAAACAGAGCTTGGCTATTGATCCTTGGGATGGAATTGGACACAAAAGCTGGTAGAAGAGATGACCGGAAAAATATCGTCTGTTATACCTCTGATCTAGCTAGCAAATTACAAGAAAGAGGAGAAAAGAAATGGCAAATGAGATGGCCTGCCTGGCTGTTGCTTCCGAAATGAGACGATTTCATCCCTTCAAGTTGCGCAACTGTAATCATGCTCATGCCATGCAGCGCCATGTTTCGAAACCTATCCCGTTGATTAAGACGTTGTATCCTTGTGCCATGGTCGTAAACAGATATCGTAACATCATCCCAGGTATCCCCTTGCTGAATAGGTAGAGGTATCAACTGCTGAAAGTCTTGTCGATCATCCATGTCTTCCCATTCGCCTCCTCTTCGACGATGAATGCGGTGCTAACGTACTCGCTCAAGGACCGCCAACCAGGCCAGAGTTTCCTTGCGTCGTCAGTCAGTTTCCCTGGCCTGCCCTTGCCTGATGGTTCATGGCTGGATCTCCCGGTAATGGTCTCGTTGCTGCCCTTCCGACGAGAACTGTATTCAAAGTCTGACCCGGGATAGTAGGGCGCATTGTAGATGCCGAAAAGGAGCTCAATGCCGGCCAGCTGCTGTCGATAGGCGTCGGGTACAGGAACCTTGATTTCGATGTGCTGGTCAAAGACATATTTGCACGGCCGTTCCAGTTCTCGTCCAAATATCTCGCATACTTGCAGAGGTGTGAGGGTTTCAAAGGCCAAGGCGATCCTGACGGAGCTCAAGCATCAGCAACAGGTAGAAATAGCACGGGCTGGGAGTGTGGGGGTGAAATCATACCTTGATCCGTTCCATTTGGTCGGGCCCTCCTTGAAGATTTGGAGGACCGCAGGGCCAACATCATGTTCCGCATCGACCCAGGGCAACTTGATGTCGGGATGGAAGGGGGCTCGCCACTCGAGCGTTCCGTCGTCCTTGAACTCCATGCAGAATAGAGGATATGGCAGGCTGGTGAAGTTGTTGTTGTAGATCCCAGCGTAGACAAACGTCGCCGGCAGTCCGAGTTGTCTGATATAGTTCTCGACGGTGAATTTGCAGGCCCACAGAGGGAGAGCCGGCCACTTGGGGTTGTGTATCGAGTGGTCGGGCATGCTGCTATAGACGAAATGCTGGATATTTTTCTTCTTGGCCGCGCTGGCTAGTGCTTTTCCTATCTTGATCTCATCGCCAGCAAGATGGATGGTGTTGATGAAGGCAATGTGCGCGCCATCAAAGATGGTGTCTATGAGCGCCGGGTTGTCCAGCAACTCTCCTTCGAACAAGGTGACATTGGGCAATTCGGCCAGCTCCTCCGCCACCAGGCCTTCTGTCGAGTAGACCTGAGCGCGCACAGCATATCCGACCGCGGACACGGCCCGGATCACTGAGGCTGCCTGGCGACCCGTTCCATTGACGATGGCTATGGTTTTTTTGGGATTTGGCATGTGGCAAAGTTTATCGCGATTAGGCTGAGGAGACAACAAACCCTCGGGGCCACAAAATTCACAAGGGTAGAGGTTGGAACTCTGGAGATGCCACAATAGAGAGAAGATCAAGGATCGGCATCCAGATTCAAGTTAGATATCAGAAGGATCCGTCGTAAGAAGGAGTTGTCGACGAGGAAGGACGGGAGCCGAGTCAACAGAGGTGGCAAGTATCACACCATAATAGACAGCCAGATCCAGACTTCGAGCACACACACATTGTATGAGCGGATATGGCTATATGGTACTATGGGACTAGGGAATATCGCCATTCCTGCCCCAGAAGGCAAGAGACTTGACAGGAGATTCTCTGCCGTAATACGGTCCCAGTGAGGACCCTTGGTTGAGCAATTTCTGCAACGGCTTTTGCAAAAAAAGTCCATCAGCCAAACCTGATGCAGCCTTTTTCTTTACGTAACCCGGCTCGAGGGTCTGCGGCGGGGTGCTGGGGCCATTCGAGGCTCGAGTTTACACACTGGGGCCGAGCGTCGGAACAAACACAACCAGAGACCGAGTCCCGTCGCCGCGAGATGCTTCGAGACAAATGGCAGGTGCCTGGAGAGGTCGCACAGCAGCAACAGGGACAGGGAGCGGGAGAGGGACGGTGGGAGGTGATAGCCGGGAGATGACAGCGAAAACTGCCTCGCAGGCAATGCAACGCCAGGCGCAGGCAGCGCAGCGCAGGCCACGAATGGTGCGTGGGTGCGGGGGATTAAGCTGACGGAAAGGAAAGGCGGGGAGCCAGAGCCATTCGACCATCACTTCCCAGTGGCGCCTCACCGCTGGCAGGTTCTGACATTTCTGATGGTAGCGGTGTGGTGGTGGTAGTGGTGGTGATGGTAATGGTAGGGATAAGGATGGTGGTGGTACATGGCCGTAGCAGTCTCAGTCACCGAAAGTCGGACACCTCCGCGGCCCCATCGCAGGCGCACATTGCCTAGACCTACAGGAGAATTGATGGGCTTCAGCAGCCAACGGTCAGCCACTCTGAGCAGAGCCGACAGTCCGGCTCGCACGCAATAATAATGGATGGGCTTAGGGGCCATCACCCACGCCTGCCGCTATACTGGATCCTGTACAGTGTATACCGCAGCCCGGAGTGCCCAGGCTACAAGTAGTAGTAACTCTCGCCTGCAGCGACCACTGCCATTGGTGGCCGCGACTTGGTCCCAGCTTGTTCTCCAGCTTCCTAGCCAACAGTCTGGTGCAGTTCTACTACCTATTTGATAATGGCTGCACTTCGCCATCGTGCTCAACCACTGGCACGTGGCGGATCCTCTAGATCGTGCATATGTGTAGTAATAGGTACACAGTATACCTAATTCCTATTACCTACCTAGCTATGTAGCTTGGGCTCAGACCACCAAACCTTGACCTCTTACGCCCTGAGCGTCCCCGTCCAATCCCTGCCTCCCCGTGCCTAAGGCATGTCCAGGCCCGCCTGCGCCCATACATCTGGCCTTTGACTTGCATGCAGTCGTGCCGTGTCGAGCTCTTCGGCATGGAGATGTGCGCCGGCCTGTCGAAGGAGCAATACGTGCGGCAGCAGGCCGGCATTCGCAGCTAGAAAAAGCGGTGTCCGTCCTGAACCTGTGTGATTGCGGAGATGGACTGAGGCGCCTAATGAGAGCAGATACCGAAGTATCTCAAGGCTCGGTCCGGTGGCTGCTAGATGCACAGGGGTGTTGCCAGAATAGTCGGGGCGGTTCATCAGTTGGGTGTCCTGACGCAGCAGATCTTGCACCTTCTGGAGGTCTCCGCTGGCAATAGCATATGCAATGGCGGTGAGTTGGGCGACAGGAGACGACAGCTCGCCAGTTGGGTGACTGAAAACGGTCTCCGAGTGCTCCGTGAGTTCCCCTCGAATGGAGATGGCCATGCGTTTGGCCACTGATTCCGGGCTCGCTTGTGGAAGCGACAGAAGGTACGCCAATTTAGTCAAAGCAGCCTCACTCGTCATATCGCCGCCTGCGACCACACCAGCGCGGCCAAGAGCCATGCCTGGTGCGTAAAGGGGACTGACACTGCCCGTCAAACATTGCGTCACATTCACAATTACAATGCCGCGCTGCACCGCATCAGATATCACCTGGATCAATTTGTTGTCGTGTCCACTAGGCGCGTTGCCAGCACCAAACGTCTCCAGCACCAGTCCTCGAAGACCCTCGGTTCGCAATACGGCTTCGACCATTTTGGGCTTGATCCCGGGGAAAATTCTCAAACACGCCACATGATGAATATCAAGGTCTGGTTGAATGTTAAATGCTTGAAGTGATGTCGGCCTGGTGACCAGGTTCCAGGCCACTTCCGTGTCTACTGCCGTGATCCTGGCCAACGGCGGAAGGTTAGGGGACGCAAATGCATCGAACGCGCTGGCGGATACTTTGGTGGCTCGGTTGCCACGGAACAAGGTAGAGTTGAAGCAAAGACACACTTCGGGTATCATGAAGTGGGCAGCTATGTCCAACGAGTCGAGCAGATTGTCCAAGGCATCATTTTTGCGCTCGGAGAATGGGACTTGGGAGCCTTTTCCACCATTAGCATGCGACTTGAGGCTATCCTGGTCGACACAGCACGGTGGGACAATGGCTGTTGATGCCAGGGGTACAGGTGATTGCGCGAACTCTCGCCCTGTCACGCCATGCAGCTCAATCCTGCGATGCGATGGCGTTTTCAGCACAACAAGATTCTGAGGGTCAACGTACCTGTTAGTATGACGGGCTTCCCCAAATTCTGCAGCATGAAACTGAGGGCTGAGCATGTGTATGCTAAGCTGTCTGTGCCGTGGAGAACAACAAAGCCATCGAAAAGCTTGTAGTTCCGAGAGATGGTCTGGGCTATTTGGTCCCACCCCTTGCTATCGATGGATGATGAATCTAGCAGGGTTTCATATTCCAACACGGCATATCTTCAAGAGACTTAGCTAAGTCTCAAAACAAGTACCACCGGCTGAGGATTGGTTGCATCAGCCGGGGTTAGACTGCTGTTGTCGAGGGAAACTAGGGGCTAGATAGATGACTTACCTAATGCGTTTCCCATAGACGCTTGTTGGTGTTCTCAGACTGTGCAATTTGCCCAAGCCGTCCGGCCCATCATCGAACACAACCTCGAGAGGGTCATGGGGTTCTCCATCATTGAATTCCGGCCGAGGAGCCATACATCGGTCGAGAAAATTGCGGGCTGGAACAAGGCCATCTGGCGACTTCTGCATACAGATAGTCCCTCCTGTCATAATCACCAGAATTCGAGTTTCAGGTACATGGCCCAGGCCCAGGGGTGTTCTGTCCGTCGCTGAAGACAGGTTCAGTAGATTGTAACGTGGTGCTGGCGGGCATACAAACGTACCTGACATCAACGGACTGGATGGGTCTCCGTACGCAGCTGTGCTGTGTTATTCCAATCTGGAGATAAGCAAGCATATTCACTCACCAGCCATCTTGTCCCGCTCTGCTGGATTGGCATCGAGGTTGTAATCTAATTCCCTGTTGAAGGTGCGCGAAGGATGTGATGTTTCAGGTGCTTTCCAGAGACCACTAAAAATGTTAGACCTCAATTTATCATGACGAGTTGCGTAAAACAGTTTTGTTGTAGGTGAGTTTGCATCCACGCACTACTCCGGACTGTCTTTGCCGCCTGGCCAGGGCACCATAAACCCCCTTGACGCGTACCGGCGCTCTTCAGGCGATACCGCAGTGCACAGGCGTGCAGATCCGGTATCATTGCGTAATCCGGTCCAGGCCGGTCCTCGATCTCGTCTATTTGCGTCACCGCCATAAACCCTACAGCTCCGTAGTCAATATCAGCAAAGTTGGTACCGACCTTTCACCGCCCATGCGGCCAGAAGCCCTTGCTGTGGTGGAGGCGCCAGGCTATCTCAGCTTGCTTGCCAGTCCATCAGGTCCATACACGGAGTACCGTATCCGTACTTAACTCGGCGATCGCCTCTAGCTTATCCAGAGTCCGCACAGGTTGTTGGCGCAAAGTCGGCGCCTTGCTGTTGCTCTCACTCTCAACATGCCGGTTTGAGCCGCCGACCTTCGGGCTTGACCTACTGTGTCGTAGTGTTCAGGACACAGCGTCACGCAAGGGACGGCCAGCTCAGCGTATATGAGCCTGTTGCTGAGATCCCGATCATCGTTGCAGGTCTGGCAAGCTGTTTTCGATTTGCGAAAGGTCGCTTGGGGAAAGGTGCTCCAATCGCATGGATTTGTCCCGTATCCCACAGCATACTGAGCGCCTGCGGAAATTAGTCGACGGCAGCGTGCAGAAGCGATGACAAAGAAACGCCATGCCACACGTGCAACAACAAAGAAGTAACGGGGGAGATTGAAGCACGTCTTCCTTTGCATTGCACATTACCGCTTCCTCAGCAAAGGAAATAGGCAGCCAGCAGGAATTGAGATTTCATCTGGGCGCTCAACCATGGTTCAGCAACCACTGCAGGGCTTGAACCCGGCCCATGCAAGTTCTTTGATGGAGAGATGCAACCGCATGACCGCATCTGTAAGATGCGCAGAAGAAATTTGGTGATGATGGTGCGCTGCGCATCGTCTTTACTGTGTGCTATGTGTCCACCATGTCTTTGTGGTTTTATTGCCCATCTGCTGCTGTTGTGCGTCGTATGTCCATGTTTCCTCTCTTGGTTGTGGGCTTGCCATCTTGTTGGACACCAAACAACAGATTCCTTCCATTGACGTCCATCGTCTGCTCTCGTGATCAGCAGGTGTGATTGTGAAATCCCCCAAGCCAGCTGTGAAGGCGAAAAGACCCGCGTGAGACAACTGGGACTATATCCACAGCCACATCAGTTGACTTGGCTCTGCTGACCTAGAAGGATTCGGTTCCATACGAGTGAAAGCGACGTGACTCAGCGCAGGCTGCGGCGAACGGGGAACAAGCAGAGCTTCTAGTGGGTGAAGAGAAGGAGCTTCCTCGGTCTTGGTGTTGACGGACGACAGAGGAGGCAGAGCGCATGATCTTGTGGACGGTGAGCTTTGCACGTCGTCACTCAGAGTGGGCGGCAGGTGGCAACTCGCGAAAAGGCAGGCCACGTTGAGGGTCAAAGGGTCAAAAGGTCAAAGAGCAGACCGACGACAAAAGATTCTGCCTCACCCAAACAAAGAAACTGACTGCGACACCATGAGACTATAGTGAGTAAACAGTACCTTCCCATATCTGCGCGACTTTGACTAACTTACCGCACGACTTCAACTCTCAACTCTCAACCCTCTGTCCGCTTCCCCCATTGCGATCCAGCAACCCAATCCATCCCATCCTCAGAATCGCATCTCGCCATTATCCATTGTCCATTGACACTCCTTTATCGTACGATCGTTACGCTTCTCTTGTTTCGACCTTCGTTCGATCAAACCTCTAAACCCCGTTTCTATCTTCTCACTCGACCGCAGTCGATCTTTACCACCGACAGAACCTCCCTTCTCTCATAATCAAGCCTATACTGTTACACAGTTGCGACAATGGTAATTCCTAAGGTCAAGCTTAAATCTCTCGGCGCCGGACCCGCTCTACTCCTTGTGGTGTTCCTCCTCAATACCGTCCCAGTTCACGCCTTCTTCCGCCATCTGTGCTTCGGTGAACTTGGAAATGGACGCGTCGATCCGATCATGTCTCCAGGTCATCCATCACAACACGTTCACGTCAGCTTTGGCGCATCCAGTGAGTTCAAGAAACCGAGTTGACGGGAAAGTGAAATCTGATCATAGCGCAGGCTTTGGGTTCGATCCCACCATTGACGAATTGTTGACATCAAACTGTACCAGCTGTTCCATCACGCAGGATCACTCAGTCTACTGGGCACCACGCATGTACTTTCAGCACTCAAACGGCACTTTCGAGATGATTCCCACCTCTGGCGGAATGACCGTGTAAGTTGCCCGGCATTTCTTCCTTGAATCCTCCCTGCTTACACCGTCAGGTACTACTTCACTGAGAGCGGGGAAGCCAACGTCTCGGCGACGGCGTTCCCTCAGAACTTCCGCATGATTGCTGGGAACTCGGTCAAACGTGCATTCTATGGTCCAGACCCCGATCCTCCCATGTCACTCTGGCAGCCGAGCGATATGACTCAGCAATCTCTTATGGAGAAAGCCCTTGGCTTCAACTGTCTACACTACAGCGACGGGGTCCCAAACGAAGGTTCGCTAGAGCACCATGGACTTCGCAACAAGGGCTTTATTGACTCTACATGCGAGGATGGAATACGCGCGGAACTACTGTTCCCATCATGCTGGAATGGCAAAGATCTGGACAGTAGTAATCACACCACACACGTCGCGTATCCAAGTGAGGTCAAGTATGGCACATGCCCCGAAGGTTTCCCGGTGAAACTACCAATTTTGTTCTACGAAACAATTTACCAGACACCACTCTTTGCCGGCATGGATGGGCAATTTGTGTTTTCGAACGGTGACCCCACTGGCTACGGCTACCACGGAGATTTCATCTGTGGATGGGATGAGGGAGTCTTGCAGGATGCGATCGACAATACAATCTGCACAAGTTTGAACAGCACGGGTCTCCAGGAAGATTGCCCGATATTCTCACTGCAGGACAGAACAGTTGGTACGCAATGCAAGATGGAGGTTCCAGAGGCCCTCCAGGATGAGCCGGTCAATCTTGTTCAGCAATTACCCGGTAACATACAGGTTCAGGCAGGTCCTGAACCAGCGACCATGCCAGAAGCCACAGCAGTATCAGCTACTCCCTCGCCAACTGCAAACGCTACAGTGTTGAGTGTATCACAGAACCCAACCTCGAGTTTGGCGGCTGCGACTGCGATTGCGACGGCGGCGCCTCTTTCAGCCAACATGAATGTCACAACAACCCCATCTCCATCAGACACGGACCCTCAGATCACGGTGACTTCAACCTACATGAGTGGCAGTGTAGAAGTCCACATGATTCTGGTGGAGGATATCGTTACAGTGACTGTATCCGAGGGTACAGCCCCAATAGCGAGGGCACACAAGCGTCGCATTCACAAGCACGGTCATGGAAACGGACTGGTCCGGTACTGAGCGTGGTTACAGATGAGTATAACCTGCCCAAGCGGCATACTTGGGTATCCAGGCAAGCCCAAATATGTCTTGGAAATGACTCGTCAAGACTGATGAATGATGCCTTTTCTTTCGCGGAGTGCCGGGAGCACTATGAGATGAAATGAGATGAGATGACAACAGTGCTGAAATGGAATGGCAAAGGGCAAATAGCAACTGGCAACTGGCAACTGGCTACAACCGAGCAATTTGGTGAAGACGGCTGGAGCTTTTCATTAACATGGACATGATCAATCCGGGTGGCCATCTGTGAGCTTAGCTGATGACAATTGAAACAATGACATGAAACAATGCGTCTTTTTTGAATAGTTGCTGTCACGGTGTTTATCAGTCACAGATGGTACACGTGTAAGTGCGTGTCGTTTATGCCCGAGCCCCCTGATAAAGTGCATTTCGATGTTTTCTGAGCTGCAGTATTGGTACAGCGGAGTACGGGGGCGGTTAGTGCATTCTGATATCGCGAGCCTGTCAAATCATAATAATAAATGTCTCACTCAATACCATGCCGGGCTCTCCGACAGCAACATTGAATAGGTACCCAACTGAGATTTTACACAGTACGCAATCGAGCCCAGCTGCCTCACTCATCTAGTACGGACTTGGACGCTCCATCTCATTGATTCACTCATTCAATCACCCCCTCTACCGTTTTTCACTATTTCCCGAAGGGCCCTGGAGATCCAACCAAACATCAGCTGTGTACTAGTGCCGTACTCTGTCCAGTACACCGTACAGCGTACAGCGTACACCGGCCTCCAACCCCAAGCAGCGAGAGATCCATCCACGCCCAGTATTTCATCCTGTTTTGCCCAGCCAGCGAAGACAACATAACAAAACGGAACGGAACAGAGAGCCAAGGAACAGAACAGAACAGAACAGAGAGCCAAGGACCGTGCATTTCGCCAGCCTGATCGCCAGTCAGCTCAGCGCGAGATCTGATATCGTCTCATCTCAATCTATCTCATCGATTAACCAATCCCAATCCCAACCCTAGAAAGTCATTCATGGCGGACCAAAAGGGCAAAGACAAAGATGCCGCGTCCATCATTGCGGCGGCGTCGCGGCCTAGAAAACCAACGACGCACCAGACCTCGGTCGAGGCCGACGCCCGCAAAACCCTGTGGTGCGAGACGCAGTGGACGAACTTGAGCATGCAGGCCAAACGGCTCGATATGCCGAAACTGCCGTACTTTGAGGCCGATACTATGCTGTTGTCTAAGGACGTCAATCGGAAGTTGTGGGTTCAGCTGGTACGTCTATCCGTCACCCGTCCATCCGCCTCCCTGATTTCTTACCCATCTATCTATCCGCATCCCTGATTTCTTTCTTGTTCCCGAGCAACACTGCACCTCTGAGAAACACCTCGCCTCACCAATCCCGATTTACAATCACACTTATCCCTTGATTGGCATCACACGTCTTGGAGCTCTCTATGTGTGTGAATTGTTCTTCGGGGGGTATAATGCACTCTGCTTTGCTGTGCTTTGCTGTGCTCAGCTCTTTTCGGCTTTACTCGCAGCTCGCAGCCCCAGCCTATACCTTATCTCCTCTATCACCTACCACCTCTCTCCTCTCCTCCCTCACCCTGTATTATCGTCCGTGGGATGAAACCTACCCCCTCTCCCCTCTCTCATCTCACTCTGCACTATCGTCCGTAATGAAATTCAATCACTCACCAGTTTTCTTGATCAACTAGACTCGACTCTGGGAATCCCTCGGCCCCGACCGTGCCCCCTACGCGACCCCGATCCTCCTCGAAGGCGGCGAGGTTAAATGGCACTCGTTCATCAACGGCGACAAAGGCAACGAGGCCGAGATCTACGATAACGTCGTCGATGCGTTCATGAGCGACTCTGTTCGGCCCGGGTGGTATGACGATTGAAGCGAAGACCCTTACCCTGGATTTGACCATGTCCTGCTCGAGCGGTCTTTCTTGTTTGGTTGTTTCTTGTTTCCCGAATGGGGATGAATGGGGATGAAGGTCATTGAAAGGGAAAGCTGAAAATATCCTACTTGTTGATACAACGTGACGTGTTCTGGCCTGTAAAAGTGCCCGAGCCAGACCCACATCTCTACAGAGTCAGTCGCTCGGCTCCAACTTTCCTTTCCACTGGAGCGCACTTCGGCGGCAAGCGAGTTGCCCAACCACCGTGGGGGCTTATCCTCGCAGAAGTGATGCAGCCCACGGCCCTAAGTGTAGCAGTTTGGCCATTTTCTACTTTGACAATGAAAACAATGTGCGGCAAGCAAAGTCTCTCTGAGAAGAATGAAGCTCTTGTTCAGTTATCATGTGCACTATGGCTACATTGTCCTGATCATTGTCGTTCATGCTGTTGCTAAATACATGCTTTGGGTATTTTCCCTTTTCACCCTCGGCAGGACAATGTCGGGAACATGATCTGATACACCCGGTGTCGTCGCCTGAACATTGGCCGTGATAATGCTGTAGCTCTGAAATATCCACTGCCAGCAACTTGAAGTCGTGACTCCAATGCCGACTTTCCCCCGAGGCCCCCCCTCCACCGGCACATACGAAAACTCTTTGTCGATATGGGAAAGAACATACAGGGTGAATGATCCGAATAGACTCGTCCGGTAAGAAATACATGGAGATGAAAAGCCAAGAGGTGCAAGCCAATTTGGGCGGCTGACTTCAGTGCTGGAGTGTCGCTCCCTACCCATCGGTAAAGCCAGTATTCCAAGCCATAGGGAAGATGCCCCCATGTGTATTGACTTTTCGTAGAATACCCTCATCTTGACAACAGATGATCAGTAAGTAGATGAGATAGTTGACGTAAGCCACCAGCTAGGGCCAGACAAGACCTTGATGTGGAGACCTAGCGGAAGCGAGGCCACTGGCTGCGTGGTTGGCCCGGTGCGCCAAAGGGATTGACGACTGCTCCAGGACCTGGACGAGTGACTGAGTTCGGGTTGCAGCAGAGCATGGCAACACGAGAGCCGAATTTGGAGCCCCGAAGCGACACCATGTGCTTGCGGATGTGAATGGCCACCTGCTCTCGCTGGTGATGATGAGTGTTCATCAAGATCCATTGAATTAAATAATTGCCATACTGGTCGCCCGCAATATCGATGAGCGGAATACGTGGACGGTCTGGATGAGCGGTGGTGATGACTCCGAGGTAACGATCCAAGAACTCTGGGCCTCCAATCTTCAGGCACTTCTCCACCACTTTCGAGGCGAATTGATCAATGCTGTAGTCGTAAGATTTGGCGAGAATGTGGTCAATCACACGACGCTTGTCTGGTGGAGAGCCGTGCTCGCACAAATGCTGGATGCACCAGTTGCCAAATTGTCCGTGTGCAATCAAATCAATGTTGGCAATGACCTCCTCAATGGCAGGGCGCTTCTCGTCTTCGACACAGTTCTCGAAAATGTTCTGCACGACAAGACTTCCAGTTTCACCCAAGGCAACCTCATGCCACATGCCTCGGAGGGCTTCATTGACCTTCAACATGATCTGTGGTGGCTCGCCACTCCAGCGTAGTTCGAATAGTTTCTGCCAAACGTGACAGGCGTAACGGTGGATGACAGTGTCCGGAATACGACGAAGCAACTCTCGCACCATGTCAGCCTTGTGGTCCTCGGGGACAGAATCAAAAGCCTTCTGGATGACGTGGCAGCCGAAAGGGTCCATGCTCAAAGAGATGACATTTCCATGAATGGCGTTGGCAATCGCGACAACCTGCTCCGGGGTACCGTGCTCGAAGCATCGTTGAACAAGGAAATTACCGAACCGATTGATCATGAGAGGGTAAGCTTGGTTGACAATAGACTCCACAATCTCGAATTTCTGCTCCGCTGTGCCGACCTTGAGCTTCTGTTGGAGGAAGATGCTGGCTTGCTGATCATTGTTACAGACGATCTTGTCCACAATATACTTCCAGTCGCAGGACACAGATTTGTCAAGGAGACGACGATAGTTCATTGGTTCAAGTGGCGTCACATAGGTCTGTCCGTTCACTGCTCCCCCCTGAAACAGTCAGCTATAGGGCATGGTAAATTGGAGAAACACTTACCGGAAGCGACCATGGGTTGCTAGCCCCATGAACAGTGGTGGTTGGGAAGTCCGGTGCTGCAGGAGTGATTGGTGTTGTAAGTCCGCGTTGATAATTGTATTGAGCTGGAAGCGCTACGGGACTGATTGGCGGCGGAGTAAGTGCCGATGCACCTGGTGGGAAGCTGCCGAATTGGGCCATCGGGTCACTGATGGTCGAATTGATGCGCAATTGTCCTCCATTCCGCCTCATACCAACCGAAGGATTGTATGGCATCATCTCAGCATTTCTGTGCATGTCGTAACCATTGGGAGCAGCTGAGAAGTTCCGTGGCTGGAAGTTTGCTTCGGCAGGAGAAATGGTTGCTCCATACACACCATTGTAGGCTTGACCGGAGAGGCGGGAATCACGAGGATTGGTGTAACCTGCCGCAGGAGCGTTACTGGCCAAAATATTTGTCATGGATGCAGTGGGATTGTTCCAAATTGCTCGACCACGCCCAAAGTTGCCCGCACCAAGAACATCGGACTGTTCAGAACGTGCCTCCTCCTGAGCAACCCAGGTGTCGGTGCGTGAAGTAAACGGACGAGCAGAAGCGTTGAACGCACTCTGAAGATGCCCGATAGTCTGCTCCGAGATGTCATTTGGCGCGCCAAAGTCAACTTCGGAAGGAGGACCCATGGCTTGATCCATGGTCTGCTTAAGATTTCGGGTCTCAGCAAGTTCTTGCTCCTGGCGAGATATGACCGATTTGGCGGCTTCGAGCTCTTGTTTGACACGCATCATCTCTGCAAGGTCAACGTTGCCAACAACTGAGGGATGCGGGCCTGGGCTCGGCTTTGCCATGTCAAAGTGACCAATTCCAGGGACACAAAGGTCAGAGGCAGAGGCAGAGGTAGAGGTTGTGCCGATCTCTTTCTGAGTATCTGGTTCTACACCATTTTTAAGTTCCTTCTCCTGTTCCTTCAAGGTTTTGTTCTGGTCTTGCAGATTGTTCAGAAGTTTGTTAAGCGTGCCAAAGTCAGTCTTCTGAGCTTTGCTTTCAGTAGGAGGCGTGGGTTTGCGAGAGTCATTCAGCTTGAGGCGGGAGAGTATGTCATCCATGCCGGCGGCAACGTTGGACTCGGGTTGGTCTGTGGTGGTCTGCAAACTCCGTGGTCAGTGGGTGTTTGGTTGAGAGTAATGTCATTCTGGCATAACTCACTTTGTCCTTGCGCTTTGAAGGTTGAATGTTGCTGAGCTTATCGGAGTGCAAAACTGTGAAAGGAGGGCGGGCTGAAGGTGTAATGTGAGATGTTGTTGAAGGCTGCAAACATGTAAGTTAGGGCGTCAACAGATCCGTTGCCCGACTCACAGTAAGATTGTTGCCCGCAGCGCCACGTATCTCTTCACTCTCTTCGCGCACCTTGATGGTTGGAGTTGACTTGCGACTCATTTTGGGAGACCCAGTGGACACAAGCGCAGCCATGAGAGAGTTGTAGTCCGAAAACAAAGAGTTCAGGCCAAAGTCCTAACATGCAAGATATTCGGGAATATGTCAACGAAGGGCAGGATGGCGACAGGCCGTCGTCGAGGCGGTGGGAGGGACACGAGATTGCCAGCAAATGAGGAGATGGGAGACGGACACTGCCTGCGAAAAGAAAAGAAGAGAGCAGTGAGCGATGAAGAAGAAGGGGACAGAGACTGGAGGATGAACAAGGTGCAGTGCAGTGAATTGCAGGCACAAAGGACACCCACTGGCAGCCGCAGTGTACGCTCCTTCCTTCTTCACTCCGATCCAAGGCAGCCAACCTCTTTCAATAGCAAGCTGCTCCCAGCAGCGGCGGGGAAGCAGCATATCCCATTCACCATTCTCCGCAGGTCTCAACAGGCCCTTGAAAGTCAGTAGCCAGCTTGCTCCATCTGACCCGAGAAGTGCGGATTATCCTCCAGTCATCCCGTCGAGAGCCTCTCCCAGATCCTTTGTACAATCACTCAAAGGCTCCTGCAGTCTATTGCGATTGCACATTGGTTTATGCGCCTCATGGGAGGAATGAAGCGGCCGAAATTCTCCAGTTATAGTCAAAGAACCCCATCGCTATGGCCCCTGAGTGTCCCTTCCATCTTGCTTCATTGTTCAGGATAGCAAAATCTGGCTGACCTGCTCCGGTAAGGGTGGGAATCAGTCGGGAAGCTTGCCTCAGCCCAACTTCATCATGGCCCCATACGACGAGTTCGAGCCTCGAGTCAGGGAGCGGACGAAGCCATACACCTCCCATGCCTGATGTGCGGGGGATCGATATGGTGTTCGAGTCCTTCGTCGTCAGCAAGATCTGTTTTTCCCCAAGCTGGATAGGAAAGGTCGGAAGGCTGGCAGGGGGGATCGTAGTTCCCAAGCCAATCGTGATTATATTTCCTTGTCGATGCAGAGCCTCCTTATATCTCAGACAAGGGTTGATGTTCGAATCAGCTCCGAAGTATTGCATGAAGTTCCGACTGGCCTGGATTGCCAACTGGAAAGCCTGGTCAGAGCAATAAACAAGCTCAAAGGGTCCTGCGCTGCGGAGGATCGAATCAAGGAATCCCCTTTGACGTCCATAACGTTGCTCAATGTTCCTCCACTCTAGTGCCACCTCTCTGCCCCAGATGTTTGTTTCAAACTTGACAAACGACTCCTTCTCTGTGAAATTCGCAAAGTTGACTCCTTGGGGCATGTCGTCAAGCACGATCTCATCAGGCGCATTGGCAAGATGTGCAGCAGGACTGAAATGCAACCGGCGAATGTTCTCCGTCCTGATATGCCACCGGTTAATGGAGCCATGCAAGCTGGTGGTCACTTTTATCCGCCCCATTCTGTCTGGGGTGGCCAATTGATCAATAACGATACCATACCGAGAGCCCAGATCGTGTGAATTTGGCACAACAAATGTAAACTGGGTGGGAACAGTGGGGATTGGATTGGAGCCATTCAGACACCCATGGTAAAAGTCCAGCATTGATGGAGTGGTCATAGACCCAGTAAACCAGTGTCCCCTGCCTGGTAGTTCGGAGTAGTCAGCCACCTGACCTACTTGCGCAAGCAAGGTATTCATCAGGCGAGAATGGTATACGGGGACATTGGCGTCTTCAGTGCCATGCTGCTGGAATATAGGAATACCTGCTAAGTTTTCTGTCAACAACTCATGACGAAAACTATTCATCGAGGTCTGAATGATGCCGACTTGGAGTGGATCTGCTTCGTTCCACAACAGGTATGGGACATAATTCTCGATTGAAGAATATCCCGAAGCGGCAGCTGCACCAAGAACACGATCAGGCTGGTGCGACGCATAGAACCAAGTCCCTTGTGCGCCGTTGGAATGACCTGCAATCAACAACTTTGGTGATTCCAGCGCAGGGCCATCCCAACCAGTGTCTCGGATCCATTTGGGGACGGCCGACAGTGCAGCTTCAGCATCAGCCATGCCCCAGGTATGCCAGTCGTCCCCGCTCCACGGGCTCAAGCCTGACGGAGAGAGTATCCATACCGGTAGATCCTGAGCCGCATCAAACATATGGCGAGCCAGAGAACCGTCTGCTTCGACGCCTGCTCCATGAAGATTCAGAAGAACAGGGGCCACTTGATCTACTGATGGGGAATTTGTTGTCGGTGGTGGTCTCAGTATGGCATAAGAGACCACGCCACTAGGATGCAGGAATGTGATTTTTTGTGAAGACGAATCATTGGTGTGAGTTATTGGCGCTTGAAATGTCTGCTGGTATAACTTTGAGTCGTCTGTAGTATATTCAAGTTCAAAATGAACAACTTCTTGTAGTCCTTCAATAGACTCGAGGGTCATCTTCACAGGACGTGACTGACCAGGGGCGAGTCCAATTGCTTCACTTGACACAATAGCACTTCGTTCAGCAAGATTTGCGAAAATGTGTTGGATTTGGATCCACGAATCGCCCTGGTTCCTCACCGTTATGCTACCAAAACGACTGCAAAATCGACCGCAAACCACATCAGGTAACACCAGGCTTTGAAGAGGAACCTCGATGGAAGCGGAGACCAATTCGGCTTTGAGAGTCGCTCGGATAACTGGAGGAAATGCACCACCCATCGACCGAACATCGCGTGTGAGGCGCACACTGATGTCGTTGAGGCCAGGCCGAAGATCCAAAGCAACGGGGGCTCTCTCAAAGCCATAGAAGTCTCCTCCAAATACATGGATATCATTGACCCAGAGCTCGAGAATGTTGACTGGATGCAGCACCACTCTTCGTACAACGGAGTCGGTATTCCAAATGCCGCCTTTCGCCCACCCCTGGAATTGGAAAGCAGACCAGCCATAAATCTTCTGTGCAAATTGCCAGTCGACCTCAGGGAAGTCTATGACCAATTCGACGGATGCTCGAGTCTTCGAAGCTAGAGTGGTGAATGTTCGATTGCTCCATTGCACTGTCGCGTCCCTGGTGAGAGGACTGTGGTAGAGGGCCCCCTCGTCGATGGCGACTGATCGAATGCCTCCATAGAGCTCGACAGGGTCGGCGCCCCATACAGCCTCTGTACATAGTTAAAAAGGGGCGACAGGAACGCAAATAGAGAGATCTGATGTGTCGTACCTCGAGTGCCTAGCCGGAACGGCCCTAGTAAGTCCCAGGTGCTGAGGAAAGTTATGGGGTCCGGATGGAGAGCATGATCGGTGGAGAGGACAGCTTGAGAGATTCCCGCCGCCACGGAGCGAGGATAGAGTGTTACACACAAGAGGATGTTGGCGTAGTAGTCCAGCCTCATTGTACTACATCTTGATACATTCAGGAGGAGATGATTCGCCTGGCTTCGACAGCCAGAACTAAGGTGACACAAGGCGATATGCCGTTGTTCCGACCCATATCTCTGTATCGCCACACCGCCTTCTGTTTCTGGGCTAGCGTGACTCTGCGATGGCGAGTGCATTGCGTGGTGCGCTTCCTGTCAATGATACGACGCTACTCATCCCAGCTGAGAGGGAGTGAGAGAGAACCACCTCTTTTCCCTACCAGCGAGCAAAGCTTGCAAGGCCACTTTTCACTCTCAGTCTCTTTGGCGACAGTCCATTCGTTACAAGCCATGGCACCAGCTACCATCTCACCCTGAATTGGCGACCTCTCGCCGGATGCAGCAGAACAGGACGAATCATTCTGCAGTCAGACTCCCTTTCGACGAACATGACTTCCACAATGACCCAAGTTCCGGAACCCCAGACATTCACTCACCGATCTCTGTCGCCTCATAAACGCGCAAACGATGCTTCCCCCAATGAAAAGTTTCCTTCTTTCGACGAATACCGCCCATTCGCAGTAGCAGAAAGTCCTTTGGACATTAGTCCAGCACAAGGTCTGAACTATGATCTGAAATGGCCGGCGAGGAAACCGAGCCAGCGAGGGCGTGACGGGAGAAACTTAGGAATCTATACACACAGATCGAGGCGGAGCGTCAGCGAAGCAATCAACAAAATCCGCACTCGTCAAGGAAGCGTTAGCGAAAATGCGCAGGAACTCGCTGAGGCCCTGAGAGCACCAGTGTCTTACAGGCTCATTGTAAGTGACAACCATGGATGCATCCCACAAGTTCTAACGGGTACAGACACTCTGCATTGTTTGGTACCTGACTTCCGCCTTGACCAACACCTCCTCCAAATCAATATTGACCGCATTACCCAAGCCAGCCACCCTGACCATAGTCCAATTTGCGTCGGTGTCGATTTGGTGTATATTTCTGAATAGCTTGTCTTCCCTGTTTCCACAATTGAGACGAGCAATTCCGGCGCTCAAGAATGGTCTGAGGCGGCCGTCTTGGGATGTCCTGTACACAGCATTTCCGCTCTCGGTCTTCCAGCTTCTGGGCCATCTACTAAGCTCATATGCTACCTCCAAGATCCCGGTGTCTTTGGTGCATACCATCAAAGGCTTGTCTCCGTTATTCACAGTCCTCGCTTACCGCATCGTTTACCGCATCCGGTACAAACGAGCGACGTACCTGGCACTTGTTCCGCTCACACTGGGAGTTATGCTGGCCTGCTCTACGGATTTCTCCACCAACTTCTGGGGTATAACCGCTTCTCTGGTGGCAGCCGTTGTATTCGTGTCACAAAACATCTTCTCAAAGAAGCTCTTCACGGAGTCAGCCCGCGTGGAGGCCGACGGACAAACACATCACCCCTCGAAACTGGACAAGCTCAATCTTTTGTGCTATTGTTCGGTCGGTGCGTTCCTACTCTCGGCGCCTGTCTGGCTATACACAGAAGGATTTGACTTGCTCAAAGATTTGTGGAAGCAAGGGGCTGTTCCTCTCTCTGCGAAACAGGGCGCATTGGATCATGGGGAGCTCATACTGGAGTACATCTTCAACGGACTCTTTCACTTTTTCCAAAACATCATGGCATTTGTCCTGCTTTCAATGTTGTCACCCGTGTCATATTCGGTGGCCTCGTTAATCAAAAGAGTCTGGGTGATTGTGGGCGCTATTATCTGGTTCCGAAGTCCGACCACGTCAGTGCAGGTTCTCGGAATTGCCCTGACCTTTTTAGGCCTCTACCTCTACGATCGTACCAGCGTAGAAGACGCTGCAGAGAGGAGAACCAGGTCGGATCATTTCCGTCACAGAGCGGCATTGTTACCTGTCACTGAGGTCCAAACGCCCGGGATCCCCGACAGCCATGCCATACAGGACGATTATGTGACCGAGATGTCAGAGTCGCATCCTAAGAGGGACGACAGCCGTTCTCGTCCACACGAATCGAATATTCCATCAGGGTGGCTACCTCCTGGCACTAAACAAGAGAGCACTTGGGAGGCTGGAGATCAAGGAGAGAAAACGTAGTCAATGTATCATCATATGTAAGCATAGCGGAGGCGTCTGGAGTTCAAGTTGGCCGGCAGCCAGCTTTTCGGGAAGGGAGATTTGGCCACAAGGCAACTAATGAGATAGAATGAGTTTTATCTTCTAGATAAACGAGGAAGACTCAATTGCAAATGAATATGAGGAAGAAGTGAATACGCCATTATCACATACAAATGTAGGTTTATGTTAGCATTCAGTTTGTAGCGTCCGTTGGTAAGGAAACTGAACATCATTGACCTCTTCGAAGAAAAGGTCATAGCAAGCTCCAGCTACGGCGCAGGATCTGATCTTGGACTACATAGTAGAGGAGAAAGAGATTTGTGCAGGTGCGCAACCCTGGCTCCTACAATAAATCAAGTCCGTGAATGAGTTATGGAGAGAAAAGGAAAGAGAAGAGCAGCCAGCCGCCCGCGTCGAAAATATCACAAAAAATGGACGAGGGAGGCTGTGACGTGCGCTAGGCCACAAGAGGGATGGTCGGGCGTGAATGGAGTTGGCAAGACCCGTGAGCCGGCAGGTGCAGCGGTGCAAAGGCGCAGGCAGAGAGAGGTACAGAGGCTTAGGGGCCCGTTGCTGAGTGAGGTGTGCAACGCAACGACCCTCCCTCAGTGCCATGTCCAGCATCCCACCCGCTCCCTGTTGCTACTAGTACTATTGCTTGGAGTCCAGCTGCTGGTCTGCGCTTCGAGAGGCGTCAGGACTCGCTTCCCATCTTCCCTTCTTCATCGCCCTTCCTCCCATCTTATCGATCATCCCAGCCATGTCGCAAACAGAAATCCAGCGCCCCGACTCCATTGAGGAAGAGGACCCCAATAACGAGAGCCCTCCGAAGAAACAAAAGAACAGACGCCCGGCGAGTAAGTTAGAATCGGTTGCAGTTGGGTGAAGATTTCCACGAGCTTCCGCTGACCGTTCGATCGCATAGATACCGCGTTTCGCCAACAGAGGTTGAAGGCGTGGCAGTAGGTTTATCGCTCGCTGATTGATCTCCGCCTCGAGGCTGACATCGTCTTTCCAGACCCATCCTCACCCCCAAAACCGTTCTCCCTATCTTGTTCGGAATCGGCATTATCTTTGCCCCCATCGGTGGTCTTCTTCTCTGGGCGAGCGCAAGTGTCAGTGGAATCCGTGGTCGCACTGGCAAGAGATGGACTGATGTTGTATCCAGGTGCAAGAACTGGTCATTGACTACACCAACTGCAATTCCACCGCAACCTCCGAATTCCAGCCCATCCCAGACAGCAAGGTCTCCTTGTCATTCAAATCCTCCAACACCACCGTACGACCACAGTGGAGAAAGACGTTGAACACAACGACACCACCCTATAGCGTCGAGATTAAAGACACTCCAGTCTGCACCCTCCAGTTCCAAATTCCCAACGATATCGGGCCGCCCGTCTACCTCTATTACCGTTTGACGGACTTTTATCAAAACCATCGAAGATACGTCAAGTCGCTTGATACTGATCAACTGAAAGGCGATGCGTTGAGCAATAGCACAATCCATTCGAGCTCTTGCACCCCTTTGAAACTTGACGGCAATGGCAAAGCATACTACCCGTGCGGCTTGATCGCCAACTCCATCTTCAACGATACCCTCAACTCCCCAGTTGCCGTCAACTTGGCAGGCGGTGAACCAAGCAAACAGTACCGCATGACGAACAAGAGTGTTGCTTGGAGTTCTGATGCTTCGCTCTACAAGAAAACAAAGTACACCAACGATCAAGTCTCCCCGCCTCCGAATTGGCAAAGGCGATATCCCAACGGATACACGGATGAGAACCCGATTCCGGACTTGTCCAAATATGAAGAATTCCAGGTGTGGATGAGAACGGCAGGGTTGCCCACTTTCAGTAAACTTGCCCTACGCAATGACGACGATCATATGACCGCCGGGATTTATCAAATGGACATCTATGACTGTAAGCTCTCGAACGCACAAGCTGCCGCCTAATTTGGCCTAACCTGTCCAGTTTTCCCTGTCAAGGTCTACGACGGCAAGAAGAGTATCGTGATCTCAACACGGACAATTGTGGGTGGCAAGAACTCCTTCTTGGGGATCGCTTATGTCGTGGTCGGTGGACTATGCATTGTTCTGGGTGTTGTTTTCACCGTCGCCCATTTGATCAAGCCTAGGTGAGTGTGTTCTGTTTAAGCGCGTATAGACAATAGCTGACACGAAGCAGAAAACTTGGCGATCATACTTATTTGTCCTGGAACACCGATAACCAGTCGACGGCCGTATCGACTGGGCGGGAGATAAGATCTGGAGGAGCTTGACGACCTGACAGAATGCATGATTTTTAACGTTGATGATGTATTAGGGACGGTATGCGGCGCTAGGCGTTCCTTAAGATATGGATGAGATGGCTGAAAAGAACTGGTCGCGCCTTAAGTCAGGGGTCTTATCGTCACATATCATTCCTGCACGGACGGTTTCCCAATATCTGTTACAACATAAGGTACTCGGGCTCGATGTCAATCCAGCTGGGCAAGCGTTACCGCGCATTCCATTCCACATTCCAAGTCCGCCGTGCCATTCATTGATGGAGATGATGTCTGTGCTCATTGTTGACACTGGATTTTGTTCAATCTCAATATCATCACTCATGCCTGATTCGCAGCCTTCGCCTGTATTTGCGTGTCCAACCGTCTCTCCAGTTTCTTTCTTACTATGCAAAGGCACCACTTCACGACGCCATGCATTCGTTCATGTCTTGTTTTGTTGGTTCTGACTTTGATTCCATGCAGCCATGCAGGCGTTCCCAAATACAAGCCGGTCGGTCGGTCATGCGGCGCTGGCAGTCCCTCGGTCGAGCTTGAAGATTCGCACCGATGGCTGCAGCACAACGAACCATTAGACAACGAACTCTGGAACGCTTCGAGCGTACAGCAACGACATGCCTACGCCGAGCATCCGTCTTTTGAGTCAGATGGGGATGGGCATCAGCCCCGGCCCCGGCCCCGATCCCAGCGCCGACAAGCGGCGAGTCCACTGTACGTGGTCGACACATACATGCACATCGTGGCGGACAGTTCGAGCGCTGTCCCAGGGTCGACCAACTACGTGAGCGACACGATGATCACTTTGCAATTCAGCTACCTCGCGCGGGCGTACACCAACGCGTCGATCGGATTCCGCCTGCTCGGCATCGACCGCACCACCAACGACACATGGGCGGCCAACGGCGACGACGTGGCCATGAAGCGCGCGCTGCGCCGCGGCTCCTACTCGTCGCTCAACCTCTACTACCAGTCGATGCTGCAGGCCGCGGCCAACACGCCCGGCATCCCCGCGGGCTCGACGTTGCTGGGCTTCTGCAGTCTGCCGGCGGCCGGGGTGACGGCGACGACGCCGCACAGCTCGTATACCCTCGACGGCTGCAATCTGCTGGCCGCTACCATGCCCGGTGGGAACCTTGCCGGCTATAATTTGGGCGGCACCACCGCTCATGAGGTCGGCCATTGGAATGGCTTGTTGCATACCTTCAATGGCAATAGTTGCGACCCTGGCGATTTTGGCGATTACGTCGCTGACACACCGCAGGAGATGACGAGTACGAGTGAGTAGTCTTGACCTTGACCTTGTTGATCAGCGTTGAGCGTTGGATTGAGATTGAGATTGAGATTTGCCCAACTTTTCTTTCTCTTTCCCCTTCTTTTTCTCTTTTGGGAGGGCGGTTTGTGCCTTCACCTTGACCTTGTTGACTAGCTTTGAGCGTTGAGATTGAGATTGAGGTTGAGATTGAGATTGAGGTTGAGATTGAGATTGAGATTGAGATTTGCCAGCCTTTTCTTTCCTGTTCCTTTGCTTTTTTTCTTTTTTTTTTGGAGGGCGATTTGGGCCTTCACCTTCACCTTCATACGCACGATTCTATGCTGTTTAGCTTTGTTTGCGTGAGTCTAGGTTGTTGAATTCGATCTGATGCGATGCGTTGGCTCCTGTTCTCGGGGTGGTCCTCTCCTCCTCCTTTTACACTCAATAACTCATTTGCTTCTACACTCAATAACTCATTCGCTTTTGCTTCTACACTCTACAACTCATCGCTTTTCCTTCTACACTCAACTAACTGATTCATATTCCGGTCATCTTCAAGGCAATTGTCCAATCTACAAAGACAGCTGCCCGTCCTCGGGAGTCACGCCTGGCTCCTACACCGGCGCGCCCGGCCAAGGCTCCACAAACCCCTACGGACCGCAAGGCTACAGCGGGCCAGACCCCGTGCACAATTTCATGGATTACAGCAGCGACGCGTGTTATCAGGGCTTCACGCCCGGCCAGGGTGCGAGAATGTTGAATATTTGGCAAATTTATCGGGAGGGTCTTTGATGGAGATGGTTGTGGTCCTGGTCCTGGTCCTGGTCCTGGAAGGACGGCCATGGGATGTTGGGACCGACTTGGGTTGGATGGGATGGGAGAGGATAGGTCGGATCGGGATGGGATAGGATAGGATAGGAGAGGTTGGGATCGGTAGAGGATGGGATGTGATGGGATGGTTGGGTGAGTTTGGGTTCTGATATAATGTGGAAAGGGGAAAGAGAATAGAAATCGAAACAGGAATAGATGAGAATCGATCAGGAACAGAAGAGAACTGGGCATTAGGTCGTGGCCGTGCCGAGTCGATGGAGATGGCTTCTCCCTATTGTCCAGGGTAGGGTCCTCGAAGACCGAATAGTATCTGCCCGTGTGGGTTGATATCAAGTATTCGGTATTCGGTATTCAGTATTCAGTATTCAGTATTTAGTCAATACTCAGTATCGATCACCAACCACAGATACCACAGCAAAAAAAAAACCTACTTGCTCTTCTCGATCATCTTATCTCATCGACCACGTTGGGTTTTAATCATTAACATCCTTAGTTAAGGCGATCATGCTTCTCGTTGCCATTGCCGTTGCCAATGCCATTCTCGACGATCCAGCGAGCGGGATAGCCTGAATACCAGGATCGCGGTCATCCTCATCAAACAATATAACATTGCATTGCCAATATATAAGCATTCTACCATCGTATAGTCAGTACGTACCATCTCCAAGACACCCCCCAAAAACCATTAATCGTCCTCGTCAACTCTCGCTCTCTTCTTCTCCCTGTCGCCGGGTCCAGCCTCTTCCAGACCATACCGTTTCTTCCCGCTCTTGCCACTCTCACCACCGTTCCTGGCCGAAGCCTCGCCAATCAAACTATCAATGCCAAAGGGGTCATCTTTGTCCTTCTCAAATTGCACAGGTCCAGCCTCGCGTTCGGCCACATCGGCTCCCTTGAACCCTTGGGACGCCTTCCCCAAGACGTCAAAGCGATTGGATTTCTGGATCTTGCCCATTGCGCTCTCGGCCGCGTCTTCACCGTCGTCGTCATCCTGGTTCGCCGATGGTCGATAGATGCTGTTGATGGCATCGTGCGCTGCAAACAAAGGTTTGTCGTATGCTTGATCCTCGTTGAATCCCGTGTCGAATCCGGATGTCTGGTTGAACAGTCTCGAGTCGTACATGGTTTCCTTGTTCTGCGTCGGTTTCGCAAGCCCCAATGCCACTTTCTCGGATATATCACGATTTTGTTCTCGTGCCATCATTTGGATCCGTTTTTCCGTGCCCATCCTGCTCTGTCGCAGTTGTCGTTCATTCTCCATTCTTCGTTCTCGCCTGGCTCGTTCTCTCTCCTTCGCAGCATCATCTTCACTGTCGCTGTGTGATTTCGAATCATACGAAGATCCAGAGTACGACCTCGACCGCCGTCGAGACTGAGAGTCCGAATCTCTCCGCCGCCCAGTAGTGGCCTGTCTTTCTTCCCTTGCTTTTCGTGCCATTTCCCGCAGGTGTTCTTCCTTGGCCAGTTTCTCCTTTTCGGCCAGTTTCTGCTGCATCTGTGCACGGAGCTTGACCTCTTCTCTTGCGTGTCGATCAGCGGTAAAAAGTGCCTCTGCGAATTGGGCGAATTTGTCATTGATAGTGACATCCTGTAGACCCCGTCCATCCGCTGCCAACCGCTTATCCAGAGGTACTGTGTATCCCTTTGGATTTTTCCAGTTGGAGATAGGGGGAGGGATCTTCCATGCCTCCTGATCTTCGGCCGTCAATTTTCGTGGCGGCGAGTGCATCACAGGCGGTGGTGGACTAGGTGGCCCTCGAGGAATCTTCTTGTGTTTAAATTTGGGAGGCTCCATGGGATCTTCTTGCCGTTTAACGATCTTGAATATCCGATCATTCTTTTTGCTGTTGTCGCCCATCTGATTCGCCGGGGTGTAGCGCACATATGTAGGTTCTTCTCTCGTTGCACCTTTTACATTCTTTGGCTTCTGCGCTGCCACTGCACCCGAAACAAGCTTTTCCAACGCCAGTCTTGTCTTCTCCGCCGTAGCTTCGACCTCTTCTTGAGCCGGTCGGTCCAGGTTCAGGTCACCCGCATCGGCACGTTGTCGGAGCGGGATTAAATCCTTGAAACTTGAATGTATGATCCGACTCTCGTTGTGCCCCTGTCGTGCAATAGCATCGTATTTGACTTTGCCCTCGCCGTCGACTTGGATGGCTAGAGCATTGGAAGTAGATGACGTTCCTTTTCGGCCCATATCAAGAGGGTACTGTGCGACGGGTATCTCTGGGAAAGCTCCGCCATCGCCAAAATCTTCTGCGGATCGAGGTCGCCATCCTGAGCGTTGTCCGTAGGGAGGAGGGCCGGCACGCTACAATCACAAATGTCAGTAATGAGCTGGACCAGTAGAGCCTAAAAACTGACTTTTAGAACAATCTGAGATTCATCAATAACGCCTGGCCCGACAATTCTAGGCCCTTTTGGCTGAGCATGCGCCGGCACTTCTTCATGCTCTCCGGTGTATTTGGGCTGCGGTAAGGACGCGAAAAGACCGGTCGCCATTTTTGTGGTGGGTTGTGAGTGTCCGAGGGAAGGAATGCAGAGTAAGGTCTTGTGCATGAACAGTCCATCAAAGGAAAATGATGCAAACTCGATATTGCGGGTGAGTGAATTATTGATGCGCCGGAGAAATTTTACTACTGCGAAGCATCTCACACGTTGGCAACACAATCAGCCGGCAGCTTTTTGGCCTGGGGCTCCAGCTGGGTAAGCCTTGCAACGTATAAGGCACATTTTCCTGACGGCGCTGCTAACTACTACTTCATGTATCCGTACAAATCCCAAGCTCGTCCACAGCCAAGACTTTGTTACTTATATGTATGTAGGATTAGCGACCCTGTACGGATAAATTGCGAAATGTCCCTGTGCCACTAGCGGATCTCGAGCGGAGGCGGCCCGAGGCAGCGTGAAAAGCAGCAATCGCCGTTATCAAGATTCAACCTCCTGTTACTCCCTACAGTACCAGCACAGATAGCCGCCTCATCTCTCCTTGATCGATCGCCGCAAGGATGGCTCCCTCTCGCCTTTCCAAAGTCCTTCAGGGCGTCACAGTGACATCTCTCGCCTCGCTGGGCGGCTTTTTCGTGTGGACGAAACATGCCCGATTTACCCCGGATAATCAGTTCGGCCCGACAGCAGAGCCTCTTTTCCAGAGCAAATGGTTCCTTAAATTCAATCCCAATGCTAACCCTTCCACCCACGATGAGTGTGTGAGACGCATCCCACTCCATAAGCTCCGGCCAGAGCTCGTTGAGGATGCCCGACATGGTGGGTCGAAGTTGGTCGAGGCATTCAACCAGGGTGTCTGGGGAGGATTCGGTATGTGCTATTGTTGTTTCAATTTCGGCTTTTTTTTTCTGTGAGCAGCCGCCAGACGACAAAGGTTTGCAGTATGCTATTGAGACCTGCTCTGACGACTTGGCTCTCCTGGTGTTGACATCGAAGCAAAAGTGGAAGGCTGTCACGCGCGCTCTCTTGGAGAGGGTTGGCTCCGTTGGCTATGCTCAAAAATACTGTCATGGCATCCTCTGACTTTCACACTATACAGGCTATACAATCCAACGTCTGTATCTGGAGAGAAAATACCGAAATGACACGACAACCGCACATCAGCTCTGGACGCCTGAACAATTACAGACTTCGACATACGACGTCGGTACCGAGATAACAGACCATTTCGTGGTGTTGGACAAAACTCCAACTTCGGTTCTGATACGCTGCGGTGACTCTCCCTTGCACAATCCAGACACATCGCGGCCGAGTGATGGCTTGTTTGAGTTGGATGCAAAGGCCGATTTCGACAAGGGCGTCGCCGAGTTCAGGCTCAAAAGCATTTTCTACCAGGGTGAGGGTGAGGCACAGGACAAGACACACGGCCCGATGCCTGATACTATACAATGGCTGCACAAGCTGTACACCAAATTATGGATGGAGAGTGCCATGCGCCGTGTCACACAGTGACCTGGCCGAGCAGGAGGTATTTGGACATATTCAAGGATACAACAAGTCTCGGAGCAACTTTGTGTTTGTGGTAGCGTGATTGAGCTAAGCAGTTGCGTCTGACTCCTATCAGCTCGCCCTTGGCTGTTAGAGTCTTGATTCTCACTCAGCCCAGCCGTCCATCCAATTTTGCTTTCCAATGAACGATCACCCACGTTCATCAAATTAGCCAAGCATCATGCTCATCGAATCGTTTCCTGATAGTGCCAATTTCCGTCCAGCGTTGTCGTAGTGCCGAGTCACTATGCGACACAAGTCATATCAACTGTTTCCTCCCTGTACTGTTCAGCTGGCGTGGCGAACGTAGTAGTGGTATCCACTGGTAGCATGTCTCTCCCAGTGTCCTGCAGGAAAATCGCCCTTCACGGCATCGTTGTACTCCCTCAGCGTCCAGCTACCATCCAACTCCTTGCACCAAAACTGTGGACTTGCTCCTGGCTTGTAGGGCGCGAGTTGACTTGGTTGTTGTTGCTGCTGCTGCTGCTGCTGTTGCTGAGCTGCAGCAAGATTGGCGTACATGACGGCGTTCTGGGCTTGAATGTCTGCGGCGGTCGCTCCGACAAAGTAGGCCGGTGCATTTGGCATCTGTGCAAGCGCGAGATTGGCGGCTACGGCGGCGGCAGCTTGAGCGGGCCCTGAGCCTTGGCTCCATGGTGATGCAGCTGGGTATGGCATTGCTTGTGGTGCTGTACTGTATGGTGAGTAGCCGTACATGTAGTTGAGATTGCAAGGAGTGGTTGAAGTAGGGGTAGAGGGCAGAGTGTAACAAGTGTATGAAGAGGAGGTATATGGCCAACCAGTTGCTGCAGAGGGAGGTTGTGTTCCATAGTAGAGTCCGTTGACATAATAGCCTGCTGGAGCTGTGGAGCTACCCTATAGTGAATGGTGAGTGAGCTGACGGTGACGAGAAACAGGCCACTTACGGCGAAGTAGTACATTGCTTGTTGAGAAGGCTGATTCGATTGATAGACGGGTGCTGGTGGATGGATTCCCTGTGCGCCTTCGTGAGCAGAAACGTAGAGGAATGTACGCGGCCAGTCGGTAGGGTCTTCCCAATGCCCTTGGTTGGAATCGTTCAACGCTGAGGGATTGGGATTTTGGTACGTGTAGAAGGTGGGCATGGTTTATCTCTCTAGGCATAGAGCAATTGTAACAAGAGGATCAAGTGAGATTGATTGTAAAGCAAAGATCGTAAAGCAAAGATAGCGGGCGGGACTGGGGAGAAGAAGAGGAGCAGGTGAATCGGTTTGATTTCGGTGCGGAAGGCAGAACTTCGTGGCAGGCAGGACTGAGGCGGGGAATTCACTGCGAATTTCGAGGAAACGTACAGTGCGGTTATCTGGATAGAAAGCAGCGTTGTCCTCGAGGAAAATGTATTCCTGCTTGACTGGTTCGGCGGCGAGTTGGACGGACTGGCCCCATGGCCATCCACCACAAGAAAAACACATGATAATAGCTGGAGCAAGATATGGAGGCAATGATAGAAGGAAGAGTCTGCCTGATGGTAGTGGGAGTGTGGAAAATGAGGGTAGGTGGTGAAGGCGCAGGATGATGCGCAGGCAGGCAGATCACGGGGAAGAAAATACCCAGTTGAGGAGGCCTCCTTCGACACCTGTGAAGTGCGCAGGTCAACTGATTTCATCAACTTGCCTTCAAGACCTTCGTCAAAGTATGGGCAATAGCACCTTGCTCCTTCTTCTCACGCCAGATGCAGCTTCGGTATGTTTGTTCGGACCCTTACGCACATTCTGTCTTGAGCGGAAACTGCTGACGGTTCCAGCATGCCTTTGTTAATGTATAGTACAGTTCAACCCACTTCACAGCCTTGTCCAAGCCATCGTGGAAGAGGCAGCAGTAACATGGCTATCACAGATCAGTCTCCTCCCGCATTTCCAGTAGCTCCGAAGTCAGCCATAGCTCAACTGCACGAACCCTATGCTACGCAAAAGTTCAGCCTGTTTGTCGGCAGCACAGTCTGCCGGTAGGCGCTCGCCACGGCCTTGACCACGAGAAATCGCCTGCAAAGTTGATGGGAAAGCCAAGTACAAGGAGAAAGGAGCAAGCAGAAAGGAGCAAAGCGGGAAGATGAGGAAAGCAATGGACGTGGATCTCTTCCGATTTCGGCGGCCGCCTCATTATTTACTCATTCCGTGCCAGCATGACCACGTATCCACCACCACATGATTAACCAGAAGCTATGCAAGATGCTCTTTTAAGCTCAGAGACAAAGACAAGACTTGGAATTTGCAGGGGATCCAGGATCAGGTTGTGCCTGGATGGCAGGCAGGCAGCCTTATATTGGCCTCGGCCCCGAGACAACTAGACTACGGAGTACTAGTATCCCACACATCTCTCCTGTCAGTTCTGCTCGGTCACACACCGCACACGCCACCATGGATTTTGAGACCGAAGAACAGCGGGCTTACACTCCCCCAACGTTCACGATCGACCTCTCACAGCCCAGAAGACCGCTACAAAGCTTTAGCCGAGGCGTATAAGGAGCAGCTTGTTCGGTGATCTTGGGCTTCCAGCTCGTTACCATGGCCCTATCAACCATGCCGCCTGGCTTCTCCTCAGGGGCGTGTACTCGCCGGTTGAAAATGCAGAGCTGCGGGAGATTGCCAACATGACCAGAGTACCCTTTCATGCCATTGTGGATCTCCTGATGGGTTGCACTTTTGGCGCTGTCAAGGCTCTACGGCCGGGATAGCCCAAGAACAGATCGAGAATGCTAGACTTTCGAACATTGGACTGGAAGATGGATTCTCTCAGGTCGATCATCGTGCAGCTTGATTTTATCCGAAGCAAACCTTCAGATCCTTCCCCAGTTCTTGCTAGCAGCATCACGTTCGTCAGTTTTGTCGGGTTCTTAACCTCTGTTCGTCCGAGGTTGAGCCTGTCTCTGAGTTTCCGGGGTGTCCATAACGCCACAACCAGGCAAGAGCATTTCAAATTCTACTTCCATCATCTGCTTGTTTTACTAGGCTATCGCCAGTCAGTATCTAGAGGTTATTTCATCTCTGAGAATGACGATGAAAACGAGCCCAAGACGCTTGCAGATATTGCCGAAGAGTTGGTCTCACGGTGTCCGACAGCCGCTTACCTGACCTTTAGTGACGGCATACCCCACGAGCAACGAATGTACTCAATTCGCAGCAATCCTGGATGCGGCAACTGGCCAAGTCGTCTGGACAAAAGCGTACAGTGTTGTGATCAATGTCCGTGATGACATGTGAAGCACGATATGTTGACTATGTCAGGATCTCGGAGTATCATGTACCTTCTGCAATCAGAAAGAACCCTGTATGCATTAGGCCGATGATATTGGATTAAGGTTTCCGATCTGATCGTGAGAAACTTCCGTCGATAGTAGCAGCTGGTGTTATCCTCCGATGCCCGGTTAACTAACGGAGATGTTGCTGCCAGGGCTATTGCAAGCGAAAATGAGAGCACGGTTGCAACGTAGCCCAATAAGAGGGATTATGTACATCACGCCAGGGCCTCATGGTCTTGCTGAGAACAAGCGGCACAGCTCTTCAGGCGGATGAGTGACCAATGGCCGGAGACCTCTGCAGCACGGAATTCCAAGTTCGGAGAGTTGATCTCTCGAACGACGCATATGAAAGCAGGCACACTCAACGAGTGTTGACGAAATCCTCTATGGCAACGCCGAAGCGTTAACTGAAAGGAACAGTGATCGATGTATTTCACATGAGTAAGGCCAATCAAGCTCGAGAGCACGGATGTTCGGAGTTTCAGGTTCCAGAGTCTATGCAACCCTTCAACCGATATGTACCGGAATCCGTACACATATGTATGACGACTTCGACTCAGACGCTAAGGTTGGTCGGTCTCCTCTATCAGTCGACCCAAACCCAGTTCCAGATGGCAAGCACCCAACAGCGGTACTAGTAGGGAATGGCTTTCCCTGCTGCGGTTCAACAGTGCCCAGAGGCTGGTGAGGCTGAGTCTGCCTGGCTTGGTGCCTGGGTACTCCATCCATACATGACCTATACTAGACGGAGAGTGAAACAGCCATTGACGACGGGGCGTATTTGAGGCTAATGCGATTAGAGCCAGGCGGCCTCAACTCCAGCTCGCCCAAACTCCGTATTAGGTGCCTATTCTCTAGGCGTCGGGCACCTAGCGGGTAATAAGGAACGCTTTAAGGCCGCCCAACAACCACAAATGGCTAGGCTGGGGCTAAGGCTAAGGCTAGTCAAGAAGCTTATCCCACGTCCAAAGCCGGTGTCAGCCTCCGCCACCGAAAGCTCGCTTGGCCCCAGAACTTGAACTTGATTCATTCACCATTCATCATTCATCATTCATCGGTGTCATCGGAATGCGATGCCTCCGGGCCTCAAACCTTGAGAAGATCAACCTTCAAGGATGTCTCTGGCAGTCTCATCAGGAGAACCTGACGTCTTATGGTTCAGGAACACGATCATCGACGCTCCGTTGTCTAGGGGACAAACTCCCGACAAACAATATCACGGTCCGGATCTTCGAGGAGGAGATGAAATGTGGCGTGGGTGGCCTCAATGCCCGGAAAAGAGGCTGGTGCTGGCGGGTGGTGGATGGAGACCAACCATGACCCCGGTCGATATGTATGCATGAACTCCCCCATCCATCTGCATGCTTGTCTCGTGTTACCAAAATAGCAAACCCGACCGTCATCCATCAGGATGGGCCATTCTCATCTCCCTTCGAATTTGCTGTCTAGTCGTCATCACTACTGGATATCTGCAATGGGCCCATCCATGAACGCTTCTCACTCCTGCCCCCGGTTGACTGCTTGCCGTGAGTTGGTGGTCAACATGTTAAAATACCTGTCAGCATGTCGGACAACGTGGCGGTCCGTTGCCCGCCACAGAACTGCACAGGTTGGAGCGAGGCTTCATATACATGAGCTCCTTCCCAAACCAGTTCTGTTCTGTCCGGTACTTGAAAGATCACCGTGCCACTCGTTCACTTGCCGTCTCTGCCAACTGCATCCGTTTGCCTGTATATAACACTCAACTTGAGCAGTTTGACTTCCTCTGCTCTAGACTCTTCGACATCTGTCGAACATCCAGCTTACTTTCGATTCCACCCTCGCTTATCGTATAGCGACGCCCACCGCCGCCGTCATGGTCAATGCCATTGTCTCACTCGCCGCGCTCGCGCTATCAGCTCTCCCGGCCTTGATCGAGGCTGCTCCTGCTCCTGGTCTTGGTCCTGCGCCATGGGGTCCATCTTTCTTCGGGTCCCCTGGGAAGTACCCGCCGTGTACGGAGGACAGAATCAAGATTCGCAAGGACTTTGACTCGATGGCGCCTGCAGAACGAAAGGCCTTCACCGACGCAATCAACTGTATGATGACCAAACCCTCGCAACTCGACCAGACCCTGTATCCCGCCGCCACCAATCGCTATATGGACTACGCTGTCACCCACGTCAATCTCACCCAGCAGGTCCACCTGTCGGGGTTTTTCTTGACGTGGCACAGGTACTACGGGCACTTGTTTGAGCAAGATCTGGCTGAACAATGTGGATACACGGGAGCATTCCCATACTGGAATTGGCCAGCCACCGCGGACAACCTTCGTGGCTCGGCGGTGTTTGACGGATCTGAGTACTCCATGTCCGGCGACGGCATCTACGTTGACGACGGACCTGTCGTTCTCTCCCCTTTTCTTCAACTTCCTCATGGTTCAGGGGGAGGCTGTGTCAACACTGGCCCCTTCGCCGGGCTCCAGACCACAATGGCCCCGATTTCCATCGACAACCTGATTGCCGGTCTCCCTTTACCGGACACGGCATTCCAACTCAACCAGACGTGCCTGACACGAGATCTCAACACGTACGCCGCCCAGCGATATTGCAACTACACCGCGCTCTACGAAGCTCTTGACACCGACGACCTGTTGACGTTCGACCAGTTGATCAACGGCGTTATCGGTGGCGCAGAGCTGGGGCTGCACTCGGGTGCCCATTTCATCGTGGGTTCTCCAGCATCGAGCATTTTCGTCTCCGTCCAGGATCCAATCTGGTGGCCCCTGCACGCCATGCTCGACAACCTCTACACTTCATGGCAACTCCGTCATCCGGACCTCGCCACGGCCGTGTATGGGACGGAAACGGCCAACAATGCGCCACCCAGTGCCAATGTCACCCTTGACACCCCTCATCCTGGTTGGGGCTATTTTGATCCCAACCATTATACCATCAGAGACCTCATTAGCACCACATCTGGGCCGTTTTGCTATAAATATGACGTCGCTCTGTAAAAAGAGACCCCAAAAAGGGGTGATTTGGATCCTCTAGATAGGGGCCGCGATGGTTTGCATGCGCATAGGGGGTAATCTGGACGGCTACAGTTCGCATCATGTCGATAAATTATCATTCAGCATATTTGGAACGCAACAGACCTTTCTTATGTTTAGTTCGTTCGTGGACCACATAATACGGGCGGCCTGTATGATTATGATTATGATTAGGGTTATGATTATGATTACTATCAAGACTGGTTGCTGTTTCTACTATTGTTCTCTTCTTCAATGTCGCACCCTACCTGGCCCTATTTTGTAAATCTATTGATCAAGCCACTCATTTCCCAGATAGGTCGCGTTGTCTAGAATAGCTTGATCAGGATCGGCATTGGCTGGGCTAGGTCAACCAGTCCGAACAGTCTGGCTGGCTACCTTATACGAGACAGACGAGACGAGAAGAGAAGAGAAGAGACGAGACGAGACTAGCAAGCAAAGCTACCTGGTACAGGAACAGGAAGCATAATACGGAGTAGGAGTAGGAGTAGGAGTATAGATACCTACGTACAGAAGGGCAAGCAGTCCATAGCATGACAAGGTAGGTAGCCATAACCACGACTTGACTCTTTCAGAAGGTAGCCAGCCATACCATGACTGAACTGGTTCAGAGGGACAGCACAGCACGTTTCCACGACTTGACTCAATTCTTTCAGAAGGACAGCACAGCACGTCTTAGTCGTAAGGCGGGCATGACTAGTTGAGCTGTGCTGTGCTCTGTGCTGTGCTCTGGAAGAGAGAAGAGACTACCTAGTTGGTACTGATACTAATAAGTGAATACACCCTTAAGCCGTAAAGCGGGCATGACTATATAGCTGTGCTCTATGCTCTGTGTCGGGAAGAGACTAGGTGGTACTTATACTAATAAGTGCATACTATTACACCGTTGAGGCGGTGACGGAGACGGAGACGGATTAAATCGTCCCTTTTCCTTTGGAGAGACGGAGGGGATTTGCTTTCTATTTTCATATCTCATGCTTGATGGTCATGAATTACACCGTTGGGGCGGAGACGGAGACGGAGACGGAGACTGAGACGGATTAAATGGTCCCTTTGGAGACGGAGGGGGTTCGTTTTCTATTTTCATATCTCATGCTTGATGGCCAAGTAGAAGTCGTGGGCGCGTGTCTTCCCTTCCATACCCTAGGTCGAAGTCACTGCCACTGTCACTCTCTTGACCCTAGGTCGAAGTCACTGCCACTCTCACTATCACTCTCTTGTTATTTCTTCTTCTTGGTCTTGTCTTCGACGATGATCCATCTTCGATCGACGCCTCTGCGCGCAAGCTCCTTCTCGACCACATCTCTCTGGTCGCCCTGCACCAGGATCTCCAGGGTGCCGGGCTTGCCGCCGACCAATTGACCGACACTGGCACTGCCGGCGCATTTCTTCTGCAGCTCCGGGCCCAGCAGGTGCGGGTTGATACCAAAGACTTCCAGGCCGGAGATCTTGGTGGCCACTTTCGTACCGGACCGCTTCTCCACCACGATGTTGACGTGCGGTGGCGGGCCGGATTTAGGCTTCAGGGCCGGATCCGGATTCTCCGGGTCGTAGGTCTGATTGTTGCGCAGGAGCAGCCAGTGTGGGATGCAGAGATGAGAATCGTCGAGGATGCGTTTGAGAAGGGCGTCGCGGGCAATTTCGCCGGCGGCAAGGGTTCGCGTGTCCGAGATCGAAGGACTCGAAGAGAGAATGCTGTTGGCGATGAAGGGATCGAGTTTGATGAAGCGTGAAGAGGTCGCGTTCTTGCTCAGCTCCGGGTGGTTCTCAATGTATCTTTTCAGGAAAGACGAGATCTGCGATGCAGTGTAGCAGGTCGCTTTCGAAGGGATGAGATCCGGAACGAGTTTGCTCGATGCCCGGTAAAGCGTCTGCAGCGTCAGCTTCTGGCCCAACGACGGGTCAGAGCCTCCGTTGCTTGCCGTCTGATTGTCTTCGTTGGCGGCAGTGGCTGCTTGTGGTTTCGGTTTCGGGAGTCTGTACGGCGAGAAATTTCGGACCCTGTCATCTTCGAAGTCAATGTCCACAATCACCGTCTCGCCACCGTTTCGGTCCTTGGACTTGACAAGGACTGATTTGTCCAAGAACTTGATGAATTTCTTGGTGTTCTTCCACGACGTCTTCTTGATGGTATAGTGTGGGGTTTGAACCCGTAAATGAGGTTGGACCAGGTTGGAAATCAGAAACGATGGTTGAATCGGAAGGTCAAGTCCGTAGTGTGGCGGCTCGCCGTTCCTTTTGGCGCTGTAGATGGCGTAGAGGAATGCTTGAACAAAGGCTTCGTCGACTTCGGCAGTGGTTGGCTCTCTTCCAGGCGGTGCTTCGTCCACGTTGTCAACGCCTGCAGCCTCCTGGCTTGCCGCAGCCGGAGCTTCCAAGGCGACGCCGCCCTCTTCTTGACCCTCGTCTTCATCGCCATCGTCCAGATCCACCCGAGTGACTCCATCTGCGATGTCTGCGATCTCCAGTTCCCACCCTTCTATCCTTTCTGGAGCAGCTCGGCCTCCACTTCCGGTCTGGCTCCAATTCCAGATTTCGTCTCCTTCCCAATGCACTCCTTCTACAGCCGCACCCTTCGCTCCTTGAACGCGACCCAGGCTGGACACGTCGATTTTGCAGACTCCAACCCAGACCGGCACGCTGGGCCGCTCGAGACCCGCGACGCCAACCACCGACCCCGTCTTTGCGGCTTCAGGCCAGGGCGGCCCGCCCACAAGACCAGGGGTCATCAGATCCGCTCCAGTGCGCAGTTTGTCAACAACGAAATCCGGAGTGTGTAGCAATGGAACCAGTCCCGGATTCCGCCATAGTGTGTAGACCGTGGGGTATAACCTCGCATCTTTGCCGTACTGTATCCACAATATCCTCTCCTCTTGACCTGGATGTGCACCCACGTAGACGGTGCCAGACACCAGGGTTGCGTCGGGCCCAGCGTGAGTTGTGAAGCGTGCGGAGAGACAGGTGTCGGGGATGAGGCTGGTGCGAGTCGAAGACAACGCGGGAGTAGGGTTGTGCGATGCCTGATGGGCTTGGACTTCTGTTGCGGAGCAGGTCGGGTCTATCTCTTCCAAGGTTGGAACATGCACCTTATAATCAGCAATGATTTGATCCGCGAGTTTGCGGCGGTCGGAGGACCGAAGAGGCGAGAGATTTTTGACCTGGGGCTTCTTTTTGAACATGGTGAACGACCACCCCCGACCCCCTGCTGATCGAGACGCGCACGACTGCAGGCAGTTTGGGCCAGCTGACAGTGTGCAGCAGGATGTCTCACGAAGTTGTAGGTAGGCTTAGACTTGACCGATCATAGTCCAAGTCCAAGTTTGAGGCTTCTAATAATTGGTACGCCGAAAGGATACAGCGCGGGGTGAGGTTTGAACAAACAAATTCGTTTGAAGTGTGAGGGGCGAGGGTGATTTTGGGGCTGACTAGAGATTGATGTCATTCACCTCGACTCGGGCCCAAAGCATCAATGCATACATTCAGTAGCCATTATTGAATGCTGTATGTCAACCTGCACGAATATGGCCCAACTACTGGGCATAGATCCCTTGTTCCTTTGCCCGAGCTTCCGTCCACCAACTATCTGAATTTGGATGGACTCCCGGCACAGGAATGTACTCTCTCAACTGGCGCTTTTTCTGCTGATCGATCCCTTGCTCTCTGTTCCTCTCCTCCATCGTCTTGTCCACATCAATTTGCTTGTACTCGGTCAGTGAGCCCATCAACTTTGGCTGTCCCAACGGCAATTCGTGGCCCTTGTCGACTTCCCAGAAATGATACAATTTGCCGTACAGCCCGACCACCTCCTCCATGGCCTGGGTCTCGAGCTCGTCCCAGGCGTCCTTGCGATGTGCATGGGATTCAGGATACGGGAGCACCAGCATTCCCGATTTGACTTCAAACTCGTGAGAATGCCACAGCTTTTGTTCTTCCGGGTCGAGGGTTTCGTAGCGGGATTTAGGGATCATGAATTCGACGCCAATCAGTCGAGCGTCCGGCCGGCAGGAGTCGTAGATCAAGCATTGCCGAAGATCTGAATTGCAGACACTCAGACAAACACGTCCGTCTCATGATAGGAAACTGGTCACTGACCTTTATTGACATGGGAACAGAAGTGGTGGGCAGATACAGTTCTCACATCTCCCCGGCGTGCTTCATCCGTATAAATGTGAAGTGCGTGGAGATACTCGCAGACATTGTGCAACGGCTTCATCTCTGGCTCTAGAGTTCCTCGAACATGTGTCTGAATCCCGAGATACAACAGCCAGGACTTCAGCCAGGCTGTCGGGCTGAACTTAAGGGCCCATGAGGCGATATTGGATACCGTCGGGCTGGTCAAGTTTTGACTCATGGTAGGTTGTAGTCGCCCAGGACCAGGTTCACCCAAGATTGACAATAATGTCAAGATGAAGAACAAGGATGGAATTGTTCATCGCTGGCGTGGCTCTGCTTGGTGTTTGACTGCCTGCGCTACTACTTGGGGTCTGATGTCACAGGCGTCACAGGTGTGGGCAACGTCTACTGAGTCCAAGGGCTTAGGCGGCTCGGACATCCCAAGCCTCAGGCCACAGGGCAGATACGGCACTATGGATTCCACTGCGCATAACGGTGGACAACATCATGGGGCACTGGCTGGCTGGATGGAAGATGGCCTCGTCGACCTCACTCTTGCTTCTACATTCAACTTGCTACTCTGTACCGCCGCTGCACGGTGCTTGGGATCTCTCACTTCAGCGTGATGGGTCCCGGATACTGCCTCCGACTGTGGGGGAACCAACTGCGCAATCCGTCGACCCGCCGGCCACCCCGCAATATCTTCACTCTTTAACCCCAGACGAGGCTGTTGTCGGACAGCAGTCTTCCTCGGCTACACCAGCATCCATTCCCCTCAGTCTCCGCGAGGGAGCATATTTTGGTCCCTGGATCTTCCCTGAACCACGTCTGCCCACTTTCCGACCATCTTCTGATCCAGACAGGAGCCCAAGGCCTGATAAAGTCTGCGTTGCCCACCAGCATTCCCTATAGTCGTATGCGACATGGTTGGCCGCCTTGAAGGAAAAGTAGTCGTTGTGACTGGCGGCGGCAGTGGCTTCGGAGCCGGCATTGCCACGAAATTCACCCAGGAAGGTGCAAAAGTGATCATTGCTGATCTCGCGCAAGAGAATGGCGCCAAGGTCGCGCAGTCTTTGGGCTGCACGTTCCAGAAGGCAGATGTCACCAAGCGAGCAGACTGGGAAGCGGTGCTGAAGAACGCCATTGACTCCTTTGGCGGGCTGGATATCATCGTCAACAACGCCGGCGCCACCTACTCGAATAAGCCGACTGAGACAGTCAAGGACGAGGACTTCGACCTTTGTTTTCACGTGAACGTGAGAAGTGTCTACCTCTCGAGCAGTGTGCTATTGCCATATTTCCTGGAAACCAAGCGCCCTGGTTGTTTTATTCAGATTGCTTCCACAGCTGGCATTAGACCGAGGCCCGGATTGACATGGTATAACGCTTCGAAGGCCGCCGTGAGCAATGCTACCAAGACCATGGCTGTGGAATTCGCCCCCCAAAAGATCCGATTCAATGCGGTGTGCCCGGTTGTAGGAAGTACGGGCATGTAAGTTCCTCCTCCCCTCATCACACTACCGTAAGGCCATTCATGACTGACTCATGATAGGACACATCTCTTCCTAGGAAAGCCAGATACAGAAGAGAACCGAAAGGCGTTTGTGTCGACCGTCCCTTTGGGCCGAGGCAGCACCCCCAAGGATGTCGCTAATGCATGCTGCTATCTCGCGAGTGATGAAGCAGAGTTCATCACAGGCGTGAACTTGGAAGTGGACGGTGGTAGGTGCGTTTGAAAGGCACAGACATATCTCGGCAGCTTCCTGGAGATTCGCAGTGGAAGAGGAGCTACAGAGAGTTTGTACAGCTAGGAGACCTCTGCTGGCGAAGAGACCTACCTTCATATTATTAGTATTGCTTTTGCATGGTCGCCTTCTTGTCAGGATCGTGAATACCTGTGTCGAGCCATCGTTCAAATCTGTCCCCAAATGCTGCGTGAAGAGATGAGCTGTCCGTACCATAGCTCTAGATACAAGACGTACACCACTGTCCTGATCATGAGCTGGATCGTGCGCAAACCGCTAGTACAGCCTGCTGGCAAAGACTGGTTGGTGGTCCTCATTCCTGTCGCCACGTCTCGAGATCAAAGTGACGCATATTTTGCCAACAGATCACAGAGTTTTCTTGCGGATGAGGGCAATCTTCTTGATTGATTCGAGACCAGGAGACATTGTGTTAGAAGCAATTAATTGCTACAGCGACAATACCATGGTCCTGGAGAAGGGCACTGCACTCTTTGGCATCCTTTTGGGACATGGTAACTTCCAACGGTGCCACGCGGGAGCTTGATCCAGACGGCAGCTGTATCGTAAGTGAAAGAGGATACTAAAATCAGATCTTCGCGCGGCTGGCGGTCATTATGATTATTAGTCCCGAAAATGCCAAATCTTACTGTGTCGCATTTCTCGCCTGGAAACAAGGCCCTGGATCCATCAACAGCTGTCGAGGAAACACACCGTCGAGTTCCCAGGGCCATAAGTAACAGAGGCCATGGGAATTATTGGCGCAGGACCCTAACACCTGGCCTGGTATCAAATCATCTCTGCTCAGCACGACGGCCTAGGAAAGATCTCCCAGTCCCGACCTTGTCACGGCTTGGCTTCATAGAAGGTTTCTTACCAACAAAATGCCGTGTTGCACCAGTCGAAAGTAGGGCCCAAAGAGCCGTGTGCACCACCCGTGAAGCAGCGAGCCATATGTCAAATTGACGGCTGACATCTGCAGGAAGGCAGTAAAGTGAGTTCCGCCTCGTCCAACACAATGAGGTCAACAACCGTGAGAGAGGCGCCTTTGGCGAAAGCAAATATTAGCAAGCTAGCTCTTGTCAGGTTAGAAGCACGCCGACGCGGCACAGCGACGCCATATCTTGACGCCTGTACGTAGTGAATGGCATCGAGATGATGCTAGTGGCAGCTGACTCACGACGGCCTTTGCCGAGTCGTATTGTCCTTATCCTGTTCAGTTAAACAATAGATCCAGGGCGGTGGGCTGTAATTGGCGATGAGCACAGACAGCATCGGCCTCAAATTTGCTGGTTTAGCCAATACGTGGTCACGGAATCAATGACAACTGGGGTAAGTCGCACATTCAACAGCCACAGGGTATAGCCTCACTGTTGTAGAAGTTGCAAGTCGTTCCAGAAGCGTGTTCACGAAGCTGATTCGTTCTCACCAACCTCCGGGCTTCGGGCTGGGCCAAGAGTCAGATGGCTTATCGACCAGCCGCGGACGCAGAAATTGTCCACCCTAGCGTTTGCACTTTCATTGTGTAACGTGACGGGGCCGATCCAGTGAGTTGGGTGTCACAAGGAAGAAATAAATGAGATGCGTGTGCAGGAAATTGAAGAAGCGTAAGTAGTAGTGGTATGAGGGGTGGTGCAGACGGTGTAGAACTGTACTGGGTGACATGGAGACTCAGTGAAGCGATACGGCATCACACGGCAGAAGGGGCCTGCCTAGCCTCCACATCTGACGAAGTTGTCGAGATCAGCGAAGACCAGTGGGTTGTATATTGTGCCTCCGAGAGGATTTGTGTTTGTAAAGGTGATCGATTTTTCAGTAGACTGACGAATCCAGAAGCAGGTAGCCATCGGTCTGGAAGATCAGGCCACGGATCTCAGATCATGTCGAAATGTTCGAGACAGTCGAATGTCAGGTCGGAGTCGGTGGGCCGAGAGTTTTCAATAATGATGCTCCAATCCCCGTCTCCAGACCATCCATCCCATTCCGAGCATGCTCCCCATGCGCGAAACTTCGGCGTCTCCCTTAGCAGGCCCCCCCGGTACCTACAGGCTACCAGGCAACCTGCCAGGCACGGGCCAGTGATAGCAAGTCATCGGCGAGGAGAAGGCGTCGTTTAGCGTGTTTGTCGAAACCCGGTTGGGCGTACCAGAGGGCCTGCCATGGTACGGTCTGACACCGCGCAGCAGCCACTGGCCAGTGAGACTCAATATTCGGTAGGAAAGTTGCCTCCTCTCCAAGCAGCTTGATTAGCACGGAGTGCGGATATTCCGTAGTGTCGTCCAGTTGCGTCGATCCCTTGTCCACACTTGCAGGTTCCCACTCGGGCCAGCGCTCGGACTCTAATCCGGACCCAGCTTCAAGACAAGACGTAGCTTGGGCCTGGGGCACTGTGCAGGACGTGTCTTGAACATGCCCTGGACGTTGAGCCTAAGTCTGTCATCCTGGGCCGCGGAAGGCAATTTGCTTCCCCTGCAATCACATCACCGCAATGCTTCCCAAGGCCATGTCCTTGGATCCTGCCATCAACCACGTTTGGGTCTGGCTGAAAGCTGACAAGCTCCAGAGCGCTATGGCCTGAGAATTGTGCCAACTCTCCACCGGTGTGTCTATTTGTGCTCTGTGATCGACCGCTCTACGCAGACAATGGAATCACCGAAGACGGCCGGGTCCATGCAGTATTGAGGTTGTAATGCAAAACCCGCGACAGATAGACCTTGCACAAGAGGTAAACCCAGACACTGGATCTGTTAGGGTTGCACGTGGTGTAACAGCTAACATGGACATGGCAGAGGAGGATGTCCTTGCTGAAGCTGGCGCTTTGGTCCTGGACTCATTCGACCCAGGAGGAGCTGGGCACCTACCAGGGAGTACGGATAGTAACAACTAGGTCAGACCTCCCGTAGTTTGTGCTGTCAACCGACTCATTAACTTGAAAAACATGAGCTACTGGTCAGGTGAGGCTTCTGCGGCTCCTTGTCACCTGGCAGGAGTGGCAGCGTTTGCTGGGTTTGAGGGACAATAACTTCCTCGTGGACCGCTTGAAAATCGGCGCTGGACTTCCTGGTCTGTTCTCTCTCTCGAGTCTCTTCGCTCTCTTGGATATTTCTAGCCGTCCATTCTATTCAATCGTCGTACCCCCACAATGTCCTGAATGTCTGTGGAGTCTCTTGGTTCAGCCACTCTTTCCTCAGACCGATTTAGCCTTCGATCGGTTCTGTGATAAGAGTAGTAGAGCGGCATTAGTGTGTTGACAGAGGTTGCCCTCGACACCTCATGTGGGTGCAGGAGGTTTAGGTCAAGGGCTGACACCCACCAGACGGGAACGATTACCGGGAGTCCTCGGTCTAGAGTGACTCGATGGTAATAGTGGATCGGTTGAGACGATTTTCTCTTCCCTCCAGCGTCCAAACCCGTGGCATCCATGCACCGACTTGTAAACGAGGGGCCGTGCACCTGTTAGCTGGCCGAGTTTGCACCAAGCGAATCCCAGCTAGTAAGGAGGAGAAAGTACGAGCGTCCCGCGGAACAGCGACGGCGTCCGCATCCAAACTGGTAGGAGACAAGCGGCGCACCCGAAAGAGCTGTTGGAGGATGTCGAGAAGGGGCCAGAGCACCAGCCACTGCAACGCCTATGCAGCCAACCCCCGGCTGGTTGCCCTTCAAGGTTCGTACCACCAATTCTGTTTAACTGCCGGCTGGAATGTCGGTCATGCGATTTGCTGGCCCCACGGGAACACATTCGCAGTGGTACGATGTGGAGGAATCAGGAGGTAAGTTTCGCAGGGACAGCAGGCAGTACAGATGTACGCCGTACGGAGGATGGATACCGATACCGATCCTGGGCCTGGGCTGCGGGAGCCTGGAGGTGCAACTCGCTTAGCATGGAGCAGTAGCAGTAGCAGGAGCAGTAGCATGCTAATAGTGCACAGGCGGGTTTGGGGGATGTTCAGTTGGTGCCGTTGGCGGCGGTGGTAGTGCATGTTAGTGAAGAGCCGGGGGAATGAGAGCGCAGCGCCCAAGTGCCACATCTCCACTGAGCCGATATCCCTTTGGGTGGCCCTCAAGCTCGCCCTGCGCCCACATTGGCACCTCGCCCTCACTCGGCGGCGGCCTCGATCTTCAGTCCTCTCGTCTCCTCACTCACCTTCGCCGTCTTCTTCTTATCCTCACTGTTGCTGCCCTCGGCATCAGGGCATATTGCACGGGCTGTCTGGAGTTCATCCACCCCCGATTTCTGCTCCCTTGTATCGTCCCTATCGCCCTCCCATCTCGACTTTCTTCCAGTTTCCTGCAGACGGCTACGGGTCTGACGCATTGGGATCTCCGCTGCCGATCCTCCTGCGCTTTGGCTCTACCAACGACAAAGACGTGTTCCAGCAACTCGGTTCCTCCAACGACTGCTTCTTGTCCGGCGTGCCCCTCTGCGAACACAATTCCGGACGCCCAGTCCGCTTCTTGAAGACAGATTTGTCTTATCTCAACATTTGTTGGGCAAAGATCGAAGGGTAGTCGCCGTCCACCGGTCACCGGCTTTGTGCCACCCACCCAGCAGGTCTTGGAAGAAGGCTCTAAGCAAGAATCCAACAACGGAATAACAACACACCAAACCTACCCGCGTCTTCCCGGCCTATCGCACTCTTTGTTGCGCAGCCTGAACCAGACAGGAATCGTTGATCGTCGCTTGGCTGAGTCAGAGAACCTGTGGATGGGAAACAATTTGTCTGGGATTCATCCACTTGTCGAGGGTTCATACTACGTTTCGCGCGTCAGGTTGCAGGGCCAAGGGCGAGTGTGAAAGTTTAATACAGGTTAGTTCTTGCCTATTGGAGGCGATCTTTGTTTTTCTTAGAATGACGATCCGTCGCGGTCGCCCCGGCTGCTCATCACAACTCTGGAGGTACCGCAGGTCCCAAGCAGAAGAAGTTATCTGTGGCCGCTCCGGTAGCCATGAGACACAGTCCTTTCTTTCGTCCTACCAGCTTCACTTGCTATCTTTCAAGTCTTTAGAGATCTATCTACGTGGGCCAACTGCCTATATGCTACATGCTATATGCTGATGCGGTCTTTCGTCTCTCATTCTTTCTCCCTTCTTTTCGTTGACCTGCACCATGGACCAGATCCCTCCCCTTTCAGACTATTTGCTAACCAGCAGTATGGATAGCTCCCAGTCGACCTCGTCAATATCCCCCACTCAACCCAACGGGGATAGCCACCAGCTCCTTCCAGGCCTCCGGGACATAGTAGGGCCCGAAATCAACTCTCGACGGTCTCTACTACCGCAACCACCACGCCGTCTCTCTTCCATACCCGAGTTCTTTATCCCCGGTATTTCGGTTGTCTACTTCGACGACAAACCTATCGTGACGTACACCATTGGTGGCGCTAAATACAACATGGCACAACCAGGGAATGAAACGAGGAGTGAGCACTCGAGGATGACCATCGACGGGCGACGCATCACGTACCGCCTCGAGGTTGTGCAACAGCCCGAGAAGGCGAGAGCGTGCGGTTCAGGTCCGAGGTGTAGGTGTTGCGTCTCTTCTCCGTTGTATCTCGCTGATCCTTTGTACAGCATCGGCCGACCGTAGACCGGTGGATCCTCCTCCAGTTGTTGAACTCCGGGTGTTCTGTAATGACACCGACATCACGATGGGCTACGATGCTACGTTTATGTTGTATGCAAGCCTCGAAGTTGCACGGCCCATCGCGAGCGGAAAGATGCACACTCCTCCTGCCATCCCGGTGTTGACGGGCGTTGCAGTTGCCAGCGCCGCTTATCTGGATAGGCCAAAGAAGGCTGCCTATTTCATCTTTCCAGATCTCTCCGTGCGGCATGAGGGCTGGTATCGACTCAAGTTTTCTCTATTCGAGGGCGTCAAACATGAGGCGGACGCGGACCAGGGGATGCCATTCGTTCAGTCGGCACAAGCAAGCGAGAAATTGAGCCCGCCAGTTCGTCACGAGAGCATGTCAAATCGTTTGGAGGTTCAATCGATTCCGTTCCAGGTCCTGACAATGAAGAGTATTTGGCCAGCCTCACGCTCCCGCCCATATTAAACACAAGCCTTTTCAACCAAGGCACGCGGCAGTATAACCTCCCTGAACCAGCAGCGACAAAAAGGCCGATTAGCCCCCCTGGCTACAGATCAGATGCGCCTATGAAGGCGGGAACACGACCCGACAAGTCAGCTTTCAAGTACTTGGGACCACCGCCGCCACCATCGCCATCGACATCAGCAGCAGCCGCCGCCGCCCACGGTCCTATCAAACAGGCCACAAATGAAGCCAAGGTCCAGGGTGTTTGGGATCCGCTGGTTTCAGGCCCCGATTTGATCTTCAATCGCTCGGACGGCGCGACAGTCCATGTCGGCACTCCTTTCGCTCCTTGGGATTGCCATGGTCGTTGATGGCGAAACATTGATCATGACTCTACGAAAACCTCAATCCTCTCATCTTTTGAATGTTCTCTTTCGATGATACTGCGTCTGCAGGGGCATGGTTTGAGGCACAGGTATACAGACACGTAGCCTGCGTGGCTCAGCCTGTGTCCCATTTCTCGTGCTCTTGTTTTTTGAGCGATGTTGTGCCGGCTGCATCGGGCAGCCGAGATGGGTTCAAGATTTCTCGTCGAAACTGCTGCTGTTCTTGCTTCCCTGAATACGAATCTCTCCCACCGAGTTGGAGTTCTGAATGTATACGCCGCCATGCACGAATCAATCCAAGCGGTATCGGGGAAGAGGCAAACTTAGGCGTGTCCCAGACGGGAGCGCCATGCGATCAGGCCGCACATGGGATCCAACGAATAGCTATCCTTGTTTCTGTTGTTGCACACGGCTGTTTGTAGGGTTCCTTTCTCGATGGCGGGACAGTACGGAGTACTTGTATAGGGGAAGATTTGATTAGCCGGGGACCTAGCCTCGGCGAAGACGTCGCATTTGTGTCTTGGGTCGGCTAAACAAAACAAGATTACTCCATACACGGGAGTTGCGAGAACAGCGTACGTCTACAGCTATATTTGAGCAATCAATTTCTAGTCTGCATGAATGTCTGGTCATGAATGTCCGGTCGGATTTTGTAATCAACGTAGTCTAGGATCGACACTGTAACCAACGTAGTTGAGGATTTGACTGTCAAACTTTGGGCATTCCCAGCCTTGCCCTTTAACCAGAGATGCTGGTTTAGGCTAGCATGCGATCGCCCTGCTAGATGCTTGCGACCCTTTAGAAAACAGGGAACATTTTACGGAGTACCCTTCAACCTTTAACATTGACACCAGTGATATCAGCAACGGGGACTGTATGTGGTATTAGTGTGCGGGACATGACCATGGCCTTCGTCTGGTAGCGAGCACCCGTATGAAATACGGAGTACTTGAAAGAGAACCCAAGGATCCTATCCAGTCCTCCATACGAATACTTTTGAAAGAGGCACCCTTTCTGTGGAGGGTTAGGGTTAGGGCAGAGGCTTAGGTTTAGGTTTCGGTTTAGGATTCCAACGCCCAACGCCCAAGGTGCCATGCCATCCAGAATCTCTGGTTCCGTCTCTGGTTCACAGTGCGTGCGTCGGAGAGCCGATATCCAACTATGTACGGAGTCTAGACAAGACAGTACAGAATCTGGGACGTGTTAGTACGGATACTAATATTATCTAAGTTATATTTAGTTTTAGTTCTAGCTTTCAAGGTTCTTTTTGGATTGACTTTTCCCAGCTCAGGTACGAGTAGAAGTTCTGGCTCTCCTGACCCGAGTTCAGTTCCATTTCGTTCAGTTCAGTTCAGTTCAATGCCTCCTGCAGTACAGGAGCCCTAAGACTTGGCGAGCCATTGAGCGTTGAGCGTTCGTCGAGCATTTGGCGTTTGGTGTTTGGCGTTTGGCGTGGGATAGAAGATTCAATATGTATTCATGCAGTGATGGTTATGTTTATATTTAGAACAAGAGAAGGGCTCTTAGAGAACCTGATTTTGTTGGTTTTTGGTTCGGGTTGGTTTTGTGTTTTGGCTCATACTATTAGATAGTCTAGATTTAGATTTATGTAGATCCAGATCCATCCAGATCTTCTGGAGATCTATGTAGATCTAGACCTACACCACCAAGATGCCTAATTACATCTAGACACCTACACCTACACCTACACCTACACCTACACTTATACCTAGTGACTAGTGACTAGATCTAAGAGATCTCTCCGACCTCGATCTCGACGCAGATCGGCTCGGCTCGGCTCGGCTCGGCTCGAGGGATGGAATGAGATGAAATCAGATGAAATGAGATGGAATGAGATGAAATGAGATGGAATGAGATGAAATGAGATGGAATGAGATGAATGAGATGAGACGAGACGAGATGGGATGAGATGAGACGAGACGAGATGGGATGAGATGAGACGAGACGAGATGGGATGAGATGAGACGAGACGAGATGGGATGAGATGAGATGGGATGAGATGAGACCAACAACTAGTTTTGCTAAAAAGTAACTAGGAGCCCGTAGCTGACTGTTGGCGACTTTACGGGTGGCGGGTTACGGGTTGTGGGTGGTCGTAGAATAGATTGGTATGGTAATATATTGAATGGAGTTGATGAGGAGAGTGAGTATACTGTACATGTACATACATATACATAGCTAAAGAGTACAGTATGTCATTGTCGTTTCATTCGCATTCGTAGTGGCATTCGTAGTGGCATTCTATTGTTTTGGAAAGAATGGCTGGGTTGGAAGAGGTTGGATAGCATAGGATAGCATAGGATACAAGTACCAGGGATGGGTTGGAGGTTCGATAGGATAGCATAGGATAGGATAGGATAGGATAGGATAGGATAGGATTACTCTAGCACTCAGGCAAGGCACAAGTACCAGTAAGTACTGGCAGCACGACGAGTACAGCACGACGAGCACACGATTCTAGCATCATGATCAGATCAGCTCAGGTCTGATCCTCGATGACATGATCATTGTCCCATTGTCATGATCTTGGTTGCAAGTTGTCTAGCTCAGCTAATTGCTCAGTGGCCCTCATCTCACCCTCCAGCTCCAGCTCATCAGAGCCCAATGCATAGCTCCCTCATTGCCTCATGGCACCTCTGTTGGGGTAGTGTGTGTCCAGCTCCTTTCTTGCCTCCTTCCAGCTAGCACGGCACACGTTCAGCTTCCCTCTGCTGCCTGGTAGTGCGTGCTGGATCTAGACAGTAGACTGGCAGACTTGTCCCAGCCTTCCTTGAACGTGGGTATTCTGCCTAGCACGCCGGTCTGTTCTCACATCAAGCTCCTCCCTGGTGTCCAGCACATCTCAATACCTGCATAATGCTGTCGAAAAGTTTTGATGAAAAAAGGGCCCGATAGCCAGCTCAGTACCAGTACAAGCACAGCACAGGTTGTATTGCCCTGTCTCGCCTCTCCCTCTCCCTCGTTGCGCAGGGATGTGTTGTGTTGGGGGGTGCTTGTTCATGTGGCGTCTCAGACTAGGATTAGACTGTGATGTAGACGTTGACCTCGTACATGGTCTTCTTGCCCCGACGAACGTTTCTGTAGTACCAGGCTCCGTACTCGGTTTCTGGGAAAGCACAGCGGCGATCGACTCTAGTCGGGGTGATGTTCATACTAGCCGCGTGGCCATCCTCCTCCAACTTGAATGTGACTCGGTTGAGGTCTTTGATCAGTCGCTCAAGGCTGGCATCTTCCCACAGCGTCATTCTCTGCAACGCGCGGTTTTCCGACCCGACCGAAACAATGTTTGCCCTCAATTCGTTCAGAGTGGTGGAGTTCACGGCGGGCATTTCGAAACTGTGGGTTGACTTTGGCACGTTGCCACCAACCTGGATTGTCACTTGGAGAGTGATGTCAAATGTGCTGCGGGGAGAGGCTTCTGGACTGATAGGGTCGAACAAATCCGGCGCCAGAGCGCGGGCTCGTTCGATATCCATTGAAAGCTGGAGCTCTTGAAGCTCTTCCTTGTGGTCGAGCAATGCCTGGTTCAGCTTGTCGACTTCTGTTTTCTTCTCGGCAAGCGCGTTCTCGATCTCCTCGATCTCCTGTTTCAACATGTTGATGGATTCGGATCCCGAGGCTGCTTCGCTGATTGGGTCGGAGGGGTCTTGCATGGTGTCAGTCTCCTTTGTCATAGGAGTCTTGTCAGTGTTTGTGAGGTCTTGTAATGCTATCTTGCTGAAAACCGGCATCTTACTGAAAACCGGTCTGGAGAGAGGAGAGATGTGTGCCTTTGTCTCTGAAGTTGGTCAACTCCCTTGGGCCTTGACTGGTGTGAAAAGAAATCTTCTTGTTGATGAAAACCGCGTCAAGCGTTGAAGTAAAGACTGCAGTGAGATGAGCCGGTGGTGAAGTTATTGTTGATTCGCGGGCGCGCCTTGATGCGGGTTTGAGGCACGACGAGGAGAGGTGACTCTAAATCCCAACACCAGCCGCAACGGGACATATTCAGGATTCTGCCAGCACTCTATGAGCTTGCGGCTCGGTCGTGAACGGCTTGCCAGAGCTGCACAGCCGCACCGCAACGCATAGCATAACATAACGCAGACCGAGCGTGACTGAAAGGAGAGCCGCACTTCACTCCCAGTCTGTGCAACAAACAGGCGAGCATACAGCGCGGCCTCCACCCAAGACGAGATCACCATTCTCGCTGCATACTGGAACAGGTCACACACCATGCTAGCTATAGAGCCAACGTTGAGGCCATAGCAGAGACGACCCAGGACCAGGTCGACAGCCTCGTGTGCTGCGTGTGCTGAACTCGTCGACACCGACAGAGCTAGACATGGTGTGTCCAGGTTCTTCGCTGAGACTGCTTCATATTCTCATATATATATTCATGCCATCTTCACGGACTGGCTGGCTGAAGGAGGCTTAGAGCCAAGATGACCGCTGGTTATGTCCGGTGTCTTTGACCGGTCACTACCAGGTAGACCTGGCTTTGTGATCGATAAAGGGGCAGCAGTTCAACCCACATATTGTCAACATATTGGATAAAGGCTTGACAACAGTTGCCAGCAGTGCACCTTACTGAGGTCCGACTTGATGATCGGTTTGGAAGACTGCAAATCTGTCTGAGCCATGGCACCTACATCAGCGCTGCACGACGAGCGACCAGCGACTAGATCATGGTAGATCAGATACGATAAGGACAAGAACTGTCAATAGGATAAGAGAGCGGTTGCAGTGTTGTCAGGGTCAGGTGCAAGCCAGCAACAGAATTGACAGGGCATCAGAGTCACAGTCAGAGGCAGAGTGAGAGTGAGATGTTGGGACACTGGACACGAGCAATACGAGATACGAGATACGATATACGAGGCACAGCACAGTGGCGCTAGGCTGGATACGGAGATCGCAGCCAACTTGAACGCCAGCCAGAGAGGAATTTGGCAGGCAACATGCAACAGTGACAGTGACAGTGGTTTGCTCTTGCTGTCGGACTTGGGATTGAAGACCAAGAAGGTACTGGAGCTGGACATGATGCCGGCGTCGTGAAGAGTGAAGAATGATGGACGATCGGATTACAGCAAGGGAGCATTTCTCCAAGAACAATGAGAAACAATGAGATCGGCCCTGAACAGGTGGGACAGGTCCGAATTTGAGATTAATTTATGTAATGGCACTATGTGTCTGTAGTTGAGATTGCAGGACGACGATGACGACGAGTCCTGCATTTCCAGCTGATTCCATCCCTTCTCAGTCTTGTTGGTAACTATGCCTTGGGGCCTCCAGCATTCGCGCCGGACCCAACGCTGGACTCGGGGCTCGTTCCTGCGAGGCGCTTCTTGCTGACGAGCCTGTAGCCGCCTACTAAGAGAATCAGGAGCTCCGCACCTAGGATGACTGCGAGGGTCACCATTGCACCGATAACACCTGCGACGGCCTTGGAGATACCGCCGCCGCCGCTGTTGTTGCTGCCAGAAGAGGAGCTGGAGGAGTTAACCGAGCTGCCACTCTCACCCAGTGATTCTGGGCTGCATACGCCCGTAGAGTTGCCGCATGCTGTGCACCAATCCTTCTGGGACGAGATGCTGATTTTGTTCATGCTGCTGACGAAATCGGACCAAGGCATCAGCGAGTTGTCGGTGCCGAAGAGAGGGTACTCGATCGGCTCGCTGATGTTGCTGGTGGTGCCGTTGTGGAAGAGGAAGCGCACGCTGATCTCGTCGGCCGAAGGGAACTCGCTGCTGGAGGAACCCACGGTTGCATTGGTGACCAGCTCCCAGACCAGAGTCGATGCATAATCCGGCACACCGTAGAAATCTGGACTGGCCAAGGTCAGGTTGGCCAGACCGAAATAGGACATCATGCCGGCATACGCGCCAAACTGGATGTTCAGCTTATTCTTGCCTTGGCGTGTGATGGTCCCGTTCAGTGCCTTGACCACTTCGCTGGCGATAATGGCGCCCGTCACCGCGCGAATGGGCTCGGATTCGTTGTATGCCAGGCCCCATTCATGCTGGTCGGCCAGGGTGCGGAGTTGGAAGAAGGTTTCGTCGGTAAGAAGGTCGGCGTGTGGGAAGTTGGCCGAAGTGTTGTGGATGGAGGCCACGTTCAACAGGTCGAAGATGGTGTACGCGTTCTTGAAGCTGGTCTGTGCCGAGGTGAAGGTGCGGTTGATCATCGGGGCCACGCTCGTATAGAAGCTGTGCGTGCGGTTCAATGTCTCGAGGTACGATGCGCTCTGGAAGTAGTTGTTGGAGCTGATCTGGGCGTTGGCACAGTTGGTCGCGCCTTGCAACCAGGCACTGTTCTCGCTGTTCGTGCCGGTCGTGACGGTCTGCAGGGGGATGAATTGAATTCCGTCCAACGGGGACTGCACCACGGTCCCGTTCCTCAGCGTACTACTGCCCAACGTCTCCCCGACTGGAGGATAGAGGCCCTGCAGGAAACCTTGGGCCGAGTTCTGCAGCACGGTGTCGGTCGGTGCAGAGGCGGTGATCTGCGACTGTTTGATCAGGTCACTGTTAATGCCGTGGATGCGATGGCTGGCATCACTGGCAACGTAGCGATTCCTGTAATAGGTGCCGCTGGTGTAGACCTCTTCCAGGCCGAGCGTCGTCAGATTGGCCGGGGGCGTCATCTTGGCCGTCCGGTCTCCATGTCTGGAGAAGATGTAGACCCCCAGTACCGTCTCGGCCGCCAGCGACGACGAGGCCAGAGAGGCAAGGAGGGGTAGGTATGAATAGTGCATCTTGCAAGTTGCTCAGAGTCACACCTCTGCCCGTTCACCGACGTTGGATTGATCAAGACAGCGAGCCGCGATCCTGGACGGACAAATGTCCTAGTCGTAATCGGAGGAGAGAGATCGGGGGAGTAGGTGGGAGCACCTGTACGAAGTCGGCGGCGCTGTCATTAATATATCAATCGATCTGGTCGACCTGCAACGCTTATCAGCCAGCGCTAGCAGTCACAGTTTTCCACCATCGAGTAATCGAGTGCTAGGCCACAGGGAGCCAAGGGCGGGGATGGCCGAATGCGAAGGGATTGGGAGCAGTTCGTACAGATAGGGCCGGACCATCCGTACAACACTCACCTCACCTATTGCACAGTCCCCACGCTGCGCTGCGCTGCGTTGTGCCTTGGAGATACTGTCGCAAACTGTTCTACACTCCGAGGAAATCCGGAGTTCCTCAGTCATCCCCGGAGACGGACTATGCAACTAGTGAATCTCGTTCGCCAGGTAATCAGGCCCTTCGCATGTGGGTTGCAGTGCTGATCAAATGAACACATTCAAGTTATCTACTGAAGGCCGATCCAACGCATTGCTGCCATCTGTGTTCCATACATCAACTTCTGTCGAACTCATCCCTGTCGCCCTGTCGCCCTGTCGCCCTGTCGTCGAACCCTTCCTCTCGAGTGCTCGCGATCTACAGTACGTATCTTTTATGAATACACAGACACAAAATCTACCTACTGCAAGTGCTGTACTCGAACATGAATCCCTCCTTTCGCCATCCTGGCTGACGCTGGATCCTCCATCGGCCCTCCACTCTCATCATCCAGGCAGTCCAATTCCCAACTCCAGATGGAACGCTCGTGGGTCAGACACATGTAGTATGTGGGTGACCCGCAGGGCGGAACAAGGCCAAAGCTGGTGCATTCACATATTCTGACAAGCCCAGTGGATGCATATGCGCCTGCGCCAGCCAAAGACCTAACTCACGGACCCTTGACCCTTGTCTAGACGGTAGCGCCTCAAACGCTGGATACCATTTACTCTTCCTCGCAGATCGGTTTGAGGGCTCAAGGTGCTGCCAACCGGGAGCAGGTTCGTCTGACGCTGCAAGTTCTCCAAAAGGTCGTCCATAATTGTTACCCAAATAACTTTTTACCGAATAAACATGCCCTCAGCCTTGCCCCAGAAGTTGCGGGCCTTGTTGACATGATCCAGCCCAAGCATTTCATCTCCGTCTTGGATGAGATCGACAATGACATCGTCGTCATCAATATACTTTGGTTTTGCATACACCGCCCTCCCCACTAGAGCAAACTTGATCTGCTGCAGAAGTTTGCCCTTGATGCCTGTTCTCTTGCTGATCCGCTCTTTGGTATCTTTGAGAGCTTCACCAGGCTTGAGGAGGAATTTGAACGGTACGCCGTGTGGTTTGTTGGCCTCTTTATCGAAATGGTAACAATAGATGAACCTGTCGGTATCGGACGAGTTGACTTCCTCGTCCGGTATCTTCTCGGCATAAAGTGTGGTGAACTCATTGACCCCGACCACGTTGAAATCCTCGATCAATTCCTTGTGAATCTTACCCCCATGAACCTCGAGCACTCGTATGTTGCGGGCTGTTTCTTCGTCCAGGTTGAGCTTCCTGGCTATACCGTGCATCAAATCTGCAATCATACCATTTTTGGCAACAAGGATTTCCAATGGTTCCTGCACTGGTTAGTCTCATGTCGGTCCATGCCCCCAAATCTCACTAAACTCACCTCTTTGCTGATGCCGTCACTGAGCCAAATCACTTTCATGATCTTCTTGGTCTCGTAATCCGCGAGACTGGTTTCGAGAATCTCATAGTACAATGCATCACTTCTATGTGTTGCATAGCCCCCGTAAGACGAGAATTGTGACTGCAGGATTTGTTGCAGATTGTGGTTCATGCCACGCTTGATCCACATTTTGATCTTGTTGTTGGTCGCACTGATCGTTGCAAAGCGGATATGCGTGGGATCGACCTTGAGCTGCTCACCTGCCTTGGCCGCAAATTGATCGTACGTCATCTTCTTGCTCAGGCTGAGAACAAAGCTTTCTCCGTCTGTGCCGGGTTTGGGGTAAAACGTGACCGGTATCCTGTTGAGCAGGTAATCATAGTACTGGCGTGCATCCGCGTACGTCACCGTAGACGTGTCAAGATCGGGAAGGTTCTGTTGGAAGCAGATGATATCGCCGTCTTGGATTTCAGACTGCTGGAACGTCTGCTTCGGCTTCATGGCTTCGATCATCGAGAACTTGATTTCCTCGAACAATAGAATGGGCGTGCTTGGATCCCATTTCATGACTCGGTTGATCTGAGGAGCGATTTCTGACACCTTGTCCAGTTTCTTAACGTAGACGTGGCCGACGCCGTTCAATGTCTGGGCTTTGACGTCGAAGTATTTCAGAAACACCAGAATCGGGGCGTTGCCTCCCACGGCTTGCGTAGGATCAGGGAAATGGGCCTTGCCGTCTTCCGACTTGAGGGCTGTTTCGGCCCACAAGAAGAACGGACGCCCTCGGGATCCGTACTTGTTCATCGCCTCTTCCATAGAGACGTCAACATCCCGGATCGGCTGGTCCGGGCGGTTTGTTTTGTTCTGTCTGCCTACCATCACCCAAAACCTGACTTGATCAGGATCGACGCCAAGCTCCTGGCCAACCGTGGCCGCAAATTCCGAGACTTTCGTCGTGCGTAGGATTCGATGGATTTGGGCCGCTGCAGGGTCGCTCTGTTCGAGATCATAACTCGTCAGGTCAAACCCGTGGTGGGCTTGGAAGGTCTTTTCCGTGATCACACCGACGTTCATGTAGAGATGTGCCTCTTCACGCTCCTTCTTCTTCTTCGCAAGTTCTGCTTGTTCCTCGGCGATTCTCTTTTCGATGTGGGGAGGGATGTCGGATTCGCTGACTTGGTGAAGGACCTGGTCCAATCTACTCTTCCGAAGATACACCAACATGTACGCGTTCATGGAACGCTTTGTGGAGTACCCGCGCATGTAAGGCTGTCTTTGACCGGGCCCACCATTGGCCACGTTCGCGTACTCTCCTCCAAAGTTCTCTTCCAGAACCTCCTTCATGGTGGCCCGAGTGACCCTGTCATCATCGAATTTGTAGAACTGGCCATCCTTAGTCGGCCTAAGAAACGCGTAATAGTGACCAGCGTTGAAGTCTCCACTGTGGACCAGTACGCCATGCAGCTGGTAGATCCAAGGTTCTGTAGAAGCTGCTTTCGCCTCGTCAGACAAATACAGAGAGGCATCAAACTCATCCGGGAATTCGTGCCGGTCATTGACCTTCATCATGGCATCTCGGTTGATATCGTATTCGAATCGTTTTAGTTGCAGGTGTAGTACGGGTGGGAAGCTTTCGAAAATAACGCCCTTCCGCGCGTCTTGCAGTTTATAAGGTTCGCCGGCGTCATATTTGTTCTCGCCCTCGAGAGTTTCCACTTGGATGTAATCCATGAAGCTCTCATGCAAATTCTTGTTTCCTCGGACATTCAGTTGAAGATCCCAGAACTCCTCTATCCTCGAGGATTCGTAGTCGACGTTGATGCATGAGATGTAGGTTTTCGTCTTGCCGACGAACAGCTCCGGAAGTGTCCTCTCGGCAGGTGTTCCTTTCATCTTCTTCTCTAGAACCTCCATCAAGATTCGCGACAATTCCTGCACGTCTTGTTGCTCGAAGATTTGCCGTGTATCCCAACCGAAGGACGCGGTCAATTCATTGGTCGAGACCGCGAATCTGTCCTTTTGTAGCTTGTAGAACAATCTTTGCAGAGCCCACGCACTATTACTCCGGTTTGCTTCGTGCTCGGTAGGGATTTGATACACCGCCTTGCGGAAAGCGTCGGTGAAGTAGAGGGACTGTAGCAGAGAATTGAGATAGCAAGTGGCACCTTGATTTTTCAGCCCAACCATGCCGGTTTCCTTTTTCGAATCGTATCCCTCGAAATTGTGCCATAGCACGCCGGTGGGGTCTTTGATGATGCGGACATACGCCGTCAAGTTCGCTTCGTTGTTCTCTACCAGATGTCTTGACCCTTCTTCCCATGGTTGATTGAAGGCTTTTCTGAGCTCGACAAACCTCGTGAAACCCCAGTCACCCTCTTTCGCGTTGAAACGATGGGTGGCAGTGTGGCTCCGAAACAGAGTTGGATCGTTCGGATTCCACAAGACGAGGGAGAACTGCACACAAGCATACCAGTCCGGTGGCGGGTCACCTTCGAATCCATGCTCCAAATAGAAAGAGGCGCAGTCGACCTGGTTGCCGTATGGGAAGAAAAGGACTTTCCACGGATGACCACCACATTCAAACACCGGGCCGTGTTCTCTTCGGGACAGATCCCGCCATCTTTCTATATGCCATGTATGATATGTTTCAGCTTCGGTCTCAAGATCGGGTAAGTCGACCAGGACATGTCTCTTCATCGCCTCATCTGCAGACAAGTCAGTACAGGGAAAGCAGAGACAGTGATCTGTGCTCATATACAATCATCAGCCCTCGGAAGGGCATCAGCGGGTTCTTCTGAGGCATCGTCAGGAGAGATGTTGACCACTTCATCCTCTTGTTGGTTGTATTGGTCATAGCCGTCAATCAGCATATCGGGTCCGGTCAACTGTAAACGGTCCAAGATGCAAGCGACGTCAGCGTCCATTATTTCTGTTTGATATGTAGGTAGACAGAGGAACAGCAGAATACAGCCTAACGTACGTTGTCCATGCTGAATATCTCGACCCGTCCTCACGAGGAAGACAGATGGATAGCTCTTTCCTCAGACTTCCGCACAGATGTATGCAGGTATCCGCAGGTGCGAAAGCCACCGCACGCCGGTCAGCAAAGGAGGCGACCGGAATGATGGTGGGATGCAATGGACGGCGTGGATAGTCGGCGGATGGGTTTGGAGTCGAGCCTGCCTCCACGAAAGGGCAGGAATCGAAGACTGCAGTGTAAGAGAACAATTAGGTACAGGCTTCCAGAATTTGGGGGCGTGTGCTTTTGCAGCGCAATTCAGAGTGTAATCGAGGTGTCGCGGGCGAAAAGAGGGTTGCAGGCAACGTGTGGAATGACGAATGACGAACGGCAAAATGCCCCCATGCACAGTCCATTTAACATCAACTGCCTCACCGCAGTCGGTCACTCCAGAGATCGATCCATTACTCCTTATTCTTGTCCCCAGTTGCGTTGGGTCAAGCTGGTTACTGGCAGCTGGTGCTCTGTGCTCCGTCTCTCCACTCTTCGGCTCACCATCCATCATGACTCTTCTGCCCCGATGACTGCGCGCTGAATGCTTTCGTTTGCAAGGCCTCTCTACCAGCGTGGCGAGACGACAATCGACGAATATGCTCTTAGCTGGCCTCTCATCAGGATACTGTGACGATACTGTGCCCTCATCTGATATGAAATGCTGCGGGTCGCTCCTCTTTCCCGGCCGCGAGCCTTTTGCGTAGCCAGATGTGTCGTATCTCAGAATCGGCGATGGGCTTCGTCTCGAGGAGGAAGAAATCCTCCCCCATGGCGGCCCGCATCTACTCTGGACGAGTACGGATGTCTTTCTCGATGACATATTCAGAGGGCTAACAGCAACATTGCAGTTGGGTAGATCGCCCAATCCGTCCTATTAGTCTGCGTCAGTTATTTTTCTTTGGTCGCACGTTGACCGAAGGCCGTCTTCTCAGCTCAGCGAACTATGTTCGAATGGAGTTGCCTACGAGGTCTGGCGCTTGGTGCCTTTTGTTCTACAACGGCTGACTTTGGAGCAGGCTGGCCCATCGACTGCGCGAGATGCAGCGGCTTCCCTACGTGGTTGTTACAAACCCTCACCTATCTCTAGTCTACGAACTCTACTACAAGTCTTTCGAGACTTTCCGGCGTGTACCCGTGATTAGGACACTTGAAGAGAACGACGAGTTTTGCAAGCTCATAAGTGACAATCTGAAAGAGCACTTGGCGGTCATACCAAATCTGGTCATGGGCGTTCTCGAGTGTCAGGACCTGGTTTCACCGGATACGATGGACCAGTTTGTGCAGGCGATGCTCCGCGCCCGTATCTCTAGGCGAGTCATTGCCGAACAGCATCTTGCCCTGACAGACACCTTCGACTCGCCATGGCACGTTCCTCAGATCAGTTCTGAAAATGAATTCGTGGGCGAAGTCCTTCTACGGTGTAACGCGAAAGAAATCATTGAAAGATGTGGTCGATTCACTCAGGACATCTGCAAGTCCTCTGCCGGCGTTGACCCGATTGTCCCTGAAATCCGAATCCAAGGCCACGTCAATGCCACCTTCCCTTACGTGCTGAGTCACCTTGAGTATATCGTCGGAGAGCTTCTTCGAAACTCGGTGCAAGCAGTTATGGACAAATACAAAGACACAAAGATCCCCCCACCACCTATTGACGTTCTGATCTGCGAGGCACCTCAGCATGTCGTGATCCGAATTTCTGACCAGGGCGGGGGCATTCCACGCGACATCATGTCCTACTTGTGGTCATTCTGCAAGGGTCCAAGGAGAGCCACGCGGCTGCAGAACTTCAAAGATGTGCCAACACTCGCCGCAACGATGCAGGAGATGAGAGATTCCTCGCTCAGCACCCTTGCATCCAGACCGCCTGGTTTGAGGCTGGGGATGGGCTTACCCATGAGTCGAGTTTATGCAGAATATTGGGCGGGTGGTCTCGAGTTGCATACCCTAGAAGGCTATGGCGTTGACGCATTCCTGCAGATTTCAAAACTGGGAAACCAGAACGAGCAGCTTACGTCACGAGCAAGTATCGACGGAGTCTGAATTATGTGCAAAAAGATCAAGCAGTTTAGTCCATCACCAAGAAAAACACCAAGAGACATGTTGAAAGATCGACAAAACTGCCCGATTAAAATGTGTAGTATTCGATAGAGGATGAAAGATCATCTTAAACTCGACATCCTGCTTATTTGAGAGGCTACCGCTGCCTGCCCATCAGCATAGTCAGCAATAGGACTAGGATAAATATGATAAGCAAGATATATGACAAGGCGATATTTCCCTCAGACAAAATTTGCCTTGGAACCTCATGCACTGCCAGCAATTGTTGGAGAATTTCTCTTGCGGCTGAGCCATCGGCTTACCAGAGTTGATGATTTCCTCACAAGGACGCAGTAATTTCAGAAAAGCAAGAGCAGATCCACCGACTACTGACCAAGAATATGTACCGCGAATCAGGTCACCACCGCATCATGGTAGCCACAGGGCCCTCGTGATGATGGTTTTAGATGCGGAATGTATACCAGTTCAATCTCGACACACCCTTCGGAATCGCCAGCTTCACGGCGACGAAGTCTTCTCGCTGGCGATGATTTGAGTAGTTTGGGGGTCTTGTTATATACGTAGCAAAAGGGAAGAAAATTCAGACGAGGAGAACATATAGGAAGTTCGAACCCAACTCCGGCTAGTGTCAGGTGGGAGAGCAAAAGCGGCGTCTGTTTTGCGGGCGGAGACTAGGGCCCTCAGCCCTACGAGCAAGTCGATTGGCGGGCTGATGCTCTCCAGCTGCAAACAAACTGCAGTGCGAGTGCTTCAATCCTCATTTGCCTTCTCCCTCGTTCATCTACGTTAATTACTTGTTGCAAACCAACTCTCTCCCACCTCAAACCCGCGAACCCGCCCCTTGACGCCCTTGGTTCCTGACGGTACTCGGATAGAATTCCCACTGCTTGATTACCCTCGCTCGTTTGTCTTGTTCCATTATTTTGCATTCCATCCGGTCGTTCTGCTCTGCCGGTTTGGTCCATTGGTACCACGCGGTCTGCGAGACTTGAGTATTCGCTCCTGCACTCGACGTACTCTGGAGTCCAAGTGGCTCGGACGAGCTCTCACGCTTACGTTCCGTTGTTTGTATTGATTTGCTCATGGAAAACGCCAATCTGTGGACACGGCGCTCGAAGTAGGTTCTGGTTCTAAAATGCTCCGCTAATCTGTTTGCAAGTACTGACCGACTCCTGCAGTGCTGGAAAACTTTCGTTGTCTATGAGAGACCAAGACGGCAAAGACGGTGCCAAGCTAGAATCCCCTCGATCACACACTAGCCGACGTTTCGGCGACTCATCCTCACACGGAAAGACGAACCCTTTCAACGCTCTATCCCCATCCGTTGCGAAATCGCCCTCGGCGGGCGCTTCCTCCGCTTTCGGGTTGGGTAGCGGTGCATTTGCATCCTTTGGATCAGCGAAAACACCAAAGACACCAGGGACGGGGTCCGGTTTTGATTTCTCATCGCGCGAGAGGAAAGATAAGGACACAGAGGCAACGGCCGAAAGCCCCGGGACAGAAGAACAGATAGAACACTCCGTGGCTTTGCCATCCTCCTCTAGCCACCAACTTCGGAACACCTGGAACCTGTTCTACAGGCCCCCGGCAAACAAATTCTCCGACTATGAGAAATCGATCCTGAAATTGGCCTCCATTAGCTCGGTAGAAAGCTTTTGGACGATTTATTCGCATCTCAAGCGACCGTCTTTGTTGCCAACGGTCTCCGACTATCACATCTTCAAGGATGGCATTCGTCCTGTATGGGAGGACGATGCCAACAAGAAGGGTGGAAAGTGGATAGTGAGGCTCAAGAAGGGGGTGGCTGACCGATATTGGGAGGATCTTTTACTTGCAATTATAGGCGACCAATTCATGGAAGCCGGAGATGAGGTCTGTGGTGCTGTCCTCAGTGTGCGAAGTGGCGAAGATGTCCTGAGTGTCTGGACAAAGATTGATGGCGGCCGGAACATCAAAATAAGGTATGTGCTATCCAGTGAGCGAGACCTAGACTGGCATTTTACTTATGGCCGACTAGGGAAACCATCAAGCGGATTCTCGCCTTTCCCGCTGATACCAACATCGTGTGGAAGAGCCACGACGACAGCATCGCCCAGCGGTCGGCCCTTGATGAGGCAAGGCACCAGAAGTCTACTGCACCTCCAGGCCATCCTGGAGCGGAGCGACGGCGTCAAACGTTGCATGACGACCCTGAAAAGAGCAAGGGAAAGGTTGTATCATGATAACGGGATGAAAATATCCCGCCCTGTAGGATTATATGCATGTATTTCCTGGATAGGACCTGAAAGTTGCATCAGTAATGTTCAATTGCATGAAATGCTTCTAAAGAAGACCATTGGGGTCTCTAATTGCATGTTCCCTGATAGCGCGCGGTACTGTACTGGTGCTTTTGCTGTGATTGCCTAAACTGCGGGGACGTCGCAGAACACATGCAGTCACTGCGCATCACCGCTCTAATGTAGAGGACCATGTTCACTGCAGCTTACACCGCCTCTCAATGTTCCCCGTTGCTGTTTATGGACATCTCTCACTTGGAAGTTTTCAATGAGGCGGTGGAATGAAACCAACAACAGCATCCAAGCCATCATTTCCTCCGCTTTCAAATCTCTATCTCATCTGGCTGGTTCAGATGACAATACCGCAACCAGCCCTCAGCCTGATGCATCAGCGTCACAGTTACATACTGGGGCGCAGATGCCCCCGACTCCTCGCCGAGCGTACCTGACAAGGAACATACCAAACTACGTCCAGGCGCATGATAGCGTGCCTTTTGATCCTATTGAGGTGAGTTGCCGCACCTGTTGTCTGCCCTGTTTTCCACACAAAACGCGCCTTCATTTCTAACACTCGTAACTGCGCAGATTGACAGTGATGAAGACGACCGAAGCCCCCCAGACGGTCAGAGCACGAGATCTAGTCGGCGAATACAAACTCAACAGTATGATTTAGCGAGGGCAAAAGAGGTGGTGTCGGTTACATTGCTGATTGTTTGACGCCTAGAACATACTCTACGCCTACTCAAATCCGAGTCAAGAGGTCGGAATCGCGAGACGAGGCGAGACTCCTCCCAACCTTGACGTACGTGTCAAATTCAGGCCGTGGGATCAGGGTGCTGAAAGTTCCATTAGCAAGCGCGAGCCGGGCTCTGTCACCATACCAGACCCGATGAAGAGGTCGTTTACAGTATGTTACTATCCACCACTTATTCAGGCTTCTCACATGTATCTAGCTGAAGTCTGGCTACAAGCCAATGAACACACTGGACACTGCACGTCCGGGAACCAGATCGCATCTCGTTTTTGAGAAGACCACAAATGTCCGAAACCCTTCGTATGACAATGGCCAAGTCCATGCAAGCAAGAAACGAAAGCTCGACTACAATCATCCGAATGGGAGCGGCGCCACTGCAGCAATCTCCTCGAGTGATAGCCAAAATCAAGAAGAGTCCGCTGATGAGCTTCGACTTAGCCCGGAGTCGACGGCCAACACGGCAGCAGAGCGAGATCGATATCGTCGCAGTTCCCCACGTGTATATGTGTCTGTGCCTAAATCCAAGGGGTTCGGCAGTGTGGTCGGGGAATCTATTTCTCAGCTCACTGCTTCGTCTCCTGAAGACGAAGGCAACTTCACAAAAGGTTCAGCAAAGCAGAGGAAGGCTCAGAAGGACAGGATGCTCGCGAGCTCTTCTCCAGTGTCATCAAGCATTGTCCCAGCTGAGACTGTTGCTTCACCTTACTTTGGCGCAGCTAGTACCCCTTCTCGACATCTGCGCTATAAAGTCCTCCAACACTCGAGTCCCGATGCACTGCAAGCCGATCAATCACCCCGATTGCACACCAATTTCGGCGAATCTGGAAGGTCGTTGGGAGATACAGATATAAAAATACCGAATGCTCTGATAGTTGGGAATGGTTATACCGCGACAGGAAATTCTCGCATGAAGCGAGCAAACGAAAACATCAAGTCATTGAAACTAGACGATGTTATCTATCGGAGACTGCCGAATGCCAGCATCTATGTCGTTGAAATCCATTGTGACACCAAAGAGATCTCGATCAACACTGAAGAAGAAATGTTGGGGGGTGAACCAGTGGTCGAGTCTCGCCCAATCTCCAAGATTGTCGAGGTCAAGTATGGAAGCGACAACAGCCCATTGGTATCCCTCAGCTTTTCGCGCCAGGGACATCAGGAAGATAAGTTGTATCTCAAGTTTCAATCTCACAAGGCGGTCGATGATTTTGTGAAGATTTTGAAGGGGTGCTCTGCTGTTCTGAAAATGCATTCCAAACCGGCGTGAGTATCAACATGCATGAAACAACAGAAGTCTGACTAATCGTGTCCAGTGAGTGGATGGAGTCGGCATTCGCAAAGGCGAAGACTGACCATGCAAGCCACAATCTTCAGAAAAATCATACCGCTGCGACACCGAAGGAGGAAGGAATCTCTGCCACTGGGGTAAAACCTCGGCTTGCGAACCTAAGCGCAGGAAAGCAGATCCGTCACGTTGATAGACTCGATCCACCCCATCCAATCTCGAGAGTGCGCACCGTCATCTCGGGCGCAGAACGAAATATGCAGGCAGCTACGAACGACTCGGTGTCACGCATTAGAAAACAAGTATCCCCGGAAAACATCTCTCCGGAACAGCCTCAGATGCTCACTCGTTCACGAGACACAAAGCAAACATCAAGTGAGGATGCTCAGAGCGACGGCCACCCCAGACCCAGACCCTCCGAGTATGCCGCACTAGAAGCCCCTTGGAGGAGGGATCTCATTTATCCAGGACCTGGGAAAAAATCTGCAACGGTACCCTTTGAGGACCTGAGACGACTCGACGACGATGAGTTCCTGAACGACAATTTGATATCCTTCTTCATGCAGTATCTCGAAACTTTCATGGAGAAGAACAATCCAGAGCTGTACCGGGAAATGTACTTCTTCAACACGTATTTCTACGAAGCGCTCACCAAGAACGTCAAAGGGAAAAAAGGCATTAACTATGATGCTGTCAGCCGGTGGACCAAGAACATCAACATCTTCAAGCGCAAATTTGTAGTGGTCCCTGTGAACGAGAACTTTCACTGGTACCTCGCCATAATCTGCAACATGTCCTACTTTCTGCCAAAGGCCGAAGACGACGGTGCAGGTGAAGAACAAGCAGATCAGAGTCTCCAAAATCCTGAGGGTTCCCCTGTCAGCGACCGACAAAGCGAAGGATTAGAAAATGTAGCCACCCCAGCTACCGAAGACACCCAGAAATCGCTAGCTGAACTCTCCATCACTGACGACGAGGAAAAAAATGGTGCGAACAAGTCCAAAGGTCAACTTAAGAGGGGACCAGGCCGTCGGAGGGTCATTCGGAGATCGCTACCAAAGTACGATATTGAGAAGCCGGTCATAATCACTCTTGATTCGTTGGGTTCATCACGTTCTGCAACGTGCTCACTCCTACGGCAATACATCGTCGCAGAGGCCAAGAACAAGCAGGATCTGGATATTGATGCCACGGAGTTGAGGGGCATGACCGCCAAACAAATACCCACGCAGAGCAATTTTAGCGACTGCGGCCTTTACCTGTGCATGTACCTGGAGCAATTCGTGGCAGATCCTTTCCATTTTGTCTCGAGGATTCTTCAACGGGAGGAGGAAGCCCAGCGATGGCCACGAACGATTCGCAGTGAAGACCTGAGGTCGAGGCTGCGGGAACTGATCCTTGAATTACACCGGCGGCAGGAAACACATACGTCTACTGTGGAACTTCCCAACGTTGGCAGCATCATGGTTGAGAAGAGGGAGCCGTCGCTAGAGCCGCCAGCGGTTCCAGAGCCTGTGAAGCACCGCACTAAACAAGACATTGCAGAAGCAAAACTGAGGTATGATGGAATTGCTATTGCTCGGCGAAATGCCCATCAAGAAGCACCGCCGCAAGAGGATGACAGTACAAGCCGGTTGAGAACCACCCCCACCTGCAAAAAGCATGCGTATCTTGCGGAGGATTCTTTCTCTCACGCTAGAGACAATGACGATGACCCGATCATGATTTCGAGGGAAGAGGCACCGCGGCGTCAAGTCGGAGATGTGGTCAGGGTTGGGGATCATTTCCGTTATCACAAACCGATACCCGGCACCGAGGTCTTGGTCATACCTTTCCCTGGCCAAGGTGTCGACACAGTCGGAGACCAATGTTTCGCACATTCAACTCCGGCCGAATTAGCTAGGAGTCTACGACAGAAAAATGAGCTCAGAGAGGCAAAGAGAAAGAGGTCCAGAAGCGGTGATGAGGGTGACTCGGGGCGAAGAGAGAGAGCCAGAAGTGTATCCACGGAATTTCTTTCGGGGCTTGAAAGTTACGCTGTCAATCACCATTCTCCTCGGGTAGAGAGGGCAGAAGATGTGGATTCCACGAAGCTTCGAAGCAGTCCGCGAAGCAAGGGCGCGATGCGGGAAGAGGTCATTGACCATGATGATGCACAATACGAATGGCAAAGAGCAGCAAAGCGAAGACGACCTCAGGCCTCTCCATTTGATGGGTCCAGACAAGCGAGATGGGCTCATACTGATGATGGGGGAGAAGTGCCTGAGAATCAGGAGGGCAACAACAGGACAATGGGGGTGAGAGGGCGAGTAAGGGACATGGATGAGAATAATGAGATGCTCCTCCGCTGAAGAGGGCAGGAGGATTCTTTCCCGCCAGCATTGTTTTCTTTAGTCATGATTGATTAATCGTCTCATGAACATACCGCCTCCGGATTCCATGCTGCTACAGCATGGCACTGGATCAACCAGGAAATGGGGTCCTGAGTTTTCCACGACTCCGGATGCCTTATATGAAGTCAAATGAATGCACAAGCTGTTTCCGTTTCCGTTTCTATTTCCATTCCCAATTCCCACTCAAGGGCAAAGGAAATCCAGTCATTATTTTGTTGTATTGACCACCAGGTTGATACCAGATGACCGAGGTAGTTTACGGTATGTTAGATAGATCTAGGTACAATTTTCGTACAGGTTGCTTTTCTTATTCATTTAGTAAACGGGTCCTGTGGCCTAGCCAGAACCAAACTCGTCTGAAGTTCTCCTTACTCCTTAGCAAAGACACGCAATGAGGAAAGGGTCCAGTCCAAGTCGTGACTGTAGCCTGCTCACGCTCACACTCACCCGCAAACACAGATATAGATGTATGTATGGGTGTGGCATATATGTATATAATATGCCATATTATGTATGTAATCGAGGGCAACAAGCAATGGCAACATGTCTTTGGCGCAACAAGCAATGGCAACACGTCTTTGGCGCAACAAGGTCCAAAGGGGCGCCGCGCCAAAAGCAGTGCGGTAACAGTAACATCACTGTGGTGGAAATGGAAATATAGAGTAGATCCAGCCCGCAGGGGTGGGGAATGTACAGTGTATATTGATGAGGCTGGCGCAGGATCGACTGGCTGACCGACCGACCGACTGACTGACTGACTGACTGACTGACTACCTGAGAGCTGGATGGCCGAGCTGGAGCTGGAGCCGGAGCTGGAAGGAGATCGATGGCTCTCGACTGTCAAGTTTATGGGGTCTTCGATGTTGGAGAGAAACGACAGGACAAGTTGAATATTGAACATCGTTTCTCCTGAACGGAGTACAAGGTGACTCGTGCTTGAATTGTTGTGGCTCTGTCGTCAACGATGGATGAATTACCCACCAGCTTGACCCGGGCACAAATCTCATCTTTATTGACCCTGTCAATGCAGGGCCGTCAAGGCCAGGCTCGAGGGTCTTTCGGCTTGTGATCGGAAGACTGTGTCACTTCCTTCTGGTTGTCTGTCATTGTACGATCTGTACAAACCATATGCTCGCATAGCGGTGTGAAGGGACGCGATGCGTCAGTGTGGCCGGGGTATGAATGAGCCTTCGAGATTGATGTAGCTAAGAGACAGTGTGTGTGGGAGACTCTCGCATACACTCAAGTTTTGCCAGTGTGAGCGACACCTGTCTACAGCGGCAGCTGCTCTCTGCTCTGGCAGTTTCTCATTGAAATCCCTGGTGCTTGAGTTTCGAGGATGCAAATGCAGTTGTAGTTTCTGGTACGTGCACGACCTATACTATCTCCGTACGGTCTTCTTCAAGCACCAAACTGCCAGGGTCGGCATCAGGACACCTTTCTGCCGGGGGGTTTATGCATGAACATTTGGAGAGGGAGGCCGTGAGATGTCCTCGAGGCCAAAGCCTTGCTGGGTATCTGGATCTAACTGTCATGCAGCAGAATCCATCTATGAAGATCAAGCAGGCCTGGATGCAGAGAGGCGGTGGTCGATGCCTGCAGCTGCGACTGCATTTGCATCACATCCCAGAAGTGCCAGATGTCCAATTTTCCAGGAAAGCCTTCATGCAGGCCGCTGCTGTGGCTGCAGCGTAGTTTTGCCACCTCTTGTTCTTGTGGCTGTCGGCATAGTCGCACACGCCTTTGATGACGAGGCAAGGGAAGACATCCCACACCCCTGCGCCTTCCATTTCGAAGGCAATCACGTTCTCTCTGTGAGCAATCGAGTCGCGGTCCTCGCCGGACTTCATCACAATGTTCCCGGAAGCCACGAGGCTGAAATGTACCTTGGGGTTGATGGGGGGCTGTTGAGTCTCGCTAGCCGACTGGGCGGCCTCGTCCCTGACAAGCCGGTCTCGTCGGACAAGGTGTGTTTCGTCGCAATTGAGCTGCTCGCAGGAAAGCTCGGGGGATTCTTCACATACCGGGTCAGTAGGTTTCGTGCAGTCGGCGCATGTGGTACATGAGGATGATGGTGACTGGTGTTTATGACGGTAGCGAGAATCAAACAGCTTGTCGTGCTTGGTTCCAGGGTAGGTGGCTATCCCGCCAAGTTCAGTGTTCCAGGAGGCGAGGTATTTGGCGATGTTATCTTCCAAGTTTTTGCGATGTCCACGCCCTTTCAATTTGGCCAAAAGACCCCGGATCTCGGTGTTGGGTCTGCCCAGGTTGTCCAGCACAGAGTCTTTTCGGACAAATTTTCCAGGGTATTGTCGTCCATATGTATACGGAATGATGCCTTTGCTGATTACCACATCTCCAAGGACAATGTCATCTCCCGCCTTTGTGGTCGGTGAGGTGCCACAGATGCCGACGACAAGAGCAAGCTCAATGCCCTTGAAGCTGGCTCGACAATTGGCGGCAACGCTGGCTGCACTTTCTTGGCCCATTCCGGGCATGTGTGCCAGAACAACCTTGTGGCGTCCGATCATGCCGGTCGAGTATGCGTCCGGGTCACGAGGTGCCTTGCCGTACCCATCCTCTGTATCATCCCATCGTTGGTCAAACACTGCATTCACCGCGTCAGCCTCAAGGGTGAGTGCGCATATTATGGCAATCTTGAAGTCCCCTCGATCTCGTGAGCGGCTCGGTGTTGTCGTCTGCAGGTCTGGGGATGACCACGTTGTGGCACGAGAACTTCTGCCGAGCGAGAGTTCTGAATGGACCTCGTCGATGCGATATAGTGGCGATCCTCTACGGGCAGATGAGGAAAAGGGGACCGAAGGATTCTGGGCCCTGGAGGGTAGGCCGGCCTTCATCGGCGACGGGGCGGGCTGGGTTGCGATGCCTAGGAGATCCAGGAGTACATCCCGGTGCGCGGTTTTCAGGCGTTCGATCAGGGGATCCACAATATACCGCAATATCGCGGCCCGGAACTTGAGATCTTGGTCAAAGGAGGGATGTTGAATGGAGTCGACACGATCGTTGAAATCAAGACATGAGTCAATGACTTGTTGAATATATTGGTCATCCAGGTCTTCTTCTCGAAACTGGAAGGTTCGCAGTAGGGTCATATAAACCGGGGAATATTCTTCGTCAGCCTCCTGCTCATCTTCCATGGTCACCGATATGCCTTCATCGAGTTCAAGCTCTAAAAGGAGTACACCAAAGGCGAAAATGGCCGAGTAAGACGAAGCTGCGTCCCAGGACTCGGCCTCACAGTCGAGTTCTGACGCCAGGGAACACAGAATATACGGCGTTTCAAACTCAACTGTGCTGCCCGGCTTTGACTCTGGGAGAAAGAAGATCTTGTCGGCTTCCCATCCTTTTTCTAGCCACCGGCTACCAAGGGCTCTCAGCAACGTTACTGCCAGTGTGGCAGCAACGATCTTCTTTTTCTTCCTCGTGAGTTGAGGTGCTGTAGCAGAATCCGCTGAGCGTCGGGTCCGGCATTCCAGCAGCTTTAGCAGATTGACCCTTGATTCGTCTTTGACAATGGCAACTATCTGTTCCGAGCTCTGCCACATAGTAGACTCTTCGTAGATCAAGCGGAGCATTTTGTGTCGTTTGCTTCGGATGACAGCACAGAAGTTCTCAACCTTGCTCGCGCTACCTGGGTGTGTAATCGTGCGGCCGGGCCTGTAATAGGGGTTAGTAGTCTTCCATGCGTCCTCGGAAACACCCTTACTCCTGGTTGAGGATGACGCTGCAGACGGTGCGTCGCCATGCACGGGGAGGTGAACACGAGGCCAGCAACATCTTGATATTGTTCGGGTCGCTCAGGTGAATCATGGCATCGTGAGGCAGCCGGCAGCTGCTAAGTGCACCCACCAAACTCTCGAAAATGCGATCCAGGCTCTTCCAGGTCTGACCAGCTTCCAGCACGGACTGAATCTCCTTGTCATTCCAAATATTTGATGCGGATGGAGGCTGCTCCTCCCTGAGTGTGCTGGAGACGACTTGGTTCGCGGACTGGTTGAAGTCTTGGAGCTTCTTGACGATATCTCGGAATCCCTCAAGAGTCATGTCCAGCCAGACAAGGTGATTTAATTCCTCAGCGTGATCCAGAGGACTACCGCTAAAGTTTACATGCCTCCTAGCCAACTCAAATTGCAACGCTTTCAGTTTTGGTAAGTTCTATAAAGACAATCAATGAGTAATGTTGATATCTTCTTGGTCACAGCCGGGGCGATTGAAATCAACGTACACAATCCGTGGTGGGGAGAAAATCGATGACCTGGGTACCAATATGCTGCTCGAGTAGTTGGAGGAGGGATCTCAGTGCCGTGACGATGTGCTGAGTTAGGTTGGCCGACAAGGCTAGGACTTCAGCCTTGGGAATGATGTCGGACGCCTGCAGCATCTCGAATTCGAACATGGTCTCAAAGTTCCAGAGCACATCTTCAAGGACGGATCCAGCCGGCGGTGCGGGACTGACTGAAGGGATCTTGGACGCAAAGACTGGCTGGACCGACTTGAGAAGAAGCCAGTCCTCATAGGCGTCATCAACGAGGGCCATGAATAGATTCGGCGGTCAATCTTCTCTTCCGACGGCTACGGAAGCTGCCACAGCATAGTCAAGTCTGTGAGTATTGTATTTGATGATAGCAACGGGACCTGTGCTAGAGAATCCCAATCCTGCCCGTTGTGCGGCTGAGTGGGAGCGAGCATGAGGGGACTGCGACTGCGACTGCGGCTGCGGCTGCGGTTCAGCCTCAGCCTCAACCGTTGATTTAAGCGTGGCGGCATCGGCCCCGACCGATCCACCCCGCGGTGGCTAAAAGTGGCAGGCACCAGTCACCAAGTCACGTAAAGTGGTAGTGGCTTGGCCCAGGCCCGCTGCCGGATGGAGCAGGATTGCCGATATCCATCAGCTGGCAGCTGGCAGTTGCAGTGGCTCAGCCGCATTCACCATTCACCCTGAAGGGGTCGAGGCTGCCCTTGGCCATGTACTCCGTACCAAGTCGATCTGTGTAGCTCCCTTCCATAGGCAGTCGCCGACCTTGGAAGCCGGTGAACCGATCATTTAACTCGAAGAGGAAGCGGAAGGTGCCATCGCTTTGGAAGTCGCAATCAGGCTGGGGACCTGCCAACTATCAGCCATGGAGCAGCAGAATCAGAATCACAGCCAGTCATCGCTGGATATATACGAAGCTTGCTTGAAGTGCTCAGAGCTTTTGACCGAGTACTTACGCAACCCTTCCACCCCTAACAAGGATGAGGCCGAAGACTTACAGAGCCGGTTCAACTTATGGGCGGCCTATACTGGAGCGTTCGCTGCGGCCGACGCCTCTTTGGACGACCGGCTAAAATTCCACGACGAAATCAGGGTGATGGTCTTGAAACTGCTCTCCATGTTACAAAGAAATCTTCGAAGTGGTGCGTAGTTGCCATATGATATGCCTGACTTCGCAAGGTCTGATTTAATCAGCAATCGAAAGAAGGCAAGTCGCCCATACGACCTCGACGTCGGCAACCGTTGATACTCCCTCCCCCGTGTCGCCAGATTCGGAGTCAATACCTGCAACACAGTCCTATCATGGCTTGCAGGCTGTTTCTGCCGCGCTGGATCGTCTTCACAGGCTTGCTACCGCTATCCGGCGATCCTCGGTGACCAGGTCCGAGAAACTTTCCACAAGCACTATGCCATCAGAAGAAGATGCCTACTTCGAAACTTGCATCTTCAACTTTATTCAAGGTCGATTCCCTGCTGCTAGGCTGGGCTTGATCAAGCAGTTGACTGCCGCCCTTTGCTTTCACCGCAAGCGGCTAGCTTATCAATCCAGGCACAACAAGAAATTGGCCTATAAACGGCAACAGGAGCCTATCACCGAACAAGACCAAACAATACAATCATTACCACGTCAGGGTAGCGACCCCCAGCTGCCGGTTCTCCGGGGAGTGATCCGGGCAGCTGCGAGCAGGGTCGCATCTAGTGGAGTATTCTCAAGGACCAACGCTTCAATTCCCAGCATTGTACGATTGAATCGAACCCTAGCCGAGCCTCGCAGACCAACGCCATCTATTGCAAGCACTGGGACGGCCACCGTCTCTGGTGAAACATACTTCTATCCAGAACCACCTTCTCCGAGAGACCGCAGATATTTGCCATGTCCATACTGTGCAGAGACTCTAGATGTCTCGAAACTGGATATGGCGAGAAGGACTAACGTCGAATTCTGGAGGTAAACCTCATTTGTGTAATGCGCTGCACTTTACTGACTGTCTAACAGAAACCATCTGAACGAGGATCTTCACCCGTACTTTTGTATCGCGGATGAATGCCGGAATCCTTTGCGATTCTTCGTCGATTATGAGGCTTGGTTGGGCCATATTACGAATACGCATCCCCCGGAATGGCCCAGATCCATCCATGGGACAGTATGGGTTTGCAATATGTGTTCTGAGCCGCCTCCGCTGTTCAATGGAGCGGCGGAATTCGAGCTCCACATGAGCTCAACGCACGGTGATCTGACAAAATCACAGAAGTTCGTACGGACGAAACGGAGCAGAACTAGGGCCCTTCGGGACCAGTGGGTTTGCCCGTTATGCGACTGCATACCGTCGAAACTCTCCAAGATCAGCCCAAATGAGCAAGACACTGAGGCTCGTGCTGTGTTCGAAAAACACATCGGATCCCATTTAAAAGCACTGTCGCTCTTGTCTTTTCGATTTCACTCATCTGAACAAGATGACGGCGACCTTTCAGGGGTTTCGACCACCGAAAATGTTTCCACTGAGGCGATCCTCCCCGAGGCCGATGAGCCAGAGTCCTGGAAAGATTCTCACATTCCATCAAGCGGCGGTACTCTTTATCGGGACACGAGTCCTGTGCAGTGGATGACAAAAGATGAAGAAGATCTTGAACCCCCCCAGTTGCCAGGATCTGGGTCGTGGGACTTCATGCCAAACTTTGAATACCTCCCGACCCCAGACATACCGCTTCCAGGCACCAGGCTAGATGACTCGGGTTTCCTCGAGGAGTACCAAGCCATTTGGCAACTTCGCTCCACAGACCCTGGCCACGAGAGACTTCCTCAATCGATGGATCCGCCTGGACCAAGCCAAAGCACAGAAGCGATCATTGCAGTAATGGGGAGGCGTGGAGCAGGGAAAACCTCCTTGGTTCAAAGCATCAACGGAAGAGACGATCTTCATCTCATTGACACAACAGATTCAATTGGTGGGCATTCAATTGGTGGGCGTATAACGGCTTACAGGCCCGACATTGACACCCATGCAAACTCCCGATATACTAGGTTGACCCTGCTGGAATTTCCAGGATTCACCAGGTTTGGGCTGAAAGAGCAAGTTGAGCACATCTTGGCGCACCTCGACGCCAATTTTAGAGGCAGAAAGTTACATGGTATCATCTACGCGTTTGATATCACTAGGCCCCAGTTCGACGAGCTAGACCCTGTCTTGACCGCCATTATGGAGCGTCTCTGTGAACTTGTTTTTTGTCCCAACCTTGTGTTGGCCACGACTCACTGAGACAAGCTGGACGACCTGCCAGAGGGAGTTAAAAGACAGCAGGAGTTGACATCTCGGGCACAGTATTGGCGGGATTTCATAGCCCATGGTTCGAGGGTTATCAGAACCGGTATAGGAGATGAGTGGAGGGCTAGTGCTCGCACTATTTTGGATGACATGATCACACAAACCCCTCGCATGTTAAAGGCTCAGGAAGAGATGGACAGTGGCATCGGAGCCGACCAGACCTCCGTGGTGCGGCTTGCGGCTACGTGGAGGTTCTATATCGCTGTGGAAGTGAAATCGCGCCATGTCGCATTTGAGTCAGGCCCGGACTCTGACGAATACGCCCGAGAGTTAGAGAGACTCGAGGCCCTTGACACCGTCGTCTTTGATGCTCATACTCGAGGCGATTGGCGATCAATCAAGCCCATGGCAAACATTAGGGGCGCTTTCAAACAAGAGCTCGAAAGACGCCAGTCTGAAAGGTCTAGAAATGAGACCATTACAGAGAACCCCCCTTACCCAGCACCAGCCTCAACGCGCTATCCGAATGTTTGTCGAAGAGGATGGGTCGGAAAACCCACCCTGACCTGCGACGGCCGATTATTTTCAAGATGTGGCAAAACGATCCACGTGGGGTGGGAACGATTCTATCGTGAGTCATACGCCATGTCTGAAATATTTGAGTTGATGTAGAGAGACTGACTTCTCCACCCTTTCCCTTTTGCCCTCAACAGATTGCTGTCTCTGCAACGACGATAACTACAATCACTGCAAGGCTTGCGGTCGTATCTGTAAGGGAGTATCACATCCACTAATGTCACGTATCGATCTGCCCGGAGGGGTTTGTTCGGACAGTGAGCTTGAATGAGGGCACTCACACATGCTTTGAAACGGCCATGTTGGATAAACTGGGGAGAGATGGAGGGTAACCATAGCGAGCTACTTTGGACAAACTGGGAGAGATGGAGGGTAATGATAGCCAGCTACTTTGTATGACAAGGCGATCAATAGTGAGGAGGTCTGATCTTGCCAGGACATAATATGTCCCATCATCACCCATGTCGGCTACCTACCTACCTATGTGTCAGCTTGTCAAACTTAGGCACTATGTAACTTATATAGGCATTCCCAGCCTCAGCCTTGTCCTTTCACCAGAAGGCTGGTATACATACCTAAGGCACACCTAAATGTATAGTCTGCCCCCCCAATACCCCATATCCCTTTGATAGCGAACATGGAGCATTTCAACCTTTGACAGGTTAGGTACTAACACCTAACGCTACTGTAAGTGAGGTAAGTACCCGTACCTATTGTACCTACCTGTTATGTTGTACCTTATGTTATGACAATCAGTACAGTACGGTCATGGCAGCGAGCAAGGTACCTGTAGCATCGTGGTGGACAGGTCAGTAATTACAAGTACTGTACTTCGTTGATCAAGCTCATCACGTTCATCACATTAGATTTACCTAGCAAGCTTATCACAATCATCACATTAGATTTAGATGTGGCAAGCTCATCACTTTCATCACATTAGATTAGATTTAGATTTAGCAAGCTCGAGCTTGAGCTTGAGCTGAGCTGAGCTTCTTTAGTTGACAGTACGCCCCTTCAACGACTTACTGATTGCCATGATTGTATTGATAGTTGTGATTCCGATATATATCCTCACTTAATTGTGGGAAAGAGTCCCAGTCCAGACTCCTCCCCTACCGCTACCCCACCCGGTAATGTACATTTGAATATTAATACAGTAAATTGAGGTCAGTCCACAGTGTCTTTACCATAGTAGCAAATCCAGTGTGGTATCTTTACCATAGTAGTTTGCAAATCCTCTGTAGTGTCACGGTTCACCCAAACCGTTACACCACGACAGCCGCAAAAAGGACAAAGTGACTAATTCACTCGTGAGTTCTGAATTAGCCACTTGGTGTATATACCCGTCACAAATCCACTATAGTATCTTTACCAGAGTAGCAAATCCAGTGTGATAGTAGCAAATCCACTGTGGTAGTAGCAAATCCACTGTGGTAGTAGCAATTCCACTGTGGTAGTAGCAATTCCACTGTGGTAGTAGCAATTCCACTGTGGTAGTAGCAATTCCACTGTGGTAGTAGCAATTCCACTGTGGTAGTAGCAATTCCACTGTGGTAGTAGCAATTCCACTGTGGTAGTAGCAATTCCACTATAGTATCTTTACCATAGCAAACCAGCTCAAGTAAGGTCAATGACCTCGACAGCACCGTTCTCCGTCATGGTGAACTCGGATTCGGATTCGCCCCTCTTGGACGAGCCAGTCCTTGACTTTTTGGCACGGGCGTCGCCGCCGGCATCTGCTGGTCTCTTCGAACCAGACCTTTCTCCACCACTCGGTACATTGGAAGTCGAAGTCGAGGGAACAAGCGGCCGGCGAGGTGACGACAACGACAACCCGTCTTGCCGCGGCTCTTCATCACCACCAACAGGGGCATCGAGGTCTTGCCGTCGCTCTTCATCCCCCCCAACAGTGGCATCGAGACGAGCAAGGGCCGCTTCATGCTCCTGAGCAACACGGTCATAGTCAGCAGCTAGAATGGCGTCGGCCATGGTGCCGAGATAGTCTCTCAACGGTCTATTGGGATTTCGGACGGCGTTCTGCAGCCATGCCAGCCACGATCGTGCTTCGTCCCGGTCTTTCCGCCACACGGCCTGCCGCTCGAGCTGCTTATTCTTCTTGGTTATCTGCCACACGTGCGGATTGGAGTTATGCGTCGTCTCAATCGTGTATGGCGTGTTTGGGGACCGGTTGAATTGCTGGTGCAAATGCTGCCGGCGGGGTTTGGCGCACGGAAATCGGCCCACACTCTCGGTCGGGCTGGCCAGAAAAGCATCGACGCCGAGACAGTCGCGACAGCCGCAGCCACGCCGAGGTTGGCTCCACTTGACTTGACCCCTGGGTTCCTTGCCGACACATGTCTTGAGGTCATTCAGCAGCAAGTGCGTCACGAACTCCATACTCTGCTGACTGAGCTCGCCGGTCTCGGTGTCGATTTCGCCGCCATGCTTGTTGTTGTAGCAAGACACCTTTTGGGCCAGGATTTCCTCGACGAAAGGAAGCAGTGCGTGAACATACGTCTCCTTGTCCGCAGTCCGCACCGCTTTCGAGAGTCGGTCTTTGATCTCGCTCTCGGACACCGCACCCGCAGAAACGGTGTGATTGATCAGCTGCCTTAGATCGCCACCGTTGACAAAACGACTGGAACGGTCTTCTTGGTTTTCTGTTACGCTCCAGTGTGAAATTGACTTTACACTGCGATATGTCGACGGTGGGGCTTTCGGCCAGGGCGGAGCTTTAAGTCGAAAGTCACTCCAGATGTTGGACAATAATGGCTTCGTGAGATGCTGTTTGGTCTCGAGGGATAACTTTGCTGGCTGAGGTTGAGGAGGCGCTCCGTCTCCGTCTCGAGAACGACGTTTCTGAACTGCCGTCGTTGTCGGCTCATCGATGGGTGCCAATAACCAGTTTACAAAACCAAGCTTGCAAGAAGTGGATGACTGTTCTATGAGAGGAATCACCCTGTTTACGGCTTCGACATTAGCAGGTGAGTCCATATTTGAATACTCATCAAATCATGGGGTGTTGGACGTCCAGACTTACTGGTCTTTGATACTATTGACATCCCAGAACTCGAGAAAGCGTGCCAGGGTCTCGCCCTCGACTTTAGTCAGACCTTTTGAGTGTACAGCTCCCTGAAGGACCGTCATAGAAATATCACCGAGCCATTTCAAGACTGTTGTGAATTCTTCCTCACTGGAATTGTCAGAAGCTGGTGATTGCTCTAATGCCTCTTGAATGGTCTGGATTGCTTTGTGCTTGTCCATTAAAGACCTGGCTGCCTTCACGGCTCTGGCAATCCTAGATTTGATGTCAGTTTCACATCACACCCCATTCGGAGCTGTGCATTCGAACAGCACGAGAGCCATAAGCAGACGAGACGTGTGTACCTTTCTTGGGCTGATTGTCGAGCGGCAACACCTTGTCCTAAAATGATACCGAACAGACGAAAGGTTTCGAGGGTTATGCCCTCAAAGGTCTGGTCCACGATTTTGTCAAACAACGACCATTCATGGCCTTAACTGCGGCCTCGGTGATTTGCTGTAGGACTTTGGCCCATATCTTGTCCCATTTACCCAATTCGTGTACCCATCTGCCCAATCCTTGTACCCATCTACCCAGAGACGGGCTCTGCGTCGGGACAGCATGATGGCTTCACTCAACTCCACCAGCTCTTTTCTGGCGCTATCCGAGGCATTGTGCTGTGCCTCGTGTCGCAGCTGTTGGATCTGGACAAGACTTTCCGCGGTCTCTGGTCGCACGCATAAAGAAACGCGGCCCTGCTACACGGAGGGACGATGACTATGGCCTGCAGGACGTGGTGAGAAACATAGCGCACGTGAGGAGGGCCAAAAACATAAAACATACCGTATCCCGATAGAAGCAAGTTGCAGTTACGCCTTCATTCCCGGTATAGCCGCTATGGTCTTCATCATCTGCTTCATCAAGACGGACATCGTCATCCGCCAATAGATGATCTTCGGGTATGACCATTCCCTTGTCCGACTTGGGATCGTCGACTCGGACACCATCCATGGTGACTACGTGCTTCAAGGCCGCGGTCCGATCAATCTCCTCTTCTGCTTCTTCATCCTCAATGACAGTCCGCTCCAGTGTGGCTAGATACAGTGAGAAGCCGAGCTCGGCAGCGGCGGCTTTCAAGTATCGGGTCTGCTCCAGGTCAGCCCCTTTGAGAAGGTCGGGCCGAAGACTAGCTTGAGTGTATTGATGTTCAAATCGATGGACCAGGTACTCAGGCCACTGTGGTGCGTTGGGCTCGACAAACCATTGCCTCAGCACTGCAACAAGGCGATCTTGATGACTGGTCAAGGACAGGGGCATGAGCATTGTTGTCGGGTTTCTTTTGACCAGGTTGTAGACCAAAACTAGCCGGTAGCCTTGAGTCACCGGTTTGACTTCATGGAGCACGTCGGAATACCATGCCGCATACGACATATCAAAGTCGGAGGTGGGAGCGGTTTTCAACTCGACTTTTTCGTGGTTGTGGCTGAGCACGAGCTCACCACCTTGGTGAGAGGAAGGGAGACAGACCACCAAGGTGCCAAACATTCCTGGACTTTTCTCGCTGTCCTTGTGTGGCTTGAAGAAGGCGCCTTCCTCATACAAGAGCAACTTGTACAGTTCGGCCGAAACAGACTCGGCCCCGCAGTGGAGGTGCAGTCCTGTGTCTACTTTTTGCAGAATCTGGTCCATCATGGCTTTCCATTTCGGGTTGCGGAGGGAAAACTGTGTCGGGTCGAGCTGCCAGGATTTCCGCACCGACGTGTCAACCACCGTCTCGGCCCCTTTGCCGAAGGGACTTTGTCTGGCTCGGGGATATGATGACGTCCGCATCGCCCTTGGACAACGGCAGGCCGATAATGCCATGATCGTTGAGGGACAAGCCTGGGTTGGGGGGTTGGGGAAGGGCGCCGCAGCAAGCGAGCGAGGTTGGACTCAGAACACCAGACAGCACGTCCAACAATACTTCTTTGATGTTTTCGCTTGACACTTGACCTTGCTCAGTTGCCATTAGTAGGTAGTGCTTTTGTCGGTATCGTGGAGTTGAAGCGGGTAAAGGGCTCCGTGCCCATGGAAGGGAACGAATAGATGTCCCTGTGATGCTGATAGACTCTGGCAGTTGTGCGTCTCACATGTGGAGAGTACAGAGTATAAGCGGTATATACCTGTTGCCTGTCACCTGTCGCCTGTCGTGCCAGTGACCTGGGCAATAGGTGTTCCTGAGTACGGAGTACAGAGTAAACTGTACGACTCTCTGGAGACCTTGGCGCGTCATGGCGCGACGCGACGGCGCGGGGCCAAGACTACGGAGCTCCGTGTACGCGCTGTGGGGGGTTTGGGGGCACAGTGAGGCTGGCCAATAGCCATTACTCTGTTTTGGGGGTGAAGCATGCTCCTCTGTAGAGAACAAGGACCTGGTTAATTATGTACCTTGGCTGGCCATTTGGTCAGCTTCTGCCTGGTCATACAGCATCCAAGACAACAGACGATACGCAATACACAATACACAATACACGATACTTGAAAAAGGTATCTATCATCTTCATATAGGATGCAAGGATACAACAGGTGCTGCCACCTCCTTTGCTACCTCTTCATCTTGCGTAGAAAATCTCTTGTTTGGCATGCACATGAGGCAGCCCGGCGAAGAACAACGGGATGAGTCGAAGATGTTTTCTTATTCTTATTCTTCTTTCAAACATTTGGACATTTCGCGCTGTGATTGGGCCCCATGAAGTGAAGCAGTGCATCGAGTCAACGTCAATTTCCACTGCCGGCAGCCAGCTGGAGCTTGCAAGGTAATGGATGAACGGCCCTTGGTACGCTGACAATCCACGGTATGGCTCTGATCACTCGCAGCGATCAACCTGCAGCCTGCGGCATCAATCGACTACGAGACTAGGGATCATCTCTGATATCAGTCTCCTTTACCACCTACACTGGCTTCCCACCCAAGTTGGGCAGAACTGAGGTCACTCGACGTAATATGACCTTGATCAGGGGCCATGACGACGGTGTGGTCCCAGGTAAGACTCTTAAGAGACAACCCCCCGCACAGCATGTTCAAGGATGTCAGTCTGGCGTGTAGGTGGCGTGGCATGGCATGCAAAACGCAGAACTCTATGCGTACTCCCCACAGCATAGCCAGACCACGGCAGGAGTGCCTCAGTCGTCAGTCGTCAGTTATTACGAAGCTATGACGAAACCATCCCCGGATGATCTGCAGAGGGGACGGACGATAGTATGGATAACACATATGAGACGCCTAATTTGGCCCGTCAGGAGAGTCAGTTTGGCTTTCGCCTGTGGGCCGCTGAGCCCCGACTCTGGATCGCCAGAATGAAGAGCAGTCACAACGGCAGGGGTCGGAATCGGAGTGCTACTCTGGACGGAGTAAGCACTTTTGAACTGCCCTCCCAGTCCCGAACTGGGTGCCCGGGCTATTCTTGAATGACGGCACCGGCACATGCTTTGAAAAAGGCCATGGTGGACAAATTGGGGAGAGATCCGCGACAGCACACAAATGACAGGTCGAGCAGACTGATTGTCTATTGTCACCAAAAAAGCCAGCCTCCATTCTCGACCGACGCATACCCACCTATGGAGTGAAGCATGGTCTCCGTGATCTTCGTGGCACATAATACCAAGACTGTCGGATGGCACCCCTGCAGGTTCGACGTGGTATCTCGGGAGAGAACTCAACTGAACTGAACTGAACTAGACTGAATTGAATTGAACTGAAATATGGAGACGGCAGATAGCCGTGGAAGGGAAGGGAAGGAACGGGAAGGACGATGCCGTATAAACTTTGGAAATCCAAGGATGTTTTTGTTTCATGTCACAGTCGTCGTTAGCCTCGGCAGAGCAAGGCAGACGAGGGCTGGGAAGATGGGAGATTGGGAGAAGATGAGACTCGGAGATGATGATGAAGATTGTTCGAAAACAACCAGGGTTCCGAGGGTCGGAGGCGTGGCAAGAAGGTGATCGTCGCTCCAGGGGCCCTACGCCCGACAAAACGTGCCGATCGACTGTAACCAGGGGGCCATTAGGCCTCAATGATAAAAAAACCACGTTAGACTAGGCCATTGGCATTGGCAGACAGAGTGATACATATGCCAGTGTGCAGGGTTATTGGCCATTTGCAATATTCCGTACCAATCACTCCTGATGTCTAGAAGTCCTTGAGCCTTGGCATGTGAAGCCTACGTTCGCTCACTATACTGGGGCAAACACTCGATACTTACGTTCGCTCGCTGTACGGGGGGCAAGCACTTGATACCTACCTACATTTGAGTGCTCGATGTTGATATTGTCCCCAATATAACCAACCAAGGGACAGGGACTAGACTTGGGGGCGAGTGATGTAATATGCAATGCTGTATATGTATGTACACAGGCCTCAGGCACACGGTCGCGACGCAGTCTCACGGGCTGTGGGCTGTGAGCTGTGGAAGCCATAGATATCTTAGCTACCTACCTTAGGTAGGTAGGTGAGTACGGATAGGATACCTTACATCGTGGTATCTGTATCTGTATCTGTAATACTGACGCCCTCGACAGCGAGCAACAATGACGCAAAAGACCGGGTTCTTTTACCCAACAACATACCCACACGCGCCTGCACTGTACCTACCAAATGGCTGTGGTACCGTTGGGTTCTTGACAACCTACGAGCCACCAGCGGATCGCTACCTCCCTAATGCAGAGTGCAGGGGTCGGCTCTCCCTGGTGCGTGCCAGTAATGTGTATCCGTACTCCGTATGTGTAGGGGTATGGATACCTGGGGGTAGGTCAGTAGGTAGGTACAGTAGGTCCTCTGTACGGAGGACAATACGAGTACACAGCATTTCAAGCACCGCCCCGATCGAAGTGGTCCAGGGTCCAAAGTCCAAGCCGTCCGCTGGTCGAGCCGGGAATAGGTTCCATCCACCCGGCGACAAAACAGGTCATTTATGATGGTGATTGTACTCCGTATTGAAGGGAGATCATTTGGGGGGCTGCCCTGGGTGACAGGGGTCTTAAACCTGGACTAATAGGCATTTAAATAGGTGGAAGATGTCTCCAGGGATTCCTTGGGTATGGGCATTGGCATTGGCATTTATTGGCGTGGCGTGGTGTGGTGTGGATTCGTATGATGCAAACGATCGACGAGGCTGTTCGTCCACCCCCAAGTCCCGTCCATCCTGGCATCTTACGCAATGGAGTTCAATACGAGAGGAGGGGACAACGTATCTGTAGGTATTAGTATTATTACCTGATCATGGCCAACTTGTCCAGTGTCTATTTGTTCCTATCAGAGGCTGGCTGGACTTTACACATCATATGTATGTATATACCTGCCACTACCAAAACCCAAGGTATAGAGAGGGGTGAGCTCAGCACTAATTTACACGTGTTTGATCTAGTCGTCAAACTGGTAGGAAGGATCGAGAAGAAAATAGGTGAACATTGAAAATAAAATTCACGTCAATCAATAAACTGGACTGTGACCACCTGCACCCTTGCACAATCAAAAGGTCCTCTATAGATGAGACCAGACGTAGTTGCTATGATGTGGAAAACCTGCTTCAAGAAACCTGCGCCCGCTTGAAACTATTTACAATGCAATGCCGTAGAATGAAACAAATTGTTTCGACGGAGAGAGAGGTCTGTCAAGAGCTCTTCATGGATAGTGAAAGAGGCTGCAGACCCGCGTTGAGATGGGTGAATACCCCCAGCCAGATTGGATAACATCGTAATGCGCCATGTCATAGCAGGACGCGCCGGTGGGAGGTGACATCACAGCTGATACAAGGCGGTCGCCAAATGGCAGTGGATTCGTGAGTGGGTTTATTGGTCGGTTGTGTCATGGGCGTGCATGCCCTTAGAGGTTGCAAGCCCGTAGTCAGAAAGAAGACCTGGAAGAGGAAGTGCTATGAGTACTTTGTTGCGAAAGGCCTGGTTGCGCTTGAGCATTGACACCGGCAGAAGGACTTCGTCGCCGTGCTGATCGAGTGGCGGCATCCATTTGTTGTTTAGTGTGAAGGTGCATCATTCGCGAGTAGGATGTCATGGCCACAGCAGGATCAGAGTCGAAGTTGACTGATCCTCTAGGGCTGCTGAGATATTCGACTGAAGAAGGCATCTTAATTGTTGCAGGAAACGGTTGGAAGCTGGTCAGATGTGGTGTGGTGGAGGATCAATCGAAACAACAAAGTTGTAAAAATGGTCACGAGAGTCAACACTGCATGTAGAACGTTTGTATGTGGAATAGGGAAGAAAGATGGTGTCGTCTGGCTGGGGAAGGGCAATATATATGTCGTGCTGTGAAGAAACGCAGGCCAGGCTGAACACCATCTCACGACGAGTACGGGGAAGGGATGGATGCGCCTGCGAGCGCGAGCCTCTGTCGCGCTGGCTGCTTAACAACGGGTGGCGTCTGACCGGCCCAGTGACGGCGTGGATGCGATCGGAGAGCTTATGCAGGTTGCCGTCAGCGGAGCCCACTCTCCATGGCCTTCTGCAAAACTGGCAATGGCAAAGGATGACGATCAAAGGGTCAGCAGTGACCTCCGATTGCGGCCAAAGCTGTGATTCTCACGGGCCTTCTGCAGAATCGGCGAATGACAAGCCGTAAACCCCTGGTCGAGCTGGAGGCGACAACCCTGCCGATCCCTTCAGCGGGATGGTTTAGTTCAGGGTCTAATGACAGAGCCATGCAGGGTGATCGCATCTCGCATCCAGACAAGCTGGCCTGCCTGGAGTGGTGGAACGTAAATTCTAGAGTCAACGGTCTGTGTTTCACCATAAGGCGGGAAGTGCTGCTGCTTCCCAGGGTGCTGATGGTGAGCCCTTCAGGAAATTCAATAGAGGTGACCTCGCTTCTGATCGTCGGTGGAGATTCTGTCATAGCCAAGGGGAAGGTCTCGACCCTGTAGGTGCCTGGGGCATGATAGAGCGAGATGGGCCAGATGCTGCCGATCAAACTCCTGTCCGTCCGTGGCCAGAAACGCATTGGCCTGCCGTGAACAAGGGATGAGAGCAGAGAGCAATGATGAATGATGGCGGCGCCCAGATCGTGCGGCATGCTGACGGTAGACGGTAGACGGCAGAGGGCAGAGGGCAGTGACCAACTCACCTGTACAGAGTATTGCCGTCGGTGCCTGGCAGCCTGCAATGCAATCCCAGTTGTTTGCTCCACACCCCTGCCCCCCTACACATACAGTACAGAGTACGGAGTAGATACACATACGTAACAGAGAGTGGCCGGTGCGGAGGAGGAGCTGAGGTCGTCATGATGTACGTATGCCAAGCATCCTTATTGACAACTTTATCTTGACGGGCGAATTTGCCATTGGCCTGAGTGTGACAGCCTTGCGTCTGCCAAGTCTGCCATCGGAACCCCCTGCCAGCCATTTATCGAACTCTGTGTTTTATTGCCGTGCCCATCAGAATCCCTGCCCCCTAGGGTCGCCAGAGACACAAGATGTGTCATCATACAACTGTCTCCAATGGTGCCAGCATCTCTTGCTCGACTCACAAGGTTCTAGATCCCCGGAGCGGGGCCTTGACTTGTCGATCGGTATGCAGGCCTCATTTACAGCCAAGTAAATGCCCTCTTGATGTTCACTTGTTCATTTGTATCGCCATCAATGTCGATGTCGAAGTCCAACATCTGCTTGGACGGGCGTCGACACGCTGCCTTATGAAGGCAGGCCCGTTGCAAAACTGTGCTGTTGAGAATTGACAGAGGTCCACAGAATAGTCGTTTAGAGGTGTTGCTACCGCATTTGGGAAGTTGATTCAATCACTTGGGAGGGCATTCAAATTGACTTGATGTTGCTTGAATTGCCATGGTCCAAATTAGGTTATGTCCGCGACAGACCTTGCAATGTCTGATCTGACGTCCCTTCGTGAGAGTCCACGGCAATCTCAGTGGCGTGTGAAACTCAAATACGAATAGAGTAGACACGGGCTCCAGCGCCAGACCTCGTGCAAGGGGGCTGTGATGACGATGACGATGACGCTTTCAGGCTTGTTACTTGTTCACCTGCCCACTAACTCGTGATTGCCTCGTTTTGGACCTGATCCACTGCGTGAAGCTGTCTCCGTCGGTGTCAGATCTTTGTGTTGCAGGACCCATCATGTTGTCACACGATTAATTGTACAGTTCGACAAATCACCGCCACTTGAGATCAGATTTCCATTGCACCGGCTATGTGTGTGTCGTAGTACGGAAAAGCTTGCTTTGGAACAGGTCTGCATCCTGAACCCAGCCGGCTAAACTAAGCTGGACTAGGCCGTTGCATCCAGTGAACCTCTAGACTCGTCTTTCCTCCCAATACACAACATCTCACCGTCTTCCCGCGTAACCGTTTCTTCCTCGGTGTGCATCTCCTGGCGGCGCCGGCGGCCAACCTGCGGGTGGCGGAGGCAGTGGCGGTAGGGACGGTGGTGGAGGCGGAAACTGGAGATTGTGGAATGCAGGGTTTCCTGGAAGATATGAGGGAGGCGGTGGCGGAGGCCACGGACCAGCCCAATGATCAGGACGCGGCGGTGGGAGCGGTATACTACCAGGTTGTAGTGGTGGCGGCGGTGGAAATGGCAGACCCATATTTGGCGTGACGGGTGGAATTGGAGGCGCGTAGCTGAAGGGTGCTGGAGTGGTGAACGTCGAAGGGTGTTTCAAACTCGTCCCTTTCAACTCAAGGGAATGCGGCCGGCCCCTTGATCGTGACCGACTTTCATGGCGACCAATACTTCGCTCTTGCTTCGATCCTCCGTGTCGAGGGCGGGATGTTGATCTACTGTAAGATCGAGAGGATCGCGAATGCTCATCCGTAGAGTCGCTGTAACGGCGCCGCTTGTAGGGGACACGACCACGGTCGCGGCTGCGACTGCGGCTTGGACTGTTGGACCTAGTTTGTCGAGGTGAACCACCGGTGTCACTTCTACCACGCCTCCTCATTTTCTCACAGAAGGAGCGCGACCAGCCGTAGTATGTGTCTCCCACAAGATCCCCTGCTTCGCCATGGTAGGATATTTCGCCCATCTCATCAAATTCGAGAGTCACCCCATTTTTTTCGAGCTTTGAGATCCTCTCATTGATACCCTGAACATCATCCAAAAATTCCTTCAGCGCGTTGACCAGACTTTCATCCGCTGGCCCGCTCGGAAGCCGTAATGCATGGACGTCGTCGGGTCGGATGGGTTGTGAGCTGTTGGGGATGATATGAGGTACAAGATTCCCTGCCGGCAGATCATAGAACCGCAGGGAGGGATCACCATGTGTTGCAGGCAAGACATAAGGGGGCTCCTTTGCTTCCCCCTGGGCTGTGGCTTGTTCTTGAGATACCGGTGCAGTTTGTGGCTGCACGTCGGCAAGCGCGTCTCGCAACTGGGCGAAGACGTCCCTACCAAAATATTGTTCATGTTCCCATAATTCAAGTAAATCTTCCAATCGCCTCAAGAGTTTCCTCTTGCGCTCCGACAAAGCTGACTGGAAAAGGTCGAGCAGGAAGGGCTGCAGGGAGCTTGTGACGCGGCCCAAGAGAGAGGCCTCTGACGTGTGGTACTTCGAGTGATGGAGAAGGTCGCTGACCAGGTAGAGGATATGGAGTCGTTGACGTGCAAGGCTGGTCTTGACGGTTTCGTCTGGCGGAAGAGCAAGGTGTCTGGATAGGGTGGTCAAATATTTCCCAAACGCACCGACGCGGTCAGCTGAAACAATGACATTTTGAAGAAGCCACTCTTTGCAGTTCTATTACTCTTCAGTCAATCCAGCCCATGAAGTTTGCATCGTCCTGGAATTGCCCAAACCTGTATGTTGTGCCTTGAGCAGCGAACTAGCGCAGCCTCCAAAGCGCTGTGAAAGGTAAGGAGGTCGTCACGAGACACCTTGATCACGTCAGGGCGCAGTAAAGCAGCTGCAAAGGATGCCTTTGCAATGACTATATGATGCGCAGCCATGCCGGAGAGGTTCAAGGAGAGACACGAAGTCCGCCAACGTGATGCACAGCATCGTTTGCAGAAGTGAGGCAGGCGTTACTCGATCATGGGGAGGTTGGCCTAGTTATCTTATCTTATCTTATATTATCAACTACAACTAATCCAGTGACCTTCCTCGTTGCCCTCTCTTCCATGTCGTAGTAGTATATACGGAGTACGGAGTACGGAGTACAGATACCGATTATATTTAGGTAGGTATACAGGAGGTACACCATGTCCCTCTGGCTCAGGTACAGAGTGCCACAAAGCTCACCATTCTTTCAAGAGATGCGGAGTACGTACCTAGTAGTTTACTGTGTCCGGCAACCGATCTCCGCGCCCTGCGCACGTGAACTGCTACTACGGTTTTCTCCGACGGTGGCATGACAAACCCAGCCCGACTCTCTCTGCGAGCCTGAGGGCCACCTGGGTCCTGCGGTGTTGTCTGACACAAGGCGTGCTCGGCGCCAGCAAACTAGGCATCTCATGCCACACCTGTTATTGATATACTACTAGTTGCTGTACTGGCGTGGCGCCTTATACGAAACTGCGATACCAGTCCACTGGCAGAGCACGCAATTTTCTCCCACTCCCACGCATTTGGCTGCAGCGCCCTCCATCTACTCAAGTGTGACTATTGAGTCATTCCTAAACCGGTGACCCCCAAGCAGTCTACACCAATCTCCTGGTTTGTTTTTCAAATCAATCATCTGCTAGGTCGAGGCCAGTCTCCTTTATAAGTACCTTAGCGTGCCCATTCTGTTGATTGTTTCCCTCGACGATTGACCGACCTGCGATTTACAATCACCAACTCTACAACTTTTGGCGCTCAATCTGCCACCATGAGTCTCTCAAGCACAGTTGCACACTCGTTCTCTCAAACGGCCATCCGCCAATTCTCTGCGCAAGCACCGAGACAAGCCACAAGACTACAATCCGCCGTTGCAGGAACGTTGATTACGTCGGCCGTCGTTCTACCGTTTGTCCCTCCTGCGATCGAGTCCAAACGCGAAAGAGACTCAGGGCACCCGAATGCATCGAAGAAGAATTATGCGCCATTGTGCTGCCACGCCTGAGACGAACCATCAACGAAGACATACTGGCGTTCACATATCCCGGGCGTTATGGATCTGGGATTTGCGGTAGCGGGGCGTATTGGGACTTGGGAATCAGCATCATATCCACCGGCGTTGTTTGGAAGCCATGAAGTGCACTTGCGCCATGCGCCGCATTGCATTCAGCTCTTTTAAAATTCGCGTTCATGCGCCATGACTGTACACAATGAAAATGTCCGACCGACAAAACTAGCTTCCTTTGTATTGCAGCACATGCTGTCTTTGATCCGTGCCTCCATTCTGACTCCGGGTATCCTGTGCACTGCTCAACTGAATCGATCTCCCTTCTTGCTTCGATATGGTTCTGCAGCTTCGTATTTGCTCTTTTCCCGGACGCGTTGCTCGCTGTCAACTGGCGCATGACCAACCGGCGCTGCGTCTTCGCTTATTTCACTGCTGGGACTTCCCGCATGGTCGAGTCCTTTCGTCTCGCCGTTCGAGTTTGTTTGCGACTTTGCTTTCTTTGCTTTGGTAGGAGGAGCGTCATTGTACGGGAAAGAGTTAGCTTCTAGGCGGTATTGACGAGCCTTTCTCTTTTGCTCTGCCTCATAGCGTGCAGCTCTGTCGGCATTGATGGACTTCTTTGCGAAATAATATGCGCCTCCGCCAGCGACACAAAGCACGCCCCAGCCGTACCTGTTAAGACGCCCAATCAGCGAGGTTGTCTTATGCAAGGATACGGTAGAAGAAAAGACCGGTGCCAGGTTTCGTCCATCACGGAGCAGCTTTGAAGCAGGAAATTGGAGACACGCGCGGCATGGTGACCTACCAAGTTGATCTGATCTAGACCAAAAGTCAGTAAATATGTAGTGGTGGTGCGGGATTGGGGTAAGACATACAGTATTCATTCTTCAATGAGACTAGTCCATTCCACAATGACCAGTGGCCGAGACAAGCTTGAGAGTGCTTTCAGGAACTTTTTCGTCAGTTGGGTTTTCTGAGAACATTAAACAGATCGGGCGGTCCGGATTGAACTTCAGCTTTAAGCCCGCACCCGGCCCGCGGATACTTTTATCCGGCCAGACTAGGGAGCAAACAGAGGCGGAGGCTGCGCCACTGGTGCACCATGTCACTAATCTGAACTCATCATCTGCCATAATGCGTCGTCTTGTCCCTCTGTGACATTCATTCCCATTCTCTCTGGGTCTCTCACTCAGTGCAGCCGCTGTCTGTGCTCCTCGAAGCCTTGCCGGCAAGGGGATTTCGATATGTCGCTCAAACGAAAAGCCCTCGAAGATGGGAGTGCGAGATCCTCCAAGCGCTCCACGCCCGCACCGTCCACTCCTATGAGCATCGACAGCGATGATGACTTTGAAGGTTCAGACGCACGCTCGCAAGATGCCAGCGACAGCGAGAAAGAGCATATCCGAAAGGCCAGAGCCAGGCTGGATTTCAGCTCGTTTCAAGGGCCCAAACACAAACAAGTGTCCTCCATATTCGGCGATAAAGACTTCTCCTGGCTGTCCTTGAAGCCCGATCACGAGAATCGACCGTTATGGATAGATCCGAATGTCTCGATGGGGTCAAAGAAAGGTCCCAAGATCACGCTTGAGAGTTTCTCTCCGTTGGCTGCCCAAGCCACGGATCTGCTTACTACAATCGCAGAGCCACAATCGAGACCGACATTTCTTCACGAATACAGATTCACGGAGCATAGCTTGTATGCCGCCTTATCGGTAGGTCTACGTGGTGAAGATATAATCCGTGCTTTAGAAAAGCTTTCGAAAACTCCCGTCCCTCAAACCGTGATCGATTTCATCAATAGGCACACCAAGACATATGGCAAGGTTCGGCTAGTCTTGCGTAACAACAAGTTCTACGTCGAGTCCGATGAACGCGAGATCATAGATATGCTACTACGAGATCCGGTGGTTGGACCATGCAAGGCCGCCGGCACTGAGGTCCAGGTGGGAAGAATCCAGACAAAGGCCACGGTGATCCAGGGCACTAGCAATGCAAAAGGAATGAAACAAGCCGACCCTGGCAATGTGGAGGTGCCTCGAGATGATCCGAGCAAGGAGAATGAAGCCATGCTTGCTGCCCTTCGGGATGAGGAGGATGAAGACGCTTACAAAGAAGCACCGAACTTCGAAATTGCTGCGAACAAGCGTGATATGGTTGCGAAGCAGTGTCTGGACATTGGATACCCCGCCATATCTGAGTATGATTTCGCCGATGACCATGAAAATCCCACCCTCCCTATCGACCTCCGACCTCAGACCCAAATTCGGCCATATCAAGAAAAGGCTCTTAGCAAGATGTTCGGCAACGGCCGCGGCAAGAGCGGTATCATAGTCTTGCCCTGTGGTGCCGGCAAAACTCTCGTGGGCATCACAGCCGGGTGTCACATCAAGAAGAGCATCGTTGTTCTCTGCACCAGCGCCATGTCCAGTTACCAGTGGGCAAACGAATTTAAAAAATGGTCGGACATTAAAGAGGAAGATATTGCCGTCTTCTCGGCCTCGGAAAAGAGGCGGTTCACAGGAGATGCTGGCGTGCTGGTCACAACCTACTCCATGATTACAGCTGGCGGCAAACGTGCTTACGACACGCAACAGATGATGGACTGGGTCTACGGCAAAGAATGGGGTTTGATGATTTTGGATGAGGTGCATGTCGTCCCCGCCAAGATGTTCCGAAAAGTCGGGGAGAACATCCGCGCTCACTGTAAACTGGGTCTCACGGCCACACTGCTTCGAGAGGATGACAAGATCACTGACCTCAATTTCATCATCGGACCCAAGCTGTACGAAGCAAACTGGATGGAGCTTGCCGACCAAGGCCATATTGCCAAAGTGCAGTGTGCCGAGGTCTGGTGTCCCATGTCGATGGAGTTCTACCAGGAATATCAAAAAGAGACGACTCGGAAACAGGCGTTGTACTACATTATGAATCCTGTCAAGTACCAGGTCTGCCAGTATCTCATCGACTATCACGAGAAACGAGGCGACAAGATCATTGTGTTTAGTGATAACCTATTTGCCTTGCAACATTACGCAGTGACGATGAAGAAGCCATTCATCTACGGGGACACGAGCAACCAGGAAAGGATCAACATTCTCGAAAACTTCCAACACAATGAGATGATCAATACCATCTTTCTCTCCAAGATCGGTGACACATCTCTCGACTTGCCCGAGGCCACCTGCCTGATCCAAATTTCGTCGCACTATGGATCTCGACGTCAAGAAGCTCAGCGACTCGGGAGAATTCTACGAGCCAAACGCCGTAATGACGAAGGATTCAACGCTTTTTTCTATTCGCTGGTTTCCAAGGACACCACCGAAATGGCGTACAGCGCAAAGAGACAGGCTTTCCTCGTGGACCAAGGCTACGCCTTCAAGACAATCACGCACTTGGCCGGCATGTCAGAAATGCCTGGACTAGCATACACTACTGCCCGTGAGCGCAACGAGTTGCTTGCCCACGTCATGTTGCAGCAAGAAACGGCGGCTGACGTTGAAAAGATCGACGATAACATGTGGAGTCATCTGAGCGGAGGCGGTAGTGCTGCGGCCAGAGCAAAGGCGAAGAAAATGCAGGTTCGCAGACAAGCCGTGTTGATGGCGGATGCGAGCGGTGGCGGTACTATGGCCCCGATGTATCGAGAACAGGACCGGAGGAGCAAGAAGAGCCAGATGCCGGAAAGTGAATGGTTCAAAAAGGAGGCCCGACGTCGCGAGTTGGCGGCCAAGAAGCGCCGGAAGGAAAAAATGGAGGCCGAAAAGGCAGCCGGGGGTGCGTAGAGGTAACCGTAGAGCCTTGGGACCTCTATTCTGTCTTGCAGCTAAAGGTTCTAAAGGTTCATAATGACCAGTCCTGATCCTTTGATTTCATACCATCTTGGATATGCAGCCTCTTCTCTTCCTCTACAGCTCGGTTGAGGTAGTGTCAATTCTTGGTGAGTGCAGACACGGATGGTCATCGTCATCGACATCGCAAGACAGAAGATATAGCTTCTTATTCGCCACAAGGTAGCTCCCCGTGGCCCATGTACAGTACCGATTCTGTGTCGGCCATCGTTCGCCGCAGTTATAGTTACAGTACCACGGGCCTCTCAGGAAGAGGGAAAGATATCGAAGTTTGATGTTTCAGCTCTCCGCAATGACGCATGCTCCGGCTGAACAATCAAAGAATAGGCACAGACAAACTAATAGAATAAATCCATATTCAGGAGCAATGCCGTAGTTGCCGCTCTCTTCTGCTGCCTCAGGCGCCTCAGGCGTCTGCCTGCTGACCACGCACTAATGTTTTTTATCATCCATCAAACCTCGCGCACGGAACCGCGTGGCGGACCGTTTCCACCCTGCCCTTGACTCGCACTCCTCCCAGTTACACCACCTACTCGACCGACCAAGCCGCCAAGGTTGAGACCTTGCACACCCTGCACCAGCCTGGATCCCACCGCATCAACGGCACCTCGAGGCTGCGACAGACTCGGCCCTTCGCGCTTTCCCTCCGTTGCGACCTGGAAGAGCTTCACATTGGTGCCGTTCCAGACCCCCACCGGTGCAGCCGTGGCTCCTGCACCGGTCAAGGTCGCAGCTGTAGATGAGGTGGGCGCAATGGTCATCTCCGCCGTGAAAATCAGAGACCAGAGCACAGACATGTACCAGCCCAGAGAAAGCGGGGACCACTCGAACAGATGAACCCTGATAGGACTCGGAGATGAAAGAATGGCAGAGATGGCCGGCTGATTAGCCGTCGAGGGAATCTGGCTGCGAAAGTCGGTGAGCGTGAAGTCCTCGTGGGCGAGAGATGAGCGACGAGACGATGGAATCGACGGCGAGTCCGCACTGTTGTCGTGTGCGTTGATGCCTGATCTTTCCGACGCCAAGGGATGAGTTGACAGGACCTTGATCACAGTGAGCAGCGTATGTAAAGGAAGTTCGGGCAGCCAGCTCTCTAGCCATTCAGGTGTGGGCGTGAAGGCACCTCGGCTGGTGTGGTAACTGGATATGGTGGCAAGACTGGCTGCGCTGTTTTGTCGAGAGAACGTTGGTGCTCCAGCGGGCATCTTTCCTCTGGCCTTTTCGGACATGCCATGAAGTTGGATAGGAACGCTGTCGTCAGCTACGGAGGACGACGCTATAGAAGGAGTTCGTGAGGTCCGCATCGACTGTGTCGACTGTGATGGCGTCGGTACCACTTCATTGTCCGAGTCGTCCGAGTCACCAATGGCGAACGTGCCATCCACCCCCTCATCTGGACTAGGAGATGTTGGGGCAGCCCGAGTTGGCGATGTGACAGTGTCCGTCGTAGAAGACCTGGAGAGGTTATTGCTCACGTCGCTGAGAGCAGCCTCCTTGCGACGTCTCGCCGCTCGCTCAATCTCAGCATGACCGCCCTCCAAAGTCAACTCCCTCAGGGCCAAAATTCGTTTTCTTGCTCGCCAGACAGCGTAGACCAGATTGGCGTTTGAGGTGTACTGATGCTCAATCATGGCGTTGATCGACTCAAGAAGAGCATGCAGAAGCAGATGGTTGGTTTCATTTGCAAGTAGAAAACTGGGCGAGGCCATTGACGAAAGGAGCTGTACCAGTCGACTACTGGTCGCCAAGGACAGATTCTGCACGTAAGCCGCCATGTTGTTAATGACAGCCAGTAGTGCTGGATACACCGCTTCCAGCTTGCCTTTACTGCCCGTGATCAACGTGTGGATGGATACGATGAGGAAATCAGCGTACGTCCCTCGAAAGTTGTTCAATCGAATCGACGGCGGAAGAGTGTCCTGGGCTTCGAATTTCTTGTTGAGATTGTTCCCAAAACTTGGCTCCACGCTCATGGTTTGAAGGACAAACACGCACATACGCACGATGCCTTGCTTGGAGACATCCGTTTTGTGCTCGATGGCGTAGAAAAGCATGAGGATGATGAAGTCGTGAGCACGGTTGGACTCGATTATGAAGGACCGGAATCTCTTGTTGCATTGGAGCACTTCCCAGAACAACATGATCATTTCAGGAGCCCATTTGACCGACTTTTGACTTCCCGGTAGGTACGAGGCCGTGGCTTGCATGGGCTGACTCAGGACTTGGGTCATGCCATCCGCCAGGAATTGGAAATCCTCTGGTCTGTGCAGGCGACCAAGAAAGTGGCGATAGAAGTTTTTCGGCACCGCGCCATGTGCATCTTCCGGGACTGGATACAGCAGAAGGACAAGAAGGAGTTCCAAGCTGTATACCACCAGCGTCTGCTTCGAGTCTCGGCGGACGACATGGTCATAGGGGAGTCGCCACGATGTGACATTCGACTTGATTGCCGTGTTCATCAAAGAGCACAGGACCGACAAGACTACCTGTTTGTCTGGGCACGTCGCCATATAAGTAATGGCTTTGATGCCTTGGACAGGTAGGAGCGCAGCTGGTATGTACATGGCCTTGCTGGTCAATGTCAAGAGCAGCCTCAAGACTTCACATCGGTTGTTGTCGAGTTCTTTGTTGGTCGGGATGGACGATTTGCAGCCGATGCCGCTCTGCCAGATAGAATACGTCACCTTGCTCTTTGCCTGTGGCAGATCAGGGATTGTGAAGCCGGCGTAAAAGAGCAGGTCGGTCAAGGTGTCGATCAGTTCTTCTGCCAGCGGTTTCGCAGCCTCAAATTCCGGCTCCTGGTTGTCCTGGGTCTCGTCGTCGTTGTCACCTTGATGTTCGTCAAACAACACCTCGCCCGAAACCTGCGCTCTTCTCGTTCTGCGACGGCGCATTCCCCAAAAGAACGTCTCCTCCCATTCTGCCAGCTGGTCTGCTTCGTACACGTATGGAAGCAAGCGGGTGAGGACGCGGATGCAATTGAGAGCATCTCTCTCTGGAGCCAAATCCGGGTCTGGAAACGATGGATGGTTTTTCAGGATGTTGAGTCGCGATGTCACGGCGAGAATGAGGGTTTCCAGGTTCTCAAGCGCAGCGTCTCGGGTCCGGCGAACATCCGCATGGGTAAAGAGGCTGAAGACGTCCTCGACCGATTCAGGCAGTTCCCAGAACTGAAGCCGTCAGTAAGACTTAGTAAATCAAACCACAGTTTGCTGCACTTACACCTGTCCAGTAAGGGTCATTGGCCGGGATATTCCTCTCCTCGGACAACCTGAAGATGCCCTGCTTGAAGACCAACTTCGACTCTGAGGCACCCATGGTGCAGACCGGTCATGGCAGCGCAGCCAGCCTCAGATCACGGGGGTTTGAGAGACGTAGAGAGATCTTGAGGTCTCAGAGTAAGCAATGAGCTAAACGAAAGTCGTGTCGCAATGTTTGTACTGCATGGTAGGTATCGACTGTCCTACATGCCCGAGATATAAATCCGCAGTTGGGGCCGCATGCCAGGGTGTCGGAGGCTGCGAGGCCGCAACTACGTAAACACGCAACTTTGTCCTAAAAGAGGTTAAGGGCACTTGGCGATCACGTGGGAGGCCAAATTTAGACCTGGCCGACCATTCACCCTCCTTGAGCTCATTCGAAGGAATTGTCTGTTCTCGATATAATGGCATTGTTTATCAATGCTTCTTGGTTGTAAACAATCTATAAAGCCCCATGCAACTTTCGCGTCGATGGTAGATGACCGATTTGGGCTGAGAAGCTGGCCAGTAAGCAATTCAATGGGCAGCGTTCCAGTTGCCGTGCATGACCTCCTCTTCTCTGTAGGACTCGTGGTCATCTGGAATCGTAACACTGGAGACGCCGACGGCCGTTGGCGTGGATCGAACCCCAGGATCCCTTTGTTTTGCAACATTCCATGATCACTTTTCTGCATCCTCGATGAGAAAGGATCTACTGACGGCCAGAGGCTACCCCATGGTCTTCTCCAGAGAACTCTCGGTGTCGAAACTCACTGGCGTGGGCGTGGTCTTTCTGTACATGGCCAAGGCTGGGAAGAAATGTCCTGGGTGGACGAAGGTTTGTAGGATTGTCGCGAGGCCGACCATACTAGAATGAAATTAGTGGACTGAGCAAGGACTATCCTTTGTGACCAGCAAACCTACCAGCTATCAGTGCCAATGAAGAGAGGTTGATCCTGCATGATAGGGTTCCGCCAACCACCGGCCATCTCGGCAATGCGGTAGACACATCGAGCAAATATGGCCAAGTATACAACGATGAGAGCAATGATGAACGTGCGGAACCGTGAATTGTGTAGTAAGGACTGCGCAACCGGCGATAGCGGCTGAGCTGCTCTGTATCTTCGCACCAGGTAGTCCAGGGTCGCAACGGCGAATATCAAAAGCGTCAGGACCTGCCATGATATACCCGCAATCATGAGATGGTCACCGACATCTCGGAAGCTGTCATCGTCCCCGGCCGTTGCTGCAATTGCTCCACCGGCGGCTTGGAGGACTAGGGCGCAGAAGTCTGCCGTGATAAAGGCCCATGTGTAGTATTTCGGCCGGATTCTCGACCATTCTCGGCCAAATTGCAACACCAAATGCTTCAAGATCAGGTAAATAGCGGCCGAGTTCAGGGCAGGCGAGAGCGTGAGACAGCAGATTTGAATCTGGAAGCCGGTGATGTTGTATGGATTGTTGTGCATCAGGCATCGCCCAATGTAGCCGATACAGCCTGCAAGACAGGCAAGAGACATTGCGAGCATATAGGTGCAGGTACGGTAGCGTAAGCCCAGCGCAAGATTAGCCACGAAGCAGACCGCAAATAGGGCAGCAAAGAATGCATTCCACCCCAAGATCGGGTAGTAGCCGTAGATGGAGGCCTCTACAGGACATGCCTCACTGACTCGACCGCAGTGGAGAGGATTAACGTGGGCTGGATCGACAGGCATGTTGGGCTTGACTGCTGAACGCTTATGACCAAAAATGCGGAATGGAGAACAGTTTGGGAATGCGAGAAAAAGCAATGAGAAGTATAAAAAGATCTCTGCACGCAAGAACTCTTTCCCCAAGGCAATGGCCGAGCAACCAAGTAGATATCTTACCTTGATTGTGCTTTCTATTTAACGGATGCTCTGACTGACCTAGTGATGTTGGTGATGGCTGGACGAAAGTATGCCACCGTGGCGAGGTCTGGCTAATACGAAAAGGGTCATACGCAGTCTCATGCACCACTATGCCTGATGTAGGTTTATTCCACGAGGCTGCGGCTGGAGGGCTGGAGCGATTCGTGTCGTCATGACTTCTTTACGGCCGAGTGTTTCGTGTGGATTGATACCACGAACGTCGAACGCTGAACGCGGTTGTCGTCCTTGTTGGTGTCCGTGTCCGAATCTCACTGGGATTGCAAAAGGGTAACAAGTCTTGCGACGGGAAGGGTAACAAGTCTTGCGACGGGCGTCGTCAACTAACCACCGGTGGGTTGCTTCTAGCGACTGGATGAGTCTGATAACACGCAGAATTGCATAACAGGCGGCAGAGGAAGGTGAGGCGAGAACAGACAAAGCGGGAAGGTCAGGCGGAAACATGGGGCGCAGCCTTGCCAAGTGGCGGGCAGCAAAAGGAAACCCCATGGGGCCTTGGACACCGGTGAGGCTGCAATTCATCTATGCTCCAAGAACAACAACCACATCAGTTTCTTTGTCCACGGAGATGCCCAAGCGCCTTGCTGTCTCTTCACGAAGTCACCCAGCTTGTCTTTTAGTCTTGAACCCCCCAAAGTATATAACGGTCGCTGTGGAAGTGCGGCTGTCTGTTACTCCCTCTGCCTTTGCCTCCACAGCCTTATTACTATGAATCTGTTCATTTCAAACCTCGACGCGAGATTCCCCAAAGAGGAATTGGAAGATTCCCTGTCTCCTACTCTCCGCGAACTTCAGATCCATGTCTTCGATATTCGAAAAGCAGTCAGCAAGACCTTTGCTATACTCACAATTGCAGATTCATCAAAGGCTCAAAAGTTGCTGGTTCTGGCTGGCAAGAATCCAGCTCTCCTCTCCTCTCCCTCCGGAAAGCATGCATTGTTCCGGATAAGCCGCTACCCCATTGATCCTTACTTGTTGCGTGCACTACGCAAAGAAGAGAAGGACCGCCAGAACCCCCAAGCATGGCAGAAGTCTTCGAAGCGGTCTGCGGAAGCCCAGCACAGCCAAAAGGAGGCAGGGCTGAAGATCACAGCACTACAGTGTGGGCGCTGGGAGACTATAACCGGGAAGACTGTCTTCGTACCCTACTTCGAGCTGCAAACAGACGGCAGCCTGACAAGAGATGGACCTGCGCTGGTTGCCCGCATGAACACCTCTGCTTCCAAGTTCCACGATCTTGTCATGGATCTATCCAGCATCTTGGCTTTTGCTATACCGAGTCAGGGTGCCTCCAATGCTTTGATGATCACTCTGACGCTTGCGCCAAAGATCTATGAGGATGAGAAGCCTGATTCTAGCAACCCGTTGCTTGAAATGTTCGAGGGCATGTCCCTGGGTCCGGCCCCAGTGAGGAGATTCCGTGATACCAAATTACCCGGTGTGGATCCTGTAATTGTTAGCAGCTGCTTGACATACAGCATACTTGTCGCTTCAGGGGTTGTCGACCTGGAGCGTCGCATCAAATTACTGACATCTCACCGAATCCCCGTCACGAGAGTGCCTCCCCTATCTACTAGTCCCCGAATTGGAAACTTCAAGGAACAACTCTTGAAGCTCAACTCACAGATTGTGAGATTGAACTGTTCCTTTGCATGGAGATTTCAGATACATGCACTTTGGGCCAATGGCCTTTTGTCTCCCGCCGAGGTGGAACATCTGCTGCCTACCATGAGTGGCCTGCGAACTCGGTCAGGCGAAGCAACCCTCATTGCAGTCTTACGAAGACTGAATCTGCAACTACCTCCTAATGATGCCGCCACGGATCCTCAGACGGGTGGTGTGAAGGGTGCCCTGAACGCCATAACCGAGCAAGCACACCTTCTGTTCGAAGATGGTGGCGCGCAGACGCCGACACGAGATGAGGTCTTAGTTCACCGTGTCACAGTTACCCCAACTGGCATCTATCTCGATGGCCCAGAGTATATCGCGGCAAATAGAGTCTTGCGACAGTACCGTGCACATTCAGACTGCTTTCTTCGAGTCCTTTTCTCCGACGAGAATGAGATGCGAATGGGGTTTGATCGAGATTGTTCCAACGAACGAGTCCTCCGCGGTCGATTTCTGTCAATTCTAAGCGCTGGCTTGAACATTGCAAACGAACATTTTGACTTCCTCGGGTTTTCACATTCGTCTTTACGGTCACAGACATGCTGGTTCATGCGACCTTTTGTTCACGACGGGAGTTTGTTATTAGCCAAAGCAGTCATCAGCCAGCTTGGTGAATTCAGCGGCATTAGATGTGCGGCAAAATGTGCAGCACGGATTGGTCAGGCGTTCTCGGAGACTACGTCCGCCGTCCTGGTGGATCCGAGCATTGTCCAAGTATACTCCGATGTCAAGGTTGGAGATTACATGATGACTGACGGCTGTGGCACGATTTCCAAGTCGACGTGGACACGCCTCAGGGGCAGTACACAGTCTGAGGACCAGCCCACCTCATACCAGATCCGCTATAAAGGTGAGAGAGTGCCGCTGAGGGTGCTTCGCTAACTGGTTTACAGGAGCCAAAGGAATGCTGACACTGGATACCCGGCTCCGAGGAGAACAAATCCGACTGCGAGAGTCGATGGTAAAGTTCATTGGCAGTCCATCCAACGAGCTTGAAATCTGTGGTACCAATCGCCGACCCCTTCCGTTCAAGCTAAACCGGCAACTTATCAAGATCCTTGAGGACTTTGGGGTCTCGGCCTCCGTGTTTGAGAAATTACAAGAGGATGATATCCAACGACTGCGCCTGAGCGCATCCTCACGATCCGTCGCGGTCAATTTTCTCATCAAACGATTATCCGACAGTAGCAATGGCTTACCCACCCTTCTCAGGCACCTCGAACACATTGGGATTGATGCCACCGAGGACAGCTTCGTGCGAGAAGTACTCGGGGCGTTGTTGCAGGTCCAACTCCGAGAGATCAAGTACCGAAGTCGCATTCTGGTTCCGGGTGCGCTCACTCTCTACGGCATTAGCGACGAGACCGGTTGGCTGAAGGAAGGCGAGGTCTTTGTCACTTTCGTCGAGGAGGAGAGCCGGAAGCATTCCTGTCTGAATGGCCGTGTCGCGGTGACTCGATCTCCTGCTCTCCACCCCGGGGACGTGCAGGTTGTTCAAGCTGTCGCACCGCTGCCGAGCTCGGCTCTCTGGGATCTCCGCAACTGCGTCGTGTTCAGCCAGCAGGGTTCTCGTGACCTACCCAGCATGTTGAGCGGCGGCGATCTCGATGGCGATCTCTACAACATCATCTACGACGAGAAGCTCATACCGCAGCAACAGGCGGATCCTGCAGCTTACCTACCCGTACAGCCTCCTGACATTGGTCGCCCGGTCACTGTGGATGATATGGCCAACTTCTTCGTGGACTTTATGCAAAATGACCAGCTGGGTAGGATTGCCACTCTCCATCAAGTGTTTGCCGACCGTGACGGCACCTTTTCAGCCAACTGTCTCCTGCTCGCGGCACTGCACTCAACTGCCGTGGATTTTTCCAAGACTGGCGTCCCGGTCGATAGCAAAAAGATCCCGAGAGGCCCTTCTTGCAGACCTGACTTCATGGCGCCAAGCGCAAGCACCAAGGTAGAGAAAGGTATCAAGAGAGCTGAAGAGATGGCCTCCACGGATAATACTGGACAATTCCGCTATTTTGAGTCCGAGCGAATCCTCGGCCGCCTTTATCGCGCTGTGGATGAGAACACATTCTTTCAGGATCTCGAGGACGATACTTCGTCTCTATTCAGCAAGATGGCTGACGATAACGTGCTGCAAGACATCCTGGACTGGGTGCGGTCATACGTCAACCACTCGCGCATTGAGTCTTACTATACAATTGCCAGGACAGTCCGAGATTAGTAAGTGCTATACTGTCGTAACTATGCCGAGAGAAGCTAAACAGGATACACAGCTACGAGTCGAATCTGCTGGACATCATGTCCCTCTATGCGGGGCGCCGGACCGAGCAACTCACCGAGAAAGAAGTGCTCATCGGCACCATCATGGGCCGTTCTGGGGCGGGAAACAGATATCAGCGAGAACAGTCGGACGACATGAAGGCCCGGTTCAATCGCGACCTTCGAGATATCAAAGCTTGGATGATCAACCACCCTGCCGTTGTCGGTAATATTGATGGTGATGATGATGATGACAATGACCATGATGACGGTTTTGTGAGCCTGGCTGCTGCCTGTTTGGAAATTGCTGTACAAGAACCCAGCAAGTTGAGCAGCTTTGGATGGTTTGCTGCAGGATTATGTGTCCCCGAGATCATGAAGGACAGGGAAGTGTCGTCGGTATATGACACGGGGAGGTTTGGATTCCTCGGTGCTTGATGAATCATGATTATGAGATGGTTGAGCAGGTCTGGATAGGATTGCCTTGGCAGAATGTGTTGGAGAGATTTCTTTTGGTTATGGTTATGGTTAGGGTTAGGGCTATGTGAAGAATCAACCCAGCAGGGACAAGGACATGGACATGATCTCGAATCGTGGTGACATGAACGTGCGCATCTACAAGTTAATGGTCATTGAATGATGGTTCAGGCTGAATTGCGTTGCGTCCAGTGGTTTGTGACGATGCTATATGTACCCAGGTAGTTTTGCCTATGCCTTAGTTATTCCTGTCAACTCAGTTGTTAGGCTACTCTTCAGACTCACGGGAAGGCGTGGGTCATGCGAATTGGATTGGACCAACCCTTGGAAGTCCAAGGTGCTGAAGAACCCCCAGTAGCCGGACTCTGGATCTACTCATACTCATCACACCGGTCAGCCTTGGCCAACACCAGTCAATTCTATTGGCTGATATGGATATTTCTATCTGCGCAGTTCTGTCTGCCTGATCCGAGTACGACCTTGTCTTGAAATTGGTCAGGCATCTTGCCAATTTCAACCATGATATCTGATATCATCAAGGACATCCTCTGCTGACCTAAATAATCTACCACGAGGACTGAATAATACCACTCGGAGTTCGTTTGCCCAAGTGGGTGGGCACTTCCCGCGGCTATCCCAATCCCGAAAAATGGCCAACCAAAGATATCATTATACCCGCATGGGCGATCCGTCGCATCAAATCCGCCTGGTCAAGATTCTTCCTCGACGCGACAGGAAAAGAATTCATCTCGAGCTAGAACTTGCCTCGATCCATGAAGTCCCGGGCCGGTATGAGGTTGTCTCGTATATGTGGGGATCCCCAACCGCCACCCCTGAGCGGCATGTCCTCGTCAACGGCAAGACGTTGGCATTGCGCGACAACATATGGCGGTGCTTGAAACATCTGCGCGACCACCAGTTGACGAGATCACGACTATGGATCGACTCGATCTGCATCAATCAATCTGATGACCATGAGAAGGGCCATCAGGTGACCAAGATGCGGCAAATCTTCCACGAAGCGTCCAGAGTCTTGATCTGGCTGGGCTCAACCAGTTTACAGACATACCTGCAAACTCCGACTCCGACTGCAGGGTTAGGGTCGGAGAGCTTAAGGGACAGCATCGAAGGCCTTCCTCCAAAAGATTGGGACTGTTGGTTAGATATCCTAGGCCATTCTGACCCCCAGTCTCCCCATCTGGAAAATCAGATCATGAGTATCGTGTATAACCCGTACTGGCGGAGGCTGTGGATTATCCAAGAAGTGGCACTTGCCCGCAATGCGTGTATTATTTTCGGCAAGGCTCTGCTGGGGAAAGACTACATGTCGGCAATATACCAGGCGGCCCGTGAGAATTCCAAACCGGGTTACCGTTCGTGGGTGGCGAGGCAACGGGATCCAAGCATGACCAACTCAGGTACCAGCTTGCTGGACCATCATCCGATGTTACACGTCAGTCGCAACCACAAAAGGGGACCAGAAGCAGAAGTCGGTCAAAGGAATGGTGGGAGTGAGAATTCCATTTGCCGATTGATATCAAGTTATCACTGGCAAGAATGTACCGATCCACGAGACTATGTCTATGGCCTCATGGGTCTTGTCGAGCCCGAGCCTGATCCACGATTCGAGATTGATTATACCTCCTCCAACGAAGAGGTTGCCATCCGAGCACTGCAGTACCTTGGTGAGGAAGGGGCAACGCTGGAACTAGGCTCAGGCTTGAATTTGGAAGCTGCAGCCGCTTTGCTGAAAGCTCTGGCCGTCACAAGCTCGACTTACTTGAGAGCCTTGACTGAGCAAACATGGCCCTTTGAGAGGGTCGAAGCGATGCAGAGGACGACTAGCCTTCGGTTTCGCATCCTCAACTGGGGCATGACGGTTGTTACTGTAGAGTCAGAGTCAGAGTCAGAGTCAGAGTCAGAGTCAAAGCCAGACGCGGACGACACCTACGATCAAGTTCTGCAGATGCCTGTATTGGGAAATCTCACCAAGACCCTCCATGTCATGGAAATGGACCCAAACACTTCCGTCAGGCTGCTGGATGGGCGAATTAAGCGATTAACCCCCATCCCCGCCACCGGGAATGCATCCGATGTTTCCCACAGAGACGATGGAGATTCCAGATCCAGCTATTTTCAGCCCGGTGCTATGGCTTTGTGTTTTCTTGATTTCTTTTCTGCCGTCATAGTACGCCGCACACGCACACGCACACGCAGCTCTGACGGTGACGGTGACGGTGACGGCACAATTGAGATGGAGATGGGCATGGAGATGGAGATTGAGCATTTTATCACGCCGGACATGACTAGTCCACCCCATAAGCCATCGTTATGGCTCGAGCTGCAACTTCCAAAGCCTGTGCGGGATGCCTTACGAAGAGAGATTAATACTTGCGCTATAGACTGGTCCTGGGCCGAGGCCGGGGCAGGAGGAGGAGAACCGTCTCAGGTTCAATCCTTTCTCCATCTTTCCACTCTGGAAGTCGTCTCGATGTGCGAACCGATTGCACCGAAAGCGTCTGATATGGCCGAGTTCTGGAAGAATAGCTGAAATGAGCTGAACTGAGCTGATGTGATCTAGTCTGATTGGATTACTGTATGAGCAACTACTATTGTATGCATATACGTATATAAGACCTCACATCTTAGTCGACATGACCCTCAAATCTCAGGAGTCGACATAACAGCATCCAACCCGGGTGGACGGAGAAGAACTGATTTACAAATTTACAGCAGAACCGTGTTGGACGTGATGTGACTGCAGCTTTGGGGGGTTCAGAGGACGAGCAGGGGTTCTATGTTGTGCCAAATGGAAAGAGGATGTGGTTAGGACCGAACATCACATCAACGGGCGTAGGAAGGATCAGCCACATCCGTACCGTCAAGTACCCCAAGAGCTTCACGAGGACAGATGAGGGTCAAGATCGATATTGGTGAGCAACAGAGTAGATAACTTTAATTATTTGTATCTAAATCTGTATCTATACACCATCTATCCGACCTGCCACGTACATGTACGTAAGCGGAGGAACTAGTCCTGACAACCCCTCGAGATGTGGGAGTGTCCCTGTTGGTCTATTGGCAGGAAAATCAGACCATTAGTGGTGTTCTTTTGTTCATTCTGCCTGTACTCCCTACGTGTCCAATCAACCCTCCAAGTCGACGGTACTCCGTATCTTTATTTCCGTATATCGAACCTCTAAGTCGAAGGTGGTCCGTTTATATATCTCCGTATGTCGACCCCGCCTGACCGAACAAGAGCTTAGGGGCTTCTTGACTCAACCACAAGCATTGCACACCCGTCATATTCAATCCCTATAGAGGCTCACTCTACTACTACTACTACTACTACTACTACTACTACTACTACTACTACTACTACTACTACTACTACTACTACTACTACTACTACTACTACTACTACT